CTGTTCAATGAGGTCGCTGGCTTCCTCAATCTTCTCCTGGCGATCCACCAGGCTCGTTTCGGCTTCATGGTAGATCTCGCGCCACTCACTGTAGGTACTCTCGTCGATATAGCGCGAACCGTATAGCAGGGTGCGAAGACCATCCGAGGCAAAGTCATCCACATGCTGAAACACACGCTCAATGGCCTCATCCTCCGCATTGGCAGCCATCTGATTCGCCTGCTGATCGGCACTATCGTAGGACTTCATGCGGCTGAAGTACGGACGGGGCTCTCCTGACTGATCCATGGACCCGCGAGGGGAGCCTTCCTCAGCGAGGCGCTGCATCTCTGTCGAGCGGCGGTGGAGGTTCATCCGCCGTCCCTCATTGAGAGATTGCTGGTACTCTGAGCTCAACCTCCGGCTTATCATGCTCTGTTCCATGGATCGGCGTTGGTTCATGCGGCGTGACTGATCGGCAGCTTTCTGGTCGGCAACATCACGCATCCTCAGTCGGTCCCGGATGACATTATCCGCCCCTTTGCAGATGACACAGATGCGGCCGTCCGGCATGCGGACAATAATCGACATGCGTTTGCGCTTGCTGCTAAACTCCACCACGCTCAGTACTTCGTACGTCTCAACGTGCAGCGAGCCGTCGCTGTTGACACCCTGAAGCTTGATGGCCCCCGCGGGACGGTCAACCATGAGGTACCCAAAGTCGCGGGCGGCCTCGATGAGGGCAAGTTCGTCGGGATTAGCGGCCTGGAACTGGAGCCGTCCATCGTCGGTGCGCTCTGGTAGACACGTGTGGCAGAGTGCGATGCAGAGTAGGAAATGCTTGGCCTTGCGTGCAAAGGAACTCTGGCCCTTGCGTCGGATCAAATCGAGAAGATCTTCGGTCTTCATCTCGGGATCAGCCTCGCCCGGTCGGTTCGAGTGCCAGCGTGACAGACTGGCACTTGTCAACATCCTCTTCGCCGACGGGCGGCTCGGATCCGTTGTCCGGTCCTCGTAATCGCGTTCTTGGAGATGATGTTCTACCGCACCGGGCATCAACGGGTTTTTCTTGCCTTTGCCTTTGCCTTTGCCTTTGTGGTTCATGGTTTCTTGGATCTTTTTCTCCTTGGCGGCTTCGTCTCTTTCTATGTTCATGTCGTGCAGCAGTGGTACACCAGCGACACTCATCTTGCGGAAGCGCATAATATTCTCCGTCAGAGTACCAGTCTTGTCTGAGAATACCCATCCGACCTGTCCGAGGTCCTCCAGGGTTGAAGTTGTGTTGATGCTAGCAGGCGTATCAGATACTGGATCATACATCTCAGCATCCTGCATCTGGAGAAATTGGCCAATTTTGACAATCTCAAGACTGACGTAGAGCGATAGAGGAATGAGAGTGTTGAACATGATCACATAGCCAAAGAAGATCTCAATGTACTGGACGTTAGCGTTGCGCAAGTACCACGAGTCTCGTTCGGTGCGATCCTGCCACAGAACGTAGCCGATTGTCATACCTGCAGCCAGCATGCAGACAGCGAAGATCTGGATGAGAACCATGCGGTTGACCATAGACTGCATTCGAGGCTTCTTCGCTTTCGTATTTTTGTTGGCATTCATGCGGATCTTGCATTCCTCGCCAGAGTTGATGACAAGGCCAATCGCAAGGGACGTGTTGCGCAAAGTTGATCCTCGGTAGACGACGTTGGCCATGGTCAGGGGTAGCGTTTCACCATCCGCCACAGCCTTGCCATCATAGTTGTAGAGATCAATATTCGGGTCCTCCGATACCACTGTCGCCTGCGTAGTCTTGAGGCCCGCCATGGTAGTACACTTCTCGGCAAACATGGGCGACGCTTGCTTGCTCTTCAGGTTCGTCTCGCCATCAAGGGCCATGGTGTCAATGTACGCTATGCCATTGGAACCAGTGGCGTGCAGCAGCGCAACATCGGCAGGTATAGCCTGATCACGGTGCAGACGAACAACGTCGCCAACCTGCACATGCTGCCACTGGATTTTAATCCAGTCCTCTTTGTTCAGCTTTATTCCATGCTCTCGCTCCACATCCAGTCGCTTCTTCTCTTCGTACTCTGTCTCGCCCTTCTTCCAGCCCTTCCCGCTGAACCGCTTGGGTCTGTTGCTGGGATTGGACCGCACACCTGAAGCAAGGACCCACACGGCCGCCCGGTTTTCCGTCTTATCCAGTCGGTACCTCCTCCAATCGTCATAGCCTTCCTTGGCCATGCTGAAGGCAATAAACGCCGCAAGTGGTGCGATGGTGGTCCATCGACCGACAGTACTCAGCCCGGGAATCATCTGGACGATGCCAACAACCAAAAAGTAGAAATTGCCCAGCTTGCTGAACTGGTAGATGAGCTGGGCTGGGATAAAGCTGAAGATTGTGTATCGATTCGACCGAATAAAGTTGTTGATGTAGGTTTTCTCGCTGCGCTCGTCAATGAGGCCCTTTGGCCCAACATCGGCCGGGTTCAGAGGTATATGTCTTCCATCCTTGGAGGGCGGCAGCGGTTTCTGGCGCAAGATGGTCTCGATCACAATGGACTGCCAAAGCCCGGACAGCTGGTCGCGCAACCGATCCTTCCACGTCGCACGAGCAATCGGTTTCCATCCAGTGCCTTTCTTAGCCAACCTCCTCCTCCGGAGCTTCTCTCGGAAACCATGGCGTCGTGGTGACGCGCCGGGTTGTTCTTTAATGTGTGATATTGACGTGGGTGACCGCGCACCCAAGCTCTCTCTTGATGAAGCGCGATGGAGATTCGATCGCGCCCGAGCCGTCTGGGATGGGTTTGCGTGGACAAAGGGTCGGTCTGAGTCGCGACTGCGGGGATCGAAGTAATTGCGCGTCGAGGCGATCCCCGTGCTGCCATCGTGCTCGCCTGGGAGGTCGTCTTGAGGGTAGTCGGTGCGCCCAGGCCCTCCCCCCGAGCTGCCAGGACCGGCATCATTGCGGCCTGGAGCCATATCGTCGTCGACCAGCGACTGTCTGCATGAGTTCCGCCGCTGACGATGTGCTCGCTGGATAGATTTCGAGATGGAAGATGGGGCGTGCGACGTGCCGTCCCGAAGGTTGAGACAGGTGGTAGCCAAGACTCAGACAGTACCTAGCTAATCAAATGGAGACCCGAGAAACGTAGTCAAGAAGGGAACAGTGCTTGTAGGTAGTAGGTAGAGGTATTGAAGCGAGGTCGCAGGGTCGAGGCTGCGCAGAGAATTCAAGTGGTAATTAATAATAATGGTCCTTCCTGCCTCCAATCTGCCTTCCTGGACGCGGACGGTCGAGGACTGGAGTCCGCGGGCCCAGACGGTAATAACTAGTCTACCTGAGTAGGAGTGAGGCAGGCGGGAGCCTGCTGGACCCGGCGAATCGTGTCACACGTCAGCGCCCTCATTGGGCCTGGAGCTGACGGGCGTGAGGCGCAGCTCCATGTCCCGCCGGTCCCAGCTTCCAGTCGTCATCCTGCGCGCCCTCCAGTCGGTAAGCTTAGCCCTTCAACACTTGTCAACCGATGCATACTTCATGTGGATTAATAATACGGTTACTGGTTATTCATTACATGCTGACTCAGTATCAAACCCTTCGCATCTTCCGCCAGCAAGCGGTCAAGTACCAGATAGTTTCCCTTGTCGCGTACGGGCCTTCGCCCTCCCGCCCCCAAAGAACCGAATCCACGTCGCAGGTCTGACCACCACCGAAACCAGCCTCCTGACAGGCGCTCGCGCTTCACTCGCGCTGGCGCGCCAAGACGTGCGCACTTGAAGCCTTCGGGCTCTCGGAGTGCCGGACAGCCAGCTGCCACCGCATCCCGCGAGCGGACAAAAGTTGCGAACGGCAACTCCACTCTGCGAATGCTAGAATGACTATCCGTAGTTGGTGAAGATTATTACAACAGAATATCAGCAGTGTGACGCTGCTCACCACTTGTCTCACCATCCGACAGCCAAGTTCATATCGTATCGAAATTAAGCTTGATTGCTGATCAGATCATCAGAGGCAGTACGATCGATAGATCAAGAACTGCCGGTTGCGTGACGTGCTGGGCATGCAAGGCAACCATGGAGACTTTCATTCTTCCATCTTAAGACGGAGAGGAAGCGTCATCGAGCATGGACATGAGACTCGCGTTCTTACTCTAGCAGCAAGACATCTGTGGACGACTAGGCACGAACGCATTGAACAAACGCTTGAAATGAGATCCGTACGCCTGGAGCACCTGGATTTCTGATACCAACAAAACTACAAACAGAGCCGTATTATCATCGCCGCAGCGCCCTGAACCGCAACCCTCAGCCAAACAGCCGGAGATATTTGTCAATACCCCTCCCCCTACGTTCCCAGGATCACCAAGTAGAAGCAAAGTTCCGACAACAAGCCACCTGGGCCTTCAGCATCTTCCTTCAGTAGTACGTGTTTGTTAGGAATAATCAAATGTGTGTAAATCGAAATGACAAAAAAAGAAGTGCGATAATATCCAAATACTTGATATGTGCATCCAGTGATTATTAGGTCCTGGGTCCAGCGTGGTGGTCAGCCGCTTCCCACAGAGACGAGAAAATCCAAATCGCCTGATTATAGTCGAGGCAAAATTCGGATCAAGAGGAAACCCAGAAACCTGCGAACAATCGCAAGCGTTTCGAGACCACCTATGTAGTAGCTTCTTGCGCAAAGCCCGGCGAGCAAAAGCCCACACGAGACTGGCCACAAAGAAGATGTCAAACGGACGATCGCAGTGCCGGACATGCATGACCGATCAAGTAGAAGAGTATCGTCGTGTGAATTCGTCATGGCTGCCACGCGGCTGTCGCTCACCCATAGTGAATGCGGACGCATGTTGCCAGAAGTTTTTTATGTGGTGGTGGGGGGTGATGAAAACCACCCAACGAACAAAGTCCCAAGAAACAGCCGAAATCAAACCCCATGGTATAACGCGCCCTCGATAAAAAACGCCATCTTCGCAATGCATCGTTCGTCAATTAGCCTAGCGTAGTGTTCTCGGCCCGATCCATCAGTGGGAAGCCGAGGGCTCGGGCGAAAGACTTGTAGGATCAACGTGGTCGAACGAAACGAGTTGGTCCATATCAAGCTCGTTTTGTTGAGCTTGTCCGTAAGCCGGTGATTGAGACTGCATCGGAAGATTGAGAGCGTGTTTCGAGTACATGTCGTGAAGGCTGTGGCCATCCTCAGACACGGCACAGGAGCCGTCGTTGCCAGCATACACATCAGCAGAGCCGGACCGCCCCACCATGCCCATTGGGGGAGACTGCTCGACAATTGAAGGCTCAGATGGACTGTGGTATTGCATCGAGGTCGGCCCCGGGGTATTGCCCTCAGCCCCAGGCATGGGGGACAGGTATCCCTGGTTGTAGGAAGGTCCAGCATAGTTCGTTGGCGGAGGCATCACCCCCGCGTCTTGGTGAGTTGGAGGGAAGAAGCCGGGGCTTTGCGGGAACTCTGAAGGTGATGCCGTCGTGGCAGACATGGGGTACTGGCGCATGTCGAGTCCAAAGCCTGCCTGTGTGTCGATTCGCAGGTTTGTGTTGACATGGGTCGGCTGATGGGGCACAGGGGCGTAGATGTGCGGGTTGTGCTGGGGAGGCCCCATGTCGCCGGGAGGCTGGATGTAGAATGAGGGCATTGGCTGGTTCTGGAACATGGCAAAGTCGACAGGTCCGGGCACAGAGCGAGAGCGCTGACGCTTGTGGCCTTGAGGCGGGCGCATGCCCGAATGCATCTGATGCATGCCCCATTGCTCGGGGAACATGTTGACTGGCGGCGGGTGATTGAAGTTGGGTTGTGAAGAGGGACGGGCCTGGGGCGAGACGGGCGCCGAGATGGAGATCGCATGGGGGTCCTGGAATGGATGTCCCATTGCCATCTGGTGAGGATTGTGGCGGTTCATGAACGTCTCGAGAGACACCAGCTTGGCTAGCTGTCCGCTCAACACCTTGGGGTTGCCTCCGAGGTGGTGCATGAGACAATGACTCGCTTGCTGGTCTTGAGTAAAGTCACCGACCTGAGAGAACCCTGCCCCGTTGGAGCAGTCCATGAAGAAGTGCGGTGGCCGCGTAAGTTCGATCACGATGCCACCCATCTTGGAAGGGTCTGTCTCGTTGTTTTCGAGATAAATGTTCTTCACATAGGCGAACGGGTACTCAATCTTGTAACCAGCCTGTTCGTTGTTGATGTAATAGGTAATGGTACCCTTGTCGGGAGAATAGAAGACGACGAGGTCCATGGCGTTCTGACCGACGCGTGTCCACTCGCCGACGCTTAGAGAACGACAAGTCAGGTGGTTGATCACTGCTTGATTAGCGTGGATAGGCTTCTGGGGAGAACACGAGACTTACAAACTTTGGCGTTCGGGTCTCCAATGAGCATGCCTCCATGACCGAATGGCGACAGACCAGTACGGCCAAAGTAGTTGCCACCGAGACCTTTCCCGGACTCCATGGCTTGCATGGCCAGATAAGCGCGCATGGACTCGGGTATGGCGTCAATGTCTTCGCCGGTCTCCAGGCTCTTCTTGGCAAGGTTCTTGATCTTCGCACGTCTGCCCATAATCAGTATCATTCCATTGTGGTCCGAAGTAGCAACACATACCGGTTTTGGAACCAGATCTGGACAGATCGCTCGGTCATGTTGATCTCCTCAGCTATACGGTCGCGGACAAGCGCAGTGGGCGTCGGGTTCTTGTTGAACTCGATCTCAAGGGTAGCCAGTTGATCCTGTGTCGCACGTTGCCGCTTCTGGTTCTTTTGCTGCTGAGTCAAGGTGGACTTCCTCGGAGCCCTCCTGGAGGTACCGGCCGAAGTGTTGCCGCCATTCGAAGTGGATGGAGATGGCGTCTGCTTGCTGGGGGCAGCCGATGCCGGTGTCGGCGCGTTGGTGTTGGCATCGAAATCTGTGTGCGAGCCAGGGGTGCTGATAGGTTCGACATGTGGAAGGCCCATGGATGATTCCATCTCAGTTGCCATTGTATCGGATAATTACAGTGTCCAAGCGCTATGTACAAGGCTGATGGAAGCGCGGTCGTGGAATGATATTTGATATGTCTGGTCAATGGACAGGCTGATCGATAAGCCGGTATCCCCAGTTGGTGGATTGAGTTGGGGAAGGAGTCTCTTCTCGCAACGATATCCGGGATCTTAATTCGGTTGTCGAAGGCGAGCGTGGGTCCGGTAGTAGTACAGGCTGTCAAGTGCCGAGTCGATATACAGTTGTCTAGCAAAGTAGTGTTACCGTATAGATATCGGTCGGACGCGAGGTCGTAGTTGGGGCCTAAGGAACGTAATGGTGCCGAAAGGAGTGACGGACACCGAGATGGCTTGGAGAAGCGATCAAGGGAGTGACTGAAGGAAATGAAAGAAAAAAGGACGCGGGGAAAGAAAGAGAAGGAGCGGTCACAAGAAAGAGGCTGATGGGGATGGGAAGATGGAGAAGAGAAGACGGGGGGAAGGTGGGAGACGGGAGCCAAGGGGACAAAAGGTCAACCGGTTGTGTGTGTCTTTGCTTCCTCACTACCGTACGGAGTACGGAGTACGTGCCTAGCGAGTGGTTGCAGTGGTCGCAGTGGAGGTGCCACACCTTCCAAGCACATTCAGAGGACTCTGGTCCAATGGGAGCGTGCAGATGGCTACGCTAGTCCTCGATGGGATTGCAGACAGACAACCAGAACCACCTCTTGGAAGCCACAGTTAGTCGCACGACGAGCTTGCTCGGACGCACGATGCATCAGCCGAGACGGCCGTCTGCTGTCATTCTAGCCGGTTCTGATTGAGCGACTCTGTGTGACGAACATCGCCGCTGTCGTCGACAATCGTCCTAGCCATTGAAAGGAATACAGACCCACGGTTACTCGACAGACGACGAACTGCCCGTGACCCAGGTAGCCTGGAACCCTCGTGGGTGGACTCTGGGTGTCTTCACCGCCTGCTTGAAGGCAGGTAGGTGGTGATGGTCTGATCGCCCGTCCAGTGAGACTGGTATCGGTATCAATCCATTCTTCACTCTGCATTGCCTTTCGCGTGCTCCGTACAGATGATGCCAATAGACCAGCTTCAACGACAAATGTCACACGAACCAACATGCTCGCCAACAAGTCGCCGACTTTTAGTGATCTGTTGCGTCGTCCTGTATGCAATCCTTCCAAAGTGGCGGCGCCCACAAGCCAGGAAACGCGGATACACGTCCGGTGCTGCCCACATATATCTCACCGGCCTGCAAGTTGTATGATCGCGTTAGAGCTCCTATCCGTCTCGCCGCTCTCGCGTAATCCATAGAGTCAGATGGTGGTTCCTTGGCTTTCCAGCCGCCAAAGGGGAGGGAAAAAGTCTCGCTTTGGGCGCGCCCAGAACAGCATTGGCCTCAGGGGTTGGTACTTTGGGACACGGGCCTAACGTTAGCTGTGAGGCTACTGCAAGGCACCGGCTCTATGTTATTCAGGTACCCGAAGCTAACTTGCTGAGCTGACTTGTGCTGACTCCAGCGCTGTTTGCTAAGCACGGTGCCGCGCACTGTCCATGAGGCTGTGCGACCAGGGTCAATCGCCGCCAGCTGCTGGAGTTCGCTTTAGGCGCGTCTGTTTGTTGCTCGGGTCGCGCGTTTCCACAAGTGCGCGTCGCTGGCGATATCCCGCGAGTGGAAGTAAGCATGAGAAACTCGCACAATGCCTCAAGGCGTTGCCTGAGCTCGTAGTTCGCGAACATCTGAGCTCGAGCCGGCAATCGACTTGAGTTCCCTGGCGTGATTTTGAGCTGAAGACCGACGGAGTTGCAACAACTGACTTCTGACAGAAACAATTTGCGCCCCACGTCGACCAGTGACGCACTGACGAGACCAGACTCATGAGGTAGTGCACCTTTCTGCTCTCTTTCTACTCCGTCTGCCAGAAGCGAATATGAGAGACGTCTAGACCGAGCCAACGCGCCCTTCAATGTTTATGATCTAGAGTTACTCCGTACACACATCTTAATTGATTACTGGCCCGGCCCGGACGACGACGTCCATCGGCGAATGTACGCAAGTTCGCGGAAGCAGCACAGTGTGAGAGCCCCGCCCCCTCCAATGACCCTCACTGCAGCCCCTGATCCGGATCCTGTGCTCTGCGGGTTTTTTCTGGACCTCTGCAGGCTTGGCGGTCCACGGCAGGCGCACGACGAACAACGTCGTTCCAACCAGCACCCATGTGCTGTGTATCATCGGGCTTCTCCCAAGCTGCATGTCGCAAGCCGTGTGCTCGTGATGACAATTGCCGCCGCCCGAGCCAAGATTCCCAAAGCCACGGATACACTGTGAGACAGATACGAAATAATTATCCCTACCAAAGAGTACGAATCATTCGCTCCAAACACACACTTCTGCGCCGCAATTGTTCAAATTTGTTGGCCTGGCATCGTATCAGAGGCTATTCAGGATGATACAATGCCTAGATACATCTTGGACCATGCGGACTCGGGTATTTTGCATCCGATATCGTCACACATGATGAATGTGGCTCGTCAGGAAACCGTCGCGGGTTCTCTTCATGCATCTATCAATGTTCCGTCATGTTGGAAGAGTTGCGTAGGCAGCAGTCAACACAGCGATGTTAGCGCGCGGATGGCGTTCCATTGGAAAACTCCCGCGGCGCTGGCGGCTGATAAGCCTGGTGTGAATTGTTCGCACGGGACAAGCGTGTGACCGCTACAGTAGGCTTCGACAATTGATTTCATTGAAAAAGTGTGGTGTTTTGGGTCACTACGGAACCTCACTATAGTCCTTGGGTGATGTGATGAGGACAGCGCGCCCTGATCCCTGACTTCTGAGATGTGGATCTCAACTACTAGTCCTTGATGACGTTGAGACAACACGCTAGCGACCTGGAGGGTCGCGCGGGGACCGACGTTGTCAAGGGGCATTAGCTTACCCGAGAGCCAATGTTGATGTTTGGATTAGGACAGGATGCCGACTGTGATTGCGTTGAGTTTGCTAAGATAATACGAAGGGCATCAATGTAGTCGTTGTTTTATTCGGTGGAATTTTGTGCTAGGTATTTGGACTCATATATTCATGAAAGCCTTTCGATCATCGTTTTGGATATTACATATCTCAGCTGGACCACATCACACAACAGCAACCCCCACACATTGAACGATCTTCTGATAAACCACTCCAAATCCGTATTATTAATGTTTTTGATGTTGGAAGATGTGAGTCGATAATAAACCGTCGTTGGGCTCAGGACGTGCGTGCCACGATACCACCTCCAATCTGATAGCTTTGTGCCTCGAAATGTGTCTGTATCCCAGTCTCTGGAATTTGCAAAAGGCGGCTTCGGCATGTGAAGGACAAGGTCCTGTCCAGCCAGCTCCACTCAGCAGTGGTAGGAAGTAGTGTCTGCTTCTTTACACAAACCGAGACATACCGTACTCGGCAGCGTGGTCAGCATCCCTTGCCGCCCAAAATATGTGCCGCCGAAGATCTTTCCACAATAAGCTGGATAGTCTCTAGACTAGTGATCACCAATGCCATGCTAAACGTCACATCTCCCGCATTACCTCTTCCACAGCCCGTGCCGCCATCCTCTTCCTCTGCGCTTCGCTCATCCCTTCGCCTGCTTCGCGAGCAGCCTGCAGCTTGCGCATCATCTTCTCGACCTTTTCAAGATCCTCGTCCACCAAGCCAGACCCCTGCTGGTTGTTCTCTGTTGTCGGAGGCTCGGCGCGACTGGAGACGGGGATGCTGGCGGCGTCGGCAGCTTGCGCACCCTCGCGCAATCCACCGACTGGCTGTGTCTCTTCGTCCTGTACTTGCCCCGAAGTCCATATTGACTTGCGGAGGCCCTCAAAGTCGGCACGATCGAACCCGAAGCCCATGCTCTCGGGGTCCAAGTCTTTCTGATCACCATTCTCGTCTGGATCCTCAAACTCGCCAAAGTCCGCCGGCGCGTCATGGTCGTCTAACGATGCCCAATCGTTCGCTTCGAGAGCTTCCTTGACACGCGCAATGCCCATTTTCTCTGGCAGGTGAGTTAGCAAAATGTCTTTCCATGGCACGAATAGCTCTGTACAAACCTCCAAACTCATTGCGGCCCTGGTCGTTGCCTGTCAGCTGCACGAATTCCAGGCCGCCCGCAGCGCATAGTTCGTCCCATGCATCGGCGTCACCGTTGCCAATACCAACGGCGACACCTACACCATCCCATTCCCACCCCCCGAGGCCCTCCTTGACCACTTTGCCCACTTCGTGAAGCAGACTTCTTGTTTCTTGCTTGTCCTCATGCAGTGAAAAGACGACAATGACGCCGCCCAAGACATCCAGAACCTCTCTCGCCTCGTCTGATAGAAATGAGGCGGACCAGTCTGCCGGTGCTGTTGGTGTGTCGAGCCATATGGGCAGCGTGGTCTTGTAGTACGGCGTTGAGAGTACAAGATCATGGGTCACGCCTGCTAGCGAGTCTGTGACAGGCGAGGGCGCATCGCCCGTGAGGTCTGCCTACGAGTCAGCCAGTAGTTGAGAACGGTCTGGATGCATGAGATGAGCACCCTTGATGACGCGAGACAGGTGATGAGCCTGCGACGAGAGCGAGAGCGCAAGAGCCCTCCGCGGGTTGGATATGTCCATCTGTGGCATGGCGGATGTCCTCCCAGTCTGGTATGTATGGTTGAATGATGTCGAGGTCAAGCTGGTGATTGGTGGTGGGACAAGTTGAGAAGTCGCAATAGTGGCGGCATGTGGATGTGGAGTGGCGGGGCAGTATTTGATTGCGATCATTGCAGACATAATTCAGGGTCCAACGCGAAATTAGATGAATTAGATCTACTCATCAGTCAGCCCTAGCGACATGACGCATGCCGAAATTGGCGAATGATGCCATCTCGGCCGAGAGTATGTCGGGAGGGTGCTCTCTTGATGTGTATGTAATAAGACGTGCACATGTCTCCTATTGTGTAATCACGTTCAGAGAAGTGATGGCTAGCGACACAGTGCAGGAAACGAAATCGATGATTTACAATTCTCGACGCAGACAAGGATCGATAGGAAGAATCGCAATCAGAATGGTACAAAAGGCTACGAATCATTGCCACCCCATCCAAAGGACCTATTCACAACACCCATAGCGTCCACTCCAGCCTGCACCACCCCGGCGAAGCCCTCTTCGCGGGGGGCATCTTCCCGGTTCAAGTCTCCTTGATCCAAAGTCCCCTGCCTGCGGCCCAGGACAGCCCTCGAGATGGGCCGCGCCCACATGTTGTACCACCGGTCCTCACTCACGGTGGCGTATCGCCTTCGACCCTGCGCATCCGTTACGCTGAAACGCCACTGTGCGGTGACAACCTCCCACTTGGCGGTGCGGAAGTACAACCATGGCCAAGAGAAGATGAACATGAGCGTCAGGACAAAGATCATCTCGATCCACTTTGTCAGACGCCAGCGGTTGGTGCGACACTCGTTGTAGATCTCGACCTTGCCGTTCTGGACGGGGAAGCTGACCTCCAGCTTGCCGCGGTAGTTGGTGCTACGCACGAGGCCCTCCAACTTGGTCTGCAGCGCGTCAAAGTCCCAACCTGAGACCGCACGCTCGAGACTGAAGCTCTTCAGGCCATTCTTGGCTGTGCAGTACCGGCGGCACCACTCTGCGACGTCGGGTGTTCCCTCTTCAGCCGCACCGCCGGAGCCACCAAACCCGGGGGCTCGCGTTGTGCAAATGGTACCTCGGCGCACCTTTTCAAAGTTGCCTGCTGTGACGGTCTCGTGCGAGAACGGCGTCCTCGAATGGATATCCTCGTACAGCAGGTGCGTGAGCTCGATGTGAATGTCGAAATCGACAATCTCCCGCCTCTCTGTCTTGCCGTCTGCCTTGCGCGCAGAAGAGTGGTGAGTGCCTCGAATGTGCACGTGTGGTCTGGGAGGAATGATGGCGAGTCGATCGATATGGTCCTTTAGGAACACGGGATCGGCGTCGAGGCGGCGGTCGATGTAGTACTCGACGCCATTGTTGACTTTGAACGGCTGAACTTGCAACGGCTGCGTGCCAGCGGGTAGGAGAGGATCCTCAGTCGCGACGGCGTCGTTCTCGTGGTCGCTGTAGAGAGGGGGCAGGTCATCGTTCTGGATTTCGGAGGGATCGTCGTCGAAGTAGCGTGGCTGCGGCGGGGCGATGCCTGGCTGGGAATGCAACGATATCGAGGACGAGGCGTTGGGTTCAGTCGCAGGCGGAGTGTCGAATTTGCCCATCTTCAGCGACTTTGGTCTCAAGGAGGCAATGAGGGTTGGAAAAGAGGAGGAGATGAAACATGAGAAGGAAGCATGAATGTGCGCGAGGAGGCGACCAGTCAACCTTTCCGACGTTGGCTCAGGCTGTGCCTTTCCCAACTCCAGGCAGCGGCGCCAGCCAGCCAACCTGCGTGCCCAGATCCTGGTTGAGTTTACGGGACTGCTACTGGACATTTGAGTCTGGGCCTTCGGGGGGCTGGGCTGGCGCCACCACGACGAGGCGCCCCACTGCGCTTAACGCCCCGCGGCTGGAGAGATGTGGCTTGGCGTAGAGGCTCTAGGGTAGCCCAGTGACAACAACTGCATGTACATGTATTTGACCGAGACGGTTCGCTAGGGTCAACGCTGGTTGACTTGATCTCAAAAATGAGGGACATCAAAGTGATATCAGCAAGCCGGCATCGAACACAAGTAACAACATGAGGTCAAGTCTAGCCCCACAATGTCTGCATATCAAAGCCTCGTCTCACCCATAAGGCTGACTATATGTAACGTCTGCTCCGCACCTCCTCCTCATCTTACACGTAATATTAAGAATGAGCCCTTGCTGCATCTAATACAGTCCTCAACACCGTATACACAAGCCAAACAGCAACGCCATGCCCTCTGTGACCTCCCGTACCGTGGGCGCCCTTATGGCGTTGCACGCAGCCGACTCCCTGGGCTCCACATACGAGTTCCAACCACACGCCACGATCCCCCATCCCTTACCCAATACCGTCCTCTCCGGCGGCGGCGTCTTCAAGTGGAAGCCTGGCGCAGCCACGGATGACACGGACCTCACCCGCGCCGTCCTGCTCGCCTACCATGGCCTCCTCACCGGCACGACATCCAAGCACGGCTATAGCGTCGTCAAGGCCAGCGCTGAGCACATGCTCGCGTGGTACGTCGGCGACTGGCCGGGACGCAAGCCGGGCTCGACACCCGTCGACATCGGAGGGGCCACGGAGGATAGTCTCCAGCGGTATAAGAAGAACCGCGACATGACCTCGTCTGGCGATGGCCAGGGCAGCGCGGGGAACGGATCGCTCATGCGCTGCCTGCCGACCGGTCTTTTTCAGCGTGACAAGAAGATCCTGGTCTCGGAGAGCAAGCGCATCAGCGCCATCACGCACGACGACGATAGGTGCAGAATATCCTGCGCGGCGTACAACATAATCGTGAGGGCGTTGATACTGGGGGAGAGCCCTCAAGAGGCGGTGCGCCAGGGCGAAAAGGTGGCCATTGAGCTCGAGAAGGGGCAGACGGGGCTCGTGTACTCTGCTCTCCGTCTGGGGTGGGAGATCTCCCTGCCCGAGCTGGCCAAGCAGGGGCCTGAGGGCACCTTCCCCGGGGGCTGCAGCGGCTATGTCCTGGAGACGCTGACGCTGGCTATCGCTGCTGTGCTGGACAAGAGGAGCATGGAGGACATTATTAGCGATATTGTCTGCGTAGGCAAGGACACGGACACAAACGCGGCCGTGGCGGGTGGTCTCCTGGGCGCACGAGACGGCGAGGAGGCCGTGCCCAGGCATTGGCGGGATGCGATAGAGTATGGCGAGGAGTTCAGGCATCTGGCGCACGAGATACTCAAAGCTCAAAAGTGGGACAAGTGACCATGTCACGTATGGAAGATCTTAGACAGATGGCCAGTGTGATTGATGATTGCATGACCATGTCGCGCGTTCTATCATGGAATTCGACTTTTCCATTTTTGCCCCCTTCCTCCACGCCGTGACACCGGTTCCAAGTCTAATATTAACTGTCATCCACCAGACGTCCTGAATCCCACTTTCTCTTGGCCGCTTCCATCAGGGTGTCGAGGTCGCCGCTCATCTCGCACATGCTCCTGAACAGAGTCCTTTCGTTGTCAATGAGCTCCCACGGGTGAGCGTACTCAACTACCTCGCCCTTGTCTAGGACAAGCACCTTGTCATAGTCGACAATCGTCTGCAGACGATGCGCAATCGTAATGACGGTGCCCGTCAGCTCACGGATCGTCTCTTGGATCTTGGAATCCGTCACGTAGTCAATGGAGGCCGTGGCCTCGTCCATCACCAGTACGGTGGGGTTCTTGAGCATGGCGCGAGCCAAGCACGTAAGCTGGCGCTGGCCTTGCGACAGATTCGACCCACTCTCACTAATGGGAGATGCAAGATCCAAGAAGATGTTCTTGTTGGTCGCAACCGATGGCGCTGCCGAGTTGACGGACCCGGGGACCCTCGGCGTAGGCGGCGAGGTCGAGGGCTCGTCAGGGCCGATGAGTTGGACCCTCCTCAGTGCGGCGAACACCTCTTCATCCGTGTACTGTTCAAACGGATCAAGATTGGTGCGGAGCGTGCCCTGGAAAAGAGTAGGGTCCTGGGGCACAATCGTCACATTCTCTCGAAGGTCTCGAAGGCCGATTTTGCTTATGTCCACGTCGTCGATGGTGATGGTGCCGGAATCCGCCTCGAGCGCGCGGAAAATGGCTAGAGTCAGAGAGCTCTTACCAGCGCCTGTACGACCGACGATGCCGACCTTCTCCTGAGGATTGATCTTGAGGGAAATGTTGTGGAGCACGGGCTCCAGATCAGCGCGATACCGGGTCGAGTAGTTGTTGAACTCAACAGCACCCTTGGCCGGCCAACTGGGATCAGGGCGGTTGTCTTCGACAATCTCGTCCGCCTCCTGCTCGACATCGAGGTACTCCTTCACACGCTCCATCGAGTTCATATTCTGCTCGTTGATTGCGTAATTGCGGACAAGCCACAGTAGATTTTCCGTAAAGTTCATTGCGTAGCTGAGGGACATACCGGCGGCACCAGCGTCGACCTTCCCAAGGCTGAGAATGATGAACACACCGGCAGAAAATGCCACCAGGTCGCCCAAAAGGTCTGCACGAAGGGCCAGCCACCTGTTGCAAGCCCACAGGTAGATGAAGGGCCGAGCTTGCGTGTTGATCTTGCTCAGGTTGTCGCGGATGAAGCGGCGCTCCTCACCGTAGGCACGAATGGTCGTCATGCCATGGAGCGTCTCGCCAAACTGCTGGAAAAGGGGACTGCGGTGTACTGACTCCAACCGCTTGAGATCGCGCGAGGCACGCAGGTAGAAGACTGACACGAGGTAGAACAAGACGCCAATGAATGCGGCAGCAATCAGGAATCCAGGTGTGATGACCGAGATCAGGATGACGGTGACCACGAGGGACAGAGCGCAAGACATTACACTAACAGCGGTCGGCGCAACATCCTGGTCAATGGCTTCTAGATCTTTGCTGAATCGGTTGATGATCTGGCCGAGAGGTGTAACGTCGAAGAAGCGGAATTGCGCTCGCGCGACAGAGCGGATAAGCATATCGTGGATGCGTCGGGAGGCAGTCAGAGAACCAAAGAAGAGCCAGAGATCCCGCATCAGCGCGGTGCCAGCACTCGCCAGCCCAATGATGGCGAGTACGAACAGATAGTAGGCAACGTTCACGTTCGACAGGTTGGTTTGCAGCAGTGGTTCCTGGGTAGGAGGGGCGGCATGGTACAAGGTCAGGTCCATTACCTTGACATTCGGAGACGAACTCCTCAATGCCTGTACCCAGGATACACCCGCAGCCTTCTCGACCACGTACTGATTTGACCACTCACGAACCCACACCTGGATAGCGACGGTCGCGAGCTGTTGCGCGTTGAAGACGACAAAGGTGACAGCCCAGAACCACCAGGAGCCCATGGAGGCGAGATAAAGTTTCATCACGGGCCACTTGACCGCACCGGTAACCTTTCCTTCGCCCATGGCGTCCTGCTGAGGTGGCGGAGCCTTCTTCTTCTTATCCGGGATGCCATTCACGCCATTGGTCGTCTCGCCGTTGGCGTCTTCGTCGCCAACGCTCGAGGGAACCCGAGAGGGCACACGAGATGGCGCAGTGGAAGCAGGGTTGACTTTCTTGATCTCCTCGCCTAGTTTTCCAGAGGCAATGACCTGGGCAGACAATCCCTGGACGGCGACGCGACCGTTGTCAAGCACCACGACGTATTCCGATGATGGTACACAAAGTTGCACATTGTGTGTCACCAGGATGCAGGTGCGGTTAGCCATCAGAGGTCCTTTAATGCAATTGCTGAAGATCCACTTGGCGGTATGGGAGTCCACAGCACTGAGGCAGTCGTCCAGGAGCAGGTGGGCAGAGTTCGAGTAGAGAGCACGCGCGAGCGAGATACGCTGCTTCTGACCACCAGAGAGCGTGATACCCTTCTCGCCAACGACTGTTTCATCGCCATGGTCGAGAATCTCCAGGTCGCGCTCCAGGGCACATGCAACAATGACGTCCTTGTAACGCTGTTCGTCATAAGGTGCCGCGAAGAGGATGTTGTTGCGGATGTTGGCGTTCACCAACCAGGCAGCTTGGGCAACATAGGCGATTGTGTTTGTGAGGCCGGTTTCAGGATCAACGCGAGCATCCTCACGGCTTTGACCGCCAGGACAGAACACTCTCCCCTCGACCATTGTCATTTCACCAAGTAGACCCATCAACATAGACGTCTTGCCGGAACCAGTCGGTCCAGCAATGATGTTGAGCTTGCCAATCTGAAAGTCGACGTTCATTTCGAGCAGACGAAATGCGCGGGAACCGTCGTCAGCCACGGTATTGCGGCCTCCCCAGATCAGGGTGGCGTCCCTGAAGCCGATGCGCCTGACGCCATCTTCGTCCACGTTGTCGGTGCCCAACTGCTCGTATTTTTCGGTCTCATCCTCGTTCAGAAACTCATCAACGCGGTCGATAGAAACCTTGGCCTCCTGTACGTGGGCGAACATATCACCAAGCTGGTCCAGGGGAATGCGCAGAAGCATGAACAATGAGATGGCGGTAAAGGCGACGGAAGGGTACAGCGGCTTCTTCTCGATCAAGGTGTAGACCAAGAAGGAGAAGAAGGTGATGAGCACAGGGACGAAGTTCCAGATGGCAACTGCGGTAGCCCAGACCATGAATCTCGAACGCAGGGCCTTGAGCTCAGCGTGACGCTTTTCATCGATGATCATACCAAATCGTTCTTCCCATGCGAAGTACTTGATGATCCGAATATTCTGGAGTACCTCGTTCGTGATGTTGATGCGCTTGTCGGTGGCAGCAAGGATGTTCTTCGACGTAGTGCTGAAGCCCTTTCCAATGAAGTAGTTGATAGGTAGGAGGAAGACCATGACAATAATACCAGGGATAGCACTGAGACCCATGACCTGCCAGAGTAGGACGATGGAGACGACGAGCATTGTAGGAGCTGCGGCGCACAAGAAGTGCAAGTAGGCCGTAATCTCGGCGATTTTGAAGCTGTCGACAGACATGAGGTTGATAATGGTGCCGAGATTTGCTTGCTCATCGTCTGCGACAACGGACTGATTGAGACTCTCATACCCTGATTCTGTGTCGCTGCTGGAGCTATTTTCCTTCTTTTTCTTGAGGCCGAGAGCGCGCTTGAGTTTGCTGCCCGTGCCCTCCTTGACGTCCCCGCCGTCGTTAGCAGCGGGCTTGACTTGGAGGAGGACCTTTTCCTTGCCAGAGGCGGCTTTGCGGCGGAGGGCCTTGGCATAGATCTCGCCCACTATAATGGCACGAACGCGGATGCAAATCTTGCGACCAATCCACAAGGCCATTCCGTCACCCCAAGATCGGACCATGTCGAGCACGGGCAGGCCAATAACGTAGAGCCAGAGTACGTTGATGGGTGCGCGGTCAGACGACTCGACGTATCGCAAGATTGCTTTGAGGAGGAGAGTCGGGGCGAAGGTGAAGATGCCTGATATGACGGCCATGCCACACTGGACTAACAGGTCCCTCTTGAAGTACCTGAGGAGATGGAAGGCCAGCGAGCTGGTCCTCTTCATCTGGCGATAGTCGGCCAGGACATCGGCAGCCTTGTCTTTGGGCAGCAGATTCCAGACGTGCTCGAGCTCCATTGGCTGTTTCCAGCCCTTGTAGATGATAGAATCAACCCAGCCAAAGGTGGCCACCGAGAAGAGACTGGCCAGGGGCTCACGGGAGGGCTCGATGCCATCCTCCCACTCTAGCACCACTGTCTTGTTGCCTTTGCGGGTGGACACCGCCATGCCAAACAGAAGCGAGATAATCGCAAATTCGACAATGACAAGGACCTGGGCCGTTTTGGAGGTCGGGCGAATGAGCACAGAGCGGAAGACGAAGACCATGAAGAGCCAGTTGAAGCCGTAAATGGTCGCAGTGTGGTTCCATAGGTGCGGGATGCACCACTTGGAGTTCCCTAGAAGCAGGCGCAGGGTGGTCAGGATGAGTGCGTAAATCCAGACAATCAGCCCAGCGATGGCCGTGAGTTGGCCATGCGAGGTTGTGTACGTCCCGCTGCTGAGTGCTACGGCATTGGTAGCAACGAGACCGACCACGCCCAGCTCTTCAACCAATTGCCAGAGGTATTGTCCTGTGGGTGTATCCTCCTTGATGATGGAACCCTTGGTTGTAGTTTTTGTGAGCGACAGTCGACCGGCGTTGATCTCGAGAGCTTCCTCTTCCTCAACCTCGGCCTCCTCGTCAGGTGGTAGTTCGGTGTGATCGTGTGCGGCGTGTTCGTCAGTGGCAAGGCGGCTGTAGGCTTGCGTCTTTCGCTGCCCGTATACGGACTGGGCATTGCGCCAGAGAATGTGCGTGAAGGACAGGGCGACTACCAGTAAAGGTAAGATGATCTTTAAATAGCTGAGATGCGATTAGCCACGGCGCGGCTTCGGTACGGGGGCGAAGGGGACGACAAACTCTTGTTGGAAGCAGACGGTAAAGTCGTCGACCAGCCATATAGGCCCGGTGCACTGCGCAAAGCCCATTGCGAAGGCGGTTGGTCTGTGGCTTTGCGTGCCCGGATGTTACGACGCACTGACGGAATCCAGATCGTCCACTTGCAGATACACTCTCTTGTCGAGAAGAGCATGCGCGTGACACCCAGCAGCTGCAGACAGGGTTCGTGCGTGAGGACAGAAATCGAGGCGAGAATATTGCCAGGGAAAGAACGAAATTGATGAGGCGAGCTAGCTCTCCCAGGGTAAGAAAGGGCAAGGGAGTACTTTCGCCTTCCTGCCCGTCGCTGGCGCGGAACGGCTGGCGACGTGACGGAGGGGCACTCGAGACGAGACGTCAGGCAATGTAGCTTGTCCCCAATCAGCGCGTAATTGGAGAAGCAGGCTGATCGCTTCGGCAGTCCTTGTCACTGCGTACTACTACCGTTGTACTTGCGTACCACAGATCACGAGAGATTGACACGCTGAACGAGCTTCAACACCGCAGCAGCCGTTTGCAAGTGGTATACAGGAAGGAAGACAGGAAGGGGTCGAGGGAGTCAAGTTCAGATAACCGAAGGAAAAGTCGATGGCTGCGATCCGCGTGACGCTGGCCAAGGGTAAATAATCTGCAGAGAATGCGGGACCACGCTTTTCACGCGCAAAAGTGACCGGACTTCGATGGACTCGACTCCACACGTTACCCACTTGCACTGCACCTTTTTTATTTCTCCCTCCCAGTCCCCAGTCATCGTCATCCGCCCTGGTGGGACACGCGAAACGAAACGAGGGCGACTGATTAATATTTCAAGTCGTTCAGCGTGGCAGAACCGGCAGCTTGACGGCTGTTCTTTGCGGTCGGTACGCCAGACCAATGTGAATATGGGCATCTTATCTGATCATGCTGTTACAAAGTGCCTCACCCATACCCGAGGTACTTCGCACTTGAGTCTGGTGGAATGAATGGCTGGTCAGGCAGTTCCTGCCTCAACTTGGATAAGACTCCTCTTGTGATTGGATGCTATGCTATGCTGTCTGACTCTACATATGTCGCCTATTGCCAGTGAGAGTGAGTCAGGAGTAGGACATGCTGATAATAAGTTGCCTCGCTTCTCGCTGTACTTGAATTGTGATTAACAGATAGCATGTCGAACTGCGCATGAACTACATGAATTGGCAGCAGCTGTAGAGCCGGGCGAGACTCAATGGCTCGTCTGGCACCAATTGAATTCGGTACTGCTGCTAGTACTGCCCTGCCCAGGCTTGCCCTTGCGGCCTTACACCTCAAAGATTGCTGGTTGACACATTGCCGGCTGACGCTTCGCCGATACTCAAAAGGATACCGTATCAAAGGGACCGTGCATAGTCAACGGCTCCATGTCCCGGTGGATGTTCACTAGTCTAGCGGCCCCCTCTGCACATGCAGGTCCTGCTGTTGCAGCATGCAGGTAAGCGAGCGAGGGCCAGCAAGGGCCAGCGATGGACTGGAACTCGCGGCTCGACAGTTGGGACGACGGATTGACTTTATTTATAATACCACTTAATCATGCGCAACAGCGTTTACTCGATTCAACATTCAGCTCTCGGAAACGCGAGACGCAGACGCAGCATTCTGTATTCACGTTTCCTCCGCCGTGTAGCACAAATTTACAGCATGTACCTACAAGTATCACGGAATGCTGAGTAGCTCCCCGAGACTGGTATCTCGTAGGATCCTGTCGCCGTTGACTCACTCACCGCTCCTCAACACGCACCAGGGACTTCTGCGCACTATTATCTCCGGTTTGCCGTCGTAAGCCTATCTTTCGACACGCTGTTTTCCCCGCGGTATTGTGCAACCCCAGGAGAATGGATGCACGGGCTCCATCAGGTCGCATATTACTGGGAGAAAAAAGCCTCCCAGAGAAAGCGAGGCCATTTCAAATCCATCGTGGGCTTGCATGAACACCTGCTAGACGCGTCTGAACTTCCCCAACTTTGTATACAAGGGTTAGCAATGGACGGAGAGAGCTTTTATTTGTCATGCCTGGACTAACAAAACACTTTTACACGACTTTGAGACTCTTCAATCGGCTTTGCGCTGGACAAAGTCTGCAGCCCATTCCACCCACGACTCCAATGAAATGATGCAAGCAATTACGGCCAATCGGTCCCTTGTGTGTACCGTCCTGACTCCTCATCTTCTTGCATATTCTACACGGCAGCCTCTCAGCTGCCTCGAACCCAACTGAGGCCAGCGAAGGCCTTTAGCCCATGATCATGCCCTTCATACCGGACAGATCCCCCTCCTTGGCAGCGATCTCGAAGTAGCCATAGATGATGCTAGTGTGCGTTAGTAAGTGGAAACTGAACTGGACGACTGCTGAACTTACGTGACAGCGAGGAGAGTACCGGTGCCGGAGCCCAGAGCACCCATGAGATCACTGGCGACGGAGAGCGCACCAATGCAAGCGCCGCCAAAGGCAGCAGCAGTGGGGATTACACGCTTGAGCTCCTTGTACATGCTCTGCTCGCGGTGGCCGGCCATGACGAGACCCTGGTCCTTGAGCTGCTTGGCAACGTCGCGAGGGCTGGAGCCAGACACCTCAATCCAGGTCTTGGAGAAGAGAGCGCAGGCACCGAGCATGTAGACAATGTAGACGGTCGTGTGGATGGGGTCGAGCAGTGCCTCGCGGAAGTTGACGGGGGGCGACATGTAATAGACGAGACCGGAGACGGCGTGAAGCTGCGAGGAGCCCTCCTTGGCCTCCCAGACACCGCAGAGACGAACCAAGAGGTTGTCGGAGAAGCGCGAGTACATCATCTGCGAGATGAGGAAGATGTTGGAGGACAGAGCCGACTGCAGCATGATGGGCATGTTCGAGGTGTAGAACAGGCGCACGGGGTAAGAGCCGCGGGCACCGCGCTGGCGCGAGGACTTGACGGGAATCTCGACGCGGAAGCCCTGCAGGTAGATGACGGCGGCGAAGACGAGCACGGTGGCGAGCAGGTTCATAATGTTGGGAAGGTTCTGGCGGTAGAAGGCCTCCTGGAGAGCGCGCTGCTTGTTGTCCCAGGTCATGAGCAGGTGGAACAGAGCAATGACGGCACCCTCGAACTCGGGGCCACGACCAGTGTTGATGGTGGTGGGCGAGAACGCCTTCCAGACGATCGACTCGCAGATGTTGGTGGCAATGAACAGCGAGATGCCGCTGCCAAGACCGTAGCCCTTCTGGAGGAGCTCGTCGAGCAGAATAACAATCATGCCGGCCACGACGAGCTGGAGAATGAGCAGGAAGACGATACCAGCACCGAGATCGGAGGGAGGACCGTAGAGACCGGTGAAGACGTAGACGGTGGCGGTACCGGCAGAGAGAATAAAGGCAAAGAGCTTCTGAGCAGTCTGGTACAGCTCGCGGTCGGACTTGAGGTCAAGGTTGACGTCGATCATGTGGGTGCCGGCAAGCAGCTGGAAGACCATGCCAGAAGAGATGATGGGCGTGATGCCCAGCTCCATCAGGGTACCCCTGTTACTGGCGATGACCATGCGCAGCCAATACAGTGGATCGGAGTTGTCGGACGATACGATGCCGTAGAGGGGCATCTGGCTCATGACCAAGAAGATCAGGAGGGTGAGGCCAGTCCACATGAGCTTCTGCTCGAACTTGGGCTTGTTCTCGGGTTGCTGAACCTCGGGGAGGAACGGCACGAATGGCTTGACCAAGTCAAGGAATCGTACTGGAGAAGCAAACGCGCATGTCAGCAATCTGTACTCAAGTCTTGCTGCATCAAATGGGGGCGTTCCACTTCGGTGTCTCCTCGATGGCAAGCTGTGCATGCTGGCGCCACCACCAAGGGCCCCTTCTGTCGCGCCATGCGGAGAGGGATGAACTCACGGGAAGACATGACGGGCAATTTGTGTCGCAAGCAATAACAAAGAAGACGGGGCCGGTCAGAAGAGAAAGAAGATGAAGAGGCCGAGCTTCAATGGTGCGAAGCTCGTTGTTGGCGGCGAAGGGGAGTGGGAGGGATTGGGGTCGTCGGGTGGTTAAAGGAGGGCAGAGGCGAAGGCGATCTGGCTTCAATGGTCGAGGTCCAGTGCCTGGAAGCACCTGGTTGGCTCGCAAACCCCCAAGGCAGATGTGTCCAGAAATTTGGTGGAGACGGCACGTGACCTCATCAGGGAGGAGGAGAGGGAGACCCCTAATTAGCACCAAACACCGCTGGATTTTTTCCCGTGACAGACGGAGTCAGGACTCGAACCCCGAATGTGGGGAAGCTTTGGGTGTCAATTTTTGGAGACATCATCGCCCGTCATCTGGCCGAGCTTCAAGACAGCTTGTCAGTCGCAATGTGACGGTCCTTCCATGTTCGTCCGTCCCGGCCTGAGTCACCTTGCCCGACGCCATGCTACGACAATGGCCACCTGTCCAAAACTACCGGCTCAACCGCTGCTGGTCATCCTCGGCTCAACAGGGACTGGCAAGTCCGAGGTATGAGGACCACTGCTATCGCAAGGAGCAGCCGTCGCTGATACCTTACAGCTAGCCGTTGAGCTTGCGAAACGATTCCGAGGCGAGGTCATCAACGCCGACGCGATGCAAATGTACAATGGCCTTCCCATCATGACCAACAAGATGAGCGTGGCTGAGCAACAGGGTATCCCGCACCACCTTCTTGGAAACATTGCGCCAACGGAGGAATCCTGGACTATCGACGGGTTTCAAAAGGAGGTCTCCAAAATTCTAGGGGAGATTCGCGACAGAGGTAACTTGCCTATCGTGGTCGGTGGCACGGCGTACTATGTCGACGCGCTACTCTTCGACAATACGACACTACACGAGGATGTTCCCCACACAGACGAGATCCTGCCCATCCTCGAAGAACCCACCGAGGTGCTCCTTGCCGAGTTGCAAAAGGTGGACCCTGTCATGGCGGAGCGCTGGCACCCCAACGACCGACGGAAGATCTTACGGTCTCTGGAGATTTATCTGCGGACAGGCAGGCCCGCATCCGAGCTTTATGCGGAGCAGAAGCGGAAGCGCAGCGCCAGCCGGGACTCGCCGTGGGAGAACTTGTTATTCTGGGTTTACTCGGAAGGAGACGTGCTCAAGGAGAGGCTGGACAGACGGGTAGACAAGATGCTTGATGCCGGGTTGATTGATGAAGCTCGCCAGTTGCTTCATCTCAAGCGAGAGGAAGAAGCTGCCGGCAGGCCGGTGGACCAGACGAGGGGCATTTGGCAGGTACTCGGGTACAAACAGCTCGAGCCATACTTGCTCGCTCTCGAAGGAGACACCGATCCTGGCGAGCTGGAAAAGATCAAGGCGAGTGGTATCGAGGATTTGAAAGCTGGGACGCGGCGCTACGCCAACTATCAAAACAAATGGACGCGCCGCAAGAAGCTGCCTCACCTCAAGGAAGAAGGGCCGGAAGCCCTAAACAGCCTGTACCTTCTCGACAGCACCACGGTTGCAAAGTTTTGGGAGGACGTGGTCGAGCCTGCGAGTAGGCTGACGGCGCAGTTCCTGGAGGGCGAGGCGCGCGAGTTGCCCGTCAACCTGTCCGACCTAGCGCGTGAGATCCTCACAGCGGCCCATGCTAGCGAGCCAGACGTGCATCGCAGACAACACTGCGAGATTTGCAACCTGACAATCGGCTCAGAGAAGCAATGGGCACTTCACCTGCACAGTCGCCAACACAGGGCGCGACTCAAGAAGAAAAAGGGGCTGGCGTTGGTTCCTGTGGGCGGAAGTCGGCCTGACTCGGAGTCTTCTGAGCCTGAGATTGCTTCCATGTTTGGTAGCACTACACAAGCTATATGAGAGGCCCCTTGCGCCATGCCATCGTCTCAACATGTGTATCTGCTCATGGTTCAGGTATGGACCAGCCCACGCAGTTGATTGCCAGCTACCCTAGAGTCAACACCTTTCGGTGGCCGACACCGTTGGGACTTGGCCGCTGTCCAATACAGGAACAGGAACTATTCGCATTGGGCATGTAGTCTTGTTGTTTACTGGCTCTTGAGGCTTTTCTTTTGTGATTATTTGCCTATCGGACTTGTCGAATGCAAAGCGATTCGCAAATTGCGTAAAAGACAATCTCTCTGACCACCGCACCGAGTTCCCCAGCGAATCCGACAGAATCACACAGTAGAATGTTTCTGTACGCGAATACAAGCGGAATCACAGGCCAAAGCAGGTACGTGGCACGCGCTATTACAAACATGTCAGTGCGTATGCGGCCATTCACCACCCTCACGTGCTCAGTTGCACCCATGGCAGTAAGACGCAGGCGGGTCAGAGCTGCAGCAAGCGAGGAAAGCGACAAGTCCTCCCTGTCCCCGAATCACAGCGGGTTGCTCGACAACTCGAATCCATCCCTTCCAGCATCACGGCGGCAGGATCCGGGATGGACATTCTGTCACAGGGACGGTTCGAGTCCCGCCCAGCCCGCCTGGCTGCGGTGTCAGCAATACCTTCAGCGATATTGCACAGTCATCAAGGATTCGCAGTGGTCCTTATGTTGCCGAACAAGTCGCCGGTATATTGTCGAGCTATCGTGGGGGCTCGTGGAACGCTCTCGCAGCCCATCATCATGTACAAGTAGCATACCGTAGTCCGCATACGTATACGTACGTAGTAGCAATTGTTACGCGGAGTACAGATCCGGCCGAATTCCAGTGGAGTTGCGGACTTGACTGTTATGAACGCCGGGCTCTGGCGTCATTGACCGTAATCGCGGCGGACAGCATGTCGGTCAATGAGTGAATGGAAAACTGCAAACGCGAGGATCCGCGAAGGGCTGGATCATTACTGCGTTCGGGGCAGTCTTGTGCCGGTGCAGGGTCTTTCTTGGTCGTGTTGCCAGCTGCGCTGCTGTTGCGCGCAGTGACTCATATGCTGGTCTTTGGAAGAGTTCAGCCCCTGGCATAATACGGGAGAAGACGGCGGCCAGCTTTGCCGTTGTGAATTGTGCATGCGATCCACTTGGCTGGGCGTGAGCATCTGACCTTTCAAGACATGTTCTCGGGCTCGTCATCGTCAATCGTGGAGTAATGAGGCACGTACCCGGAGGACTCCCCCACGGGTCGATCAATTTCCCTTTTACCACACTATCCGTAGTCTGGTTATGACTCTCGCTGTGAATGAATGAATAAGAAAGAGAACCTCCTCTGATTTTTCAGATAGCGCACGCAACACGAGTGAACGACTGGACACTCACTAGCTGTCCCTTCAAGCTGGTGCCCCCTCTGCTTACACCCGCTGCACAGCCTCAAAACTCCGACCCAGGTCCTCCTGTTGATGGATAAGTGCTGGTCGTCGGCCTTTTGCATGCTCCAAGCAACAATACATATGTACAATCCGCCTGTCTGTCACCAGGCACCTCAACTCACCGGAATTCCAAACGCTGACGCCTGCCAGGCACCAGACACTAGAACTGAGCAACGAGCCTCGCGCATCTACCTTGAGTCGTTAATTTCCCCTTGGCGGAGACTTTTCGTGTATAAGAAGAAATCTGAAGTCGTCGAATCCCGTCTTCCCCGTATTCGGGTTACCATCACGCTCGCCTGCCCGCGGAGTGCGGACAGCACTGAGTGAGGATTATTGCCGGCTCCACCGCGGACCACCTGGCACCACCACCACCACCACCAACAACGTCCGCCGGAATTGGCCCTGTTCCTCCCTCCAAGGTGCGTGCATTGTCACCCTCGCACTATCGCTCGGACTCAACTGATCACTCATAGAAGATTTTTGCGAATCTGGAATTGACAGTACTGAGGCCAAGGAGGCACTGAACACGCTTGCGGCTCATCAGTGCGACCACGTGCTACTCAACTCCGACCCCACACAACGTCACAGCCCTGGCTTCAACCCGTCGTCTGGCACGCCTCCAAGCACAGAGGAGGCTCTCTGACAGTGTGCCATAGTACGGCCCATGAACTTGTTTCTCACACTGCCTCAAGACAGGACTGTGCGACAGCATGTCCGCAAATCCGAACCTGCCGCCTCCAGGGCCTAGGCAACCTCGCGTCCTCGCCTGTGTCTTGTGTCAGCATCGCAAGATAAAATGTGATCGCAACACCCCTTGCTCCAACTGCGTCAAGGTGAGCTCTCAGAAGGAAACAAAGCCACTGTTTATGATGCTCAACATTGCGTTTCGTTACAGGCCAATGTGACATGTACGCCAAGCACTCCAGCACCGGCGCGCAAGCGTCGACGACCTAATCAAGACCTCCAAGAGCGGCTCGCGCGTTGCGAGGCTTTGCTGAAGCAGTATGCTGGCGCTGGACCCCCCCCAGCGGCCGCGTCGGCTTCCCAGTCGCCAACGACGCCGTTCAAAGACATGGCAGACTCGCCTGAGCCGTGGAACTCACATCTCTCCGATTTTGAAAAGGTCCCTACTACCGGCAAGATGATCCAGTCCGAGAGTGGCTCTCGCTTCTATGAAAGCCAACTCTGGACGAAATTCCACGAAGAGGTATGTAGTTCGATTACCCCTTGCCTGCGCGCTGTTCACTCACACCCCCGCCCCCCCCCAGTTGCAAGCGATGAGACACATTGTCGACACGGAGGATCCAGAGGAATCAAGTGTCCTCGGGACAGAAGGAATGACGCCAGAGAAAAACGGCGACCTCCTCATCCCGGGCGATCGCTCGTCTCAAAGCGGGGAGCCACAGCATCCAGATCCCGTCCAGACGTTCAGGTTATGGCAGATTTTCCTGGACCGCGTCAACCCCCTGACCAAGATCATCCACGTACCGACGCTGCAGCCTTACATCGTCGAGGCGACCACTGACCCGTCTAACGTCCCCCTGCACTACCAGGCACTCCTTTTCGCGGTGTATCTGATGGCCACTCTATCCCTCAGCGAAGCGGAATGCCATCAGCTGCTGGGCTCATCACAAGCGCTGGCATTACAGAGATTCTCCTCGGCGACGCGGACCGCGTTGCTGCGCTTCGACTATCTGCGCAACTACGACATGGCTGCTCTGCAGGCATTGGTTCTGTTCATGGTATGTGTGCGCATTCTTGGTCGGACTGACACGAGGCTGACTGGCTGGGAAGATTTTTCTGCAAGGACGCTATGACCGCCACGCGGCATGGGTGATCAGCGGCACGATTGTCAGGATCGCACAGAAAATGGGGTATCATCGAGACGGCGAGCTGCTGAAGCTGACCCCCTTTGAGACGGAGATGCGCAGGCGCATCTGGTGGCAGATCCTGATGCAGGACACCAAGCTGGCCATCACCTCCGGGCTGAGCCACAGTAGCGTGCAGGACAATTTCGACACCAAACAACCGCAGAACCTGAACGACGCCGATCTGTACCCGGGGTCCTCCGAGCCTGTCCATTCGCGCGAGGGGCCGACGGAGATGGCGTTCATACTCGTCATGAACCGGCTGTCCGTATTCATGATCTCCGACAGCAATCGCGCGGGATTCGAGTCGGCCGTGCTCTGCGAAGGCGCCAACGAGGATGGCAGTGCTAGCTTTGATCCCGCATTGCTCGAAAAGTATAGAGGCGTCGCGAGAGAACTGGACGCCGACTTGCGTGAGATTGAGCGGCGCTACATTGACGAGTCGGCAGGCGCAGCCCATGCCGCGGCGTTGAATGTTCGATCCATGCTCGTGGAGAAGCTGCATGAGATGCTCCGCCCCATGTGCGAGCAGCCAGAATGGGGGACGGAGATCTTCAGCCCCAAGGACAACCTCTTCAAGACGGTACTGATCAACAATGAGCACAACACGGAAATGTACGAGCGGATGGCTGGGTACGGCTTTCTGTGGTTTGTCAAGATGCACTTTCAGCTCGACGTCTTTGCAGTCCTGGCCGGTCAGCTCTGCCGGCGTCCGACGGGGGCGCTGTCTGACCGCGGTTGGACTGTCGTGGAGAAGCACTACAAGTGGCTGCCAGAGCTCTTTGACCTGTCGCAGAAAGCGCACGCGTCTCAGGCCCAGTTCACGCTCAAAGCCTGGAAAGCGCGCGAGAAAGCGTTTGCGCAACTCGGGCAGCTCCTCCCGACGCCAGCGTACATTGAGCGTCTGCGTGAATGTATATCGACGCCCGACCGCTCCTCTACGGCGACGTCTGCGACACCACCGGCCTCCTCTATGCAGGGCCAGCAGCCCATGGGCGACGTCGACAACAGTTTCCTGGGCGGCTACATGGATATCCCGGCCATGTCCTGGGACATGTGGGGAGACTCGTACTCGACGGCTTCGCTGGGCAATCCGAACCAGCCGCTGTCGGCGGCGTTCTTTGGCACATACGGTATGAACTAGATGGGCAACCCCAGTGGGCGATATGCATTGAGGAATTGCTCCGTAATGATCATGGCCATTGAGAGGGACACAATCTGAAAGGCCGTGCAACTGTATTCACAAGACACACGAGACTCCCCTCACGGATAGAAAGGATAGGACAGGACAGGAATCGGGCTGGAAAGGGCCTCCCCAACTCCTTGATGGGCCTTCAGTTGGCATGTACGAGTACGGTAGTTACGGACTGGACATCCCCCCCTCCCCCAGGTGGTATTCTGTGTACGAATAATATACCACGCATCTTGCAATGTAGATCTCAAAATGAAACGACACGTAGATGGACGACTAGGTGCCGAGATTAACGACGGATCGCTTCCCTCTCCAAACATCCGTGAGCCCAAGGGCTTGCCAGAATACCATCTCCCATCTGTCGCGCGAGACGACAATAGTAGACAGCGGCTCTGGCGGATGTTCGTGACTATCTGAGGGAGGAAAGAAGAGAAGAGGAAAGGAAGAGACCCGAAATTGAGACGCTAATTCAAATCTGCCAGACTCGGATGACTCAGCACAACAGATCACGTGTATTTCGGCGATGATGAATTCGCCGTCGGCCATTGGTCCGATCCCTGCCGAGGAACCGATTTCGACTCGTCCCGAGCTTGGACTGCCGCCGTTTGATCATTGACGGCATTTCCCAGTGTTGCTCGCTTGATGCTGAAGAACGACCGACGACAGCCTCATTGACTCTCGATCTCGACGCAAAGATGCTCGCCTCAAGAGTCGGCGTTGCCGCCACGCGCAGTAAGTCCTCGACCCATCCGTCTCCGTCTTGTCCTTTGGCTCTAACGGTGACATTAGGCGCGGCCAAGCCATTCATGGCGCAGAACCTCCCCAAGCTGGCGCTCGCAGCTCGCGTGCCCGCCACGCAGTATCGGTAGGGAGAATTGCCTGCGTGGAGGTAGACCAAGGACTCTTTGCTTACGCACTCGATAGCCCCATTGCGACCGTCAAGCAGACGCCCGCCGAAGGTAACGACATCCTCGCCAAGCAGCGCCTCAACCGCCCCGTCTCCCCCCATCTCGGCATCTACAAGATGAATCAGACCTGGTTCGGCAGCTCCGCGTGGACGCGCATCACCGGCTGCACCCTCTCCGGCGTCGCCTACCTCTACTTTGGCTCCTACCTCGTCGCGCCCCTCTTTGGCTGGCACCTCGAGACCGCGAGCCTGGCCGCTGCTTTCGCCGGCATGCCCATGATCGTCAACGGCGGCATCAAGTTCCTACTGGGCTTCCCCTTTGCCATGCACTTCTTCAACGGCGTCAAGCACCTCGTCCTCGACACCGGTCGCGGCTACGCCAAGTCGTCGCTCGTCAGGACCGAGACGGCGGCGTGGGGTTTTGGTATCCTCGGTGGTTTGTTCCTTGCGTTCGGTCTGTAAAGCGTTGTAAGGATAAAGATCAAGGGACGGTCCGTCAGTCAAGGTGTAGAAATATCAGCCTGAACAAGGCACGGGAGTATTGTTCACTTTTGTCTAAAAATGCCACCAAAAAAGAAAAAAGGAAAAAAAATAAAATAAGAATGCCAGCAGCTACCATTCTGGTCTGTGCCTGATTGATTCCATATCCGCCCTCCCGAACGCCATGCGCCAATCGCCTGTATTTTGCCCAAAGACTGTCCCCTTCACCCCAAGTTCCGCGCGTCCAAGACCGCCTCTATCAGCTGCTGGTTTCCTGACGCCGCAATCTTTTCGCCCACAATGCTGCCGATCCAGTCCTTGAGGGCCGCTGTGTCCGCCTCACTCGCGGCACCGTTACTCACGGCGCCCACGAGACCCTCGCCACTGGGCGCAATGGAGCTGACGGCCTGCACGATGCCCTGCACGAGCATCTGGTAGTTGATGTCCGACTCGAACGACTGGCGCAGGGGGCTCAGGATGTGCTCATCGAACGGCTTCAAGTTGCGTAGCACGAGCACGCGGACGGCTTCCGCGCCGCCCGCCTCGAACAGACCCTGGATGGCCCCGTAGAGCACCGCGGGCGGCTTGGTAGGGTCTAGGAAGTACTTCAGACAGGTGCGGGTGAGTTTGGGCCGCAGGCCATTATTCGAGGCGGCGTACTTGCGCGCAATGCGCCCCACCAGTGACGCTGCCAACTGCCGCAGGTCGTACTGCTCCTTGAGTGCGGCGGTGCTGTCGTCCATGCCGAGCTTGCGGGCCATGAGACAGGTCAGGACCGGCGCAGACAGAGGGCTGGCGTACGGGTCGAGGAATAGGGTCTTGTTCTCGATGAGAGCGTTTGTGAGTGCCATCATCTGCTTCAAGACAAACGTGTCGTCCAAGTTATGCGTGACACGGTCCATGATGTAGTTGATGAAGTAAGGCACGAGCTGGTGCAAGCCCGGGTCGTCCCTCACCGAGCCCAGTGCAGCCTGTCGTAGACGGACCACCTCCTCGTCCGGACTGTCGTCCAGGATGGCGGCCTGGATCTTTTCAAAGTAGAGAACGAGCTCCTTGCTCACGATATGCTTGACAGAGGGCTTCATCGAGGGGTTGTCGTTGCCGGCGAGGGCGGCGAGCGCTGGGTTCGCGCCAGGTCCCTTGGGCAGCAGCTCCTGGGACCGCGACTCGGCCGTGGTGGGATTCTGCGGTATCGACGGCTGCACGCCCTCAATCGCGAGCCAATGCGCCGTCAGGCTCATGTCGCGGGGCACCTTGGGCAGTGGCGCGTTGATGAGCTTCTCGAAATCGACCTCTTCGTCTTCAATGTAGAACAGCGGCTGGCCGGGGCCAAGGCTCGCCTCGCCAAAGCGCAGCGGTCGGGTCGAGTCGTACCCGTACAGTGGCTCGGCGTCGAGGACCTTGAGCGCGAGGGAGATGTCGTTGACTGTCATTGTCGTGCGGCGGGAGGCGCGCATGAGGCGCAGGGCCTCGATGATGACCTGGCCGATTCGGTATTCGACGTCTTGCGTGAGCGCCTTGAGCGCCTCCTCGGACAGGGCCCCGATGCCCACGGATTCGGCGACGTCTTTGACATTCTCCGCGTTCCAGAGGAGCTTTGGCTCCGCGTTGGGCCCAGAGCTCGCCATGACTGCGGCTGTTGTGTGATTTGGCTGAAAATGCGAGGTGCGCGTGATGGCGAATGGTGTAGATCCGAAGATCGCGAAGCGCCCCAACGCTAGAGTGGGGCCCAAAGGTTAAGGTACCTCTCGAGGTTGGAGTCGTGAATCGGAGCGCGTGCCACCAGCAACGATCGGCCGACTTGTGCTCTCTTCATCCAACATCGCTTCACAGCATTTGCTTATCTCTATCAGATAATCGCATTGTATTCTAATAGCCGCAAGGAAACGCCTTGCATGCCAACCTGAATCAAGATGTAGTCATAGATACGAACCTCGCTAGCTGCTTGGGCGTCTTGACTCTTCGCCGTACCAAAATACATGCCCCTGGCAAGACTGTCTGAAGAACAAGTTTCCCTGATCACGTGTGCCGAATACCCATGGACAGCAGTTGCACTCCATACCTCAGCATGTGCCCAGGCCGGCATCACCTCGTCCTGCTATCCTTCTTCTTCCCAGTCTTCCTCCCCGAAGCAACCCTGCGATTTACCTCTGGAATCTGATAACCCTGCTCCCTCTCGAGCCTGTGACGCTCCCAAAAGTCACTTGCTTCATTCTTCAAGCCTCGTCGTCCGTCCTCCTTGCCCCTGCCCCCCTTGTTCTTCTTCCTTTGCGCCTCGTATTGCCGCTGTCTGTAGGCTTCGACCACAGGGCCAAGCGTGTGGTCATGCGCCGCCCGAAGCCAGTAGTAGACCCAGGACTGGATCGCCTGTATGACCTTTCGGGTATGCGTGCTGAAGGCCGTCATGAAACTGACAAGAATGAGGACAAAGCTCGCTGGCAGTGACACGTACCCGATAAACCCAAGCGTGGGCGTCTCGGCCTCCCATTCACGGGTGTTCATACCGAACAAGCCCGTGAAGAAGGTGAGTGGCAAAAAGATGACGGTAAACACGGTGAAGATCATGACACTCCGGCTCTGGGCACTGGCAAGATCGGCGTGGAGACGGCTGAGTCGGACTTCGTCGACCTGGGCCTGTCGCTGCACCATCTGGAGGAGCTTGTCGTAGTCGTCTCGGGTGGCGCGGACACGCACAATCATCTCGTCCGCTCGGTGGCGGTACTCTCCGACCCTGCGGATGGCTTCTGCGATGAAGCCCCGCCCGCGCGCTGTCTTGTCTCTAAGCGCTGGGCTATCGTATGCGGTCAGCATGCTGGAAAGGACGGCATATTGGCGGTCGAAAAGTTGGAGCAAGACGAGCAGCTCGTCCTCGAGATCGCGAAGCTCGAGGAGTGCCGAGGTGTTGTCGCGGTTCTCACGCTCAGCGCGGTGGCCTTCTTCCTTGTGGCGAGCGCGGATCGACCGCTCCTTGTTCTCGACGGGCTCGTATGCCGAGGCCTTGTCCCTGAATCCCTCCAGGCGGAATGCCTTCAAGGAGTTTGTCAATTTCTCTGTCTGAGAAGGTCATCAGTGATACGAGTTGGCCATCAGCGCGCAAGTACCTACCAAGACACTGATAGCTTCCTCAAAGATGCGGAATATTTCAAGATCGGGGTGCGAAGCGCGGTCAAGAAGCACGCTGACCGCGTGGAGTGCCGAGAGCGCAGCAAGGTCCAGCGCATTCTCACACTGTCTGGTCAAGTCAACGTTCACTTCGTTGAAGATACTATCGCGCAGGTCTGCCTGTTGGTACAGGGGTCCCTCGATAGGGTCGCTTTCCCGCTTCGGGAAGAATGACAGGAGTGTATCTGCGTTCGCCGGTCAGTGAATGAAACAACGCAAGCAAGCCAATACCTACGAGAGTGCATGACCCAGAGCCACAGCTGATCAACCATGAGCACGTTACCGTTGCGAATCAAGTTATCTTCCGGCTCCTGCTCGGCTTGTAGATCGTCTAAGCCTGCTAGCCTCTCGCGCCAGCTACGATGACTTCCATACGAAGCCGACCGGCTATTCAGTGACTGAGCATACAGATCCCTCTGGTGCTCGCCATAGCGGTTCTCTCTCTCTTTCGTCAGCTTATAAAGCATCTGGTCGTCATCTCGCCCACGCGTGTCCCTGAGAGAAGGGTACCCAAACTGATCGAGCGTTCGACGACAATTGATGGGCGGATCATGTCCCAGAAACTCCCACACCACTTGCTCCTCCAGGGAATCCAATTTAGCGACACTATCCGGCACAGGACGCGCGCGACCTCTGGTCAAGCGTTGCAGTATGAGGGATCTTCGATGAATAAGACGCTTATACGAGTCAAAGTGAAGATAGGGTAGGAACAGGCATAGCGAGATGGCGTCTTCCATGCTGGGAGAAGCCGGTAGAGGGGAAATCGATGGTCTCCTGGACGCTGTCCGTGTTAGTTCCTAGCTGGGGAGGAGTGAGAGCCTGAGTCTGAACTTACAGTTTCGAGGGGCTGTGTAATAGCAACCGGGCTTGGCAAAGTACGCATAATGCTGAGAGTGTCGACCCTTGGTGTGCTTTGAAGCCCAAAAGTCGTTACTGTACAGAGCGGAGTAATTCCTCTTGTACGAAACCTGGAGAGTCTCGATAATGTTCTACCAGCAAAAGTCAGCAAAGTTCAGATGAGAGAAGGCTTGGCCTACCTTGACCCAGGTCGGGTTATTATATGGCACATGGATCCAGACGAACTTGCGCTGGCTTACATCAGGCCTGGCAAAACAGATTGGAGCTTCTTCCGCTACAGCTGTTTCGGGCGGCTTTATTTGCCCCGAATTGACACCCTTGCGGAGTGCGACAACCGCCTCCGGCAGTTGGGGCGAGCAGTCAATGTCATTATTGTCGTCGGCAGCTGCATGGTCCGCTTCGTTCCCGACACTGCTTACACTCGCCGGTAAGAATGGTGGAAAGTCGCGGTATCCGCCGGGCGAGGACCGGTCACTTAGTGATCGGCCCATACTGCCCGCAGAGCGAGATCGTAACGGCGGAGACAGACGGTCTATGATCGCCTCCTGCTCGAGGTCTGCTCGGATGAGCGGTGATGGGCGCCTCACAGATGTTGACCGCCGAGACGCCGTGGGCACGCGATAGTTAGCCGCGGTGGGAGGTGGAGGTGACGACATGCGTCGAATCTGCTGATGCTGTTGGTGCGTGGGGATAATTTCAGGGGCTGATCCCGGTGACGAATCAACAGGGCGGAGAACGGGCGAGATTGGCGGCGTCGACGACTGAAGAAGTTGGTTCCTGATGCCCAGCCCTTCTCTGGCAGCAGCCTCTCTCCTGACCCGGTCATTCTCTGCCTCAGTCATAGTCATAGTCCGGCCTCTGTTTCGTAGGAACTGTCGTTCGTCAGGGACATCCGAAACTTCACTCAGCCTTTCGCGTAAACACTCCTCGGGACCCTTTCTAAGGAATTCCTGGAGGGGCAACTTTGTCGACCACGCGCGTATGACCGGATCATGGCCAATGGTCGCATCGTCGAAGAAACCATGGACCTCCACGCCAACTTTCTGTTCCAGATGGAGAGACCACTTTGCGCCACTGTTTTGGTCATCTCGTACGCTAGCGTCCGCTCGCCCTATGAGACCAGCGAGCTGTCTCAAGAAGAGCTTGAGAGTGTGCGCATTGTGTCGTCCAAACGAGGCCACATTTGCATGGTCGCTTTGCAGAGGGAAGATCCTTTCTTGTCGCATGCCCATGATCGCTGACTTGATGGAGGCTAGCGGTGCGGTGAAGTAAAGGTTGTCCTTCTTCTCCCTGTCCTCGTCGCCTCTTGCTCTGCTGCTGCTGAGCCTGGAGTCAATGGTCTCGTATAATGTCCACACCCTGAGGTCGTGGGCGATGTCTTTGAATGCTTCGTCAGCTCGGAGGAGTAGGGACTTGCCTGGACTCAAATCCATTGTGATAGACAGCGGCAAAGGCTGCTTGAGCTGGAGGAGATTTTGAATGCTGGGCGCGAGAGATGGCATCGAGAAGTAACTCGAGCCTTGATGGGGTGTTCCTTGCTAATGGTTAGTGACAATCCGTGGTTTCAATTCACGGAGGTGCCTCACCGAAGAATGCCACTCCGTAGCAATCTCTTAGTATGTCCTCAAACCGTTTGTCGCGACTCGCCTTCGCGAGAAGCATTTTCACCACGAGACCGCCCAGACTATGCGCGAGGAAGACGATGGGTCGCTGTCCATCGGAGCTCTCGTCTCTCGTTGCCCTTAAATCTTCCAGCAAAGCGTCTGCAAGGTCGCCTATTGTCGTCCCTTCCTCGAGAGTAGGGTGCTCATACAGCAGAATCCTCGCGACATTAGCCTCCCGACGGATTCCCTGCCTCACCCACGAGGCACCTTGCAGATTGCCACTCGCACCCTCAGCGTCGCGCATAGCTGGAGCACCAAAGTAGCGCCCGAGGAGGCCATCGCGATTCCAGCTGCGGAGAGCATCGCCTCCAGGGCATGGCACGGTGATGATGTCGACCGTGGTCTGGTCGTGAGTGCTATCGCCATCAGGATCCTTGATGAAACGTGTCTCTCGCGAATGCTGTCCCGATTCCTCAGAGAGCCCGGATGCCGACTTGTCTGTGGGTGGATCGTTTGTTTGGGCTTTTGTGATCGAAGATGGAGAGTCATTGCTTGGGGTTTGTTGTAAAGCGGACCCCGGCGCCTGCGCTGCCATCTTTTTGGCCTTTCCCATTTTCTGCATCATCGTTAAATCAAAGCCATGGAAATTACATACTCTCCGGCGCCTTTTGTACCAGTATACAGACAAAGGAGCCTGCTGAACGCCATCTTGTCAGTCAGGGCTGTCACGTTTATGCTCGCTCCACCAGCCCTGGCAGCCAAAGTCACACCCAGACTTGCAGCACATCACGATGTGTGTCTTCATAGGTTCCCCAGTGAAATTTGCCTAGTTGATGTTAATTTTCGGTCCTGTGACGTTCATTTTCCGGGGGAAGTGAGGTCAATAGTCGTGTCCGAAGACAGGTGACTGTTCATGGGGGGAAGAGTGAGACATCACGAGCCCATGGGCTCGCCTGCACGTGTTAGCTTCTTGAAATTGCCCACCACCGCTCGGCACGCACTGTTGGATTGGCTCCGAGCCGAAGGTCAGTCTATCCGGATGACTAGACAACATGAGTTAGTCACTGTATATATCTGCTTCATCACCAACTTCAACGTCGCCTCTGCTAGCAATGAGAACACGCGGTGGGGTCTCTTCCACCATCCCACCGCCATAAAAGTCTCGTCGCAGGGATCATCTGTGCTATGATCTTTATGACAGACGCTGATTGATTGCGGCGAATGGCCATGCCTTCTCATTATATGATCGCTGCTGTAAATGCTTGAAAGACAACGAAAATTGAGTTCCCCCATAAGAGCCGAAAACCGAAATGCTGGACTGTCTAATACAGCTCGCTTCTATGAGAACACCGACCCGAGACCCAGTGATATACATTCCTCGATAAAGTAGATTCAAAAGGCGAGCTGCGGCCAAAACCAACGGGAAGGGGAGCAAAACCCGAAGCTTAGAGCCCAGCCATGAAGGAATAATTAGAAATAGTATGGCACGACACGACAGCTTCAAAGTATCGATGGTTTCGAATCATACATCCTTTGCCGGGATGTACGACAAAAAGGCCGCCGTGTCCGAGGGTGAATGACTGGTCGCCGATTTTGCAGTCGATTTTGCCTGCAATAACCTCGCAGCTACGAATCTTGTGAAAATCTACGGGCCAGGAATGCGACTTGCCCGGGTGCAGACGCACTCGATTGAACCCAATGTCGTTGGCGATATCGACTGTATGCTCGCTTGTTGTATAAATGTTAGAATAGGCGATGCCTAGCAAGTGTATTAGTGATAGTACAGCGATGATTGAGGCACGACTTACCTAAAGGCTTGGTTGTGTTCTCAACGAGAAGCCTGCCTGGGGCTTCTTCCCAGTCATCCATCGTGTCGTCGAACATCTGGGGCGCAGGCAAAGATGGCAGTGGTAATGTGGGCTTCGACACCTCGTTTACACCCTCAGACCCCGACCTCGGAGATCGAGGCATTCCATCGCTCCCAGTCCCATCATAGCTCGATGATTTCCGATTCGCACGTCTCCGCGGTCTGATGCCAGCCTGTAGGCGGTCGAGGTTCCAGTCGCAAGGGTTACCCCGGCGCTGGAGATGAGCCCAGTACCGACATCCAACACACGTAGTGACCTTACTAAAGACCTCTTTGAGTTCTTTAGACATGAATGAGGGCAGCGCGATGCAGCTCGCTGACAACCGACACGTAGAGCGCTGCTTGTTTTTATCGGCTTGCAAACATTTGTCGGAACCTTGAACTTCGTCGCCCACAAGGTATGCAAGAGCGCAAGCGTATAAATTCACGTCGAGGTCCTTGCTCCCTGCGTGTTCGTCCAGCCATTGGCCAGGCAGCTCCCGCAAGGGCTTCAGCTGTAGCATATACGCAATGTCCTCTCTTTTAGGAACTGTATGTCCCTCGCGGAGGAAGCCGTGGAGGTATGCCAAGGCCTCTGATGATATCTCCGCAGGTACGGGGGCGACCACAGGTACTGGAGATGCACCCGGGGGCGTAAAGGACATGGCATCTTCGAGTTCGGGCTCTTTAGACCTTTCCAAATCTGACGTGTCCAGCCCACCGGTCCCGGTCCCGGTGCCAGTCGACAGCCGCGCCGCTCGTTGGATATTTGCGACGGACATTGTTGGCTCGGCTGGCGCAGGGGCTCCTGGAGGCAGCTCGTTTTGTGATATAATAACGGCCGGTCCTTTGGCGAAGTCTTCGAAATTGTAAAAACCGACTTCAGAGATTGTGCCACACTTGTTATCATTGAAGGCTCTGCGTCTGTGAGATTGGGCAAAATGACCCCCAAGTGCATGGATTGTATCAAGTCTCTTGCGACAAGTGTGGACAGGACATATGAATTTGGCCGTAGCTTCTGGCAATGTACGATAGCCAATTGGCAGCAACGCGCCGCAGCTAGACTCGGGCATTGCACTGTTATCCGCTGTTCCCCCCGGTATTAGCAGCATCCCGCAACGCAATGAGAAGGACCGCCTTACCATAGTAGTCAAGATAGCGCCGGTTGCCAGCCCACTCAATAACTTTGTAGGTCTCTCCATTTACAATGACCTCCACGGGCAAGTTCCGTCCTTTATCGTTCGGGTTGGTTGGTACCTTATTTGCAGCCCGCACCGCTTCATGATCCCGAGCAGACGTATACTTAAGAGGCGGATCACTCGTTGACCGGCGTCCGACAATACGGTCTCGTTTTTCTCTGATGGAAGCCATCTTATCAAGATGGTGCTGGGCTTCTGCGCTGACTTGGTCAGTCGGTGATTCTGTGGAAGCCGATTCGACATGTTGGCGCTTGGTCAATGGCCCATCCTGTGGCTCATCGAACTCCGGGGCTGGACGCTTAGCAGACGATGCATAAGTAGGTAGGGGTACTGGCGAAGGCACGGTCGGTTTACTAATACCGTTGCTTGCTATTGCTCCGCCGGCGACTGCTGCGATTAGTAACTTCCCTCAGGGGTAGAGGCCGATGTAAGATTACATACCTTCAGCCCCGATTTCACTGTCGCTGCGCTGTTCCCGTGGAGTGTGCGCTCCTAAGCTAGGACCGACCCTGGCATGTTCTCTGCCTTTCCCCTGCTCCCACTTCTTCTGCAGTTCCTGCAGCTTGGGTGAGTGAGACAGTCCGCTTGGTTTTGGGACCGCTGCTTTCGTGGCGCCCTGTGTAGGTGTGGAAGGCGAGCTGGGGCTTGCAATGTCGCTGCTGACACGCGGGCTTGCGCCGGCTCTACCCATAGGTGAAGTATTTCCAGATGCCCGGTTCCCTTGCACGGCAGCTGTCCATGGGGCAGTGGTCGTGCGCTTCATCGTGGCCTTTTTAGGCGCTGTGCCAGTCACGCTCAACGAGGGCACGGAACTGTGTGGGCTCGCCATGCTTCGACACAGCCGTCTTTGTGTGTTGTGGGTTAAGACTGAGTCTGTGTTACAGTGCGCAAGCTGAGGCGTGAAACACGCGATCAGTGTACCTAACAGACCATGACCCGTTAGACGGCGCTTGAGCCTGCGGACCAGAGTGTAAAAAGGTCTGCCTTCAGCGGCTTAAATATGATGGAAGAGCAAGTAGATTCTGGATTGGTGCCTTGAGGAAAGAGGGAAGAGAGGCAATGATGAGTGCGAGGTTGAAGTTGAAGAGGAAAGATGAACCCTCGTTAGCGCGCGCCGGCAAGCGCGTCGTCGCAGGTACCCGCCCCGCGCAAAATGTTAGGAAGGTACGACTTGCACTTTTCCAATCACGCCCGTTGCCTCGATTATCTCTTTTAGTCGCGTGAAACGAGCGTCTCCTATCCGGCGAGGTGCTCCGCGAAATTTCGATAGAACCCTGCGCAAAGAAAAGTTCTACAATGGGCAGTGGGCGGCATCTCATCAATACGATCAAATTACAATGGCTCGCGGTCTATGCCACTAATATACAACAAGGTGTTATACAACGATATCCGGGGGCCCAATCCATCATTTCTTCGCCTTCTGCTTCTTCTTGGCCGCCTTTTGTTGCTTCTTGCTGAGGGGCCTGCCCTTGACCGTGTTGGGATCCTCACTCATAGCCGCTCTCTTCACTGCCGACTTGGCCTGCCCAATCTTCTCGCGCTCTCTTCTCCAAGCCCTGTATCGGAAGTACTGCTTTCTTGTGCGGAAACGCTTGGTTCTGAGGCCGGTCGTCTTAACCAACTGGCCGATCCTCCAGTTGTCTTCGCGGTAACTATAATCTTTGCGCAGCCGCAACAGACGATCCGGCTCGCCCTTGACGACACGGTTCACTTGGTATGGGATACCGGATGGCGAGATCTCCGGCTCTTCGACGATGGGCTTGATGGGGTACGCCGTGAGTCCCAGACGGCGGCGGCGCTCAGCGTGCTGAGGATAAGGCAGGACGTCGTCCTTGTTGAATGTGACGCCGATGTACTTTCGGTCGGGGTGACGTTGGGGATCGCGGTAGTACTTGACGTAGCCAGTCGCCATGGCGTGAATGCTGAAGTCGCGGCCCATGATGCAGTTTTCGCCCGGCCACCAGAGCGTACCGCGCTGCTTGTAGATGATGTTACCGGGGATGACATATTGGTCTGTCCGGTTAGAAACCCTCTTGGCACAAATTGTACTTCAAGACCTACCGCCAGTCCTCTTCGCGCCCAGCTTCTTCGGAATGCCCCTCTTGCTCTTCTTTTTGTAGGCTCCTTGAGACTTGACGGAGGCATACCTCACACCCTGCACAAGGGCAGTGTTGCCCAACGCAGCCTGGGCGGCAATTGGCACCGTTCGACTTGTCGCGCTCTGGAAGAACGATCCCGCAGCAGCCACGAGTGGGCGCTGCATCGTGAGGAACCGCATGGCCAGCATTGAACGGCACAATGTTGTTGATTGTACCTGCCGCGTGAAGATGGAGGCACATGGCGCCTCCATCGAAATTTGATGGACACCTGCTTACTCATTTGGGTGGGTCGTCGAGCTCCTGCCCAGGTGCCTTATCGATAATAGGCGGTTCAAGATGCCAGATCATTGGGAATATCAACGCCACAGGTTCACCATTGCTGCTGTTGATTGTCGCAAGGAGAAAAGGCAAGAGAAAGAGCCAAAGAAGGACAAACATCACAATGCGCTACTTGATTGCATTTCTTTCTCTTCTTGCACTGGCTAATGCCCAGTTTGGTGGCTTCTTCGATCAGATGTTCGGCGACGCGCCCAACCAAGGACAGCAGCAACGGCACTCCAACAATCCAAGCGACGCCGGTCTATACCGCCAACGTTACGATCAAGGTGATACACTTTCTCCTCACTATATGCGACGAACGCAGGACTGACCACCACCAGCCCTGTGCGACAAATATCTCTGTCCCGACACACTCGCCTGTGTTCACTTCCCCCACCACTGTCCCTGCGCGTGGGATGCCCACGAGGACAAGTTCGAACTAGGAGAAGGCCACCGAGTATGCCTGTCGAAGGGAGGATACAAGTCCACCGATGCGGCGCGCAAGATGGAGCTGGTGAGGAAAGGACTGCTCTAGCTTGACCCGCCTATGCTGTCAAGAAGAATGTATATGTGGCTTCCACTAGGACAACAAGCGAAAAGTCGAATACAGTCGGTTTTCTGATTCACATTCGCCGAGGATAGAAGGTCCTTGTGCTTCCAGTCGGATGACAATCGGTCTTTCGATGCCATTTTGGTGCAAAGTAAGGTCACCACGGCCCGAGAAAACGTGCCTTCCTTACCGCACGTTTACTCAGTGTCCGGGGGAGTGAGGCAGAGCGACTTTGAGGCCAGTATCTTCGACATGGGTAATGTTCTAATACGCTCTTGAACAAACGTGTGGTTCCTATCTGCGCCCACAATGCCGCACGTTCGCGATAGTGGCGTGCGCTAACGCGCGGGGCGTGGGCGTAGTTGCTCCCCCCGCTGCCAAGTGCGCTTTGGTGTAACTGCTATAGAGATAAGACCTGAGGGTTGCCGTTGTAGAGTATCTACACCTCCCATTCTTTCTGAAGATGCTCCGATACAGGCATCTTCGCCATGTCCTCCGTACCAAACGACTCGACTTCTAAGCGGAAGCTGAAATCAACCGAGTCTCCAGCGACAGCATCACCTAAGCGTGTTCGGTCGGGCCGTCGTTCACGAGTAGGGTGTTTGACGTGCAAGGAGAAACACGTCGGTCTGCCTCCAAAGGCTATCGTTGCGGGACCTGACTGGTTGCTAGGTCAAATGCGACGAGGCGCGACCTGCCTGTCGTAGATGCGCCGACAAGGGATGGACTTGTGGTGGCTACGGGTATGGTCTTAAATGGTCCTATAAACATCAGCCAACCCCGATCAGTCCTGCTTGTGATGAAGCGACGACTATCGAGGAGGGGCAGACAGCGACCAGGGGGAGAAGATGCGGTGCAGAGACCTCCTCCCTCCCTCAAGTATCGAATGGCACCGCCCTCGACCCTCCACCACTGAATGATCCCTTTGCTGTGTTTGACGACCAACACCCGATAGAGGATTGTGAAGAACCGGTCTCTCAGTCTGACTGGATGAGTAATACTGCCTGGTGCAAACAGGCAGTGGCTCCCCAAGAGGACTCGTCGCTCTCGAGGGGAGGCTGCTTATCACAACAGGAGGCAGGCTTTGGGATGGATTGCAGTTCCGCGCTCCGATGGTCGAGCTTCTTGGCAACTGGTCCTTCCGAGGGCAGTCCCAATACAGCGATAGAACTGATTAGGCAATGGTTTGGCGAAGTCTGTCCGGCATGGTCGGGATTTGATTCAAACTCCAACATGAATCGCGAGCTGGCGGGGAGTCTTTGGCAGAGCTCCGAGCCGGTGTTCATGTGTCTGCAGAGCATGGCAGCAAGCTTCATGAGCTCGCGTCTACCTCGAATGCGCCAACCCGCTCACAGACTACTGAAAAAAGCTGTGGCGTCGGTGCAGGCGGATATCGAGTCAAGTGCTACCCTGTACTATTCTATCCCGACCACCTCGCTCTTTAGTCTCCTCTGCCTAGGTACGAGTGTGTGTTGGCTGGATGCGAGGAGGGTCGGATCCCCATTCTTGCGACAAGCGAAGATCTTGTTCGAGCAGATCGATCTACAATCTCTCCTGATGGATGCAGAACAACTGCGAATACTGCAATACTTTGAAAAGAGTCTGGGTTACTGGGAGATGCTTGTGTCAGTGGTAGCCTGTGATGAGGCAGAGACGGGAGTGGAACGTCAAAGCAGGGAAACAACTGTTGCTCAAGTCACCCCAGACGGCAACGCGGCCGATACCCTACCACATCCATGGACGGGCATATCCTCTCTGTCGTCGCAGCTCTTTGGCCAGGCTGTGCGTTTATGCAGAGTCTATCGACAGGGCATCACGAACCCTACTGGCAGGGCGAGTAGCCTCTTGACAGCCATGCAACGCATCGACGAAGCGAGAAACCTGGAGGAACGCATCCTCGACCTTGATTTTGGATCCGCAGCGCATCTAGGCGACACTGGTGATACGCGAACGCCACGGTCACATCTAGTGCTCGTGGCTGAGGCCTATCAACTGGCTGCGCTCCTCCAGTTATATATCACCTTCCCAGATCTCGTGTCCCTGCGGCTCCCCCACGAAAGAAATTTGAACCAAGCAGAAGACGTCCCCTGGAACAAGTGGATAGTGCCTCTGGCTTTGCGGCTTGTTAATGTTCTGGAGCAGATTCCCCCCGAATCCGGATCGCGAATGATGCAGCCTTTGCTGTACATTTGCGCAGGCGCCGGTCTACGAAGGGACTCTTCCGTTGCGATAGACACAGCCTTTAGCGGACTTTGCATTCTCAGGCCTGCCACGCCGTCAGGCATGAAAGACGGACAAGTAGATATGATGGCCTACGTTGATCAAATAGACGTGGGAGCCGACGAAGACGCTACCGACGAGCACACGCCAGGAACCGCCATGGACGTTGATGAGGCTCGGAACTTTATTAATGCTCGGCTCGACCTCTTGAAGCGTACACTTCATCCGAACCCGATCATTGTCACCGCACAGTTGCTGAAGGCGGTTTGGGCGGCGTACGATGCGGAGCCTGCCGGAAGTACATCTGTCCATTGGTTTGACGTGATGGAGAAGACGGGTCTGAGGTCTTTGTTTGGTTAAAACAGCGCGCACATGCAATCTGGGGGACCAATATGTTCCTGGGTTTAATGCGCCTACAAGTCACACCGGAGGACTGCATTGAGATCATGGTCCATTGAGTCTCCAAATTTACCAAAGTACGTTGCTACGTGCAATGCCGTCTATCAAAAGTCGTTCATCTTCCTCTGGCCAACGTAAAACGCCATCCCACCCGTTTTGGTTGTGAACGTAATCGTCGATCCTTTGGGGAAAAAGACGACATCTCCCCCCTTGGCCTCCGCAGTCTGCCCAGTCGCGTCGGTGATTGTGTAGTCGCCTTCAAGGAAGATCTTCATTTCGTCGTACTTGTAGGTGTACACCAGAGGTTCGCCTGGTGTCAGGCGGAAGAAGCCACACGATATGGGGGTTGGAGAGGTCTTGTCGCTGCTGAAGACATCGCCGAGGTAGGCATTGTCGCCAGCCAGAAGGGGAATTTCGAACTTTGACTGGGCTTGCGGGTACAGTTGGAAGGCAGTGGCTTCTGAAGCCATGATAGTATCGACCAAGTTGATGTTCAACTAAGTGTGGATCGCAAGGGGATTTTGAGTATCCTATAGGTACTATGGCTAGAAGTGTTCTTAGTGACGATGAAGCTCGCAGCATATATACTTCGAGCTGCTCCGAAAAGGGTAATTACAATGGGAGACCTAGCTGCAACTTATCAGTGGGGGAGGACAGGCGATATCGCTATGTATCGTAGTTCACTATGAGGCTTCATTTCTTACCGGTTTAGGTAAACTTACACGGGCCATGCGAGGAGGGTGTGTCACTGTGTGGGAGGCGCAATCGCAGCCCCCTCCGCAGGCCCACCATTCAACAAGCTGAGATAAGCCTGGAAGGTTTACGACATCACACAAAATCTGCCCCTCGTTGGTGATCCATGATGCTAGCAAGTAGATAAGTAAGAGACATGCACGCGGGGCTGCCGTGTTGTACACGGGCAGTCTTCAAATTGTCCGTCGAGGTTCGTGGTTCGTGGTTCGTCTTGTCACGATCATTCATTAGCTCAACCGAAATTGTCCCATCATGGCTTATACCAATCAATTGCTGTCGACCGCAACTGCTGCTTCTGCAGTGCTGTTTGGCATTGTTGCCTTTGGAATTTATATAATCCTACGGCTATCTCATGGGCGCCGAGCAACACGACATCCTTCTGGTCGAGCCCCCTTGGCTCACCTAGGCAGTGAGAAAGCGGGAGGACCACGTACCTACCAAGAGATCTACAAGACCCCCACTCCGCCTCCCTATCCAGACTGGTCGGTCTTTGAGACAAAGCCGCTGCCCTACAGGGCCTTTCGCTACGGCCCAAAGTACCAGATGACGATGGGTCTTCGGACAGTTCATCCGCACGGGTGGATCGAACTGGACAATGAGTTCCCCAAGTACCACGCAGAAAAGGCGGCTCGCATCGAAGAGCGCGGGGACAAGTGTGTCAAGACAGCGCCCGAAGCATTGGACGCTGCTATCGAGCTCTTGGAAGAGCTGACGGCCTACTTGCCAGCTCGCTATCCCAGCCTGTACAAACGCACACGCGAGGGTATCGACAATCTCTGGTCAGGGGAATCGTTCAACGTTGTCGAGCGTCCCCTGAGGGAAGACCCCATGGCCATCTGTGGGCGTCTTGTGCAAGACGACCTTGCCGTGCTGCTGGAGCAGCCCGATGGGCAGTACCGCCTCCTTGCCGGTTCCATCCTTCTGGCCGGTTTCTGGAGACTGTCGGACAAGTTTGGCATGACCCTCTCCGATGTGCACACCTCTGGCGACGTCCCCCACTTCAGAGAGAAGCTCGAGACGTCCATGAACAAGTTCTTTCGCCGTATGAAGTGCGACACGTTCCACGCGCGGAACAACTACTTTTTCCAAGTCGACGACGGCCTTGGGTGGAGTTCCAGCATGGGCGACGAAGATGCCCAAAAGGTCGCCCGAGGGACGGCGCCGACGGAAAAGGCCATTGAGCACCACTGGTTTCGCTCCGAGCGGCAGACGCTACGCAGACTGCCAAAGACCAGAGCTGTCGCCTTCACGATCAGGACATACCTTGTGCCAGTCACTGAGATGGCCAAGGAGCCCTATGTCCCCGGAAGATTGGCGAGCGCAGTGCGCAGCTGGGACGAGCTCGTGTCAAGCTACAAGGGCAAGGAAGAGTATGCGGCTGTGCTGTTGGACTTTCTGGACGAGAAACATAAGGAGCAGGTGGATGATGGACTTGACCTGGAGAAGGAGGACGAGGTTCGGAAATATCCTTGGTAGTGTGTCATTAATTTATACAACGTGGATTCGATTCACCCTTTACCGCTGCTTATGATGAACATGTATTCAACATGTAGAATAGTGAGGGTAATGGAAATTTACGACAATTCTGTCTCGAAATTTACTGTATGATCTGTGATGGATGCATTGGTAGCGGACTCAGACGAAAACAACCGAACAATCCTGCTTCACGGTGAAGCCTCATTGCGCCACGGCACATGCAGATGATCACATTACCCAGTTGTGTGGTTGACTCGATGTCCATGAATAGATCACTTCACCTGTCCGATCATCGGACTCGGACTCCGACGCACCAACGTCCCTAGCGCCGTTTCCACCCCGCATTGCTGGCTATAATTTCCCAGAGCGGTAATTAGACACGGCGCGCCATGACAGGGTAGCTGGTAAGCACGATAAGCATCCATAGATAGCATTCGATAGAGGCGTCTGCTGATCTTGATTAGATATGTAACATAGTGAATTCCATCAGACCGAGTGAATCTTGTTTAAAGATGCTCGATTCACGGCGAGCCTGAACCCATTCTTTTCAAGTTCCTAGAATCACACTCGCATCTTTCCCAGTCACTTCCCAAGTCCAGCCCACAAACATGACGCCCTCAGGACCCCATCCACTTGATCCTCTGTCAGCCGACGAGATCAAGCTTGTCGTCAAAGTCGTCACATCCTCTCATAAGAATGTCAAGTTCAATGTCATTTCCCTCCAGGAGCCGCGCAAGGCCGTCATGACAAAGTGGCTTGCCAAACCTTCCTCTGCCCCTAAGCCTCCTCGTGTGGCAGAGGTCACAGTGATCGCCCCTGGTGGCAAGGTCGGCGATGGTCTGGTTGACTTGCGCACGAGGAAAATTGAACAGTGGAAGTGGCTTGACGGTTTGCAGCCTATTGTGAGCAATCTCCACACCCAGATCAAGCCAGCGTGATAGACTGACCGTTTTCAAGATCACCCTGGAGGAGCTTCAAGGTGTCGAGCATGTTGTTCGAACTGACCCCAAGGTCATTGAGCAGTGTAAGCTGAGCGGCATTGGCGAAGACGAGATGCACAAAGTCTACTGCGACCCCTGGACAATCGGGTACGATGAGCGCTTTGGCAGCAACGCGCGCTTCCAGCAAGCCCTAATGTATTTCCGACCTCACGTCGACGATTGCCAGTACCAGTATCCGCTCGACTTCTGTCCCATCTACGACTCGGAAAAGGGGTCTATTGTGCACATTGACGTCCCCACCACTCGGCGACCCCTGAGACGCGAGGCCGAGATCAACTACACGCCCGCTGCTGTGGAGAGGGCTGGCGGGTATCGAAGCGATATCAAGCCTCTGGAGATCACACAGCCGGAGGGTCCTTCGTTCAAGCTGAGTGGTCGCGAGATGGAGTGGCAGAATTGGAAGTTCCACATCGGCTTCAACTACCGCGAGGGCATCGTACTGAACAACATTACATACAACGACAAGGGCAACATTAGAGACATCTTTTACAGGCTCTCTCTTGTTGAAATGGTCGTTCCCTAGTAAGCCCCAAGATAGAAAGCGCCTGTTCCTGAGCTAACAGTTCGCAGCGGCAACCCAGACCACCCACATCAGAGGAAGCATGCTTTCGACTTGGGCGAATATGGCGCTGGGTACATGACCAACAGTCTCAAGCTGGGCTGTGACTGCAAAGGGTACATTCGATACCTTGATGCCGAGTTCCCCACCCAGGATGGCCAAGTGCGTTACATCAAGAACGCCATTTGCATCCACGAGGAAGACAATGGCTTGCTCTTCAAGCACACCGACTTCCGTGATGATTCGACCATTGTCACGCGCGCCCGGAAACTCATCCTCCAGCAGATCTTCACTGCTGCCAATTACGAGTACGCGGTCCAGTGGATCTTCCATGTACGTCCGAATCGCAGCGCTCAACTCGTGGTGTCACCCACTGACTGCCTTGTAGCAAGACGGCACCATTCAGCCCGAGATCAAGCTGACAGGCATTCTAAATACGTACTCCATCAACCCTGGCGAAGACACCAACGGCTGGGGCACTGAGGTATATCCCGGCGTTAACGCCCACAACCATCAGCACCTCTTCTGCATGCGCATCGACGCCAACGTGGATGGACCAAAGAACACCGTCTTTATGGTCGATGCAATGCCTTCAGAGGAACCGGTAGGGAGTGCATCTAACAAATACGGCAACGCATTCTATGCAAAGAAGACCAAACTAGCCACCACTGGAGAGGCCAAGACCGACTACAACGGCGCCACCGTGCGCACCTGGGATATCTCCAACACGTCCAAGATTCACCCGTACAGCAAAAAGCCTGCAACCTACAAGCTCGTCAGTAGAGAAATCCCGGGGCTTCTACCCAGGCCAGGTTCTCTGGTGCACAAGCGCGCTGGCTTTGCTCGCCACGCGGTGCATGTTACCAAGTGTAAGTTACAGTGCTTCCTCCGCCTGACCTCCCATTCACTAATTGACCCCTGTCTAGATCGAGATGATCAGCTCTGGCCTGCTGGTCTTCATGTGCCACAGACCTCTGGTGAGACCGATGTTGGCCTGCCCGAATGGATTGGCGACGGCAAGGAGAGCGTCGACGACGAAGACGTGGTGCTGTGGCACACCTTTGGCCTGGTCCACTTCCCGGCGCCCGAAGACTTTCCTGTCATGCCAGTTGAGCCCATGACTCTTCTGCTGCGGCCACGCAATTTCTTCGCCAGCAACCCGGTCATGGACGTGCCACCGCAGCGGTCGGTGATGCCGAGCCAGGTCAGCGCAGAGGGACCACCTCCCAGGCTGTGAGCCGATCATGGTGTTGAAGTGCGCATGGGACAATGGTAATGATGTAGAATGTATTTAAGCTCAATGTCGCATGCTCATGTCGATCGCTTCTCGGGGGTTTGCATGTTTTATAATACTCTATAAAGCCCTAATCTTGTCAGAAGGATCCAGGGGTTCTTTGATTTTGAGTCTCGCATTTGGTCCTTCAGGATGCGGTCGTAGTCTTTCTCAGAGCCGAGGACAGCAACTTCGAAGATGTCAGTCCGCTCTCTTTCTCGTGACAGCGACTTCTCACCTCGGAGCGAATATAGAGTACTTTCGAAGTATAGTATACTGACTCTTGCATCAATCATATCTCGTATAGCTGCTAATCAAACGGTCGGTCTGAAGGCCTTCCTTCGATAACCGACTGTCCGAATGAATCCTGATAGCTGACAGAGCGGCCAAGCATCGGGTCCGATAGTGTTGAAGATCGCTGCAGGGTCCTGACTCCTTCAACCCAATGGTTCGTCCGCTTCGGGCGCTGCTGTCCGGTTGATCCCCGACTGACTCGGCACCGAAGCACGCATTTCGAACCAAATGTAGCAAGCCTTAACCCAAGCTTTTCTATAGTTGTACATTTTGTGCCCGTTGTCTCAGTTTTCCTCTGAAAACAAACGCCCTGAAGTTACCTAGCCAAGTTCTCGTCCCGTGGCTCCGACCACTTCTACATGAAAGTCAGTTCTGACTGCGATCCTCGACGGGCCTCTATCCATGTCCTCGTTGTCTCCAGATCCCGGTTCGTTTCGTAGGATGGAATCGTGGTTCGAATTTAGGTATCCCGCGGCGCCAACAGAGATGGTTCTCTCTTTGGAGGGCCCAAGGTCTTCTCGCCAGTCAACATCCTCTGTCGTCACCGTCACTCCACGCCCGTCGCGTGTGGCTTTCTGCCCCTTAAAGCCACTGCCGCCGATTGTATGCATGGCGAAGATCCCGTCGCTGTTACCCGAGTCATCTCCATTATCCTTCTTCCACCCGCCTCGCTGACTGTTGCTCTCGCCACTTTCCTTTGTCGAAACCCAACCGTCGAGCCACCTCATGTAAAGAGGTCTGCAGACCGGGATGCCGATGCAGACCGGGATGCCGATGCAGACCATTGTCGTGCAGAGCTCCGCTGCATGCCATATAATAATACCCACCACGTCTTTCAGATAGTTCGGGCTGCCCAGATGCTTCAGCTCGACTGCGCGTTTGATGCCGCATGCCGCAGCGAAAACGCCGAGGCTCATCGAACCAGCAATGAGCCACTTCTCCTTCCGTGGCATATTGAGTTTCCAGAGGAAAAACCACGGGAATGCGGCGTACCAGATATCTAGAACCACAGACCAGCCGCCGGCATACGTCGCGATCGGACCGGGGTCAATTGTGCATTTCCCATCGAGTCGACGGTCCCAGAGGTAGGCCACCGGCTGGCAGGAGAACCAGAAGACAAAGAGAGAGGCAACGACGGCCGTGGCGAGAAAGAAGTCGGGGACCCAGATGGCGATCTGGCTTCGACGCGTCGTGACGAGGCGAAGAAGGAAAAGGGCGAGTGACGTTTTCGACAGGACCGTGCCGACGACGAGTACCGTCTGCCCGATGGCTGAGTAGAGAATCGCCTTTGTGATGGCTTCCATGCCCGCTACGGGTCCGAGATCGTTGATAATATCGTCCATGTCGCGACCAAATCCGTAGGTCGAGGAGATGGTCATCATGATATCGTAGACTACAAAGGTCACCTAGGTGGAGGAGGTCAGCCTACCTCACCATCCGAGGTATATAACGTACGAAGGAGGCGTTGAAAAAGTGATCATCCATCCCATACGACTGCACGACTTTGACGCGCGTATAGAGTCGAAGAAGGACGAAGATCAAGGTGATGCCTGTCAGGCTCCAGAGAACACCCAACGTGGACGGCGCCAAGCCTCCAATGCCGGGCTTGAGACTCTGGTCCATGTTCTTTGAAGCTGAGATTTTTTTCTAGACTGGTGAAGGCTAAGAGACAAGGACCCAGGGGATTCTATAGTTGCAAGTCAAAGGCCAGGAGTGCATCTCCTGATCCACGGCTTGCTAAGACTGTGAGCCTCATTTGGAACACCAAGCATGGCAATAGCCTACTGTCACTTTGCGGCACAATGTCTTGGAATCGACGTGGCTCCAGGTTTCTTTCCGTGCTTCAGGGGTGACGGTTCGTCGCGGCGACCAACACCAAATCCAGCAGGGTCTCCAGCCGAGTTATTTTCCCCCCGTATGCCTTTTGTGAATTGATTATAAGATCTGCGATTTTATAAAGGACACAAGATAGCCTTCAGTGTATGTTGAGCGCAAGACCAGCCATTCTTCGTGACACAAGCGCCCGAATGGAGAGACAGTACATTCCTCGGTAGAACACATTCCGCACATGCAGACCATTTGAGAACGTGATTCGGGTCTCCTCCCGTCTAGAGAATATGAAGTCGCCCTGTCCCTCTTTCCACAGTTATCTCATGAGGCAAATATTGTATGCGGTTGGTCGCAAGCCTCTGCAGGGGAGTCGGCGACAGTCTTGGCAGATAGCCCTGCATCACAAAGCTTAGCCATGGTTGCTCCCTGGGAACGCCAGCATCGCATGAAGAACTGTTAGGCGTTATCGGACCACTCTCGGGCAGTGTTGAAATTCTGATATTTTCCTCCATTAACAAGATGCTCTGTTCGAACATCAAATCTTCAATGTTGGCGGGGGGCGTTCGTGATCCTGCACCCCTGCTTGCAGAAAGACCTGTCACATTCATTAAAGCTGCAATGAGTAAAAGCATAAAAAGAACGATAGCGCGCGGAAACTTGGACTCGGAGGGCGTTTTTGACGCTTCATAACCTCGGGGCAGCATGCCTGTTGCCGGTAGCCGCATAGTAACATGCAGGCGACAGCTACCCCAGCCGGCGGAAATGCCTCTTTTCGCCCCGTCCCATAGCTTTATTATAGAAGTAGGGGATACTGGTTGCATAAAGGTTCTGGACGAGCCTTACTTTTCTCTCTCATACTTGAGAGAAGAAAGCTCTCCGCGTGACGACTGTTTGACCATCCGCCACCATGAGTGACAATGCCACGTACCGAGACGAGGAGTTATCGTCGAGCTATCTGGAAATTGGCCAGTCTATGAGAAGCGCTGCTATTTTGGTCTTGCTCGCGCCCGTCGTATCAGCCTTGCTCTGGTATGGAGTCCAGTACTCCTCATCACCGCTCAAGAGGTACCCTGGACCGTTCTTAGGAGGTAATTAAGTTTCTTTCTCCCTAGAGGTTCGATTGCGCGGCCATACTGACATGGGAAGCATGGACCAACTTCTACCGCATGTACTATGCGTACACGGGCAAGATGCACCTCGTCAGTAAGAAGCTGCACGAGCAGTACGGCCCCGTCGTTCGTATGGGCCCCAACTACCTCGACGTCGACTACTCCTCCCTCATCAAGACCTGCTTCGACGTGCAGGGCGTGTGGCAAAAGGTTCGTCGAGACGATTGTATCGTCAGCGTACATTGGTCTGACTCCAACAGACGGAGTGGCATGCCGTCAGTGGCGCCATGGTCGACGGCAAACTGTTCTTCAATATCTTCTCCGAGGTGCGTGCTGCCGAGCATGCCAGGATCAAGAAGCCCATCGCCAAGTACTTTTCCGCAGCCGGCGTGGCTCAGTTCGAACCGCACGTGGATGCCGTGCTGGCGTCCTTGGTGCGAGTTTTCGACGAGCGCTTTGCGGCCGAGGATGGATACGGCGAAGCATTCGACTTTAGCTCCTGGATGAATTACTGTACGTGAGCAGGCACTCTTTTCATTGGGATCCCCCACAGCTGAACTTAAAGATGCTTGGGACGCTGTGGCCAAGACTACGTGGAGTCAACGAGTTGGGTACCTCGAAAAGGGGCATGATTTCGACGGATCCCTCCGCACGTCGGAAAAGGCCATGGACTACCTCGTCACAGTGGGTATGAACCCAAAGCTCGACAAGCTGTTTGACAAGAATCCTGTGTATCGCATCGGCCCTCCCACCTTTGGTGCGATCACCAACCTGGGCCTGGGCCATCTCATGGGTCGCATGAAGGGCGAGGACAAGCATGATCCCGCCAAGCCGGACTTTCTCGACTGCTACCTGGAAGCGCAGCAGAAGCATCCCGAGATTGTCGATGTGTATCGGATTCTCTCATACATGCTTGTCAACATTGCCGCTGGGGCGGACACGACAGCGTGCAGCCTCCGTTCCGTATTCTACCTGATGCTGAAGCACCCCCAGGTTTACAAGCGCTTGGAGAAGGAGATTCTGAATGCAAGCTTCTCGACGCTTCCCACGCCCTATGCAGAAGCACGACAGCTACCATATCTCGAGGCGGTGAGCCGCGAGTGTTTCCGCTGCCTGCCAGGCAACTGCATGCCGCAAGAGCGCTATGTGCCTGAGGGGGGGTTGACGCTCCCAGACGGGTCCTTTGTGCCCCGGGGCACAGCCGTTGGCTTCAACGCATACGTGCTGCACCGCAACAAGGAAGTCTGGGGCCCCGACGCGGAGGAATTCAGGCCTGAGAGGTGGCTTCAAGGTGACGCCGAGTCCGACGACGCATTCGCGCAGCGCATGCAGAGGCTGAACAATGCGGATCTGTCGTTTGGCGCGGGCTCGAGGAAATGCATGGGGATGAACCTGGGCAGGTTGGAGGTCTGCAAGACGGTCGCGACGATGATACGCATCTTCGAGTTTGAGCTTGCAGATGCGGACAAGGAGTGGTCGATCCACAACAGTATCTTCCCACGACAATCAGGCGTGGAACTGAGACTGAAGCGGAGAGACGATATGAGAAGAGTCATCGCGGACCTGGACGCGACATATTGAGCGTTGGAGGGATAGCCGAGCCTTGGACCTGGAATTTCGTCGCTGATGTCCTGCTCATGAGCATCTCGAGACGTGACTTTTGCGTAGACCGCACGGAAATCCTCAATGGACAATACTCTATGTACCCATCGTTATTGTGGCGGAACATACGTACGGGGTGAGCTGCATACTTGTAGGGTAGGTTGGCTGCCCAAGTGCATCCGCTGTCGTACGTTGTGATCACACCGTGAGCCGTATGGCGACAGCACATGCATGAAGCCTGATGATTGTTCATCCAGGCTGCACGCGCAGGGTACGCGCGACGCATGCAACGAGACCGGCATCGATCTGCCCGTGAGCCCTCAGTTCCGGGGGAGGGCGATACGTATAGAATGAGACTGAATGTCATGTGGTGGCAGTGATCGCCGATAACAACGCCGCCCCTGGAGAATCAGCTCCGGACCTTGGCGCGTAGGAATAGGGCACTAACAGCCGTAGGATGTGTAATACCTGTGGAGCAGATAGCCCGCTGACGCCCCACCTCCCGGGGCATCCGCAGGCCGGGACCGAGTTCATTCCCAAGGGCCTGAATCTGTGCTGGACCTCTCGAAGACATGACCTATGACTTCATCGACATCGCGATGCTCAGATCGTGCCCCAAATCGACACTTGAATACGTGCCGCCTGGCGCTGGCGGCGACAAAGGAAACCGGCAGCCCATGACGCATCATCCTCACACTGTATTGTATTGACATGGACGTCCTTCCGGACAGCAACCTCCGGGGAAGGGTCGACTTACTCGACCTCTGACCTGGGCCTGTCTTCCCCCCCGCCTGCTGCTTCTCCTACTTTGCTTGTTTCATTAGTATACCCCGTTGACGACAAAGATTCATCATCCAGGGTCCTGTATGCGCCCTACTGCATTACGGAGCACAGAGATCGCACGTCTTTATCACAACAGACCCGACTCGCTTGGCCACACACTTCACTCGCGCGTCCAACTGTTCACTACAATGCCCGCAAAACGTAAGAGGAGCGGGATGCAACAAACACCGTCCCCATCTACCGAGCCAGTACGTCGAAGAAGTGATCGCAACCTGGAAAAGCTTTCTGCGGCCGAGGATGCGGTGAAAGCCGACCCGACGGCAAGGCTCGGCGTCTTGAATGATGGAGCCGGGAACGGGGAGAGAAGACCGCGAGCACTGGGCAAGAACTCCCATGAGAGCAGGAAGGACATTGCACGCGCCGTGCGCAACCTGCAAGCCATGGAAAGTGAGCTGCAGACGACAGTCCGAAACCAGCGCGAGGCTCTCAAGACGTCAGACCTGCCACCTGTACGCAATGATGGGACCGACACGAAAGCAGACGCGTCCATGCCTCTTGATTCCCCCTTGCCGCCGCGATCGGGTAAAGAAGTCGTGAACGAGGGCGACGATCGCTGCGCCAACTCTGTCGAGCAAGCACCCTTGGACGGCCACAAGGCTGAGCTGGCAAAGGGCGACATAGCTGGCGATACAAGGGACCCCGAGCCAGATGAGGACGGGATACAAAGGGGCGCGCGACGACCGCCCCCGGTCAATAGTGAGATTCTACCACTTCCGTGGTCAGGTCGCCTAGGCTATGTGAGAAGTTGCACTCCTGGGATTCGTCGCGGTCAAGTGCCCGGCCTGACAACCCCCTTTGTTCAATGGAACGTGTACGGAAGCTAACTACGTATTCTCCTTCTCCCAGGCATGTCTCAACACTTATTTGAGAGCTTCGAACCCCACGGTCTTCTCCTCCAGGACCTGTCGCATGAGCTCAATTGTTGAGCATCGCCACCCGTTGCGAAACCCCGACGAGCCCGAGCATGCGACAAAGAACCGACCTGACAAGGACCAGCCGGCAGAAATTGAGAGGGGCCAAAAGTACCTGCAAGAGATGGGCCTTGCCAACGCCAGGGACATTGTCAAGATGCTGCGGTGGAACGAGAAGTATGGCATCCGATTCATGCGACTCAGCAGCGAGATGTTTCCCTTTGCGAGCCATGCCGAGCACGGATACTCGCTGGAACCCTTTGCGGCGGAAGCCCTCGCGGAAGCTGGCAAGGTTGCTGCGCAACTCGGCCATCGATTGACGACACACCCGGGCCAATTCACGCAGCTTGGTAGTCCGAGGAAGGAAGTGATCACGGCAGCGGTACGAGACCTGGAGTACCACGCAGAAATGCTGTCCCTGCTCAAGCTGCCAGAGCAGCAGGACCGGGACGCGGTCATGATCCTGCACATGGGCGGCACGTACGGAGATAAGGCGGCCACGCTCGACCGCTTCCGCGAGAACTACAAAACGGTATCGCAAAACGTCAAGAACAGACTGGTTCTGGAAAACGACGACGTCTCATGGACGGTGCACGATCTCCTGCCGATTTGCGAGGAGCTCAACATCCCCATGGTACTAGATTACCACCATCACAACATCCTCTTCGATGACAGTGTGCGCGAGGGCACCCTCGACATTATCGGACTGTACGATCGTATCGCCAAGACGTGGTCGCGCAAAGACATCCGGCAGAAGATGCACTACAGCGAGCAGACGTCCTCCGCCATCACCCCGCGCGAGCGACGCAAACACTCGGCGCGCGTGCGTACCCTGCCGCCCTGCCCCAACGACATGGACCTCATGATCGAAGCCAAGGACAAGGAGCAAGCCGTCTTTGAATTGATGCGGACCTTTAAGCTGCCCGGCTGGTCCACGTTCAACGACATTGTGCCTTTTGAGCGCGACGACGAACCCAGAAAGGCCATAATGAAGAAGAAGACTGGCAAGGCCAAGCCACGCAAGCGCCAAAAGGAGGATGGGAAGGATAATGATGACAATGCAGCGACGCAACAGGATGTCGCGAACGAGGACGATGGTATCGAGGTGCCAGAGAGGAATGTGAACCCCGAGGACTTTGGGATGGGCGGTCCCGACAATCGTGTCTATTGGCCTGAGGGCATGGAAGAATGGCTCAAGCCTAGGAAGCGCGAGGTCAAGAAGGGGAAGAAGACGGAGGAGGTGGAGGTTTGAGCAGTACCACTTACTGTGTTATCAGTAATTGTGGCTTAACAGACCATTGGCGTGTGTAACGATAGAAACACTATTTATGGACCTTGCCGCAATAGATAAACGGACGTACGCGGAAACGCTATAAGGACTGATCGGCGCCGTATTGTTTATTCCAGGGGTAGTAGTAGACGGCGTGTAGATAAGTACAGGGTACGTGAAAAGTACGCCAGCCAAATTTTCACAACGCTCAGCATCTGCTTAGCACTGTATACATAGCAGCACGTTCAAGCACCTGCGGTCTACTCGTCAAATTCCTCATCATGTCTGCGCAAGGCTTCAATTCACAGTCACAGGCCTTCCTGGAATGGTTCAATTCCATTCCTGGCTCCACATTCTCAGACGCGATCGAGCTTGTCGACCTGCGCTCCGCGAATGCTGGACGAGGAATCAGTACGCTTGCCCCGAAAATGTCGTGACCTTTCCTTGCTGCTAACCGTGGATAGTTGCCACAAAGGACATTGAAGAAGACAGCGTTCTCTTCACAATACCCCGAACTCACATCCTCAGCAAGCAGACCTCGGCGCTTAGGTCAAAGCTGCCCCAAGTTTTTGATGCAGACCAGGCGCCTGCTGACCCAGAAAATGGTTTCGCGGTCAAGCAGGATCGATGGACGTCTTTGATCCTCGTCATGTTGTACGAGTATCTCCAGGGCGACGCATCGTCCTGGAAGCCATATTTCGATGTGCTCCCAGAGAGCTTCAACACGCCCATGTTCTGGTCTGACGCGGAGCTCGACGAGCTTCAGGGGAGCGCGACACGCCAAAGGATCGGGAAGGAGGAAGCAGAGGAAATGTTTAGGACAAGGATTATACCCATTGTCCGTCAAAACGCCTCTGTCTTCCCGCGACAAGAAGCTGTGAGTGATGATCAGCTCGTGGCGCTGGCCCACCGCATGGGGAGTTTGATCATGTCCTACGCATTCGACCTAGACAAGGACGACGACAGCGACGAGGAGGACGAGAATGAGGATGGCTGGCAAGTGGACCGCGACGATGAGCTCCTGATGGGCATGGTACCCATGGCCGACATGCTCAACGCAGACGCTGTTTTCAATGTGAGTCGTCAACGAATCATTCCGAGGGGAGACATCAAGTAATTGACTGTGCAGGCCGTCATCAACCACGCTGCCGACTCCTTGACTGCAACAGCCACAAGGCCTATCAAGGAAGGAGAGGAGATCCTTAACTTTTACGGTCCTTTGGCGAACTCGGAATTGCTGAGGAGATACGGCTACGTGACCGAGGCTCACATGCGCCACGACGTGGTCGAGATTTCTCCCGAGGTCATCGAGGCAGCCGTCAAAGCAGAACTGCAAGTCGACGATTCGGTTCTCGAGAAAGTGCGCGCAAAGCTTGAGGAGCGCGAGCTGGCCGACGAAGGCGCAGTCATTGAATGGGACACGGGCGCCGTGGAAGACGATGGAACATTGTTGGCACAGGATCTCTCGCGGGACTCGCTCGAGGAGCTCAATGCGTTGCTGGAGGCGTATCTAAAATATGTGGAAAAGTACAGTCAAGATCGCAAGAGGCCACGCGAGGACGCTGCCATCAGCATACTACGACGAATTGTGCACGGCTTTCAGGCGAAGTATACCACGTCGCTGGAAGAGGACCAGCGTCTCCTCGGCTCGCTGGGGGCCATGGATCGACGGAAGATGGCGGTCGTCGTGCGGATGGGGGAGAAGACGGTCTTGCAAAAGCTGCAGTCCGTGGTCATGGGCGCACAGTCTGATCAAGGGCCTGTTGAAGGGAGCAAGCGTGCCAGAACCTCGAACTGAGTCGGCTGGTGCGTCGACACCAGCCAATCGTCGACGGCGTCAATACAAGATCCTTGCGGCATATGCCAGTCCATTGCTCGTTGTAGGTGTGGGTGCGAAACAGGTATCTTGTATCACCCCAGAGTCCAGTCTGCAACACTCTCGCTACTACCAGCTTATCTTGTTGTTTGTGGTATAAGATGAAATGATGCCTCGACTCGCGAGTCCCTCCGGATTGCGACTCTGAGTATTTACTTTGAAAGCAAGAAACATACTATTCTTCAGTGTTCCTCGGGTGTTTTTTTTTCCAGCTACATCATTGACCTTCGTCTGCTTGGATGTTGGAAGCAACAATGTTCATCATCCTTGACCGGTCCAAGACACCAAGTACCGACACAGGCAATGCTGCCCAACGACGCCCACTCGACCGCACCGCCAATATCCTCCGTCTCTCGTCTCTTCTCCCAAGCAGGACTGCTCGGCGCCCACGTCGATCTCCGCGTCAATTGATCACGTGAATTGATGGATTGTACGCAGAAAAGCCCATGGCGATCTGGACCGGTCAGAGGAAGCGGCGTCGGCTGCGAGCGAGGCTCAGCTTTACAACGTCCATCCTCCTCCTCACCGACGGAGCAGCATCTGTGCCTTGGCCAACAAGATGTCGCCTGGTCGCCTTGTGGATATTGCTCAGTGTTCTGTGTCTGTCTACACGTAACCCCGCCAACTCATCCGCAAATCATCAACGTCGACCTTCTGTCAGGTCCTAGAAGGCATCCTGTGTAACACACCATGACGAGTCGCACAGTCAAGATGCAACTCACTCAAGTGTCCTGACGGGCTGTTGGGCACAGCGTCAGCGCGCTCGGGTCGACGTCGCTCACTGCTGATTTTGATTCCAACAGAGACGAGCGCGCGCGTGCGGGATACCATTCTGAGCGAGTCGTGGGGGTTCGAATGGCGGAGGACTGAGCAACGGTGCGGCCAGGTAGCGCGCTCAGGGGCTATTTCTTCCGTCTACATCGCAACAATGGGGGTCGTGGCTTGGTCAGTAAGGCATCCCTGGACCGAATGCTCATAGCCTTCCCGCCAGCGCATCATTCCCAAGTGCAGAAAGATGGTGTCTGGAGATCGAGTATGGCCCATCGCTTCCTCTTCCTCTGGCCTGGTGAGAAGCACACCATCCTCTGAAGTCACATCCCGGGACGTTCCGTTGGCGTCCCAAGCCGGGACGGTAATCCGGACGAGTAAGACGCGTCTCTGACACCACCGGCCAGTCGTTCGCTCCCTATTTCCAGACAGTGATGCGGTGGGCTTGACAGGCGGTGAGACAAGTGCAAAGAGCGCTCTCCATGGGACCTGGTCTGAGCGATGTCGAGATGCACACCAGAATCGACGATTGGGGGTCACTCGACGCCAAGGTCACATGAAGTCATGACAACTTGGCCGTGCTGCTCTGGAGACTGCTGTCTGCCAGGGTCGTGTCCTTGGGAACGCTCAACTAATCCAATGCCCTCTTCGTGGACCGGGTTCGGGCATCAAAGTGTTCTCACAAGCCACCGCGAGTATAAAAAGCTGTCCATGAGCGCTAGAAGAAGGGCAATGTCTGGATATAAGACAGTCAAAATAACCTTCTCGAGAACACCATGAGCTTCAAGCAAGACAAACGCAGTTCCGCAGTCCCAAACCCTGCTACAGAGGATGATTCCAGTGTAAACCTCCTGTTGATATTGCCAAAGATTTCACAAGGCTGACTCGGACCAGTCACGTTCCTCAGAACCCAGGAAGCAATCATCCCGCCGGGGGAAGAAGTCTGGCAAAGCGGCTAGTGCTTCTCTAACGAACAGCAGCTCGGCCGATCGAGGACTGACCTTCCTCTTTGTTATCACAGAGCTGGTCACCACTCACATATTCACCGACTCGTGGGCCCAGCCTGGGCCACCGGATACTTGCCATGCCTATCTTACAAAACAGGAACGACCGAGCGGGGTGATGCGTTACGATAACGGCATCGTCACGCCAGCAGCCGACCAATGCGTTTGGCGTCGAGATAAAAATTCCAGGGTCGGGAGCATCTACTACGCGGTCGACCACCAGCCCCGCGTTGCCGTCACGTATAGCCAAGGCGCCGTGTTCTCTTGCAACCCCCTGATGCCATTCGCCATGGTCAAGACAGATCCCTCCGTGCAGGAGACATACTACCACGGTGATCTTTCCGGCCAGACAGAGGACCATAAGTGGCAGCCCTTGCGCTTCTTCGCCCCACTGAGCGCCGATAGGACGCCTACGGGTGTCTCCCAGGCTGTGTTCTCCAGTAGCCTGACGGCGGCACACATTGGAGGCGTACCAAGGCCGTTTGCCGCCGGAAGGCATGCCAATTGGCTCGGTAGGCTTGTGCCGACTACGTATGACAGCCCCCTGAGCAGCGCGCCGAGATCGGCTGGCCTGGGTGGCGAGCTCACCATTCTGCTCGCCCTGATGACTTTCACCGCGCCTGTGGAGATGACCTGCACCTCACGAGCGCATACAGTATTCCTAGGGCATAATGCGCGGTGGAGATACGGTAAATGGCTGCATAACGACAAGCCAGGCGGTTGTGAGTCGTGGTCTTTCTTTGGTATTTTCCCTGTTCATAAAGGGGCTAGCTAACAGGACTGGCTTGGTAGGGACACGATCCGTTGAAGAACGCCCGAGAGGGGTGCTTGTGACAGTGTCTCTTGACCCGTGGAATCCACAGGGCTCGACGAGGGAGAAGCTGTCCAACTTTGAATTCTTTGACAGTCCGGCTATACGCGAGGATTAGCCATGCTGTGTGGAGGGGCATACAAGTACAGATAGTATATGGATTTTGTCTATACCACGGTCGTTACGGCGTCTAAGTACAATGCGAGATCTGCCGGGGGACATTCCCCCATTTCACTGAACGCCTTGAATCGCAAAGAATCGTCATGTCTCGGACAGGCGGGTGCCCTCTCTTTCAGCGTCATGGCGCAAGTACCGTCTCAACCTGAGAGGATACCTGATGGAAGCCTGCACATGAACGTGCATGTAAGATTTAGATTGGGGTCGTATATACAGGCTCATGCTTCAGGACACGTCCGGCAGACGCACTGCAATGTCGCCTGACTGTGTGATGTATCGAACCCAAGGCAAGGAGGGGTATTGCAGCTGTACAAGTTAGCACTGGCTCAGCCGCCGCGAGTGATGCACGTACCTTTGGCTCTGTGATCTTGAGGTACCGCACTTGGATACCACTGGTTGTGAAGTAGGGGATCTCGAACTTGATCTGGATAGGTCGCTTGCCCGCCTTGCCGCCCGCGCCACCCATGCTGCCACCGAAGCCACCCGTCATGCCTCCGCCCGTCTCATCATCGCCCCTAACGCTAGGCAGACCGAGTTCGGCACGCATCATAAACTCCTTGTTTCCGCCGAATTGCTTGATCTTCCACACAATGGCACTCTGTTCGGGCGCGTAGTGCACGGAGCCAATGTTGGTGCGGAAGCGGGGCGAGTCGGCGTCGTCCGGCACGGGGACGATAATCTCCACGTTGTTGGCGGTGGAGCGGCGCTTGAACTGCGACTTGGCCTTGAGCATATACTCGATGCGGGAGCCCGAGTGCGACTCGACGACGCACTCCACCCAGATCAGGGGCTTGACCTGTGTGTTGAGGCGGTAGGACATGAGCTCGAATTCGCCGTCAGGGGGGATGAAGGAGATTGTCCGGTCGTTTTCGAAGCGCGAAAGTCGCACGCACTGGTGGAATTTGACGTCCTCCATCTCAATGGCCTTCCCGCGTGTGGAGCGTCCCGTCGTCTCGAACATGACCTTGTCGTTCAGGCCCAGACGCAGCTCGGGCATACCGCTGAGGTAGCACTTCATCTTGATGGCCCCCAGAATCTCAGAGCGTAGCACGTTGCCATTGGCGCTGACAAGCAGGTTGAGCGACTCCACAACATCCAGGAAGACTTCGTTCTTCCGGTATCGGATACCCTCCGAACGCCACGAGACAGCGTTGGTGACTGCAATGGGCGGCCGCGCCTGAATCTCGAGCTTGTGTGATTCTTGTGTGATGTATTCTTGGAGGATTTTTGATTCGGTGGTTTGCGGGTAGCCAAAGTCCATCATCTCATCGAGCAGCTCGTATATAATGACAAAGTTGTCTCGGATGGACTCCTCCTCCAGAATTTTAAAGTACTCGGTGAAGACTTCGACAACCTTGTGTAGGAACAGGAGGATCTCGGCCGCATTGGTGTTTCGCTTCGTGAGTGCGAGGACGTAGAGGTTGTTATGGCGAATGTAGAGATACTTTGACGTTCAGCGGCCCATTGCGCAACGCCCAGCATTTGTTTGTAGAACTCACATTGATGCCCTCGTGCGAGAAGCAAGGAGGCACAGCAGAGGACTCTTCTTCCGCATCTGATAGCAGCACCGGAAACTTCTCCACGGCTGACATGGGGATGTCGCCTCTGTAATTACGGGCAAGGAGGGTCTACCAAGTCGTGTCAGTCTGGAAGGGTGTCCTGAAAGCTTCGATGAAGAAACCATACCTTGCCCTTCAGGTCGAGAAAGAAAAGTGCAGACGCCATTGCAGTGTTTGGGAGACTGAGCTACCGTCGCGGGGCAGGAGGTCGTGTGCGACAATGGGCGGTTTTGGCGCAACGGCCAGGAGTAGGTCGCTCGTGGTCTTCACTCTACATGCAAATCAGGTCGTATCGTGCGGGGGATCTCAGTTGAACAACATAGCCGTCAAGCTCATCGGTGTCGTGGGTGGGTGTGGGAGAGGTTGCTGGACAATTATCGTGACATCGCGGTTGCGTCCAGCTGTCAATGTTTGGACCAGTCTCACCGCAGGCTGCACTCCAACAAGGGGGTCACGCACGCTATTACACCCAAGATTCCACTGGCTTGCTTGGATGTTGGTCGGCACAACCCCGGGACCTTGCCGTCTTTCTCTAGTCCCGTAATGGCGTAGCGTTGCACCACGTGACATGTACCATATCACCAAAATTTGCAGACCTCACTCGCTCCCGCACTCCTTTTCCTCCCCCAACGCGCCCATTAGACAGTGCGGTCCATCTTTCAGCTTGCAACCGGTTGTGACATTCTGCCACTTCCAATCCGCAGCTCGTGGTTGAGACACGCGATTTCGAGGCGCGGAGAAGGAGGGAAATTTTCTATGGTTCCATAAGAGCTGCCCAAATTAGGACTTGCGTCCATCTCGTGACTTGGGCGGCGTCAGAGGAACCAGACATTTTGAAGTTGCCTAGTCAAGTGTACGGCGCCATGATTGTTTTATCAGGGTTCTTTGCACAACCAGTGTAGTCGCGTCCACCCAGTTGATTTTCGACGGCGTGATCCCTCTAACAGCAGCACCGCGCATGTGCCCATGAAGGTGCTATACCAGTCAGCACTGGACAGCAGACTTGTCGGCTGTCTCTATCCTGCGCGGAAAAGCTGTTGGTATTGGTTCTGTTAATGATTCTGGCCATGCAGGTGCCCAAATTCTCGTAACGAATGGACATAGTGTTGTTAGGCGTTCGTCTCAAAGTTGGCGATGACTCAAGTCGTCTTCAGTATCCCTATGCAGATGTCTTCACATATCAACAGCAACCTCGGACGTGCGGTCTCACTATGCGCCTCGCCAACATTCTCCAGCATGAACGTCGAAATAGAGAACATTCAAACATTGGTAGACAGCCAAGGGTGGTTGATTCCTGCGAATGCATTGTATCAGCATTGCAAGCTCAGATGGTCAATGAATATGTGTTAGCAACTCTAGGGTATGCGTTGTCAAAGGTCGTATGCGAACTGAAAATTTAGATATTTCTGTTAGCGCCTTCGCGACAGGTCCTACCACGCACTAACAAAGATTCTCTGAGGTAGACTCCAGACATGTGATTGCTGTGCCGGCTATCATGTGGGGGCCCCAACGGATCCTTGTCTGACACGTGCGAAGAGTGGCGCACTGGATACGGACACGAAGATGCATCGCCAACCTGTTCGGCAACCAGCTTCGCCAGAGACGAGTTGGCCGACGGCGTCGCCAGAAGGACGCGGGGTTAGCTGTGAGCTGCAGGGCGTGCTTGTCGGCGTGATGTTGCATGAACGAGGTGAGAAGGCAGTTCTTGGGTTCGGCGTGGCCTTGTCACATGCAATCGGCACTAGCGATTCGTAAAGTTGCCAATCAGCCTCATCGTACAGCAACATTTGGGACCGTCAAAATCTAGTAAAGATTTTGGACGTGACGATAGGCCGGAAAAGATCAAACGAGCGCTGCGCGGACCCTGCAGCAGCTGTGTACACTGCATCGCTAAACGCCCGCTTGGAGCATTGGATGGAAGTGACGGAACCTGAGCTTGAGAGGCGTCCTGCCAACATAATTGGCGCCCCCCCATCTTCCTGGATGAAAGGCAATGATATCTCACCCGGACCAGGCGCATCCTTTCTTTTCCCCGCCTGCTATGATCACATTCAGTTCCTGACTCGCGTGTTTGAATCGGTCGTCATTGGGTGCCCTGTGATAATCATCGCTTGGCCCAGCAGTGTAAGGAAGGGCTTATCGCCGATTGCGCCGCCCAGAATCACATGCTCGCGCAAAGAATCAGCCAGAGCCCACCAACTGGGCCATCTTGAGACTCCCAGGCACAGACTCCAGTCCCATGATCACTGCAAATCTCTGCCAGTATATTCGAGTCGCCACAACTCGCTCTTGAGAAACATACAACGCAGGCGACATGGCACCCTCAGCCGACCAGGGTGCCAATTCGCACGCTCAGGACGCCTCGTCGCACGCCCTCCACCCTCGCTCGCCTCAGCCGGCTCCACCTCCACCTGCTTACTCGCAAGCGACCACCCCGAACTCGAGCACGGCGCAACAAATTGAGGCGAGATCCATCCCCCCAATATCACTACAGAATGACAACCAGCGCCATGTGCTCCCGCCTCTAAGCCAACTCGCGGGTGTCCAATCCCTCCCGATACGCACCGAGACGACTGGGATGACCAACTATCCACCCCAATGGAGCACCCCGAGTGTACCAACCGCACAAGAAATGCCAGCACCTCCCGCACCAATCTACCGTTCCGATCCCAGGTCCCTCGCAGACGCGGACAACTATGGAAGCAACAGCGTGTCCAGCGTAGCATCCTCCGAGTACCGCGCGGACGCGAGGTCGGCTAGCGTTAACATTGACGATCCTGATGTTCGCATTGCGGCTGAAGCCCTTGGAGATCTTCGCGCAGGTATGTGAACACCTTGACTCCCACTGCGATCATTTGGCTGACGATTCCGTAGATTTTGTCTCTTCCCCATCCGATAGCAATGCAGGCCTTCCACTGAGCCCACCGTCACTAGCAACACAGCTGGGTCGATCGCAATCGCAGTCGCACGTGCGGCAAGGGGAGGTAGAGCCTCTTTTCTCGCTACTGACGACATCTCATCCGCTGTTGGCAACAACCATTGAAAATGCGAGCTCTGCGTACGGAGGCGCCAAGAATTTCTCGCCACGTTTCAAATCCAGCGCAGAGTATGTCGAAGGTTACTTGAGCCCAATCGCCAACACGGTGGGCTCTGTCGGCCGTGTGACTGGCGTAGAAGGTGGCGTGCGATGGTTTCTGGGTTCTGGAAGGAGACAGAACTCGGATGTCGAGGCTTCGTCTAGCTCTAAGAAGCGACGCAAAGTGAACCCAGCCGAGCCTGAGCCTCTGACCAAACGACGCCTCGAGGACCAGGACGTCGCCACTCTCACAGAGATTGGCAAGATTCAGGACGTGTACACAGGTGCACCTAGAGGCGATCGTCGACCCTCATTCGCAAGCACGACGGATACTTTGCCAGCCTACGACGGGATGCACGCCCCTGCCTACACGGAAACGACAGATCCTCGTGCCGGCGACGCAGACCGTGGCAGCACAGCCTGGCAGTCGCGCCTCATCATGTCGACGTCCGGGCTCAGTGTAGCTATGAGCGACGAGAGCCTGCGTAGCCTCAAATACTGCCTCAAGTGGCTACGGTGGGCCAATGGGCACATGGGTGGCGTCATTGGCTCGCTCAAAACGACACTTGAGCAGTACGACAAGCCGCACGACGAAGAGGAACCCCCCCTTCAGGACGTGGAGAAGCAAGAAGAGTCTGTGACCGTAGAGCCGTCCGGAGAGCAAGGGGAGCAGCAACCCTCTCGAGCCGAATTGGCCTACCGAATCAACACGCTCAAGGGAGACGTGCTCAAGACTTTGCACGATGCGATCAATATGGTTTCGCGTTACGCCGGAGGCGCCCTGCCCGAGAATGCGCGAGTACTGGTCCGCAGCCACCTGACGAGTCTGCCTCAGCGCTTCCGCTACGCCACCATGTCCGAGAACCAGTCTGAAGCCCAGGACAGTGATTCTGCTGTCCGCGAAGGCGCCCACAAGGTCTTGGTTCTTGCCAAGGAGGGACTCGACATGGTGTCTCAGGTCAGTGGCATCGTGGATGGGACCATCGTCAGCGCCGAAGAATGGTGCGAACGTATGGGAAGGAAAAAGCGTAACAGCAATAGCGGAGAGCCTTCGGGTGCCATTCTTCCCCAGGTTGAGAAGGACAGGGACGACGTCGAGATGAGCCAGTAATGGGTTAGGTTGCGGTGGCTGGAGCGATTGATACCACGTGTCTGCCCAGGCTGGCTTGGATTTTTCTTTCTTGGTTACTTTTAGTTATGGACGGGATGCAAAGAGATGGATTGGCGTTTTGGCGAATTGAGCTGCTGCCTTGTTGATTGTCCGGCTGTCTCCTGTTTAAGAGTGAACAGGAGCGGATCAGAGTAGTCTTGCAAGCGATTATAAGCCGAACAGAGAATGAATTGCTATGCTTCTACCATCTGAGGGGTCTGTATGCTGTTTACGGTGAGTGCTCGCTCCTGCGAGCCCGAGCCATCTTGACCAACGAGCTATCACCTTGCTCGCCCCCATTATTCAATGACAGCCTGGATCTGGGCGGTGTTCTTCTCCATGAACTGTACGTTGGAGCCATAGAAGGCGTCGAAGACTGGGTCGCTGCTCTTCTCACCGCCAGGCCACTGTGTGCGATTCTGGGCCTGGGCACAGAGAGTGGCGTTAATGGTGGCCGTGAAGCGCTGCTCAATAATCTCGGCTACATACGTGGAGGGCTGCGTGGCGTTATGACCCGGCATCCATGCTGAACGGCCTCGAAGGTCTGATCGATTATGTACATGTAGTCTTGATACCTCTGGCTGAGGAACTGGGATGCCCAACTGCGACCATCGTCTGGCTTGTTTGGAAAGTTTTACATATCTTAGATGTCAGGTCTGATTTAAATGTCTTATCCCCTTTGTCTTTTGGATATTGGAATAGTGAAGACTTACGCCATGGATAAGTGCACTGGGCGTCCGTTCCATAGCGATGCCATCAACAGCCGGGACGAGCTTCTCAACATACATCTTGTCGCGAAAGATCTCGCCGCCCACGCCTTCACTGGCATACTGATCCGCTGCATAAAGCTATGTGCGTACAGCTGGGACTTAAGCCCTCTCGTCACATTGGCTGGTCAGGCAGGCGTCGGCCGTGGCTGCCACGAGGGCCTCCCAGGCGGGGAAGTACCAATGCGTCAGGGCGCTTGCCCTTCATAAAGAAGACATGACCGTATTGGCGCACAACAATGAAGTCCTCGTAAGAGGGAACATGTATAAATACAAGCAAAACTCCACCTCTGCCCTAGCTTGCCATCACGCTGTGCCCATCCCTCCCTTCATCCCTCATCCCTCTCCTCCCCCGACACCATTGCAGCGAGCAGCAAGAGATATTCGCCATGGTACCAACGGGACCCGTGACCATCATAAAAATTGTAGACGGAGATGTCCGTCATTGTCGAGGAGACACTCAAGGTGGCGACCCCAAAGCTCGACTACTCCGGTGCCCACGAGAAGACGGACCATCGCCGCGCAAGCCCGACTGGTACATTATGTCCGCCTTGTGGCCCATTTACTGGCTCAAATATCTGGTCTATGGCGCACATTTTGACCAGTGGTTCCTGCTACTGCCACAGATGGCTGGCCCTTGCCCCTGGCGGGCCCCTGACGACCAGTTAATTGACGCCCGAGAAGCGCGCCCTCGCCCACGAGCGCACGCAGCGTGACACAATGGGCCACGGGGGTCAGGATATGTCAGGGGGTGGTGTCCTCAACGCCGCCAAGGATCCCAAGGAGTGGCTCTGTGTGTTCATGCAGCACTACCATCTTGGGGCCAACGGGTTCACAAACTGCTTCCCGACGGCGGTGAGAGCGCTGGGCTTCAAACAGACGATCACTTTGCGATGAAGTGCTCGCCCTGCCTGATTGCCGGTGTTGTCTGTATCGCGTGCTCCTGGTCATCAGCCTAGTTCAACGAGAGGATGTGGTGTGCGGTCAAATTGTCTCCGATACATTATGAGCTTTTGGCTGACAAGATCTCACTGCAGGCACATCATCATCGCCAAGGGGTTTGCCATTTTCGGCTTCATCCTCAGTGACGCGACCCTCAATATGGGTGCCTGATATTGTAAGCAGCAAGAGCCTGGCGTCTGAGAACGAAGCGAGACTGCTGTGCGCCTACGGACCGCCACCCCTCAATCATACGACGAAGACATGAGCGAGTCGAGACTGTAAAAGGCCTCGAGCTCGGGGGAGGTGGCGGCCCCGTCGGGCTTCTCGTCCATGTTGCCGCCAAAGTTGACGAGAAACTGCAGCATCCAGCGATCGAGGACGAAGCTGGAGGACATGTTGTTCTGGCATGTGGCGTGAAAGGCGCGGAGGCGGCCCATGATGCGGTCGAGGGCGGGCCAGTAGGGGCGGAGCAAGAGTAAAATCTCAAAGTTCTTCTCGAGGCGGCGGCGGGCGTCGGCGATCTGGGTCTCGTCGTCGGAGAAGAGCAGGGTGTGTATCTGGACCGTGGAGGCGATGACGAGGACGTGGGCGACCATGTGGTAGCGGACGTCGCTGCCGGGGGTGAAGACGGCGCGGTAGATCATGTCGCAGAGCTGGGCCGAGTGGTATTTACAGCGGTCCGAGTAAACACGGGCGGGGGAGCCGGCGGGGACGCCGTTGCCGACGTGGAGGAACTGGTAGTAGAGCAGCTGGCCAAAGTGGTAGTAGCCGAGGTAGACGGCGGCGTAGGGTCGTCCGAGGCCTTGGAGGTTGAACCAGCGAAAATTGTCGGCGTTGTCGCGGAGGTCCCGAGGCAGGTTGGAGAGCCAGGACTCCATCTGGTGGACGAGCAGCTGGACGCCGTTCTCAAGCTCGACGGGGGAGGGGGGCGAGGAGACGCAGGCCTGGTTGAAGTCGTTGACGGCGAGGAGGATACGGTTGAGGAGGATCATCTGGCTGATGAGCGGGGAGCGGCGCTCGAGGAGAGGCGCGGGCGTGGTCACGGCTCGCTGGAGGTGGAGGAAGGGGAGGTCGTCCGAGGGCAAGGGGGCACCGTCGCCGTCCACGGGCTGCAACCGTGGCAGCTTGACGGCCGTGGACGACCAGACGTCGCTCATGCAGAGCGACCACCAGACTGTGGGCAAGGTTAGCTGAGGTTTCAGCACTCGAAGAGAACGGTCTGTTCTGGCAGGGACCAGTCAGGCCTACTACTCACCTCGTATTTCTATCTCTCTGTCTAGGGTGCTCGCAGCTGGGCGGTGCGGCATGCCCAGCATCCGCGCCATGCGACAGGCAACGGTGTAGAATATGTTTTCAGCCTCTGTGTCGCCATCGCCCGTCGCGCCCGCGCCCACGAGGATGGCGAGGCGCACCGTGTCGAGGTGAATGTGCCGGATATTGAGTCGCTTCTCGGCCTCGAGCATGAACTTGCGGCCTCTGTCCCGAGGCTCCGTGCCCCCAAGGGCCGGGTTTGTGCAGAAACGGGCTGCGAGCCCGAGGATGCCAAAGAGCAGCCCTTCCGGGACGTGGCCTTGGGTGACATCTTGGATAAAGGTGGGACGGTGGAAGAGACAGTGGAACTGATCGTGGATGTAGTCAAAGTACAAGTGGACGATCTCGAGGATGAGCTCGATCCCAGGGAGCGGCGTCCCGAGCTGGATAGAAGAGGGCGACGGTGCGCCCGAGGACGGGTGACCATTTGTTGGACTCTGGGATGGCTGCTGGCTCTGCTGGAGGGCGCGCTGTTCATACCAGCCGCCCCGAGGCAGCTCCTGGACACATTCCGTGTTGTGTGTGATGCAGTGTTCGCAGCGTTCTTGGCCGGGCTCGATGACACACTTGCGACGTCGGGCTCTGTGAGACTGGGTCAGTCCAGCGGACCAAGAGAATGGATCGGTCTGGATCGGGACTGGGGACTGGGGACTGGGGGCTGGGGAGGACAGTAGGGGTGAGGCTGGGCATAATGAAGAGGAGGAGGAAAAGAGGAAAACAAACGCGGAGTTTTCCTGATGAGCGAGCCAACAGCCGACTGTCACTAGACCCTTGTCCAATGATGGTGGTGAATGAAGGAAGGGGATGCAAGCAAGAGACGTACCGACAGGTGGCACAGGCTTTCGGTCGCCTCATGCCGAACAACAGAAGCAGCAGTAGCAGCAGCTAGCCGGCTGCATGTGGACGTAGATCCGAGACGTTGGGAGCGAAGTGACTGGTGAGGTGAGGTGGATGACTCTACGAACGGCTGCCATGTGGTGGTGATGGTGCTCGCGCAGATCCGCGGGGGTCGTGCGAGTCGGGACAGTCAACGCTGCCACTAGTGAATGAATCGCTAGTTATGCTCGTGATACGGAGAGGCCCTGCAGGACGAATGTGGCCGTCTGCTGGCCGCTGGATCACTGGGTATGAGACAATCTGACGCTTCGGCTCGTGAAGAGGAGACGGAGGAGAAGTCGAGGAAGGACCCGGCTGTCGTGGCCGAGTCGGGCCTAGCGCGTGGAAAAGCGTCGGAAAGCTCTGCCGTGGCCTCAAAAGTTCAGCGAGCGGGGATTACGAGATGGAGATGGGCCTCAATGGGGCAGATAGGTATTAGAGTCTGGAGGAAGACGGAGGCTTCGAGGTCGTGGCTTTTAGACTAAGAAGAGTAGAGCAGGGCAACTGGGTGACATGGAGGTGAGGACTGGACACTGGACAGGGAGACGTTCGTGATGACAGGGCCCTGGAGGACACTGGGCCGCGGCTGAGCCCTGCCCTGGCCAAGTTGGAGAAGCCCACGGAGCATTTTGATTGGCCACACAATCTCAATGCACTGGAATCCGCCTAGGGCCCAACGCACGATGCTGCCATCCCCGACCCCAGTGTCTCCATGTCCATGCCCCCCCCCCATGGGGGGCTTCTTTCCTGCCCTGAGCCCTTCTACAGCACGCTTGCAGGCTGCCGGGCACACCACTTCGGCGCACGACAGGGGGTGCCGCAGCCTGTAAGTGCACTGGCCGAGTCGGAGTGCCCCCAACTAACGCGGATGAGGTTAGCGACGGAAAACCTACACGATTTCTTCTCCCTCACCACCACCTGACCGGCCAGACCCGCCTCCACGGACGACTTGTTGTACGTTCAATTCCACATGGCATGGGTCCTGGCATGGGGTTGCTCTCTCTCTCAGTCTTGGCTTCCTAATCCTAACCTGCCTCGATCTGTCGTGGAATCTGGGGACCCGACCTCGAAACCGACATCCACATCTCAAGTATAAAGGCCCTCGCCTGCCTCGTCGGTTCCAAAGGCCTAACTGCCCCCTTCAGATCAACAAGTCTTCCACTTGTCCTCCTGCTCCTTTTACTCTCTACTCTCACCCAGCCAACCGCCGTCATGGCTGCCGAAAAGGAGCTCCAGAGCAGTGCTGCCGCCCCAGTCGACAACAACAACAACAACATGGCCTCTCTCGCCAACGACGGCCTCGCTGCCCAGCAGGCCATTGTCAACGAGCGTGGCATGAGCCTCAGGGACACGCTGCGCCTCTGGCCCAAGGCCATCCTCTTCTCCTTCTTCCTGTCGCTCTGCATCATCATGGAGGGGTATGTACATGTTCTTGTCTCCCCTTTCCCCAAAAGCCCGCCAGAAGTGACCAGAAGTGACCTGACCCCCCCAGCTACGACACCAACCTCATGTCCAACTTCTATGCCTACCCGGCCTTCAAGAACCACTACGGCAACCAGGTCGACCCCGACGGCGGCATGCTCGTCAGCGCCACCTGGCAGACGGCCATTACCAACTCGACGCAGGCTGGCTCCATCATCGGTCTCATCATCAACGGCATCGTCACCGAGTGGATCGGCTTCAAAAAGTCCATGATCTTCTTCATGGTCTTCCTCATTGGCGCCGTCTTCATCCCCTTCTTCTCCACGGGCCTCCCCATGTTCGTCGCCGCCGGCATCATCCAGGGTATCCCCTGGGGCGTCTTCCAGACCCTTGCCGTCACCTACGCCGCCGACATCTGCCCCGTCCACCTGCGCACCTACATGACCTCGTGGATCAACATGTGCTGGGTCATTGGCATCCTCCTTTCGAGCGGCATACTGCGCGGCCTCATGAGCATCGAGGGCCAATGGGGCTACCGCATCCCCTTTGCCCTTCAGTGGATTTGGCCCCTGCCCATCATCGGCGTCACCCTCCTGGCCCCCGAATCGCCCTGGTGGCTCGTCCGCAAAGGCCGGCTCGACGAGGCCCGCGCCGCCGTCCTCCAGATTGTCAACCTCGACGCCGGCATCCCCTTTGACGTCGACGCCCACATGGAGATGATGCAGGCCACCAACCAGCTCGAGATTGAGATCAGTACCGGCACCCACTACTGGGACTGCTTCCGCGGCTCCGACCTGCGCCGCACCGAAATCTCCTCCATCACCTGGGTCGTCCAGGCCCTCTGCGGCGTCCCCTTCATGTCCTACGCCACCCAGTTCCTCGTCCAGGCCGGTCTCGACTCCCAAGACGCCTACTCCCTCAACGTCGGCAAGGACGGCCTCCAGCTCTTCGGCTGCATCTGCGCCTGGTACATCATGACCCACGTCGGCCGCCGCACCATGTACCTCTACGGCCTCGTCGTCATGTTTGTCATACTCGTTGTCGTCGGCTGCATCGGCATCCCCGTCGAGAACGAGGCCCGCTCCTGGGCCATTGGCTCCCTCCTCATTGTCATGCTCTTCTTCTTCCAGCTCAGCCTTGGCCCGGCCTGCTACTCCCTCGTCGCCGAGATGCCCTCGACCCGGCTCCGCACAAAGACCGTCGCCCTCGCCCGCGCCGCCTACAACATTGCCGGCCTCGCCACCGGCTTCCTCATGCCCCAGATGATCGGCCGCAACGCCTGGAACTGGGGCGCCAAGACCGCCTTCTTCTGGGCCGGCATCACCCTCCTCTGCGGCATCTGGGTGTTCTTCCGCCTCCCCGAGCCCAAGGGCCTGACCTACGCCGAGCTCGACCTGCTCTTTGAGCACCGTGTCAGCGCCAGGAAGTTTGGACCAGAGGCAGCCAGCCAGTTTGCCGTCGAGCTGAACATGGCTGGTGAGAAGACGGACGGCGCAGGTGCCCACCATGCCGAGCAGGTCTAATTTTTGTGGGGGAGGGCTATGAATTAGTCCAAGTGTATAATTTGTTTCTCAGATGTGATTTTTTCTCCTTGCTCCTCGTCCTTTGCCCCTTTTACGCCTTTTGTGTGACTGTCTGTACCGAGGTGTCCATATGCAGGGTAAGCAGTAAGCACTGGGCTGCAGGGTAAACGCAAAGGAAGGGCCGACGGCCTTCGGGAGCTCAAACTTGGCCTAGATCTACGAGTACTTGGTAGCGCTCAAGACATCCAAGTTTGAATCATCTGAGCCGTGGTTTGCCAATTGCATTTGCGTCACTTCCTTTCACGGATATCGGCAGTGCCATCTCGGTATAAGCCGCGGGCGGCTAATTCTGGCTAGACGCCTCAAGATGTCCGAGCCCATGACAGGTTTGAGGAGAATCCTGTCCGCGTTGTGGAAGAAAGACTAAAATCCCGACTGATTCATGTCCCTCGACAGATTTGACTTGCAAAAAAAAAAGCCTTCTCGAGTGTATGACGTTGAGGCGGTCCCCGACCCCGATGGTCACGAATCGATCGTTCGAGCAGCGCGACCCACCGCGGCCGCGGCCTGCTCGGGAGCGTCTTTCCGCCCTCCCACGTCGATGATGCGGATCGTACGAAGCGAGCGGCCGGCTCCATCCCATCAGGTCCATTTGTCCTGCGGAATACGCTATGGTAACTGTCGTGGCGAGCACGCTGGCCCGTCCTTTTGCTGTCTCGGACCCTGGGCTCGTGGACATTTTGCTCCGAGGCCTGGATACGTCAGTGACACCTCACTCGAAAACGCCTTTTTTCGAGTCCATTTCATCATTGGGAGCCTACGTACTAATTACTTCGGAGAAGAAACCTGGACGATGAACAAGCAAGACGTCACTGCAAAGCTCCGTGCCGTGCCGTATTTATACCCGTCTTGGGCCGTTCTGCCTCGAAAGTAGAAACACCTTGATAGACTGTACAATCATCATCACCATACCTTGTTGAACCCTCCATTACCGGTCGAATTGCATCACATTACAGGTCCAGCACTCTCACGCTATCCAAGATGGGCTACCCCGATACTTTCCACGGCTTTGCCGTCGACGGCCCCAAGACCTGGAACCAGTTCAAGAAGACCGAGCTCAAGCCCAAGCCCTTTGAGTCCCACGACATTGACGTGCAGATCGACGCCTGCGGCGTGTGCGGCTCCGATGTCCACTCCGTCACCGGCGGCTGGGGCGACTTCAAGGGTCCCCTCTGCGTCGGCCACGAGGTCGTGGGTCGCGCCGTCCGCGTGGGTGACCATGTAAAGGGCATCTCGGTGGGCGACCGCGTCGGCGTTGGCGCCCAGGTTCAGTCGTGCCTCGAGTGCGACATGTGCAAGTCCAAGAACGAGAACTACTGCCCCAAGATGGTGGACACGTACAACGCGCAGTACGCAGATGGCAGCTGGGCGCACGGCGGCTTCGCCAGCCATATCCGCGCCCACGAGTACTTCACCTTCCGCATCCCCGATAAGCTTGAGTCAAAGGTGGCCGCCCCGCTACTCTGCGCCGGAATCACCACCTACTCCCCGCTCGTCCGCGCCGGCGTGGGACCTGGCAAGCGCGTCGGTGTCCTCGGCATCGGCGGCCTGGGCCATCTGGGCATTCAGTTCGCCAACGCGCTCGGCGCCGAGACGTACGCCCTCACCACGTCCGAGGACAAGGTGGCGGACGTGAAGAAGATGGGCGCCAAGGACGGCATCGTCACCACCAAGGACGGCTGGGCCGACCAGTGGACCAACAAGTTCGACTTTGTCCTCTGCTGCTCCGACATGACGCACAGGTACGACCTGGCCACGCTCCTCACCCTGCTCAAACCCATGGGTGACTTCCACATGGTCGGCCTGCCGGACAATGCGCTGCCTCAACTCACTGCCGGGACGTTTGCGGGCAACGCCCCCAAGCTGACAGGTTCGCATATTGGTAACCATCAGGAGATGGACGCCATGCTGGCCCTGTGCGCTGAGAAGGGCCTTGGTCCCTGGGTCGAGACGCTGAGCGTTGGCGAGGCTGGCTGCAAGGAGGCAATAGAGCGTGTGCGCGAGAACAAGGTGCGCTACAGGTTTACGCTCGTCGACTTTGAAAAGGCCTTCAAGGACGAGAGGAAAGATTAGACTTGAGGGTCTTTGATTTCTTACGTATAATAGTAGTAATGCATGATTCTGTTGATACCACCTTTCAGAAGCGGCTCCAACATGGCACGTATCAGCTCCTCTCAAACAATCGCATGCAGAGGTAATGTTAGACTCCAGAAATAGTCTTAGCTGAAGAAAATTAAACCGTCTTCGATACGTAACGATCTCTCCTTCCCTGCGCGCCCTCCCCGAAGCTCCTTCCTTCCCTGTCATGCTCCGCGACTCCGGAGCGCGGCCCCGCTCTCCGCCCCGATGCTCCGGGGGCACGGATCGCAGACCGCCCGTGTCATTGGTCGCCTTAGCGGGTATTTTCCCTTTGGGGTGAGCGAGGCCTACAAGAGTGGGGGGAGACCCCTGCTCCGGCCGTCTGACGTCAATGCCCAATCACTCCAGCCGCAGGGAGAACGACAGCGAAAGCTCGGGAATCGAGAGGGGTGAAGAATGAAAATATTATGACGGGTACGATTCGACGTGGGTAGCTCTCGGGTAGCTCTTATAAAGCTTTGGCTCCTCTCCATCCGGACAATTGGCAGTCTGTTTTCACCCTCATCTTACAGCATCATCACCACCTCTAACCACCGATTCTACCCAATCCACCAAGACAACACACAGAGATCCATCACAATGGCCCCAAAGATTCTCATCGTCCTCACGTCTGCGGACAAGATGACCACAACCGGCAAGCCCACTGGCTGGTACCTCGTACGCCATCCTCTCACAGCCGTCTGCCACTCCTACTGACCCGACCACAGCCCGAACTCGCCCACCCTTACAACGTCCTAGCCCCCAAGGCCGAGATTGTCATGGCCTCGCCGAAAGGTGGCAAGGCACCTCTTGACCAGGCTTCTGTCGAGGCCTTCAAGGAAGACAAGGAGTCAGTGGACTTCCTCAACAACAAGTCCTCCGTCTGGGAGAACACTACCCCTCTCAAGGAGTTCCTCGGCCGCGCCAACGAGTTTGACGCCCTCTTCTATCCCGGCGGCCACGGCCCCATGTTCGATCTCGCCACCTCGGAGGACTCGATCAAGTTGATCCAGGAGTTCTGGGCCGCCGGGAAACCCGTGTCCGCCGTTTGCCACGGCCCCATTGTCCTGGCCAACGTCAAAAACACCGACGGCACCGCGTTTGTCCAGGGCAAGACCGTCACCGGCTTCACCAACACCGAGGAGCAGCAGGCCGGTCTGACCGACGCTATGCCCTTCCTGCTCGAGACCGAGCTCAAGAAGAATGGCGCTAACTTTGTCCTCGCCGACCAGCCTTGGGGCGAGAAGGTTGTCACTGATGGCAAGCTCATTACCGGGCAGAACCCTGCCTCGGCCAAGGGCGTTGGTGAGGCCATCGTCAAGGCTCTCGGTATCTAAATCGTTTCAAGCTAGCGAGTAATAATGAATTGATGATGACATTGACGTTCGTGATACTCAATGCTGAGTGATGAGCGTGCTATACCACGAAGCGGAGCCGACTGCAGTGCAAAATAAATGCTTTTGAAGGATGCATTGTCAAATTCTTCGCCACGCTGTCGGTCAGTCTCATGACTGTTGTCTTGCAGTACCCGCCGTCCAGCCCCGGACACACATGCCGTGCCAAAGCTGCAATATGGGGATGTAAGCATCAGTCAACGAGGACTTGCGGTAGGGTAATTTGGATCGGTACGCATGTCGATGGATAGACAATACAAAGCATGAGACTCCAACGTAGCCAAATATGCCAGTGCTACCGAAACCAACTTTGTCGATCGACGCACGAAGCTATGTAAGTTCGCCTCGTCTGAACGCGAATGGACCAAAGCATATCAGACACTAGTGAACAGCCTCACCTTCTGCCGAAGCATAATGCCGGGGCCAGAAGTTGCAACATGGCAGAAAAGATACAAGATGTACCAAGGAGATGATGGCATCTATTGCGACAAAGATATTGCGAACTATGAAAGAATGTGTTTTGCGAGCGGCACCTTGCGTCCGCAGGAGGTTCATATTCATCTAGAACTAGAGAAACAATCAGTCTATAATAGCTCAAAGTGTATTGTGTCTAGGTGATCTGTCAAAATTGGCCTTGATGGGCTGTCCTTTCTTCGATACCATCAGTGCATTCTCTCCCAACCCCTTACATACCATCGCCTCATCCACGCCTCATCGTCTCACTACCTCACCAACTGACTCACGCCTTCCCGCCACCATAGCCCATCATGGATCGCCCGTCAGGTTTTGACGTAGATGACAACTCTGGCCGCGGGTACGTTTCGTGGATACCCTTGGTTGAAATTGGAACAGGCCAGTGCGGCACCGTCTTCGCGCTCCCTGGCTCTGTCCCCTCTGGTTTCGCTGCCGTCGCGAAAATCCCCAACGAGGAAGAAAAGTTTGATCAGCTGGTGAACGATTGTGCAATACATCGACGTGTTCTCGACAATTTCCAAGGCTGCGATCCTGCTCTCGCCAAAGACATCAACATCCTGCGCGTCGCCACATGCGTTAGCGCCGACATGCAGAGCTTCTGAAGCCAACATGATTTACAATACCATGATCGTCTGAGCACCCATGGCTTCGCTCTGGTCTCTGCGAGAGTCTTCGCCGTTCCCGTGCCCTTCCGCCACGCTATTGTGGACAGCCTCTGCCCTTCTCCCATCCGAGCGAGGAAGCAGGAGTTCTTGGCCATGGCGGCGAACCAAAACTGCCTGGTTCGAATATACCTCGGCCGACGAGAATCAAATAAAACCCAGATCAGGCTTGGGAACGTCAGGCTTCAGAACTTTCCACTCTACGTCAACGAAATGGAGCAGCTGAAACTGGGCACCATCGCATATGCGCATGTCATGGCCCAGACACTCTCGATTCTTCACGGGAAGGCCGGCGTCGATGGTAATGACGTGGAGTTTATCCTTGGGCGCTCACCTGATGAAGTGGCCTCTACTGAGAGGGAAGCCGGTCTTGATGAGTGCACTTTGGTGGAACCTCTTCATTCTTTATGAGTAACCCGAGGGATCAGCGTCTGGCTCATCGACTTCAACCTGTATGTTCGATCCATGATTCAATATCTCAGAATGCTAACACATACCAGTTGCTCCACATTCGAGGATAACCCTGCCGGGTTCAAGAAGATCGTCGACGCCTTCTTCTGGAATGATCCCTACTTCCCTGATCCGACTTCGGATATGGATGGAAACAAGAAGCTCTGGGCCGCTTTCAAGGAGCGGTATCTCGAGGTCAGTCGTCAATTCGCCAACAGGGGGGGCGCCTGAGCACTTCATTGCCCCGAGATTGAGGACAAGTGTCGCAAGGCATCTGTGGGAGGATTGTTTCAAGCAGGATCGCACGTCGTGTGAGCTGCTGCATGGGATACGCCCGATATTGGAACAGTCAAATCCCTTCTTTTATAAGAGCGAAACTCACATTCTCCATATCTCGTTGGTGTTGTTGGTCGAGACGACGACTGGTCCTTGTTCTGGACGAAAACTGTTAGCGTTGTACCCGCGTTCTACACCCTAATCTCCCGTGGATGCAGCGACTTAGAAGTGTTCACTAACAGCACCAATCGCGTATTGCTCAGTATCCCGGATTTCAGAAGAGGGCTAGAGGTCCGCCAAGACAATAGACACCGTCCCCGCCGCTCCCGTCCATTGACCGAGCGACCAACCCGCCCTAGGCAAATCGGGCGCGTCTGGACGCACTGATTCTTCCGCTGCCATGTCTTTCGTCCATCGCCTCCCCGAGGATCATAGCACAGACCACATACATATAGGCCACTCTTACACATACCAAGCGGACGTATCCCAAGATGGACAAGCAGGCGCCCGGGATGTCGACAGCGCCGATGGGAGTGACCCTGATGACTCTGGCTACGGTGAATCGCTGACAAGCGTCGCCACGAGACTGAGCGCACATTTGCCCACGCACGAGTACCGCCATGGCAGGCGATACCACGGCCTCCAGGCAGGGGCCTACAACTTCCCCAATGATGAGCTCGAGCAGGCGCGCCTGGACATGCTACACTACGTCTTCACCACCTTGATAGGTGACAAGCTCCATCTTGCCCCCATCGCCCCCGATGCGGCCGTGCTGGACATTGGCACGGGCACAGGGACATGGCCCATTGCGTTTGGGGATGCCAATCCGGCTGCATCGGTCGTGGGCGTCGACTTGAGCCCCATACAGCCCATGTGGGTGCCGGCCAACGTTCGCTTCGTCGTCGACGACGTGGAGATTGACTGGGCGGATGACATGTACGACTTTATCCATTGCCGGTACATGGCGGCCGGGATACGAGATTGGCCGGGACTAGTTCGCAAAATGTACCGACATCTGAAGCCCGGCGGCTGGCTGGAGCTGTCCGAGTCGGAGAATGTGGTGTACTCCTCCTCGGCAGACGGAGTACGACAGCCGTTGTCGCCACGACACCCACTCAGGAGGTTGATGGACGGACTTTCAGAGGCGTGCGAGCGCATAGGACGGCCCTTTGACCCAGCGCCCTCGTTCCGCTCGTGGTGCGAGACTGTTGGGTTCGTCGATATTCAAGAGCGGGAGTTCCCCTTGCCTGTCGGGTACTGGCCGCAGCATCCACGGTCGAGGGAGCTGGGCTCACTTATGGTGGTCAACTTTTCCGAGGGTGTCGAGGCGTTCACCGCCGCCTTGTTTGCGGATGTGCTTGGGTGGAAGGTGGACGAGGTGAGGCGGCTTAATGAGGAGGTGCGAGACGTGGTGGACGGCGAAGGCGACGACCAACTCATGTTTCGATACTTTGTTGTCACAGCACGGAAGCCTTTATAGAATAGGCCTAACCGCTTGTGACATGGGCGCACAGGCTGGCAATAGCGTTTGGAGGTATTGACCGCTGGACCAACAGGAATGGCGCATACTGCAGCTGTCAGACTGAACCTGCAGCGCTTCCGATATATCAATAGTCAGCGTCAGTGTCTGGCGCCGACCACATGAGCTTCTCATCGACTCCGTCAGCCCACTTGGCTCCAACATCCTGCCTGGCCTCCTCTGTCATCCTCTTCTTCTCTTGCTGGACTTCCTTCTGCACCCATTTCCTTTGAAAGGCGGTGAAGAACACTCCAGCCCGTCTCGCCGTGTTCAAAAACGAACTGAATGCCCCCCAAGCCCTGGAACAACACTCCAAGTGTTTGTGAATATCTGCTGTTGGCAGCCGAGGATACCTGTAGCGCGTCACGCAGGCCAGGATGAGCAGCATCGCGGCAGAGCAAGTGTTGCTCACAGCGTGAAGATGCATCCTGTCGAATGAACATTGTTTCTCAAAGGTCATGAGAATCTTGTTGATACAGGCTGCTGGTTCAGCGCACACCATACGGGCATGACTGCGGCCTGGGCCTTGCTTCGTCTCGAAACGATAGATGTTGTCGTCGCCCATGGCGAGGCTGCATACCTCGACCTCACCGCCTATACGATCGATATGAAACGCGAAGCCCATAGCTAACTGCTTATATTAGTACATATTGCCAAAACAGAGCGAGGTAAAGCTAGTGTTCTATAATAGGGGGAGACAGGGCCCGAGCGACTCTACTTCTATTGTAAGGGTTGGTTAGAAAAGATCCGCGGTATTAGCGGCAGGAGTGGGTGATAGGTTTCGTATGAATCTTCTTATCTTCGTCGAATCCTTAGGGTCTAAGATCGCGGCGAGATACGTATGTACGAGCAGAGCGATGGCTTATTATGAGCTTGCTAGGTCTGAGGACTCGTCATCTTTAGCGTGGGTAGGCAGGGCACCGGCCATACCTTGTAGGATACTATCTCTGCTCAGGCGCGATATCTTGCTGATGCTCCATGTTGTTGCGGAATGGCCTGCCCTAGGAGAATTTCCACGAACTGACAGTTCAGCCGTATGCCCCAGACCTGATGGCTTGCGACTTACTGGTCCGCGATATGAGCGCTCCGGAAGACCTAGCGGCGGGTCTCAGCTTCTTCCTCCTTCATTAGCCGCTTTTCGACGTACGGTGCCATATCAATGTGCAGAGAGAGGTGGGAAAGCCAGTCGTAGCGCGGAGCCCGACGGGAGGTTGACAATGCCATACAAATACGCAGAATTCAATAATGACCTACCACTCAGGAGGAGGCCTAGCGTATCCCTCCTGCATCCTATCTCGTGGATACTCAGCAAGACAAGCGCCTGAACGGTCGCAACCGTCGGGCTGCCCTGATCAAGGCCCAGCAAAGCCTTGGCTCGGTCGCCAAAAATTCACGCAGAAACCGCGGAAAAGTCACGAATGATGGATGGTAGTGAGGCTCCAAAAATTGGCCCGAATGCGCATTTGCCAACTGCCAGCCCCAGTCTGCTTTCATGAATCTTGCGGGCACAAACATGCCGTTTTTGAGTGACTTAGAGTAGTATGGCGTATCCTCTTCCTTCTGGATTCAGGCCGTCTAGGCGCTCTCGTACAAAGATCTGTCGATGCCATGCATAGACGACACCTGCCAGCAAAAGGAGAGCCCGAGGATGTGCTTCTCCATCTCGAGGGGCACTTTGCGGTCGAGGCCAAGACTATCCAGCGCAGCTTGACCATCGCGCCGGATTGTCCTGTTGAATGTGACCTGGCTTCTGGCGCTGAGACAGTCCAGTCCTCACACTGTAGTTCGACGTGGGCCCATAGTATCGCGTGTAGCCATTGCAATGGCACGATGTTCAGGGAGCCAACGTGGGATGAGATCTAGTCAACCAGTGCCTCCATACTATCTTCAACGCTCGAGTCGGATGTCTGGTCTGACAGGTCTGTAAGCATGAACGTGTCGAACATGGGCTGGACGCATCAGGATTCGAAAGTACACCCTAGTTCAGCTCGAAGTGACGTCCAGATCGCAGACCACCAAGTCCTGCGACTAGTCCCAATTGAGCGTTTGAACGAAAGAGTATTTTTGCTATGCCTCTACCCCAGTGGCTACATCACTGTTTGTAGACTCTGCGTTGATCAGCGTGATCTTCTGAGCAACAACACTCTGCTTTTGAGGGCTGGAAATTGTGGCCAAGCTTTGAGAGGACGGACACCGTCTCTTCACTTGCCATTGGTGGCACCAAACCACTGTCGCGGATGAGTTCGTCGAATCTCGCGAGAAAAAGGATTTGCAGCTGTCAAAGGCTTATATCAGACCAAGATATTTGTCTAGTTCTGATATACACAAGTTGGGAATACTATTCGCAAGGGCAAGCTTAGTTGCGGCTTGGTGAACAAATCGGCCTACCCGGTAGCCCACTGTGCTCCACGCTCTCTGTATTGCGAAACGGCAACTTCTCATGCGTTATGATTGACCTTGGGATAGTGTTCAGATTTTCAAGTGTAGGCTCTCCAAAACCCATGATCGTTTGGTCACTTGTAGACTGCGACGCAGTGAACAGCAACATATAAATCCTCGACACTGACAGGAGAACCAAGCATTGGATCAATATCCGCTTCAGCCCAGACACGACCATTGGCTGGTATCGTTCACCGACGTAGTTGCATCGAATATCATTGCGCCGTCAAGATCGGCAGGAAGCTGAACAGGATCCGGTATGTTCCATGTACATTGATACAGTCGCCGGGTGTGACGAGGAGGTAATACAAATATGATAACAAGTCGACCGCGCTCACGCGGCCGAACGCCGTGGGGCCTGCAATATCCGCTCCCTAATCACTGTCGATGCCACCTCCGAGCCATGCTGGAGCAGTATAGCTCCGACGATCGCCTGCACAGCGCGGGATGAAATAGTCGAGACGCCTGATTGCTCAAGATCTTGTGTCTAGAAGAGAAGGATTAGCATAGGTTCTTTCGATAGGGTGCTTCCCGGGGCCATACCAGTCGCGGTTTCCACCGCAACACCATTAGGAGATTGGTCTTTTGGGCCGTTGCTAACAGGCTCGACGCGACACGACTGGTGGGCGACTCAATGTGCAGATTGTCCACGGATCGCAGTTGGGGGTGGACATCCTCTCCTTCTCCTAATTTCGGGTTGCGCTCGCTGTTCACCGTGGTCTTGCAGGCCTCCATGTAGATTGCCATACGCCCTGTCGTCCCATTAGTCACTGGAGCGTATGGTCGCAGCACCACCGGGTTTGAAACCTACCCATCATGGCCAAACGCTCATTATTTCCTCTTTTCGCCTGGTCGAAGCTCTTGTGAGTGATGGCTAGCCATTTCAACTCCTCGGGCAGCATGTTGGGGCCCTCGGGTCCGAGTAGACTCTCGTAGAATTCATCGAGAACCTTGGGGTCCGAGTTGACAGCCCACTCCGAGTTCACTGGGTTCTTGGCCACTCTAACGCGAAAGGGGGCTACCATGCCCTCGGGCGTTGCCTGCCATCGTGGCTGTCGTCGTGTCTCGGGATTGAAGCTCTCGGGCTGTTCTGTCGGGGGCGCCGTGTCTTTGAAGGCGAAGTTGCGGGCAAATGTCTTGGGGCGGATGATGTGGCGACTGCGCGCCAAGGCGTTTCGACACGGTTGTGAGGCCATTGTGCTGGAGAATGTGGTTTGGGAACTCGACTGTCGCGTTACGGATCTGGGAGCAGCGTCGAAGGCGTCGCGAACATTTTCTCGAGATCACGTGCAATCAGCAGGGGTAGCTGTAAGGGTGGCCCCACCCAAGCACCTAGGTATGTACGTACCTGTACGGAGTACGGCGTACAGAACGAGACCTAGTCGGGTGTGCTTCTCGCAATGTAAGGACTCAGAGCTGTCTCTCTCGTTCATCACGCCCGAAAATGGCGCGTCGAAGCACCAGCTGTCTGCCCATGTATTATTAAATCCCTGTGGAATTATAACCGAACATTTCCTCTTCAATTGGCTGGAATCTCCACCAGAGGAAGCCCTCACAATGTCCGACACCCTGGGCACGCGCCTAGCCAAGGTGCTGCCAAAGTCCACCACCTTTCACGTCCACCATCTCTCGACGCCCCCCACAAAATGCGAACCTTTGTGCTCACCACCTCCGAATGAGCGACCAGACCGAACATATTGCGAGAAACACTTCCTCTGCATATCCATTGACCGGCCAGTCGGGACGGAAGAGGTCAAGAACAAGCAGGTGCTCATCCTGGGCGTGGAGGTCTTCATCTTCACGACAGCGCGGGCCACAACCATATTTGTTTCCAAGGCCGACTCAACGGGATACCTGCACATCCTCAACCTCCCGAAAGGCACGCCGAGCCCGATCCGAGAAGTCTGTGCCACCTTTGTCAACTTTCTGGTCGACACGCGGAGGAGGAAGGACGTGCAGCTGGTGATTAGTCTGTTCGCGCGCGCCCAGGACCAGTATCTGTTCCCCGGCAGCGTCAAAAACAAGGGGAAACATGTTTTGGATGATCGAGGTCTCGTGAAGTGGTGGTGCCGTGTTCTGGACCCTATCCTCGGCAATCGGATTGGAGGCTACTTGGTGGTTCCTGGTCACGATGCGCACGAAACAAAAGCCTTCCTCCCCAAGGGAAGCACGCGCTGGACAACAGATCACCCCTTGGAAAAGATATCGCATTACACCAAAGAGTTCGATTGGGTTCCGCCTAGATGTCTAATTCCCAAATACCCCGACGACCCAAAGTCGCGATTCCGAGACGAACTCGACGACGAAGCAACACGCACCAAGTCGTTCCGCCTTACCGGAAACTGGAAGAGCGTAAAGACGCTGGACACTTTCTGGGAGATGATGGCCTTTCGCCAAGAGTGCTCGAGTGGCAGATTGACGGGATTCGTCTGGATCGTCTTCGACGATGAGGCACAGGATGATACGAAGAATAGCGTGCTGCCGACACCCAGTGTTTCTTCCACGGAACAGCCTCAGGCGCCAGAGACGCCAAAGAAGTCGCGCACCTTATCCAATGTGGCAGTCAACACCACGCCTCGGAAGCTGTTCACCTCGAAAACGACGGCAGGAGCTGTGCCAGCCTCCGCAACCAAGAAGACGACCAAGAAACCAAATAAGAAGAAGAGGAGGAAGTTGACAGGAATCGTCATTGCACGAGCCCCGCGCATTAAGACCGCCGCGAAGAATTACGAACCAAATGCTCCGTCACATACTGCGCACTACGCGTGGAATGAGGAAGGCCGCGGGGAGCGTATTGTTCGGGAAACCGACTATAAGCGCATGGTCGAGCTGTTGCTGCATCTCGACTTTTCAACTATCGACAAAGCCGCGGCCAGTACCAGCCGCTGGACAGGGGAGGTGGGCATGGGGGCATCGTTCGGATACGACGTCGTGGGTACGCGTGCGATACCAGCTGGCACAAACGGTGCGAATCCAAGCGATCCATCAACCAACGACCTGAATGGGCTTGTTAAGAGGAAGAGAGCGGAATCCGGCGCCGGTTCGGAGGTGAACACCCTTGGCGCAGGAGTGATTCGCAAGAAGCCCAAATCCGATGACACGGCCGCCCCCACAGTAAACACCCTCAGCGCTGGTCTGGTGCGGAAGAAGCCAAAGAAAGACTGAATGAGGCATTGGGACAATCATTATTAGCGAGGCGTTACGGATACTGCCGCAAGACAGGCATTGAATGGCATGGCAAACGATGAATCGGACGTGTGCACGGATTCCATGTAAACAGACACAGTCTTGGCTCGATTACAAGATTAAGCGCATAATGATCTCTCGACCGCCATCATATGACTAGATTCCACCGCCTGCAATAGGTCGCTGGATCACCGCAAATATTGCATATTCACAGGAGTGATGGCCATCTGCCCGCCCAGAACAGCCATGACGTTGCGCATACTGAGCTCCTCGAACCCGATATGTGTCTCCACCGTCCCTCCAGCATTGTGGCATGTCAGCATCGCCCTGCCCGTCTTCGCATGCTCTCTCAGCCTGTCACTGATACTGGGCTCGCGAGGGTGAACGTCCAGCGCCACTGAACTCAGCTTCCCACTGTCCAGAGCATTGGCCACGGCCTCTTCGTCGACCAGCGAGCCCCGTGCCACGTTGACGAAGCGCGCACCGTCACGAAAGCACCCGAGTTCCCGCGCGGTAATGAGAGCGCTGGTTGCTCCAGGGATTGCAGGTGCACAGAGAATGGCGACGTCGACACTGCCGACCAGCTCCTCCAGCGATGCGCACGTCTTGGCCTCGAGAGACTCCGTCACACTCTTTGGCATCTCGGCCACGTCGTAATACCAAATGTCCATCCCGAAGCCGAATCTGCATCGTTTGGCGATTTGCTGCCCAATGCGCCCCAGTCCGATCAGACCGACTTTGTGCCCGCGGAGATTGTGTGACTTTATCGTTGCGTTTTCGTGACAATCCTGGAATTCGACAGTGTCGCCGGATGAGGCGGCGGAGATACACCACGGCAACAACCGAAACGTCGATATGATCATGGCAATGGCAAAGTCAGCTACGGCTTCAGCTGCTGCCAGCCCAGAGTTGCAGTATACGATGCCTGCGTGCAAGTCAGCAACACCCCCCCTACCCATCGCCGTCTTGTAGGGACATGTACATACCTCGCTCGCCCAGGAGCTTGGTGTCAGCCCAGTCAAACCCCGCGCCAGCACTGGCAAAGACCTTAACAGTGGAGGGCAGCGCGTTGATTAGTTCGGCATCCCATCGGCCCATCTCACCTCCCGTTCCCCAGAATGGACGGAAGATGGCATGAAAATCGCCCCATCGTTTCTCCCTGAGAGCTTGAAGGAATGCGGTCCGCTCGCGCTCGTGCGCCTCGGGACGTATAATCTCACATTGTGCGCTGAACTGGGCGTACGTGCCGAGGTTATACTTCACTGGATCTCCAATGTGAAGTACTCGACGCCTGGAAGGAGCAAAGGCTGCTGCGAGAGGGGAATGGGGAAGGGACGTGATGGGGATGATGGGCGCATTAGGGTGATGCCCGCCGCCGCTGCCGCCGCCGACAGGTGAGCTGGAGCGAGGGGTCGATGCGGGGACCGGGGTGTTGGTCGGCTCTGCCATGCTTGCTGCTGGCTATACTTTGGAGCAAGTGAGGATTTATGTAGTATGAAGATTATGTGTTTGAAAGCTTGGATGTATCGGCCATGGAGGCTTGTGATGGCTACGATTGTCCCACAATTCACAAAGTCCAACCTGGTTGTTTGACCGTCACCGCCTTGTACAGACGAAACAGACCAGGCCCAGTACGTGGCGCGCGCCGCTCCATCCAGTCAGTCAAGCTGCGGAAATTGGACAGCGAGCCCACGATAATGCGGCATGTCATGGGATAGGACAGACTGGTAACTGGCAATGCTGCTGCCCAAGGTATGCCCAAGAAAAAAAGACAGTTCTGGACCCCCAAATTCCCCACCATCCACGACTGCACTGGGCGATCCCTGTTTGCGATAAGAACCGGGCTTTGTGTGGTTTGTTTCCAACGCATCATCTCCAACGCTATGTTGCACGGACTCTCAACACAGCGTTGTACTCTAGATCTGGTCGATCAGATGCAAATCAGTGAGGATGACTCAGCACGAGCAAGGCGACTGATATTGAGATATCGTCAGTCTCCAAATCAACTTGACGGCGACGTTGAGAGCATTGTGGCCATCGTCCTCATCCGCACCAGGCTTCCTCGTCCTGTCGTCACTGAGAGGTAAAGTCTTGAGGAAAGGTCCATCCGCCCGTCTGCACTTCGGATGTGCAGCACTCAATGATGTTCTGCACACTCTCCAGCAGATCACTCGCATCGTTCGTTGATAGGAATGACACTGTCACCGGCAGCGCCCACTCTTTGATCTCAAAATTGCTCTCTAGTGGGATCTCGATTTGCGAAACTATGCAAAGGCGTCAGCATGGACACATCAGAGACCAGTGCTTGCACTTACAGGGGACCACCACTTGCGAACATCTCGTGATTGGCGACAACCAATGGGTGAGAAATTGTGAGTAGGTCAGAACCTCTGGATCCGGTGTGTCCTCATGCCGTCGGAAGCTGGGCTCAACCACAATGTCAGGAATTATGATGAGAGGGCGCTCATTCGAGTTCATGCTCTTCGCTTCGACAAGGTTTCGAAACCAATGCCTGAAGGCGATCAGGTCGTTCCTGAGGCAAGTCGCTTGCTCCTCATCCAGGTCGCCCAGGTCGCTGGGTTTAATAATTTCAGCCGATCATTACACATCTGCCATTTAAAAAAGGCTCTCTTACCGTGACCGGTAAGTCTGAATGTCAGCAAACGGCTCTCGGCCATGCCACCGTTTGAAGTACACCCAGAAATCGTCAAAGTAGTGCCTCCAGGTCCTGCTCAGGAGTTCATATGGCGCCTGCTATGGTCAGCGAAGTAATAAAGCAAAGGCGTACAAAACTCACACCACCAACTTCTTCAAGCATGTCTGGGCCTGTAGGTTTGTGGCGTTGCCATTCTTCTTCCAGGCTCATTGACTCGATTCGGACGTTGAGTACCCGGCTTATTTTCCGATACAGTTGCTCTAAGCAGTTTCTCTGCTCCGAAGACATCCTGTCTTCGCCCGCAGTGCCCCAGTCTAGACTGATGACCTTGGTAATCACCTGAGATCTGGAGCTCTGGACGAGACTTTTAAGTGTCGTCTTTTGGCTAATGGCAGAGCATGCAAACTGCAGATCCGCAAAGGATCTTGCTGCGACTCCGTAACCATCAAAATCATCGTTGCTACCGCAGAAATTAGTACAAGTACCCTTCGAAGCCGTTGCGTGGGACATACAACAACTGATCACCCTCGGACTGACGACTGGAGGATATGCGTACAGCATATACTCCATTTCGGGCAGCTGGGATTCGTAGTCCGCCGTACGCTAAGTTCGTTAATGTTGCTGATCATCCAAAAGAAGGCTGTCTTACAGTCGACGGCGAATGCCATTTGAAGCCAGTCGTATCCTGCGACAGAAACTGCTGCTCCTGGCGATCCAGCCCCAGAATCCTGGAGCTGGTCACCGCGCGGGTTCCAGGGCTTGCTCGAGTCTCTCCAACAACCAGCCAGAAGCTCAGGGACCTTTGTCTGACCTACAATGGCCGCCCCGAGATCGATTAGTTGCTGGGCCATGGCATTGGTCTCAGCGCTGATGCGGTTGAACAACGTGTAGTCTCTATTGGAAAAGCATTCGCGCACCCCTTCTAGCCTCATTGACTCGCTTATGGAGATCCGGACACCACGCAGGCCATCTTTGTCCTTCCGGAAGTAGAGAGTCGACGGCACAGCGATCGAAGCAAACAGACCACCTTGAGCCATAAAAGTGAACTCTTGGTATCTATCTTACTTTAGTAATCTACGGCATAGAGCACGCGCGGAAAAACTACCTTTGCGGTTGGAAAACATCATCTGGGATCAAGCCCCTGGTGAAGGCCTGGTACGTATCAACGCGAAGAGCATACGCTGCGTGGATATTAGGGCCTCGGAGGAAATAAGGACCGGATGGAAGCTCTTTCAAGTCCGCAAGCGAGCGGGCCCCCGGATATCGAAGCGCATACAACGTTTTGGAGTACCTGGCTTGCTGAAAGGTACTCCGCCGAGTAGCAATGGCATCTTTCACGAGTGAAGATGCCGTTGGTTTTTCAACAAGAACCGAACCAAACTCAGGTCGAAACACATCATCAGTGGCGTCGAATTCGTTGAGGATTTGCTCAAGTCTGTCGTTGAAGATCTCATCCGTGTTGAGCAGGGTGACTGGGATGAGTGCGCTGGGTTTGATATCTCCTTGAATAGCGCCCTTACAGGACGTCAGCGAGTGTCCATATCTCCTGCTATTATGATTCTCCTTCATCAGACTCTTACCAATATCTGTGGATGAATTAGGTACTCCGCATCGCCAACCTTGCAAGTTTCAATCGGCGCGGCTGTCTCTTGGACTGGACCTGCTTGCCGGGAAGCGCAAGAGCAATGGTTAGAAGCTGAAGAGCATGAGCTGCATATAAGAGTCATTGCGATGATAAGTTGATGAATTGACCTGAGCGGAAGTCGACGCCAGGGATCAATATCGGCGCTCGGTGGTATGTGGATCGCGCGACCTTCCAGGACAGGGAACACAATGAGAGAACAATATGCAATAAGGGCCGAGAGAATTGCAAAGAGCTATGAAACGATGGTAATGGACTCGAGAAAACGGAATGAAGAACGGTCGACGACAGCTCAACCCCAGGGTGTGAGTTCGACGTGTGACGTGACAGCCCGGTGAGCTTCGATAAGTCAGTCGGGATTCGGTGAGCTTATCAGTGTGTGGGACCAAAATTTATGGCATCCGATTGACACCCCCACCAACATGAAGTGACCGGGAACATCACCAGTACCAGCATACATAGCATACCCAAAATGGCGAAAAATAGAGGTATGGTGATGCCAAGCGCCTCCCGAGCTAAAGCGATTGCTAATTTGTAGCCCCCTCAAAGCACTCTCGTGCCGCGCGCCGCGCAACATCCCCCGGCATCGACACCGACAAGTCCTTGAAGGACTTAAAACCCCCTCCGCGCGACGTAGCACCCCGCCCCTCTGTTCTCGCCGTGCAACGCTCTGCCGGCGTCAGCAAGAAGACCAAGGGCGGTCGCAAGAGCCAGCTATCCGCCAAGGCGCGGAAACGCCAGGAGAGGGGCCTGCAGATGGCGGAGGCGATCGTGGAGCGCACTAGCAAGAAGGTCGAGAAGAGCAAAGGACGCGGGAAAAACATTGTAGAAAGGAGTCAGGCGTGGGAGAAGATCAACAAGGAGGCCGAGGCGGCTGAGCAGGAAGCGGACGACGCGAGCGACGATGAGGACGAGGAAATTCAGGGCGACGGGGTTGCCCCCAAGGTCGACGACGACGATGCGGATAGGGGCGCTGTAGAAGCTGGCCAGCCAGGAGATGCGCCCTCCCAAAAAGGCGACGACGGGTATTTGGCCATTGACGAGGACGAGGAGATTCTATGAGAGCTCGTTGCGAACTGGCGTTGGGGTCTTGCACCACAGAAACCGAATAGACATGATGAATGACCGGACGATGCGTCCACGATCAAACGTGTACACTGGTATATGCCTGAAATTTATCGTTATGGTACATGTTGTACATCGCCAAACCTCTAACATGTAACGTGCCGCCTGACAGACGGACCAAATCCCAGAGTCATGGCTCCAGGAGCGGCTCAGCTGGGCGCCCCTGTGTTCTCTGGCGCTGTCTTCGCACCTCCCTGTTTCTTCGTCGGCTTCGGTTCCAGGAACAGCTTCATCGTCCCACCGACTTCACCTGTCGTCTTCTTCTGAATTTCCATGCCATTCTTCGCTTCAATCTCCTGCCTCACTCTGGCGAGAACGGCGGCTGCTGCCTTTGCTGCGACCTCCTTGCCACCTCTCTTCTTGCCCAGGGTGAGCTCGACCTTGTTGCCCTTCTCCAGGAAGTTGCCGATTTGTGTCGTCTTGGTCAACAGATCGTTTTCGCTGATGCCCCAGGATAGCTCAATCTCCTTGGTCTTGACCTTCTTTTGCCCCTTTTTCTTTTCTTTCAACTCCCTGGCCTGCCGATATGCCTCGTTCTTGTCGATGATCTTGCACAGGGCATAGGTGGGCGGTATCCTCTCCTTTGGATTCCCAGGATCGTATGGCTCCACCATACGTAGCGATTCGCCCTCCATGAGCTTGGACATGACGAAGCGCGTGTTGAGTGGCCCTTCTATGGTGCCGCCGTCGAGGACGCGAATGAGAGGGTCGGTGATTTCGTAGTCTTGTGGGTAGCGGGCGCGGCCAGTCTTCTCTTGGTACGCTCTGGTTGTGTAGCGAGGGTCAATCTTCTCTTCGGCTTTCATGGAGGCTTCAAGCCGATCCATGTCATCTTTCTTGCTCGCTGCAAAGGGCGTCGAGGTGACGAAGCGTCGCTTCTGTGGCGCTGTGCGCAGCTGGTGTACGCATTGCCATGGTGAAGCTTGTCGTGTGGCTTGGAGGCACTCGGGCTGGGCGAGGAAAAGTCGTTGAAGCACGCGGCGCGAGCCGTGCACACACTGTTGACCGCGCATGTTAGCTTCGAGAGAGACTGGATCGCAATGCGGATAGCGTCAGGGTGTCCAATTGCGCGAGGTGAGTAATACTGCGAGGCTGGAACTACCTGAGATTCTTGAGCATCCTCAGGCATTGCAGGCGGGCGTCATTACGGGGTTCGAGACTGGCGGCATATTGTTGAGATTGACCAATAGGATCTACCTATAGTCGTCCGTCACCCAAGGTTCAGTCCTGTCACACCGAGCATTGTGCTTCTGATTGTGTCCAAGTTCATTTGGAAGAACCAAATCATTTCCGTCTTGCAGTATTGTGGACAAGGCGCTCGTCTAGAGGCGCTGCTTGTCCATGGCATTCAACATGTTGTAGTAGGTAGGACAGACGGTAACTAACAAGAGCCAGTGGATGCCACGGTCATAATCTACCCTACACCTGCCAGGAGACAGTATTGCGGGCAGTCGACATTTGTTGCCCCACCTCCACATTGTCACGGTCTCGATCAACCAGCAGCTGCACCGCTCGCTGTCGAATCCTACAACCACCACCCACCATCCTCCACCACGCAGCAGCCACGCCGTAACGGCCGTCGACCAGCGCCATGGTTCTCCAAGATCTCGGGCGCCGTATCAACTCGGCCGTCTCGAACCTCACGCGCGAGCAGAACGTCGACGAAAAGGTGCGCCTTACGCCCACCCCTCCGCGAAACCGCCACCCGAGTACTAACAGCGTCAGGCCTTTGACTCCATGCTGAAGGAGATTGGAAACGCCCTCATCGAAGCCGATGTCAACCTCAAGCTTGTCGTTCAGCTTCGTAAATCGATCAAGACAACGGTCAACTTCAAGGAGTTGCCGCCCGCCGTGAACAAGAAGCGCCTCATTCAGAAAGCCGTTTTCGACGAACTTGTCAAGCTCGTGGACCCCCACTGCGAATCGTTCAAGCCGAAGAAGGGAAAGACGAATATCATCATGTTTGTCGGTCTACAGGGTGCTGGTAAGACGACGACATGCACCAAGCTCGCACGACACTATCAGACGAGAGGGTTCAAGGCATGCTTGGTCTGTGCGGATACCTTCCGTGCCGGTGCGTTTGATCAGTTGAAGCAGAACGCGACAAGGGCCAAGATCCCGTACTATGGTTCATTAACGGAGACCGATCCTGCGGTGGTCGCGCGACAGGGCGTGGAACAGTTCAAAAAGGAGCGGTTCGACGTGATCATTGTTGATACGTCGGGAAGGCATCAGCAGGAGGCCGCCCTGTTCCAGGAGATGATGGACATTCAGGCCGCAATCAAGCCTGACGAGACCATCATGGTACTGGACGCTTCCATCGGTCAGCAAGCCGAGTCGCAGGCGCGGGCGTTCAAGGAGGCAGCTGATTTCGGAGCCATCATCATCACGAAAACAGATGGCCATGCGTCAGGTGGTGGTGCGATATCCGCCGTCGCTGCGACACACACGCCCATTGTTTTCATCGGTACCGGTGAGCACATGATGGATTTCGAGAAGTTTGCGCCGCAGCAGTTTGTGCAGAAACTCTTGGGCATGGGCGATATGCAGGGGCTGGTGGAGCACGTCCAGAGCCTGAATCTCAACCAAAAGGACACGATCAAGCATATCCAGGAGGGCATCTTCACCGTGCGCGACCTGCGCGACCAGCTCTCCAACATTATGAAGATGGGCCCGTTGTCTAAGATGGCGGGCATGATTCCCGGCATGGGCAACATGATGCAGGGCATGGATGACGAAGAGGGCAGCGCCAAGCTGAAGCGCATGATCTACATATGTGACTCGATGACGGAGAAAGAGCTGGACTCGGATGGCAAGATCTTGGTTGAACAACCATCGCGCATGACACGTATTGCCCGTGGTTCGGGAACATCAGTGCGCGAGGTGGAGGATCTCCTGACGCAACAACGGATGATGGCCGGCATGGCCAAGAAGATGGGCGGCAACATGAAGAACATGCAGAAAGCGCAACAGGCGATGGGTGGCGGCGGCAACAAGGCCCAGCAGATGGCTGCCATGCAGAAGCGACTACAGAGCATGGGGGGTGGTGCTGGCAGAGGTGGAGGCATGCCCGACATGGGCAGCCTGATGAAGATGCTGGGTGGAGGCGGCGGCGCCGGCGGCGCCGGCATGCCCAATGGCATGGACATGCAAGCTATGATGCAGCAGATGGGGATGGGAGGCATGGGCGGTATGCCTGGGATGGGAGGCATGCCCCAAGGCGGACGAGGACGGCGATAGCATTAATGGGTTCCCTACTTTCATGAGCTCAGCTCAAAGTGTCATATGGATGGCGTTCAGGTGGGAGGGTGGTTCACGCACAATGCATTGCTGTTCTTTCTGGCTGCTCCAGCTGTAGCCTCCCAGAGATGATTGATTGTCCTATTACCCGCATGCGGACCAACTAATCAGATGCTGCACCGGAGCTGTCAAGAATGCATGTTGTAAAGTCCGCATGCAGATCCGCTCGGAGACCGAAACGTCTGATTCTTTGTCAAAGAATAATATTCTCGAAGGGCATGGAACTTGTATTGCTATTCAATTGACTCATAGTCTTTCTCACCACTTCCCGAACCCCCGAAAGACAGGCCATACAGGGCTAGACGCGGTCTGTGGCTTCGGTGGTGGACCCTCCGATTTTGACTCACTCACACGATTGTCTTTTGAAAGGCCTCCTGTGAACACATACACACAAGTCCTGCCATTACTCACTTGATACCCCTTTTTCAACCCTCGGCGTGCATAGCTTCAACAGCTCAGACTCACGCAATGGATACCAAGGCCGATCACATCCTCACACTCTCCTGCCCGGACCGCTCGGGCATCGTCCACGCCGTGACAGGCTTGTTCGCCGGTCACGGACACAACATTGCCGACCTCCAGCAGTTCAGTGATCCCTCGTCGAACCGCTTCTTTATGCGCGTTCACTTTCAGCCTTCGGCCTCCGAGGGCACCGCCCACCTCAACGGCCCCTTTGACGCCCTGGCCAAGGAGTACGATATGGACTTCACCATCCGCCCCTTCGCCCAAAAGACCCGGGTCCTCATCATGGTGTCCAAGATTGGCCACTGTCTCAATGACCTGCTCTTCCGCATGAAGACGGGCCAGCTCAACATCGAGGTGCCCCTCATCGTCTCGAACCACCCCGAGTTCGAGTCGCTCGCCCAGAGCTACGGTATCCCTTTTATCCACCTGCCCGTCACAGCCGCCACCAAGCAGGACCAGGAGAAGCAGGTTCTGAAGCTGGTGGGGGAGCACAACGTCGAGCTCGTCGTCTTGGCCCGCTACATGCAGATCCTGTCACCCACCTTGTGCGACGCCCTCCCCGGACGGATCATCAACATCCACCACTCCTTCCTGCCCTCCTTCAAGGGCGCCAAGCCGTACCACCAAGCCTACGACCGCGGTGTCAAGATCATCGGGGCCACGGCGCACTTTGTGACGGCCAACCTTGACGAGGGCCCTATCATCGAGCAGGGCGTCAGCCGGGTAAATCACGGCATGGGACCCAAGCAACTGACAAGCGAGGGATCCAACGTGGAGTGCACTACATTGGCGACAGCCGTGCGTTGGTTTGCTGAGCGGAGACTGTTCATGAACGGGGTGAAGACGGTTGTTTTCGCATAGGTAATGTGTATATATAAAAGTTAGGGGTTTCATGAATCACACTCCAATACACATTGCGCGAGAAGTCAAGGACTATTCATGCCTTTCGATGTTCCCACATATCAGTGTATGCGGACTTCAAGTTACAGTCTCTTGCTCCTTGGTGACGACCAACAAGCTATTAATAGCCTAACCTCGAAGACGAAGACTAGACACTTCCACCATTGACAACGAATCGCTGGCTGTCGTCTTGCGCGTCGCATCTTGTAATATCGACAACGTCCTCGTTGGCAGTGAGACAGAACCCTGGTCCATTCTGCGGAGAGAAACGCATGTTATCAAGAGGGCCATCCGAGGCGAACAACTGCGAAGAGGACACGTCACCACTGCCATCAGCCCTGCCACCGCAGCTGAAGAGGTGGATTTGCGAGCCAGGATCTCGCCTGGGGTCCGCAGTGAAGCAAGCCTGCGTGCGGGTGCTGACAAGAAGGACGAACCCGGGCTCGTCGATATGCTCGCCCGAGGTGATAATGTCCCATTGCTGACGACGAGACGAAGTATTGCAGTCCTTTAACTGCACGGGGGTAAAGTTGGCCCGAAAGTCGCCGGAGCGAGGGTCGACGGAAAGACATTGGCCGCTTTTGCTCTGGATGGACGTGTCTGAGAAGGCCCGGGTGGCCGTGTCGTCTCGCGGATGCGCTTCTTTCATCGCCTCCTTGTTGAGAATGTCATTGCCGCCGCGATTGCCCCCACGAGCACCGAAGAAACCTGCCGATGTGCAGGCTGTATAGGAAAGAAGGAGCAGAGCCAGCTGGGTAGGTAGATGCATGTCGACGTATGCTCAAAGATGCAGTAATGACTGTAGAGATGCGCAAGAGCCGTGGGAAGAGATGGACGAGGCACTGACCAGCAGGCTTGTGTGAATGGTGAGATGCTAAGCAGCCATTTCTTGGTTGTCGTTCGCCTTGAATGAGGAGGCCGCACTTATACGACCTCTATGTGCTCAGACGCATGGTATCTCTCTGGCTGTGTCATCGAGGCCAAGTCCTTCGCGCCCAGCGATCCTCCGTCTCACGACCGCCTCGAGGAGTCTTGGAAAGGGAAGCCTACAAGCCACCTCGGCCACAATATCCTTGACAACGAGCCCCGCGTACATTGGCAAAGAAAAGAACAAGGTGAGAGATGCTGGTCTTAAGCAGTCTCCAGATTGGTCTGGTGTTGTTGCACCGTTTCACATGGTGGTTTGGAAACTGCAGGGGCAGGCTGGGCGTGTCACAACCCCAGGAATACGTGTATGTAGGTATTCGCCTGGGAAGCGCAGCAATAATTATGTGACGTACCAGGATGCTCCATGACCAACTGGAAAAACGAGTCGACACTCCCTCAGCCTGTCGTCACGAGCAAAGCACGCGGCGCAGGCCGATGGACGCGGGTGGCCTGGCCTCCTTATACTTCGGCGCAAAGGGTAAGACGAGGCCCTCGTGCCCGCGATCGAGCCAATCAATGGTGTGGTATGCGTGCGATGACTGAGATGGAGTGGCCGTATTCGACCCGACCTGGCGATGTCCGATGGATGGTCTGTTGAAGACGGGCCAGGCGTGTTGGGTCTTGGCCATTGGTCAACCCAGGCCGGAATGATCGCCCGTGGTCGTGAGGTCAGAGAAACATGCAGGGGACTGGCGCCTCGCGAGCGGAAGTAGTACCATACGTCAGCAATTGAGCCGCCCTACGACATGCCATCGCGATTAGAGGGGACTGGATTCTTGGAAAGCGAATAGTGCTGCAATATTCCACGCCAAGCAATAGTCCATCGGGATTGCGAAGCAACGAAGGGTGAAGCCGATGGCGATTGTGAATGGCTGCTCCTGCCCTGCATTGATGTGCCGCCCAAGGTAGCCTAGCTCGGACGCGTGCTAACAGCAAGCTGCGGGGCAAGGCACGCGAACTTGGTACCCAGCACATTTTCTCAGCGCGTGCGCCGGTGTTATAGTGCGGGGCCTGGCTCAGGCCACGCGTCGCCATTGGCTGAGGCACGCCAAAATGAACATCCACCCCCCCTGCTCGGCGGCGATTGGCTCGCGCCGGTATCGCCGCTGAAGCTGCATATTGGGACGCGTTGAGGCGCTCATGTCGCTCGCTCCCTCATCACCGCCCCTCGTTCGCTCACTCTCTCATGAGGAAGCGCCGTGTCTGTCTGTCTGTCTCAGCTGGCGTTCGTTAATTGTGAATCAAACCATTTCGCGATTGCACTTGGTCTCTGAATCGGGTCGCTGTAGCTTGACCTTTCGCCCCCCTCCTCCTCACTGCTTCTCCCTCCCTTTAACCACTTGGTCCTCTTCGCATGCTGGACGGATTATTCCCCTCGCCACTCTCCATTTGCTTCTCCGATTGACTTGCTGTGCGGGAAAGACCACTACATACGAACTGAGAAGAGCAAAACAAACAATCAACTCTCGCGCGAGGCAGCTTCCGTTGCCCATCGCCGCTCGTCCGTCTATCCTCACGGCTCACGGATTGACTCGAGCTTCACGCACAGACCGTGGGCATCGCTGAGATCACATCACCATGGCCGCTATCACTCGCCAGCCCTTTGCTCCTCTGGATGAATCTCGTCTCCAAACCCTCACTAGCCTAAAGAACCGTCAGAATGGTATGGATCTGTGAACTATCTTGGCTGCGCGCAGCAATTAACACCATTGATAGCTATTCAAACCCCAGTATCCAAGCGCAAGGCCGAGTCAATGTACATTGACGATGCTGAGAACGTCGACCCCATACTCTCGGTCAAGCGCTCCAAAGGCGCCAGCGGGAAAGGGTCCATCCTCAAACCTACTACCAATCTGACCCTCAAGTCTACCACCACCCCCAAACCCGTACTGTCAACTGTCCCTACATCAGTGAGCAACCGTCGCACCATCACACCCAAGCCCCCCTCTGCCAAGCTCAACACCAATGTCGTCAAACCCTCGCCCTTGTCAGCACCCGCCGGTCGTTCGCCTACTCGCGGCAGCAAGCGTGCAGGTCTTCTGGGCAACAGCAGACGTCGCACGGGCCGCATCGACCCTCCGTCGTTTAACATTGGCGGCCGTGGCGGCGCTCCCTTTTCTCTTGACGCTGCCCTCAAGGGTACGATTCCCAGCTATGCTCCAGCGACCCCCAAGGCCGCGCCAAGGCCTGCACCACAGGAGCCTGGCATGCAGGCCAGCTGGTACTTTGACATTCACGAGGACACTGCCGAGCAGGAGATGACCAACCTCCTCCAGCACGGCACCTGCGTCCTTGACATCTCGTCCGACGAAGAGTCGGCTCAACGCGCAAACTGCCAAGGGCGGGAAGACAAGGAGAACGTCGCACCAGTCGACGATGTGTCGCAGACCATAAGCCGCCGATCTCGCCGGGCGGCTCGCGACGATGAGATGATTGTTGAGAAGGAGCGCGTCGCGCTGGGTGAAATGGACGCCAGCGAGTTCTTTGCGGAAGGCTTAGACGAGGCCTCTGTCATCATCGTGCCGGCAGATGAGGAGGCCGAGACCGATGTCGAGGACAACACGCGGGAGAAGATGCCCGAGTCCAAGGCCATTGTTGCAAAGTTTGAGTTCGCCCCGAAGTTGAAACACCCCGTCCAGGGAGCTACTCCGGAAGCTGCGGCGCCAGAAACTCTTCAGGCCATGATCAGCCAGTCTGACGAGGCATCGCCGGCCAAAGCTGCGGTCTTGTTACCGATCGAGGGCACAGGGGAGAGCTTCGAACTGTGGGAGAGTGACAGCACCAAGGACGAGGGTGAAGGCGCCGCGTATTCGTGACATGATTTAATGGTCTCAGTGATGCGAATGGTAATGAGTGATGGATATGGAATGATATATGTATGGACGCTGGCGTTTGGGTTGTCGGATCAACCATGGTGTTTGGATTACGAGCGCTATTTGTTTGCACCTGGGTTAGATCGCTTTGATGGCTTGGCCTCGCGTCGATTGGTTTCCTGCTTCAAAAATCTGCTTTTTTCTCGTATATCGTGCGTTGCGACCCTCGTGCCATTAGTACTACGCGCGGGTCTTTTCGAGTCTTGGAGAACATTTAGAAACTGCGGCTGTATTTGAGAAGCTCTTACTGCAATGGTGTGCGTTGGACCTTGGAAATCCTCGTTGTACAGAATGCGATGCCAACAGTGCGCTGTACGAATGGTGCCATGACCCATGGAATTCGCATCGGCTTCTGTAGTTATGAACAGGTTTTACCTCGCGAGTGCCGTCAACGCACGGCGCAGTCAAAAGTTGTGAATGATTGTTGATTTGAACCTCCAGTAACCGATGGGACCCTCAAAGTTATGAATAGTTTTTCCCTCGTAGCCAAAGTTCTCGATAGAAAGATCAAAAACCTATAGTTAGGGATGGGCATTCCTGCCAACGCACGGTGCTGTCGGAAGTTATGAATAGTTATTTTCTCGAACCTGTAGTAGCCGATGGGACCTTGAAAGTTGTGAATAGTTTTTCACTCGCAACGAAAGTTATTCGAGAGAAATATCACTTTATCGTATCGGTAACTGTTTCTGAGTTCTGCGCACTCACATGCCCCAATAAGACTCACTTTCATACCTGTGAACCTGAACACACCACTCAACCCCATTCGCGTCGCCCCTCACCAGTCCACCTCGGCCAAATCCATCCATTGCGGCGAGCTTGCGAACCCTGCTGCCCACTTTCACATCGACACGATACATACGCATTGCAGTGCACGCTCTGATTGCAAAGTCGTCAATCAACATGACGTCCGAGCCTAGCAGAAGAGGCGCCTTCATCGTGCTCGAGGGTCTCGATCGCAGCGGCAAGACAACCCAAGTCAAACTCCTCGAGCAGCGGTTCATCGAGGCAGGCCGGCCAGCAAAGACCATGCGCTTTCCAGGTATTTCCTTGCTACTTCTCTTCTCCGACACAGAGACTAAAGTGGCGTAGATAGATCAACGGTCATTGGTAAGATGATTGATGGCTATCTCAAGAGCGATGTGGAGGTGGAGGATCATGTCATCCACCTCTTGTTCAGCGCGAACCGGTGGGAAGCAGCGCACGTCAGACCTCATTATTTCCCCCCTTGTAACGAGGACTGACAATGCGCAGAAAGTCGATTAAAAGGTTGTTGAATGAAGGGACGACCATTGTCTGCGACCGCTACTATCACTCAGGGATAGTGTACTCTTACGCCAAATCAAACCTATCCATGCCGCTCTCCTGGCTCACAGCCCCTGAAAGTGGGCTGCCACGTCCTGACGCCGTCTTGTTCCTGGATCTTACGCCGGACGAGGCGAGAGCGCGAGGTGGATGGGGCAATGAGATCTACGAGAAAGAGGGGATGCAGAAGAAGGTGGGTGAGGCCTTTCGGCAGCTTGGCGGTGTCATCGATGGTGGGGAGATTGAGCGAGACGAGGATGTCGTCGTCGTGAATGCCGGCGGGAGCGTAGAAGACGTTTCTGAGAAGATATGGAGCGTGGTAGCTGGAGTTTTGAACGCAGTGGAAAGGGGGGAGAAGGGGGGAGTGAGAACGGTGCCTTGAGCATGCTTGTTGGGAACTGGACGAAGCATTGCATTTCACATTAGCCCCGAGTCAGTGAAGGAGGCAGATCCAAGCAATCAGAAGTGGAAACGGTCGTAGACCACCGCTCACAGCCATTTTCACGCTGAAGCATATACTACAGCTTTGTATAAACCATTAAAGGGGGTTTGAAGCCAACAGTTCGCGCAGGGGCAAGAAGAAAGCGAGAGCACTCCACGACTCCATGTCCAGTCGTTGGTTTGTGTAGGAGCAGATCCACAGGGGACCGCGCTGCCTATAAGAGGTGCACAGCACTAAGTTTACAGGGGCGCGGCCCAACTTCAAATTGGATTGGATGGACCCAAGCTATGTCGCTCGAATTTGGGCTAGACTTTGGTTGCTCGAGCAAGCTCCCCACCGCAACATGGAAGCGACTCGACTTTATTGTCACACAGCCTCCTGACCTTCGACGGACGGCTTCATTCTCGAGCATGCGTTCGCTTTCATACTAGCTCTTCGAGCATTGCCCCAGCGACTGCGACGGCACTATGTCCGGTTCGCGACCCCACACGTCCGAGGCTCAGCCTGGCGACGACCCCATCGCCATCGACCACGCTCCAGCACATGCGACATCCCACCCGCTCACGGTCGATACGCAAAATCTCCAGAACATCCCTTCCACCGCCGGCGAGCCCCAGCACGATGCGTCATCCGACTCGCGCGTCCATCAGGCCAGCCCCAGCCTGCTGTCGCCTTCCCTCCGTCTTCGCCGCCGCAACACCCTCGCGCCACCTTCCGCCGGTGGACTCGGGGGTCGGGCTCGAGCCGCCACATTCCGCACGGTGGAGGACTACGATGAGTTGGAGACGGATCACAATGAGAGGCCAGGATGGCAGCCGGGGTCGGAGCCTGGGTATGATCCCCAGCTTCCAGACGGAGGCCATGCGTCCATGCCCACGCTGAGTGCGCCTTGTCAGATCACAGTGGTAGATTGGGCGGACCATCATGTCGAAAAGCGTCATTTTGACAATCAAGGGTTCATCGAATACATAGCCCGCCCCAAAGAGAAATGGGCCAAATGCCGCTGGATCAATGTCAACGGGTTGAGTTGGGACGTGATCCAGGCCGTCGGTTTCCACAAGGGACTGCATAAGCTGGCGCTGGAGGATGTCATGAACCTGCGCAACCGAACCAAGGCTGATTGGTACCCGAACCACGCATTCATCATCATGACCCTGCAAAAGCTGGTGCATCTCGTCAGTGAGGATGATAGTAGCTCGTCCAGCTCAAGCACGAGCTTGTCCTCTCACAAGTCGTTCCGCTCGTTGCGAGAGTCGTTTATGGATCTTTGGAGGTCAAAGCGTTCCGAGCGCGAGGAAGCCATAAAGAGCATTGGCCGGGACTCGGAGAAGGTCATGCCAAATATCGCCAACGGCTTAGAGGCCTTGCCTGGCGGATCGATGCTGAACGAGACTGCCATGCTCCGATCGTTACAGCGGTATCATGCCTCCGGGAATGAGGCACGAACCGAATACATGGAACGACATTCATCGCTTGCGCCACACAAGATGGCCATTTCGGCGGAACAAGTCTCATTATTTCTGACTTCTGACAATACCGTCATCTCCTTCTTCGAGGGCTCAGCTGGTGATGTTGAGCGTCCCATTGTCACTCGTCTCTGCACACCGGGAACCATCCTTCGAGAGTCAGTTGACGGCTCCTTACTTATCCAAGCCATCATCGACGCAATCATCGATCTTGCCATCCCCTTGGCCGCCGTATATACCGACGTCATTGGTGACCTGGAGTTGGACGTGCTCACTTCGCCGTCCATGCACCAAAGTCGCAGCTTGTACATCTGCATAGCTGAGATCAACAAGATGCTCAGCTTCCTGAATCCGGTCGATAACTTGGTCAACGTACTCCGCGACCATTGTACCTTGCTGGAGCAGGACGAGGCAATGGAAGAGCTGGAGAACCCAGAGTCCGGGGTCATCATCACACCCAAGACGCAGACGTATCTCGGCGACGTCCTCGATCACTGTATCATTGTGACCGAGAACCTACAGCAGTTGAAGCAGTCGTCTGACAACCTGATCAGTCTGATTTTCAACACCATCAGTGCCGGTCAGAACGAGAGCATGAAGCAACTGACCACGGTGACGATTATATTCCTGCCGCTAACGTTCATCACTGGATTCTTTGGCCAGAACTTTCCACCGGAACTATTCCCAGAAGTCAAAAACGGCATATGGTACTTGTGAGTCTACCCTCATCTTACCAAACCCGCATCGAGCGAACACTGACCGATGCAGTTGGGCCTGTGCTGTACCTACCGTCGTAGTGACCATTATTCTTCTCATGCGAGACATGATCTACGAGGGGTTGCTACGCATCATCCAGCGGAAGCATATTGGATCATTGCGGAAACAGAAGAAGAGAAAGCAGAAGGAAAAAATCAATGCTGCAATGCAAAAGCGAGGGTCAATTTGACCTGCTCACTTGATCAACTGTCAAGTATCTTTACCGCTGCATGGTAGGCGTTGTGGTACTTGTCGGTTTCTTATACACACCAGCATCTTAATAGAGCCCAAATGAAGATTTAATTTGCAGGTCCATAATGCATGTCCGAAGCTTTGTCGTCCTGAGCCAGTCTTGGACAGTATCTTATCGATCTGATCTGCCCAAAACCCGACTTGCCTATTCCGGGTTCGTGGCTGTGAGCTCCGTCTCCCCGATGCCGGCGTGGGGAAGAACTGGAGAGGAGGGAGGGGAGACGAAGCACCAGCAGGCGTTATTTTCCATGCACTGTTCTCCTGGTTCGTTATTAATCAACATCTTACTCAATTGGACATTCACAGCGTCGATATCCTGTTGTGCGCCATGGCCACAGATCGCATCATCTTTCGCAATGCGCAGGTGTATCAATCCTCCCACCAGGATGAAAAGCCGAGCCTTGTCGACTGCATGATCGTCCACAATGGAGAAATCGCATTCGTCGGCTCTTTATCAGATCCAGCTGTACATGCTGCTCGAGACCAAGGCGCGGCGGAAAGAGATATTGGGGGCCTGAAGATTCTGCCCAGCTTCATCGATGGACACGTGCATCTGCTTCTCCTCGGCCAGTCCCTCACTAAAGTAGCCCTGGACGACTGCAAATCGCTCGAAGACATTAGAGACCGAATGCGCGAGGCAGCGCGCAATGACCCCGGTGCCAAGAGGCTGTATGGAAAGGGATGGATGCACAGCATGACGCCCGACGGTGTTGATGCGAGCATGCTAGATGACATTGACCCACGACCCATGTACATCGACACAAAGGATTTACATTCGACTTGGGCGAACACTGCGGGCGTCAAGGAAGTCTGTGAGGTTATGCTTCTTGATTTCGATGGATCGACGCCGGATCCGCCCGGCGGCAGTTTCTCGCGCGATGCACAGGGACGCTTGAATGGGGTGTTCAATGAAAGCGCCGTCTTTGAGATCATCTGGCCGTTTGTGGCCCGCGTCGCCAGCGTAGAAGAAAGAAAGGAATCGATCCGCGCGGCCATCCGGGCATTCAATGCGTGCGGCTACACTGGCATGGTTGACATGGCCATGGACGACACCATCTGGGAGCCCCTCGTCGAGCTGCGCAACCAGGAAGGCTTGGGCGGCATGCGCGTTGCCGCCTACTGGCTTATGAAGCCCCTCAAGGAAGACTCGGGCGTCGATGCGGTGTTGGCACAGGTTGACCACGCAGCGAAGCTAGCACGCGAATTCAAGGAGCAAGACTGCAGAGTGGTGGGGATCAAAGTCATCTGTGACGGTATCATTGACGCTTGCACGGCTTCCCTGACCGAGCCATATTCTACCGGTATCAACCCTGATCCCATCTGGCCCGAAGAGGTCCTCCATCCGCTCGTCAAACGTGCGCACGACGCCGGCCTGCAAGTTGCTCTGCATGCCATTGGCGACCGCACTATCAACACGGCCATCAACGTTCTGGAGAAGAACACAAACGCCTCGAGGAGACCGCGCATCGAGCATTTGGAACTCGCCTCTGAGAGTGATGCCGCAAGACTTGGCAAGCTAGGCATCACGGCCTCCATCCAGCCTGTGCACGCCGATCCCGCCATTCTGCGTGCCTGGCCGCGGCTGCTAGGCGAGCACCGATGCAAGCGCCGTTTCGCGTACCGGGAGTTTGCTGATGGGGGCGCGAACCTGGCGCTGGGCTCCGATGCACCGACGGCACCTCACGTGCCGCTGCCCAATCTCTATGTCGCCACCACGAGAAAATCGTACCGCGAGCCGGCGTGCGAGGAGGTTGTCAACCCCGAATTCGCGCTCACGGTGTGTCAAGCTGTGGCAGGTGCCACTCTCGGATCTGCGTACTCGTGTTTCGCGGACCAGTGGACTGGCGATCTCCGTGTAGGGAAGCAGGCGGACTTTGTCGTGTGCGACGTCGAGCTCGAACCCGAGGGGCTGATTCGCGGTGTCGTGAAGGAAACATGGTTTGAGGGCCGGCAAGTCTTTCAGAAGGAATAGATCCGTGCAAATAGAACATTCACTTCGTGCTGGTAGGGCTGTTGGCGTGGAGGGCGTGTAGTCGACTGATAATGTTCTCGGCCGCCCCGATGCCAACCGAGTTCCACGACCCAGCCGTCTTTGTTGGGGCAAGCTCACTGCGCACCTCCTCTGGCAGATCCTTGAGCAGAGAGGCGACGCGAGCATTTTCGGGCCGGTTCGTGAAAAAGCATGGCTCCCACGATGAACCTCTCGCCCTCTCCTCTTCGCGCAAAGCGCGCTGGGCCTCCTCCAACGCACTCTTATGCTTGTGGATCTTGTGCACGTTGCCTTCGTAGATGCCCTCAAACACCTTGCTCCATGCCCGTCGAGATTCCCACGTCGTCTGCTGCTCAATGGGTCGGACAGTGGGCTTGATGGGCGGCAGGTCGTCGGCCTGGAATTCCTCGAGAATTTCGCCCTTTGAATCTTTGATGGCCATTTTGCCGTCCCAGTGGCCGGAGAATTCACAGAGGATATCCCTCATGGAGGGCGTCTTGTAGATTGTGGCCTGGACCATATTCTTCCTGCCCAGCCCAAACGTGCCGGTGGTGCCAAATTCGATCTTGGTCAGAGGGCCGCTGGAGCTGCTGATGTAGCAGGGGCCTCCCAATTCCGGGTGGGGCGACCCGGTCGTGAGTCCTTTGATGAGCAGGGTGGGCATCGTCATAAGGTGGTCCTCGTCGTACTTGTCGACTCGAACGACTGCGTATCCCATCTGTTTCACGACAACACCGCTCGACGCGCCAAATGACGTCTGCTGCGCAACAAAGCCTCGCGACGAGATGCCATGCTCCTCGTTATGCATGTAACAGGCCGTCACGGGTGGGTGATGTGAGACCTGCTCCGTGATCAACCTGGTGGTATTGACACCCTCGCCCAAGGTTCCAATGAAAAGCTCGCCCAGGAATGGGTTCAGGGGTTTCTTTGCTGCGTTGTCGCCGCCCTCGTCGACGAGCTGCTTCAGACTGCACAGGTAGTTCTTCGCAACAAGAGTCGCCCTCAACTGTGGATCCGGCTCGTCAGCAGGCGCGAGGAACAAGTCGTGACGTGAGGCCCACGCGGCGGGCACTTCGATGGCTGATTTCGCAGCAAGAATAAAAGGGGGCGCCGTGATGTTTGATAAATCACCCTCTACTGTCGACAAATAAGACAAAAAGTCTTTGAGTTGGGCAAGATTGTCCCGGAGGTTGGCGACGTTGCGTGGCATTGCTGGTAGATAGCTGGATAGTTGCAGCATCGCGAGGCTCCAGTCGTTCACAAATGGGTGAGAATGCGATGAGACGGGGATTGTTGAGGTTGGGGCATTCGCCAATGGTCACTTGCGATGACAATCAGTAGCTGTCTACGGCTTGCGTCTCGTCGAATCGGGCGGCTTCAAACACGTATATACATGTGTCGCGAGTCGTGGCATCGCATCTGACGTCAATGATGAGGCGCAGATAACTCGATCCGAGTCCAAAGTCCCAGCCATCCCAAAGGTACGCGAGCATCGGACGCTGAACATTATGAGAAGAATCGAGCGCCATTGTTGCCGATTTAGCCGTGGGCGCACGTAGTATCCATAAGAATAGGGATCATCGGGAAATCTAGCACTTCGGATGTCCGAAATCCGCTGTTCCATACGGGCCGTGAGTTCGGGATGAGGTCACCGCAAAGACGATGACCGGGTACGGACCTCAGAGTGAATCGTTGATAAAATGACGTCCTTATGTAATCAAGCTCGCTAGTGGTGACTACCGGGTAATTACAGCTGTGGCTCATTAACTATGACCACGCGCCTGCCTGGAGGCTGGAAGTCTCAAACCCAGCTAGGCAGCCAACCACGTGCTAATTGCGGCTTATGGTGCGATCACAGCTCTCAACTGACAGAACGTGAACAGCACGCCACTTTGCCTGGTTGACTTCCAGTCTCGACTCTCCTAGCAATAATGTGAGATTACGATCAAAAAGAGATGAGACGCTCTTAAGTAGCTTCCACGTGGACGGTCCGACATTGCTTTCTTCGCCTCTTGCAATCAGGCGTAGTGAAAACATCAGCCACGATGGCAGACACCGCTGTCAGCAAGGATGCCGCCATCGAAGATGACCTGCAATATGGCGCGTCAAAGGCGGAGCTAGACGACAAGTCCGAAACCAGCCTTCCAAGGGGAGAGCACTCGCTGACGACCAAAGGTTTCCTAATCGACCAAGAAATCATTCCAAGACTCTCAGATTCTCAGAACTGTACCAGGAGCTTTTCAACCCTCTTAACGAGAACAAGAAACAGCCGACTGCAGGACCTGGGGGGCGCAAGCAAGGGCCTCGTGGCCAGATGAAGCTGTCGCCGCATGAACAGAGGCGCCATGTCATTGAGAGATTCGTCACGAGATGGAGGAAAGAAGTCGGCCATGATTTCTACCCCGCGCTGAGGATTATTCTCCCCGACAAAGACCGCGATCGTGGCGTGTACGGCTTAAAGGAGAATGCCATTGGCAAGTTGCTTGTCAAATTGATCAAGATTGATAAGAACTCGGAAGATGGGTACAATCTGCTCCACTGGAAACTGCCGGGTCAGACAACGGCTTCTCGTCTTGCGGGCGACTTTGCTGGGCGCTGCTTCGAGGTGATATCCAAACGACCCATGAGGATAGAGCCCGGCGATATGACCATCGCCGAGGTCAACGTCCAGCTTGACAGACTGGCGGCGTCCGCCGGCGAGCAAGAGAATCTGCGGGTCTTTGAGGTCTTTTACAACCGTATGAATGCCGAAGAAATCATGTGGATCATCCGCATCATTCTAAAGCAGATGAAGGTTGGCGCAACCGAGAGGACTATTTTGGATCTATGGCACCCTGACGGTGAAGCACTGTTCTCCGTGTCTTCGAGTCTGAAAAGAGTGTGCTGGGAGCTCCATGATCCATCAACACGCCTGGAGCAGGAAGAAGCGGGCATTGCCCTGATGCAGTGTTTCCAGCCGCAGCTTGCCCAATTCCAGCTGTCGACCTCTTTCCAGAAGATGACTGAGCTCCTGCGGCCTACCGAGGACGACCCAGAGTACTGGATCGAGGAGAAGCTCGATGGCGAGCGTATGCAGATGCACATGGTTGCGGACGCAGATCACCCAGGCGGCACCCGCTTTTGCTTTTGGTCACGCAAGGCCAAGGATTACACGTACCTCTACGGCAATGGTTTCCAGGATGATCAGTCTTCGCTGACGCGGCACCTTGGACATGCCTTTACCTCGGGCGTACGCAACCTGATTCTGGACGGCGAGATGATCGAGTGGGACATGGATGTGGACAAGATTGTAGCGTTTGGCACCCTGAAAACGGCCGCCCTCTCGGAATGCAGTAACAACTCCACGTCGGACAATGCAGGCCATCGGCCCATCTTTCGTGTATTCGACATTCTTTACCTCAACGACAAGCAGCTCACGCAATACACGCTTCGAGATCGATTCAAGGCCCTGGAGAGGGCGGTCAAACCAGTACACCGCCGCCTCGAGATTCATCCTCACACGGTTGCCACGGGTCCCGATGCTATCCAGCCTCTGTTACGCGACGTGGTCGCCAACGCATCGGAAGGACTCGTCCTTAAGAACCCGCGCTCCATGTATCGTCTGAACAGCCGCAACGATGATTGGATCAAGGTGAAGCCTGAATACATGGACGAGTTTGGTGAATCACTCGACTGCGTGGTCATTGGCGGCTACTATGGCTCTGGAAGGAGAGGAGGCAATCTATCCAGCTTCCTGTGCGGTCTCCGCGTCACTCAGAATCACATACGTGCGGGTGCAAACCCCGAGAAGTGTTTCAGCTTTTTCAAGGTCGGCGGTGGCTTCAAAGCCGATGATTATGCACTGATCAGACACAAGACAGAGGGGAAGTGGATTCCCTGGGATCGGAAGAACCCGCCAAGTGAGTACATTGAACTCGGCGGTGGGGAGGCCAAGCAGTACGAGCGCCCGGATGTGTGGATCAGACCGAGCAATTCGTTTGTCGTATCGGTAAAGGCGGCGAGTGTTGGGGCCAGCGATCAATTTGCGAGAGGATTCACACTTCGATTTCCGCGCCTACGACGGCTTCGACCGGACCGGCCCTGGGACTCGGCGCTTTCGTTGGAGGAGTTTCAGGAGCTGCGCAAGAAGGTAGATGAAGAGTTCCATGAGAAAGCCATGACATTGGAGAACCGCCGGAGGAAAAGTACGAAGCGGGTCAAGAGAGACCTCGTCATTGCAGGCGAAGACGCCGCACCAGCGGAATTTGCCGGCGAAAGGGGACAGATCTTCAAGGGCTTGGAGTTCTGCATCCTTTCCGAATCACTGAAGCCTTTCAAGAAGACCAAAACAGAACTCGAAACACTCATCAAAGAAAATGGCGGACTTATTTCCCAACGCGCCGCGCCGGGTACCAACATGATACTCGTTGCAGGCAAGAGGGTCGTCAAAGTGGCCAGTCTGATGAAGAGTGGCGACGCCGACTTGATCTCGCCTAGATGGATCCAAGACTGTCTCGACTCGAGCGACCGCACTTTTGCCCTGCCATTTGAGCCACGGCACCTCTTTCATGCTTCCGAGGCTCTGAAGATGGCGGCGGAAGAAAACACAGATCAGTTCGGGGACAGCTACGCCAGAGATGTGTCCACTGATGAACTCAGGGACATTCTCGCGGATATGCCCATACACGAGGACATTGGTGCTTTCGGCAGGCGCCAGTTCCTCGAAGACTTGGAAAAGAGGGGTAAAGGCTTGAACGATCTTCACGGGATGATCTTGGAGCGAAGCGTTGTGCACCTCAAAGCAGTCGAGGACTCTGACTTGCCCAATCTCAAGAAGCTGGTCAATTGGATCCGATTCTCGGGAGGTCGGGTTGCCGAGGGCATGGAAGACGCGGATGTCACACACATCGTCCTGATAGCTGAGGATCCGATGCAAGCCGGTGAAGCGGCAGACACTATCCGCAAAGCCCTGTCCAAGAGGAGCCAGATACCCCGACTTGTTCGCGGGCAGTGGGTGGAAGACTGTTGGAAGGAGAAGACTTTAGTTGACGAGGAACCCTATGCTATTCTATGAATCTAGAAAGCGGACTCAGAATACTGTGAAACCAGATCCCAAGCGCTACCAAACCGACCCCGTGCAACCTAATTACCTTGCAAGCTTATTTGCCGATGGTCAAGAACAGGCGGTCGCCGACATCGCCCAGACCTGGCTTCAACATGCCTTCCTTGGTCAATTCACCGTCCACGCCTGCTACCCAGACCTCCGAGCCTTCTGGCCATTCACTTGCTGCTTTCCGCAGGCCCTCTTCGGCGGCAACGACAGCTAGAACGAGGACACGCTTGGCTCCCCACTCGCGCAACGTGCTGATGGCAGCAGCGCATGTTCCTCCCGTGGCGATTACAGGGTCGACGACGATGGCGAGGGTCGATGAATCCTCTTCTGAAGAAGACGGAATGTGTTGGGGGAGATTGTTGTAGTATTCGACAGGATCAAGGGTGGTCGGCTCGCGGTACATGCCAAGGTGGTGCACAGGGACGGGGTCGGGGAGCATCGTTTGCACAGCTAGCTTCGTAAGCAGGGTACGTACATGATCCGTGACGAGACACGAGCTTACCTTCTACCATTCCTAGGCCAGAGCGCAGAATGGGAACAATGCAGATATTACCCGGCGAGATTCTTGACGAGACATACTCAAACCCAAGGGGTGTCTGGTTCTGGTTGGGCTGTCAGTTGCGATTCTCGTCCCTGGGATGCCGCACGAGGATATTTCGCTAACCTTGGGACCTTCTGTGGACTTCAGAGCCGTAACGAGTGCTTCGGCAGCAAGGAGAAGCGATATCTCGTGAACTAAAGTCTTGACCTCCCTAGGGCTGGCGGCTTTCGACCGTAGTTGGGAGAGCTTGGCTTTGAGACTGGGGTGTTGTGATACACGGACACTAGCAGGGAGTGATGACATGGTGACTCTGGGGTATCGGGCAAAATAAATCCCAGTGTCTAGGAATGTCTATGGATGATCAAGTAGAGGGCATAAACGTAAGGGAGAGATAATACGTATGTTCATGTGATAAGGACGGTGGTGTTGAAGGGCGCGGCGGAGCTCAGGTGGGGCAGTAGAGCTCCGGGCAGCCTGAGTGTGGGGAAGAGGGGACCTTCGATAAGAGAAGGCGCAGCCCCAGTCGTACCGGTACGTATCGCCAAGGCTAAGTTAAGTTAAGTTAGAGCTCAAATACTTGCCTACCCTACACATCTATCTCATCTGCTTTTCCGACGTGTTGTGCCGTCATACCCGCGCTGTCGTCCTCCAATACTTTTCACACAAATAACGCCCCGATGCCAACATGACGCGCCTGAAGTGCCGTCTACTTGGAAGCAGACAACTTCCAAGGCGCGACAACTTTGGCCGATCGCTAAGCGTGGCTTGAACCAGGCTCGCTCCAACATCGTGCACCGGGGGATCGGTATCGACATGGCCGCCCAGCGTAGCGTTTCAGCGCCAATCCGGCTCGAGCAGCGAAACAGCAGCAATGGCGAGACCTCAACTCCAGGATTCGATCTACCTGAAGAATACGGCAACCTGAATGAGCTCGCGCCCAGCGGTTCGTTTGGAATTTCGGAAGAAAGTCCTGCCCGGCACACTCTGGAAGAGATCCGAGGCCCTCGTCGCGTCTCTGAACCTCAAGCTGTCCCCACAGCGCGCGAGAGCTTATTGAGATGGGTCGTCGAGCTTTGTGTACTCTCATACCTCGTCTTCTTCTCAATCTTGGGAACATTGGCACGCATTGGCCTGACTGCCCTGACACTCTATCCCGGATCGCCGGTGGTCTTCAGTACCATATGGGCTAATGTCGGTGGAAGCATGGTCATGGGATTTCTTGTTCAAGATCAGAGGCTGTTCCGAGATCAAGGGCATGACAAGAACCATCAGGGGGTCACGAAGAAGAGTGATGTGGAAACTGGTGATACGGAAGCAGAAAGGCGAAAAGCTCACATGGCTGTGAAGAAGACTGTCCCGCTTTACGTGGGGCTTTCAACAGGCTTCTGTGGGAGCTTCACGAGCTTCTCTACCTTCATCAGGGATGCTTTCCTTGCAATATCCAACGATCTTCCCACGCCGGGTATCCAAGTCACGTCAAATCGAAATGGGGGCTATTCGTTCATGGCCTTGCTGGCCGTCATACTCGCAACGACCGCAATGAGTTTCGCTGGTTTTGTCGTCGGTGTTCACCTAGCGATGGGTATGGGACGGTGGACGCCTAGGGTTCCGCACAAGCTTACGCATAGATTCCTGGATCCCGCCATGGTGATTCTTGGTTTTGGCTCGTGGCTTGGCGCGGTCTTCCTAGCCATCTTCCCACCCGCTGACGCATGGAGAGGTCGTGCAGTCTTTGCAATAGTTTTCGCGCCTCTTGGGTGCGTACTGCGGTTCTACCTTTCCCTTTTCCTCAACGGCAAGGTTGCGTCTTTTCCTCTTGGCACGTTCATCGCCAACGTTTTTGGCACGGCAGTACTCGGCACGTGCTGGGACATTGCGCATGCTCAGATCGGTGGTGTCGTGGGATGCCAAGTTCTGCAAGGAGCTGAGGATGGCTTCTGTGGGTGCTTGACTACGATATCAACATGGGTTGTTGAGCTTTCGGCTTTGAGAAAGAGACACGCGTATGTGTACGGAACTACGAGCGTACTGGTTGCCTTGGCCGTCTTGATTGCGATAATGGGTGGCCTTAGATGGAGCGATGGTTTTGATGCATTCTTATGCGCGACGTGAACCAATATTGTAGCTGTTTAGACGAACACATTTCTGTACATCAACTCCACGGCAGCTTTGTCGAGTGACTGATGCAGTTCGTTGTGTTGAGGATCTTTAATCCTAGCTACGTCTGGGTTTGATCAGGCAGTGTTCTTTCAGACGACTCTCCTTGGTCAAGTTTCTAGTAAAAAGTAAACAATAGCTTCTCTTTAGGTACCTTAAGCACAATAACCCTCTGGACACTGACTGGTAGGTGAGATACCAGGTAGGGTCGCCCGTCATGAGCTCTTATCGATAGGCAGTTCAATGCTCCGATAGCGCGGGTGCGGGGCGGATACATGTACATGTAGTAGCAGGCAGCGGTTGTTCACTGCCCTCTCCACGCCCACGCAAGGCCGATCGTGGACGATAGTTGCTTGTTCACACAGTCGGCGCGCCGACAAGATGGAGAAATCGGCTTTTGGCGGTTGGAGTGAGTCCCCCATGCGCTGACCCTAGACCTTGAATCTAATGACTATCCCAGTGCACGAGAACAACGTCCAGCTCGTGGATCCGAAGCGCGATGCACTCTACAACTACGACCCAGAAGCCCAGAAAGCTCCCCAGAACGATAAGCCGTGGAGGAAGGACCATAACTACTTCAAGCATGTCCGCATTAGTGCTGTCGCGCTGATCAAGATGGCCATGCACGCCCGCTCGGGCGGCTCGCTGGAGATCATGGGCTTGATGCAGGGCTACATCGAGCAAGAGACCTTTATCGTTACCGATGCCTTTCGTCTTCCTGTTGAAGGAACCGAGACACGAGTCAATGCGCAAGGCGAGGCGAACGAATACATTATCGAATACCTTGACCTGTGTCGCGACCAGGGCAGGCACGAGAATGTAGTGGGCTGGTATCACAGTCATCCCGGCTACGGGTGCTGGCTCAGCGGCATCGATGTTGAGACAGAGGCTATGCAGCAGCAATTTCAAGATCCCTTTCTCGCCGTCGTCATTGACCCCGACCGTACCATCAGCGGCGGCAAAGTCGAAATTGGGGCCTTCCGGACCTACCCTGCCGATGCCACGGGCGCTTCTGTGTCTGGGTCCGCGACAACTTCCGATGGATTCGAGGCTGTTCCCCTCGACAAAGCTGCCGAATTCGGCGCTCACGCCAGTCGTTACTACAGCTTGGAGGTGTCACACTTCAAGAGCACTCTCGAATCCCACTTGCTTGAGCAGTTGTGGCACAAGTACTGGGTGCAGACCCTCAGCCAGAACCCACTCCTCACAAATCGCGAGTACGGAAACAAGCAGATGCTCGATCTGAGCAAAAAGATTGAGCAGGCTACGAAACAACTATCTCGCTCCAGGGGAGCATGGGGCATATCCAAGGCGCCGGACAAACAGGTGGAGAAGATGGCGCAGGAGGTCAATGCTATTGCTAGCAAGGAAAGGACGGGATTGATTGCAAGCCAAGTCAAGGCCGAGTTGTTCAATGATCTCGTCACAAAAGACTCGGTATGAGGGTGGTGAATTTCGGTACGGCGTTCTGAGGCATATTAGAAGGTGTTGGCAGGGAATGGAATATGAATTTTTCTTCCCCTCCGTTTCTCGGGTACGCAAGCATCGTAGTGAAGGGAAAGCGCTAATTGAGCAACTACAGCTTTGACAGTGGCTCACTCAATGTCTTCTTTGCCCAGGCCACCTTGGCCTGGATACAAGCCTTTGAAATCGCAGCATCCGGTGCGAGCATGTCAAAGCAATGGTAACCTCCTGGCCACACGTGCACCTCAGCTTGGCCTCCCGCCGCCCAAATCTTTTTGGCCAGCTCAACATTCTCGTCACGGAATCCTTCAGCTGATCCGACGGAGATGTAGGCAGGAGCCAAGTCTCCCAAGTCCGTCTGCCGGGCGACGGCCGCCAAAGGGTCAACATTGGCCTTGCCAACCTGACTGCCCAGTATCGCCGTCCACGCTGTCTCGTTTGAGCCTCGCGTCCATGTTCCGTCCTTGACGTACTGATTGATACTTGCAGTCTTCCCTCGGTCGTCGTACATGCCGCAATCGAGCAGCATGCCGCACAGCTTGGGTCCTTTCCGGTCTCTCGCCATGATTGCCACAGCAGCCGCCAGGTTAGCTCCAGCAGACTGTCCGCTGACCATTAATCTGTCCGCATCGAGACCCAGTTCCGCAGCATGCTCTGCCACGTATTGCAGCCCAGCATAGCAATCGTTGAGGCCTGCTGGAAAGGGGTTTTCCGGGGCCAACCGGTATTCTACCGTAATGGCCACGGCACCAGCTGCTTTTGCCCACCGAAGAGGATCCTTGAAGAAAGTAAATCTGTTCCCGCAGATCATGCCCCCGCTGTGCATGTGGTAGATGGCCGGTCGAGGCGTGGTGGCCTTGTCCTTGGGATAGAAGAGGGATATCGTGACGGGACCATTGGGGCCTCTGAACGTCTTTTCTTGGTGTGTAAAAGGTTCGTTACCGGAAAGGGTGATCTCCAGGTTCGCAGCGTCATTCTGCATCTTGCGGAGCGCAGGTATGGACTCGGGCGTAATATCGCCTGCCGGGAAGGCGTCGAGCACGACGGCCAGCTCGGGGTCGTAGGCTGGTTTGTTGGGGGCCATGGCTACAGATTTTGGGCAAAGATTACGCCGGAAAGGTGAATGAATGGGAAGTAGGGTGGAGGGTCAGGTATGTACCAAGTACGTGCAGGCAGGGCATGCCGCGATTTATCAAGTTTCCCAACTCTACAACTGCCCCAGTTCATGACCCTAAACTAAGTATTGAATGTGGGGTGCGGAGAAGCTCAGGAACATGCAGTTGCTGAGCTCGCGTTTTCCGGGGTTCAGTTCATGTTGTCAAGCTTCATCCGGGGTTCATCGCAATGGCAATTCTCTCGCTAGAAGTCACATTGGACTCGGTGAATTAGCCATGAACCTACGACTGGTGTTCTTCGACCATCCATCCTCAATTGAACGATTTCAAATGCCGCGCAATTCATTATAGACCATTGCTCTGCAAGCCTTCCGACCTATGTCAATGTTTAAATCCCCTCACACGCAGGAAAACGGCAACCGAGGCTGAGTCAGGTGCCCGGACCCACGGAAGCCCGCTGACTCGTGTGTCGTCCCGAATCTACGTTGCTCGGTTTTGATCCTTCAACACTGTCCTTTGTTGATAACTTGTTGTTTTGATTCTCACTCGGATTACTGAAGACAAAAGACTAATTTCGTATGGAAGAATCACAAGTATGCTCTGACTCAGCGACAAGCAGGTGGCCAACTGTTTTGACAAACCACCTTGTCATTCAGCTAGGCCCTTGGGGACGGACTTGTCCCGAACTATGACAGTATCTGAGTGCAAATTCAACTCATGAAATCAAGGATCTTTATTCAAACGAAGCTGACAGTGGCGGGTGATGGCAGCGATGGCAAGTCCTATCTGTTACAGGGTAGTCAGACACCGCGGGGCGGCCTGGCCTTGGCGACGTATGAGAAGCTTGGCATCCCCAAATGTCGGTATTCACGCGTATTCAAAACTCCAGGCCCCCTTGCCTTTCGCTATAGCAAGAGGTACTGGATGGCATTCATTATGATCCGCCTAGCTAGCTCCCGGTTGATGTGCGAGTTCTAGCTCGTGCTTCTCTCTAGAGCTACCGTCATTGAGCTTAGGTCGAATTGTAGTGATTGATGCAAACTTCGTTATGACCAGCTGGCATTGCCATGTCTTTTGTGTCGTGTTTCCACACAGGAACTGGTGGCACTGGCAAACGAAAACGAGTGCATGCTTAGATTGGCACACGAAGCGACGTTTGTTAGCCGGCGCAATTGGCAATTTCTAAAGCGAAACTCGCAGAGCACAGCCTCACTACCAATTACAGTATTAGGCCTTTCATCAACTTCTTGGGCGAAGCATTGCAGAATCGCCGAAGTAATATCGACGTCATCGGAAGGGATGCGCAAAAGCCCCCAACAGGGTTCAAAGAGTTACTTGTAGTCTACACTAGTATCCGTACTTTACCTGGTAGTTTGTGTCGCAAGATGCAAGTGTCGTTGCCTTCAGCCGGAGCAAATTACGCAGTATAGAGTATCACTAATGAAGTTCTTGTGACTGATGTCCATTCCGACCGGCGTCATATGACATCAGCGGCACGAGAAAGAAAACCAACATGGCTGCCGCATTTTCTTCATGCCCCTTGCAAGATTGAAATTTCATGGAAGCATGGTGAATTGGATGAAAATTTAGATCTGCAGCCCGAGGGAAATGTCCGACCGATGCCCTCAGATCTAGGAGGATTCACGATCTGCCAGGGCACAACGGCCAGACAGACAAGCAACCCTTACGTGCTGCGCATGAACAGAGGGCATGACCAGGAAAGACTCGACTACGTAGTGAAACGGCCTTGAAGCCAAACCGGTCTTAGACGTTGCTCAATGCAGAAAAGTATTGAGTCCACCCCTGGAATTCTGGAGACAATTTCGGCTCAACTAAGTTACCTCGACGCCATCTGCTGGATCGAGGAGCCAGTTTCCCCAGCAGTGGAACCTTAAATGCGGTACAGCTGCGTCCCGAAGCCTCCAACAAGCCACACGATGAGACAAGAAGAGCAAGGAGGGATGGAAAGGACTGGAGCGCAATTAATTGATCGAGTGGGAAGGGCGATTGGACAGTGCCACCTGGCAGGGCATCCAGACATTTGCGATGCCCTCAACTTGAATTCAAAGCAGCGGAGCAAATGCACCATTGCCCATTGCCGCGAGGGGGTAGAACCGTCGAATGTCGTCAGGGCTCAGTCAGCGCTGCAGTCTGCAGATCAGCGATCGGGCTCCAGCTTCCAATCTGATTCACCAGGCTAGTGCGCTAGCAATTGCTGGCGACAACCTGCCGCAAACGTGTTAGTGCTTGGCCTAGACCGGTGACGTATGGGAACTCGTCACCAAGCCAAGAAGGAGCTAATTCGGCCTAGAGCTTCAAGCTTGTTGTCATTGAGGCCGCTAGCTCAGCTGGAGCTTCACCGCACGCAAGAACCGTTCCCGGGAGCAGCGACTGGCAACGTACCGGTACGTGCGACCGAACTTTTCAGCAAGACGTCACCGTTGCGCACCGCCAGCCCTTGGCCTTTGAGACATTGGCAGCGGCCCATTGCCAGTCAACTGAACGCAGCGGCAAGGTACCGGTACGTACCCAACACGCGTCCCCGGTGCATACTGCTTCTGAACCTGATGCCGGCTGCTCTGGGATAACTGAGCTCATCATCGCTAGTGCATGTGTAATGGGAAGTTGGCATGTAGGGGCGCAGTATAAACTTTGTGCTGAATTCCCCGTCGCACCTCCCTGATCACTTGTTCTTTCTCTTCTCTTCTTCCTTCTCTCGATACTTATTCCCAGCTGCCTCAGAACATCAATCCGTTGTTTATTATACCCCCTCGATACCCCATACGAGTCCCATAATACATTAGTGATACCCGGGTTCATCTGAATCCAATCTTTCCTTTACTATCCCCCTCAGACGCCGCGACGAAGGCGTCCATATCAACCAGGACAACTAATATCACCACCTCGTGACCACTAGCATCAAGCTAGGACACCAAGATGGCTACCAGCGTGAATCGTCCTGTCAATAAGGAGAAAAAGGAGGCCGACGTCAATCGCAAGCTCCAGATCTACGGCATCATCAGCGCCTTCCAGCAGGGCAAAATTCCGTCGGTAAGTGGCCGTCTTACCTGAATCGGCGAGAACAAACTTTTAACGTATATCACAGAACGATCAGGTCGACGTCGCACTCAACAGCTTCCTCGAGAGCAAGGCGCTCAAGACCCCTTCCAACAAGCTTTCCGAGGAAGGCAGGCAGCTTGTCCAGGACACTAAGAATGTTGTTGAGGAGGCCAAAAAGCTTCTGCTTTCCAAGAACCAGGGCAACCTTCTTCAGGACTTTGTCTGGCAAACCTCGCATTACGACTACAAGTCGATCCAGGGCCCCAATGTCCCAGTCGCCAAGGACGATGCCAAGCGCGATGGCGACGAGGCCCTCAGGGGTGTGAAGACTCTTGGCACCCTGTTGATCACCAACGGTCAATTTCGCAAGATGTTGCAGGACTTTACTACCCTCCTCCGCGACATGTCCGGCGACGCCGCTTCCAACGCGGCCAACAAGGTGCGCCCCTCGGAGGATGCCCTGGCCAATATGGACCGCCCCGCCGACGACAACGTCTGGCACGAGAAGCCCGACCTGTCCAAGGATAAGCTCCGTAAGCAGGCTCAGCAGGTGTACGGCGGAAAACCCAAGGAAGACGCCAAGCATGCCGCCAACGCTGCCGCCAACGCACAGAAGTCCAACGGCGATTCTCGCGCTGCCGAGCAAGCCGCTCGCGATGTAGTCCAGGAGAAGAAAAACCAGAACACCGACGAGGAGACGAGGCGCGAGGCTGAGGAGAATAAGGAGAAGGCCAAGCAGAAGAAGGAGGAGTATCGTCGCAAGGCCAAGGATTACTTCAACAAGAAGATGCCCGAGGAGCGTAAGGAACAGGTCATCTTCCGCCTAAAGAAGATGATTCTCGAATGCCAACAGCACCCCGACTACTCTGAGGCTGTCCAGACCATTTTGCGTCTAGCTGAGAATTACGGCCGCCATGGCCGCGTTATCGGACAGGGTGGCGCGAACACTGCCAAGCAGACTCGCTCCGGTTTCGCTCAGGCTGAGGACGATCTCCGCACTCTCATCGAGCGTTTTGCCAACGGCACTTCCACTGAGGACTTGTGGTCCTCGATCAACCAAATCTACAAGGATGCCGAGAAGGACGAGGAGTTGCGAAACTGGTTCAAGAGCCTTGACCGCTACATCCGTCGCTGCCTCCTTGAGCAGGGCTACATCCTCGATGAGGACTCATCCCATCAGTGGGATCGCCTCTACGATCAGGGCAAGTACTTGCTCCGTGACAAATACCGCGTCCACACCGACCGCGTCCTGAACGAGATCAAGTTTGTTGGCGAGCAGTTCGACAAGGACCCCCACAACAAGGCCTTTGGTGATGCTGTTACCAAGTTGTTCCTCCACCTTGGCAACGACGCCAACGGCAAGCCCACCTTCAAGCCTCACTTGCTCAAGGATCTCAGCGACGTTATCATCCCCGCCGTCTTTGAGAATGTTGCCTACGTTCCTATTCCTCGCATCGAGTACTCCGATCCCCAGTTTGATGCCATCATTGAGAATTTGATCTTAGAGTCTGACAACTTCGCCCCCAACATCTTTGAGATCGCCAGTGACAATTACTTCCGCTGGGGCCGCAAGAAGATTGCGAACAAGCACAAGAACACCATGGAAGTCAAGGTTGCTGGCGTACAGATGGATTTGCGTGATGTGAGCTACCACATCAAGCGTAAGCAGGGGTTCCCCAGCATCACGGATACTGGTGTTGCCGATCTCATTCTGCCTGGCGAAGGCCTTTCCTTCAAGGTCAAGATGTCCTCAGCCGACAAGTCAGACCGCCAGAACTTTTTCAAGGTTGAGAAGGTTGACGTTGACTTCAAGGGCATCAACTTGAAGGTGACTCAGTCCAAGCATAAGCTGCTCTTCAAGCTCTTCAAGCCGATCGCCCTCAAGGCCATGCGCCCCGCCCTGCAGAAGGCCATCGAGAAGGCCATCATGGATCAGTGCAACGAGCTCGACAATTTCTTGTACCAGGTCAAGCAGGAGGCCGACAAGGCACAAGAAGAGTTCAAGAATAACCCCGAACAAGCCCCCAACATGTACAAGCGCTACGCGGATGCTTTCCAGAAGCGTATGCGCCAGGGCAAGAAGAAGGCCGAAGATGTCGCCCAGGACAAGAAAGTCAACGTTGCCATGACCCAGGAGGACAGCATCTTCCCCAACATCCACCTCCCTGGTGGCATCAGCTCCAAGGCCACTGAGTACAAGGAGCTTGCTAGGAAGGGTGACAAGTGGGAATCGCCTGTGTTCTCCATTGGCAGTGCGAAGAAGAGCGACAATATCCCTGCCGCTCCCAAAATCGAGCGCAAGTCGCACGACGCTACTCCCCGCCGCCAGGCCGAGGGTGCTGGTCTCGCAGGCGCGGGTGCGGGTGCGGTCGCTGGTGCTGGTACTGGATATGGCGCGCCTGCCACTGGTACTTCCGGCACTGGGTACGGTGCTCCCATCGCTGGGCACACCACTGATACTCAGGGCTCTGGTCTTGCCCCTCCTCTGGGCAATCTGGGTGGCGTTGGTGAAGGATCCTACGCTAACGGCGGTGCCAACGGGGTCACCAACGGCGGTCTCAATGGCAAGGCTCCCTACGGCAACTTGCCCGCGGGTGTTCAGCCAGCCGGTTCAGTTGCGCCTGGTAACACTGTCTAGAAGAGTGTCAGCCGTCTTGGGGCGCTCGTTACCCGCAGCCGAACCAGCCTTGAGTCAAAGAGGAGTGAGGAGGACATGTTATGCCTGAAATGACGGATGTTTGTGATTGTTGGTTTTGCGTTGGGTACCTCACGTCTTCCTGTTCTTGTGATACCATGAGGTGTAATAGTGATGGATGGATAAAGGGTCTACCGACATTTCCTATGTACAATAGTCCTTCAAATCGAAACTTTTCTTGTCTATAATGCTTGACCTTGTCGTGATTTGCAAGATTTCTCGACACGTTGACGCCAAGGTCGCCATAGAGGCAGGAAGGAGTCAGTGCTCAGGACAGTATCCCACAGGGTAGTCTGAATTGCACTAACGATGGTGGGGGCAATTGTTGATGAATTCGACGTCACTCTTATTGTGGTGATGGTTACCTAAATCCTGCATCTGCGACTCCAGTCAGGCTGCGTCCCCCTGGAGTCATTTTTTGACCCCAGCCAGTTCGACGCTTTGCATCTTCCCCATCAACCTGGGCCGATCACTGCTGGTGAACGGATCTTGGAGCCATCGGAGACTGCTATGTCCTCTGATCGCGCCCTCACTGAGGAGCAGCTCAATGCCTTGTTTGATATCCTCTCTCACAATGAAACGTATGCTGAAATTGAAGGCTTCAAGTACTCCGAAGCCGTGACCAACTATGGGTATCCCTTTAGGAGCGCAAATGTCGCATCGAAGACCGAATCTTCAACGCCGTTCACCACAGCCCCCAACACCCCGCGACTCCGAAGCCCTATGCCAGCACGCAGCTCGATAGAATCCAACTCAGACAGCGCCAAGTCTACGAGCCCGGTGCTGCAAACTCTACTTACCCGATTCATCCTCCCTCTGCCATGGCTGAAGGAACTTCCCCGAGACTTCTGGGCGGTGAGGGTGCGGGGTATTTTGTGCCGACTGGCCGACGCAGGGCTATCCGAGAGCTACGACAAGGGAGCTCTGGGGTTGAGGAAAACTCTGGCCACTGGGGCGAGCACTCTCATTGAGATGGTTGGCAGAGGTGTGCTTGGCGGTGTCGCCGAGACCGACGAAATGAAGGGGGAGCTCGATCTGAACAAGGCCGAGGATCTGGAGCGGGCTTGGGACGACTTTGTCCAGCAGCTTGTACATGGGAACTTGGTCACAGAGATGTTTCCTCACATGGTGGAGACGGATGACCTCGAGGCGCACTCGGACACAATGAAGGGCGCTGCTGACTACGCCATCGTTCAGTGAGTAGTGGTCTATCTTCTTGCCATGACTATGGCGACTAACAAGCACAGCCTTGCAACTTTCATCCATCACGTCTTTGTGACCTCACCGGAAGGACAGTACCTCCTGCAGCTACTACAAAACGTACACGGACTCATTCCCTACAAAATGCTCAAGCAGACCCTGCGGATAGGAAACGCAGCGTCAATGATCAACGGAGTCATCAGGCTGTTGCTCGCAAAAATGAGCCTCGGTGGCATCACCAACTGGGTAGGCCTCACGACGAATGCGGAGGATGGAATGAACCTTTTGCAGCGCATCATCAGCCTCGTCCTGTCCTGGGACGCTGCAGAGTTCAAGAAAAGCGCCGAAAAGATCGAGAAGGACAAAGGCGAAGGTCGGCCGGATTCCGAGATTCTCGAAACACTGCGAGACTACATTAGCGAGGGGGAGCGCGTGGAGCGAGACGCTGTGCGGCAAACGAGCCTGGCACAATCACAGTCCATCGTCACCGCCATTCTCTCGACGACAGAGCCCGAGCTCGCGGCTGGGCTCTCCGAACTTAAGCACGTCTCGGCACTCCAGTACTACTCTGCCCTCCTATCTGTCCGTGACCGCGACGCAATCACCTCCGCTCTGTGTCGTCAGTCCCCGGATCACTTCACAACGATGATAAAGGAGCTCGTGGCTTCTTACGAGCCGTTCATCCGCATGGTCCATCAAGGTGTCGATTTACGCGAGTATCTCGAGGCTGGCCAGGCCTTTATCGATGAATTTATCACGACCAGCCGAGGCTCGGAGGGAAAGCGAGCTAGTGTAGAGGACTACGTGGGCCTGTTGCGAAGGAACAAGCACATTTTCTACCGATGGGTACACGATGTTGCGAAGAATTGCCCCGAGGTCTGGGAGGAACTGCAGACATGGAGCCTGGACGTGGTGGTCAAGTTCAGGCAAACGCCTGCCGAGAACCAGAAACGATCCGTCATGGCTACAAGATTGGAAGCACTGTTTGTCGGGCTTCCGGAAGCCTCGCGAAGAGACGTGATGGCAGCGCTGGACAAGCACGCCAAGCACCTGTGCGAGTTGAGTCGGTTATCACACAAGGACCTCCAGAGTATTCTCACTAGCACATCAAGTGGCGTGGGTGGAAACGATGGCAGCCAGACGGGCCCGGGCATATACCTCTTCCGCTGGCAGAGTCTCCTAGACACAACACCGGTTACCCCTGACATGCCCGTCGGGCCGATACGACGAGGAAAAGATGTCAAGCACAGTCTTGCCATGGGGAAGACAAGCATAATCAGCGACAAGAACACTATGTTTGGCGAGGGGGAAGGTGATGTTGCAGCGATAGAGGCGCCGGATGTAAGAGTCGTGGTCAAGGAACTCGGCGAGGGATTCGTCAAGGTCCTTCAGGAACTCGGCGGGCCTGATTAGACGCGTAAAAACAATTATAGCTTCCTTTCTAGAGTCTGTATTGAACTTCATATAGCTATCCCGTTATGAGCTGATGTTTGATAAGAGGGAAATCCCTCCTTGTAAGACTGGTAGTTCGAGTCCTCGATAGCAATACCTGTCTGTGATGTCCCTCATACCAATGTGTCTCCGTTATCGTAAATCATATCGTTTCGTCGTGGTACTTCTCATGCATCGAATTGCGCAAATAGAATGCAGTAGAGAGACAACGCCGCAAATCGGCTTCTAATCAAAATGGCGGGATGTCATCTTCCGAATCACCAGCTGTCAAGATGATAGCTTTCCTTACACCTTTTGAAGGGGTGTCATCCACCAAGGAGTCTTCTTCTTCTTCTTTTCCATCCTCCTCCTCATCAAACATACAGCGCTTGAACTTGTGGCCGCGATGCGTCTGATCTGGTGTGTCGAAGACACCGATTTTCGGCAACATGTCCGCGAAGCGAGACTGGCGTCGTCTGCGTGTAGGCTCGGGTGTACACTTTGTAGCCTTGTCGAGCGGCCTCTGAAGGTCGTGGGAAGACAGCGACGGGTGACTAGGCGTGTCCGTCATCGAGCTGTATGGCGCGGGAGGACGCTCTCTGACCCCTGACAAGCGAGCCGCCTCTTTCCGCTCGGCATTCTTCCGCTCCAATCTCATTCTCAATCGTGTCGCAAGGGTAGTGGCTAGCTCCTCGGGAAGCGTCATGACTGGCGTAGGGGGGAAGGGCTTAGGAATGTCCCGGGTTTCGACATCTCGTTGCGTCAACGATTGCTGTCGTGGCAGCGAGACGTCAACTGCAGCTGATGATGGGCCGTCCAATTTCATGACGTACGATTCCATCTCCTCAAAGAAGGCATTCTCATCTATAGATCGCCGTGAAGTGGCATCTGTCGTTAGGTCAACGGCCTTGTCGCGGGTGGAACCCTCGACCGTCTCGACGTCAGAAACGTCGTCATGTTCTATGATGACAAAATCCTCAAAGTCGACAGCCTGGTCGTCCTCTATGAGGATCGCGTGCCGCTTTGCCTTCTTTTGGACGGCTCTCGACGGTTGGTTGTACACCATTCGAGTAAGCCGGTGCCTCCAATTCAGTTTGATGTCGATGCCAGTCATCTCTACCAGCCGAAGGACAAGATTACCACACGGTGCGCAGTTCTTGCGAGAAAAGTATATCTCGAATGCCGGCTTCTCTCCGTTTTCAAACTTCACCTCCTGGAGCGCCTGGAGCTCGGCTATTGTGATATTGTTCAGGTCCTTTGCGATCTTGAAATGGCGCAGCATGAGGCATACTGCGTGTACGGCGAGCTTGGCCTCAACGTGAGCACCCAGAAAGACCCCCTTGAGGTCATCGTGGTTCACACCTCGGATACCGCCCATTTTGTCGAATGGCCGCGCCATAGTCAGGCCTAGCATGGTGCCCATATGGATCGTTCGCCGTGTCCAGAGGGTGTTATGTAGTACGGGCGCATCTGCGTCCAGCACGTCCCCTGTGCGGCCTGAGCCATGGCCAGACTCGGCCCACGCCATTATGTGACGATTGGCGCCGTGAACGAGTGTTGAAAACCCTACAGTCTTGCGGTCTAATGATGATTTTATGACTGAGGCACTCATCAATTGCTTTGCACGCGAGTGCGTGAAGATGTGAGATAGATTCGCGCCAGTCACTTCGACAGTGAGCGTCGCCTCTTGCTCATTGATGATGTGGTGAAAGTAAAAGTGAGGAGACGTGTCAATCTGGTATTTGGAATGAAATCTTGGGAGACGTGCCTCTTCGGGGTGTGGACAGGACATGGTGATGGACCACTGGGTAGTTGTAGAATGCCTTGTTTACGTCAGTACTTCAACGCTTGTCCGTGCCGAAGAGTATTCTTCGTACCAAGTGAAGATGAGCGCGGAATAGATAGCTCAGTTAACAATAGGTGCCCTGAGGATAATAATAGTAGCGTTCCAACAGTAAGGATGTGTGCGAGGTGGAGTTGGACACCGAAGGTATGCTAGATTGTAGAGGAAAGATAGTAGAAGAATAGTTGAATAGCGAAGAGTCCGGTGACTGGCCTAGACTCAAGCCTTAAGCATAAGAATGTAGAGGCATGAAGGGTGGAAGAAGTTGTGGCTAGCCTCGAGGGAACTGCCTTTCACGATGAGGGAGAATGACGGTGGTGTTGCTGAAAGGGTTTATAGTGTATTCGAGAAGGTGAGAAGTTCTCATCGCCAATCTGAAATAGCGAAAGTCAATGAGCTCTCACCAGTGGCTGGTCTAGTGATGTGAACGGCCTAAGATACAAAGGGGGAGGGCATTGAAGCACACCTTCATCAGTCGAAAGCAACGATCGAAGTCTTTGCTCACTTTCAACACCTCACGGAAGAGAAACGTGATCTCCTTGCCCGCTCCATGTGACACACGAGATGAATTGCAGACTACACTCTGCTGGTCTTTGGGTACGGTTGGCGATGGAGGTGTGTGAGCTTCTGCGACACTGCCAATGTCCGTAGGCAAGCAGCATTGGTATTTCAACATGACGTAGGAAGACGAGTTGACAGTCGTGCTCACACATTGTCGCGAAGAAAACGAGAAAGGTATGGACGGGTTCAAGGTGCACCGAATGACCCAATTCGGGGTAGTCTCATTCATACATGACAACCGAAAAAGACCCGTACGCCGGTATATTCCCCGCCCTCGTGTAAAGCACCAAAGTAGACCGTTCTTACTTTTTACTTATTCCTCAGTCGCTGTGCAGAAGTAGTGGAAGAAATCTACTCGTCATCGTCGTCGTCCTCCTCCTCGGCCTCAGCGGTGGTCTGGGCGATACGGTCCAGATCACGCTGGCCGGCCTGGGTGATGCGGCGTCCACCCTTGTCCTCATCCTGCTCGAGGACACCAATCTTCTCGAGGGACTGGAGGACCTTGCGGTCGACGGAACCCGAGGCATCAATGTGCTTGGAGGGACGGGCGCCGCGGTTCTTGGCGGTACCGTGGACCTTGCGGAGACGGCCGACACCGACGGTCTTGCGGAGATAGACGTGGCGCGCGATGGAAGCGGCGCGGATGTAGTACCAGTCAATGTCCTGGGGAGGGAGCTCCTTGGCGACACCAGTCTTGACAGTATCGACCCAACCTGGATGGCGTTAGACTGGAACGCGAGCAGCTTCATTGACAGAAGTAAAGACCTACCAGGGATGGGGAGCTTGCCCTGACGCTTCAAGAAAGCAGCGTAGGCGTTGATGAACTTCTGCGCCTGTTGCAAGATACCCATTAGCATGATTCCGTCGTCAGAGATCTTTCGACCCCCTCGCGCCTGCTCTCCTCTCAATTGCCAGCCACATATTGTATAAAGGTCCCGAAATGCCTCGCGATTGCAGTGTCTTGGTGTCAACAGGACCACTGCGCTCGGCGGTGGGCATTGGTTCGCTTCATCGTGATGGCGAATTGGATAGATCGGATTTTGGTTCGTCGCAAGGGGTTTCGTCGATGGCGCCTTCAGGTCGCACTCACATCAACATCGCGAACGGTTGTTCCGCCAGTCATATTGTCGGTGTTGAGGGGGGTTGTCGGGTGGTGGGTGGTTGGGTAGTTGTCGGTGATGGAAGCTGGGCGTGCGAGTGGAAATCTCGTGGTGTTGAGGGTCCGTTGATTTTCGAGGAAATTTCGCCGTGGGGTCGCAAGCCCTAGGTGGGTAAATGAGTCAGCACCAAAATTGGTATACAGTGTGCAAAAACAAAGCACTGTATAATGCACTGTCGGGTATAAATGTGGTCGGCCTAAAGTATGTGCCTCAAGCTTCAATTGCCGTTTTGGATGAAGGATTGGTTGGGTTAATTACACGTGTGTTAATTGCTGCAGATGCTCCTTGTCAGGTGTTTACCCTACTCGTGGTGCCGTGGACAGCCTTTAAGCCGTGCTGTTACTATCAAATCGATCAAAAACGTGCTCTTGGACCAAGAAAATATATGCATATAATGACCAGTTATTAACGATATGTATTTTTTACGGCACATTTCTTCACGTCCCTCGCGTCTTGCAGTCTATGTGTTTACGCCCACTCGGCGAGCAATGCCATCAGGCCCATGCCCAGGAGCACGCACGCAAAAGCGGATAGCTGCACCTTAAGCGAGGCCCTCCTCATGTGCGGGTTGAACATGAACTCGTGCGCCAAAAGCTCGACCAGACCCGTGTACATGAGGATACCAGCGCTAATAGCGTCAAAGATGCCGTTGACAAGTTTCTGGTCGTTTGCGTTATTGGGCTGCGCGCCAATACCGGCCGCGATGCCGACGGGTGTCGAAAGGGCAAAGATGGCGCCGAGAAGGTAAGGCAGCCATTTCTTGTCCTGGGGCCACGGCGCGATTGCCAGACGAGAGCCCAGACCCAGGCCTTCGAACATTTGGTGGAAGACGAGCACAATGAGCAGAATGGTGACCTCGTCGGTCGTGCCAAGAGTCAGGCCAATGAAGACACTGTGGAACACGACACCGAACTCGAGGATGAAGATGGAGGTGAGCTGCCCCGCAAGGCTGCCGTGGGAGTCACCCTCTGTGTGCTCGTGGCGGTGGGCGAGGTGGTCGCGGCCACCGGGCGGGTAACTCATGTCGCCGTCCTGTCCAGGGAGCGCCGATCCGTGTCCGTTGTGGCCCATTGTGCCGTTCTCAGCGTCCTCGTTCACGTTCGTCTTCTTGGCCTCGGCCCTGCTTAGGTCGAGAATATCCACGGTCGGGTCGTTCTTGGCGTCCAAGCTGCCAGACTGCAGTGCATCCGCGTCATCCACCTTGCGCATGGCCATGAGCTCGACAAAGAACATGGCCATGACGGTCCACAGCCCAATGGCAAACGCCCAGGGATAGTCTCCCAGACGAGGTGTGAGACAAGGGTCCCCAAGGTTATCCGCCGCAGGCTCCAGCAAGTGCATCCAGGCCGTAGCAATGATCACGCCTGTACCAAAGTATTTGCAGATGAAGAACACCAGCTTGGGCACGGGCACCTTGCTCTGGCCGGCGAGGAAAATAGGCATGAGGGCGCCAATGGCCGAGCTGGCGAGGATGATAAAGATGGCGGCGATGCGAAGACCCCTCTGGCCGACGTCCACTGCGTCACCATCACATCCCTCCTCTTCTTCGGCGCGGTTGAAGATGGCAGCGGCTGACATATCGGCGAGAGACATGGTGGCGGTAGTCGCGGAGTGAGAAATGGCTGTCTCACTGGTGGTTGATGCTCAAGAGAAATGCTGGGCGACAGCCTGACTTAATTAACAAAACGTGGGTGCGCTATTTGACACCTTGATGGCAATCCTCACGTTGCAAATTGATCTGTTGTCGACGTTTGGCCTCAAAGGACCGAGAAGAAGTGGACTTCTGTCGGCAACAGGTGCCGGTACGGCTTCAATGTGCCGTGAAAAACTGCTCGGAGCTGGCAACCAACACTGAATAGGTTGTTGTACATATGGATCTAAAGCGTGGGATGTTGCAGACTGCGGTCCCTTTTACCTTTGATAGCCCCAAAGTCCTGGCTTAACAGCATGGTAGCGCCTTGGTGGCACAGCATTGAGTTGTCGCTATCCATGCCGTGATTCAGGGCGTGGAGGAAAGCATCTGTTCTTGACAGTCAATTGCTGCGTATGGCGAAACACTTACAAGCAAATACCGGAGAATTCCAGTCCATGACCCAATGGGTATCCAGTCCCAAAGGCGTGGAGGCTGGAACCAAAAGGCTCACCTGGCAGAGTGACAGACTGACTTGACCATCAAGGTTCTCGGGCCATACACAAGCTTATTATACGCTGGACGGAGGACCGTGGCGGCCCACACTCCTCCGGATGGTTCGGCACGGCGGCTGCCGGCACCGCAGTACGTACCTTGGCAACTTGGCAAGGCTGTAGGAGATGTTACCACTAAAGGCTCCTGTAAAATCTTCTGGATTCCTGCCTACTAGACTACGTCCCTGACATTGATAGAACGCTTGAACGCCGACCCATGCAAACATCTATGGAAAAAATGACACGTCCTGGTTACACGCATGTCATGATGAGAACTGTATCTCCAGGCCAAGGGTGCGAAATGGTTTGTCCAGTTTCCGCAGGTCGATGCCGCTGCCCAGACTGAAAAGAAGCGATTTAACTCTGCCCTCCCAGAGCACGCCTATTCGCAGGTTCTGATCGAGCCTCGTCTTCAAGACGCCCGCGTACTCGTCTTCGTTGCCACCCCCTCTCTCCTCCGTCGGAAGAGCGTCCCTTGGCTCGTCGAGGCGCCAGGCCATCTTTGCCTCGAAACTGCGGGCCCCCAGCCATCTGGTCTCTTCTACGGGACGCATCAGAGGTTTCCTCCAAAGCTCCATTCCAACAGCCCACGCGCTCTCGTAGCTGAAAATGTTAAACTCCATCCGTGTGGCCAGGCTGCAGTGCTTCCCGGCGACGACCGCGTAGCTGGCGGCAATGTTCCCCATGAGGGGGTTGAGCGTCAGCGTCGCCGACAGTGGCGTGCCCTTGTGCTCTGGCAATGTTGCGAATCTCGTGCCGAGGCTGACGCCTCCCGACTTGTTCAACGTGCCATAGTAGATCTCCCCGCCTGTGCTGAAACGTCCGTAGATGCGCTCTCGCTCGGGCTTGCCCCTGTCGCTCCCCTTGGCCGCAGTCGCTGGGTCAATCGTGTCGCCGCCAGAATTCCAGATGCCGCGCAGCCCCAAGAGTCCCCCATCTGAAGAGTACAGTCCCTCCAAGGCATATCTTCCCACGTCATATTGCGCCAACGCAACAGCTGTGCCGCCGTTCCTAAGATGCGAACCGGATACGGCACTGATTTGCAGTTGCAGCGCGGGCGATATCCTTTTCACAACTAGCGCTTCCAGCAGGGACTGCGGCAGGTAAAGTCGTCCATAGAGTAGAGATGAGTCGGGTTTGTCAAAGGCTGTCTGTGTTCCCGGAGGCCCTTCTCGCATCGGCAGCGGCGCGAGTGGCCGGTAGGATCGTAGTAGTTGCGGCAGCGACACGTGTTCGGAGGTAGGCGTGAGGAGCACACCAAGTGGCTCGGAAGAGTAGAGGTAGGATATGGAGCCATCAACAATGCCAACGGAGCCAACCTGATAGGAGGTTGCGAAATTTGGACTAGCTAGGGATGAGAGGGAGAGGCGCAGGCCGCGCGGGGTCTGAAAATCTAGTAAGGCTGCCGTCTGTCAGACTCGAGTGGGAGAAGAGAAATGAAGTCCGGTGACTACGCACCATCGGGCGTCTGGTTCAGCGCTGCGTACGAGTTGTCGCGGTTCCAACCAGTAGCCTGGTAGAAGGCAGCGTGGACATAGTCCATGAACTCGCGCATAGTAAGGAATTGGGCGGGCGCCCGCGATCGACTTGCATTCGCGCAGGATGGGGGATGACGGTCGACAATGACTGCAATGTTCAATGACAAGAGAGATGGAGGGCTGAACCAGTTGGTGGGGATGAAGCTGGCTGTTGCCACGATGCGCCGGCATTTCCTCGGCATTCGCCAGGCACGACGTCTACAATTCCAGAATTTGGACAATCACAATGTTTACTTAACCTACATCCTCCTAACATGCTGTCAAATTCGAATGTGCAGATCTATCTTGACCATACCAGAAGGCGAGATCTTATCCAGGCTCCTGAGATCGAATCTCTGAACAGTAAAAGTCTCGAATCTCAAAATTCCGCCGCTCAATCAGGCTGCCACCTCTTTCACTTTTGGACACCCGACTTCACGACTAAGCCTAGTTTGTGTCGTCCTTGAACAGGTAGTCGTATCCAGCAGTCGCGTGCAGAGGCGACATGGTAAAGTAATCACTGTCGCCTGTCCATTTGTCAGTAATGACCGGTAAAACGCCCACTCATGCGAGAATTATCACCTTGGAGCACGCGAGTGAACTCCTCGTCATTCCACAGCTTCCGCCAGTCCTCCATGCTGTCCACCCAGAACTCAGCAACACCATCAAAGTCGACACGCGGGACGCCAACGAAGACCTCTTGGTTCATGTCGGCCAGCTCTTTGATGTAGTGCGACTTTTGTCCCGTCAGTGTCTCGTTGGCTAGCTGCCACGCACTGCCATCCGAGGCTCACCTGGTTGTACTTCCTCACCAGCTCCTTGAATGCTTTAACCCCCAAAAACAGGTTTGTGTGATTGTGAAGCCAATATGCGTGGAAGTACTCTTCTGTCACATCGGGTCTGCGCTTCAGGAAGAGAGAGATCTTGATGTAACGCCCCGGCTTCAGAGGCGGACCTTGGAGCTCAGGTTGGGGCTGGGACATGTTGACGAAATGTGCACTGGACAGTGCGGCAATGGATAGACTGACAGCGACAGCGAACTCGGACGTATGCGATCGATGATAATTATTGCACGACTTTGAGCTTTTTTCTTGGTCGTCAATCTCAGCGACTAATAAAGTACTGGCAGTACCTGGCAGTACTCCATCCAGCCCCTCAGGATGTACATTTCCGTGACAAGAGGGGGGGGGGGGGGGGGCTAAAGCACCAACATGGTCTGACCGCGAAACCTGTCGTGACGAAAAGTCTGCCTGCGGGCCTTCGTTGTTCGACTATCATCTCGACCTTATTCTTCTCCCTCTATCGTACCCCTCGCAAACGGCAGGAACGGTTCATCCGGGGATCCTGACATAACCACTGCGAATACAGTCTGAATACACTCCTTTCTGTGGACACACGACTTAGAAGCTGGCCATGCACTGTCGAAGCGGCGAACAGAGGGAGAGAGGTGTGACCCGTACATCGGCAATTATTCGATCCGCACGGCTACTCACGGGGCGACTCCCCAGAGGTATCGAATGGGCCATGCCAGCCATTCTTGGCATCCAACATCAGTCGCTCGGAGGATTTCCGCCATAAGATGCTTTGCCCATTCCCGCATGAACCAGTATTTCTCTAGGGTCCGCAGTAGGACGCAAAAGTGTCCCAGGAGAATCAGAGCGGCTGGGTGTCTCTGGCCGAGCCTCTCCACAAACTCATCCTGGACAGAGTACACCCACGCCATGATGACTTGCATCTCGCCAGTAGCGCCCACCCGGGCGTCTTGACCAGTACCGAATGTCGCTTCGAGGCAGCCTGTTAACATCTCTATCTCGCGCCCATACACCTCTCGACACTGCTGGTGAGGAAGAACACCTACTAAATCTCTAACTTTCTCAAGCGATGATCGCCAGTCCTCTATCGCCACCAAAGGCGAGGGTGTCTGGGACTCACTTTTATCCTGTTGCCCTTGTTGGGACCCTGGTGATGGTTGCGGAAAATAGTCCGCCAGAGCACCGGAAAAGACAGATGACCAGCCCATGGTCGAGACGACGAGTTTGACGCCCCGGATGAGTGCAAGCCATGGAACCTGGCCATCGCCTGCCACTAGAAGCAAGTTCCCCTCGGACGGGCCTTGCGCGAAGAAGTTGAAGCAAATCAGTGCGGCTGATATATACACAGCCGGACAATTCTCTCTCGTCATTTCCCTCATGAGAGCGGTGGCAGCCTTCAAAGCTGTGGTCGAGTGACGCTCTGCTAGTTTTTCGTATCTTGCCGCCTGCCCTGGCACCTCTCTGGAGAGTTGCAAAGCGGAGAGCGACAGTATCAGGTGCAGGACGCAGGGGTGCTCGAAACCTAGCCTCGGCACGCCTTCCCGCCAGAGCTGATCGTGAGAGCTATCAGTAACGGTCCGTGCGGTGCTGTCCAAGTAATTGTGGAAGAGCCTGAGGTCGTCGACGTTCAGTCGCGGGATGTCACAGAAACATGAGTCCGACAGCAGGGGGTTGACGGCCCGAGCTGAGCTGCTGGCGCTGATCTGCTCAGCCCATAATGTCCAGTTGGATCGGGGTCGACCTCGGCGAGGAGACTCGCGCGTCACCGATGGAGACGTGCGCAGTGGTAGTGGATGTGACAAATCGTAGCCGCAAGGAACGCCAAACCTGGTGCAGTTATTGCACACTGGGGTCGTCTCGTCACACTTGAGAGCAGAGAGGAAGTTGTCAGTTGAGTGTAAGTGATCGTAGGGGTGGCTGACGAACTTTGATTTTGCGTCGTTTGCACGTGCGGCAACCAAGGCGAGACTTTGTGTGCGGCTTGCGCATTTCCTGACGTCGTCTCTCACCCTCAGGTATTGAAGATGTCAGCTCGCTGACTGGAGCGCAAGAGACGATGAACTGGTGACAGTTGAGCAGAAAAACTGCAATACCGCGCGAACGCGAGTATTGAGTAATTGACAGGATACAGAGACAAAGGATAAATATCAAAGAGCAGCACAGCCTCGTCACTGAGTTCGCGCAGCGCTACATGCGCCCAAGAAGATGAAACTGGCTCGAGTAAGTATATGTTTTTCGCATTGGATGCGTAAAAACAATTACGTTGAAGGCGGAGACATGATCGTCTGTAACCTTTTCGCATTGAATGCGTAATCAATCCTATTGGTAGTTTCACCCTCACTGAGTCCACTTATCACAACCCAGCCTCAATCATCCCCTCAAGTCTCAACACAAACGTCCAACGATTCGAGGAGTGAATGGAAACCCACGTCACAGTTGGGTTTGACAGGCTCGGCATCTAAATTTGGTGTTTCTCTTGAATCATCATCATGTACGGGACTCGCATGGAAGGTTCCGCAGCGGATCTCCAAAGGCCGGAGTAGACTGTGTCCCGACGAAGCTACTACGTCTATGTTCCGTGCTACCTTGCCATTATAAAAGCACGACTTCCCTCAATGTCAAACAAGAGGAACCCACCTGGTCAAATCTCGGGTTCTCACTGATTACCTTGTCGCGGCCTTGTCCTGCTCTTTGACCTTCAATTTCAAGAACGTGCCTCACTCCATGTCTTCCAACGCCACCACTCCGGAAGGCTATGCGCCGTTTGACCTTTACCCTTACAACCCAGCTCAGCCACCTGCGTACGCCTTCCTGGCTCTTTTCGGCATCGCTGCTGTCCTCCACCTCTCAGCCATGATCCCATATCGATCATGGTTCCCACTACCAATGATCGTTGGCTGCGGCAGTGAGTATCCTCGCACGAGTGCATCAACGTCGGAACAGTGAACCATGGCTGACTTTCTCCCGTTTTCACCTGCTGAAGTGGAAGCTGCAGGGTATTACTTTCGCTCCCGTTCTCACGACGACGTGAGGAAGGTGATGACATTCGTCATCCAGCATCTCCTCCTGCTGTCCGCGCCACCCTTGCTCGCCGCCACCATTTACATGTCCCCTCGCCGCATCAGCCGCGTCCTCGAAGCTGAGCACCTCATTGTCGGCCGTCGGTGGGCAACAAAGCTGTTCATAGTCGTCGATATTGGCTGCTTCGTAACGCAAGTGGCGGGGGCCATTCTGTCAGGGAGCGAGGACCCGAGCGAGGCGAAGAATGGCCGTACAACCATTCTCGTCGGGCTGATCCTGCAGGTGTGCGCGTTTGCACTGTTTGTCGCGTGCACTGTGAAATTTCACACATCCATGTACTCGGCCTCGCTGTCCTTGGCGCCGAGCAGGAACCTCGCGTGGCAGAAGTACCTGTATGGGCTGTATGTGGTCAGCCTGTTGTTTGTCATTCGCAACATTACACGCATCGTCGAGTTCCAGCAGGGTGATGATGGCGAGCTGCTCAGCAACGAAGTCTGGCTCTACGTCCTGGACGCTGCTGTCATGGTGGTCATTGTGTTTGTCATGCTAGTGTTACATCCTGGCAGGTTGAGACGGAAGGCTCGAAAGCAGGTGAGCGTCAAACCTGGGGAGGACTATATCGCACTGACCTGAGAGTGAGGCCTGTGGCCTGTCCTCACCTAGATGGCAGATTTGAGGATGGCAAGTCGTGGTAGAATCAGGCTCAAGTTCTCAAGTACCTGCTAGTTGGCCGACCTTGCCCATGTCACCATTCTACACAACGAACGAGGTATTCGCAACTTGATGGTGTGGTCAAATGATCTCCGTGGTCTTATTTCCAAGACTCGTGATCCTGCCCATCTTTCATAGGAATCAACCATTTTGAGGTCTTGTTTGCATGGTATTAAGCCTTGCCGCATTCTCGTGTGCTTGATCTTCGTTATTCAGAAATGTGGATCATCGAGGGGAAGTTATAAACTTACTTACAAGAGATGACGAGTCTGCCGAGTCCCGACTCATGCAAGGCACGGACGGAATGATGCACATGCTCGTCGATTGCTGACTGCAGATTTTGACGTTCCTCGCGGAGTCGCAGGGTCCCACCTCCTGAGTCTCTGCTAGGCCTAGGAGTCAGGTAATTAATATGTCGAGCCCCGCCTTCCATATTAATTCGCCGAGCGCATTGCGAGAGTGCGGGTTGTCGCTTTGCGACTGCATTCATGAATCATCCTCCACGACTCGTTGGCATGGCCAAGCAGCTAGAGAAGAGGGTCTTTTTCGACGATCTTTTAGTCCACAACTGGCTGCTTGGGAGATAGTAAGCCTCTTGGCGACTAACCTCGATTTCGCGGTGCGCTCAACACAGGCCCTGCGGACTGCAATTTCAACGCTGCGCATCGGATTCAGACACCCAATCATTTAATAGGGCGCCAGGATGAGTACAAATACCCGCCGCCCTGCAGTAGATTTGCAGGTACTTGTCGGGAACCGCAGCGGCAGTCCTGAAGGCTTGACTAGACTATGCGTAGAGTGGTTTGGACGATGCTGCTCAGACTCAATGGTAACAGTCAGTCTTGATAAGCGCTGCCCAGAGAAGAGAGATCCCCGACTTGTTGACCGGATCTCGACAGAGTGAGCGTCCTGCTACTCGAGGACAAAGGTCCAACGCTGGTCGTCCACACCACACTACACCACATCGGGGAAGCATTTATCGGGGACGGATCGTTCACAAGCAACAGAGTCAGAAGTTCATCAGAGCGGACGGCACGAGCATGCATCCCAACCATCCAGGACCATGATCCATCCGCCCGGAACAAGGGGCGCGCGGACGACCCCCGGCCGTCCCCTGTCTGTTGCGGGCTTTTCAGTTTTCATTCGCGAGGCGCGACTCACGCTGCTTCCTGTCCTTCTGTCGGTCTTCCACGCACCTCAGACCGTTTGCAATGCAATGCGCCCAGACTCCAGAGTCAGGGGCTCTAGCCAAGGGTCGTGTTGGGAGCCATGACTCGGAAGCGCGGTGTTCATTTGTCCTGGGGCCCCTCTCAGCACCGAAACTGATGTGGCTGGCCTAGGGGCACAATGACAAGCTACAGGGAAATGAAAGGAGGAGGAGTGAGGAAGAAGAACCGAACCGCCTCTGATTTGGACAGAAGCGGCTGGAGCGATGGCCGACAATTACATGTGATGCGAATCATGCGAGGAAGAGAAGAAGGTTGCAGATCCGTGGATCAAAAATCACAAGTAGGCACATCTTAGCACCTAAACTCGCACCACAGCCAGCGGCCTCAAGAACCGCGATGCATCAACTAAGATTGTACCTGACGGATTGAGTAATTAGGTACACACTAGTAATTAATTAGCGACTCACTTCACGTTACTAGTTCCGCCTGGAGCGCCCCACCGGACCGGTCAGTGTAGGAAGAGATCAGGCGACTGGAGGTGAGTGAGGTGCCTGCAGGGCCGGGCTTCAGGCTGCATCCACAACCAGCTATTATCGCCTTGTCGTACCAGAAGGTATCTTACCTTACCTTACCATCCACCGCCGACTCGCTCGCTGGGGACCGCTTCCTCCTCGACATTTCCCTCCCCCAGCTATCCTCAGCATTTCCCACGAGCTCTGATCCGAGAGCTTCGTAGACGCACAATGGGCCTGTTCTCCCGGAAAGACAAGGCCCCCAAGGCCGACCCGCCCATCCAGAGCTCCTACTCGACCGCCAGTGTCAACTCCAATGGCTCTCGCGCAGGCAACGGCACCGGCACCGGCACCGGCATGGGCGTTGGCATTGGCAATCGCATCTCGGCGAGCAGCGTGGGCGGCCAGCCAATGTCCCAAAAGGGTCCCGTCAAACTGCCCAAGATCGACCTCCCCCGACCCCCAGATCCTCAGCTCGACCCCGCCGGCTATCTGAGGAGTCTGGGGGCCGTGAGGGATCGCAGCAGGATCGTGTACGAGATGGCGCAGAGGAATCAATTGAGGCACTTTGATGTGGACTTTAGCAAGATGAGCGACGTCGTGTCCTTTGTGACGGGGCTGATCAAGGTGTGTGTCCCCCCTACTTTTTCCTGATGCCCCGCGCTTCCAGCTGTTGGAGGGGCAGACCGATGGTTAGCAGGGCGTTGACTAACGCAATGTTTCCAAGCGAGACTACGATGCACCATTCACGAGCATTCCACCCCACAGTCGATACCAACACTTCTGCGTTGGCGGTCGCGACCGCATTGCCCAGCTGCTCTCCACGTGGCCTGACGAGATCGACAACACGGAGCGATGCCGACGTCTCATCGACCTGTTCCTTGTCAGCGTCCTTCTCGACGCGGGCGCAGGCACGCAGTGGTCCTACAAGAGCGCAGAAAACGGCAGGGTGTACAGGCGATCCGAAGGTATCGCGGTTGCGAGCTTGGAGATGTTCAAACAGGTCAGTAGCCGCGGGCCCCCTGGTAATGCCCTGGGATTGCTGACAAAAGCAGGGCCTCTTCTCTGGGAATCCTAGCAACCGTGCACAAGTCGACAGGGAAGGTCTACGCGCATTGACTGTGGAAAAAGTGGCCGCCGGCCTGCAGTCAGGCCCAGGCAACGTCATGGCGGGCTTGGAGGGCAGGACAGAGCTTCTGATCCGTCTGGCTGATGCCCTGGAGGAGAAGAAGGAGTACTTTGGGGACGATGGGCGGCCTGGAAACATGGTTGGTGAGTAGCCCTACGCGCCGTGCGAATTTCCCCAGATCCTAATCAGACAGACCACCTCCTCTCACACCCCTCGACGCAGGCTTCCTCGCTCCTTATTGTCCCTCTCCCGGTATTATGGAATGTCCTTATGAACGGTCTTGCCCCTATCTGGCCACAATCGAGAACCGCGGTCAACGGCATATCCCTGGGCGACGCCTGGCCGTGCCAGTCTATGCCTCAGCCAGGATCGTCCTTCCGACCGGCATCCTTCTCGGGAAGCGCCGACGAGTGGGAATCTATCCTACCCTTCCACAAGCTCACCCAATGGCTCACATACTCGCTCATGCAGCCCATGCAGTCCATGCTGAAAATGCACTTTGCTGGGACAGAACTGCTCACGGGCCTGCCCGAATACCGCAACGGAGGCTTGTTCGTGGACATGGATGTCCTGACGCTGAAGCATGACGATGCAGAGAGGGGCTTGCAGAACTACTCGGATTACTGCCGTCGGACCGGTGTCAAGGGTGTCGAAGTAGCGCCCATGTTCGAGCCAAGCGACGACGTGATCGTGGAGTGGCGAGGCGTGACCATTGGCCTGTTGGACGAGCTCTGCGTAGAGGTGAACAAGTCGTTGAAGAAGGAGTTGGCCGGTCACGAGATGACGTTGCCGCAGTTGTTGGAGGCAGGCAGCTGGAAGGTGAGTGAGCAAGCGCCGTTGTCTCACAGCGTATACTGACATGGGCACAGGGCGGGCGTGAGATTGCCGAGATCAACAGACCAAACACCAAGGAGCCACCAATTCTCATTGATAGCGATGGCACAGTATTTTAGAGGCACCTACGAACGCAGGAGGGCTTTCATTTCACGATCCACCTCAAATTATAGAACCTTTGATGGGAGCATTTTAAAGCCGTGATGAAACGATTGCTTCTCTACCAGGCATGAGTTACGAACAAAAGATCAGCGCGTCCATACCCTGAAGGTAGACGGCATCTGCACTGCACTCCTGAATGAGATCACGATCATTAATGTACAAACGCCGATCCTGACCTACTATACACTACTCGTGCCAGTCCTCTCTATCGATATATACATATAGCTGCCGGGCATCCTTCATTTCTTGTATTTGTTGATAAAGTCCCGCTCCCTTTGCGCCGCAGCCATCTCCTCCGCCTTCTGGATCCTCTGCTTCCGGGCCTTCTCTTCCTGCTCCTCCTTCTGCCCTGTCGGCATGATGCTGCTGCCCTGCTCCTTGACAGACTTGACCAGGTTGTCGAAGCCGGCACGGATCGACTGGGTGCCCGTCTTCTCGACAGCGACAGGTGCAGTGGGGTCACGCGGGGCCGTGTACGTTGCCACCGGCTTCGTGGGGGTGTCGTTGTCGGCGAGCGGGATACGGAACAACCGCCGGACAGTGTTCATGTTGAGGAGGGCGGTCGCGGCGAGGGTGGAACCACCAAAGGCCACACCCATGAGGTTGACGGCCGCGGACAACCAGCAGGTCGCAAAGACGATGACGGGGAAGAGTACCCAGGAAATCTTGTCCATTGTGGCACGCTGTGACACCGCCGTATTTTTGCGGTTCACCTAGATCTGTCAGTGATCCTTTTTGTGTTACTTCAGGGGAAAATAACGTACGCGCATTGTCAGAGACATTAGGCCGGCGGTGATAATCGGCAAGATAAAGTAGGGGTCAGTGGCTGTCAAATCTTGGAACCAGAGGTAGCCAGCAGACTCCCACCCGGGCACGGGCAGGTTGGTCATGCCCGACACAGCTCGGAACAAGCCGAACGAGAATGGGATGGGGAGGAATCCCCACAGGATGCCGCTGGCCGGAACATTGTACTCCTGCTTCAGGACGCCCTGGACGGCCCTGATCTGTTGGGTCTTCACGGGGTCCGACATGACGCCGGGTTTCATCAGCTCCTTGACCTTCTCGTGCCTGGGATCCTCCTGCATCCGCCTCGTGCGCGCAGCAAAGGCGGTGCTCCTGATCATGGGGTAGAACATGGCCACGCGCAAGGCGACGGCCGCGCCCATAATGGACAGGCCCCAGGGCAGGCCGCTCCAGACGTGGATGTGCTCAATAACCCATTGCATGCTGGAGGTGAAGCCCCAGCCATAGTTCAGGCCCAGGTCGTGCAGGTAGCCAATGTAGTCCTGCGAGCGCGAGAGGATCTCGTAGCCGCTGCTGCTGCTGCTGCCGGTCGACTCATTGACAATGTCGCTGATGGCAGACAGGTCGGCGGGCGGCGAGGTCGTAGACGACGCAGGGGTAGCATCAATGGGCACAGACTGCGCATTCGCCTCGGAAGCGAGCTTCTGTCCGGACTCGGCGGCGGAGGACTCGATCGGGTTCGTGGACGGCGCGGCTTCCGACTTTTTGCTGCCGTAGCCCCAGAGGGAGAGGTGACGAGCGGAGGCTGCCGAGCCCAGGGCAAGGGGAGCGACCGTCTTGGACTTCAGCGTCGCGAGGGGGCTGGACCTCGAGCCGTGGACGGCGGGTCGCAACGTACCAAAGCCGCGACCATGGCCGGCCTGGGAAGCGTCAGTCAGTCAGTCAGTCAGTCATTGAGTAGGCGGGCCTGGCCGTCACGTACGGCTTTGACGAGAAGCTGTCGCTGGGCCCCGGACGAACGCAGCATGCCTCGACTTGGAAGCATTGTGGCGATCCTGTGGAAATGATACTATCTCAAAATGTTGCGCTTGAGGACGGGATTTTTCAAAGTCGGACGTTGGACGCGATGGAAATTCGTGGCTCCACTTTTCTCAACGCTGCCGAAACGGGGCGCCATCACTCGACACATGTACTTCGATACCACAAGTGCTTGTTGCACGTTTGGATCATGAGAAAGTGACATGATGTTTTTTGCAGACCTTGGAATATTTACTGTTCTATGTGTGTTGTGCTGGCAGTTCAGTGCCATCGCCCGGTGTACATTCAAGACCATGCAGGGCTAGACGCCTCTTCTCAGACTCGCTCCCAGACAGTGTAATAACCCGCGAGCAGGCGAACTAGAATACGTCGATAGAATGCCCAGAAGCCTGTTCCGTTCCAGGCCAAAGGGGTCCCGTACCGTCTCCGCTGTGCTTCATTCTAGGCTGGCAAAGTCTTCCATTGTCGGGCTGTGTTTCTCGCGTGGCTCGCCAATCTCAATGCCAGGGCCGATTGGGTGTGTCCTCCGACGATTCGTGGGGAAGACCTGATACTTATCGTCAATTGCCCACTCGTACTTGATGGTGATGGATCTGTCTTCCGTACCTTTGTGCCGCCCCAACCTAATCGGAAGGCAGCCTCATGCGCAAAGAGCTCTCCAAATCCCAGCATCATGCCATTGATGAACGGCAGAACCAGGTTGATGGCGGCACCACGAAACAGTGACCAGACAGTAGGCGGCTTATATACAATAACCGGCGAATCTGAGGACGACGGGGACGCGGAGGGCTCCTCGCTATAGTGCTCGCTGTCGGAGCGCATCGTCACGCCAGACTCGGCGAGCGGATTGGCGGAGTCTTCGTAGGCCATGATGAACGCTTCTGAATTACTCGGAATGAATGCGTTGTCTTTAGCTTTGACGCCGGATAGAGAGCATCGCCAGGTCGTCGCGTAGGGCGCGCGTCGCTTCGTCAGTGATGGGCCGCTGATTTCCCGGGTGACGCTCCCCCGGCTTGCATGCCGATCGCTCGGCTGTTGAGTGTGATGAGTAATCACTCCAGTGACGGCTTGAGCTTGGGGCAGGTGGGGTGCAATCCAGGGCCTCGAGTCGCCCCCACCACGATTGGAGTGACGTTGGTCAAGCTGCCTGCAGCGGCTGGAGCTAACATTTCTAGAACCTACACCTGCAGCTGACAATAGACTTCACCTTCCGATCCATCCACATACTGCTGTGCCGACATTAATTAGCCTGACTTTGTTCGCTTGACGATTTATTCACTACCCACAATGGCTGACGAGGTCGATCAGTCAGCACTGGTCAACGAGTTCAGCGGCCTAACGGGCGCGCCTGAGGAACTGGTCAGTCGGAGACATCATCACGACACCAGCACCAAGCTGTAGCTGACCAAAACAGGCGACTCAATATCTTCAAGCAAACGGGTGGAACCTCTCGGCCGCCACAAGCTCTTTTTTCCAAGACGATGATGAGCAGCGAGCGGAAACGACTGCACAGCCAGGCACGGGTGCTGCACCGGCCGACGAGTCCTACACAGGGCCTAGAACGCTTGACGGCAGGCCAGCGCCGCAGTCCGCCTCAAGCAGCCGCCGCCCTGTAGCGAGTAGAGCATCCCAGCCTAAGAAGAAAGGGATAGCGACCCTAGGCTCCATGGGGGCCTCGCAGGCCCACGACGACCATGACGACGACAGCGACGACGGTATGAACGACGATGACGATGACGGTCGAGGCAACCTGTTTGCTGGCGGTGAGAAGTCAGGTCTTGCTGTGCAGGACCCGAAGCAGGACGGTGGCACAAAGAAGCTCCTGGAGGATATCTTTGCCAAGGCCAAGTCGTGAGTATGACCTGACCATGATTTGGTTTTGCGCCACCATAGTGCCATGCTAATCTCCCCAACTAGGAACACCCGACGCCCTGAGGCAGAGACCCCCGAGCCTGGCCCAAGCACTTCCCGGTTCACTGGTGCTGGCCAGACCCTGGGTGGAGAAGGCCAGGAGAGCATGAGCATTCCGGACCCAGCCGGTTCACGACCAGCCGATGTCGAGCCCCAGCGGAGGGTGCTGCACATTTGGGAGGATGGCTTCAGCATCGACGACGGCGAGCTGATGCGTTACGATGACCCAGCGCACATGGCTGACCTCAACCTGATCCGCCAGGGTCGGGCGCCCCTGCACCTCATGAACGTGCCGTACAACACGCCTGTCGACGTTAGGCTCATGCAGCATCGCGGGCCATACGTAGCACAGCCAAAGCAATACAAGCCCTTCGGCGGCGAGGGACGGCGCCTTGGTAGTCCTGTTCCGGGCGCTGGTGAGGGCTCCGGTTCGGTTGATGCAGCCACTTCCGTGGCAACAACGGCTGCCCCGGGGACGTCAGGCAGCGCTCCCGTGATCGACGACTCGCAGCCGACCATCATGCTCCGCATCCAGCTACCAGACGGTACCCGTCTTCCGGCTAGGTTCAACACGACCAGTACGGTGGGCGATGTATACAGCTTCATCAACGCTGCCAACCCTGACTTGCGGTCGAGGCAATACGTCATTGCGACAACGTTCCCCAACAAGGAGCACACGGACAACGAGCTCGCCCTGGGCGACATGGCCGAGTTCAAAAAGGGCGGAACTGCGGTCGTGAAGTGGAAGACATGAGCTTAGAGGGGGTCGAGGGGATACAGTATTGCTATAGCTTATGGGGTGAAGCACCCTGGCCAGACAGGGCGAATAGATGCTTCCCACCCGCATGATGGAATGAAACTCAATTAACCGAACGCGCGCTACCTGACCTTTTGTCATATCATAACATGCGACGCTGCGAAACAAACAAGAAAGTGGTATAGCCAGTGCCTCCCAAACGCCTGCACAATGCACATGCAACGTACCACACCAGGATCTCCCTCAGGCGGCAGCACTAACAGCAGCCTGTGCGTGTGGCTGCGCGACCGGTCCGTCGAGGAACCGAAAGTGCTGGATGGCAATCTGGCAGTTGAGCATGGCGGCGTTGAACCTTGCCTCGCCGGGCGGCAGGACAACCATGAGGTAGGTGTTTGTGGTGAACTTGAGGATGAAGAGGCTGAAGCGCATGCCGGCCTTGTGCTCCATGCGGATGAACTGCTCGGCATTCCGGGGCGTCCCCGTGAAGCGCGAGATGCTCTGCTTGAAGTGCTTCATAATGTTGGACATGCGCTCGAGGCGGTCCTCGGTGGGGTTCCGCTGGCCCTCGGGCGACGTCCACGAGGACACGGCGAGGAAGGAAGTGCGCTCGAACAGCAGCAGCTCCTCGGCCTCAATGGCGAGACCGAGATTGGCCAGGTTGCGCTCGATGATGGACAGGTTGGGGACGAGGTCGTGGATGATGGAGGCCCAGGCCTTGTACAGGCTCTGGTCCCAGATGGAGGTGGCAAAAGGGATTAGATCGAGCTCCTGGGCGGCAGGGCCGCCCATGGCGTGGGCGGCATACTCCATGGTCTTGCTGCGAACGGCATTGACGCGGTCGTTGTAGACGGCCTCGCGCGACGAGGGCACGACGAGGTCCATCTTGTGGATGAGGATGTAGATGCGCGCCTGCGGAGAGAACTGCAGCAGGGCGGAGAGGATGGCGACGTAGGTGGCCAGGTCGCGCTCGACGTCGCGGGACTCGACGTCAAAGACGTAGATGAGGACGCCAACGTTGGAGAAGACGTGGACGCGCTGCTGGGAGAGGTAGTTCTCCATAAAGGCCTCCTGGCCGCCGCAGTCCCAGAGGTTGAGGGTGAGGTTGCCAAGGAACTTGACGTGGGAGAGATCGATGTCAATGGTGGCGCCTCTGCGTGTCTTGTCAGTACTGGCTGCCTTCAAGGAGGATAGAGGGGACGCACAATCGCCGCGTGTCGCGGGCGATGTAGTTGCTGAAGATGATGGAGCGCATAGAGCTCTTGCCCGAGCCGCTCTTGCCCATGAGGAGAACTTTCTTCTTCTTAGGCTTCCTGACCTCATGGCGCAGGTCGGGGGCTGTCTGCTCGGTCAGGGAGTTGTCGGCGCTGGAGGCCATGATTGCGATGTTGGCAGATGTGAGGACGTTGGACCATGACGAGCGACGCGAGCGCCGTGACGAAAGGTGGGAGGAAACTCGGCAAGCGCCCCACGCTGCAGACAGCGGGCTGGGGGAATGGCGCTAGACCGTCTTTGGCAGCTGATACGGCGATCACTTGGAGTTGGGGCTCTCTCTGTCTCTCACTCCTCGTTCACAGCATCTTCCAGAAGTCAACTTGATCTTGTTCATTCACGCGTGGAAGAATTCGTGACTGGTCCCATCGTTTCTACATGTATTACGTCCTCAGACCGCGGTAGATGCCTAGGAAGGGTGATCTGAAGCCCTCCTCGACTGCTTGTCAGCCCCAGGCACCTTCTCCTCGACACCCGGCGAGACAGCCTCGATATCCTTCGTCTCGCGCTCAGCCTCGATTCTTTGACCGGCAATTTCACCCTCAAAGCTGCGACCCCGGCGCTCAGGGCCTAGCGCAGTTGTCACAGCGATCCCCGTGGCGATGATGGCAGTGGCAATGGCCATTGTTGGGCCATAGGCCTCGACGCGATCGCCCCTTGGGCCGCTGATCAGCGTGTTCTCTGCAATGGCGTTCACAATCTGGGCAGACGGGGACGAGATCATGTTGCCAATCTGGTACGTGACGCCCGGGAACGAGGAGCGGAAGGCGACAGGCGACAGCTCGTTCAGGTGGATGGGGATGACGCCCCAGGCACCCTGCACAAAGAACTGCATGAAGAAGCCCGTAGCGCTGAGCGAACCCTCCTCGTTCGGGAGGATCCAGGCGGGGATCATGAGCCCGGACATGAGGGCCGCGAAAATGATGGAGCGGCGGCGCCCGCAGAACTGGCTCATGTAGCCGATGATGGTGCCGCCGACGCAGGCGCCGACCTTCATGAGGATGGAGGCGCGCGAGGCGCCGGCGTTGTCCAGTTCCTTCTGCACGAGCATAAATGTCGTGTACGAGTCCTGCGAGGTGTGCGAGTAGTAGTTGAACCACGTCATGAGGATGATGGTGTAGATGCACATCTTCCACTCGTTCCTGAGCATGACTCTGAACTCGCGCCAAAAGGCACCGACGCTGGCCTTGTTCTTGCCCGCCTTCTTGGCCTCGACAAACTGCTTGGACTCGGGGAACGCGATCCGGATGAGGCCGACGCCGATGGAGATGCCGGCCGCGATCCAGAAGACGGTCTTCCAGCTGTCCGTCCCGCCGCCGACGCCCAGGTTGGCACATGCCGCAAAGACGTACCCCATGGAATAGCCTTGCTGCAGAATGCCTGACATGAGGCCACGCGCATTGGACCTATCAGCGTTAGCATGTCGATGCCTCATTCCGTCTCGGGCTTTGACGTACGGGCACTCTTCCAAGGCCATGGCAATCGCATTCCCATACACGCCGCCCATGAAGAGGCCAAAGAGGGAGCGCACGGCAAGAAACTGCTGGAACGTGGCGCTGTATATGGTGGCAATCTGCAAGAGGCCCAGGATGATCATATTGACGACCATGGGCCACTTGCGGCCCCATTTGTCACCAGCCAAGCCAAAGGCGGCGGCGCCCACCGAACGAAGCAGGAGGGTCAGGGTGATGGCGGTGGTGACATCCGTCTTGCTCGTGTCGTAGTAGTCGGCCAGCTTCTTTGTCTGGATGGACAGCGCGTGAAAGTCGAACGCATCGGCGGTCCAGGCGGCGAGGCCACAGATGAAGAAGAGCCACGCCTTGGGGGTGAGCTGGGCCATGAGGCTGATGGGATTCTTGAACTTGTCGGGCTCCTGCCACTCACACGTGGTCTCGCCATACCTGTTGCTCACGACGACGCGCTGCTTCCAGATGAGCAGGTCCTTGAGGGACTGCTTGGCCGTGGCCAGGACACCCTTGGCGAGAGGGTCGGCCGGGACGCTGGCGCTGGGAGCCTGGACACCGCCAGCAGCAGCGGTTGTGGCTTCGCTGGTCGAGGTCACCATATCGTGAGAATGATAGGAAAGATGAGCCCAGTCAGACCGCGCGTGGGGAAGAGGGGGCAATGAGGAGAATTCAAGTGCAATGAGACAGCAACAGACAAGAAGAAGGTGGAGGAGGGAAGGGGGTCAAGCTACCTTATGCTCTTCTGCTGCAAGACTCACGATAGATAAACGCCGATCCTTCCCCCCTACTACCGGCCCAGATGGTCCTAGCTGCCCTCCACTCCTCCATGGGAAGATGGATGCATAGATGGCTCAAGCACAGCTCGCCTGCGTGGCAGTTTCGGGATGCGGCGTGCGCGAGGCAGGCAGACAGGCACCTTGAGAATAGAGTCGCCCTGGTCGTGCTTAGCACCGCGACGGTGACACGAGCTAGAGACACTGCTCTCGTATTTCGAGACCAAGGCCACCGAACTGTGATTAGGATTCGCATCAAGTCTCAGGGCTTGCTAGCCTGCGCGCGTGGCATGTCTCTTCACTCTGAAGCGTCTGTGGGTGGGTGTAGGTAGGATCGGCAAGCAGCGCGTTGTCGGCACTCGCAGATGATGCGAAACCCTCCGATCCATGCGGCTCACAAGGGCAATGATGACATTTGGCGAATCAAGGAGAAAATGAGCTAGCTGTCTTTTGCTGTGCTGGACGCCTCCAATTCATCGTGCATATCACGGAGTGTCCTGTTGAGTAGGCTGCCCGGCGGCACACCATCATCAAGGAGCTTCTTTCGTAGATCTTGATCTCCTGGGCGACATTCTACCCGTGCTGACCCTTACAGTCTACGGCCCACACACAGGTCGAATGAGGAGCGCTCGCTCCAAGCACATACACAAAGGTGCCGAACGGATATCCCGAGTCGTGATGCAGCGCAGTGCATGAGGATCGTTGCCTAGATAATCAACCAGGATGGCTGGCTAGCTAGAAAGGCTCCCGTTGCTCGAGTACTCCGCACCAAGTGCCGATCCGGGGTTGGTTCGCCTGTCCATTGTGGGAGCGCCCGCACCAACCCATCCATCATCGAGACAACGAGTGGGTGCTCGATGGCCTTCCGAGAGCAGTGCTTCTCCTCGATCCCGAAGATCGGGCACCTCAGTTGCTGCCAGCCAACGCCATGTATTGTGGGAACGTGTCAATGGTGAGGAGTTCAACTTTGTGCTCATTGTCGAACCGACATGCACGTCTCTTTGCGTGTGATGTTAAGGTGAACTGATTAATTATTGAAGCACTCAAAAGCCGTGAACCGTGAAGCCGTCACCCGCGCATATCAGTGGATCTGCCTGTGCCGGCGTGCCGAGTTCAAGTTGCCAAGAGCTGCGGAGAGTTCACACCATCTTGTCAATCTGCTGCCATGAAGTGTCGGTCATTCAACAGATCTTGTCTGCGATGGCCATGGGGATCGGGCGCGAGCGAGGGCTATTGACGACGCCGCTCGACTATTGTGCTGTGCACGCTTTGCGCGGCTCACGCACCGTGAAACATTCAGCAGCTTGCATGGGAGCCTCGTCTCGTCCGTTCGGGGCGGGCTCGGCATGTCGCAGCCACGAAGCTTGTCTTATGCTTGTTTCTAATCCATGGAGCTTGTTTGGCGGACACCACCGTCACTCAGCCGTCTCTGGACTTGGGCTCCCCGCGCCCCTTGTACATGAGAATGTTCAGACGAGACGGCAGGCTTGTGCATTGAAAGTGACACAACTGGTGTCGTGAACATAAGCCAGTCCGCCGCGCCTGTGTTCGATCCATGCTGGGCTTTGTTTTCACTGTCGCTACCTTGTGATACCCGAGGTACAAGACGTAAGTGATGCAATAATCACAGTCGCCTTGAGGAGATACATCACGCGAGCAGCATGATGATCGATAGCAGCTCCGATTCAGCCATGGAAATACCATGCTATAGTGGTAAAGTCAACCAACAACTTCAGAGTTGAAGCCACCATGGCCCAGTGCTGAGGCTGCTGTTCGGGTATAGGGTAGCCTTCATGCCCCGCGCCTCGGGCGGGCATCATGGTCGCTGCCCCACGTCTCAGCGCACTGGCAACTCACTCTCTACCCTTGATGAACCGTAAACCTCTTCTAGCGGACGCATTTCTCTCATTCACTCAAGCCCATCGCTCGAACGCAGATCCGAGGTGCCTCTCCCACGTGGCAATGGCTTCCAAGCAAGGTCTTGCCTCGCACTCCGCAGAACCGCCCTCGGACGCCCCGCCCTCCTACCTGGACGCTGTTGCGCAACCGCCTCCGCCGCCGCCAGTGGCAGCACCCTCCTCGTCCTCGTCCCAGCCAGGGCCACCCTCGTACGACACGGCCAACCCAGAGACACCTGCCCTGGCGGCCAGCGAGCGGCTGCTGACGCTTATCCTCAACGGCGCCCTCATCCACACCCCCGAGCAGCCCACTCGTCCCCTCTACCACCTGAACCGACCGCCCGTCAACGGCCTGCGGGCCGAGTACTCCATCTTCAAGGACGTTTACCGTCTCAGCTCCACCGCGGGCGAGGGGCGGATACGGGGCAAAGAGCGCCACCTGTACGACTTTTACTCCGTCCTCCGGAGCGACGTGCAAGTGATCGGTAAGGCTGGACCAGCCTGGTCGTACCGAACGGTGGAGATGACGGGCAGCACGGGCGCCCTGGGCTCGCGGTGGATGTCGTGTGTCGTCAAAGGGCACTATGAGGTCGGACGAAGCAGGAAGGCGAGGTTCCTTGGCAGGGAGCGGGGCAACGACATTGAGTGGAAGGACACGGAGGGCAATGTTGTTGCCGTCGAGGTGCGCACGCCAGGCCACTGTCCGCGACTGGAGATGAGGCGCCACCTTGAGGCCAAGGAGCTGGATCTCGTCGTCACATGCTGGGCAGCGAGGGTGTTTCGGGAGTGTTGCAACGATTGAACACGCCTTCTACCCCTCTAAAATGCTGCTTCTCTTCGGAAAGGTTTGCGACATTCTTCGATTGATCCCCCCCCCAAGTTAAATCTATCTACATCTCGCTGGAAGCCACGGGCGTCATGACAGCGACCTGCTTCAGATCACGACTGCTGAATCCGACGCTGATTGTGAACTCCCCCTCGGGGATGACCCAGTCCTGGTGGTCCACGTCCCAGTAGCTGAGATCGCGCCTCATCAGATCAAAAGACGCCGTGCCGGTCTCACCGGGCGCGAGGAGGAGCTTGTCGAAACCACGCAGCTGGCGAGGAGGGGTGCCCTCGGGTGTCGAGTCGGGGAACGTCACGTACAGCTGAGCGACAGCCGCACCGGGGACGCCGCCCGTGTTCTTCAGGGGCGTCGACAGGGTGTAGAGCGTCTGCCAGAGCGCTGGGTTGCCGCCAGGCTGGATGGGCAGCTGCTCGGGGAGCGACGTGACGGAGGCACTGTCGACGACGCATTCGGCCGAGATGGGGCCCAGCTCGAACGAGGTGTACGACAGGCCGTGGCCGAACGGGTAGCGGACGGAGATGTTGTGCGCGTCAAAGTAGCGGTAGTCGATCTCGAGCTTCTCGTCAAACCACGACTGCCAGTCGTACACGCCCGTGGTGTTGATGATCGTGGTGGGGGGTGCGTTGTAGTCGGCGCCGTCGAGGGCGATGGTGTACGGCAGCTTGCCGGAGGGGTTGACGTCGCCGTAGAGGACGTCGACGAGCGAGTGGCCCGACTCCTGGCCGGGGTAGTGGGCGGCCACAATGGCCGTGACGTTGGGGTGGTCGGCCCAGGGCATGGTGTTGATGCCGGACGAGTGCGTCACGACGACGGTATTGTTGCAGTGCGCGGCCACCGACTCGACCACGTCGTCGCCGTCATAGTCCACGCTCAGGTGCCTGCGGTCGGTAAACTCCTGAGCCCATGTCTTGAGGAAGACGAGGCAGACGTCCGGCACGGCGGGGATCCACAGGTCGCGAATGTCGCTCGAGGCGATGAGGGTGTTGTTGAGCCACTGCTGGACGAGACTGCCGTCCTGCTGGGCCCGCTCGTTGACGGCAGTCAGAGGCGAGACAATGTATGTCGCGCGTCCAGTGCCCGAGCCGCCACCGGCGATGAGGGTGCCGAACTCATAGTCGACCTGGTTGTAGAAGCCCTCAGTCAGGTCCCCGGCGTCGTTGCCAAACACGGCAATCGACTTGGGGGCCTTGAGGGGGAGGGCGCTGTTCTCGTTCTTCAGGAGGACAGTGGCTTCCGCGCCGTGACGACGGATCAGACCGGCGTGGTTGCCCCGGACGTCCCGGCTGCCGGGACCGGTCAGGTTGAACTCGCGGAGCCACGTGGACCGGGGGCTGAATGTGTTCAGGTCAGCAGAGGAGGGGTCGACGGTGGGGAAGTCTTCGGCGTCCTGGCCAAGCCAGTAGTAGGGGGCCATCTGGCGGATGATCATGTCGTCGATACGGTCGACCGGGACGGTGCCATTGTTGACGGCCAAGGTGATGTTGCCGCCAAAGAAGGACCCGGCCTTGAAGTTGGTGCCGTACGGGCCAAGACCGCCGGGCATGTTCATGTCCAAGCCGCCCTCAATAGAGGCCACGCCGGAGTGGGTGGCGCCCCAGTCGGCCATGACGTAGCCCTGGAAGCCCAGCTCCGTCTTGAGCAGGCCGTTGAGGGCCTTTGAGTTCTCGCAGGCGTACGACCCGTTGAGACGCTGGTAGGCGCACATGACGCTGGCGGCCTTGGCGTGGATGGCGTTGGCAAAGGGCCAGAGGTAGAGCTCGTGCATGGTGCGGTCGTCCATGTTCGAGGACAGCGCCTCTTGGATGACATCCGTGACGGTGCCATTGGGGGACCACGTCGGGTTGCGCATGGTCTCCTGCTCGTTGCCGATAAAGTGCTTGGGCGTGGCCTGGACACCTGCATCCTGGATGCCCTGGATAGTCCTCTCCATGGCGACACCGGTCAGGTACGGGTCGGGGCTGAAGCCCTCCCAGTTGCGGCCGGAATAGGCCGAGCGACCCAGCGGGCCAGCTACAGGGGACAGCGCAACGTGCGCGCCCTTTGCTCTGAACTCCTCGCCCATGGCGAGGCCACGCTGGTAGAGGATGTCGTGGTCCCATGTGGCGGCCGCGGAGACACCAGCCTGGAAGACGCTGGCGTAGTCGGCCACGCGAATGGCAAGGGGGCCATCGTGCAGACAGAGGCCCTTGAAGCCGAGTCGGGGGATGGCAACAATGTTACCAACACAGGGGCCTGGCGTGCCAGTGACCATGTCGGCCTTCTCCTCCAGCGTGAGCTGGGAGACAAAGTCCCGAGCCTTGGCTACGGCTTCTTCCCAGCCTCCCGTGCCGGTGGCATTGGCTGGAGGAGTTAGCTATCTGGATGTGCATTGGGGGAGATGACCGAGGAAGGACATACGAGAAGGGTACACAGCAGGTGAATGGCCGTAAGGCCCAAGGATGGTGGTGTTCGGAGGCTGCACCCAGTTGAAGTCGCCTTCACCTCTCTCTCCTGCATCGTAGGCCTGGGCCTCCGCCACAGGTGCCAGGAGGAGGCTGGACAGGAGCAGGGCCAGAGACTTGGTCATGTTTGTTGATGAAGAGGAAAGCGAGCAGGATGAGACGAAAGAGACTTGATGATGCCTCTTTGTGCACTTATTTGTAGTCGTCTCGACCCCAAAACCCCATGCCACATACTTGACAGAGACCAATGTTGCCCACACCAAGGCCAGTCGTCTCTGCAGTTTGAAGCCATACTCGACGAACGGCCCGAAAGGAAACCCCACACACTCCACGGAGAACACTGAGCAGATGAGGGGGACTGATGGTCCAAGTCGATATACGGAGAGCTCTGGCGTCATCTAGGGCGGAATACAGACTCTTGGGCTGGGTCACTTGGGTTGCATGGGGCCGTTGACTAATACAAGTCCACAACTAAGCATGGCTAGTAACCTACACGACGTGTGTTCCCGGACAACGGTGCAGCCACGCGAGGAGAACAATGCGGAGATCCGGAGGCCAGGGATCCCGACACCGTCATTTCGATACTTTGTAGTCTAACCAGAGGCCACTGCCAAGGCGAGGTCATGTCTCGCCGCCGAACCTGGCCCAGGGCGAGGCCGCGAGGGTCGGGCACTCTGGGCAGAACCAGTTGTGCTACACATGCTGCTGCTGTCCTGCGAGCGTCAACAACGTCGAATCTAGTGGCTGTGGTGGCCATGTCAGCGACCGAGACTTGATTCACGCGACATAACATACCGCTCCGACTGCTGAAGAAATGGAGACGCTGTGGGGTCCCCGCAAGCGCGTCCAGGCTTCCCCCGAGCGGCCAAGCCAAGCTATTCCACGGCATCGGGACGTCGGCACTTAGTATGACTCTCTCGGCAGATGATGTGTTTCGACGTTTCTTGAAGAAGCAGACCGAAGTTTCTCCTTTGCAGCCGGACATCTGCCGTCTCTCCCCTCGTCAACCCCAGATGTTGCGCTGTTTTCTGCGGCCGAAGGTAGCCTCGTGACTGCTAGCACACTCTTCAGCAGACTCAGCTATCTTCTATTCGGTCCTGTTCTGCGGCATGCGAGGCAATTACGGATATCTAGACAAGGGTCTGCCCAAGGAACTGTCCTGTCGGCTACCCCAGATCATGACTACTAGTCAGATTCTGGCCCCCAAGCGCCGGCGCGCTGACTCGGCAGTTGCGCACAAGGTCGCCATTACGAGTTTCTCAAGACAGGACGGTACGTGTGGAAAGCATATTTCTTCGATTCAAACGCTGCTTCCACTCTTTTCCCCCAGGACCAGCGAGCACGTTACACCCACACCTTGCCAACGCCCACGCCCAGCCAGACGAGCGGCTTCACGAGCAACAGGGGAGTCAGCTTGAACTTGTAATCCGCCTTGTAAAAGTCGCCCTTTTGGGTGATGTTGACAATGGAACCGCCCCAGTCGTTCTCTGCGTTGCTGTTAGCGTGCGGGCCCTTCTCGAACGAGACACTTCTGGTGGCTGAGACTTACTGGCACCAAGGTTGGCGAACCCGTCAATCTCCTCATCGCCGCAGACACACGTGTTGGGGCTGTCTTCGGGGATCACAAGACCGTACGTGTCCAGGGCGATGGCCGTGTCGCCCTTGAAAACGTTGGCCTCGACCAGGACCTGGTTGTCGGACCGCGAGTGGATGGCCTGGAAGTGGAAGTCCTCGTACAGATTGTTGTAGATGTGCTGGTGCCCGAAGCGGCCAGCAGGACCGCGGGTGCCGCAGTTGCGCCAGTAGTTGTGGTGGTACGTAATGTGGAGCGTGCCAAAGTCGACGTCGCGGAGAGAGTCGCTGTTGCCCACGAGCGAGGACTTCCAGTGGTCGTGGAGGTAGTTCCAGGAGATGGTGATCCAATCGGACGCGCGGCTGATGTCAATCTGGCCGTCCTAGTACCCCCCCCCCGTGTCAGCAGGGCTCGTGAGAGCGGGAAAGGTCATGTCAGCTGGCGACTCACATATGTGTCCGGGCCAATCTCTGCGCTGAACTCGGAGTAGAGCTCATTGTGGTCGATCCAGACGCGTGTCGAGTTGTTGATGCTAATGCCGTCGGCGTCCAAAATCTTGGAGATCTTCAAGTTTCGCACAATAATGTTGTCAACGCCGTTGATGGTGATGCCACTCTGCTTGATGTGCGCGTTCCAGCCCACACCCAGCAAGGACTTGTTTCGACCGGGCCTCAGGCGCTCAGGCAGGCTGATCTCCCCCTTGACGTATACGGTGCGCGGCTCATCGCCCTTGACGGCCTCGAGAAGGTCTTGGGCATTGGACACGTAGACAGTATCGCCGCCCTCGCCGCCCGTCGTGGGACCGATCGGGTTGTCTTTTGCGTAACCCTCGAGGTTCCAAGAGGCCAAGCCAAGGGTGGCAGCGCTGCCGCTCAAGGGCGAGGCCGCGGAGAGCGACACGAGGGCGGCGTTGAGTAGTACTGCGAAGCGCATGGTGGAGGACAGGATTAAGCTTATTGACTGCTTGTAGAGTCTGTGTGGACATGTTGGAACGAGCTGACAGGTGGTGATTTATGTAGTCCGCGTACACAGACCCTCCTGCTCTCGTTCGGGCCACATCGTTCCGTCGTGCGTCGATGGTATGATACATCTCGCGCGCCTTTGCACGAGCTGTCGCCAATGCATCCCCCCAGCAAGCGTTCCCCTCGCCGCCCTGGGCATTGATTCGAGCTCCACGTATGGGAAGAAAGATTGGCCAGCCGAGCCAGGGCAACAGTCGCGGCTGATCTTGTGAAAGCTGGTTGCAAGAGGAAGAGATCATTTGGCATGACCGGGGTCTGCCGGCCTACCCCAAACTAAGAGCCGGTTGAATCATGGGGAAGCGTGCTGAATGGTGGAGGATGTTTCCCCGGACTTGGTGTGCGGCACGCGGCATGCAACCTCCTCATTATCCGGTCTACCTGTACCGGAAGACGGAGCCCGGATTGATTCACTTGGTCTGGAATCGCGAGCGTCATAGCAGGAGACGAAGGGGACGCACGTTCTGCTAGGGTTGCATTTCCCCAAGTTCAGCTCAGCACTGCAGCAGGCATGAGTCGAAGATGCTGCATCTCGGACTCGAAAGCCGAGGTTCAAATCATCGCACACCATAGTTTGAACAGCTAATTTGGTGGAAATGTTTTACCGCCGTGGAAGGAGCCAACATGACATGGAAGGATGACATTCATCCCCACGTGAAATGTGAACGAGGACTCCCATCTCAGGAGGAGGGACCATGAGGGTCACGTGACTAGCGGCGCAATTCCGCATAGACCCCCAATCGCCAATCGCGGAACTGAACGACTGATGGTGGGGCGCCTTTTTTTCTGCATCCCAGAAAATTCCAAGCAGCAAGCAGCGTAAACCACACGTTCAGTAGCAGCAACAGCAACAGCAACAGCAACAGCAACAGCAGCCACCGCCGAACCGTCAAGATGCGGCCCCTCACCGAGCAAGAGACGCAGACGCTCTTCAAGAAGCTCGCCGACTATACGGGCCCTTCTCTCAAGAACCTCATCGCGCCCCTCGACAACACCCCCAACGCCGACCGCTACGTCTTCCGCCTGTCGGGCCAGAACCGCGTCTACTACGTCCTCCTCTCGCTCGCCAACATTGCCACGTCCATCTCGCGCGACAAGCTCCTCTCGCTCGGCGTCTGCATCGGCAAGTTTACAAAGACGGGCAAGTTCCGCATGCACATCACCGCGCTGCCCGTCATCGCGCCCCACGCCCGGCACAAGATCTGGATCCGCCCCAACGGCGTCATGCCCTTCCTCTACGGCTCCAACGTCGTCAAGGCGCACGTCGGCCGGTACTCGGAGGACTGCCCGGAGCACCAGGGCGTGGTGGTCTACTCCATGGAGGACACGCCCCTGGGCTTTGGTGTCACGGCAAGGAGCACAATCGAGGCGCGCCGCCTCGATCCCACCGGTATCGTGTGTTTCCGACAAGCAGACTGCGGAGAATACCTGCGTGACGAGGATGCGCTCTTCTCGACTGGCTAGAACCTGGGCGCACTTGAAAGGGGGAGGAGACAAGAGAAGGGAACAGGCACTCACTCTCAGAGCATATGGCGTTATGGCGTTGCAAAATTCGCTAGGCATACTACAATGGGCATGGCCTGCGCTGTAGGCAAATTGATGGCAATTCAATGTGGATTCTCGACGCGACTACATTTTGAACGAGGTTCCTCTGAACGCTCTGGTGCAGTGATTCTGCGTGAACCTACTCTAAACCTTCCTTCTCTCTTCTCCGCCCACGGGGAAGGTTGGGGATCGTCGGGGACTTTGAGGCCAGGTAAGTTCACCTGTGCTGCACTGGAAGTTTTCAGTCAAATCCTTACAAGCCTCCCAAGGCTACCAAGAGGCTTATGTCGCAGGATGAACATGTCGACAACCTAGAATCATGTACCACTTGAACAATGGGCAGTCGACGAGCTGTAGATGAAACGCGCGTCTTGGAGACCTGACCGTGCCTTTTGTCTATGCGCATATCTACAAGAAAGGCCCATGTCTATGTCTATGTCTAGAGAATTTGCTCAAATCATTGCTTTTCTTCACGAGCACGTGCAGCTCGCTTCTCCGTCTCCGGCTCGTAGCGTATCAGGAACAGGACGATGAATCCCGCACAGAACCCGGTGAGCGCCGCTGTCCCATGTTAGCTTCCACAGTCTGTTTGCAAAAGGGGTTTGCTCTCACTTATCGTGAACGACCACCCAACGCCAATGTTCTCCATCATGGGGATCCGACTGGCGATAGTCGCGCCACCGCATGCATACTGAACGAGGTACTTGCTGCTGATCGACTCTGTCTTCCAGGCAGGGTACACCTCTGTGTATTGTCAGTCAGTCAGTCAGCAGACTCATATGGTCGAGGGGCCGACGTACCCGCAGAGTACGTGTTGAGACCACTGAAAGCCCACATGAGACCAACACCGGCAACAAAACAGCTGATGGCGGGCAAAGGCATGCCACCGAATTCCTCTGAAAGACCCCAGCCGTAGAGCAATGTGCCGACAGGCAGAACGACGAACATGGCCCCAAGACCGCTTCGTAGTCTGTCTCTTGGTAGTCTCAACCCATTGCGCTTCTTGATCCATTGCTTGACGGTGCGGTCTGAGATGCGTCCGCCCAAGGTGCTACCGAACAGAAAACCGCCACCCGGCGCGAGGAAGAAAAGACCGCTAGTGAGAGGGGTCGTGAGGTTGAAGCGAGTATTGATGGAGTACCGAATGGCTGACAGGAGGCCGTATTGGTTGAATGAGAGGAGCCCACATGCAATGTCCTAGATGGCATCATGGTCAGTCCATGGTTGTTGAATCACGAGAAATGACGCACAGCGAGTAGAATGTTGGGAAACCCCATCACTTTGAAGACAGGCACAGGACTGAAGGCTTTCATCAGCTCCACGAGGCACTGCGACGTGGGCCTATCCGTTCGGGATCCCAGGTCCATGCGAGGCACCACATCATTGGGGACAAAGAACCACGCAAGCACGATGCCAAGGCACATCATGCCAGTCTGGAGGTAGTAGATTACGCGCCAGGATGTGTATGTGGTGATTACACCACCTAGAAGGGGTGCTGCGAAAGTGCGTTAGTGAATCTTCTGTTGCAAAGAAAGAAAGAAAGAAAGAAAACATGAGGCACACCAATTGCATTCGTCGCGACCGTCGTCCCCAAGAAGCAGCCAACAGCCGTTCCCCGTCTCGTCTGCCCAAGGTTAGCCACGAAGACACAGGCTGGGGCACGCGCAGAACTCACAGGCTCAAAGATGTCGGCAATAATGGTCTGGCCCGACACGAGGAAGACAACGCCCGTCGATCCGCCAATAACCCACAGGGCCGTATACACCGCAATACTCTGCGCAACCGCGGTGCCTATGCCGCTGATCAAGATGAGGCACCCAGCAACGAGGTAGGCTATCCTCCGGCCCAGCACCCTGCCGAGCGGAATCCATATGAGGGGCGAGGCTGCCATGGCAAAGAAAACGCCGGCGTTGGCGCTGCTGATGACGGTGTCGTCCACGCCGAACGTCGCGGCGACCTCAGGGGCCACACCCAACGCGGCCGACGTGCTGAACAGCATGGGGACTGCGGACCAGCAGACGGTGAAGAGGATGATCCATCTCGTCACAACCGGGGTCTGCACCACCACGGTGTCATCGAACACTGCTTGCGTTGGGCATGTCTGCGCTCCCGGCTTTGTGTCGCCTGGCGTCTGCCCAACGTCTGTCGTGGGTGCAGACTCGATATTGTCGGTGAAAAGGGGGCCACCTGCTTCAGGACGCCCATGTGCTGGAGTCATGTCCTCGTGAAAAGGTGCCTGTCAGAAACAACGACTCATCTACCCCACGCGTACCGTAGAGCGTGCACCCGACCTTGTGGACATGGAAATAAACCAATGCGACTCATTCGAGTCAATGGCGGATCTGGGCCGACAAGATGAGATTTCATGGTGATCCACCTCAGGCGCATGCATTCGGCGGTTTGGCCACTGGGAAGGCGAATCATCAAAAGGAAACAGCCGGCGACCGACTGGGTGGAAATAAAACAGTGGAGTCCGAGTCTAGTCTAAGTTAGTCTTTTCTTTATCAGTCGCCGTCGGCACAAACGTCTCCGCTGTCATCCCAAACAGGAACACCCGTCCAGGACCAGAACACCGAATCCCCAGCGCCGTGTCGCCCTTTGACGCGCTTCAGCACATTGCCTCGCAAAACCTTTATCTACGTATACAGTCCATTGAAGCTGAGGTTATGCATGATGCTCAAGGTAAGAGGTGGATCCCCTCGGCACTTGTATCCATCACCACGTGGAGTCGAGGTGCGGCATCCAGCGCACCACGCGCGTTGATTGTCTCAACTTCCAATGACGACGGGGGCCATTGTCCTCCACTACAGCTCGTAGATGACTTCATTGGGGACCTCTGTTCAAGGAAAACAAATTACAATGGGCCTCGCGAGCAGAGTGTCCATCAGAGTCATGTCTATCAGGGCCCGATTTCTAATTGATAGCGGAGTGAGCGGACTAGTCTGGTCCATCGGCGAAGAATCTGCCGACGCCAGTGACCAGCCGTCTCCGATTCTCAAGATCCCGCTTGCTCTATCGCGAACGTCCAGTGCTCGTATAAATACTTAATCATAAACCCGAGTCCCTTGCGCGACATGTCCAGATTGCTCTCTGCCTCTCTGCCAAGCCTACACACATCCATCGACCATGGCCATCAGCAAGCTCTTCCAGCCCCTCAAGGTGGGACGCCTTCAAGTAGACCACCGAATCGCCATGGCGCCCCTGACGCGGTTTCGGTGCGACGAGCAAGGCGCGCCGCTCCCGATCATGACGGAGTACTATACCCAGCGGTGCAGCACGCCCGGCACATTGATCATCGCCGAAGCTGTCAGCATCTCGGAGAAGCACTATCTCGGGGAGTACGCGCCTGGTATCTGGACAGGGGCGCAGATGGATGCGTGGCGCAGCGTCGTCGACGCCATCCACGCAAAGGGATGCTACGTGTACTGCCAGATCATCGCGCCCGGGCGGGCGAATGCCGGCCGGGGGATCACCAGCTACAGTTCGAGTGCCGTCCCACTGGACGGCGCGGAGGCCCCCCAAGAAATGACGGGGGCGGACATTGAGGAGGTGATCCGGGATTTCCGCAATGCAGCCAAGAATGCCATTGAGGCTGGCTTTGACGGTGTCGAGCTCCATGGGGCCAATGGGTACTTGATCGACCAGTTCGTGCAGGACACCTGCAACAAGCGAACAGACGCCTGGGGTGGGTCATGCGAAAATCGCTCCCGGTTCGGCTTCGAGGCGGTCAAGGCCGTGGTCGATGCCGTCGGGGGCGACAGGACGGCCATCCGCCTCAGCCCCTGGAGTCTCTTCCAAGGCATGAAGATGGAGGTCAGTGCCGCAGAAGCACAATTCTCCGACCTCATCCGCAGACTCAAGACCCTCAAGCTGGCGTACCTGCACCTCATCGAGTCGCGCGTCGTCAACCACATGGACTGCGACAAGGTGGAGGGACTGGAGTTTGCCTTTGACATCTGGCAGAACCAGTCGCCCATCCTGATCGCCGGCGGCTTGAACAAGGAGAAGGCCTTCAAAGCCGCGGATGAGGAGTACAAAGACTTTGACGTCGTCGTCGTGTTTGGTCGCTACTTCCTGTCGACCCCTGACCTGGTGTACCGGTTGAAAAGTGGCCTGGAGCCGAACCCGTACGACAGGAAGACGTTCTACACCCCAGGGCAGAGGGAAGGGTATATCGACTATCCATTCAGTCAGGAATTCTTGCAGGAGGGGAGCAATAAGTTACAAGCAGTCTAGCACAGCAAATTCATGAATCTCAACGTGTCAATTCTCGTGTATCGGTGGTGAGACCACATCACCGCAACATCATATCCGCTTTTCACGAACCCCCACAGGTTTGATATATTCTCTGAGCCCAATATAGCTCAGTATCTTTACGCGACCTGGTAGCATGGTCAACTGCGCCGGTTGAGCCAGTCACTGAAGCTCTTCCGACGCTCCTCGGGCTTCACACCACGGTGGACGAGAGCAGCAGAATCAAAGTGCCTTATGGTGTTGACACTGTCCCCTCTAGCCCTCGAGAGAACCCTCAACTGTTCTTGAAGTGGTGGCGAGATGACTGCATATTGCCGTGTTCAGAATCTCTCGGAATGCTGCATCCTCTGGGCAGAGGAGATCTCTTCGCTGGTCCAGGACCTTGAGCGTGCTGCCTGACACATTCTCGGTGTCTTGGCTCATGATGGCATCCTTGAGCTCATGGAACAAGTGTCCAAAGTCAACTACAACATCCAATCTAACCTTGTAATCTGCCCGTACATCGTCCAGCAGCGGTAGCTTCTCGAGGTGCAGCAGATACCTGAACCTCTCCAGCTCCGCTATGGACATCCTCACGCCCCACGTTTGATGATCGAATCTCTCTTGCAGGGCGATATAGTCGACTTGGAGGGCCTCGGGATGCAGGATCTGCAGCGGAGGGATCGTCGTCAGCGGCGACGGGCCCTTGAACAGGGTGTGGTCGTCGCGGCACAGGCTCAAAGAACCCGATGCGGTTGACAAAGGCGGAGAGGGCATCGATGATTTCCATGACGATTGCGTAGAAGGTCATGCTCAGTTGGAAGGGCTTCTTCACCAGGCCCCACCTTCAAACGCGGATGGATGCCGTGACTTGAAACCAGATGGACTGGTACGAGAGGCGTTCCTCAATATATTCCGCCGTTGCTCAAAGAATTTCCGGGTTGCGGCTGGTTGACACCTCGTGGTGCTACAGCAATGTGACCTGCCATTCTGTGTGATGAAGTGATTGTAGTTTGACACATCTGGACACACGGGTCGTGTAGTCCGGGTCCCGGATGGCGTTATTCATATGCTCACCACGGGACAATCCAGTACTAGGATCACTGCATATCCTGGATACTGCCGGCCATCACGTAGTACCCAATCGTGTTCAGACTTGGAAGTTGATTGCTGTTGACCACTCAGTTAAAGCAACCGCGTGACTCTGGGTCCATCCGTGGTAGTAGTCTAAGGCGCCATTGCAGAATTATGAATGTCTTGTCTATATGCCGCACTCCAACCTACTCAGTCCCTTCGACTCTTCCCATGATCACCTGGCGCTGCGGCGTCTAGTTCCTCAACAGTGGTATCGAACCTTACACGAAAGGTGCTTCCTCGCCAGTTGACAGTGTCACCAAGTAAGACAGCCCACGTCCATATCGGCATGGCCAGAATCTCCCGTCCAAGCCACGCAGGAATCCACTCATACAGCGGTCGCGCGTGTGCCTTGGATGGACCGAAGCGACCACGGGCGAAGTGAGGAGTGTGCTCGTCCACGTCTATCGACTGCGCCGAGTGCAGTTTGCTATGCACGGCCCGGTCCGCCATCATCCAAGTGGTAACAAAGATCAGCCAAACAGCGCCCATGGCGGACCAGGTTCGAGGGATACCAAAAGTGGCTTCAAACCACTTCAGAGTCGTGGTCGCGAACGCGAACGCAAGACCGCACAGGAGAGACTCGACGCCTGGCTCGACCAGGGTGGCCGCCAGCACCGTCCACTTCCGCGCGCGTAGCCAACGAACACGGCGAGCAATGTATGCGCTGACAGACATGCCCGCCATGGGCTGCACCGCGAGATCACCCCATACTATGCCATGGTTGTTGTATCCTGGGAAATCCGTACGCCACAGGATATCGCCGATGCAGTGGTCTTCGCAGATGTTGTAGGAGAAGTAGTCCACGCCCGCCGGGCGGATATCGTCTTGTGGGAGGATCGGATTCCTGGCTGGGTCGGTTGCCTGGTTGAGCTGGGACTTGCGGAACATGTTACTCTTGCCAACGATGCATGGCGCCACAGCGACCGCGTTGATAGCTCCGTAGAATTTCGCGTGTGTCGTCGCCATGAACATCTCGTCCAGCCGACCGCCGCCTTGGCATTGAATCTGCTTGAGCGGGCCAGCGTCTTTGGGCTGCCGCCTCGTGTCGGCACCGGGCGAAGCCTCCGAAGCGGACGACAAGAGCGCCTCCGAGTCCTGGGTGGCGGAGCGGCCATATTGAACAATGTCCACCACCAGCGGCATCTGGTGTACGAACTTGTACGGTTTCCGCGCAATCTGGCCATCTTTCGTGTAGCCCATCAGCTTATCCACCATGCGACCCGCGGCGCCTCGGGGAATCCAGACATTGCAGTCCACCACCCAGACAATGTCGCTCTGGGCCTCACGATAGGCCTTGCTGATGTTGCGTACCTTTGGGTTCGGCCCCAGACCCTTCATTTCCTCCTTTGAGCAGTCGGCCTCGACCAGCACCTGCGCATCAAACTGGGGAAAGTCATCGACGACTTGTTGCAACACGGGGTACGCAGAGTCGCTCCGATCGTCTACGCACAGCCGCAGCGACAGCCTGTCCACGGGGTATTCTTGGCGAAAAGTGGAAGCAATACATTCGTAGAGATGCGGCTCGAGGCCCTTTACGGGTCGGATTACGGTGACGTGCGGCGCATGCTGCTGCAGTTTGGGCGAGAGGGCAGGCGGTGGCGTATGGGAGAAATATCTAAAGCTAGAGAAACCATCAGCGCCGAGATCTTTTCCTCTGCGTGGGAAGCAGATGCGCTGCGACTCACACGGCGCCCATGCCGATGCATTCCACCGCTACCACGACGCAGCTCCATATCAGGCACACGGTGGCCACCAGGTTGATCATCAGCGTGACCGCCATAACGAGCGTCGCAGTCTGTCTGCGCAGTACTAGCGGATGGGCGAACGGGCGGGTGTCCCTTGCTACATGCACAAAGCAAAATGCACGATACGGCCCCAGCCGTCGACACAATCGATCGCAAGCCTTCCTCGTGGTGAGATGTTCGGGGAGGCACGCGTCAAAAAGGCTCGTCTGACTGCCTCGTGCCTGACGGAGAGTCGGCGGCACGGACGCAGGTGGAGTCCATGAGCCCTACCCTGCTGGGGGCGCCAGCGGCTGATGAAGGGTACCGCGATATCATGGTGCCCAAAAAGGATTCTAGTCAGACCTACTGAATATGGCGGACAAGTGCTTCACAACGACGGTAGTGACCGGTAGATACAGATTTTGTGTGATAACACAACTTTCGCATCTGGCAATCTTGTGTCGCACATGTTTGAGTTGATCTCCTGTTTGCCTACCCTAAAGCACACCTGGGAGTAGTGGGGAAATTGGCTGAGTCATCGGATGTGGCACCTGGAGCTGCTGCAATTTTTCTCAAGCTTCTCTTCGCCATGTCCATCTTCTCAACTCACATCTTGCAACTCTGTGTTGCGCAGCTCCAAATCCAAGGCCGCCAGGCCAATTGACAAGTGGTAAGTCCTCTCAAGCCATTGAGCTTCTCGCACACTTCTTTATATGATGACCACTTTTGTGCAAAGAGGATAAAGCCCATTCATTTGGTTTCCTCCATGCTTGCCCTGTAATTATAGACTACAACGGTATCTGATCTTTTCACCAATCGCTGCTTTTGTTGCATTTGTCGCTGCTCAGAGCTTCGGCTAACGTGGCGACCCAGGTCAAAATGTCTTTGATGCAGAATGGCTGAACCCCAACCCGTTCTCGCCGAGCCACCTGCGGCAATTCCATCAACAACACCAAACGGTCAGGCTGGCCAGAAGAAAGAGCAGCACAACCAGAACCGAGGCCCTCCGCCTCACACTATCTACGTGCGACCAGTGCCTATCCGAACCTTCCCACTGCCGTCCTTCTACCCCAACAATCCTGTTTCCTTGTTCCACCTCGCATACGCATGGCTAAGTCAGGTCTTCTCCCCACCTCCTGCAGAGCCATCTGCCGTTCTACGGGGAACATGGTCTCCTGAGACTTCGTCTGTCCATGTGACAGACGATAGAGTCATTCGCGCATTATGGGAGCAAGGTTTCTACGGCAAGGGCAGTCTCAGCCGCAGTGAGCCCAACTGGCTGAAGAGAGAGCAAGTGCGCCGTGGTCTGCAAGAAACCCACGTCAGCGAGGTCATGACAGCTCAGAGGCGCGATGAGCGCCTGCGTGCCAAGTGGGAGCGGGCGAGACTCGAGCAGGAGCTCATCCGCCAGACGAGGGAGGCCGAGCAGGCTGAGCAGAGGAGACTAGAGGCCAAGAGCACTCCTGCGTCCAGCAAGCCGAAAAGGTCGACACCTGAAGTACGAAAAGCTTGCGCGCAGAAGGACTTTGCTTCCCCAACCGGGCCACACGAGCTTCTGGCTCTCCCAAACTCCCTCGCTGACCTGGCTCTCAATCACAGCGCCATCGGGAAGAAACCTTCCGTCTGGGCGGCCCTTTCGCCGACGGGGCCATTAGAGATTCTGGCACTCCCCAATTCCGCGGTTGATTTGTTGGCACGTTCGTGCACCGAAGACTCCGCTGATGTGCCCTCGTTGGTGGATGACCACGACGACTCCGGCGAGGATGAGGTATCTTCTGGGCAAGACGCGAGTGATTCAACCCCGACAAATCTCAACGGAACTGCGCCACCAGTCATCCCTGGTTTGCACATTCTGCGCGCTCGAATGCAGAAGAGCGTTCGCTTTTCTCCGGATGTGGAACAGGCCGCTTTTAGTGTCGCGGACCCCCCTAGTCCAAGCCGGAAGGTAGGGGACATGGAGAAGTCGGACGGTGACAACACCCCATCGGATGTCATTGTCAATAAGGAGCATCTTCAACTCATGCCCGAGGAAGCCCTCTGGCTCAGCTTCGGTTTAGGCGCGCTAGCCGTGAATGATCCCCTCTCTGGGCGACAGCTCTCCACGCGTGAGCTCCTCGCCTTGTTCCGCCAGCACTCCTATTTCCCTCCGCGCGATGGTCCGGATGACCTTGACCTCCAGCCCGATGACGGCTTCCTGCTGCACTACGCTGTGTATCATCATTTCCGGTCCCTTGGCTGGGTGCCCCGCTCTGGTATCAAGTTTGGTGTCGACTGGCTCTTGTACCAGCGAGGCCCGGTGTTTGACCACGCCGAGTTTGGTCTTGTCGTGGTGCCGTCGTACTCTGATCCATATTGGAGGACCGTGGGGAAGAGCAACCCGCAGAAGAAGTGGGAGTGGCTCCACAGCATCATCCGTGTATTATCACATGTAATGAAGAGCCTGGTGCTTGTGTACGTGGAGGTACCACCGCCTCGCGAACTCGAGAAGAGCTTGGATAAGGGGTTTGCCAGTGCTTTGAAGCTTTACAAGGTCAGGGAGGTGATGATCAAGCGGTGGTCGAGCAATCGCAATCGATGATGCAATGAGACATGAATACATGGAAAGACCTGCGCATTTGATCAAGGACTTTCATGATTGTCTTGGTGATGACATTGAATTATGTGACTTGTGCCATTGAGGTGTAAATGTAATCCCTTCCACACCAAAGTTCAGTCGAATTTCATGGTCTTTGAGAAGCGAGAAGAGAATTGGCGGTGCTAGGGCTGTTGTTCTTAGGTCTCGCTCGAAATGCGTCCGTCAGCTGCAGGGTAGGTTGACATGTAGCCGAGGTCACGCATAGCCGGATGTGGACCAGCGGGATGGAGCCAGCTTCAACAGACCTCATGCTCGAGCGTAGTCGAATGCCTTGGATGACTTGTGACCAGACTTGGCGAGCTTCTGCTTCTCGACATACTTAAAAATCTCCAAGACACGTTTGAATTCGTACACGAAATGGCCTCCGTGACAATGCGTGCTTCGGCACGCACAGGTCGCGTGGCTATGGCTCCATTACTCCGACCGGGACTGAAAACATCCACGTTTGTTTTTGCTTCCGCTGGATCTCTCGCCAGAATCAATACACGTGGCCTGAAGACCTCCAGACCCAGGTACTCGATAGGAGAGCCGAAATCATATGAAGCCCCTCCGATATCTGGCCATGGTCTGGGCCGTCCCCAAGAACAAGGGTCGATCTCGGAAAATACCAAAGCGGTGGCCAATGACTCTGCTGGCACGTACTCAGACTTGACCTGGTCGGGGAATTACATCTATCAAACCTCAAAAGATGGGTTGCGGACCATAGGGGCCGGCAACATCCGCGACTCATGTTGCTGCCCCCTCTGCCGCAACCCGAGCTCCGGCCAAAAGACCTTCTCGACACCCGAAGTCCCCATGTCTCCTAGGATCCTCAACGTGGAAGCCAGCACAGATGGCGGCTTAAAGGTCTCCCTCGACCAGGACCTCGTATCAGCTCAGCATAGCCAAGTCCACGAGGTCCTTCTGAATGGCGAGTACCTGGCACAGCAAAACATACTGCAGTCAGAAGCGCACTCCGCTCCTCCTCCTTTGCAGCCGGTATACTGGGACCGGACGTTTATCGAGAAGAACGCTCGCTTCGTCGACTATGATGAATTCATGCAAGAAGACAGCGCAGCCTTCTGGGACGTGATGGAGGATCTCGAAGTGCTGGGCCTGGTCTACCTCCGCAACGTCCCGCGTGACGACCAGTCCGTTGTTCGGATAGGAGAGCACATTGGAAACCTCCGAGAGACGTTCTACGGCAGGACTTTTGATGTCCGCGCAAAGCCGAATGCGGAGAATGTGGCCTACACCAACGAGTATCTCGGGCTCCATCAGGATCTGTTGTACCTAGATGAGCAGCCTCACATCCAGATCTTGCATTGTATGGACAACACAGCGCAGGGCGGCGAGTCCCTGTTTAGCGATGCGGATCGCATAGGACGCATGCTCTACGCATTGCGGTCCGAGTTTCCCCCGCTGGCTGACCTGGTCGAGTACAAAGTACGCTATGCGTACGACCGCAACGGATACTACTACGAGAACACGCGGCCGCTGCTGGAAGAGCAGAACGTCGGCGAGTTCCGGACCGTGCGATGGAGTCCCCCGTTCCAGGGCCACCAGCCCAGCGGATGGAACATGTCGGACTGGCTTGCGAGCGCGCGCGTCTTTGAGCGATGCGTGAACGCCGAAGACGCCGTGTACGAGCGTAAGATGGCGCCGGGGGAGTGTGTTCTCTTCAACAATCTACGCGTCCTGCACGGCCGCAAAAGCTTCGACTTGGGGGACGGAGGCAAGCGTTGGCTTCGCGGTACGTACCTAGGCAGGGACGTCTTTGCTAGTCGGCTACATTACATGCCCAAGGACCGCCTGAGGCGTGCCGAGAGAAGTGCTGCGCGGACTGTGCATGACCTGCTCAACGATCTGTCGGGCTCTCCTGATTTTGAAGGCCTGAGGAGAGAGCTCAGGGCCGATCCTCACATTGGCAAGTCCTGATCTTCGGGATTGAGGACCATAAAGGGGCTACCATAGCACGGTGAAGTCAACAGTCTCATTGAATATGAATAAGACAGGTTTGTTGACCAAGCTATCCCTGTTTCCGTTCTTCACGTTATAGTCACTCTACTTCCACTTCTTTGCCTCCACGCCCTCGGGCGGCACCGTCTCTACGGTCCTTTCTTTGACATCGTTCCAGTCCGTGCTCAGACTCGTACCGCTGCTCTCCGTGAAACTCTTCATCATCGCACGCTGTTGTTCAGGTGTAGCATTCTTGTAGAGCTTCTTGAAAAAGTCGTTGACACCGGCTTCCTCTTCCTCCTCGTCCTCACCCAGAATCTTGTCCCAGTTCTTTGGACCGCCGCGCGATGAGGTTGGGTACGAGGACACTGGTGGCTGTGCTGCCTCCGTGGGCTTCGTTTTGTCTTGGGTGGCTTCTGTCTTTGACTCAACTGGCGCGGAGGAGGCCATTGGTGCGGTGGCGGTCGTTGTTGGTTGAGAAGAAGCCTGGTCTGTGGTAGGGCTCTTAAAAGCTCCCATCTCCTCAACCGTACCGGTCTTCCCTAGGCCGGACCACTTGCCAGGCTGTGCTTTGTTCAGTGAAAGCTCTATCTTGCTTGGCATAACGGTGTATTTGCAGGCTTCCGGGTCTACCTCCCCTGCGAGCTTAGCCGCAAAGCTCTTCTTGGATCCATCGGGATAGATCAGAGGGTCAACTGTCACCCAGTCTTTTCCAAATTCGACTTTGACAGTGTTCTTGTCGTTGCCCTTTGAGAAGATGGAAGCGCTCATGGAGGTAGCGCTCTGGAAATCCTGGATGCGGAGGGTCGTGTCTTTGGGCGCAGTCGCCCCCGCCGAGCTCACCACAGGCTTCTGAGCCTCGACGACCACAGGTTCTTTGTCCTTGGACTCGGCAGCTTCACCCAGTCTGTTAAAGTCTTTTTTGGGTGGCACTACGCGGGCGGTCCGCTTTCGCGCTGGATCTTGCCCGTCTAGTTGGTCCAACTTGAAAAGGATTTGCCTTCGCAGCACATCGCTCAACTTCCATTGTGCGGCAGACGGGCCTTGGTTCTGCTGCATTGCGCCGGCCATGCCCGCGTCGCGCGTCGCAGAACCGCCAAACTGCGATTCCTGCGCCTCTTTCTTGGCGTCCTCGAGGGTAGCCGTCCACAGACCATTCTCGTTGGTGAAGGCGTCGGCCGGGTCGACACCTCCGGTTAGACTTTTCTTCTCCGTCATCCACTGCACGTAGATGCAGCATGCGTCAGCGTTGGCCAGCTCACCCAGACGGTTGTAGGCGACGGCACGGCGATGCTGGGCCTCTGTCATGAGCTCCCGGTTCGAGCGGTTCACAGCCGTGTGGTAGGCGAGATCGGCATCGTGGAGAGCCTCTGCGAAGCGGGACAGTCCGACGAGTGCCTTGGAGCGGGCGATGAGCCACTTTGGGTTCAGCGACGAGCTGAGGGCTGTGGTGAGGTTCGTGAGGGCGAGGTCGTAGTTGCGGGCATCGAGAGCCGTGAGGCCCGCGTGAGCTGTCTCGACGTAGCCCATGGTGATGCGATTCGAGACAACAGCGCAGATAAATTCGGCTTGAAGTTTTCTGCTTCGTTTGTTCTCTCAAAAGGGATATTGGGGCGCGATAGTCTGTATCTCTCAAGGTGAGGTGAGGTTCCGTCACAGGTGAGCAGCTTGTGAAGTGCCACTAAGGAGGCTCACGCCGCAGGTCAATTGTGGGGCATGGAAGCTTCCACCACACCATAATTCCGTCGAATAATACACTGCATAGGACGTAGATAGAATGACCCCGTGTGCTTCTTGCAGGATTATGTATTGAAAATTAGGTGCTATATATGAACCTGGTTATGATTTCTTGGTCCGGTTTTCTGCAGCACATCCGCCTACAGCTTGTCATCAGGGTACTTCTGGGCATACATGCCCAACGCCTTGATTGGGAAGTGGAACTTGTAGTTAGGGTATGAGATCATGCAGGATCTGTTGAAGACACCCTCGATCGCCTCCTGGAGCCATTCACCGTTGGGCTGCTGGCGGCTCATGATAAATTGGATGCCAGCACGGATCGGTGCCTGCAAGGGGCAGTCAGCCTCCATGAGTCCGATCACCGCCCACGCCGTCTGGACCACCAGAGAGCCACTAGGATGCTCGTGGTATTTCGTCGTCTCGCATGCCTGGTTTCAAGTCAGCATCACAGCACGGTCATAATTCGCTAAATGTACCAACCTTGTAGCTCTCTGACCAGCCGCCGTCCACGCGCTGGTGCTCGAGGAGAAAGACGCATCCTCTCCGTGAAACTTCGCTGGTCTCGAATGTCTCGCCGATATGGGCCATGCTCTCGAGGGCAAACATAGTAGCATAGGTGAAACAGATCCCCCAGTTGCCGTACCAACTGCCGTCGGCGCGCTGATTTGTCTTGATCCAGTTCGTCGCTCTCTGGATAAACGTCTTGATCTCCTTGGCGCGATACTCGGGCCAGTGCTCATGGAAGAGCGACAAGGCGGTGACACAGGCTGTGGTGCATTCGGGATAGTCGTACTCAATCATGATTCGACCAAAGACTTCGGCGACATTGAAAATCTCAAGAGCCTCACTCCCACGACGGGCCTCATACGAGGAGACACCGCCATTATCGTTCTGGTAGAGCAGCAGGACGTCAATGGCATCTTTGATGCGGTCATCGTTGAGAACTCGTGGGAAATCGCCAACTTGCTGGAGGAGGATGATGGCCTTGAGCGCTTCGGAAATACAGTCGCTGACCGGATAGCCTTGATCACGATTGCTAAAGGGCCAGCCGCCTTTGCGGGGCTGTCGATAACATCTCTCCTGGTCTTTGCAGTCCTCCCGGATCTGCTGGCGCTCCAAGTAGTTCAAAGCCCTGAGCAGCATAGGGTGGTACTTCTCGTGCTTCTGCAGGCCAGTTGCAAAGATGGCCTGTACGGTAAATGCGGTGTCCCAGCACTGAACACCATTGGTGCCGTTGGAGAGCATTCCTTCCTTGTTGATCCACAGAAACTCTTCCATCCTTTCAATGTGCCGCTTGACCGAATACGAGTTGGGTCCATCTCTGATGTAGCACAAGACAGTGTTCATGGGGGCGCTGACGGGTGCAAGATCGGCGAAATCGGTGTTGGCATCTTCCATGTCCACCAGTTCGCTGACCCATCGCTCGGCTCGGTTCTTGATCCAATCCGTTCGCAGGAAAACGTTCCAGATGTTGACAATGAGCCAGTTGAGCACATTCATCACCCATGACTTGGGATGGTAATTGTCGCCCGGGTGGATGCTGTTACGGTGCACTGCCCAGTCGATCTCCGAGTGCGGCGTAACAAAGAGCTCTTTTTTCAAGGCGCGAATAACATCGGTCTCCTCACAGCTCCACCTCTTTGAGTACATGTAGCTCATGGGCAGGAACACCATGCGGATATGAATCCACCATCGCCAGGGCGCCACAGGCGTCCAATCAGGCAACAGCCACAACTCGGGAGGAATTGGGTTCACAATCTCCCAGTCGACAATGCCCAGGCAGGCCATCCAGAACTTGGCCCAGTGAGGCGCCTGAACCGCGCCTCCCAGCTCGTGAAGCCTAGCTCTCGCTTTGACCATGACGGGCTCCTCGGGATCGACTCCGATGAGGCGCATGACGATGTAGTTCAATGACGTCCCAAAGACCGTGCTCTCGCCCTCGATATGCAAGCCCCAACCGCCATTCTCGGCGGCTCGCGCCGTCAGGTAGTTCTTGATTTCGGTTGCGTAGGCGTCGGGAATCGGTGTCTTGGTGAGGTACCAGGCCGACACAACGCATGGCAGCAGGAACATGGGACCGCCGTACTCGCAGGCCCAGTGGCCCGAGGGCATCTGGAGCTCCCCGTAGAAAGCCAGTCCATTCTGGGCGGCCTCTATGGGCGTTTCGGCCTTGGGAAGGTCGGGCAAGTCCTGTAGGGTTTCGAGTTAGTACCAGCAGCAGAGGAGGTTCGGGGACTGCACGTACGAGGGGCAAGCCCAGAAAGTACTTTTCGGCGGAGCTCTGTGGCCACGCCTCGACCTCCTTGTCGTCCTCTAGATAGTGCCAGCTGTGGCAGCTATCATTGTCCTTGATCCTCCAGCGTGTGTAATCCGTCCGAGTGCCTACTGTGGGCAAGGGTGGAAAGCTGTCGGTCGCTGCGTTCCCATCCGAGTGCGCCCCTGGTTTGCCATTGCCCTGCGCTTTGCGCAGCCTGGCTTGGTCCTGGTCGATCCCTGTTGAGGTCGCCATGGCTGCAAGATGTCGCGGAAATGGGGAAGGCTTTGTTCTGTTCACAAAGGCCACGCAGCGAACATTTTACGGCAGAAGTGCGATGCGAACGGAAATTTGGATGACGAGCTGCTGCTGCCAATGGCCTGATGATTTGGGGGCGCAGTGCGGGAGGGTAGCATCAGCGGGGCGGCCCCTGCATAGGTACGCAGTACTAAATACCTGATCTAACTTAGACACCTTAATTATGATCGTCCTGGACCTGAATAAACCTCAACCTTTGTTCAGTCAGTAATCAATCATATATCCTCGCGCTGTCCGTTCTGTCAGCTTTGGAGATTCTGCAATGCCACGACCCACGAGTCCTGACCGCTCCATCAATCAGCCGCTTGACCCTGACGCGCGATCCCTGGATCTCACCACACTTTTTCCCACCGCTCACACACCAGCAGATGTGATCACCAAGATTGAGGCCTTATTAGGGCGTGTTCTCGATGATATCGCCAACAAGAATGAGCTCTGCATCGGCGTGGTAGCAGAATCGAGGTCTTCGAGTGGGAAGGGCGGGCTTCGCTAGGAGCAAGTCCGTTTCCCGGGACGCAATGAAAATGAAGCGACCAAGTTCGGTATGCTATCTTGCTTTGGCCGTGCCAAGGAAGATACACTGACACAGAGTGCCATGTCTAGCTCAAATCGTCCTCGTTCTGCAATTGTCGCACGACGCGCACGTGGCCAATGAGATCCTGACCAAGCGGCACATCTATTACCAAAACCAGGAGTTGTTCGGAACGCAGAGAAGGGTCGATGACCTGGTCGACCGCTTAGCGTTGACACTGGGGAGTAGCCGCGATGACCTTCATATTGTACTTCTACGTCCGCTCTTCTTCAAGAGGCCCATCTAACGAACAAAGGTCGCAGCCTCGAAAGGCTTGATAGCCGGAGCACTGAAGGTGACTCTGCAGGATCAAAGCGTTGTTGATGCATCCATATCCGAAACTGTGAGTCGCTGAGTGCCCATGAATAGCAGTTGGCTGACCAAGTACAGGGCGTGATCATACCTCCCACGAGGGCAATACAGTGGTTGGATACCAACTCACTCAGTTGGGTTCTTGTAGTCGAGAAGGACGTGGGTGCTGGCCTTGGTTCGTGCATGGTCCACGCTAAACAAAGTAGGCCGTGTTCCGATCGCTATGCTCCTCGCGGTTTTGGCAGGCGTCGTTGTGCGGGAATGGATTGCTTGTGACGGTGCGTAACGGCAGAAAGTTGTCGCTTCGGCTGCTGATCAACATAGGCAAAGGGGTATCCAGACGACCTCACATGCGCTTTCCTGCGACTACTGCTCGAAAAAGATCAACGATTGCCAGTCATGGTCCTTGTAGACTTTGACCCTGACGGCGTCAACATTTTTCGATGCTACAAGTACGGTTCCTCGCGACAGAACTCGCTTAGGGCAGCAGGCGTCCACTGGCTTGGCATCAAGAGCCCACACATACTGGATGTGAGCGGAACGGCCTTGCCCCACAGTCAACGGGACGCAATGCCGTACACAGCTATCACGTCCACGTATTGTACGAATCCTGTCGCCTATCTGACTACGAGAGATCGAAAGCTGGCAAAAGGGACTTTGGGACGGCTTGATACAGCTGATGACGATGATCCACAGGCGGTCGAGCTAAGGAAAGAACTTCAGGTCATGCTCATGCTTGGGACAAAGGCGGAAATCGAATGGCTTGATGAGGCAGGGAATCTGGCAACCTGGCTGGACATGGAAATTGCCCATTTCTTACATGGTCATGCTGTTCATCCGTAGTACGTAGGGTAGGCAGTCAAAAGCGCACAGTGTGCAAAATGCGGGGTTCTCATTTGCACAGTCCCCTCACGACGAGGCACAAAATTTCATCACGCATCAACGACATTCAACGTTTCAGTAAAACGATATCAAATCGAGTCGATATGGCGCCTAAACTGTCCGAGGATGAGATTGAAGATCTGATCTACTGTGCCCGTGCGGGCGAGGATGCTGAGCTTACGGAGACGGTGGCAGCCTTGGCCGAGCGCGAAAAGGTGACACCCGCCGAAGTCATCATCGCTGTCAAGGACGAGAGCAGGAAGTCAACTATACTACACATGGCCGCGGGCAATGGGCATCTCGGTATGTCACGCAGGTCAGACTTGTAGGAAAAGTGCTGACCCTGCCAGAAACGGTCCGGAAACTGCTTGGCTACTTTGCCGAGCGCCCGTCCGATGAGAAGCAAGCTTTTCTCGATGAGCCCAACGAGCACGGCAACACAGGTCTACACTGGGCTGCACTTGGTGGTCACCTGGCCGTTGTGAAATTGTTGATGGAGCAGGGTGCCTCTCCTGCGCTGGCGAACGAGCAAAATTATGTTCCATTGGATTTGGCCAACTTCAACGACAAGAAGGACGTTGCGCAGCACTTCCTCGCTAGTGCAGGGATGCTGGAGGAGGAGAACCAAGCAGAGGGTCTTGCAGCTCAGACTGCTGGTGTTGAAATTGAGGACGATGGAAAGGACGAGCGGTATGACGGAGTCGACTCTAAGCAGGAGGCGACAAAGACAGAGGACAACTCTTCGTGATGACAACCGGGTGCAACGCGAGAACGAAGCTGAGAAAAGAAGTCGAGACGACACGTACCGTCCAACTCACCAGTCGCAGCCACTGGCAAGGTCTCGAAAGTGCATGGCAGCAATGCCTGGTCTAGTCGGACTGTCATCGGCACCATTGAGCACACGACGTCAGAGACTGGACTACAACAGAGGAACGTACCTTTCAAGATTGCAACATGGCCTATGTTGAGCGCCCCTGCTGCCAACAACACGCCATGGTGAGTGAGGGATACAATATTGCATGCGGAGAGACGAAATTTCCCGACACATCTGATGAAAATACTTTGAGGGTACGCATAGCGAGGAGCCAGCCAGCGCCCCTGAAATGCACACAATCGGCAATTTTGAACCATATCGGCATCATACGTGAATCTCTGCCGCGGCTGGTCAGACTATGGCAATCCGACATCGGGAATTGCTTGATGCTTATCACAGCGCGTCTCCACACTGTCCCACACCCTTCTCCCTCTCTGCCGTTTGTGGAGAATAAGCTTAAACCCATGGTCCATGTTTGTTTTACCTTTCCGTTGCTTCGAGACGTCAGTGGTGTATGAGAGCATGTTGATCCGGCGCAAAGACGAGCAGCTACCCATCTTGCCTAGCCATTCCTTCGCAGCAGCGGCAGCACAGCGAGTAGTTGCGACTGTGGCTATGAACCCCAGAATTCTTCTCATATCACACAGTTACAAAGAGACCTGGGGGACAATCTGTGAATAGCTCCCCGGCTCCGGCCAATCGCGCGACCCGGGTGAGCCGGGTGAGCCTCCGCCCGCAACCTGTTTCTTGCATGCTGGATCACGGCGAGAAAGGCATCCACGCATCGAGCTGCAACGCGGCTGTGCCACATTTCGACCTCATTGGTTCGAGCAAACGCGTGACGCCCAAAAGGAAACGACATCAGCGAATAACCACACGTACGCGGTTGACTCGGGCCAACAATTCAAACTCGCGTATTAGTTGTAAGATTATATAGTCGATTATAGCCGTAAAGCGGCTATAGTTATCTTTTTATATGTATAGTGCGTAGTTATAGTGATTTAATGAAAAAGATGGGGTATACGTGTGAGGCGCATACGGTCGTATATCAATCCGTAAGACCTTTATCATGATCAAGGGGTTTAATTAGGAAGGGTAATTAGATAGGATGTATATAGCTAATTTTGGTATAAACTCCCCCCCACCCTAACTGTAGCTTATTTTTAGTGCCCTTAGTAGATATAACTTTTAGTACCGTGCTCTGTAATATTGGTGGTATTACAAGCCTGCTAGATCATATATCGTCGTGACACGGTCCACCATTGAATCACGACCATAGGAAGCCTACCTCTCATCCTTCCTCTCAACGTGCTGCTCCTCAGGCTCGCCCGCCTGCTTCACCTCAACAGCATGAACCGCCGAAACAGCGGCGTCATAGTTCTCCCTACCATCAAAGACCGTAGCCACTTCTTCCAGGGACAGACCCTTGGTCTCGACAAAGAAGAAGTAAATGAGGCACAGGATCAGCAAGGTGAAGACTATGGTGATGATGTAGTATCGCCAGCCGATGTTCTCGAGGCCGATCGGGTTGATGTAGTTGACGGCGAAGGTGGACATGGACAGGCAGAAGAACATCCAGGAGAAAAGGATACCGCGCTGCTTGGTGGTGGCGAGTTCGAGGGGGTAGGCGACGACGAGAGGGAGCCAGCACATCTGACGAGCTTATTAATATCGAAAGGCACGAGGATGGGCAAGAGACTTACGCCGTAGAAGGCATTGTAGATGAACATCATGGCCACAACGCCAATACCATATGAGTAGCCGCCCTGTTGTGTGTAGACAGCGCTCAAAGCGGTCCAGACCACGAAGGTCAAGATCATGCCACTCGTGCTGAACAAAAATAGGGACCTCTTGCTCAGCTTGGGGATGACATAACCAGCGCCCAGACCAATGATCCAGGTCCAGATGTTGATGATGCCGTTGATCAAGGTCTTCTCGCGAGTAGAGGTCATACCAACGTTGTCCAGAATCTGGGGGAGGTACGCGCTGATGAGGCCGCTGCCGGTGCACTGCGAGCCCACGGCCACGACCGTCGCAATGAGAATGCGATGCAGGTTGCCTTTGTGCGACAGCAGGGCGGAGATGTCCGTCTTGTTGAAGCGGATGCGGGTGGCATCAGCCTCGATACCGGCCATAATCGCCTCCATCTCGGCCCTGACAAGAGGCGTTTCCTGGCCACCGCCGTGGTACTTGACCAAAATCTTCCGCGCCTTTTCCTCCTGGCCCTTCGCGACGAGCCAACGTGGCGACTCCGGGCAGAGGAAGATGGTAAGGACCTGATAGGCGGGGAGGACTACTTGGAGGATGGTGGGGATCTGCCAGGAGCGATCTCCGGGAATATCCTGCGTCCCAAAGGCGATCCACGCTCCGGCGATCAGACCAACGTAGATGGTCGTGTTGTACATTGCCGTGATCCTCTCGCGCTGTCTTGGATGGGCCAGTTCAGTGATCAAAACCGGCGCCGCAATCTGGACACCCGTGCTCCCGAAGCCCAGCAACAGCTTGGCCGCAACAAACATATTGAAGTTGAGAGCGAAGGTCTGCATGATGGACATGCCAATGATGATGCTTGACCCGATCAAGCACATGGCGCGACGGCCCAGTTTCTGGATGATGAAGGGGGCGACAAAGATGGTGAAGGCACCACCGAGCTGGGTAGAGGCGCCGTAGAAGCCGAGGCGGGCGCCGCTCGGGTGGTCGAAGCGTTCATTGAAGGCCTCGAGAGACTGCAGGGAGTTGGTCATGGAAATGTCGAAGCCCCAGGCGGCCATGGTCACGAAGGGGGCGAGCTGTGTCTGTCAGGGACGGTGTCCACGGGGGAGATGGCGCCACGGCTTACCATGAGGAAGTTGAGCTTGAGAACATGGGGCTTGTACCACCAGCCCTTCTCGAGGGGCTCATGGTCCAAAGCCTCCTCGACCGAGGGACGACGCTCGATGTCTCCAGGCATGTTGTCGAATTTGGATGGAGATGAAGATGGCTGCATGATGAAGTCAAAGTCGAAGCAGAGCGAGGCCGCGCTCTTATACTCGTCCAGTTAATAGTCGAGGCCTCAGCTTGGGGGGGGGGGCTGGCGTTCCGGGGTAAGGCGTGTCTCTCACAGGTTCTCCGTGCTCTTGAACAAGAATACAGTACCCGTGGCTGGAATGAGAGAACATCCAAGTCCGGGCTCCAATAGCGTGGTCGAAACAGCCTCAAGCCCGGGTCTGGGCAGCGAGTTGAGGGATGGCCCGATGTTCGGGTATTTGATCGAGTGCCCACCTATTGCTCGCTAATGCCGACGGGTATTTTGGGGTGAGGAGACACGAGTCAGACCCCGACCTCGTGGCAAGGGATGGGTCCATGGGGTCGGGTCCGGAGTCCTGCGGGGACGAGGAGAGAAAGTATGGGGGTTTGCCAAGTGTAATTGGTTGTAATTCAGCCTGATACGGGGCAGAGGGCTCACGCATGAGTTTGAGTGGTTGTTGGTCAAGGCCTTGGGAGGTTGTCTTGGCGGCGGGCGTCTTGGCTCTCAGGTCTGCAGACCTGGCTCGATAGTGGCCTCATCGACCGCGGGCGGCGTGGGGCACGCGTCTGAAAAACCCTATCATAGTTCAAGCAGGGTTGAAAAGTGATGCTGATGACGAGTCGTCCGTACCTGTGGGACGCGCTCTAGGTTTGAGGAAGCAAGGCCAACTGCCTGGTTCAACGTGTATTGATTACTAGTAATTACGTCGCTACGTGCCACCAACAATCAATTAAGCTTAACTGTGCACGGCCGATCGTGCATGCCTGGTGCATTGTGGAACCCGAATCACACCAACCACAAAGGGACGGCGGCCTTCTTTCCTCACGCCTTCTTTGTCCTAGTCCAAGATCTCACGATCCCATCCATCAAATGCCTCCTTCAGGCGTTTCCTGGCTTTTAGGCTGAAATCTAAACTTCGTCGTGGAGCCTTGGCCGCGTCTTCAAAACATCATAACCGAGAATGTTCTCCACCGGCCTCGCGCCTCACGCCTCAGACTTCAACCGTCGGCTTGATGACGGCCACGTCGTGTCTCATCAGGATTCTGGGATGCGAAACTAGTGTTCTGGGCTCCCAACAGCCCAGGTCTCTCAAGGTCCAGAGAAAAACAGCAACTCAGCTCCCATCAACTCCTTGTTCTGGCCATCGCCATTACCAACGCCAAACACGCATCGACAGCAAGCATCACAGGCATCGCCACCGCTCTCACAATGGACGAACATACCCTCTTCTACCGCCAGCCCGCCTCCCTCTGGACCGAAGCCCTCCCTATAGGCAACGGCCGTCTCGGCGCAATGGTCCGCGGCACCACCAACACCGACCGTCTCTGGCTCAACGAAGACTCTGTCTGGTACGGCGGGCCCCAGAACCGCGTCAACCCCTGCGCCAAAGCCGAGCTCCCCAAGATCAGGCAGCTCATCGATGACAATCGGGTCAACGAGGCTGAGAAGCTCATCTCGCGTGCCTTCACCGCTATGCCCGAGAGCCTGAGGCATTATGAGCCACTCGGTGACGTGTTTCTGAGATTCGACCATGGCTTGGATCCGGAGGGTGCCGACAAGATGACCGCCGGTCTACCGGAAGTGTCCAAGGAAGCGCTGAAGCCGGAGGATGATGAGACACCGAGGAGTTACAGACGCGCTCTGGACCTGAGAACCGGCCTGGCGACGACGGAGTATGACTTCAAAGGCGTGCATTTCAAAAGAGAGTACTTCTCCAGCTCAACGGATGATGTGGTCTGCGTGAGAATTAGTAGTGACAAGAAAGGGGCAGTGGGCTTTGCCTTGTCCATCAACCGAGGAGACGATGATGATGTGAACAGGAAACTGAACAAGACGTTTGATAGCCTGGTTCACATTCCTGGGGGACTGCAACTGTTTGCCTCGATGGGGAAGGGAGGTATTGACTTGAGCATGGGAGCTGTCGTTCAGTTGGAAGGTCAGGGGAAGGTCTGCGAGGACGGGATTGATATAGTCGTGTCGGACGCAGACGCAGCTGTCGTATTTATCTCTGGGGAAACCACATTCCGCAACAAGGACGAGGGCCAAGCAGTCAGAGATCGTCTCACCGCGGTCTCCTCCAAGCCGTGGGCCTCCCTCCTCTCCGTCCACACACAGCGTTTCTCCCCCTTATACAACCGCTGCACCCTCCAACTCCACGACTCGTCCGACGGAACCGCCATCCCCACGGACGAGCGCCTCCAGGCCATCCGCGACGGCCACACCGACCGCGGGCTGGTAGCTCTCCTCTTCCACTACGGCCGCTACCTCCTCCTCTCCTCCTCCCTTGCCGGCCTGCCCGCCAACCTCCAGGGCATCTGGAACAAGGACGCCATGCCGATCTGGGGCTCCAAGTACACCACCAACATCAACACCCAGATGAACTACTGGCCCGCAGAAGTGACCTCCCTCTCCGAATGCCACGCCCCGCTCCTCGAGCACATCGAACGCCTGGCCAAGAGGGGCGAGCAGACAGCCAAGGACATGTACGGCTGCAAGGGTTGGGTGTGCCATCACAACACGGATATCTGGGCAGACACGGCACCGCAGGATCGGTGGGTGCCGGCCACGTACTGGTGCTTGAGTGGTGCGTGGCTGAGTCTGCACCTGTGGGAGCATTACCTGTTCAACCGGGACGAGTCCTTCCTCAGGAGAGCCTACCCCATCATGAAGGGTGCGGCAGACTTCTTTACCGACTTCCTCGTAGAGAAGGATGGATACCTGGTTACTTCGCCGAGCGTGTCGGCCGAGAACTCGTACTACATCCCCGGCACAAACAAAGTAGCCTCCCTCTGCGCCGGCCCAGCCTGGGACAGCCAGATCCTCCGCGAGCTATTCGGCGCCCTCATCGCGGCCGGGAAGACCCTCCACGAGGACACGTCCGACCTGGCCGCGCTCCTCCCCAAGCTCCAGGCGCCCCAGGTCGGCAGCAAGGGCCAGATCCTCGAATGGCGTGACGAGTACAAGGAGGCGGACCCGGGCCACCGCCACGTCTCCCACCTCTGGGGCCTCTTCCCCGGCACGTCTATCCAGTCGCCCGAGCTGCACGCCGCGGCCAGGGTCACGCTGGAGCGTCGTCTCGCGGCGGGCGGCGGGCACACGGGGTGGAGCATCGCGTGGATACTGTGCCTGTACGCTCGGCTGCGCGAGAGTTCTAAAGCGGAGGAGACGGTGCAGAAGATGCTGCAGCATAGCATACTGGATAATCTTTTCGATAACCACCCGCCGTTCCAGATTGACGGGAATTTCGGCTTGACCGCCGCGGTGGCGGAGATGTTGCTCCAGAGCTATGATGGGGACGTTATTGAGATTCTGCCGTGTTTGCTGCCAAGTTGGGAGAAGGGGGGGAGGATCAAGGGGTTGAAGGCTAGAGGATGTGTGGATGTTGATATTGAGTGGGAGCAAGGCAAGTTGAAGATGGTGAGGCTGGTTAGTGGCATTGATCAAGATAGGATCTTGAGGATTGGTGAGGGGAAACTCTTATCAGGGGATGGAAAGAGGAAAGTGAAGTTGGAAAAGGCGGTGATGCTGGAGTTGTCGGGGTCGTGGTAAACCGTCCTGACGATCTGTTTGTCGTTTGACCCCTTAAAATGCTATATATACATAAGATTACGATAGATACGTAGGTAGAATCGGCTCTTAGTATAGGATTAGTATTATAAAAGCTAGCATTTTATATTATACTTATTATAGTAAATAGAGGAGGACTATACTAAGGTTTTTATTGGATTTTTACATAGGATTATATAGCTTAGATAGCCTAGCTAGCTAGCCAGAGGCAGCCGTAAGGGCGTATGATTTATTAGTATTATAGCATAATAAATATAAACGACTAATAGCTATATATATATACTAAAACGCGAAAAATCCTAAGGTCTACCCTAAACTCTTATATACTAGTTAACGGACGAAAATACTAGGGTCGTATCGTAAGGAGGCCAAGCGACACGGTGAGGGGAAGCGGGGAGCAAAGCGATCAGCCTTGAAGACTCTGCTCGCACTGCCAGCAACCCAACCTTGTTGCGCCCTGCGATGTCATCGCCTCGAGTCAATTTCCCATTGGCGGACCATCTTCGACGGGAGCCGTCGTGGGCGAGTTATAAAAAGCTCATGATTCTCATGTTGTAGACGAGCCTCTGCGTCGCTGGTTCGTCCTCTGCATCTCAACTCTCAGACGTACCCAGATCCTACACCATGAGGACAACCACGGCTTCGCTTCTCTTTGGCTTCGCTTGCGTGGCCCAAGCCGATCAATATGGCTACAACCACGTATCAATAAGGCCAGACTCGGAAATTGTGGCCGGTGCATTTGAGGACGTCGATATTGAACTACTCTCGCCAGCCTTCCTGTCCCCCGAGATTGTCTAGTCGGGGTTCAGCGAAGGCACACAGGGACCGTCTTCGCAACCAGATATGGAGGACTTTCTCCAAGAGCTCGCCGATCGCAATGAGTACATGACCTACCGAACTGCCAACTTCACCTCGGAGGAGCACCGGTCCTTCTCCTACGTCCACTTGTCCACCGGACATAGCAACTGCCCTAGCCGCCGCAGTGGAAGCTCGACGGGCGAAAAGGTCCGCATCTGGATCCAGGGTGCCGTCCACGGAAACGAGCCCGCTGGTGGCGAGGCCGTCCAGGCGCTCCTCGGCAAGTTCGACAATGACAACGAGTGGGCCATGCAAGTCCTGGGCAAGGTCGAGATTGTCATGCCGCCTCGCTACAACCCCGACGGCGTCTTCTACTTCCAGCGAACTCTTGCCACCAACTTCGACCCCAACCGTGACCACATCAAGCTCGCTCGGCAGCAGACCCGCGACATCAAGCAGGTCTTTGGCGAGTATAGTCCCCATGTCGTCGTCGACATGCACGAGTACACGGCCAGCTCCACCTTTGGCAATGGACAGTACCAGCACGCTTCGGACGGCCTGTTCTCTGCGGCCAAGAACCTGAACAGCAACCAGGGCATCCGCGAGCTGGCCGAGCAAATCTTTGACAAGAAAATGGGCGACGACATCGAAGCTGCCGGTCTTCGTGCCGAGCCCTATGTCACCGGTCGTTCCGCGTCCGGCGAGTTTGTGGCCGATTTTGCCGAGGCAGGAACCGATAGCAAGATTGGACGCAACGCCATGGGTCTCACCCAGGCCGTCGTGTTCCTGATCGATATGCGTGGCATTGGCCTCGCCAACCAGGAGTTCCAGCGTCGCACGGCGGCCGGCTTGACTATGCTCACTAGCATCGTGCAGACCACCACGGATAATGCGGACAAGGTCTTCCAGACCGTGGAGGGTGGTATCAAGGAGTTTGTCGAGTCGGCCGACGACATTGTCATTACCGACCACAGCGAGTCGGAGATCCGCCCTTTCTCCATGGTCGACACCAAGAACGCCAGCGTCGCCCGTCCCCCTGTCCGCTTCGCCTCGACGACCCCGGCCATTGCGAATCTCACTCGCACGCGCCCTGAGGCATACATAATCCCGGTGGCCTGGGCTGGTCCCGCGGAGCGTCTGCGTGTGTCAGGCCTGGAAGTGGAGACTCTTGATACGCCCTTCAAGGACACTGTCGAGACGCTGAACATTTTATCTACAAAGATTGACTCCTCGTACTATGAGGGCGTTGTTCGCGTGGCTGCGACGACGGAGGCGGGCGAGCGCGAGATTGAGCTGCCCAAGGGCAGTTTCAGGGTTAGCGTGAGGCAGAAGAACGCGGCGCTGGCGGTTGTGGCTCTCGCGCCCGAGAACATTGACTCCTACGTGTCGTTCAACGTTGTTCCCGTGCAGGAAGGCGACGAGTATCCGATCTTCAGGGTTCTTTGAAGGCGATGCTAACAGGTAGATAGAATATGAAGGAAGAGGAAACAATTTCCAAGAAGCAATGTTTGCAATGGCCCCTTTGTCTTGCTTTTGGCCGGATTGGCGGTGATTCGTTCCGCTTTGTGCGCGAATAAACAGGATGAGGAGGGCAGAACGAAGAGACCAACTACATATACCAGAAGCTTTTCCCCAGATATTCCAAAACTTCTGGGTCTTCAACGCTTGCCTTTTATAGGCAAATCGGACCAGCTCATCGACACGATGCCTGCCAATGAGCATCATGACGAGGAAGTCCATCTCGCGAGCCTGCGTATGGACGTTGATCGGACACTGGCTGAGATGAACGCGAAGCTTCTGAGCATGAAGCTCTTATTATCAGAGCTCTGTGCCCGACTGCCAAACACAGACGCTGAGAGCGAGGAGGATAGCAATGTTTTCCAAGCGCTGGCAGCAGCACAGCAGGTTTCGACCGACACCAAAGCCCAAAGACTGGGTAGACTGTCAGCTCCGCAACGTACGAAACGTCTCTGCGCTTCAGGAGCATGCAATCATCAGGCATTGGTGACCGCCAAGGGGAAGAAAGGCATATGGTGTCGCGAGCACACTTGTGCCGCCCGAGACTGGGACTGCGTGGAGGAGATTTACCGGTTCAAGCCTCTGGACTGGGAGGTGCACCGCGGCATGCTGAACTCGCTCTACTGCCCCCAGCATACCTGCCTCTTCCAGGGCTGCCTTGTGAGGGTGTTGGCTCGAGACGCCATCTGCTGTCCCAGGCATCTGCAGTTGGAGTGGCTGAGCATGGCGGCACGAGAACCAGAGAGGGCCACGGGGATCCTGCGTGTTGTCAACGGGGGTAAAGATCCTGGAGATGGCGAGCTGGATCATACGGAGGGAGCATGTGGCGAGAAGGGCAAAGACACATTCCAACAGGAAAAGAAGGGCAAGAAAAGGGTCCGCTGGGAGGACCACCGCGAATGAGCGGGTGGATGGTTCTGGGATGAAGTGATCTTTCCAAATTGAAGAGCAGCTAGAGGTGCTTGGGTGAATGTGAGATAATCACGGTCTCTCGACACGGACACCGGTGCGATTGCTCGACAGCACTCCTGAGCAAGATTTGCCAGTGAGTATCACGGCGTCACCGTTCAAACCTGCCAATGTTTCAGTGCTTCTGAAAAACCTCTTATGGTTATCATTCCATATCCATGGCAGGCAGGGATCATCGTTGCAGCAGCTCTATCTGACAGGATTGGAATCCAGGGTCCAGACTCCAGACCCCAATGCCAAGGGCTCCGTCGGGGTCCGGGCAGGAAGCCGCACAATGCAGCTTCCCCTCGTCAAGTGCTGTAATCGTTCAAGTGCGTATCATGGTCTTGTTCAGGAATTGATCCCTCTGTGGGATCACTCTGAGCCGCCAATCAAGGCGATCAAGCTGCAGACTGACGCACCCCTAATGTCGACTGCCGATGCTACACGGCAGTCTGCAATGCGTTTCTTGTGTAGATAGAATTGATATAAGAATCCAAGGCTGGACGTACCTTTGCCTATCTGCTCAGACCCATCAATCACTTGCATCGTTCACTTATTCCATCTTCTTCCTTTCGACAAGTCTGTATCCCTGGTGGACGAGACTTGACTTTGCTTCGCCGACTTTTGTATTTCCGCTTCACGAAGAAACAGCACTCCCACACAAACCTTTCATCATGGCCGTCCTCAAGAACCTAGCTCTGCTCGGCATCGCCGCATCCTCATCTATGGCCCTGCCTGCGCCATATGCAGGTGGCCCAGATGCAGGCCCCAACGTCATGGCAAGACAGGACGCGGATGCTAAGTGGATTACAGAGTTGGCCAGTGCCGCCGGCTTCCCAGTCACTTTGGTTCCTCTCCCTCGGAAACGCGACACGCAGAGCGAGGACCGACCTCTGACAGAGGCCGAGCTCCAGTGGTTGGTCAATGGGCCCCCAGTCTATACCCCCGAGAGTGAGAAGCGAGAGGCTGTGCCTCCGCCAGACTTGGATGAGGATGTGTTCACCATTCTCCCTTATCCTCTCCCAAAGTCAGTCACTCAGGACGGCAAGCGACGGGCCGCGGATCCTCAGCAGGACAATGTTTTCACCATTCTGCCATACCCGCTGCCGCAGGACGTTGGTGAGAACATGAAGCGCCAAGATTCTGGAGAGGATGTCTTCACCATTCTGCCATATCCGCTGCTCAAGGGCGACGCAGAGAACAGCAAGCGCCAAGATCTTGGAGAGGACGTCTTCACCATTCTCCCGTACCCGCTGCCCGATGGCATGGCATACAAGAGCAAGCGCCAAGAGCCTGGAGAGGATGTCTTTACCATTTTGCCATACCCGCTGCCCAACGGCGTCGCGGAGAGCAACAAGCGCCAAGAAGAGAACGTCTTCACGATCCTCCCGTACCCGCTTCCTGAGAGTGCGGAAGCCAACAGGGAGGAATAGCGAACGGGTGACTCACCGGGGATCAGGACTGTACAATAACATCTTGTACAAACTCTAGCGTTGATTTCGGTAAATCGAATTATGCCTTAGCAAGCTGGACTCATTGGGCACTGCGATAAAATGGAGTAATGGATGCGTTGAGTTGACATCCCGCCTGCACACGGCAGCAATTTCCATGTGTCCGGCAGTGTTTGCTTCATATCAAACAGCCAGACAATATATTTTATAATACTGAGCTAGTCTGCCATCATCCGGTATGGTGTAGTGGCTAACATTTGACGCTCTCATGATCAAGCATGCTTGTGTACGAAATCCGTCAAGCCCAGGGTTCGATTCCCTGTACCGGAGATTTTCTTTTGCCTTTGGTGAGTCTGAGGATCATGATTTTTTTGACATTCTTTTTTTCTCGTATTTATTGAACTCCATGTAGTATAGGGGTTCCGTGAACAGTATCTGCATTCCAGTTTCTCTTTTACTTACACTACACGTGCATGTAGCTGCTGACAGGGGGATGTTGTCGTCCGGACATGATTAGACATCAAGATAGATAATCCTCACGAGTCACGTGTAACACTCGCAAACGAGCAATCGGGGAAATATCTCGGATTGTTTTGAGAAAGTGTCTTCATGGAGCGCAAAAGGACCGGCAGTGTACCGTTTGAACGGGTGCTGCCTTTGCTGTCTGGCTCCTGCTGCTGCCGGAGACATTCCGCACACTTATAACGTGCCATCCGATGGTATAAATATCAACACATCGACCCGCTCAACTGATCTAGAAGGCATGATTCTAGGTATCAAGCGCTCCCACCAACTGTACAGCGTCCTCTATCAACAGAAATCGCACTGCCACCGACATGGCACACGCACACGCTGACCACGAGCAAGGACACAGTCACCATGAGGCCGATGATATTGGAGGCCGGAACAAGGCTCATTTTGAGTACGTCTCATCCCATAGAATGTGAAAACGACTATTCTCACAGATGACAGCAAGCTGAGTGTGGATCTCTGGAACATACCGTGGATCAAAGCCCTTGGGGGGCAGATCACGCAAGAACTCAAGAAGGATGCCGAAACAGGGAGTCTGAATACCAAACCTAGCAGCGAAAGCACGCGGACATACCGTATGCTCGACTACGCATGTGGCAATGGCGTGATATCGAGGGTAGGCACTCCGAGAGTCCAAAGTTGCAAGAGTGACCACTGACGCATGTACAAGGCGCTGGCTTTGTGTTTCGATGATATTCAAGGTCTAGATATCTCACCAGAGATGGTAGACCAGTATAACAAGCTCGCGGAGACATCAGGCCTGTCCGACCGGATGCGCGCCACTGTTGGCGACCTCATCAACGGTTCCGACCAGCTGAACGCCCTCGAGTACTCTGGCTTTGACCTCATCGTCATGAGCATGGCGTTGCATCACGTCGAGGACCCAGTCTTGATGATCCGCCGGCTCTCTGAGCGTTTGGCCAAGGGTGGTGTCTTGTTGATCATCGACTGGGTGAGCCCTGCCGAGAGTGGTTGCCGTGCGTTCATGGGGATGCACGACCATCCCACAAGCCACATTGTCTCGCGTATGGGGTTTGAGAGGAGAGAACTGGACGCTTGGTTTGCAGACGCGGGCTTGCAGTCTTTCACATGGCGATGGGCAGCGGATAGATCATCTGCGCCAGTAGAGCACGGCGGGGATAAGCAGATGTTCTTCGCCAGGGCGACAAGGCCGCTGTGAATACGTTCTCCGCAGCAGGGGCTCTCATATCGCTCGGAAATTGGTATCTCATATGCTATGTCCTTTCCCCCGACCCGACCAGAACGCTCAGTCAAAAATATCCGCAACGTAGCGCACGTTCCGCTGGCTCTCAAACCACTCCTTTGTGCCCTCCTCGTCCTCCGAGCCGTCCTTCTCCATCTTGAGCTTCATAATCGCCAGCCGCACCGACTCGGAAACGCCCCGGGAGCCACAGACGTACACCTTGGCGCCCTGCCGCCAGAGGTCAATGAGCCTGTCCTTGTGCACCTGCATAATGTCGTCGACGTGCTTGGCGCCCTCGCTCTGGTCCGGCGCGCGGCTATACGCGCGGTACACGCTGACGGCGCCCATCTTCTCCCAGGCGTCAAACTCGTCGCGGTAGAGGTCGTCGTTGTCCGGGGCGCGGCAGCCGAAGAAGAACATGGCCGGTGCGAGCTTGCGACCCGCGGCGAGCATGGCGGCGCGTTCTTGCGTGAAGCCGCGAAAGGGCGCGAGGCCGCTGCCGGCGGCGATGTAGATGGCGGGTGTCGTCTCTGGGTTGGAGGGCATGCTGAAGGCGGCGTGGGAGGGACGGATGGCCACGTGCAGGGTGTCGTTCTCCATGAGGGAGGCTAGGTAGGACGTGGCGACGCCAATGTGGGCGCCCTCGCCGGACAGGGAGGGCTTGTTGAGAACGGTGTAGGTGACGGTGGCGTGGTCTGGTCTCCAGAGGGGAGACGAGGAGATGGAGCTGCGGAGGTCAGCAGGATGTTTTGGAGGGATTGGGGAGACTGGGTGGGCCACGTACTACTGACGGACGCGCATGGGAGGCAGCATGGAGAGGAAGACGCCAATGGGAAGGTCGACCTCTGTGAATCGTTCCAATATCGCCAGGGCAGAGAGCCTCTTGGTCTTGACCTCTTGGTCGTAGCCAGCACCGGCCATGTGTTCGAGTGTCGCCTTGACGGACGCGTCCGCGACGTGCTCCGCGATGGCGAGGATGTTCTACCGTTGTTAGTTCCCTTCTGAGGTGCGTCGATGTAGATGTGTGCTCACCCTCTTGGTGGCGGGCTGCGCCAACTCGACATACGAGCCGAGGACGTCGTTGGCGGGGATGGACGTATTCGTCGGCAGCGCGACGAGACCACCCTCCGTCGTGATCTCCAGGTGCGCATCGCGGGCGAGCTTGAACCTCCGCAGCGCGCGCTGGACCGTCTCCCGGGGGTTGATGGGCAGGATGGCGAGGTAGTCACCGGCCGAGTAGGTCATGCCCTCGGGCAGCTTGATCTCAACGTGGCGCCTGGCGTCGTCCGGGGTGAGCGCCCGCGCGCTGATGACGGTGGCCTCGGCAACGTCCTGGCGGAGGGTGGTGATGCGCGGTGCCGAGACGGCCACCTTGACCGCGGCCGCCGACTTGGCCTCGGGGGCGTCGTCGCTCGAGACGCCAAAGGTCGTGGCCAGCGAGGGCCACAGGGTCTGGTCCTCCCAGGTCTCAAAGTCGGTGAAGAGGTCGCCCGAGGAGGCGTCGGCGAGGCCCATGTCGGCCACCCGCTGCGCGCCGGCCTTTTCCAGGTGCTCGTCGACGAGCTTGGGCACGCGGTGGTAGGTCTGGACCCAGTCCCGGTGTCCGCAGCCAAAGACGGTGTACTTGACGTCCTTGAGGCTGTCTGGATCGCGGTTCTGCAGCCAGGCGACAAAGTGGCCGGCGTTGTCGGGCGGCTGGCCCTCGTACGACGCCGTGACGATGACGACGGGCTGGTCTGTCGGGAGCTGGCCCTTTGCGCTGTCCAGGCAGTCCACCTTGGCGGCGCGGAAGCCGTGCATGGGGGCATCCGTGGCGACTCTCTGGGCAAGGGCCTCACACGTACCGCTGTTGGAGCCGTAGAGGATGGTGAGGGGCTTGCCGTAGCCATCCGCGGCGGCCGCGTCGTCGCCACCCCCCTTGGCGCCGCCCTTGGCCATGCCCTTTTCCATGCCCAGGAGGCGGCCCTGGAGGGTGGTCGGGTTCATGCCGTCGCGCAGGATGGCGCGCATGTGCAGGTCCTTGGGCTTGATGGTCAGGGTCTGCTTGACGCTGTAGATGTACTTTGGGTCGAGGACAAAGTTGAAGTTCTGCAGCAGCATGGCCATGACGAGCAGGGCCTCCTGCCAGGCAAAGGGGCGGCCGATGCAGGCGCGCATGCCGTTGCCAAAGGGCTTCCAAAAGTCGGGAAACTCCCGGCCGAGGCGGTTGAACTCGGCGTCGAGCATGCGCTCGGGCCGGAAGGCGAGGGCGTCGTCGCCGTGGACGTTGGGGTCGAGGTGGGACTTGGTGAGGAGGTTGACAATGGTCTCGCCGGCCTTGACGGCGTATCTGCCGCCGACGATGGTGTCCTCGCGCGGCATGACGGTGAAGAGGGGGATGGTCGCGTTGACGCGCAGCGTCTCGCGCAGGACGGCGGTGAGGTAGGGCAGCTTGGACATGTGCTCGACGGTGATGGGGTCCTTGCCAACGACCTCGTCGACCTCGCGCTGCGCCTTCTCGTACGCCTCGGGGTGCTTGAGGAGCTGGTAGAAGGCAAAGGACAGCATGCCGGATGTGGTCTCGTGGCCGGCGATGAGGAAGGTGATGAGGTTGTCCATGATGCTCTCGTCCGTCATCTTCTGGCCGGTCTGCTTGTCGACGCCCTTGAGCATGGCATCGAGCAGATCGTGGCGGTCCTCGCCGCCCGCCCTCCGCGCGTCGAGCACGCCCTGGGCGGTCTTGCGCATCACGTCAATGTCGGCCGCGAACTTTTCGTTCTTGGCCTTGTAGAAGACCTGGGGCAGCGGGGGTCGCCGGCTGCGCTCGCCCGCCTCGGTGAGGAAGTTGCCCATGGCCTCGATGAAGGGGTGCATCTCCTGGGAGTAGTAGCTGTTGAAGCGGTAGCCCATGGAGCAGAGGGCGAGGGTGTCGAGGGTGAGGCGGGTAAAGTCGTCGACGACGTCAATGGCGGCGTCGGGGCCGGCGCGCGCCCACTTGAGGGCGAGCTGGGAGGCCACGTCGTGCATCTCGTCGAACATGCCGCGGATGGACAGCGGGCCAAAGGCGGGCATGAGCACGCGGTGCGCGATGCCCCAGTTCTCTTCCTCGTTGTGGGCGGTGAAGAGGCCATCGCCGATGCCGTTGCGGACCTGCTCGAGCGTCTTGTTGACGCTCTTGACAAAGCGCGTCTCGTCACACGTCTCGTGGACGAGCGCCTGCGACGAGACAAAGACAATGGTGCGCCCGGGCAGGCTGAGGCGGTAGATCTCGCCATGCTGGTCGGCCAGGTGGACCATGGACCCGAGGGGGAACTCCTCGTTGATGTCGAACAGGTTCCCCAGCAGGGGCAGGCCGCGAGGCTCTGGGATGTCGACGAGCTCCGTCATGGTGGCAGCTGGGGCTCTGGACTCGAATAGTATGATGGCGGTGGGTTCAAGGCTCAAGCCTCACTCTCGACGGAGGGCCGCAAGCCGTTATAAAGCAGAGCCGCCTCCAGCTGCTGCTGCATTGACCCCTTGGACATCCTCGGCCGTCTCGCCTGGCCCCGTATTGGCCAGCGCGTGAGGAGATTGAAAATCCAGTCGAGAGAGAGCGTACGCGTACATGTGCGGGAGCAAACCAAACGGACTGAGGCTCAAGCTCGTGCGTCCGTTGGCATTCATTGCCGTACCGTAGGCATTCGGCAGGCAATCCCGAAGTCCATCTCGATCTCGCGGTGCATCTTGTCGTCAAAGCGTTCTGCTGCTTCGGCGCCGCCGATCCGATCGCTCATCATACCAGTCTAGTCTAAGCAGTCCGTGCATGTGCGTGCATGGGCCGGCGTCCTTTTGCGTTCTCCAATCCCTCCTCTTCCACGGGCACGGCCCTCACTCTCAGCGTAGCCCTCTGCTGATCGCGACTCCATCCCTGGCGTCGTCTGCCGAGGCACGTGATCTGCGAGTCGAGTCTAGTCGCGACGCGCGAGGTGCTGTGAGATGATACATGCGGCCTGCGCAGACGACACTTTGTGATGACGGTTTCCGTTTCAGCTCCATCGGCCAGAACTCGCACGTCCAGGATTGGATGCCTCGCTCGAGCACGGTGACAAGTCGCAAAGCTGCTGGGCGCATCATCGACCGCATCAATCTGCAGTGGATGCACGACAAGAGGAAGACAAGATCACGGTCAGGAGGCACCGGCACACACTCTAATCAAATCGCTTCCACGGAGGAGGAGGAGGAGGCTGCTTCACTGGGACTCTAGTCTAGTCTTTTGAATGTCTTGCCTGTCCCGCTCATACGTGGACAGGGTTGTAAAAGCTAAACCTGCTCTCCGGGTCATACGTCTTCTTGAGCGCCTGGAGCTTGCACTGCCGCCACCCCTCGGCGCCGTAGAGGTTCTTGTTGTCCTCGTTGCCGTACGCGTAGTTGACGTAGGCGCGGTACCCGTCGCGGCCGGTGGCCTCGTGCAGCGTCGCGCGCAGCTGGTTGCCCAGATCCTCGACCTGCTGGTCCAGCGCGGGCCCGTCGGGCTGGTAGATGAGGAGCGGCGCGGCGAGAATGTTCTCCCCGCGGAAGGCAAAGGCGGTCGAGGCGCCGTCGACGGCCTTGACGCCCTGCGTGGAGTAGGCCTCGAACATGAAGATGGAGTAGCCGAGCTGCGAGTCGCCGCCGACGGCGTCCGCGTACAGGTCGTACGCCGCCCGCATGGCAGGCACGTCAAAGGTGTCGAGGTAGATGGGGAAGCGCGGGTTCGCGGTGCCGGCCTTTTGGCAGGGCGCCGAGTCGAGGGCGATGTCGGTCCAGGCGGAGAGGTCGCGGTAGCTGCCGGCCAGGGGCTCGTCGCTGAGGGGGCCAATGTCGCGCAGGGGCTGGGCGTACTGGTCGTCAATGGCGTCGACGCCCTCCTGGATGAGGTAGAAGACGATGACGGGGTTGACGGGGTCCGCGTCCGGGTTGTTGAGCCAGTAGGACCAGTGGATCACGTCGACGGGCTGGTCGCCGCCGTTGAGGAGGTGCGCGTTGGCGGCCGCGTAGACGGCCTCGACCTGGTCGCCGCTGAACGTAAAGGTCTCAATGGCCCAGTTGCTGTGCTCAATGTCGTAGACCCGGGTGGTGACCGAGGTGACGATGCCAAAGTTGTGCCCGGCGCCCTTCATGGCCCACATGAGCTCGTGGTCGTTGCCAATGGTCTCGATGCGGCCATCGGCCAGCACGAGGTTCATGGACACCCACTGGTCCGCGAGCAGGCCGTGGTGGCCCTGCAGCCAGCCGTGGCCGCCGCCGAGGGCGGGGCCCATGTAGCTGACGCACTCGCAGGTGCCCGTCACCGTCTGCTTGCCGGCGGCCCAGAGCGAGTCGGTGACGACCTTGGAGTTGGTGCCGCCCTGGATCTCGGCCGTCGTGCCGTCCGCCGAGACCTGGACGCCGGACAGCTTGGCCAGGTTGATGGAGAGGCCGTCCTGCATCTTCTCCAGGGTGACGGTGGCGCCGTGGAAGCCATTGTACGCCAAAAAGGGCACGTCGTGCCGGTTGGCGTACTTGACCGTCTCGGAGACGTCCTTCTCGGTGGCGGGCACAATGACCGCGCGGACCGTGGGCAGACCGAGAAGGGACCACCGCAGGGTCTTGTCGCCAAACTCGGCCGTGTCAGGGCAGTAGATCTCGGAGCCGGCAGACAGCCTTGCGCCCAGGCCATTCAGGCCAGGCACGCAGGAACCGTGCTCCTGTCCGCGGGGGCCCTCGGGCGCGGCGGTCGCCGTGTTGGCCCACGCCGCGAGGGCGGACAGGATGGAGACTGAGAAGCCACGCATGATGGAGGTCGTGGTTCCGGGGGAGGCAGGGAGAAGGGAGGGAGAAGGAGAAGGGAGGAGAGACAAGAGGGGGGAGGGGGGCACTTCCAATGAATGAGCAAAGGGGCAAAGGAGGAGTGGTGATCAGGGACCCGGACGCACCGCTCTGAGAGGCTCCCCACGGTTTGTATTTATTATTTGGGCATGCAAGACAGATTCCGACGCCACGCGAGCGAGTGGCGCCAGTCCGGGTGGGTAGGTAGTCCGTCCCTTGGGCCCTTGGAGCTGGGGGCGACATGCTCGCCGCGCAGGTACGATTGTACAAACGTGGATGTGTTGCTAGGCCACTTTGAGCCATGCCCGTCGCTTCTCAGGCGACTCCATGATCAAAGAATATCGGATTCTGTGGGTTTGGACGGTGAGGCAGAGGGACGCAGGCGAGGGCGTGACTAGGCCACTTGCATACATACACCTTCATGTCCGAGGGGAGAGCGGTGGAATTCCGAAACACCAACTAGGCATGTCTGCCGATGTACGTATGTGCATGCTACGTTGGCCGAACATGAATGCATCACATACGAACCCCGGGGGATATGAAAGATGACGGGCCTTGACCACGTGTGAGACACATGCAAGACTCGGGTTAGCAAGCAGACCATCCACGTTGAGGCCTCATGGCGTCTGGGACTGGGTGACTGGGATCGCAATGTCGTGTCGGCCGTCTTTGCCGTCCGTCCCCTACTGTACGCGGCTAGCACGTACCGAGGACGGACGTCGGATCGTACTCTCGGACGCGACGACTGGTAGATGGCGAGATGCTGATCGGGCACACAGCTCAACCTCAAGAGGTGGTGTCTCGCCATACGCACCGCTTGGACAGCTTCGCGCGCAGCATCAATTCATCGATGAATGTACGTACTCGGCCATCCATTATGCGCGCAAAACGCCCGTCCCGGCTCAGACGCTAACAAATATCTCTCGAGTCTAGTGACTACGTAGTCTGCCGTCTGCCGGCCAAGTGGTCCACCCAGCAGACTAGCATCTAGTACTGGGACGCGGCAGGGGTCTTTCTTGGCTGTGGTGGGACGTGGTCCCTTTGTAGGTAGAGTAACGTTGGACCGTCAATCTCTGGCAGACTCTTGTTTGCCTCGGTCGCTGCTGCATGTGTTCTTGTCGTTCACCTCTATCCGGTCCTGGCAAACCGCACAGATGATGGATAGATCACCCCACCGACGGACGTGACTCGACAGGCAGGCAGTATTGACCGTGCTCAAATCAACCTTGAACGGTAGGCACCTCGACGTCTCTCTCTCGATTGAGTTATGGCCCCAGTTCCAGTCCAGTGCCCTTGTACTGGCAGTCGAGCGGGCGGGCGGCGGCGGGCAGTGACCTCTGATCGCCGGCCACCCGCCGATGGCGCAAGCCCAAAGTCCGCCCTTTTCCAAGCCACAGTACGCTTGAAGCTTCCTCGCCCAAGCAGAGCCCTGCTGGGGAAACCTCTTCCCCCTTTTGGTGGCTGGCGTGGCTTGGCCTGCCGTCACGCCAGCCGTCTTACCCTACCGTAATAGTACGTGACCGTCGTGACGTACGGATACGTACAGTACGCACAAGTTCGAGCGTCGCAGGGGGTTGCGTGGTCCCCTGGTCCATGCATGTGGGCAGTGAGTTATTCTACTGATCAGCTCATGCTTTGCGATCTTCTCGCACTGGATCCTCTGGGCGAGCCGGCGCCAGATCCGTCATACCGGATCGTCCACGGTCCACGCGCCAATCAATCCCTGACCCATGCGGCCCCTATGTATGTATAATTACTCCGTATACATGGTGGCCATTAAATTATCAATCGGCGGCACTTACGTATGTGCCGAGGCCTCGCGGCACCTTTCCTGTCCTTGGCAAGCGTTGACTGCCATATGCGAGACACTATGCACACAGAAATTTGGCAGATGGAGGTAGCCAGCTGAGCACGCAAGACTGCCCATGTCTCAGCTGGCTACAACAGGTTCATCCGGCGGACGAGACTCGACATAGGCTCTAGCCCGCCCACCGTCCGTCCCCTGTGGAATGATGAACCTGACGACTGGCCTGGCTAGCCAGCCGAGGTGCACCAGCTCCAGCTCCAGCTCCAGCTACAGCTCCAGCTCCAGTCGCTGGTGGAACAGATTGCATGGCGAACGGCAGAGATGATTCCTTGACTAGCGCCGGTCGCAAATGTGCAAAGGGACCGATTGGGCTTGTTGCTGCCATGAACTTTGAAGCAGCGCTGCCCACATTGCATCCAGTAGAGCAAGGTGGTCATGTCATGTCTGGTATCCGTACTGGGGACTGTCTGAATGGACAAGTCTCAACTGTTCTCCGTACTCTCGATGTACATGGAGACCAGACATCGTCGAAGCCATCCCGTCCGCACCAGTGCGCTCTGCTGGCGACCCTCGACTTGACCCTCGAGGGTCGCCAGAATGTGGGCTAAATGAGAAAGAAAAAAAAAACATGTAAACTACTCATCGGTTGCCGGCTGCCAAGACGCACGAGAGACTCAAAGAGGCTCGATGCCGACCCGCCCCGAAGGCAACCCGCGTCCTGACGTTAGTCCCAGGTCACAATCTCAGGCTCTACGCGTTGCGTGTGGAGACACTAGCAAACACCGTCGCCAGGACAGAGACGACTAATAACTTAGGGGCAGGAAAAGATCGGTACGGTACGGATGGTTGGTATGTTCTCCGTATAGACAGGTCAATTGTGAGCGAGGGGGCCCCGTATGACGGGGCAATGGGACCTAACATCTGATCAGCTACGTACTACGGATATTCGCGTATCTCTTGGACATGCTAGACTAGTCAAACTGATACTATCAACTTTACTTCTTTTTGGCGTCTCCAGACACACCAGACACCAGCGCCGATTTCTCCTGACGCATGCGGCTGGACCCTGGACTGCCTGCGTAGGTATAACTGGACTCCGTTGCCCTTTGCGCCCCGTGAGACGCTCCCGTTCCAGACCGGGCCAAGCTGGTGGGATCTGTCTGTCATCTGTCACTTTTCTGTTTGCCCAACCGGCTCCCCCATACTGTGGACTGATCGACACCAGACACTCACGCCTGTGCGGGTTTGCGCGTGTGAGCGAGAGAGAAAAGAAACACCGAGTCTCCAGAAATCGAAAACGGCAGCCTCTCCCTCATGTTCTCAGCCGATTCCAGCCAGGCCGCCGAGGCTGCTGCTGCTGCTGCTGCTGCCGCCGCCTTCCGGTCACTCACCATTGAGATCTGGACGCTCTACGCCGTGGCCGTGGCCTCCACGTTCCTGCGCACGTACGCTCGTGTCAGGGCCGTCGGCTGGAAGGGCATGGGGTGGGATGACTACCTCGTGTGGGTTGGCGTGGTGAGTGAAGGAATCACTGTCCCAGGCACGGGGACATCCTGACAAAATCAAGTACTAACGTGCCGCCTCCAGATCTTCTACACGTGCCAGTCGGCCTTGGGCTGGAGCATTGGCAACTCGGCCAATGGACTCGCCAACAACAACATGACGCCTGCGCAGCGAGCGTCCCTCTCGCCACACAGCCAGGAGTACCAGATGAGGTATGTCAACACGTCCTGGGGAGCCAAGTCCTGCTGAGCTGATCAGTACCACAGAGTCCTCGGTTCGCAGATTCAAGTGGCTGGCTGGACAGTCTATTCGTGTCTGATCTGGGCCCTGAAGCTGTCCATGTTGGCCTTTTTCACTCGACTGACCGTGCGTTCCATGCATTCGAGCTCGCGCAAAGAGATGCTAACTCGTCCAGAACGGCCTCGGGCGCCCCTATCGCATCCGCATCAACCTTGGCTTCGCCCTCGTGCTGGGCACCTTTCTCGCCGCCATCCTTGTCATCTTTGTCGGCTGCCGACCATTCCACCATTACTGGCAGATCAACCCGGACCCAGGCAGTACGTTCTTCTCGAATATGATGAGATTTCCGCGAACATGAGAGCTGACACGACGACACAGACTCTTGCCAGGCCGCCATATCCCGACCCATCATCTGGACTTCCTTTGCCGCCAACGTCACGACCGACATCTACCTGATCCTCATCCCGCTCCCCATGCTGTGGAAGTCGACCCTGCGGACTGCCAAGAAGATCGCCTCGTCCATTGTCCTTGGCGCCGGCATCTTCGTCCTCGTCTGCGCCACGCTCAAGAGCGTCTTTGTCCTTGTCGTGAGTTTCCTTCCATAGTACCTCCGTCCGTAGTAGCAGACCAGCTAAATCCCCCAGGACCCCGTCGACGGTGCCCAGCTCGCCGGCTCGTGGGGCATCCGCGAGGCGTTCACTGCCGTCATGGTCACCAACCTGCCCATGATCTTCCCCCTCTTCAAGACCTGGCTCAAGCCCTGGTTCGAGAGCGCGCTCCGCTCCACCTCGCAGAAGAAGACGTACGAGCTGCGCAACCCGTCCGGGTTCCGCACCATTGGCGGCGGCGGCACCGCCGGCGAGGGCTCCGGCCCCAGCCACGCCTACAGCAATAATCGCAGCCGGATAGGCCACGGCGCCGGCGCTGGTAGTAGCTCCCACGGCATGAGCACCAACATGACCTTTGACAATGACAGCGAGGAGATGATGGTCGAGGACCACAAGATGGGGACCATCCAGGTCACCGTCGACAACAACACAAGACAGCAGAGCCACCCGGCGACCGGCATCATGGTGTCGAACCAGGTCGAGATCACGCATGAGGACAGGAGTAGCCAGGTTACAAGTACGGAGGTCAGCGACGCCCCGACGCAAAAGGTGCGCGACGCGTGGTAGCTTGGGGAAAAGAGACGCATGGAGCATCGCTGGGTATTTCTGTGCATATTTGTACAGGACATGATGTATATAGTACCATTGGTGGCATGGAAGGCGCTCAGTGCAGGACAACCCCCCTACAGCGAACGCCCCTCCACCTTGAGGACCTTTCTAATATGCTCAAACCTGAGCTTCTCCTCCTTCTGGCAGCTGAGCAAGTTGGCCATCTTGAGCACATTCTTGATCTGCCGCCCGTTCAGCTCCAGCCTGCTCAGCCGGGCCATCTCGTCCGCAGTGACCTCGTGGGCGTCATCCCCCTGCTGCCCCCGGCGGAGCGACACGGTGCGGCCGAGGAAACCCCTCCAAATGGCGACGCGAGACGCCTCGTCGAGGGGCGGGTACTCGATGGCGAGGTGGATGCGCGACTGGAACGCCGGGTCCATGGACTGGACGCGGTTCGTCGTGAGAAAGAGGCAACCCTGGTAGTACTCGAGCAGGCGCAAGAAGATGCCCACGATGCGGTTGCGCTCCATGTCCTGGGCCGTGCGCGCCTCGAGGAAGACGTCGCACTCGTCCAGCAGCAGCACCGCGTTCCAGTCGGCCACCATGCCCAGGATGGCGCTCAGGTTCGCTTCCACCTCGTGGGCCTCGGTGCCCAGGTCGCCCGCGCTCATAATGTACAGCGGCACGCGCATCTCCTCGGCCACCGACTCGGCCGTCAGCGTCTTGCCGATGCCGGGGCCGCCCGACAGCAGCATGATGATCCCCTTGCCCTTGCCCGAGATGATGTCGTCAAAGGCGTGCTTGTACCTGACCTGGCTCTGGGCAAAGGCCAGGATCAGCTCCTTGTGCTCCTCCTGCAGCACCAGCGAGTCGAACGCCTTGTCGTTGAACTCAATCTCGCCAATCTTGTCCACAAAAAACTCCATCCATCGCTTGTTGGTGAGTGAGTAGCCTCGGACAATGGGGGAGCACAGGAGCAGCTCGTCATCCGCCATGGGCGCGAGAGACACCTCATCGTCAGCAGCAGCGCCTGGCTGCTTCTCCCCTCGGGCTTCGTAGCCACTGCCGCCGCTCGCATCACTCGAAATGCTGTTGCGTCGGCTGACCGCCATTGTGCTGAAGTGGAGGACGGTGTTGAGCATCACCATGTTTTCCGGGTTGCTCTTCTCCCAGTTTTGCCCGTCAATGACAATCCTCGACTGCACCGTCTCTATGCGTGTCTTGGCTGGGTTGGTTTCTGGGTGGTACAGCGCGGGCCCATTGTAGAACTTGTAGTGAAACCCGGCAAAGCTCTCAAACACCCGGCCCCGGGCTCTCAGGACCTCCTTGATCTTGTCTGGCTCGGGGTGGTAGTCGATCGGGTAGCATGGCAGCTCGTGAAAGGGACGCACGCCCCGGTACTGTGGGATGCGCTGGTCGCAGTCGGTCCAGCCCATATTGCTGCCGTCCCAGTCGATGCACTGCGCGTTGAGGTGGTACTCTTTTCCACATTGCGTTCGGATGTAGCCGCCGTCGTCAAAGCGCGCGGCGACGGGTCGCCCAGCCTTGGACCCCAGGACGTAGCACCCCGGAGGGAAGAGTGTCCAGACGTGGTCCCACGAAACCACCTTCTGCTCGAAGTAGTCCTGGCGCAGGCGAATGGTCTCCTGTAGCTCATTGTGCATGACCTTGTGGAGAAAGGCAATGTGCTCGCGCGTCTTCTCGTCGTACTGGGCATCGTCCTTGGCCGCGACAAAGGCGTCCCATCGGTGCACGAAGCACTCAAAGGGTGCGTGGAACGTCAGACGAGACACCCGCGTCGTGATGCCGGGGTATTCGTCAAAGATGGCTGTGAGCACAGTCTTGAGGTATGGTGACTGCACGACGATGCTGTCGAGCACCAGGTTCTTGGAGTCACTCTCCTTGGGCTTCTCTGGTTGCTTGGTCAGCGTCTGTCTTGGGTAGGCGAGTTTGGTCTGGGGAGGGGGGCTTACTTTTGCGCGCGAGAATGGCGTACTTGGCCGTCTCCTCATTCTCGGCCGCCTCCTCGATGCCATCAGGGGGCGTGGACGACCATGAGCGATCACCGTTCTCGTCGTACTTTGCGTAGAGATCGATGCTGTCCGCAATGGTGCCCACAAGCACCTTGTCTTCCTTCTTCTCCTCGTCGTCGCCCTTCTTGTCTTCGCCCTCTTCTGTCGCAGCCTCCTCCGAGGTCTCCTCTGTGGTGATCTCTGTGGCTGTAGAGTTCTCCCCCTTGCCGGTGTCCGACTCGGGGCGGCTGACGACGACCACCGAGGCGGTCTCCTCGCCCGAGCTCTTGGTGCGCTCCATTGGCTCAGCCATGATGGAGATGTCTGAAAGATTTATATGGGAGGCTCAGTTGATGTTGAGTCTGAGAAAGCCCCCGCAGAAGATGGATGGAGAGGTGAGTGAGATGAAAGAAGAGAAGCAGACGCCTCTGCAGTCTTGCATGTCATGCTTATATACCTGGACCTCGACTATAAGTCTTCAATGCAGACCGGCGGGATGCTGACATGACACACACGGTCAGCATCTTGTGATGTAGGATTCGAGGTCGAGGCGCTAACAGCTGCAGCCTGCGATACACTTACACTGCAGCCTGCCTGACAAGTGCATGATAGGCAGTAGGGACCTACCTACCTATCGTCTAGGCAGTGCGCACTAGTTGACAGCCCCAGGCTGCCGGTGCGGTGAGTCACTCATCGGCGAGCAGCCAAGTCCCCATGTCATGTCTTCCTCGTCCATATCTCCGCATGCCGCCGCAGCACAGCGATCGCCATCAAGACGTCCTTTGGATCCAGATCCCAGCCAACCAGAACAAGATGGATTGCTTCTCAGGGGACGCGGCGAGGCAGACGCTGCCTGGGCTGGCGTGGGGACCCCTGCACAGGCTGCACCGCTCGACCCCGTCGACTCAATCAGAATCCTCGATTTCTGACGTCCAGGCCAATCTGAACTGCCATCGCAGTCATCGCCGTCTTACAAGTGGACCTGCCAAGATATATTCAGCCCTACTGACTGCATCTCTTCGATTGACGTGAAGCAGCGGCAACCCCCAGTATTCACCCAGAGCTGCTAGCCAAAACTTTGGCTGCTAGGCAATATTTTGGCCTAGCCATGTCTAACAAAGACAGAAAGACACTTCCAGAATAGTGACTACTTAGTAGCTTCGATCGAATACCGCGGCTGACCACTCTGCTGCTTTGTGACAGCCGACGACACATATATGTCGCAGCAAGATTCTGGCGAGCTTCTCATCCTCCAAATATCAAACGTTTGAGCCTGGCATTGAACAAGCAAGCCCTTTCCCCACTGCCATCGGACAAAATACAAGGGTGCCTCCGACTTCCTTGCCCAGCATGGGTGCATCATCGCCCATCCGCTCCGTCAGCACCCTGACCTTCTCCATGGCCATTGGGTCAATCCCAAGGGACTCGAGCTCCCTAGCCATCTGCACAGCCAAAGACCCTGGGAATCCGGGGCTCTCTTGGCCTACCGCAATCATCACGTCCAGCAGCGCCAGGAGCTTGTGCAGGCTTGTCGTGTCTTTGGTCTCGAGGTAGTGCTTCAGATACACGAAGCCCGCCAGGAAAGCAGCAAAAGCGACCAGCGGCGATCGGAAGCGTGCGTTGACGTCGACGGCCAGCGCGACCGTGGTCACAATCGTCTGCGCTGGCGCGAGGGTCTTCTCGTTGAAGTCGTATAGTGGCGTCGTCTCGTTTCGTGGTTTCCCCAGGGTCCCCCGGTACAGACTGATCATGGCTGCACAAAGCTGGAGGCTGATAGTGACAGCGTTGTTGTCGTGCGTGTTCTCGGGACAGCTGAGGTGAGCAGGCAGCGTGCTGAATGCCGTCGCCAGACTGCTGTCCAGATGGTTGAAGCTTCCCCAGAAGAGCGCCACCTTGATCTCGTCGGGTAGGCCCTCTGACATTGGCTTGCTGCCCAAGTCGATGCAGTCGTGGAACAGATGGCTGGCCACCACCCGACAGGCAAATGCAGAGAGCCCCCCCAGGCCGTAAGTGAGTGCGTGCGACAGCGGGACGGACGGTTCCTCCAAGCTGTTCTGGTAAGACAGCTCTGTGCTGGGCAAATGAGTCCTGATCTGGGAACCGTTAGCACGTCAATCACTACACAACTCCTCAAGGCGTTGCCACGCACCCGGTCAACATCAATAAGAACTGGCCAAGTCGCCGTAGCACTGTTTCCCCGGTCCAAGGCGAACATGGTCCATATTGTCCGTCTCCTCTCTTCCCTCTCGCACCAATCTCGAGGTGGCAATAGCGTCTGGTTCAGTGCCACGCCGTCCACAGCCTGCAACCCCAGAATCTGCGACAGGCGGACAGCTCTTGCACAGCTGATGGAGGCGCGCGTAAACCAGAGGTTCTGGGCCTCGAATGCAGACAGGAGCAGCCAGGCCTGGCAGTGTGCCAGACTGATGATGCTGCTTTCATCCTAGGTGGGTCAGGAACTTCTACAAGACGAGGAGGTGAGGACAACTTGCCCTCATTTCATCCTCCTCCAGGTAGTGTCTCGCTCTCCGATAAAATGGCTCTGCCATGTGCTTCTGCGCCGCTGAAACCTCCGCACCACGAGCAAGCACGGCATACTGCAAGCACATGGGAGGCTGCATATGAGCAGGCATATACAGCGAGCTTATATATCGAGCGGGATGCAGCATAGGAGTGTCGGGCCAGAGCTTTGATAGTTAGCTAGGATCGCATACGCTCTACCCGCACACAGACTTGCCGTTGTGAAGTAGGAATTCGTGCTGCGAGGTTGTATGTGCCTTTTAGCTCATATTCCCCGGTGAAAATCGGATGGATAAGTGGACGAGAGCGCAACATACAGTTCCTCGATCAGCGATTGAGGGGGCAGCTGCTCATATCGCCCTGTGCCAACCAGCGCCATCCCCGGGGTGTTCCCAAACGTCCTCGTCGAGACGCTCTCGGCGGCATCTTTCTCCCTGAGCTTGCCTTCCAGCTCGTCTACGGGGATCAGTAGTCCGTTTCCCCAGTGCATGTACACAGAGACTCACGCACGCGCTGCTCGAGCTCCATCATCATAGGCCGCGACGGCATGTTGAGCGGCTTCCTTCGCGCGGTGGGGTACTCGCACGTCGCATTGTCGCGGATGCATCGAGCGCAAAAGGGCTGGGCGCGGTCACATTTCACCTTGCGGTTTTTGCATTCGGTGCAAGAGAAGGCAGCGACAGACGTGTCGAAAGAAGAAGAGGCCATCTCTAAAGGGGATGGTTATGGTCGATGAAAGTTGAGGTGACCTACGAATGAGACGGAGTTGTGGTGGCCGGACTCCGAGCACGAGCTGTCTCCTTGAACTACCCTATAGAGCTCGTCCGCCGCCTATATCACCATAGGACATGCGGCATGGATAATTAAAACTGCCTGTCTGGAATATACCACAGAATTAATATCATGTTGGAATGTTTGCCTTTCTCTGTGTAGATGATTTGCAGCCCAAAGTGGTTCGTCACGATCACATTGCCTAGGAAATGATCTGACAGAGAAACGTCCTGGTCGTTGCGGCGTTGGGCGCAGTATGGGCTACCAAACTTGGAGACTATCTCCAGCGACGCCATTGCATGATGTTTGAAGGATAGATACTCTTTTATTTCGCCTTGCGTTTTTGGTCTATATATCCAAAATTCCGCATGGCAGCTCTTGCTGACGGTACGAAGCCGGCGTGGACCACTACCTATTAATACACCCGCTGGGCATTCCGAGGATCGAATCACACGATGTGATGACATACTTGGAGAAATAGAAAAGACATCCCTATGATTCAGCTTTCTTGCTCGCCTTTGTTCTGAGTTTCCTATTTGACCCTTATTAGACGGCTGTCCCGACAAAGGGAGCAGGGGAAGAAGACTCACATAAGTGCATATACACACGCATAACTTGAGATCGCAAACAGCGCCACAATGGCGGCATCCCTCCAACCGTAATAATAGTCCTTCAAATTCATGGTGTAGAGATAGTCGCTTCCTGTCTGGTATTGACAGACACTGCAGTCTTGCGTATCGTCTGGGTTGAGTAGGTTGGTTCGCGATCCAGGACCCTGCATGTAATCGGCGAGATACTCTGCACATGTCTGGCCGTCTGGTGTATCGAATATGGCGAGTTCTTCCCTTCCACAGTGGACGGGCTCGTCGAACGTTGTGAAGACCAGCATGGAGCCCATGAGGTAGTTGAACGGGTTCAGGTAGTAGAGCCAGTAGCGCCAGACTTCTTGGATCTGCGAATAAGGAACGTAGACACCACAGAAGAACACCAAGATGCCGATCACCAGTGGATTCACCAGAATAGCAAAGACCGCGTTGGGCGCATAGGCCGCGACCGCTTGGCCGATGCCCGTGTAGATGAACTCGTACATGAGCATGACGAAGAAGACGGCGCCGGCTTTGTCGCTGCCACTAGGAAAGCCGACAGTATAGTACCACGTCACGTAGTATAGGACTGCGCAGAGGACGAGGTAAGGAAGCTCCGACACGATCAGGCCCGTGGCGAACGCAGACCAGTGGTACATTTTACTCTTCTTCTCGCGAGCCTCGTAGATATCGCGCCGCTCTAGGAAGAGGGGCTGTAGCTGGGCGATAACACCCGGCGCGACGAAGATAAAGTTGAAGATGGTGAAGAGGCGCATCTGCAGATCAGCGACCGAGTTGCCGATTCTCCAGAAAGAGAAGCCATTCAAGAGCCCCGAAATGATATGAAGCGTGAATTTGTTGTTGATGTAATCTGTGTTACGCCAGAGCGAAGTGTTGTTCCGCTTCGTGACGAGCTTAAGTTGCGTCCAGATAGGCGCGGCGAATTCGTGGCCATCATCGAGCGTCCCGGGTGGTTTCGACGCGGCGTCCCTGATTATGTGATTGAGCTCCTGGGTCATGGCCGTATATTCCGGGCTGGCGAGCCAAACTTCATTCCAATCCTTCCCTTCAGTTAGACTTCCGGAGACGACGTCAATCATGTGCTCAGCCGGGTTGGTGTTCTGAGGGCAAGGAGCGCCATGACGACCGAAATACGCCTTGACAGTGGCTCCGTTATGGCCGACATCACCAAAGTACACCTGGATGCGGGCGTTAGTGTTTTTTGCTCCAGGCAGGAAGGGACACGTACAGTTTTGCCGCCCTTGGCCAATAGAAGTAATGTATCGAACTGAGCAAACAGAGAAGCTGAGGGCTGATGAATAGTGACAAGGACAGCCTGTCCGACGTCTGTCAATTTTCGAAGGAACCGAATAATGTTGAACGCAGCCTGACCATCCAATCCACTCGTGGGTTCATCGAGGAAAATTAAGATACTGGGCTTTGATACAAGCTCGACACCAATCGTGAGACGCTTGCGTTGCTCCACGGAGAGGCCAGCCGTGGTTGTGCCCACAAGAGTGTTTTCAATGTCGTGCATTTCGAGTAGATCGATAATCGTGTCGACGTATTGCAACTTTTCCTCGAATGGCGTGTCTCGGCTCTGTCTTAACAAAGCCGAAAACTCCAACGCCTCTCGGACGGTGGCAAGTGGCTCGTGGACATCGAGCTGCTCGCAATACCCTGCAGAGTGCTGGAACGAGACGGGGAGGTCTCTCCCATCCACCAAGATGCTGCCCTTGATTGTGCCTTCGGTCTTGCGCTGGGCAAGCACATCCAACAGGGTTGTTTTGCCTGCCCCTGAGGAACCCATCAAAGCGCCCAGCATGCCGGGCTTGACCCAGCCCTGCACATTATCGAGGAGGACACGATCGCCCGATGATGTTTTCACGGTGTAGGAGAGACCCTTCCACGTGAAGATGGATGTGTTGCGTATTAGCTGAGCATCGATTTGGGGGGAACTCTTCGTCGTACTTCGCTTCTTCTCGTCGACGGAACAAGCTCCACCTCGAAGGGTTGACTCGTGAAGGTCCAGTCCAGATGGCGCTTCTTCGTCCACGGTGAGATGCTCCGTCTTCGTGGCCCTTTCGCGAGGAATGACCAAGTAGCCACTGTTTCCAGACACTTGGCTCCAATTGCTTGTAAAGTAGACCGTCAGAACGACGAACAAGACCCACCACGCCCACACGATGCCAAAGTTACGCCAGACGTGGGTATGGCTATAGGACAGCCCTTGCAGGTACTGATCACCCGTGATGACAGAGGCACCCACGGGGGCGCCGCGAATTCCGGTGCACGCTTGGAAGTCCGGGTTGCTGTAGCCAGGGCCGTTGGGAACCAAATTTTGGCGGACACAAGGGATCAGCTGCCCGTGAAACTCGTTGCTGAGGATCGCCTCGTAGCCGTAGGCCAACGGATTAATCCAGAAGATCCAGGCTAGCCACGGACGCATGCTGGGCCTCGGAATCAAAAAGCCTGTATACATGATGAGTGTCGACATGAGGATCCCCGACAGTTTGGAGGCCGCATCAAAGCTCGAGAAGGCGGCCCCGATGGCGCGAAACAAGGCCGTCATACACATGGATACGGAGACGGTTGTGATCCAATATATCATGAAGGCTTCACCTGTAGCCTTGAGACCGGTCATCCAGTAGACCGGCAGGGCGAACAGCGTGACTTGCATGAGGATCAGTGGTATGTCGGCAGCGATCTGAGCGACGCAAAAGGCGGCAGGATGGTAGAGAGCGAAGCCTCGATGCTTGGCTAACACGGGGCGTGCGGCAAAGGAGCTGGTCACCTCGCTCATAGAGAGCAGCGAGTTTAACAAGATGGCGAAGAAGAGAGAGCCGCCTTTGAAGAACAGTCCCGAGGAGTTGTCGGGGGCATCGTAGAATAATGAACCGGTGATGAGAGCTTGAACAAAGTTCAAGCCTTGAGGGATGAGAAAGACGACTTTGTCGCCCCACAGTAGCTGGTACTGCCTGACCACGGCGGATTTGACTTGTGTATAGAAGCTGACAGTGAGCGGCGAACCCTTGGGAAGACGAGGGTTTCTTTCGAAGTGGACGGCTTCCTGAAAGTCTTTCGTTGCCTCGGCAGCCTCTACTGAGTTTGGATAGTCATATTCCAAGGCCATTGTAAGCTTGATTTGAGTCGCTTCGTAAAATGCGCGAAGTTCTTCGGCATTGCGAGGATGCCGATTCTCCATGTCGGGTCTGATCCGTCGCTCGGTCGGCACAGTAACGCCGGTCAAGTAATCGGCGATATTGGCTCCATCGGTGTAGAGGAAGCCCAGCTCCTCCATAAAAGGCTTTGCTCGATGCATTGGGCCGTAGAAGACCTGTTTCCCTTCATCTAGGATTAGAACCTTGTCGAAGAGGTCAAAAATGCCGTTGCCCGCTTGGTACAGTGTCATGATGGAGCTCAAGCCGAGGGCGTCCGTCATTGCCCTCATACATCGTATGTACCCCAGGGCTGTTGAGGCATCGAGGCCTCTGGTAGAGTTGTCCCAGCAGAGCACAGATGCTCTTGTCGCCATGGTCTCGATGATGGAGACACGCTTCCGCTCGCCTCCCGAGACACCGCGAACAAATTCGTTCCCAACTCTGGTATCGCGGGTGTGTTCGATGCCCATGGAGTGCAGAAGGGAGTTACGATTCATCCGTTGAAACTCCGCCCTGGTGAGATTGGGCGGTAGATGGTGCGGTACCTTCATCCGGGTTGCAAAGTCGATGGTTTGTTGCACTGTTAGGGTAGGGAAAAACAGTTCCTCCTCGGTGTTCATGACAATCTGCCCCCTGTATGGCTTTGCTTCGTCGGCAGTCATGGATCCATATCTGACCTCGCCAGTCACTTGGGCGTATCCCAATCTGCGGTTGGCTAGTATCTTGAGTAGGGAAGTGCACCCTGCTCCTGGTCGCCCGAGTACCAGGAGCATCTCCCCCGGCTTGACACATCCATGACTGTTGTCGATGATGGTCTTCAGCAGCGGCTTTTCCCGAGTTTCTTTGACACGGGCGGGAATATTGACCTGGCTGCCGACATTCTCGTGAAATGCTGCGTCCGTTCCAGTGCCCTTGACAGTCAGTTCGTGCCAAGTAATGCCGAGCCGTTTACCCTTTTCCGTTTGCTGGTTGGCCATGTTCACTTCGGGCATCAGCTTCCAATCTTCGGCCTTGCTGGCAGACTTGTCGCCGTTGAAGTCGTCTGGCATGGCTTTGGGTTTTTTTGCCGCCGCTGAATCTCCTGCTCAATGCACATGCGAGTGGCACAGTGCGGTACAAGTCTCCACTGACACCGCTGCCCAGGGGGTGTTGCGAGTGGTGTGGTCGTTATTGCGCAGCAAGCGGTCATGCTACATGTAGGTGAGTAAAACACAGGAAAAACAAAATATTGAGCTGCGTGAGTAGAAAAGAGGGGTGATCAATCGGAGCATTATCGAATCCATCGTCCATCACCTACACTGATTCAGCGGGGCAACAAGCACATGACCGGATATCGCCATGATCTGCGGTGCCAACGTTGTGACAAAAGGACCTGTTCTACCCGTACAGGTGGCACTACTAAACGACCTTGAAAACGGGGCTATCTTGGTATTGAGCTTATGGAATTGAGCATAGAGTCATTATCAGCTTGTTCTTAGCTACTCAAAGAAAATATCAACTATGAGGAGCGCAAAAACCTATGTCACGCCGCAGTAACGGTCCAACGGGGCTAGGTCCGTGAGTAAACATTCAGGGGTTGAACAGTGAACTCGGGAACTGCACCTCCACTGGAACGGCCTAGCCTACCCGCCCCCGCCGCAGGCCCCACCTCCAGTCCCTGCGCTGCATTCCCGGCCCGGCTTACGCGGCCGCCCACTGGAGTCTAGCGCCGCGGCCCCTGCCGGCCTTCAATCCAGCGCTTGCAGTATACTGTGTATACGATGTGGACAGTCGATCTGCCTTCACTACTACATACATGTACTTATACGACCTGCCTCTAAGGGTCTATGTGTCCGCCCGCCGTTCCATTGCATCTATGCCTCGGCGGTGCCGATTTCGTCCGATGCTGTCCTCCCGAGTCCCAACTTGGACAGTTCTTGGTCATGCGGAGGCGGACTGTACATGTACACACTTGTAGCTACATGTATCTGATTCCATCATCGGCGAAGTGAGGTGATCCTCGCGCGAGTATTCGTAAGCTTACAGAAGAGCCTACAGGGCCTACCTCCCCTCAATATGGTTTCCAAAGGATGAGACGTCCGGACCACGGCCATCCTCGCTTCAAGTTCCACCATCGTTCATGCTGTTTACAATGGCTATTGACGCATATCTCCAGGTCTCTACTTATCGCTCGTCAGAGCGAGCAAAACGTCAAGATGCTCCATCTAAAACCTCGATCACAGCATTTCCAAGTGCCCGATCGACTGCATTGACCCTTCGCCAGCTCGTTGGTTTCGCAAGGCCTTCCGCTGCCAATCATACCATGTCGTATGCCCTTGTCCAGTACTGCCTCTGCCGACTGCCCATCCCTCACCTCGAACGACTTGGACATCTCAACATTCCCTTTGCACTCCACGCAGCCCCGTTCCAATTCCTCCAGAAGCACCACAGTGCCTTTGGTTTCGCCTGGGTGGAGAGGCTGGTCTGGAGAACACACGATCTGCACAAGCCTTACAACTTCCTCCGACCCGAACTGCTCTTGGCTCAGGAGTCTAGCTCCCAGAGACTTGTCGCGATCCTCACCATCATGCCTGGGGAAGATTACATTCGACACTATGCGAGCATGCTGGAGGTGGCCCAGCATGCCGGCGCAATCCACCCAAACGATGGAACAATCCACTGCGTGCTCTACCCTCACCTCACGCAGTCCATCATGACGTGGACCGGACTGACCGAGCTCTCTGCCAATGTTGAGCCGGGAGACATTGTCGTTCTCGGGTTCGTGGCCGAGCTGCTTCCACGTTTCGCTTCTCTTGTACCTACGTCTCGAGTGGTTTGGCGACAAGACTCGCCGTACTACGGTCTGGTCCGGCTTGAACTTCGTCCGGGGCTCGTGTTCAGCCTCGTGGGTGCCAAGTACAGCTATTGGGGCAACCTAGGTGGACGCGTTGTCACGGAGCTTGCTGCTCGCAGACCACGGGCCATTTGTTACGTTGCTAAGCAGGGAACACTGCTGTCGCCTGACGACATCCACTGTCGAATCTACTCGCCTACTCGATACTGCGTCTTTGATAAAGGACAAGCCTGCTGGCGGGGCGATGACCACCCAGCCATACCCACCAACCCACTCTCATCCAAATTCCCAACCTTTGATCGAGGCCTGCATGTGTCAACTCCCACAATCGTCGAGCAGGATGTGGAGTTCCGAACGCAACTGGAGACCCATGGCGCTGCGTCCATTGACAACGAACTGGCGCAAATGGCAAGGGCCCTCACGGACCTGCACGAAGATAATCCTTCCATGCACCGTATTCAATTGCTGCCCATCATGTTCATTACTGACTATCTTCGAGGCCCAGAAGAGTTGGAAATGGCAGTGCCATTCGACCTGACATCGCGGAATCAAACCGTACAGCGCAACAAGGAGCTCTTCCTCGCCAGGGCTGCCCACCTGGTGCTAGAAGCATTTGATGTCATCCAGCGTCCCAAGGCCGTCATAGTCGGGACGGGCTATGGTGTCAAGACCATTCTCCCAGCGCTGCAAAGGCGCGGCGTGGAAGTCGTTGGACTATGCGGTGGTCATAATCGTGCCAAGACTGAGACCGTCGCGACAAAACACAAGATCCCATGTGTTGATATCCCCTTGGAACAACTGCAGGCCTCTCATGGCGCCAATTTGCTCTTCGTTGCTTCGCCGCACGACAAGCATGCTGCCCTCGTCCAGGAGGCCCTCGACCTCGGCGGCTTCGACATTATATGCGAGAAGCCACTCGCCCTTGACAAGGCAACGATGGGACATTTCATCGACCAGGCGCGACGCTCTCCTCAGCTGTGTTTGATCAATCACCCTCTTCGCTTCTACCCGCCGCTCATCCATCTGAAGACTGCCACAAAAGAGCCGACCAACATCCTGTCCATCGACATTCGGTACCTCACCAAGCGCCTTGCGAAGCTCATTCATTGGAACCCTTGCTTCTCCAAAGCGGCAGGAGGGGGAATGATGCTTGCAATGGCCACTCATCTCCTTGATCTCATCGAATGGCTCACAGAGTCTCGACTCGCCCATGACTCGGTGAAAAGCATCAGCACGTCCAACTCGATTGCTCCTCTGACAAATGAAGATGCCCAACTCGCCAAGGCGCCCGATGTTGAGTCAGCGTTCAAGATGAGCGGCTACTGTCCACCCTCCACGAAATACTCGATCGACTGTGACGGGGCTGCAGACACCGAACTCTTTTCTGTCACTATCAACCTTGCGAATGAAGATGAGCTTCGATTTATCCAGCGAAAAGGAAGCCCTATACTGCTGGAACAGCGCTGCGGGGGCCGGGAGTGGTTGCCCTTCAAGGTGAGCTTGGAACACCGCATTCGTGATGGCTCTCCGTGGCAAGTATCCTTTCAGTACTTTGTGGAAGAATTGGTGGAGGCTATTTGCATGAGCAAAAGGTCGGCATTTGTGGACAAAGCGACTGGCTTTGAGGACTATGTCAGACAAGTTGGGCTCTTCGGGTCCAGGGTGGGCATAGTCTGATCGCCTCAATATCCCTTGCCGTCGATCTTGGTGCCACACCAGCCCTTGGTGTCTTTGCAGCTGGTGATGATATCGTATTTTGGTACATCGGCTAGTCTAGTTGTGGACAACGAAAAGTATTGGTCCTGTTTTAAGTTTGCACAATTTTATAATTACTCAGTTTTTCTTATCCAAGTCAACAGTCACTATCCAAACTAATTGGAATGACCCATCGCCTGGCCCTTGCACTGCGGCATTGACAAACAGTGTGCTGCTTGAAGATCCGAATTCTGACTCATGGACCCCTGTTGCCCTCACGGCCCTCTTGAAATGGTAAGCCTGCTCTCTTTCGCCCTTGGCTCGGATGGCGCCGTCGTCGTCGAACTTGGTTGGTCTCAGGGTCGCAATCGACTCGATGACCTGCGACTTGTCGTTGTCGATGCATGTGTAATGGTTCAAGTCCTCCGTCCTAGTGGACTCTGCGCGATCCTTCCAAACTGCATGTTTTGCGCCCCAGGATTCGTGTATATGGCCGAAACAGTGGACGCGTGGCCACGCCCATGCGACGGAGGAAAACAGTTGAGGGCAACCCAGGCGCTGATCGGCCGCTCTGTCGAGTATCCCTTGCGGTGGGTTGTGGGCAATGACAACGTCGATGCCTCGTTCATGTTGGCTGGCGCAAATCCCAGACCGGTCGTGCCCTCGGTCTGGATGGCATTGGAACCCCCAGTTACTGTTGTTTTTTGACGGGGTGAAGGGACTAGCAAAGACAGTGAGTCTTGCTCCATTCCCCGGGGTGAACGTGTAGGTGCCCTCTTCGAGTAGTAGCCTGATGCCGTCGCCCATCAGGATCCCTTGAGCCTGAACTACTCGCCCGTAGGCGTCGTCTAGGGATTTCTCATCCAAGCGTCCGTCGTTGAGCCGCAGAGATTCTGTTCTTATCATTGCGAAGGCGCCATCGTCGAGCGTGAAGTCGTGATTGCCGGGTATGATGAGTTTCAGAGGAGCATCTATTTGGGCAAGCAGTGACAGCGTGCTGCGGTACTCCTCGAGTTTCGAACCTTCTATCAAATCTCCGCAGTGAATGACCACGTCGACTGGTTCCTATGGGACGAACCCCGATGGGATGATCTCGGGGTCTGCGTGTGCATCCGAGAGAATCAGCAGTTTCGTGGGGATCTTGAACGATTCCATGTTCGATAAGGCGTACGTTCAAACTGGGAAAGATTTACAAGAGCAGGTAAGATGGCTTTTAAATGTTTTAAAGGTAGGTAAAATCAGGAAAAAGATATTCGAAGCTTTGGTGGCCTTGCGCGTTATGTGCCATGTTGATGCACAGGTCACAGGTAGCAAAGGTTAATAGAAACTTTAATGGATAAGTGCCAATATTAACCTCAAATTGTCCCTATGCATGAATCAATTTTCATCAGAGCTTTCTAGAGTCAGTGAATGCATGTAGGTTGATATCAGACAATTGATGTGTTGTTGTTCAACAGTCCACGGTTCAATGGCTCATGGTTGCCAGCTACAGTCGCTGATAGAGGCCGACGACAAGATCACCCTCGCCTTTCACGACCTGCCAGACATCCAGATCGTTCGCTTCGATGGTGCCACCGGTAGAGATAATAGCATCACATAGCAGATATGTCTCGCGTGGGTCGTTGACAAGATAGGACTCAGAGGACCCGAGTACACGCTGGATCTCGTACGTATCCGGTGGGACGCCAAGACGTTCAAGAAATGTTCGCACCATGCGCACATGCTCGGCCACGATCCGCGCCGGCCTGTCCGCTGTCCACGCGCGGGGATCAACCTGCTGACCACGTCGGCAGATGAGCGCGAGCGAAATGTCCATGTCGGGCGTCGAAGCCACGAGCCGCGCGACCGTCGGGAAGTTGTCCATCACCGAGCTGTATGTCACTGCACCATCGAGCATGCCCTGCGCGAGCAGGCCCGGCATGTCCTTGGGCCTGGTCGGCACAAAGTGCACGCGCACGCCCTCGCCGAACGCCCTGGCGAACTGAACCGCGTCGACAATCTCGTAGCTGACGCGCAGGCAGCGGCCCTTGGGGCGGATGAGCTTGACGCCAAGCTCCGCGAGCGCAAAGACGTCCGTCTTGTCTGCATACTTGTTCGCCGTCACCCCAATCGCCTTGGAGCCAGGCGGTGTAGCTGGTCGTGTAAGGACGGTGTCCGCGTCCTCGTCGGCGAGTGCACTCACTCGCGCCGGGGCCAGCCCTACTCGGCGTGCATACGTGCTCGCAAGTCGAACCATCGCTTTCGCTTCCTCGTGCGCCTTGTGAGGCGAGACAGCGGCGGTGAGCTGCCAGATGTGCTCCCCCATGAGCGCGAGTAGACGCTCGGACGCGGCCTCGTTTGCGGACGCAGACCGCAGACGTGAGCGATCATGCGCGGCAAGACGCTCGTACAGCGCCCGGTAGCGTGGCGTAAGGGTAAGCGTCTTGTCCGTGAGCACCTCCCGCGCGTGCAGGCCGTACGGCTCGCACGGGGCGACCATCTCGTACTTGTGAAATGGGCGGTCCGCAAGGGGCGCGCGGAGGAGGCTGTTGAGCCGCGTCCACTTGTTGAGGATGGCTTCTTGCACGGAACTCCCGCCGGCGCGCCAGACGTCCTTGTCAAAGGTGTCTTGACCGTTCGCCTTGGTGACCTCGCGCCACTTGATGCGCATGCAGTCCTGGTTGATCTCGGACCACATGGTACGCCCCGTCGGGTCGAGCATGACGCAGCCGTCTTGGACCTCGAGCCCGATCTGGTGGAGGTAGTGCTGGATCGTGAAGAAGATGCGGATCGTCCATCCCACGGACGCCTCGACGGCCTGCACGCCATGCACGAGCTCTTCTGGCACACACTTGTCCCCCAGCGGCTTTGCGCGCGCCGTGAGGAAGCGGTTGTAGAAGACATCCTTGCCGATGGACGCCTCCATGAGATGGTAGAACGGGTGCGTCGCAGGATTGATGCCCTTGTACGTGTGGTTCGGGTTCCGCCAATCGAAGCGGACGTATGGCCCTCGCTTATACTGGCCCGTCGGCAAGGTCACACTGGGGTCGTTGACCATGCCGAAGAAAGAATGCTTGTCTGTACCCGCGCAAAGTTCCTTGTACACAGTCTCGATCTGCGTGATCTCGGTGCTGCGCGCCCAGATGAGCCCATGCGCGTTGAGGCCGGCGTACGTATGGCTGATGCCTGCGCGATGGAGCATCTCTAGGAAGAGACGGGAGCCGGTGGCACGGATGGCACTGAGACCGGAAATCTCTGCTGTCGCCTGCTTGCTGTGCGAGTAGATGGTCGGCTTGAGGAAGATGAGGATGTAATCATCAAAGTGGCGGGTCAGGGGCGTCTCGACCTTGTAGATCTGTTTCGACTCGCCCTCGAGGACCAGTCGAAGGCGCAGCGAGGCATTGGCATCGTGTGCGTTGTCGTAGTGGTTCACGAGTGCATACACGAGGCCCGGGTCTTGAAAGCATTGCGCGCGGACGTCTTCGGGAGTGAAGATGGAGCTTTCGCCGCACTCGATGGCGATGATCTCCTCCACACGCTGGGCGTAGTCCACGCCGGGAATCACCGCGCGAGGATTTGCCAAGGACGCGACCTCGTCGGGCGTCAATGTGCTCAAGGCAAGCCTGGAGAAGAGAGCGAGGGCCTTGGGGTTGCGGGCGAGAGAAATGATACCAGAGACGGTTTCGTCGACGTCCTTCTTCCCGGTATCCACGACGGGCAGGCCATGGAACGCGGCTAACTCCTGATGCCTTGTCAGAATTGTCCAATAGGAAAGAACAGTGAGTGAGTAGAACGTACAAGAAACCGTGCGCGGAAGTAGAAGAGGGCCTTTTCGGACTCCCACTTGTCCGTGCTGGGCCGGTTCGCGAGCCGCGCTTGGAGCACGGGGAGCTCAGCATCCAGGATGATGCGCACGATTCTGCGGTGAACTCCATCTTTGTCCGTGTATGATGTGGGAAGGGGAGCACGGTCGTCGTCGGCGAGCTGTAACGTGAATTTGTCAAAGGACCTGACGACGAGGGTGTCTTCGAGTGCGGGATCTTCGTCCCCACGAGCATAGACGACCTCACCGGCCGCTCTCAGGGCGGGAGCGAGTGTAGACTTCCCGGTCGCGTCGTTGCCGTGCAGAACAAGGGTATAGGCCGACTCAGACATGGCGGGCGATGATGGGAAGACCTGTTACTTGGCAGCGAGTATTCGTCTAAGTAAGTGAGAGAGTAGGCCGAAGTGCAGTGTTACCTCATAGGCCAGTAGGCGATCTAAGTTTAAATAGTAGATCATCTGTAGAGTCAGGTACCTTCGAGTGGAGAATCTACCCACATCATTAACTCGTTCAACAGCTTGACAGCCAAGGTACCAGGATCTGACATGATAGTCGTACAGTAAGGAGGGATGTCACAGGCAACGCACTACGACCTTCCCAACTCGTTCCGACGATCATGTACAAAGATACTTTGTGACATGGCTGCCTATCCTGCAGGAGAAGTGTCGTAAGCGCAATGCGATGCGACAGCAGGGGAGGCAGCCCAACGTACGACTGCGGCGGTGACCGGCGAGGGTCTGGTACCACCCCTGAGCTCGTCAGCAATGGCGGTCCCTGCTCTTGACAATGTTGTCTGTCCACTGGATCACAAAGTTCACAGGCTTCACAGGCAATGCTAGTGGTGTGGAAGCAGTGTGTTTATATAAACTGTCTGGCAACACATAGCGTATCATACTCGTCAACGATGCTGGCTACGACTGAGAATGTACTGCTGTCGCTCTGCTCCCCACGTTGGCAGCACTATCGACAACGGCGCGGGTTGCTTCTCTCCACCCTGCCAAACGTCTGGATCGAGGGTACGAATTTTAGTGCATTGTGGCAGCTGGAGTCCATTGTCCTCTGGAATGCCCTCCTCCTCCAGTCTCTCGATAGCGCGCAGCTGCTCGGGATTCGCTAATTGACGAAGTAGAGCCCAAAACTCTGCGTCGGACACCTGCCACAGCACCTGATCGTCTACTGCCCCTGCCGCCACCAGTTCGCCTATCACCCGGCCTGTACGCTGATACATGTCAATGTGGGCCGGGCTGGACCAGATATCTTTGTCGGCAGTGATGTATGCGCGAGAGAGATGCAGCGCTACATGAGGGTCGTCCAGAACCAGCAGACGGCGGGTCGCTGTAGCATCGGGAAACGCCTTTAGCGAGCCTACAACCCTCTTAGCGTCTTCCATGGAAAGCTTGCCGAAGCTGACGGCGTCGCGCAAAGCATAGTCCAGGCGATCGGCACACAGTTGAGGCGATGGCATCTCTACCAGTGGGAACAGTTCTTCTTCGAAAACATTCTGGTTGATGCCATGTTTGGTGAGGATGTCCGGCAGCCGCGTGGTCTTAAGATACCGTGTCTTGTGGACCTCGTGATAGCTCCCTTCCCCAGGCTTGGAGAGGGCGTGGTCGATGACGTGACTGAGGGTGGTGTGAGAGATGTCATGGAGAAGAGCAGCGACCTGTTCTTCGATCGTGGCACCGACTCTTCGCACGAGGATGAATGCGCCGACCGAGTGCTCGAGCCGTGTGACTTGCGGCGTCAGGCCCAAGAATCCAGTGACGCCATGCTGGCAGATGCCTCGCAGTCTCTGCAACTCGGGGCTTTGGAGAAGCTCTACGAGGACTGCCTCGTGGACCAGCTCCTCTCCGTATAGTTCATCTCGAATTAAGATGCCATGGTTCTCGATGAGTTGGTGTGTCTGGAGGACGCCGGCACTGGTAGGAGGTGACATGTCTGTTGGACCAGTTCGTTTTGGTATATTGAAGCGACCGAAGCAAGAGGAGGGGGAAAGCCTGAAGGTACGTGCGCGGTCGAGGAAGAAGCGTGAGACAGGCTGAGCAATCAATGGCAAGCGTTATTCAGTCGTCGATGAATGGCCATTGAACAGTTCCGCACGGGCTTGGCGCTCGGAGTTTTTCACCATATCATCTGCCTTCGTTGAATGTTGCTTTAAGCTCATGCCGCCATGACGAAATGTCTTCAGTTGGATCTCGGTCCGCTGTCACAATGGACATGGAGGCGGGGCTACCCTGGCTACCCTGCAAGCAACATGCAAGCAACATGCGAGCTGACTGTCCACTCCACAACCCCCAATGCTACATCGCCGGTCCGGGAACTCTGTATGGTCCAACAGGACCATGCTGAAACTGCCATTGGGTACCTGAGCGCCTTAGGAGGGGTAAAGACGGAGAAATCGGTCCCCTGCCGTTACGAAGCACCGCGTGCAGCAAAAGGATGGCTGACGTTGCCTACAGTAGCATCGAAGGAATGTGCTCTCTGTTAACTCGGTCGTCAGACGTAGAACTGTCTGCACTGTGTACTCCGTAGAGCGAAGAACAAAAACAATGTAACGAAACGACTTGACTTCTCGCTTATACGCCCACTTAACTCCGTCCAGCCAGGGTACGTACATGTATTGACCTGTGATGTAATTAGAGAACATGAAGTCTACTGCTGTAACTCGAATGGTGCATATGTTCCTTATGGTCTGAGTGCCGTCAATGGATATCACATCAAAACGCATCTGCATATGTGAGTAGTGCTAGACAAGGAACGGGCCGCGCCGGGATAGTTCGAATACTTCTGTATCTAGCGAGGAAATGTTTCACTACAGTAAGGTGTAAATCTCTACAGTACCATTATACGAATATATAATATAAAGTATAGAGCTACTGAATACTCTTTTTCAGTATTCGTTACTAGTATATAATATTTTATATTAATCCCTAAGTAACAGAAAGAATTAATATTGAAAAAAAAAGAATGAAAGACGAACTAACCTTTTTCTTTATCATAGTAGAAATCGTCACGTGATGAAGTCAGGTGTCGGACACGTGACCGCTTTGGTGGAGGCACGGCCCGAGTTTAGTGTGTGTGTGTGTAAGTGTTCATGATCAAGGAAATAGTAGATTTTAGGGGCCTAGAAAAAAGGCTATTTGAATTGATGATCAAGAGGCTGATTTTTTGAGGCCTTCAACTGTGTGTTGGTTGTTTTTTGTTGATGTGTGCTGATTCCTTCATTCCAGCCATCTCCAGACCCCTCTTTGCTTAGTCACCGCGGTCCGACCCCTTTCGGTCTGACATCAGGTCCTAGTTACTAGGTACGCAATCTTTTGCATTCACTGCATCCCCACCACGAATTCCACTCAAATTTTCTCAACTACCTGGCCTACCTCACACCACCCTGCAGATACCACCCTCACAAACACGACCATGCCTATCTCAAAAAAGGACCGGGTTAGTCACAACCCCGTACGCTTTATCCTTGCACGCTGACGTGTCCCAGAGAGCGCGTGAGCAGAAGAAGGGTGACGCAGACGGGACCCGCGCGCCTGTCAAGGCCAACGGCCTGCCCGTCAAGCCCGCCAAGCCGACCTCCATCGTAAACCAACCCTTCCTCCGAGCGATCCCCTAAACGTATAGTAACGGATACTTAATAGTGCGCCAATTGCCGCAAGGAGATTGTCAACACCAACAAGATCCAACTCGAGAAGCACGCTGAGACGCACGACTCCAAGGCATGGCCCAAGGAGAAGTGCTGGCCCAAGGACTTCCCTACTGCTACGTAAAGAGTCGGGGCCGCAGTCATGTTTGGGCTGCTCTCTATCTTGGCGGAGACTCGAGTCTCGGTGCTGTCTGGCACGCAAGGCGCGGTCGCCTCTATCGTTACAGGAACAGGGTGGATGAAACCTGGACGTATTCCGACTGGCGCCAGTGAGGGCGACTGAACCTCAGCGCTGGATGATTGAATGAGGTGTTGGCGGGGTTCGAAACGACTCTTAATCAAAATCAGCGGGCTCATCATGGCCTTAACGCGTCATGAAACCACACCCTTTCTCCAAGACAGCAACACTTGACCATCTTCGTCTTGGCAACTCAATCAGAGTTCCGTCAGGTGTTGAAAACTTGCGGAAAATGGCCAATCGGCTGCCGAAGACGTTAGTTAAAGGACAATACCAGAGTAGAGTAGAGTACGGTCTCTTCTTGTCCCCGTATCTTTGCCTGGACTATGACTGGAATGCTGGTCTAACCTTGCAAATGATAGAGCTTGGGAAAGAATGACTACAGGTTAACTTGCAACCTTGTCTCCAAAGATCAGGGTGTTACCTGCAATCTGCTCTCGGAAGACAAGTAACAGCAACTCCTTTCGAATGCTTGCTATACTAGGTGCGTCGAAGCGTGCGCGGTACTCCTTTTGGACTGCCTAAAGATTCCAAGGGTCAGGGAGTCCAAGGTGATAAAGCCTCAAGGTGCGGTTTGACACTTCGGAGTAGAATGATATCCACTGCAATGATACACATTCCCAATTCGACACTAAATCAACATCTCCGGGGCTCTTATCTTTAGCAATACGTGAATTGACGCTCACTTCCATATGAAGCACGAAGGGACCAGCGCTCATGTCTGCGACCAGGCCATCACATTTCGTCTTAGAGGTCTGCAGACTTAGGTAAGCTTTGCTCCAGCCACGCCAAGAAAATAACAATGAACAGTGGGAAGGGCTCGGAGTTGTAGACACTCCACTGTTTCTCACTACAGCCGCGCGGCTATGAGTAACCACTGCATCTGCCGGCGACATTGGTAATCCGAACCAGTCCAGGCGCAGATATTCAGCTGTTCCTCACTGCAGCCGCGCGGTTATGAGTAACCACTGCATCCGTCGGCGACATTGGTTTGGTAATCCGAGGCAGTCCAGGCGCAGATAATCTCCAGAGCACTCCGTGGTTTGCGGGTCCATAGGGCCTGTTACTCGTTCCATCCCTCTACGTGCCAAGCTCTCGCTGTTCACGATGACCGAGAGGCTGCGGTGTACCGGTGACAGGCTCCCGACTCCCCACACTAGGCCGCCTTATCGTTACCGCATTTGGCGATTTCAGGAGTCCGGCCGGACTTGGGAGCCGAGTCCAGAGACTCCGCACTCAACTCCAAAGTCGAGCAGGCATTTCAAAGAGGCATGCAATTCTAGTACGCAGGAAGGCAGGGCCTGATTGTGTATAAAGATATCGCAGTGGTACTCTAGATGTAAGAAGAACAAGCTCACAGACCAACCATTCTACATCAACACTCCGCAATGTCTGCTCCCCTGCCCATCAAGCTCTACATGCACAGCGGTGCCGTTGGCGGCCCCAACCCGTACAAGGTCCTCATCGTACTGCATCATCTTGATATCCCCTTTACAAAGGTGGCCACCGACGATTCCAAGGCGGAGTGGTACGTCAAGGACATCAACCCCAACGGCCGCATCCCGGCCATCGAGGATCCCAACACTGGTCTTACGTTGTGGGAGAGCGGTGCCATTATCGAATACCTTGTCGACGAGTATGACAAGGGGGGCAAGATCAGCGTGAAGAACGGCAAGGGAGCCTGGGAGGCAAAGCAGTATCTTCATTTCCAGATGTCCGGGCAGGTGAGTTGGCTCCCTGGATCCTGTGTGCATCAGCAGGCTCGCAGCTTCTAACAAGTGCAAAGGGCCCCTACTTTGGCCAAGCCGTCTGGTTCTACAGGTTCGGCGACAACATGCCCGACGGCAAGAAACGCTACCTAGAGCAGGTTGAGCGCGTGATGATGGTCCTCAACAACATCCTCGAGGGCAAGGAATATCTCGTCGATGACAGACTGTAAGTCGCCTCCCCCACCCCCAGCCCCCTTGACCTTGCCGTTGTCCTAACCGTCGCAGAACGTATGCCGACCTCGCATTTGTACCGTGGAACATGGTGGTGCAAAAATGGCCCCTCTTGTCGGACCCTCTCTGGAAGCCGTACCAGATTGAGGAGAAGTATCCCAACTTTGTGAAGTGGCAAAACAAGCTTTGTGCGTTGGATGCTGTCAAGAGGTCCTACGAGCCATGAGACAGGTGGCTCGGTCGACGTCGAGTGCAGAGCATTGCACTTGATACACTGGAGAATTTCGCAACGAAGAGTGCTCTATTTCCATGAAAATCTACCAGAACCCGATGCATATATGCCCGAAACGCCGGCCAGTGTAATGGTATCACAAATACAAACCGTCATGTCCCGTCATCGTCGCTCAATTCCCAGCAACTGGTGTCGTAGTGCGAGTCGCGCTGCGCGTTCTCTCAATCGTCTTTGAGCTGAACGTCCTCGACATGGCGGTCGGACGTTGCTCGCTCGGCTCCATCTCACCCTCCATCTCTTTTTCGCCCTCCTCGACCTGCTCACCTACAGTCTTGCCCTTCTCCTTCTCGCCTGCGTCGCCAAGTCCAATAATGTCGATCCAACGCCAAAAGTCGACAGCATGCGTACCACTGCGGTCGAAGATGGCCTGGTCGTTTGTAAGACCGTCTGCGACTTGCACTGAACTCTTGTCCTTCTTGGCAGAGTCCAGCTTGTCTATGGTGGAGCCATCGACGAGGTCACCGGCGTAGGTGCGGGCGATGGGGATATTGTTCACGCGCAGCAGCTGAAGCTGGGCGCGCAAGTTCAGCCGCAGGGCCCGCTCGGGCTGCTCTGCATCAAAGATCTTCTTGGTCAACCAGGGGAAGAGGATTCCAAAGTCCGACTGACTCAGGTGCGCCGAGTTGACCACGTAGAAAAAGTTGGGCTCTGACTGCTTGATCCCGCTAGGGCGCTCGTATACGGTCGGGAGAACGGTCCGGGCCTTGGGCTCGGGAGACAGAATGCGTGCCTTGATGTGCAGGTGCTCGGTCCACTTGTAAAAGGACTCGGATTCAACAGCGAGGAGGCCAGTGCCCCCAACAGCCGATGCGAGATCGCCATACAGGGGCAGCGGCAGGTTGAAGAGTGCTTCTGAATTGGGCGCAAGGAGCGGCATGCACCACATATCCAAGAACATTGTGACATTGCGCTCCGTGACCTGCTCGCGGATTGCCGAGCCCTGCTTGGGTGTAAACAGGGGCTTTTTCATGCCTGCAACATCCTCATTGTCGGCATAGTAGGTGCTCTTGAGCAACTGGGTCATGGTAGTGGCGCCGAAGCTGTGGCCTGCAAAGATGATGCTGCCTGGCTCGTGCACCTTGAGTCGACCGACAAATTGCTGCAAACTGGTGGTCGAAGTATTAAGGTTCCTGAACTTGGTGCCTTTATCCATGGCAAGGATCGCTTCGTGGACCAGACCGAGTTCCCAAAGGCGGATCCTCAGTTGCGCCTCGCGCGTCTCGTAGACTTCTGGCGAGACGTCGTGCGAGACGCGGTTGTACTGGACTATCTTCGTGCTCTTTATATTGGACGCCTTGTTCTTTTCATCGGGAATGCGCATGAACGATGCGACGGCGCTGCCATCACGATGCTCTGGGCAGACAACGACGAGGCCGTGGGACGCCAGTGATCCGGCAACGTACGAGTACGAGTTGCGGGTGCCTCCCAGGCCGTGGGAAAAGATCATTGCCGGCCATCGAGCCGATTCCCCGTCGGGAGATCGCAATTTCGAGTTCTTGTGCGCGGGAATCGTCGCGTAGTTGATGTGTCTCGGGAGAAACCTGCTCATTGCCTTTAGCTTCAATTGTACGACTCGGCGCCTCCACTGTCCCGGTGTACTTACGACAGAAACTCGGCCAATGTGTTTCCAACACCAACGAACCTCGTGTACGCCGAGATGTGGTGCCTTTGTGGGTTTGGGAGCCAGGGAATACACTTCTCGTCCGACTCGTCCACCGCCGGGTAAAAGATTCGAAACAGCACAGTTGGAATGTCGGCAGCGTTCTCTGGCGCGGGACTCGGTGACGGCAGGTCGCTCGCGGGGATCTCGACGTCCATGGTGCCTACTTTGAAGGGGCCCGTGTAGTCTGGGAACGCGGGCACTGGACTGAGCCGCGACAAATACGAGGCCATCTTGGCTGAAGGGGAGTAGGATGTCATTGTTGCGGGGGATGGCTAGCTAGACAGATAGATACAGGATGAAATGGAGAGACGGGGATAGATAAATGATGTCAAGAAGTGGATGTCAACGAGATATTGAGGACGCTTGCTGAATAAAATCGATGGCTCGGCGTGAGGTACACGGAGAGTGAAGAGAATGTCGAGAATCACATGTGATTGATGCGTCGCGGAAGATGTTCAATTAATATCCGGGAAGCGACCGGACTCCGGAGGGAGTTCCTGTCAATCCTTGCCAAAGATGTGGCTCAGCAAATCCAGTCCACGTCGCGCGTCGCCCAGTGACGCAATGTGACGCCAACTTGTTTATTATTTTCAGGGCCCTTCTGCAGGACAGAGTAAACACCATCGGTCGACGAGGCAAGACTCAATGTTGCCATCACCTGTCCAGGCCGCTCATATCAGAAGCATCATGCTCTCCCAATATCTGTGAATCTACAACCAAGATCGTCAAGCGACGTGAATAAACTTCGGCTTCAGCATCCTCGTGTCTTAGTGCCCAATTCAGTCATGGACCCGCCTCTACTACGTAGGTACACGGCAACTCCGATCTCATTGCGGTGGCACTGCGCCAGAAAACTCATCCTTCAAAGGACCAAGAAAACCCCGAAATCCGTTCCAAAAGTCACGAACGCGAACCGGGTTTGGAAAGTTTGAAGACGCCGAAGCGGCGAAGTTTGGACCTCTCAAATTTGTTCATCAGTGCAAGCATCTCTGAACGGGAATCAGCAAGCTCCCACTTCTGAGGCCTGATGTCAACGGTACGTGTACAGATCATAGCCATACCAGAAGACACCTCGGGAGTGTCAATAGGGCATACCTGACCAGTTGTTATTGCGTATTCTTTAGGTCAATCTTTGACGTGCACTCCCGCACTATCACTCTGCTCCCCAATGTCCGGAGCAAAGTCGACATTCACAATGACTGGAGGCATACACCACGACATCTGTCATTTCTTCGCAGAAGTTGTCAGCCTCGTTTCAAGCGTATACAAAATGGGTATTATCTGGCCAAGGTGTTCCATGTTGGCATTTGATGTCATATCGAAAGCAACACATAGACGCGGGAGACTCCAGTGAGTCATGTCCAGTGACAGTCCCCTCATTCTCCAACACTCACTCCCAACTGAAGAATCGTGACCACCGTTGCACAGCCTTGCCCTTTGTGAGGATTTCCTTTTTGTGAAGCATGCGAACCTGGCGTCCCATTTTGCCTCCTCTATAGATCCATCTTACAGAACAACACCAGCTCAACATGTCCAAGCTCGCCCAAGTCCTCGGGGCTCTCCACAAGCCGTCTCAGCCCCTAATTCTACCCAACATCTACTACCTCCCCTCGCTCTATGCCATCCTCTCCCTCAATACATCCACCTCCCAGCCCGTCAAAGCCATCGCGACGGCGTCTTGGGGTATAGCGGCCACCCTCGGCATTGCCGACGAGGATCTCACCGCCGAGCAGAACCTTGCCTTCATTGAGAGAATCGCCACCACAGTCAAAGAAGCCGGCCTACCGCTCAGCGCTGATTTACAGGATGGCTACGGGGAACGCGTGGGTGAGATTGTCACCAAGGCCGTACGTCTTGGTGTTCACGGCGGGAACATCGAGAATGCCCGGCCCGGCCGGGGTCGTGACCAACGCATCCAAGGTGCCTTATACCCCGTGGAGGAGCAAGTCGAAAGGTTGCAGACGGCACTGAAGGCCGCCTCGGACGCAGGTTGTCCCGACTTTATGCTCAACGCGCGGACAGACGTCTTTCTGCTAGAGGGCCTTTCCGACGATGTGAAGATGCAAGAGGCGGTGCGTCGAGGAAAAGCGTACCTCGCGGCTGGGGCCACGACCGTCTTCGTCTGGGGCGGCGCACGGGGCCTCCGGGATGGCGAGGTGAAGACGCTGGCTCGGGAGTTTGAGGGGCGGCTGGCGGTGAAGCTGGCCATGGTACAGGAGGCTCTTAGCACGACGCAAGTGGCAAATTTGGGCGTCGCCAGGATCAGTATTGGTCCGAGTCTGTACCACATTGCGATGGACGCTATGAAGAAGTCGGCCGTGGACATCCTTCAAGGAAATAGACTGGTCTTGTGAAGACTACTGGAAACGGTGATCACGATTATTTCTCGATACTGAAGTGTGTCGAGCGGCGAACCATTGGCCCTAAATACATGTTGTCATTGAATCGTAGTCGCCACCTATCCAGGACACATTGATATAAGTCTCTCAAGTACAATGACCCTTCTCCCTCAACAAATTCCCTGTCAACGACAGAGACGGCCCTAACCACCGAACTGCAGACCCATCCACGCCTCAAGGCGACAGGTTCTGCATCCTCACGCTGCTGTCACTGACGCTGCCGGTCCCCTTTCCAGCAGCCGTCTGGCCTTCTGTCCAACTTACACCACGAGCCGAATTAGCCTGCCTCAGCTGACGGAGGCGCTGCTGCTTGCGTCGGTAAATCAACAGGGCAGCAGCAGCAATCAATCCGAGGCCCCCGAGAACACCAATCACAATCCCAGCAATGGCCCCCCCTGATAGACCACCAGAGGACTTGTTGTTGCCACTGTCGTTGGACTCCTCCGAGTCAGAGGAGTCTTGAGAGTCGTCGTCGTCGTCGCCATTCGAAGACTCCTCATCATCATCATCATCATCGTCATTATTCTCAACATCGTCGTGGTAGTCCCAGTCCTCACCAGCGCCATCCTCATCGTCAGGCGAGGTGGCATTGAAGCATGGGACCTGGGTGTTGAAGTTGGCGGGCTCTACCCAGACAATGTCCGCGCAAGCGTAAAAGGTCTGGTTCCGAGGTGTGTCGAATTCGGAGATGTACTTGACTTGGAGCGTGGCGAGATCGCCCTCGCTGACAGAGTCGGGAGCATTGGGCCACGGAATGCAAGTATGGCCTGGATCGAGCTCCTTGAAAGCATCTTGACTGATGATCACGTCAAAGTCGTCGTTAGACATTGGGTCTGTGTTTTCCAAGTCAGAGATCGATTCAGGGACAGGGAGGACTCTGTTGCATACCGGCGCTGTAGGAGATGCCAAGCTGAATCTTCCATGACTCGTCTTGTGCAACGAGGGCTATCTGGCCATCATCTGCCACTGATTAGTGTTTGCTTTTGCGAAGAAACCTCGCTCACCCACCAAGTGGAAAGTCAGTGCGGTTGCGGGGAGCGGCTCTCGAGCCACAAGGCGCGTGATTGTCGACGGCCGCATCCCACACGCGGTCCTCGGGCCACATGAAAGCTGCAGGGCCAAAGTCATCATACTCGGCCTCATCATCCTGGGCGTAGGAAGAGGCAACGGAAAGTGCCAAGCCAGCGAGGAGGTTCTTAAAGATAGCCATGACTATATTGAGTCCGTGTGTATGGAGATAGCGAAACGCAAAGACGGTTATATAGCCGGGCCCTCAAAATGATGACCCAAGCGAGGGCAGTCGGCTCCTTCATATAAACAGAAGAGGGCTCGCCAAGATTTCCGACCCCTCTCTCTGCCAAACCGACGCTCTGAGGCTTCGAAGCAGGCCGACGACCGGCGGAAAATTCCTTCTCTTTCGAAGGACCCGAGGACAGTCCATGGCTACATGTGTACATGCCTAACATTACTCGCGTGTGCTGCCCCGAGGCCAGAGCCGGGCGCACCGGAGTCGAGCTGAACGGCATAATAGCGCTATTCCAAATAGAGACGCGGGACGAATAGGCTATTGACGCCCGGTGGTCTGTCATGCATTTGGGGGCTTGGGTTCTCGACTGAGGCATTATTATCAGATGATCAAGATAAGACCAGGGTCTTGATCTAATCAGATGCATCAAAAAGTGCTGATTGGCTCATGACACCGAGCATCACGGTGCCCCATTCTTGGCTGCATTCACAACTGACACCTTAAACTACATTCGTCTGGGCAAGTGGCCTGACATGTAGCCAATTCACAACCGAGCCAGGGGGAGGAAGCTTGGAAAGGTCGTGAACGGCTGAAAATTTTCACGGCCCACGACCATGGCGATGGCTGTCTTGGCGGGTGGCTCTCAACGCGACGCCGTCGAAGGTCCGACACATCTGTCGATGAGTAGCGGCATCAAGACGTCTAAAGTGGTGTCTGGCAGTTACTTGATGCTGTTCATGGTCTGAGACACCTGCGAGATTTCAGGCTGGATGCTTCAGCAAGTTGCGTCTGAATCCGGATAATGGTCAGTGTACAGGCTTCCCAAGTAGACTCTGGCCGGTCAGGGATATGCCTCATTAGGAAGAATAGACGGGAAACTGGCTCACAGCAGGGGTCGGTCTGGCCACGTAAAATGACCCGCATCTCACCCCATCCCCATCTTATCAATCAGTGTTGCTGTTCCAGCAGGCCCACTCCTTTCCTCCAAGCCTTGCCAAGGAGAGGCTTCGGTGAATGTATAAAGAGACTCCGGTGCTGCAGCACTTATCAGTTTTTTGGCCTTGATTCTTACAGCACAGTCAATCGTTGAGCTATCCCTTTGACATTTTCATTCATTTGAGTACAACACAGACACTTTTCCTACCATCAACATGCAGCTTACTTCGATTGTTGCCATCGGTGCTGTCGCTACCGCGGCGGCTGCCGTCAACCTTGAGCGCGGATTCACTTATCCTGCCGGTGTTCCCCATGTAGAGAGGCGCCAGACCAGTGGCGCCAAGTACGAGTGCCACTCTAACTGCGGTACGTTTTCCTCAGCTCCGCCATCGAGCGGACCAGTCACTCACGTGCTATAGGCTACGCACTTCAGGCTGTCGAGGACAGCGACGATGTTTGCGACGACGACGAGTGGAACACGCTGTACCAGGGTTGCCTCGACTGCGCGCTCGAATTCGACATTTGGCGCTACTATGGCGGTGGCTTGACCCCGGTTGGCGAGGCATGTGGTCTCTCCACCACGCCTACGCCCGCTGACGGCGGCGACGATGTTGATGAAGCAGCATCGACGACCACGGTCCAGTCTGCTACAGCTGTTCCCGTGTCAAGCACCACTGCCGAGGAGCAGGCCACAACCACTGTTATTGAGGAGGTTGTTACCACTACTGCCGTATCCTCTGAGCCCAGCCAGACTGGCGACTCTACCCATGTCGACGACCATGAAACCGATGTCGGCCACGGCCACTCTGAAACCCCTGCTTGGAGCACGACCCAAGTCCCTGCCAGCACTGGTCACAACAATGGCGTAAGTTGCCCAAGCCCCGGTACCCCAGACGATTGAACTGACCAAGACAGACCACCCCTGAGCCCACCAACGTTCCCGGCGCCGCTGCCCAGTTCTGGGTCTCCAATGTAGTCGTTGGTGGTGCCGCCGTTGTCGTCGCAGCCAACCTTCTGTAATATGCAGATTGTCGAAGGTAGCATGAAGATCCCAAGATAATGCATGCAAGGGGGCACCCATGAGGTGTAAGCTTGGGCTTCTGTACAATAGTTGGATATCAATAATCAATCAAGCTTGAAATCAAGCACCAGTCATGTCGTCCACTCTCATTTCATACTCATGCCCCCGAACGCCCTGTCTAATTCCGCGCCTTCGTCGGCCACAGCGGGCGCTCCGGAGACGGCTGCCTTCTGCTCCGCCGACTCGGTGTCCATGAGGTCAGGCTGCTCGCCGGTCGCTTTTTCAGGCTCCAGTAACCGCGACTCGCTGTCGAGCCATCCAGGCGCAACGCGTCTCTTTTCTGCCAACTCTCGTTCTTTAATCTTGTCCTCGAACTCTCGCAGGTCTCTTTCCGCATCTTCTTGCAGCTTGGACACGTGTGTTTGGAGTGCGCGACAGGACGCGATGATGTCGTCAGGGTGGGCTGCATGGCCAGAACCGGACACAATGTACTTGGGCTGTTGTGGTTGTGCTGTTTCATCTTTGGAATCAGACGCGACAGCTGGTATCCCGAGAGACGACGGAGGGATGTTCGAGGGCATCGTTTTATAGTTGTAGGAGAGTGTCGTTGCCGTCGGGAGAGACACGAATGGGGACACTGTCAAGGGAACTTGCTCGAGGAGATGATGGGGGCCTTTGGGCGTCAGTAGTGGTTCAGAGGTGATTTACAGGCACTTACGATTGTTGTACATTGTTGCTAGCTTACTATCCAGAGGGGGGAGGCGACGCGGAATTTGCGGTGTCGATGTTGATGTGACAAAAGGCTGAGCCGCCGATGACGCGGGGGACACCGTTGAACCCTCGAGTCAACCATGCATGCAGGTCCCGATAACCGATAACGAGCGTAGCCCCACCACCTTCTCGCGAAGCTCGAAGCTTCAGTTCAGGGTATTTTTAACTTCTTTCGGCAACATACCATTTGCTCATCCGACGGTACCAGAGCTACAATGCCGCCTACGACGATCCGATCACCGCCCTCTGTGGCTGACTATACTCCCCTGGAGGAGTTTCAATCGCAAACCCCCGCCTCGTTCACTGGCGGCAAGCCAGTGTTGTACCACCACCTTACGGGCGCAAAAGCCACCATCCCCAAGTCGCAAGCTGGTGTCCTTGCCATGTTCCCGGTGGACGCGCCGTCAAGACCTCCTCACGAGTCGAATGGTGAAGAAGCACCCGAAGAAATAATTGAGCGTGAAGTCGACGTCTTTGTCCATTCTGAGTATGTTGGCTGTCATGTTAGTCAAGGCTCTACGGTTGCTAACCCATAGCAGGAGCTTCACCATTTTCAGCAAAGAAGCCGAAGCTGGTGTTTCGATTCCCTACCCCTCAATATCAATCCACGCCGTTAAGAATGAGGGCGGCCTGGCGGCGATATGGATGCAGCTCGAGTTCTCGGACGGAGGCGATTCGGATGAAGACTACAACTGCATCGATCTCTCCATAATCCCACGCGACGCCACCCCGGAGGCTACAAAGGCATTATATGAGGCAATGTCTGCTTGCTCGGACCTACATCCTGATCCCAACGAAGGAGAGGACGAGGAAGAAGACTACAGTGACAGGATCGTCTTTGAGGGATCGCATGAGGCTCTGGAGGGATTTGAGGGTGTGCTGAGGGGCCAGAGCGATGGCGGTCTGCCTCCGCCTATGCCTGGCAGCGGAGGCTGGATCACAGCGGACAATGTGAACGAATACTTCGACGCTGACGGGAATTGGATCAAGGACGGCGACCACCAAGCCGACCTCGAGGAGGACGAGGAATTGGGCGATGGGGCTGGCAGGACGCGTGGACACGACGAGGTCGCCAAGGATGGCGTCAATGGGGAGCAACACGAAGGAGCAAAGAGGGCCAAGACTGACTAGACGTCCAAAATCCTACATCCCGAATGATATCATGAGTTACTAATTAAAGGTATTTCTTCCTGAATATTTCCACGAAGCGCAACTGTCCAAAACGCCAAACCTGATCCTCCCGTACAGTTTAGAAGGAAAGAAGAGAGAGTGAGAGGAAAGAAATGGTGTACCTCAATGAGCGAGTATCAACACAGAAAAAAAACATGCGTCTGCCAAGTACTGTCTTCCGTACATTGTCACATCCTCCATCGCCCTGCCTTGGCGACTGCGTCCCGATCAGGCGATCCCTTGAGGAAGCCATCCTGGTCGTAGAGTCCAAGACTGTCGGCGCTCCACCTGTTCGCGCGTCTCCTCTCCTCAGTGGCGATGGCCTCCACGCGGGAGGCTACGAGCTGGGGAGGCGCAAGGCCGCTCCGTCGATCTCGGCCGTCACGCAGCGCATTTGTCGAAGCCGATAGGTCAAAGCGGACTCTCGGCCCCGTCGTCGGCGGCCCCCGGTTCTCCTTCTCAGCGGCGCTCATGTCTACCTGGATCTTGTCTGCCCGAATGGGAATGCCAGAGTGGCTCTGGCCCCTGCGGTGGCTGCTGTTGTTTCTCTTCGGGCTGTTCTGTCCTCCCATGCTGAGGTAGTTCCTCCTACCGTCCGACGCATTTTTGGAGTTGGGCCGATCAGGAGAAAAGCCGCCGCCCCGGAGACTGGTGATTGTGGGCGATCTATCGATGCCCCCGCAGGACGAAGCCATCGATGCGACACTGTAGCTGCTGACAACGCTGTTCATTCTCCGCAGCTCGGAGATTGTGCTTCCTACAGACAGGTTGGCACTGAAGCCACTCGTCGTAGCCCTGCGTCCGGAGATACCGGTGAACTGGTGATTCTCTTCATCCAAATTATGGTCATAGTTCGAAGAGGAAACGCTGGCAATGGAGACCCGTCTCGAGGGCGCATACCTTTTCTTTGGTCGCGGGCTCAAGGGCGTGGGGACCATGTTCTCGTCACTCATGATCTTCGCCGGGGGGGAGGGGAGCCCTCGTTTGGGGCGGGCGCTCTCATACAGAATAGACATGACCTCCCTCTCGTTCAGTGGCGAGGACGACAGGTCCAGGCTCTTCATTGTCCTGGTCGGGGTTGCCACCGTCGATGTGGACGACTTGCTCCCCCTGTGGCCTTGCTTCGCCTTGGGTGTGGTTTGCTCGTCCTCGGAGGACGTATCGGCCACCGTCACGTCGGTATACACCGACTCGCTGGCTATGCTGTTCTCACTGGCGACGCGTTGCGTGACAATCTTGGCTGCAATATCAGGGTTGCGCGCCTTGGGGGGACTCAGTACCAAATGAGGCTGCATCTTGATCGAACCTCGTCTGGCGATTTTCGAATTGGCATTGATGGTACGCAGTGGTGCTGGGATGGCACTTGCGGTGTCATTGCCACCTCCGCTGGCCCCCCTCGTTGTCCGTGGGCCGGCGACGCCATGTCGCAGTGATACCACACCAGGGCAAGTCTGGTGTACAAAGGATTCGTGCTGCTTCTCCTGAGGTGTGACGGCCTTCTTCGGCGTGGGGAGTGTCACTTCCTCCTCTGGCTCGCCGACACTGTACAGCGTTGACAGCGCACTGGAAATGTCGCTGTCGATGCTGTTGCTCCTCTTCCTGGGACTCTCGGGTCGAGCAGCGACAGTGTTCTTCTGCTGGTCTTCCCATTCGCTCACACGGGCCCTGGATGGACTGGTGCTACCGCCTGGCTGCCGCAACTCCTCGATGGCATGACGGATGAGACTGTTCGCAGCACTGCCAACGGTGCTGATACTTGGGTTTCGACTCTTGGTGGGTGTCTGATGGATCGCACTGCGCTTGCTGGGGCTGCCCCTGGTGGATGCTGACTTGCCGCCACTGCGTGGAGTTCTGGTAGAATTCTTCCCAGGAGACGACTTGGGGGTCTTGACTGGTGATTGAGACCCATCTCTGAGCCTCTGTTCTGTCGACGCCAGAATCACTTTGAGATCGACATCGTTGACGGAGGGTCCCCCCATGGCACGTCCTCGATAATGGCTGACTGTCCGTGGTCTACCCCTCTCCTCTTCGCCGAGCTCAGGGGCTGTTTGACTTTGCGGGAGCGTTTGCGGTGTAGATCTCGTCTTTGGGACGTCAAGCACCGGTTGCTCAGCGCCTACTTCCAGGTCGTTCATGGAATCCACGTTGGGAATAGTGGGTTTGGCGCCGACCAGGACCATCATGTTGGTCCAGCTGTCCCGCCAGCTCTTCCTGCGTGTCTTGGGCCCGTGCTCCTCATCGCCCGTTGTCATCCACCCCTGCTTTGCCAGCGGTGGAAGAACAGGTGGCTTCCATGGCACAACTCGGCCTCCGTTCTCTCTCACGCCTTCTTGGAGTGGGATGGCTCCGTCTCCCGTGTGGTCTTGGTTCGCGTGGAGGGTGAGCTCGCTTTCGGTCCGGAGGAATCGTCTCTTGGACAAGACGGTAGAGGAGTTGCTTGGACCATCTGGTCGAGCGGCTACGTCGGCCGCGTACACTTGAGTGGTCACCGGAGCACCGGACTTGCGGATTTGCCAGACGAGGAGATATCCCAGAGCCGCGAAGCATAGGATGCCGCCAACGAGGGCGATGGCCAGGATCCAGCCGAGGCCGATACCTGAATCACCATGTTCCCGGGGCGAGAGCATAATGACAACACACTGCCGTTCTGGCTGTTATTACTGATTGTGATATTATAACAAAGCGTCCCGAGGGACATATAAAGGAGGATTGAACAAATTGTGAGCGCGATGATGATCGCAGAGCGAATGACTGGACTTACCGTAACGAATGAGTGACTGACTGACCTGGAAAAGAAAGATTCAGAGAGGATATGAGAAGAACGAGCGCAGAGTGCGCTTTTGTTACGCCTGCGAGGTGGGTTGTGAGGCATCGTGGGGAGGTCTCATTTCAATGTTGCGTTGGAATGCCACCATCCCCAGCAACGCATTCCATACACCAAGATCCGTCAGAGGGCCTAGTACTTGGTAGACTGTTCGTGCGACGAATGAAAAGGCTGCAAAGCACCTGGAAAAGGATCGTCCCATAGCAACGGTGGATGAAGATGAGGCTGTTCTGGAGAGCCTGATCATCCTACTTTCATGCACATTTCACTCACAGCACTAGCCGAATGCGCTTGGAAGGTCATCAGTCATTGACAGTGAAGCATTCTGCATGTCCAACAGGACTCGAAAGGTATTTCCATCACTGAAGAGTACCCGATAGCGAAAACTGAGGAGGTAAAAAGATGGAACAGTAAGAACATGGTTGACCTTATATACGTATCTTCCCCCCTTTAAGAGCTTCCGGAGCCAGTCCAGGTACCCAAAAGATGACATCTAAAACATCCCTCAACAAGAACACATCCCAAACAGGGCCACGCTCTGCGAGCTGCGGCCTCTCCATTGTAACCGCTCATCTTAAAACTTGTGGTGGTGGCCGTGTCCGTGGACATGAGCCGCGCGCCGCTTGCGCTGGGCCTCGGCGGGCACCGGCTCAGCGGCTGGCGCTGCAGGAACAGGGTCGACCTCAGCGGCAGGCGGAGCCGAGGCCTCGGGGGCCGCTCCCTCGACGGTCACGGTTGTGGTGGAGTCGACCATTTCGGTGACCCAAACTATTTCCTCATCCCACAGGATCTTGGTGACCATGTTGCCAGAGGTGATGTATTGAGTGCTGTCGTAGACAGGCTCGGGTTCCACGGGGGCGGTCTCGGGAGCAGACGTGGTGGTGGGGATGGCCTCGGAGGATGTAGTGGTGGTGACGGGCTCGGGCTCGGGCTCGGGCTCGGCAGCGGCCATTACAACAGCGTCGTCGTCGCTGGTCGAAGAGGAGGCCGAAGAGGGGGCCGAAGAGGGGGCCGAAGAGGGGGCCGAAGAGGGGGCCGGGGCCACGCTGACCGCAGTTTCCTTGAAGACCTGACCAGGCAGAGGCGAGGCGGGATCCGCAGGGATTTCGCCAGGCTTGTAAGACGGAGACGGCGCGGGAGACTGCTCCGTGTCGTCGGTCTTGCCATCTTCATACGTGATCGGAACGTTGCCGGGAAGAGCGGACAAGCTCTCCAAGACCTTCTCCGACTGGAGGACAGAGGGCAGCTTGGGGACCTCGCAGGACTTGGCCTCGGTCTCGGAGACGACGTCGAAGATAGGGCAGTCCTCGATGCGGCCACTCTGATTGGTGCACGTGTCGACGGCATTCTGGAGGAAGTCGACATCCCAGCCCATGATGAAATCGCCGTGGTAGCCGTACCCAGTGGGGTCACCGTTGGAAATGACAAACATGCCGTTCCGATCTTCAAAGGCCTGCGTAGCCCAGATGGTCTCGAACAGGAGACCCGGGACGCTCACGGGGTGAGAGTCTGGGCAGGTCCCGGTTATGACAAGGTCCGGGTAGGCAACGTGGGACTTGTGGTCGTCACTCTGCGCATTCTCGCCGTCCCAGCACGAGGGGAACATGAGCTCAAGGCGGAGGCCATCTTTGCAGTTGGCGTTCATGTAGTCCTTGTCGGGCATGACGTGGCGGTACAGGGTGCCCTCGGGGTCCTTGTCGTAGTTCAGGCAGTTGAAGCCCAGAGCACGCTGCTCCAGGTCCGTCTGCGTGGTTTGGCCGAGCGCCGCCCATTCAGACTTGGCAGGGTCCTCGTTGGGGTCGCCGGCGGTGTAGGTGCGACGCTTGTTCTCGCCAGCGATCATGGAAAAGTCTTGGGGGAAGGCCTTGATATCCTTGCCGTTTAGAAGATAGTATGCCAGCATACCACCAACTTGCTCGACCATCTCGAACTCGCCGGTATCATCATCCTTGAAGTACATGGTAGGGGTCCAGTACGCCGACTTGTCTTGTGTGACACGGCATGATGTGCAGTCGCCCGCGACAAGAGAGGCAGTGTCGGACACCTCACCGAAGGCTAGGGAGGCGTTAGCGAGTTGTCCGAGACGGCTTCAACGACCAGCTCCATCGTTCGATCAGGGAAAGGGCTGCAACGTACCATTGGAGCCATGAACGGTGTGCAAGTGGCTGGAAATTTGGCCCGGGTCGACGATGGGATCAAGGCGAGCGAGAGTTACACGGCCGGGACACTCCATGCGCCAGAACGCCTGGGCAGTACCAACGAGGCCGGCAGAGGCCGCGATCAAAGACTTCCTGAGCATTGTTGCGGTAAAACGAAGCGCAAAAATATGAAAGTGATGCCAATGCGTCAGTGCTGAAAGCTACTGCCGTTGTGAGCACTGAAAAGAGCGGAGCGACGCAACCAGGCGGTCTGCAATAAGAAGATTGTCAGCGGGCTCGCTTTGACGACGAAGAGAGCAATGGTCTGCAGGCTGTTGGTGGTGATCTTTGAATATGAAGAGCCGACTCTGTCGCTGTTTCAGATAGACAATGGCACGGTTTATCAGACCGAGTCGAGCCAGCCGCTCAGCCGCGTCTCTTATCAAAAGGAACATCTGCGGTGACTGGAGGGTGAGATGAAGGTGACGCAGCGAGATGATGTATGCGTGCTCATGCCAGCCTCCGTGAGACTCGCCAACCTCGTGGCCAAGATCACGGCTCTTCTGCGACAGGCAGCGGCCTGTGCATAAGCCGATCATCATTGTTCACAAAGGCTGGGGTCCAAGTCTCGCAGTGGACCTCGGCCCAGACTGGTGCCTTTCTTCAAAACCATTGCCATGGTTCCAGATGCAACAGCGGGCTGTTGGTACGAAGGGATAAGAGTACGTAGGAAGCGCAATCCGACTTACCGAGTAAATACTGTTGCAGCTCAACAATTCGAAGCAGAGATTAAGCAAAGGATCAACCGACGTTGCAAAACCCCATAAGTCGAAGTCGAAAGACCCTGATTATAGACACGACGTGCCTTTATTTCGACGTCCTACTTGTTGATGGCGCAGCTCAGCCTTGTTGATAGCGAGCTGAGACCTGGAATTCCAGGGCGAGGTCGCGGTGCTCTTGGAACGAACGGATTGTGCTGATCTATTCTTGCTCGGCCCGTCGGGTTCTCTGACGCAATTCGAATTCCTGGAAAGGTTCTCCGCTATTGTTCTCTGAAAGGTTGCGAGTCGAGCGGCGATACAATGGGGTGGTTGTTCTACACGAGGAGATGCGACGATGAGTGGCCGACAGGCGCTGTCTTTGAATGCTGAATGGGTAGTCAAGGGCGCCGAATACTAGCGAAGGAAAGCGATAGTTGAGTCAAGCGAGTGGTTCGAGTTGGTTGTTTGGTTTAAGAGAGTGACGATGCTCCAAGGAAACCTGTCGCGAGCGAGAGTTGTTGGAGTCTGGGCCAAGGTGTGCAAGGACAAAGCGACTGATGAAGCTTGGCACCTCGAGTAAGAAGACGAGAGGAGGCAGGACGAGAGGTTTCAAAATGTGCGGGTGTCGTGGAAGCACATCACTTGGAATGGTAGCAACGCTCTGAGACCTTCCAGGGTCGAGTGTCACCGAGGGCGGCGGCAGCAAGCTACACCACTTGGCACTGGGACGTCAAACGCCCCGAGTTCCAATGAGGATCTCCTATTGCCTCAGCATTGCCATCATTTCCACTGAGTATTGTGACCCCATTGATGAGCCTGAATGGGCACGTCCTTGTCTAGCGTGGCTTGACCCCGGCTTGGCTCGAGCCAAGATGATGATTAGTCGTCTGTATGTATGATAATGTACCCATAATGGTTGTGATGCTTGGAGCTGGAGCCAGTAAATGGGGTCCAGTCCGTGAGGTCGGAAAGGGGGATCTTCCACCGCGTTGCAGGGTTGAGGGTTGTTGAGGCAGATGTGAGTGGACACTGCAGGACGCAGGTCTCGGCAGGGGCTGCCAGCATTCATCGCATTACAGACACCCAGCGTAGCGCACGTGAGAAATGGTATTCTCGCAGGTCCGCCATGCAGAACGCCACTGGAATTCACTAGCGATACATTGCGCGCAAACGCCGTATCTCCATGAGCTGGGCCAACATTCCCAGAGGGCTGATACCGAACAGCCGACGGCGGCGCCTACTGCGACGAATGGTATGGTTATGTTCATGTCCTTCATCTTGGCAAGTCTGGCGACTCTAATGGTCTGACCCCCTGGCGATCCCTGGACCTGGGCTCGACGAGTCGACGTCGTCGTGGCATGACGTCGCCCCAATTTCCAATGTGGGCTGGTTATATGTCAATAGGGCTAGTCCACAATACCGATCTACAGCTCATCGTGGAACGCGGAGGACACAAGTACCGGCTCGCGATTCTTGCGCATTTGCCGCATTCTTGCTTGCTGCGTCCAGAAGGCGAAAGGCAAAAGGTCGTGGCAATGGGCACGAGAGGGGAAAGTACATGTACCTCAGCCACCCGAAATTACCCCTGCGCCAAGAATCCGGGTGCCTGGCAGTAGTACGTACCCTCTTGAGCAGTGATGTTTGCCAGCCACTAGGCGTCGAGACCCCAGTCGTCCTCATCCGGAGCGCTCCCACCACCCGACTCGCTGGCAGCGTACTTGTACTGAACGCATGCGCATGAACAGCGGATCGCCTGAAAGCTGACTATCGTTTCGGAGGTGAAAGACATCGACAACGTTTCGACAAGGCCATGAGGTGTGGTCAAGCCGGCACAGCTTAGTGAGTTGACGCGCTACTCATACGTACTTGCAATGGCGGCACCTCACATCCGAAGCGAGCCGCTGTCGTGTATCCCAATCAACGACAATATCACGTAGCGCAACAGTCACAGCGCCCAAGAGACTCCAGCAAGTTCACCCCCTGAGCTGCCAAAGCACGGGTGATCGATCGTTCATAGCTTCCCTTCGCGGCATGCTGAGCCGGGCAACAACTCTGATTTGCGCCCAGAACCTCAGACGACTGGTGGTTTCAGGGCGCTGTACTTGGTAGCGCACCTCTATGTGGCGAAGTCTTACATCTCACAATGGCAATGACGGGCCGAGACGGCAATGGATCCTTTTTTCCCCTCGAGTCTGGTGCCTGACTATCCTTTCCGCAAGGTGAGTAGACGGCTCGTCGGCAGATTCGGCACCACTGCGCCGGTCGATTGACAGACAATTGTGCAAAAGCCTACGTACTCGTGAATGATTGCATACAGGGTAGGTAGTATACTTATCGGATTGAAATTCGCAGCGGTGATCACATTGCAAGCTGTCGAATGCCGAGGAGGCATGTGTCGAAGGTACTTTAAGTTGCCACTGAAGCCCCCTTGATGATTACCACCGACTGACTTCAAAGGGACACATATTCTACCCTTACAATAGTATAAAAATATGAGACTCACTTTCTTAATGATTTTCCCAACCAATTATATGAAGAGCACGGATTAATTTGAAAAGCTTTGGGCTTGTGACACAATGAACCGCACCCTAGGGTAGGTCACCCAGGCATAGTTCCAGATCACCCGTGGACGGTGAACGCAGCGAGAACCATTCAGGAGCAACTGAAATTCGGTAATCTTGATTATGAAGGTTTGGACATACAGTGCTTATAATTTGAATCAGTCTTTCTCGATTTAGCCTAGAGCCTCGAAACAGAGTACGCGAGGCATCACGTGCTTATTGTAGTCTTGCACAAGGTGTCTGACCGCTTGTCAAGCCACCACAGCCACACCCCACGCACCCTTGCCGACGAAAGCGCCACGACATGGCAATCGTCAGCTACCAGCGACCGAACCGCCGAACTACCACGCCCCCCGACTTAGCCTCAGCAACGCCATGGTACGGGCCAAGTCAGAAACAGCTCTCACACTCATTTAGCGATGGAAGATCTTTCCGGGCTTGACTGGTCATCCCAGTCCAACGGCGGCGGCCCCTCCAAAAAGCCGCCCATGAATCCAATGTCTTACGCCTCCTTCTCGACACTACAGCCGACACCATCACCACAAGGGTCCGGTCGCAGCACACCACAGACGCAGGGAAGCTTTGGTACCGCGACGAAGCCGCCGCCCGCGAAACCGGCCCAGGACAGCTTCAGCAACCTGATGAAGTTTGGCCCTGCCAAGTCAAACCAGAACCTGTCACTCGCCGAACGACAAGCGCAACTCGAGGCCGAGAAGAGGAAGAAGCTGGAGGAACAGAAGAAGCTACAAGAGGCGCAGTTTGGAAATGGACAGTTTTGGGACAGTCTTGGATCCAGGGGCGCGACACCGAGCTATGCGTTGCGGTCACCACCGTCTTCATCGATCGGCAAAGCGAACGAAGACGACGACCTTTTTGCGGCTTTCAACAAGGACACCAAGGTGGACAATGCCAGCCACTTCCCGCCGCCCGATTCTCAAAGGTCGACGCCGGCACAAGCGGCCCCCTTAGACCTGAGCAACCCTAGTGCGTGGGGATCGCAGCCCGCGAACGGGGGCTCGATGGCTGTGGAGGACGATGACCCGTTCGAACTGAGCGCCATGAAACAAGGGTCACCCGCACCCACACAGACCCAGTCATTGAACGACAGTGACGATTTCCTGGGCGATTTGGCAAGGCCGGTGGAGGAGATTCGGAAGCAACAGGCAGCGTCGCAGCCTCGCCCTCAGCCCGGCAAGCCCATCGACGGCGATCCCAGCTCATCGGATGAAGACCTGGCACCACCAGTGCGACAGCGCCCGGAGAGAAGACCGACTCCACGCCAAATTGAGCCTCAAGGGGACGAGTTCGACTCGGCCGTCGCTCAGCTCGTCGATTATGGGTTCGCCCCAGACGACGCGCGTCGTGGGCTGACCGAGAGCGGCGCCGGGCTTGATGTCCAAGCAGCTGCAAATTGGCTTCTCGACGACGCGCACCGCAAATCCAACGCCAAGGCCAAAGGGCGAAGCCCTTCGGCAGGCCCAGGCGACCCTCGCCAACCTGAGCGGAGAACCAACAGCAGGTCACCCGCGGCGGCTGGAGAAGGGGACGCCGATTTCGCAAAGACAGCCGCGGCCATGGGCAATACTCTTTTCAAAACAGCGGGATCCTTGTGGAAGACCAGCCAGAAGAAGGTGCAGCAGGCAATGACCGATTTTCAACAGGATGGTAGTGGCAGCGATCCCAACCAGCCCAAGTGGATGAGGGATGCCCATCAAGCTCAGAGGCAAGACGCGGGCAGAGCCTCTGCGAATGCGACGGACGAAGCCATGGCTTTGGAATCGGGGAGTCGACCTCAGCCAGCAAGGAGCCATAGCCGCCCGGCCTCCGAGCGTCAACCAAGCGCCAACGGGCAGAGCCAGGACCCTAGGCAGCCGTCATCGACTCGTGTCAGCCCTGTAACTAGGTGGCAGCAGCAATTGGCACCGCCCGCGAGCTTTGACGCAAAGGCAAAATTGAAGCGCCTCGAAGCAGACGATGATATCTCTACCTACCGCAGCCCCAGTCGCAGGCCACGACCTCAGCCAGCGCCAGCTACCAAGCAGACCCGTCCCGAGCCGGACCTGCTGTTTGGCGAGAACGCACAGCAACCCAGGCAGTCCATCCCTCACAGGCCAGCACAGCAGTCTGCGCCGCCAGCGGCTAGGCGGACACCGCCAAAGCCGGCGTCCCCTGCCCCGCCGAGGCCAACACGCCAAATACCACCCATCTCACCGGACGCTTTGCAGAAGTCAACACGATCCAGGATAGAGGGCACGGCACACTTCAAAAGAGGCGACTTTGCGGCGGCTCATGCGTCCTACTCATCGGCGCTGAACGCGGTCCCATCGTCACACCCGCTTGCCATCTTGCTGTTGGCCAATCGTGCGCTGACTGCGCTCAAGACCGGCGAACCGAAGCAAGCGGTTGAGGATGCCGAGCAAGCTATTATGCTGATTGGCCCTGGGGCTGGTCAAGGGGAGACAGTCAGCGTTCAGACCGAGTCTGGAGCGGCGGAGACTCGGGATATGCGAGACCTGTACGGGAAGTCCCTGAGCCGCAAGGCGGAAGCGCTGGAGCAGATGGAAAGGTGGAACGACGCCCTGGCAGTGTGGCGCGTAACCGTCGAAGCTGGGCTAGGCGGCGCCAACGCTCTCAAGGGCCGACAGCGATGTCAAGCAGCCATCGCGCCAAAGCCGAAACCTGTCGCCAAGCCACGACCTAAACCATCAGCGGTTGAGGGTCTCGCGCCGGCGAAAAGCTCAGAAGCTGTCATCAAGATGCGCGAGGCAAACGAGGCGGCCGCCAAGGAGGACGACGAGAAGTTTGCCTTGTCCGAGGCCGTCGACGCCAAGATCTCTAGCTGGCGCGATGGCAAGAGGGACAACCTGCGCGCGCTGCTGGGTAGCCTAGACAATGTGCTGTGGGAGGGCAGCGGCTGGAAGAAGGTGGGTATGCACGAGCTGGTGATGGCGAACAAGGTCAAGATTGCCTACATGAAGGCGATCGCCAAGACCCACCCAGACAAGGTGTGTAACTCCTCTTGACGTGTTGAACACAGCTAACCAGGAAAGCTGCCCCAAGACGCCAGTACCGAGATTCGCTTGATTGCAAGTTTGGTCTTCAGCACCCTCAACGAGAGCTGGGACAAGTTCAAAGCCGAGAACGGACTTTGAAGAACAAGGCAATGATCAACGATGATGAAGATATTTACTCAGGCATAGAGCGATTCGTAGAGCATGATGAGGAATTCCACTTTAGGGCTGGCACACCTAGATAACGACAGCTATTTTATAATCACACGCTTGCTTCTCACATGTATGTAAATCCGTAACGCCTAACCTCGGTTATATACGGTCTATATCACAACCCAAGCATCTTGAGCACGCTGTCGCGCACTTTCCGTTCGTACTCGTCCCGGTGGTCGCGCCACATCTTGGCCGCCTCTACGTTGGCGGGGCTCTCGTCGTTGGGCTCGGCGAGCATGCTCATGACGCTGATGAGGATCTTCTCGACGGACTGGATTGGCGACCAGCACTCGGCGGCGAGCTCGTAGTGATTCGGGTCGTCGCCGGGCGGGTGGAGGATGGAGATGCATACGAGGCCACTGGGGTACACTGCGATTCTCCTGTTAGCCATCTATGTATGTACACACGTAAGTCGCCTGCACGCGCGCGCGCGCGCGAGAGAGGACACACCATTCGGATGCCATAGGTCCACCAGGAACTTCATGGAAGGCGGCGCGAGCGGATAGTCCTTGGGGAACTTGAGCTCAGCGGGGAAGACACCGCCCTCAAAGGGCGTGTCTTCGGGACCCTGAATCAGGCATTCCCAGTGGAGGATGTCGTCTTCGGAGACGGGACCAGCGGTGATGCCTTCTGGTGGGTTGTTTGTGAGCGCGCGGTATTCCTGCAGGAGGCGGCGCTGTGCGGTTGATTGCGCCATGCTGCGGTGAAATGGGTGTCGTGATTGGGATTGTTGAGGGACAGTGGATGATGGCGGCGGCGATGGTGGTTGCCCAATTTTACCCCACCATGGCCCGACTTGGTACATACGAGTCAATACCAGGTACCTACATGTATACAAGTACTGGCCGCACCAAAAAGGGCGAAAACTTGTTGCCAAGGCTAACACAGTCACGGATATACGTATGCGTCGGCGGGACTACTTTGCTTGAACTTGGGAAGATTCCTAGTCGTGATGTTTTCTTCAAGAAAGGGAAAGCCTCAGGCGGCCCGGAACTATTCAGAGGAACAACTAAGAGGTGAAAAGTGTAGGGAGGAGGCTTAAACAGACTCACACTATCGGATATGCATGAACAGCAGCCACGAACAAAAAGATTAGGTCAATTATTTTTGCTAAGTGAGGGTGAATGCTTCCAAAAGAAAACGGAAACAAAAAACCGACGTGGGCCTGATTCGAACAGACGCTCCCGAAGGAACAAGATTTCTAGTCTTGCGCATTAGACCACTCTGCCACCACGCCTAGGCTTTGGATGACTAACTTTTTGCTATTACTTTATATGTAGCATAAACTTTAACGGTACATATTATCTCAAAACCGTGGGCCCCTGGCGTTTGGTGGTGAATGACGAAAAGAAAACCAGCGAATCTCTCATAGACGTATATGTTACGTGGAGACAGGTCCTTTTCACACAGACGGATCATGGCAACTTCACAGGCGAGACGCAGAAAGGAAGGTCTCACTACAATAGTCAGAACCACACAGGACCTAGAGGCTGCCCTGCTAAGCCTCAGGTCTTTGGGGTTCTGCGGCCATGTCCATCTATTCGTGACTCCGTCACGTAGCATGCTCTTACGGTAGCTGAACATTTATTCAGTCTGATCGGGCTAAAAGCAGCAGGGCTCCAGGACGCATCGAGTTGGGAATGGTCTTGGTAAAATCTACCTTGGTGATGGTGCACTGGCAATGAACGACTCGACTGAGGTGGTGGTGGGGGCTGCAGGATCAGCGTTCGCCGGTGTCGTCGAGGGACCCTGACGGACGTAATGTGGGGTCCAGTCCCGGTTGCTGAGCGTCAATCCGGGGACAACAACAGGAGTTCGACTGGCACCGAAAGACATTAGTGATTGCCAAATTTGATGAGTATCTGTAGCTAAAATAGTAGAATAAATACTATTAAGTATTGGCTTTCTCATTCGACCAAGTATTGAAGCCCACCCTGCCGCTACGCTACATGGACGATACATGTAGCCTACAAGACAGAGCAGACTAGCTTCACGTCGAACATGGTGATAGCATGATATGTGCTCTGCTGGGAGAGAATTGCTTCGACTTGGTGAGTGCGCACAACCGAAATTCTTTTTGTTCATCTTGCTTGGTCACGTTATTTCGCTCAAGTCTGCTTTATGGTTTCTCCCCCTGAGGTCATGACAGGCAAAGGTCGATTAGATTTTAGGAGTCTAGGACAACGGCACTGCTCATGGAGCAACGTAGACGCCAGTCAACAAGGAGATATTTACAGAGTAGCAAACATATTGACATATTCAAAGCTATGGCTCTGGCCTTCCAACCACCTATGTGCGTCAAAGGCAAGGTCCACGCACGATTTGGCTACACGCATTCCCTATCCACCTCTTCACCTTGTGTCTGCTTTTGGATTGCAAAGACTCCCAGCAATGATCGCACCTGTAGATTGCACTGCGTCTTTCATTAACGGCCTCTTCGCCAAGTTTATTCCAAAATATGCCTACTCCAGCTCGATGTGGCCGTCTGATGCTGTGCCTCCTCCATCTTGACTCCAAACTCCATCCGCGCCGCTTCACAAACCGCCCTTTGCCTTCAAGTCCTCGTGCGCTCGCTTTTGCTTGTCCCAGGCCTTCTTCAACTGCTTCTGCTGACTCTTCGGTACGTCGCTGCCGTCCTTCATCTTGGTCGGCAAGCCCTGCTCGTCCCAGGCACCATACCTCTCATCGTTCTTGAACAACTTCTCGGGAGGGACCTTGGCCTTCTCGCGGGCTTCCTGCTGCTGCTTCTCCAAAGCAAGACGTGCCTCCTCCTTCTTCTTGGCCTTCTCGGCCGCTTGGGCAGCCTTGTCCTCACGAGCGGCGATGAGCTCGGCAGCAGGTATGAACTTGATGAGGGACGGCTGGTTGTCCGGGCGATCGTCGAGATACACGCCAAGGTTCGTGAGGTCCTGGTCGCGAATGCGGTCCGTGAGTGCCAGGAGAGACTTTTTGGTCTCTGCTGTTTGCGATGACACCACACGACGAAGCTCGTCACGGATACGGGACGCGGACCGGAGATAGGGCAGCGCCAGCTTCTCCAGATCACGCGACCCTGCGTTAACCAATGCCTCGAACTCGGCAAGCGGATCGCTCGAAAGGAGTCCGGCAATGCCCTCGCTGCCTGTCACGGACAAGGCCTCGACATCGGCCCTGATGCGGGTCAAGGCCTCAGAGTAGGGAGCGATCGCTGATTTGGGGTCAATGTCGGCTGATAGCTGGGACGCCCAGCCAATTCCATTGTACGGTGGTTCAGCACGCGCGTCAAGTCCAAAGATTCCAACAATCTTGGTGATCCATCGCGCAATAGCCTCTACCTCTGCCAGGTTCACGTCCTTGTTGTCCTTGATGTAGATGTTTGTAGCGGTGACCAACTTGAGAATGATCAGCATGGCCTTGGGGGTATCGAATGAGTTCAAGAGCGCCGCGTGGAGGTCAGCCTTGGCCTGTTCTAGCTCAGCAAGAAGGCCCTCTTTGGGCTTCTCCCCATCCAGCGACAGGGCCTTGATGCCCCCTTCGGCATCGGCCTCTGCCAACCAAGACTTGGTGTTGACGAAGAAATTCTAGGATTGTCAGCATCGACCACTGCACTGTGGCTTTCTCCAACTCACATTCACTGTGGTCTCCCAATTGTCGGCTTGCAACCGCATGTCGGGTGAAATCTCCACTCCATCATTCCATTTGCCCATTAAAAAGACAATGCGCATGCTGCGTGCTGTGTACGAAGTCTGCAGCGCGTCCTGAATCGTCTGAAAGTTCTTGAGAGACTTGGACATTTTTGAGCCAGAGATGGACAAGTGGCCCATGTGCAAAAAGTAGTTGACCCAAGTGTGCTCACCCTTGCTATGGTCGCAGAAGTACGCCTCACTCTGGGCCAGCTCATTGTCGTGGTGCGGGAATGCCAGATCAATGCCGCCAGAGTGAATGTCCATCTTGGAGCCGAGGACATCCGAGGCCATGACGGAGCACTCAATATGCCATCCAGGACGACCATCACCCCACGGACTGGGCCAGTATGGCTCGCCAGCTTTCGACTTCTTCCACAGCGCAAAGTCCCCCGCGCCCTTTTTCACACCCAGATTCTTAGAGAGGGAGCCCTCGCCTTCAGCTTGCAGCGACTCGTCATTCCTGACATCGGGGCGCAATCGTGCATATGTGTTACCACCCTTCTCAAATGCGCCAATGTCGAAGTACACGGAGCCATCGACCTCGTACGCAAACCCTTTGGACACAATCTTCTCCACAAAATCGACAATCTGGGGAACGTATTCTGTGACACGTGTGATGACGCTCGGACGCAGTACGTTGAGCGCGTCCATATCCTCGTGGAAAAGATCCTCCATGCTGCGTGTAAGATCCGTAAACATAGTCTGGTCTGCTGTATCAATTGTCTCCTTGTATAACGAGTCCAGATAGGGGAGCAGAATCTCGTCTGTGCCAGGGAAGATCTTCTTGTTCTTCATGGCCACCGAGGCAGCATCCATGTTGCCAATGTGCATCTTCACCTTGGCCTCGTCATCGCCCGGCTTCCCGTCGCCGGAGAGAGCTGCGCCGGCCAGCACCTTCCCATAGCCACCATCTCGCCTCTCATTATAGTTCGACTCTGTGAGCTCTTCGCCCTCCTTAACGAGCAGTGGCAGATTGCTCTTGGCGTACGCCTGGAAAGCAGCGAGAGCCAGCTTCTGAAGCTCCTCCTGGGAGTACTGCTTCTTCTTCTCCAGCTCGAGCAACCGTTGTCGTCTCGCCTTGATGATGATCTTGTCGTCAATGTCTGTAATGTTCATGACAAAGTTGACATCGTAGGTGAAGTAGTGCATCAGGATGCGCCTGATGATGTCGGTGGACACATAGTTGCGCGCGTGGCCCAGATGGCTCTTGTCGTAGACGGTCGGTCCGCAACCATACCAGGAGACTTTTCCCTTTTCAATCGGTTCGAAGGGGACGGGATTCCCAGGCTGGAGGGAGTTGACGAGCTTGAGGGACTCCGTGGTCATTGTAGACGGTAGTGTAGCGTGGCCTCGGGAAGCGAAGGGAGCGGCTGTTCGAGGGAGAGGAAAAGCTCGAGGACGCGCCACGGAGCAGACAGACTTGACAGAGAAAAAAGGACGAAGAGAAGAGTTGTACGATCGAAGAAGAGAAGGAGAAAGCAAGGGAGAGATGCGAAAGGGAGGGGCCATGCAGGTGGAGGTTGCGATGTAATCCGATTGAGTCACTGCTATTGAGCAGAGGAAGAAGCAGCGGCAGGTCATTGAGCTAAGTGCCTTCTCAGGCGGAGGACAGGCCTGCTATGGCGGGTGCCCCTCACTAACGCGATTAGGCTGTCAGTGGGTCATTGTGCATGCTGGACTCGGAGCCGACTCCCATGTCGACTTTTTCTCGTTTGTACCTAGAATGAAGCCTGCCTCGACACCAACATCACGAGACTCAGAATAAGCCATTGGGCACGTCCGACGCGCACCGACATCGAAATGGCTAGCAGCTCGCCGTTCCTGAACCCGAGCGCTCGCTCTCGGCCGGGAGACCTTGCCATTGTCCTGCTCGCGCGCGACAGCTATCAGCCGATCACTCTCGAGCAGTCGACAGGTGTAGTGGACGGTTATGTCGAGGGGAAAGTCTTGAACACGCGTTTTGGCTCATTCCCGCACTCGACGTTTCTGGATGTGCCTTGGGGTTCCCAGATCCGAGCGTCGCATGTCGACACAGGCTCGAGGGGACGCAAGCGCAAGCTGGAAGCGAGCGGCGAGGATACCTCAATACCAGGGGCAGATGATGAGACCAAAGACTCGGAGGCTGGAAATCAACTCACGCGAAAGGCTGCGAGCGCACCGAGCGGCTTTGTACACATTCTCAAACCATCACCAGAGCTGTGGACGAGCGCCTTGCCACATCGAACGCAAGTCGTCTACACGCCCGACTACAGCTACATATTATCGAGGATACGAGCGCGACCCGGCACGAGGATTATCGAGGCAGGTGCCGGCAGTGGCAGTTTCACCCACGCTTCGGTGCGAGCTGTGTACAATGGACTACCACAGAAGCCGGAGGACAAGAAAGGAAAGGTTTTCAGCTTTGAGTTCAACGAGGACCGGTACCACAAGATGCAGGACGAAATTTTTGAGCACAAGCTAGCCGACATGGTGCATCTGACGCATCGCGATGTCTACGGAGAGGGTTTCTTGGTCGAGGGCAAGTCGCCTGAGGCCACTGCCATCTTTCTAGATCTTCCTGCGCCCTGGAAAGCTCTGAAGCATATCTCGAGACGGCGGCCGCAAAAAGACGGAGAGACGCCAAAGCCCGATAACGGCGACTGGATATCGCCTTTGGATCCTAAAAAGAGTGTGCATATTTGCACATTCTCTCCCTGCATCGAGCAGGTTATGCGGACGGTGACGGAGCTACGAAGGCTGGGCTGGGTCGATGTGGACATGGTCGAAGTGGCACACAAGCGAATCAACGTTCTCCGCGAAAAGGTTGGGCTGAACCTGCCGAACAAGAAAGGCTGCAACCTGACGCCGGCCAATGTCATGGAATCCATCGACAGGCTCAAGGTGATCAACGAGAAGACAAAGGATTTCAACAACGCTCAGAAAGAGAAGGACGGCGACGCCATGGCAGTGGATCCCAGTGACAGCGGCAAGGCGAACGGCAGGGAGGAAGAGGACGAAAAGCCGTGGGCGCAGGGCAGGGTCGTCCACCGCCCTGAGGGGGAGCTGAAGACACATACATCGTACCTGGTGTTTGCCGTCCTGCCTCGCGAGTGGAGCGAGGAGGACGAGGCCGCCGCCTCGGCCAAGTGGCCTTGCGGAAAGGAGACCAAGACGATAGGCTCTGTCGACAAAGCTGCACGGAAGCAGGCCAAGCGGGAATTGCACCATATGTACGAGATGGAGAAGGGGCGGAAGCGGCAGAAACGATCAGCGGGGGAGAAGCAGGCGATTGGCGAAGTGACACAGACTTCGACGTAAATAGTAGCCGTAGAAGCTGTATGATACCCAGTTTGATTGTCTGTTAAGATGACGATAAATCACGTAACCAGGGCCCTACGGGAGGTGCTTCGGAAAGTCCATTGCAAGAAGTGCAATAGTTTAGCTCCCCAAAGAATCAATGACAAGCAAAAAACAACGAAAAAAGAGAATAAATTCGATACTAGATAATTGTCGGACATCCCAAACTCTGGCATCTGGATGACTGATCCTTATGTAGGGTAGGTAATATATGGAAGACTAGACTGGAAAATCTTTGATCCCGTCGATCGCGAAGTAGAGCTCCAAGCACACCTCATTCCGCCGCGACAAATTTCCCGTGAGAGCTCACCAGACATCAACCGCGCGGCCGAGATTACCTGCACCATGACGTCCACAATTGGCATCCCGATCAAACTGTTGAACGAGGCTGAGGTAGGTCGACTCAGACATTGCGCACTGAGAATCCAGCTGACCACGGAACAACAGGGCCATATCGTGACCCTCGAGATCACCTCTGGCACAACCTACCGCGGCAAGCTCCTCGAAGGTACGTCGCGCACAGGCCTCTCCAGACCCAGAGAACAAAGGTGATTAACACGCGTCGCAGCTGAGGACAACATGAACGTCCAGCTCAAGGACATCACCGTCACCGCCCGCGACGGTCGTGTCTCGCATCTCGACCAGGTCTACATCCGCGGCTCGCACGTCCGCTTCTTCATCGTCCCCGACATGCTCCGCAACGCACCCATGTTCCGCAGCCGCAACGTCCGGGGGAGAGGTGTCGGTCTCGCGAGGGGACGCGCGACAGTCAGCAGGGCACGCGCCGGCGGCCGGGGGCGGTAAAACAATGCATCATCGTCACCGGAATGGGGGTGGTGCTGGGGACATTTGCGTTCGGCGTTTGGGATTGGTTCTCCTTTGTTCTGAATATGGCTGGCCTGCTATGCCAGAGTTACTTTACACCTCAGAAAAGGGGCCCGTGACACGACTTTGCGACTAGGAAATGCACAAAGAAAGGGCAGCATGTGTTGATGCTGGCTACATGTCTACAATTGATGTACACTTTGTTGGTATATGCACAGAGCGTTTACTTCAGGCGCCCCAGCGCGTCCTCGGCTTGCTCGACCAATTTCCTGGCCTTCTCCAGCGTCGCCGCCTGGCGGGCATCATCGGCACTTGACTTGGTCCCGTCGAGCACCTCGCCAACGCTCTCCTCTGCGCCTCGGACAGCCTTGCGGCCTTCTTCCCGGACCTCGCCTTCCCAAAAGCCGCGCGCGGTCTCCCACTTTTTCTGCATGCGCCCAAGGCCGTACACAATGCCTAGCGCGGCCACCGCCCCGGCCTCGTAGAGTGAGGAAGCAAAGCTTGACACGTAGAGCAGCGCGGCGAGTGATGTGGCGATAGACGATGTCCCCAGTGATTGCATGACGAGCCTCTGTGCCAAGGCCTGCAGAGCCGGGATGGTCTCGTTCTGGAGGTACCTCCTGGTGAAGGCAATGTGACCCGGCCACTTTGGCAAGACTGGTGTAATCTCAGCCACCTCACCGGACCCGAGCTTGGTGGTGACCAGTTTCTTGTCCGCGTCCTTGGAGCTTGCCGGCTGCGTGTAGGAGGGCTGGCTGCTGTGGGCGCCGGCGATACGGCCGGTCAGGTAGACAAGATCCTGCTCGGCGGTGGGGAGAAATCTGGAGCTCAACATCTCATTCGTGAGCATGGCCACGTCGTCCACCCTCCAGAAGAGTTTCCACCAACCGAGCTTGCGCCATCGCTTCCCCGTGAATGCGCGGTCGAGCTCCTCCTGCAGCTCTGTGTGCGCGCTCTGTGCCCACTGTGCCACGGCCCCCTTCATCTCGGCCGTTTCTGGCGACACAATGCCACCAGACTTGGCCCCCAGGAAGATCAGTAGCTCCTGTCCCTCAATCTCTGCCTTGGTGTACTGAAGATGCGATGCGATGGACTGGCGGACGATGGGTTTGGTAGCCTCTTCTGTGGTGGCCAGACCCTCCTTCAGCCACTCGACGAGAGTGGGCATTCCACTGGCGTACCATTGCCTCTCGTACTCGATTCCGTGTTGCGGACCACGCCGGAAGAGAGACACAGCCTTCTCCGCCCTGGCTACATCTATCACTTGGTAGCCATCGCCCTTGATCTTGTCGGAAAGCCCCTCGAAGTCTGTAGCTTTATGAACAAAGCCCTGATCCTCGCGCGGAATCGATGACAAGCTGACGGCGCCCGGGAGCCCACTGCCAACAAGTAGGGCCTTGTGAACAGGCGCGCTTATGGGGGCGACATGATGTTCGACAGACACTGCCAGTTGCGGGCTTAGAATGGCCTCTGCTGTGGCTGGTTTGTCGTGCTGGAACAGGTCCGCCGCGGTGCTGCTGGCTAGGAGCAGCTCGAGGTTGAGTCCGTTGAATGCAGGCGAGGAGATCATCAGTTCAGATGTCTGGGTGCCTTGCGAGAATGCGACTTGCGTCTCGCCCGCGTGATGTGGTTGAATGCGGACAATGAGCGGCGCAATCGGGTCATGGCTGTCGAGCTGCCTCTCCCATTCCTGCTCATCGACCAGAGGATCGACTATAAGAACGCGCAAAAGCTTCTTTGCGACGGAACCGGCACTGCCGCCCCGGCCACTCTCCAGTCCTAGTATGGCGACGCGGACAGCTTCCTGGCCTGCTTGTTGGCGCAGGTTCTGTAGCACGAGGGCTAGGCGTGGGTTGTCAATCGTTTCGAAGAGATGAGCATTGAGCTGGGGTAGAAGTTCAAGGAGCTCGGCGCGCGGATCATGCGATGCAGCAGACGTCGTATACAGCCGTCGCGAAGCAAATGGCACTTGTCGGGGAGCGTTCGGTGGATGGGCTGTCGCGAAGGAGCATCGCAGGCAGGACGAAGGGTTGACAGTTCGACCTTTGCTGGCTGCCCGGCGCCACTGCTTGGCCTGCGACAGGAGCTGTCGTTTCGCCGACATGGGACAGGCTTCTGTGCTGTTGCGGTGCAGCTTTTCGAGCTTACCTACGTACTTGGAGGGTGGATGTTTAGTGGTTGAAGCTGCAGCGCGCGACCAGGATCCTCGCAGCGCGGAAAAAGCCGCTCCATTGTCACTGACGCGGAATGCTGCGCGTACATCACAAATATCAATCTTGCTTTCACTCGCATGTTACTTCCCTACAAGTATTCATGACGAGATTCATGTACAAAGTATATTGCAGCCTCGCATCGCCTACTTTCTGCTACTACTGAGTTCCTGATTCTTACCATGGCCCATTGTGTTCCGCGCCTTGGAAGCAGAGGTTGAGTGCTTCGTCTCTTGCAACCAAGATCACCTCGGCTGCCTCCAAGCGAAGTATCTGGCCACCGAAGGATATAACACTTGCGAAGTAGCAGCTGGCGCGCGCTGTGGCTACTTGCGTGGCTGCGCTCAAAGCAGCTCTCTATTGATGCGTTCGACCGTTAGGTTGGACCTGGACATGGCGCTTACGACAGACAACATCTCGCCCACAGCCAGCACGCTTTTCGAAAAGAAGCTGGCAAGCCTGCAGAGCATCTGACTGCAGGCGAAATTGATCTGCTGCTCTATGATACTGCATCCGTGGCATGCAGAGGATCATCAGTTGTCTGTGTTTTGACATCTGGATGATATCCCAGCCCCTGGACTACCTCCGGGCATTAAGCTCGTACAAATCCGATCCAGGGCCACTGGCGCAGAGCTATGGCTCAAGCCACCTGTGCAATGTTCAAACTTGAAGAATCCCATAGTCTACCAGTGCCCTTTGCCGCTCGCACGGCACCATGGTGCATGGCGTGCAGACAGTGTGCTGGGGACCCGCAGACCCTTCCGTCCATGTTCAACGTTCACATGCAGTCGAAGCGCCTCTAAAACGCGAAGTTTAATTCCTAGTACAGACGGCAAGCTCCACCAAATCTCGTCGACCACGCGAGGATCGCGTCTTTGCGGGCTCATCAGCGCACTTCGGACAGCTCGCACATGCCAAGACGTCCGAGTACCGACTCCGGGTCCCACCACGGCCGGGAGCGACATTAGAGAACTCGGCCGGCCCGCTCTCCTGTTGACAACTGACCAATGGACAAGTCGAAGCGCCATGTCTGATATCGCTACCGAGGATCTTGTGGGCTCATATTGGCAACATGTTCTCTTTTGGATAAAAAGCCATCGCTGCAGTCCCGAGCACGATGAATCATGACTCTGCTTCCAGGAGCTGGAGAGCGGAATGGCGTTGTCGTGGAGAGCTGAGTGGCTGTGGCATCCCGGACGGGGCAAGATTCACAAGAATAGGAGTATGGGGTTCGCTTAACCAGTTCACGCCTGTTTGGGGCCTGGGCGGCATCTAGCAGGTAATATAACACCAAGTTGCGCCCCCAGACCTGGTCCACGTCACGGACATGTTCTTTTAGGAACACATCGTTTATACAATTCCTCTACCATGAGTGACCCTTCCTCAACAGGGAGCAGCCGTACGTCCATCATTCGGACACGTACGTACAAGCACGCTGACCAAGACACAGGCCCCATTGACGGCTACATTGACCCAAACTTCCCCAACCCCAACGGCGAGTGGGACACGCCCGTCATCATCTACGGCTATACGCCCGCCTTCAGCCTCTCCCTCTTCGCTGTCATCTGGTTCTTCCTCTTCCTCATCGTGCACGCCGCGCAGGTCGGCATCTACCGCTGCTGGTGGTTCGTCACCTTTCCCGTCGGCCTCGTCTTCGAGGTGGTCGGCTACATCGCCCGCAGCTTGAGCGCCAAGAAGAATCCGTACAACCTGTTGTACTTTATTCTCAACTACTTCTTCATCGTCACGGCGCCCGTCTTTCTCGCCGCTGGCATCTACACCATCCTGTCCGCGCTCATCCCGCGACTCGGACGGCAGTACTCGTTCGTGCCTCCCAAGGTGGTCCTCTGGTTCTTCATCGCCAGTGATGTGGTGGCGACAATCACACAGGTCGCGGGGGCGGCCTTGATTGGCGTCGCGCAGTCGAATCGCGAGGATCCTACGACGGCCAACAACATTCTTCTCGGTGGTCTCGCCTATCAGGTCTTTAGCATGGGCCTCTACGTTCTCCTGACCATGTCGTTCCTATTCCGGGCGCGGAGCGTCATCCCTAGGCGAGGCTTGACTGTTTTCTGCATCGTGTTCGCCATTGCGACGGTCCTCATCTACCTCAGGACATGTTTCCGACTGGCTGAGACAGCTGAAGGTCTTGGTGGCGACTTGTCTTCGAATGAGATCTATTTTGCTTGCCTGGAGTTCGCTCCCGTGGCGTTGGCGGTGCTGCTGTATGCTATCTGGTTCCCGGGTCGGTGCGTCGGCGCGAAGGTGCGTACCACCAAGGAGGAACAGGACATGGAGAGGACAAGTATGGCGTTTTGAGAAAATCCTGATGTTGCTTGTACCTGGTCTTCATTGACACGCCGTCGTCAAAAGATGGCGGTAGGTTAATAGTCCCCGAGATATCCAGAGCGATATATGCTACCCGCCGTTTATCGATTGCCCGTCGCACCATAATCCTCGTGACATGAAGCACCCCTCTGTTACAGTCTCTCAAACACAGGCATGGTATCCAGCGGCGTGTCCACAGTCACCGTCTTACCGCCCTCATACTCGGCTCCATCGGTTCCCTTCCACTTAAGACCCTCGCCAGGCAGGTACACTTCCCTCTTCTTCTGCTGAGGAGCCATCACAGGGGCGACGAGGTACTTGGGACCGTACATGTACTGATCCTCCAGCTTCCAGCACTTGTCATCCTGGGGGAAGTCGTAGAAGCAGGGTCGCATGAGCGGATCCCCCTTTTCATGCGCGTCCTTCATCAGCGCACGCGTATAATCGCGCATCGCCTCGCGGATGCGCATGTACTTCTCGCAGATCGTGTACACCTCGTCGCCGTAGGACCAGACCTCATTGGGGCCACCCGAGAGGCAGAAGCTGCCGCCCGTCGTCCCATGACGGGGCTGCTTCGGCTCGCGATCGCCGTGGAGTCGCATCACGGGGCAGTACGCACCCCACTGGAACCAGCGGACGAGCAGCTCCCGGAACGCGGGCTCGTCGGGGTCGCCGCCATGAAAGCCACCAATGTCCGTGGTGAACCACGCAAACCCGGCTAGACCCATGTTCAGCCCGGCGGAGAGCTGGTTGCGGAAGCTGCCCCAGCTCGAGGCAATGTCGCCCGACCAGACCAAGGCGCCGTACTTTTGAGCGCCGGCCCAGGCGCACCGCACCAGACTGACAATCTCCTCCTGGCCAGTTTCCCTCATCCCTTCATAGAAACCCTTGGTGTAATCCGAGGGGAACATGTTGCCGACGCTCAGATTGGGGCCAGCGTGGTACCGGTAAATGTCAAAGTCGTACACGGAGTACTCGGGCTCTGCTTCGTCGAGCCAGAACACCTTGATGCCCTTGTCGTGGTAGTTACGCTTGGCCGCCTCCCAGACAAACTTCCTTGCGTCCGGGTTCGTGGCGTCGTAGTGGATCGCGTAGCCGCGACCCTCCATGGCGGCCCGGATACCGCGATCTTGACGGATCAGCAAGCCGCGGCGCAACATCTCGTCGTAGTTCTCCGAAGTCTTCTCCACAGTGGGCCAGATGGAGACCATGAGCTCAATATTCATGTCCTTGAGCTCCTTGACCATGGCATCTACACAGGGTTCTCTGTCAGCAAGTTGATACCCGGGGAGAGACAAGGGCAGGCATACCAGGATCCGGCCAGAAGGTAGGATCGAATTTCCAATCACCCTGATTCGGCCAGTGGAAGTAGTCGCACACAATCAAGTCAATAGGCAGGTTGCGGCGCTTGTACTCGCGAGCGACCTCGAGAAGCTCTTCCTGCGTCTGGTATCGCAGCTTGCACTGCCAGAACCCAAGGCCGTATTCGGGCATCTTGGGAACGCGGCCGGTCACTCCGGTATATGCGCGCACAATCTCACCTGGGGTATCACCAGCCGTCACCCAATAATCGAGCATGTCAGTCGAGTATGCTTCAAAGGTTGTCGTGAGTGTGCTGAAGACAGCGCGGCCGATACCGGGGTTATTCCACAAGAAGCCATACCCCAAGCTCGACAAGGCAAAGGGCACTGTGGCCTGGGAGTTGCGCTGCGCCAACTCGACATCGGCGCCCTTGAGGTTCATGAACGGCTGCTGGTACTGACCCATGCCGTAGATCCGCTCCGACGGATCTTGGGACTCGAAGCGCATCGTGAGGTGGTAGTCCGGCGAGCCGAGTCTGGGCTTCCACTCACGGGCCTGAATCCGCAGCGAGCTGCACTTGGGGTCGAGGATATCGAGTCTGTGCCGAGCGAACTCTTCGAGGAGGACCTTGCCCGTCTCGGCGTTGCTCACCACGATCTTCCCGCGCCGGGAGATGTCGGCGCGTATCTTGCCATTGGTGATGCTGGCGGTGTTCCCCTTGATTGTGACGGCAGGTTTGTTGCCGGTCGTCTTCTCTGTCAGTGCCCATTCACGCTCTGGGAGCGAGGCGAGACAGGACGCCCGGATGCGAAGGGAGTTGGCACCCCATGCTTCGATGTAGAGGATCTCGGAGTCGAAGCGGAAGGAGAGGCGGCCGTCCTCGTTTGCAAACGCAGGGTCAGGGCGCGTGCCGTATTCAGAATTGCCGTCCTTGTCCTGGGTCATGGTGTCGATGTGTGATGGGGTATCGATGAGGAGCTCAACTCCCACGAGGGAATGTGGGCGACAAGGGACAATATATCATGGCCACACGCTGACAATCACTCCGCTGACAGTAGAAGTCAATCATCTTGTCTGACGTATGGGTACCTGACTGTGTCCATCGTGGAGGTGTGCGGTCCAATCGTGGTTGGTCGATTTAGGCAGAATGCGGATTACCGTCGCTTCGCCCATTCAAAGCCGCATCCTAACGCGCAGGTTGATGATTCGGGCGTTTGACAATCATGTGTACAGCTCGTGCCCCTCGTCCCCGCCTTCTGATCCCCTCCATCGTGGGGGTTCATGTACGAATACAATCCCACTGTAGCTGTGCTGGATGGGATAGTGAGGAGGAGTCTCCGACGGCGACTTATCAGCCCGCACACACGCAGCCACCACAGCCCAATGAGGCTATTTTCCGCATTTCAAGTGCCACTATTTCGACACGCGATGTTCCAGAATGTTGTCAAGCAAGTATTAGCGCCGCAATTTAGGCGAGAGGTGCTTCGATGTGCTGGTGTTGATGTGAATGGGGCGGGTCACCTTTGAAGACGGTGGACCAGGCTGTTGATTCGAATACATGGTGACAGTACAATCATGGAGAAAGGTGTTATGCCAACTTTTATCGCTTCGTATACGCATCGCGATGCACTTGGGCAGTGTCTGAACTCGTGACATGATCCCGCATGCTACAGCCTTCGGCTTCGAGTCGCTTGTGGACTCTGGCTGGGCTCTGTGGGAACGTTCAGCCCGCCCCATGTTCTTCGGTTCGTCCGTTGGCCTTCACCTAATTGACAGTGCAGTCTTACACATACAAGGGGCGAGGTTGGATATGATAAGCTGGAGCACTTAGGTCGCAGAGGCGGTTGGGAGAGGAAATGGCCCGAAAGGGAAAGAAAGGCGTGGGGACTTGGCGAAAGGCGCGTCCCTCTCGTGCCCAGGCCACACCTCAGGTGGCACGACACACGTTGCACACATGCAACTTGAATCCATCATGCTCGCCGGTACACATGGGGGCTGCGCATGCAATTATCGTGTATAAGTGAATCAATCTCGTCCAGTGACAAACATTACCACGGTGCGCGTGATGCAGGCTGGTGCAAAACACTTGCAGCAATAGGTCTTGCGGAACTCGCTAGGTGGGAAAGATGAACATATGCCGCCACATTTTCTCGCTGATGCGAAGACAAGAAATGCTCTTTTACGACGCCGTTGCACCTTGCGAGTGCTCCTGATCGACCAAGTGCAATCTACGGAGTAGAGTCTTGCAATATACGACGCGGCAAGCTGCTCGAGGAAGACCGCCGTGATCAACACATTGAAGTTAGTGCCTACTATACATGTCCTGCGAAGCACATTCTGAGAGTTGCAATGTAGCCAAATATATAATTTGGTGCTTGTATTGATCCCGAGAATACTCAGCACGCAAGGTACGGGAAGGCCAACCTTCGTCATGTCCTCCAACATCACACGCCTTCACCTGTAAGCCACTGCCTTCGCGATGGATGTGTTGTAAACATACCTGTCTGGTAACAAAACTCGCTAATAAATGACAGTTTGCACACTCTTCTTCATATGGTAGTGTTCAGGCCATTGCAAGTCTACCATATATGCCTCCAAGGTTCCAAACGCCTGGAGGTCTAATTCCCCTAGCCCAGAGTCTCAGGCAATTTTGTGGGGATGCCAGGAGCACCCTGATACCTATGAATCCAACGGTCCCAACCTCTCCTTGATCTTTCGGCCCTCGCGTATATCCACACTCGTTTTACTTCACTTACACATAACTACCCGAAATGCCTCCAATACCACCGTCGGGCCGTCCGCGGCTCATCGTCTATTATCAAACCCATCACTCGCCATCCAATGGCGCACCTATATCTGTGCTACCCCTCGTCACCCGACCAAACATCGACCTCACCCACCTCATGCTCGCCGCCATTCACATCAATGAGGATCCGCACAAGCTCACACTCAATGACCATGCGCCTTCCCATCCCCGGTTTCAGACACTATGGGCCGAGATGCGCGTTCTGCAGGCATCGGGCGTCAAGGTGATGGGCATGCTTGGCGGCGCGGCAAAAGGAAGCTTTACGCGTCTCGATGGTTCACAGGACCAGTTTGAGCGCTACTATGCGCCTCTACATGCCCTCATCAAAGAACGGCATCTAGATGGAATGGATCTCGACGTCGAAGAGGAGATGTCACTCAATGGCATCATCCGGCTCATCGACCGCCTCCGCGCCGACTTCGGATCCAGCTTCATCATCACGCTGGCACCTGTCGCGACAGCCCTCGTGGATTTCACCAAGAACATCAGCGGCTTCAACTACGAGGAGCTCGAGGTCATGCGAGGCAAGGATATTGCGTGGTACAATACCCAGTGGTACTGTGGATGGGGCGATTTCAGCAATCCTATCTTGTTTGAGTGGACGGTCTTCAAAGGATGGCCACTCGACAAGCTCGTCGTCGGCTTGGTCACCAGCCCTGCAAACGGGTCCGGGTTCATCTCCATGGACCTTGTCGGGCAGTCACTCACTCTGCTGACCGCGCGATACGGCGGATTTGGAGGTGTGATGGGCTGGGAGTATTTCAATAGCTTACCAGGCGGTGAAGCCCGGCCCTGGGAGTGGGCGCAGGGCATGACGCAGTTGATGAGGAAGCATTCTACTGGAACAACAGCGAAAAAGAAGGTCGTGGAGATTGACGGGTCATGGCATGCCCACGTACCCAAGGACTTTGAGTATTATTCAGATGAGAGCGATGCTGATAGCTGACCCGAGTCTATTCGGATTTACATAAGCGCAAATACAGACCAGCGTTACGCATTGGGATGTTGTTTTCATTGTGCTAGTCCAGGGAGCCTCTTGTCCCGTAAAGTCTGCAGTCGCTGCCTGGAGGGCTCACCAAGTCCAGTTTCCGTCTCTCGGTCCACTTCAGATGCAGCACGCGAAAGGCAGCCTGTCGCCACCAAAACAGCTTGTCAATGGCTTGAAAATGAAAGATACACAAAACATTTAAGCCCAGGTCGAATTTAATGGACAAAAAGTTTCCAATTCTGTGCGTATCAAAGAGAGTATGATGTGGGCAAGGTGACGGTGGTTCTCAAGCTGCGGTTCGCTTAGATGCTGACGTGGGCACTCGGAAATCCCCAGATTTGGTTCCGCGTACTTCAACTCAACATCATCACCACCCCAGCGGCCATGTTTCGTCCCCGCCTCGTACGATTTTGGCGACAGCCCGGGCCTCTCTGTCGATCTCACGGGCGACTCACCTCCACCCAAGGCAAGTCTGCCTTGTCGCGCATTGACCGCGTCACGGCCCGTCTACCGCGTCCGTTGCAAAAGTACACAACGGGCCTCCGCAACGCGCCCGTCTCCCATGTGGTTTCCTTCCTCATCCTCCATGAACTCACAGCCATACTGCCGCTCTTTGCCCTCTTTGGCGTTTTTCACTACACCAATTGGGTGCCCGTCACGTGGATGACGGAGCATTTTGGGGGCTACGTGCAAAGTGGCATTGGTCGCTTCGAGAGATACTTTGCGCGGAAGGGGTGGTTTGGTTTCAGTCGCGAGGATCTCGAAGGCGCGTCAGGCCAGAGAGGCAAGGAGAGCCAGACACAGGAAGCGATGGACCGGTACGAAAGCGGCGAGCTCAAGTACAAGATCCTCGTGGAGATTGCTCTTGCGTACGCTATCACCAAGGCTCTCCTGCCCATACGCATCATCGCGAGCGCCTCCGCCACGCCTTGGTTCGCCAGAATACTTGTCAAGTCACGGGCACTCATCTCACGCAAGCCTTAATGGACGTGGCATCATTGTTTTTGTATTCCTCATGAGTTCCGACCAATCGAGTGTCCACTATCTGTGACCTGCATGACCGTTTCGAAAACCTACGGATACGAGACGCTTAAGCCTTCTCGTAGATCCAGTTGAACTGAGAAGCCTGGTAGCTGACGGACTCGCCCTCCTTGAACCAGAGAGCAATCTCCTTCTTGGCGTTCTCGACGGAGTCGGAGCCGTGGCAGACGTTGCGGCCGACATCGATGGCGAAGTCACCACGGATGGTGCCGGGGGCGGAGGCGAGGGGGTTGGTGGCGCCGAGGAGAGCTTTGTTGGGTCAGCGAATGGTCATTTCTGTCAAGATTGAGGGAAACGTACTGCGGCCAGTCTTGACGGCATCACGGCCCTCCCAGACCATGGCGCAGATGGGGCCAGAGTTCATGTACTCAATGAGGCCAGCGAAGAAGGGCTTTCCAGCGAGGTCCTCGTCTGCAGAAAGTATTAGCATCATCTCAAGTCGTCGAGGAAAGGCTGGGGCCCACGTACAGTGCTTCTCGAGGTGCTCCTTGCCGGGGGTGGTGAGCTTGATGGCGACAAGCTTGAAGCCACGGTTCTCGAAGCGAGACAGGATGGGACCGATCAGGCCACGCTGGACGCCATCGGGCTTGATAGCAATGAAGCTTCCGTGCTGTTAGCTGACATGGAACGACCGGAGCATGCGAGCCATTGGGCGGGGGTTCTTACGTCTGCTCGGTGGAAGACATTGTGGATGGAGAAGAGTCTGGGATGACTTGGGGTATTGAGGTAGGAATTGGTGATGTGAATGTCGAGACGGAACTCTGTGCCTGGGGTTGGGAGGAGGAGGAAGCAATATGAACGGCGAGGACGAGGAAAAAGAGGCAAAAAAGTAGTGGGGTTCTGTCCAGAGTGAGCCAGCGCAGACGGGCAGGAGGAGCGGGGTCCTCTTTCTCTGCAGACCTCAAGGTCGGCGCGTGGTGGGGTTCCGACATGGTGATTTGACGCTTCGCACAGTGGTCCGCCCAAGCAAGTAGCTGCAGTATGGGAGCTGGAGCTCAAGTCTTCAACTTTAGGTAGATGGCAGACTGGAGCGCTGCTGCCGACCGAGGAAGGGGTGCGCGCGTAAGCAAAACTTATGAGTCTGATCTAAAGGTACACAAGACCAACTCAGAAGGCTAACGTAATGCCAATGGGCAAGGTCACGACGTTGCTTTGTTGTTTACCTAGCATGTGCGAAGAATCGACTAGACGCCTACAGTGCGAGATGCAATGCAGAACGCTTTGGAACCACCAGGATTCAAAATCGCAGACCGCACATTCAGGGTCCATGTTGCAAAGCAGCTTATGCAGCAACCGAGACGACAGCCTTTCTGACCGCTACATGGCTCAAACACAGTGTTTCGAGTAAGGCATGGTCAGGAACTCTCTCATACCGTGTGGCATAAGAAACTCTTCGAATATGGAGGGGCATTGCCAGAGTTGGCGAAGGAACTTAAGCACCTGCCTTAAGGTAGCCGTGCAGTTCTGCTCATGGGAGCTCTTGAAATCGGAAGCTCAGGGTGGTGAAGAATTGCGCTAGCCCTAATTGGGAACTTCCACGGGCGTCGTACCTCGCATGTGTCCCTCTCCAGCTCCATCCCTTGAACCCCGTACCTTACACTTCTCAAGGCCGGTCCATGGTCAGTCGTAGCAGTCATGAGGCATACCATTGGGGTTTCCTGCAAATGGACGACAGTCTTTGCCCTGCTGAGTTCGCTGTTGTTGCTTGTCACGCCTGCTGGTACGTTCTTGGTCCCAAATCCAATCGACGACCTCGTCAACTAACATCTGCAGTGGCTGTCAAAGAGCATGACTTCAAAAAGTGCCACCAATCTGGCTTCTGCCAGCGGAATCGAGCATACGCCGACGCCGCAGAGGCCCAGTCGTCTACATGGGCGTCCCCTTACAACATCATCCACGACTCAATCTCGTTCGACAACGGGCAGCTGAAGGCTACGATCCTCAAGACAATCAACCCAAACGGAGACACCGAGCGCTTCCCTCTCACCATTTCCTTCCACAAGTCTGGCACTGCGCGGGTCGGGGTGGACGAAGAGAAGAGACAAAACAAGGACATTACGTTGCGACATGACAGCCAGGCGCGCAAGGAGCGGTACAACGAGGCCGGGAGTTGGGTTCTTGTAGGAGGGGTAGAGCTCGACCCTGAGGCAAGGCTCTCGCACCAAGATGAGTCGCAGGTCAACGTCAACTACGGCCCTGATTCCAATCACGAAGCTGTCGTGAGGCTGTCGCCTTTCGAGGTTGACTTCCGTCGAGACGGCGCATCTCAGGTGAAATTCAACGACCGTGGCCTGTTCAACATGGAGCACTGGAGGCAAAAGGTTGACAACCCCGAGCCCAAGGAGGGCGACGACGATCAGAGCACCTGGTGGGACGAGAAGTTTGGTGGCAACACCGACACAAAGCCCCGTGGACCGGAGAGTGTCGCACTTGACATTTCGTTTCCTGGATACGAGCACGTCTACGGCATCCCCGAGCATACAGGTTCTCTCTCTTTGAAACAGACGCGAGGCGGCGAGGGCAACCACGAGGATCCGTATCGCCTCTTCAACTCGGATGTCTTCGAGTACGTTCTAGACAGCCCAATGACACTGTATGGTGCTATCCCATTTATGCAAGCTCACCGCAAGGGCTCCACTGTGGGCGTCTTCTGGCTGAACGCAGCCGAAACGTGGATTGATATCATCAAGAGCAAGGACAGCACCAATCCCTTGAGCCTGGGGAAGGGCAAGACTTCGACACATACTCATTGGATGTCCGAGTCAGGCATTCTCGACGTATTCGTATTCCTTGGCCCAACGCCGCGAGACTTGACAATGCAATACGGCGAGCTGACGGGTTATACTGCGATGCCACAAGAGTTTGCCGTGGCCTACCACCAGTGCCGCTGGAATTACATCTCTGATGACGATGTCAAGGACGTTGATCGCAGGTTTGACAAGTTCAAAATACCTTACGATGTCATCTGGCTTGATCTGGAGTACACCGACGACCGAAAGTACTTCACCTGGCAGCCTGACATGTTTGCCGATCCGATCAGCATGGGAGAGCAGCTCGCTTCTCACGGGCGTAACCTCGTCGTGCTCATTGACCCTCACATCAAGAAGGTAGATGGCTGGGCCCCTTCCAAGGAGCTGATTGCCCAGAAACTTGCTGTCAATAACAAGGACAACGAAATGTACGAGGGCTGGTGCTGGCCTGGAGCCTCCAACTGGATTGACTGTTTCAATCCAAAGGCAATCGAGTGGTGGAAGACCCTGTTCCAGTACGACTCTTTCAAAGGCACCATGGAGAACACCTTTATCTGGAACGATATGAACGAGCCTTCCGTCTTCAATGGACCGGAGGCCAGCATGCCCCGCGACAACATGCACTTTGGTGGCTGGGAGCACCGTGACATTCACAACCTGAATGGCTTGACCTTCCACAATGCTACTTTCCAGGGCATGCTGTCGCGCAAAAAGGGCGAGCTACGTCGCCCTTTTATCCTGACGCGCTCCTTCTACTCTGGAAGCCAGAGGCTAGGCGCCATGTGGACAGGTGATAATCAGGCCGAGTGGGGCCACCTTGAGGCTTCTCTTCCCATGGTACTCAACCAGGGTATTGCCGGATTCCCATTTGCTGGTGCTGACGTTGGCGGATTCTTCGGGAACCCGGAGAAGGACCTACTTACGCGCTGGTACCAGACTGGCATTTTCTACCCCTTTTTCCGAGCCCACGCTCACATTGACTCTCGCCGTCGTGAGCCGTACTTGCTCGGAGAGCCTTACACTGAGATCGTCACCCAAGCGATCCGCCTCCGATATGCTCTATTGCCTGCTTGGTACACCGCATTCTACCAGGCGAATGTGGATGGCAGCCCTATTGTGCGGCCCATGTTCTGGACACATCCGGACGAGGAGGCTGGCTTTGCCATTGACGATCAGCTTTTCGTCGGCTCCACGGGTCTGCTTGCGAAACCCATTGTTCAGCAAGGTAAAGAATCCACGGATATCTGGATCCCTGATGACGAGGTGTACTACGATTACTTCTCGTACGAAGTCAAGAAGACGCAAAAGGGCAAGCACCTGACTGTCGCGGCGCCCTTGGATTCGATACCGCTGTTGATGCGTGGCGGACACGTCATTCCTCGCCGCGACATCCCACGCCGGTCAGCTGCCATGATGCGCTTCGACGACTACACACTGGTCGCGACGGTGTCCAAGGCGGGCACCGCCGAGGGCGAGCTGTATGTGGATGACGGTGACAGTTTCGATTACGAGCATGGGCAGTACATCCACCGCACATTCGCCCTGCAGGATGGCGCATTCACATCGATCGATGCCGAAGGTCGTGACACCAAGGCCATCAAGGCTGGCACCTGGCTGCAACAGATGGAGAACGTCAAGGTCGACAAGATTGTCATCGTGGGCGCGCCTGCCTCCTGGGATTCTGCCAAGGCTCTGGTGCAATCTGAGGGGGAGTCGTGGACCACGTCTATGCAGTATCACAAGGCGGACAATGGTCGAGCGGCGTTTGTGACCATTGGCCGTGTGGGTGCACGCATCGGTCACGACTTTACGGTCAAGCCGAATCTTTGAGAGAGGAATAGATAGATACTTAGATGGCATAGCTTGGCGTATTCAATTTGATGTATACCACGCCTCACATGCTGGTATGAGCAAGTTCAAATATTTTGCATGCGTCGAGTCCTTCGGGTTAGTAACGGCTACGTAGCTCAATATTTCTCGAGTCAACAATTGCCGTCGCTCCATCCAGGCGTGAATCGGGCGATCTACGAACACGAAGTTCAAGGTTGTGTGGCTGTCACGCCAAGAATAGACACGGGAATGTGCCGGACAGCTGCCGCGTGTCCGCTTCGAACCGTGGCGCTTGCAAATTGCCCGCTTGACACTTGTCGATGCTAAATCAAATTAATATTACAGTTCACACTACTGCTAATATAACGGAGCCTTAATTAGAATTGGGTAATAGTACGTAGTGAGACCGTAAAATTTGCTGTGGCGGTGCAGACATGACCCTAGGCTTGTCCCGTCTCCCCGAAAGTTGAGCTTCAATAGTCTTGAGAATGGTCGATCTTGGTACGCGCGCTGGTGCTGCTTTATCGATGGCGTCTTCAGAGCACGCAGAACGGAATGAAAATGGAATGGAGGAGTGGGGGCGCCTCCAAGCTCCTTTTTCCACATTCGCTGCTCGCAACGAGTGATCTGTCGTGGCCTCACTCACTTGTGCGCGCGCCTCCCGTTGATTTTGGTGAAACGCGTATAGCACCGTCTTGTGGATTGTCTGTGGCCCCTTGGCGCGATCTAAGGTCGTTCTAAGGTCTGGGCAAACCCGCCGTCCAATTTACAGTTCACGATAGGGGTTCATTGGCCCAATTGTGGAGGAGGTGAAACTTCCGATGGAGTAGGGGGCTCATCACAGTCTGAGCTCGAACTGGGCGGTCCACAGTGGCATCTCATGCGTGCAAGTGAGGGCATGCAGGTGATGAATCTGCAGATGAAGCATAAAATTCAAATCTCGCTTGTCCTTGTCAGTGCGATACGCGGATTGAGGTCGAAACTTTCAGGCACAGAAAGGATCATCACACCTGTCATGTCAATGAAAACTTTATTCGCTGTACACGTAATTACATGTAGGCTGTCTGTGTGACGCCAGTGGCTTCAATTGCTGCAGGGACACGCTGTGGCTTGCGACAACGTGCGCTGGAGCCCCCGAACGGGCCGGCGGCAAAAGTAAAAGACAGACCAGAGGTGAACGACGTCCACATTGATTGTGAGTGCCTGGCATCAATGAGATCAGATCGACAAGAATGTGACAGTCTCAGCCGGCAGGTCTCATTCTTCGCAATCGTAGGGCCTCATCGCACAGGAAAGTTCCAGCATGCGGCTGTGATGTGATCGGAGAACCCACCCTGTGCCCCCATTCAACGCTCCACTGTTATCATCGTCACTGACCCGTTATCGTCGCTGCAACTTCAGAAGCTCCAGTCCATCGACTCCAGCCAGACAGCGCTGGACCATTCAGAGGCTCAGAGCGAGGTCATCTCCATGTCGGTTGCACAGTGTTGACAAGGTGCTTCCCACCATCACGTCACCCTGGTTTGTCCCGTCCTGATCTCCAGTCCTTCCTTGTGCTACACTCCGTCTTCCATGTCCTAGCCTCTTCAATCCTGTCTCTTGACCTTTCTTTGAGTGAGTTTATCTTCTTCCAATCCCCATCTCTTTTCCTTCCACCTTCAGTCAGTCGCCTGCCCGTCTGTGTACTTCGTTGGCGATTAGATCAAATCATATCATACCTTTCCTAGTCTTTCGTTACTTGCCTGCCTACCTTCCTGCCTGCATAGCACACCTACACTATCAAGGCGGATTTCTAGACACTGGGTGGTATTCAGCACACTGCTGAAAACTTCCACCCGTTCTCTTCTATTCTCATCACCTGTACCATATCACGGCCAACGGTCACTATTTCAACCCAGTCATTTATTGAACTTGGAATCCGGACGCTCAACTCATCAATCCACCGAAACTTGCTGCGATGGCTGGCTCATCGTCGGATGCTCATCCAGAGCATGACGCTGACCCCCATGCTCACCACGGCAGCGGCTCCCACGGCCAGCAACAGCCCGTGTCTCAGCCTCAATCTCAATCTCAACCTCAACCTCCACACCAGTCTTCAGACCAGCAACTTCCACACCTTCACCTACCAACCACACAACGCAGTGAGCCGGGACCGCAGCCTCACCACCCCCTGCGCGAGTCCATTGATGCTCCCCAGGCCACGCCAGCCTCGGCCTCGGAGCCCTTCCCAACCCTCTCCAACACGTACTCGTTCCCCCGAGTCTCGTCCTCCACCGATCGCGACTCAGAATTCATCGGCGAGAAGCGCCCAGAGACCCACCGTCTCGACACACTCCAGTCCGTCAACCAGGCCCCTCGCCCGTCGCAGGACTTTTACAATGTCAAGTCCCCCTCCAACATGCGTGCTGACGCCTCGCGTCTCGACGATGACCTCGAGTTGCTCCGCGCTGAGCGCTTAATCTCGCATCAAGAGCAGGAGCTGGAGAAGACTCGTAGCACTCGGCAGGGTCATGAACGTCACGACACCCAGCTGGAGGATGCCTTCAACCCAGCGGCCGCCAACGAGGCCAAGCTTGTCAAGCGCAGGGACGAGACTGCGCCGCTCTACAAGTTCTGGCTGTTCTTGAAGAAGTTTCCCCGCTTCTTCCGGTACTTTGTCTACCTTCTCCCAGGTGCCATCCTGCTGCTCATCCCCATCTTGATGGCCATCCTGGCCATTGACCAGAACGAAAACCCGGTGGGAGGGTATGGAGGCACGCCTCTGATGTGGTTTGGAATATGGCTTCAGATTGTCTGGGGCGCCCTCTGGGTTTCGCGCATGATTACGAGTCTGCTGCCGCCCCTGTTCCAGTCAATCGCCCGGGTGACGGGTTCGACCAACCCCAAGAAGTGGAAGGATGTTGGTCGCCACATGGAACTGCACACGGCCCTGTTTCTGTGGCTGCTCGCCGTCCTCATCTCCTTCAAGCCGGTTGTAGCCAACCACAGGGTGCCCGTGCCCGAGGGCCACGAGGACGACGTCGACCGGAACTGGATCAATATTATCTTCAAGATCATCATTGCATTCTTTGTGCTGGCCACGCTCAACTTTGTGGAGAAGATTATCATCCAATGGATCGCCACTGCCTTCCACGAGCGCACCTACGCCACCCGCATTGAGAACAACAAAGGCGACATTCGTCAGCTCGTGGCTCTGTACGACCATGCCAAGTCCTCTCTGGAGGAGACGGACAGCTTCTGGAATGAAGGCAGCGGTGGCCAGTCGGTGAACGGCACTCAGACCCCCATGCAGAACTTCCACGAGAATGCTCGTCAGGTTCTTGGCAAGGTTGGACAAGTCGCTGGCAAGGTCGGCAATGATTTCATCGGCCGCAAGGTGGACAACAACCATCCGCGCAAGGTGGTGTCTGAGCTGCTGCGCACAACCGGCTCGGCGCACACCCTCGCTCGCCTCATCTACCGCAGCCTGGTGCAGCCCGACAAAGAGATGGTGTTCCTCGACGACGTCCACCGCGCCTTTGCCTCCAAAGAAGAGGCGGAGGCCGCCTTCAATGTCTTTGACAAGGACCTCAACGGCGACATCTCCATGGAAGAGTTCGAGACGGTGACAAATGAGATTGGCATGGAAAAGAAGGCCATTGCTGCCTCTCTCAAGGATCTCGACTCGGTCATTCAGAAGCTCGACAAGGTGTTCCTGTTCATCATCATTGTCGTCACCATCATTGTCTTTATTTCCATCATCTCCGGGTCTGCTGCCGCAGGTCTTGCTTCAGCCGGCTCGTCCGTGCTTGGTCTGGCCTGGATGCTGCAGGCCACAGCACAGGAGTTCCTCCAGTCCATCATTTTTGTGTTCGTCAAGCATCCCTTTGATGTCGGCGACCGTGTCACTATCTACGGATCGACTGGTGCCACCATGACGGGCGACGATTATTACGTCACGGAGATCTCCTTGCTGTACACCGAGTTCAAGAAGCTGCAAGGCCACGTCGTGCAGGCGCCCAACTCCCTGCTCAACACGCTCTTCATCCTCAACCAGCGTCGATCGAACGGTCTCGCCGACCCCATCCCCCTCACCATCCGCTTCGGCACGCCTGCGTGGCAGATTGACGAGCTCAAGGCGCGCATGCTCGACTTCTGCCTCAACAACAAGCGCGACTACCAGCCGACCATCCTCATGGAGCTGTCCAAGATTGAGGACGTGCGCGCTGCAACGCTCACCGTCGTCTTCATCCACAAGAGCAACTTCCAGAACGAGCTGCTGCGTCTGGCGCGTCTGAACAAGTTCATGATGGAGCTCATGGCCCAGATGGCCGACATTGGCATCCAGTCACCGTTCCGCATCGAGCCCGGTGGCAGCCGGGAGCACCCCATGCACTGGACTGGCCCTCAGCCGCCGCCTTCCTACACGCGGACTGACCAGGGTCAAGATCAACCCCCCGCGCCGCAAGAGGCCCCGCAGCCCTCCACATCCATGCGTCGCCCATCGGTCACGAGTGGCGGCGGCAGCATGCGCCACCTCGCTCGGCAGACTACATCTGCTGATATGGCACTGAACAACTTTGGGGATGTCTTTGAGAATCGCCGGGAGCACTTCCTCGCCAACCGCCTCGCTTCCATCCGCGAGAAGACCCAGGCGGAGAAGAAGCTGGAGAGCAAGAAGACTAAGCAAGGCAGCGAGCTCGGCTCCGAGGGCACTCACGGCAGCACATCGGCCCTCGCGCCCGCAGGCAGCGTCAACTCGCAGTCGCGCAGCCGCATGTGGCAGCGTCCACGCGGGAACAGCCGCTTCGCGCCGCCGCCGACGGGTGGACAGGGAGACGACCACATTGTCTGAGCAAGAAGACACCCGCGAGTCCAGCCCATCATCGATCGTGGGTGGTGCTTGCGTATAATCACGATTTACGCCCTGGTGGACCTCTAATAGACACATAGATTGCCTCGACGCATATTTCATATCATTTCATTTCTTACCTATCCTATCGATTGCTTCTTGTACGGGTCACTTAGGGGGCATGGTTTCCGTAGAAGGATTCGCTCGAAACAGTAATTGAACAAGGTTCCCGCCTGACTTTGAGAATATGCCTGGCGTACACCACATGTGTTTGCTAGGGTTCTGGGGAAGGCATATATTTTGGCTGTCTTTTTGTGTTAGTGGCTACCCTACATACCTTGCCTCCTACCCAGAGATCAGCGTTGGTTTGCACAAGACTTCTTCATTTTTAAAAAAAAAGAAACCAGTATTTATTCGACACCAGCTGTAGATACTGCCCATCTTGTCGCCACAGGTGGCCCGGGCTCGTGGAATCAAATGGTTGAGAGGTCCAGGCGACACTAACTGTAGCAACCAAGATAACGCATCTGCAGCGGCTGACATGACACTTTTCCTCACCCATCACCACGCGGTGGCGCCTCATCAATACACTCAAGACAGTGTGAACGCAACGAGCCCATTGATTACTTCATGAAAACTGAGACGAGAATCATGGACCGGGTATAGGGGTCCGCCGAAGTCCTCCATGAGACACCCATCGGCTGTGCTGGCCTTGGGAATCGCGACGTGGGAGAAACGTTTGCGCAGACGCCTGTGGTGGGCTCTGTACCCGGAAGACAAATGGACGGGCCTGCTGATGGGACGGCCGCCCATGATCGAAAAAGACGAGTGGGATATCTTTGAGATCCGACTCCGCGTCAAAGCTCGCTCTGTGGCCAAGCTCGAGATCAGCTTCTTTGAGGACACACTTCACAAGACGGTGTCATTTTCGTCTTCTTTGTCCAACCAGCGCGGTAAGTTGAGAAGACTTAGGAAGCCTTCTAGTGCGTTCGATTCTCTTTTCTGTGCATGTGTCACAAGCTGACTATGACTTCACCAGTACCCTGCGAGCGTCGCAGAGACTTGCTGAAGAATTTCGCGCTTCAGTTGACACGCATATGTTTCGCCACGGTCACGAGTTTCATCACCTTGCTATTCGTCCAGGCACCCTCACGTCCTTGGTCCATTCTACCTCCATCCAACCTTGGACAAAGATGGACCCGACGAATCGAGAGTAACCGTCCTCCCCTGAGCGATCCAAGAGAACATGGGTAGGGCATCCAGACAGCACAGCAATGGACGGCCTCTGCCGGCGTGAAACGTATTGGAATGACTATCGGCACATACAATCACCAGAAATTTACATACGCGTATAATTTGGTATGAACGATATGACGCATGCCGCTTTGCCTCGACGTTGACACTGACTGCGCGGCTACGCCGAGCGTATAGTATTGGTCGACCGGTCGTGATTGTCCCGAATCCCAGGTATGCATCGCACATCATCTTCACATGTCTCGGGACTCTAGTAGTGATCTAAAGTGCCCGCCTTCTCGCGTCCGCAGCTCTTCTGGGCGCCCCGTCTCCGCCACCCGCCCGTGTTCCATGACGATCACGCGATCGCACCTCGTCGCGAGATCCAATCTGTGCACAATCATGATGACTGTGCAGCCTTGGAATTCGCTGTGGATAGTGTTCCATATGTGCTCTTGGGTGCCGGTATCGACGCTCGAAGAAGCCTCGTCGAGGAGCACCAGACCGCCGGCGGCACCATTGCGTTTGCGCACTCGCTGTCTCAGCACCGCTCTCGCGAGGTTAAACAGCTGCTTCTGGCCTTGACTGAGTGAGGTTTCTGTGAATGCATCACTCAGGGCCGTGCTCTTGTGGTCCGCGGTTTCTTGACCGTCTGCGAGGAAACCAAGACCAAGCGATGCCAACGTGGCTTGGATGTCCTCGTCCCTGGCTTCACGGAAGGGATCCAAATTGTCCCGCAGGGTTGAAGTCGAGCATGGAGGAAGAAAAGCCGGATCTTGGGAAATGGCGATGATGCGACGGCGGAGGGTCTCTCGTTGGACCTGGTCGATGGGCAGGCCGTCGATGAGTATCCTCCCTGCGGCGTGAGATGACGACGGTACAGGGTCAAGGAGGCGTAGAATCAGGAGCACAAGGGACGATTTGCCACTGTGCAAGGTGAGTCTCGTGTCGGCCGCTCAGCTCAGATGGATGGACTAACCTCCCGGTGCGTCCCACGACGGCAGTGCGCTCACCAACCTGGAATGTGACGCTGACATCTCGCAGCGCCACGGCATCTTCATCTGGGGACACTTGGCCACTGAAAATTCCGTCAGGCATCTGGCATGAAGCGGCATTGAGGTCTGCTTACCTGTATGAAGCTGTCACGCGTTCAATCTCAACAAGGCCGTTCGGAGGCCACGCCATATCGAGCGGTGCATCGACATGCGGCTGTGGTTCCGCCTCGGTGGCATCGCTGAAAGTTTTCAACCGTGCAACAGCCCCGATGCTGGTTTCCAGCGTGGTGTACGACTCTACAATGACCGACAGGATCGTTCCGAAGCCCATGAGCGTCAGGAGTGTTGCGCCAGTGAGCCCGGCGTCGGTGCGCAGTTGAGTCGCGAGCGTGACGACAATTGTGGCGAGCAGCATGACCACAATGCGCAGCACGAACTGCAACCACCGTTGTATGATGGCGAGGAGATACGCTGGTCGCTGGCTCGTGTCCAGGAGGCGGTTGCTCGTCGCTGAAGCTGTCCTGGTGAAGCCGAGGGCGCGAAGAGTCACAAGGCCGGAAAGAGTCTCCATAAAGTGCGCGCTGTTCTGTAAGACAAGCAAGCTCAAATGGGGATGTGCGGAAAAAAAAAAAAAAAAAAACTTACTAGAGAGGTGCTTTCGCTTCCAGATCGAGGAGCCGCAGCTGTCGGGAGGTGCGGAGGTAGAAGAGCTGGATATAGTACACAAGACACAACAAAGGCGGATACGCCACGGCGAGCCAAGGAGAAGCGGTGGCAATGACGGCCGCGGCGCCAATGAGAGAAAATACGGCAGCCGTAAAGTTCAAAAGGGCCAGAGGGAGTTCCGAGTCAATCAGGGTCAAGTCCTGTGCGAACAGATTTGTAATGGTGCCCGCATCCACAAGAGCGAAGAATCGCAAAGGCGCTGCGAGAACCGTCCGCAGAGCTCTCCGATGCAGCGTCGAGCCACTGTGGGAGATGATGGGTTGCGTGCAGAGATATACCACCACCGCGAGGGAGAGAAGGCCACCACCCTGGAGGAGGGCGTAGATGCCGACGTAAAAGGCACCCGAGCGAGAGGGACTGGGTCGAACGACGTCTGCGGACCAGTATTTCAGCCAGACCGTGGAGAAGTGGATGGTGAAGCCGTAGATGGCGGAGACGAGGACGAAGAGGATGATGGTCCATGTGGCCATGCTCGAGAGGTAGTGGCGGTAGACTGTGAAGTCTCCTACTTGGCGGGATCCATCCATCTCCTCCTTGTCTATCTTTGTAGCTGTCCTCTGACCTTGCTCTGCGCCTTGCGCGTCCATCTCGTTCTTGAGCTCCTCCGGCGCCCCGTCGTAGGTCAACACTTTGGTCCCGCCCTGGAGCTTGAGGTGTCCTGCCGCGACCAACTCTTGGAGAGAAGTATGGCAAGTCACCAAACCTTGTGAGCTGATGGCGAGAATTGTATCCGCAAATGGGAGATATTTCTCGTCGTGCGTACAGAGCACAACTGTTGCGTTCCTACGTGCGAGGAGCCCCCGAGGTCCCAGTGCTCGCTGGAAAACGAGCGACGAGGTCGAGGCATCGAGGCCGCTGAGTACATCGTCGAGGAGAAATAGATGGGCATCGAGATAGAGCGCTCTCGCCAGGGCCAATCGCTGTTTCTGTCCGCCGCTGAGAGAGTGGCCGCTGCTTCCCACGCTGGTGAGATCGCCCTGGGGAAGCTGCTTCAGGTCTGGTCCGAGCGAGGCGGCGTGCAGGACCTCGCGGTAGCGGTCTTGGTCGAAGGGTGCGTGACCGACAATGTTGCCGCGTATGGTGTCGTTGAGTAGAAATGGCGTTTGGTCGCAGTACCCAACTGTGCGGAGAGAAGCGCCGAGAGCAACCGTCCCCGAGTGACTGGTTGTCTCGCCGAGGAGAGCTTTCAAGAGAGTCGATTTGCCTGCGGCGACAGGACCGATGACGATGGCCAGAGAGGACGACGGCACGGACAAGTTGACGTTCTCGAGCGTGTACTTGTCCTTGGCCCATCCAAAGTGGCCGCACGTCACCTGGAGAGCAGGTTCTGGCGCGTCTTTGCCATCTTTATCACTCACACTTGTTGTCGATCTGCTCTCGGGGGTAGAGCGAGGATCGGTGCGGCTCTCGATCTCAAGGTACGTGTCGATGCGACCTAGACAGGCGATCGCGGACATGAGACCAGGCAGATGCTGGAACAGTCCTTGAAGCGGCGTCGCCAGCAGCGTGATATACGCCATGGCCGGAAAGATGCGCGTGACGTTGAGAGTCCGGGAGGTGACGGCCAGAGCCATGAGTGGACCGATCAAGGTCGGGGTGAAACTTATCGTGGCGGCGAGGAGGACCATGAGCCGCCACTTGTTGCCAACGCCGATTTCCCTCTCCCTCAGGCCTTGAATGTGACTGTCCAAAGCACCGCCCAACCCTGACATTTTGAGGGACTTGATGGCCGAGATCATGGCGGCCGTGGCGGTGACGCGTTCCTCAATGGCCTTCATCCAGACCATCTGACGGCGGCCGGTGATCTTGACCACAGGCCCCGATGCCACGAAGCACAGTGCCACGACAACAATGGGCGCCACAAACGCCGCGCCGATCTTCCGCTGCAGCAGCCAGCAGGCTAGAGCCAGCTCGATTGTGTTGGCCCAATACTCATGGATGTTCAGTAGACCCGACTTGATCCGGTCGATATCGCTGTTCATGAGCGTCAGAACCGTCGAGTCCGCCGCGCTGGCCGCAGACAGACAGACAGTCTTGTCATAGAGGGCCGTGAAGAGAGTGCCGCGCACCATGGTGACGTAGCGCTCTTGCCAATAAAAGTACAGCGCGTTGGAGACGGCGATGCCGGTGTAGGAGAGGATGGTCGCGGCGATGAGACCGTAGCCGCTGCTGGGTGCGCTTGCTGGCGATTGGAGATGGGCAAGGGTCGATTCGAGAATCAGGGGCTGGCAGAAGGTGAAGCCGATGGAGGCGAGGCGGGGGATGACGGGAGTGAGGAGTGGCGGGAGGAGCGTCTTGAGCATGCGCCTGCTAAGCCTACCGGCGGGAACAGTGGAGGAGTCGGCGCCATGAGACAATTGGAGCTTGTGTTCAAGGGTGGATGCTGACATTGCCTGGTCGAGAGGGTAGAGGTCTTGGACGGAGAGGACGGAGCGGTAGCCGCCGAGGAGCAAGCGTCCGACCCAGGCGTACGACGCCAGGCTGAAGATGCCGCATGTCTCTTCACCACTGTGGTGGTCGGTCCACGTCTTGGGGAAGCTCTTGTGCTGTGCCTCGAGAAGGAGAATGACGCCCTTGAGCGCCGTGAGAGCCACCGAGACCCGCGCGACGGTACTGGAGTAGTGGTCCCCTTGCGCAGCGACCAGCCAAATTGTCCTGGCGCGGACAATGTCGAAGAGCAGCGTCAGGAAGAGAAAGCAGCCGAGGAGGATGGATGGTCTGGGGCTCCGTGTGTGCTCGCCAAACGAGAGCAGCAGAACGACAATCGCAACGGCAAGGCGCAACACCTCGGACGGAATGGATAGGCTGGCAATGTCCCACCGGAGCCGCGCCGTGAGAACAAGCTGCGACAATTGGAGCGCCACGTAAACGAGTATGCTCACGAGTTTTGTCCCGAGGAGCATCGACAAGACGGCGATGCTGGGCCGCGGCACGAGCCACAGGAGTCGCCCGGCTGACACCGCCAAGAAGACGCAGGACGGCACGATGGACAAGACAATGTCCTCGAAGCGGAGAGTAAAATCAAAGTCGTCGCGGCAGCCTTGCACCACGGGGCCGAAGGTGGCTTCGTTCAGGCAAACCATGTCGGAGGTGGGCGCTGCCACTCGTAGATCTGAGTACGTTGTTGCCGTGGCGGCGACGACATTGCGAGCTGGTCTACGGACAACATAATTAGGGTTCTGGCATACAACGAGATAGCAAGCGAAGGACTGGAAGCTTGGCAAGAAAGAGTCATTCAAGAGCACAGGGGACGTCTCACGGCGACATGACGAGGGATGCAGTCCTATGCTCAGAAGCTTGCCCCGAACAGGCAAGTCCCAACAACTGGAAACTTACGCCCGCCGGTCCACAGACTTGCAGAAGGATCGTCTAGGTGCGTCCGAGCGTCAAGAGGGTCGCTATCTATCTGTCATGTTGGACAAGGGGATGGGATCGACGATCCCAACGCACTCAAAGGCATGGTGCAAACGGTCGATACGTGGTTGCAAACACCCTCCAATGCGTCCAAAGGCATGAAACGTACGTACAGGGAACCCAAGGTCACAGGCTTCCAGGGGTTTGTTCTAGAATCCTGCATGGAATCGAGACTTTCATTGGCTCCTTTGCCACCAAGTATGTACGCCTACACTACATGAAGAGGTCGGCTTTGCAACCCATGCTCGCTTGACCTCGGCTTAATGCGCCGGCAAGAATCGTGCGGGATCGGTCTGGCAACAGGGAGCTGATCCCGTGGATGCCTCCAGGCCCAAAGTCCAGGACGGGTGGAGGACCCGGGGACCCTGCTCCTGACCCTGCCCCTGACCCTGCCAAGTTCATAGTGGCCTTTTGCCAGTTCGCCGGCCGGCAAACCACCTGCTTCACCAGTGTCTGCAAGACGCTGCTGCTCCCGTTCGCCCCATTGTGAGACCCGGCGCCGAGCAACGAGCCGTCCTCGGGGCTGAAGACCGGGACTCGCAAAGCGCCGGCCGGCGCGTCCAGGTCTCGGAGGTCGTGTCGGATCGTCGACACGGCCTCGGCAAGCAAGTCGGAGTGGAAGGGCACACTGACGTGGAGGAACTTGGCGGCCACGACTCTGGCGGTCTCGCTTGCTCCAGACAGTCCCTTTTGTAGAGTTGCCTTGCGGACTTGCAGAGACAAGCCGTACAGGTACCTTGGCGGACCGGACACAACGACGTTGCGCGGCCCGTTGGTGATGGATATGCCCAGCTTGCTACGATGGCTGCTATGCCGAATGTACCGCGCCATGGACGCGAGACATGTTTCCAATGACGCCTTGTCGAGTCCACGAATGTGGAGCATTGGCGAGGGAACGCCTTCGCCATGGTCGAGGCAGTCTTGCGTCAGGGCTTCCGACATGCTGCCATGGACTTCAAGCCGGTCCCACGTTTGCTGCGTCCGCACGCCGATCCAGAATAGGGCTGTGATGACGGCGCGCGTCACCTGGCGCCACGATGACCAGTCATCCGCCATGGCTGTCGCCGCGGCCACGAGGATGCCCTGGGAGTGACCGGTGGTTCCAGCAACATGCCGCCCAAACTGGCCCGGCGTCAGGCCTAGTACTCTGCATGTGACTTCATAGTGGGCGAGCTGGACCAGGCCGATGAGAGGCGTGCTGACGGGTGTCGATGTGAGGTAGGAGAGCTCGGGTACTTGCGTCGGGTCCTGTAGCCAGGCGCGGATGTCGAGGCCGTACGGCAGACTCTGTTCCACAGACGACTCTGTAGCCATGAGCTGACGACACAGCGCGGTCGCGTCGTCAACGAGATCTCTCGTGAAGGAGGGATATGTTCTGCGCAGGTCCTGCAGCTCTTGGAGACAATTTCCCCTCAGACCTTGACCACCAAAGACGGTGTACACTGATCCGGCGGGTAGGTCATTGTCCGTACTAGACTTGCTGAAAAGACCCGTCGTTGGCCGAGCAATTTCGTATCCGGCAGCGGCGACGGCGTCGTAGTAGAGGCGGAGGAGTCTCGACCGCTGTGCATCGGACACGGCAAGATGTGCGACAGCAACGTGCATGTTTTCACCACGGAGTGTGTGGCTGTGCAGATAGGTGACGGCGTCCCTGAGAAGCTCCTGGGCCGCACGGACCTCGCCCTGTTGGAGCTCGGGGAGGAGAGAGTACAGATCTTCGGCAGAGGTCAAAATGGCCTCCAAGGCGTCTGCCTGGTCCTCGAGGCCGGCGTCGCTTCCGCAGCTGGGTGTGGCTGGTGGGCTTGGTACATGTCGAATGCTCTGCGCCTTGGAATGCTCCAAGCAGGTCGGTGGTGGTTGGATGGACTCCTCGATCCGGCTTGAGATGCGGGCGAGTTTTGATAGTTGGACGGGACTCAAGGCCTCCCCCCATGCCATTTTGTTGGACAGCACGTCGTCTGACCGCGGCTAAGGCGGTCTACGGATGCTGTTGCGAGGGAAAAGGGCGCGACAATATGGTCTCCAAGTCAAACGAAGCCTCGACTTGCTCGGACACTATATCTACATCTTCTTTCCATGTTCGGCAGTGGAGATGGCTGCCCCACGAGGCCATACCCGGACCCCTGCGTCCAAACCAAGTGGAGGACAGCAGCTCATGCGCCCGGCTCCTGAAGGATTCCGTTGTAAACGGCTTATCGGCTGGCACCTGGCCATGGTTCACGTCGACCTGCCGCAAGGAGGTCACCGCCTAGGGAACCGAACAGGGGATGTGATCCGTCCCCGACGCGGTAACCACTGAGACGAGGTTTCGATCCGGTTCAAAGTCTACGGACTACCGCCGTACGGAGGACGCCTTGAAAAGTTCTTTGGACGCCAAGACGCTAGCAGTATCAGTCATCATCAGAAGATAAGCATTTCTCCCGGACAGCCGAAGGAACGTGAGGCGACTGATAGTCCAGGGTCTTAAAAAAAAACACTTGCCAGTGTCGTGATGCTAGTGCCGAATACAAGGTACATACATACATACACATCTCCACGTCGTCCCGAAACGCCACTAATTAGGCTAAAAAGAGCCTAGCGTAGCCGCATAGACTAGACTAGGACCGTCTTCCCGCGCGAGGCGGGGAACGGCAAAGTCGCCCATGTACGTTTATGTTCCGAAGAGGAAGGTCATGCATGTCCCAGATGCCAAAAGCTCCTTGTCCGAGATACGGCACTTTTACTCTTGTCGCATACATACCCTTGCCGCATGTGTTCGAGCCCTTGCTGGCTAGTGGAGGAATGACTGCCTATTAATAATCTTCCAGCACTGGAGATGCTGCAAGCATCCCCAAGGTTCACAAGTGCCACGGCTATTCCTGGAGTTGATGGCTATGCAATGTCCACGTGCTGCATTCACATGGCACCCTGCATCTGCAATCTATGTATGAATGCCAACTAGTGTGGTGATCTGTACTCTCAACCTCACGAGTGACCACAGCCTTGTGTAATCAGAACCCAAAACTATCCTACACCACATATTCGAGAGCACTCGTTCGCTGTACGTTGCCAAAAAAAAAACAACAACAGAGTGTATTCATATGCGCACGGACAGCGTCCAGACGACGACGTCAACATGGACTTGCTAGCCTCGAGACACGTCCCAATGGACAAAGACGATGCGCGCCACATAGTGCCAAACACAACCATCGGAGACATGGCTGATCTCGCATCTCTCTGGGCACAGGTTCTGCCTTTGCGCGATGAACCAATCGACCAGCACGACAACTTCTTCCAGCTGGGCGGAGACTCTGGTACCGCCACGCTTCTCACGCACACAGCGCGGCAGGCTGGGATCACAATTCATGCCGAGGACGTATTCTTGTACCCTACGCTGTCGCAGATGGCACAGCTGCCGTATGTTCCTGCACGGGCCACTGCCCTTCCAGACGCGGGACCCTTCTCTCTCATCGCAGCAGGCGTCGAGCTCGACTCGTGCATCTCGCACGTGGCTACTGCTTGCGGTGTCGAGGCGGCGCAAGTCACGGATATCTACCCGTGCACACCTCTGCAGGAAGGCCTCATCGCATTGTCGACAAAGTCGGGAGGCGACTACGTGCTCCAGGCGCGAATGCAGTTGTCGACTGATGTTGACATTGTGCGCTTTCAGGAGGCGTGGGAGCAGACCTTTCGTGCTGTTCCCATTTTGCGGACCCGGATTGTCGAGCATGAGGAGCTCGGCTTCCTCCAGGTCGTCCTCAACACGAGCGTCACTTGGCGACGTGGACAGGATGCGGCCAAATGCATGGAGGAGGAGAAGAACAAGCCCGTGCATCTCGGCCAGGCGTTAGCCGGATGCGCATTGGTCTCCGAGGGAGGGCTCTCGGCCTTTGTCCTCACCATACACCACGCCCTCTACGACCGAGTGACTCTCCCGGGCATTCAAGAGGTCTTCCGCCAATTCTGGTTTGGCAACACCATTGACGAGCTGCCTGCCTTCAGGCACTACGTCCAGTATCTCACACAGAAGAGCAAAGCGGCTTCGTTGGCCTTTTGGGAGTGGGCAACGCTCGACTTTGACGCCCAAGTCTTCCCTGAGCTGCCGGCGGGCGTCGCAGACGGCAAGCCCGACACCACGGTGCACAGATGCATCACCATCCCCAAGAACGATGGCCGGGCACGTGGCGGCGCCGCCGGCAGCATCACGGCCGCCATGCTCATCCGCGCCGCGTGGGCTCTCGTGGTTCACTACAACACCGGCGTGGACGATGTCGCCTTTGGTGCCGTCTTGTCCGGCCGCAACGCTCCTGTGGCAGGCCTGGACAAAGTCCTCGGGCCCACGATCGCGACCGTGCCGGTTCGCGTACAGATCCCGTGCCGCCACAGAGAGGAGCATGTTACCATTGCCGACTTCCTCGAGGGCGTCCAGGAGCAGGCCGGAGACGCCATGGCCCACGAGCACATTGGCCTGCAGAACATTGCCAAGATCAACAGCGCTGCCAAGAAGGCGTCTGGGTTTCAGACTGTCCTCGTCGTACAGAGCGCAGGCGGAATTGGCGTGTCCGATGATTCAGCCGCCATCGGCCGTTGGGATCAGGCAGCGCACACTCTGGAGACCGCGACGTATCCGCTGGCCATCACGTGCACTCTCCACAAGGGCACTGTTGAAGTGGTCGCGAGTGTCGACTCGAGGGTGATGGAGGCCTGGCGGGTGCAGAAACTACTGGATCAGCTGGCGTACACTATGGACCAAATCGTCGATTCGCCAGCGGACGCCTTGCTCAGCAGTCTCGCGCGCTTGACTCCATCGGACGCCGAGAGCATCTGGAGCTGGAACCAGCACGTGCCGCCGGCTGTCGAGGAGACGCTTCCCGAGATGGTTTCCAGGAGGAGTAGAGAATCTCCCGCGGCCATTGCCATTGACGCGTGGGACGGCCCAATGACCTACTCGGAGCTTGATGAAGTATCTGGCAGACTGGCCCTGGGCCTCGGACGCGAGGGCGTCTCAACGGGCGACTTTGTAGCTCTCATGCTCGAAAAGTCAAAATTAGCGCTCGTCGCCATCATCGCGGTGATGAAGGCTGGCGGGGTCTATGTTCCGCTCGACGCTTCGAACGCCAGAGACCGCAGAGAGACCATCTTGCAGCTCAGCAATGCCAAGGTCGTTTTGGTGTCCAGGGGATACTCGGAACTGGATCTCGGCAAGGGAAGACGCACCGTCACTATATCTGAAGAGTTCCTGGACTCATTGTGCCAGGACAGCGATGAAGTTCTGCCAATCGTCAATCCCTTGGATATTGCCTACGCCATCTTCACATCAGGCAGCACGGGAGTCCCAAAGGGCGTCCTCGTGCCTCACCAAGCCATTGCTACGAGCGCATTCCATCACGGTCAGCAACTCGACATGCAGCCGTCGACACGGACGCTGCTCCTCACCGTCTTCATCTTCGATGTCTCCATGTGCGAGATTTTCAGCACGCTCATCTTCGGCGGCACAGTGTGCATCGCATCGGAGCCCGACATCCGGAACGATCTCCTTGGGTGTGTGAACCGCCTTCAGATCAACACCATCGAGAGCACTCCGTCTGTTCTGCGCTTGATTGAGCCAGCACATGCGCCATGCCTGCGCAAAGTCGTCATTGGCGGCGAAACGCCACTGACTGCCGATTTCGAACGCTGGAGACATGTTGACCTCTTTCCCGTATATGGTCCCACCGAGTGTGCGGTCGTTTCCACTAGTCGAAAGATCCCGCGCGGCGAGAGCTGCTGCGCAAGCGCAAGCCGCAGCATTGGCACGGCAGTCGGCTGCCTTGCCTGGATTGTTGATCCCAAGAACCATGACCAGCTGCTTCCCCCCGGCGCAGTTGGCGAGCTCCTCATTGAAGGCCCCATCCTTGCTGCCGGCTATCTGGAGGACCCTTTGAAAACCGCCGCAAGCTTCATCCAAGACCCCGAATGGCTTCTCAGGGGCACGCCGACCTCGCCGGGGCGGCACGGAAGGCTGTACAAGACCGGCGATCTCGTTCAGTACACTGGAGACGGCCAACTAGTATATGTTCGGCGGAAAGACACGCAGGTCAAGATCCGCGGGCAGCGTCTGGAGCTGTCAGGGGTGGAGCACACGGTCTTGCAGGTCCTGGAGCCTCAGGTCAAGACAGTTGTCGCCGAGGTTCTCGAGACACACCACTCTGCTGGAGGGAGCTCGTCACTCGCCGCCTTCTTGACCCTGAAGCCCCAGCAGCGAGATGAACATGCGTCAGCTTGCGACACCAGGGCCGTCGATGGCGTCCGGATCACTCCATTCACACTCGATTCTGCTGCGTATGCTGCATTAACAGCAAAGCTTGCATCGTACATGGTACCAACGGCCTGGTACGCTGTTGATCACTTTCCGCTGGCGGCGACGGGCAAGCTGGACCGGCAGAGACTCAGAAAGATTGGAGCACTTTTTGCCCAATCCGAGTTCGGCGACAGACTCATTGCTGGCTCCGTGGAAGACTCAGCCAAGAGGACGCAGCCTGAGAGACGGCTTGTGAAGGCGTGTGCTCATGCACTCGGCCTCGACGAGTCGCGAATCGATACAAGGACTAGTTTCTTCAGCCTCGGTGGTGATTCCATCGCGGCGATGAAGCTGGTTGGTGCTGCGAGGCGGAATGGGCTTGTGATCACTGTTGCTCTCATCTTTCAGCATCCCGTACTTTCTGACCTTGCGGCAGTGGCGACGGCCAACGCGACAGAAGAGGGAGAGAAAATCGACCCCTTCTCACTCCTGCCGGTGGAGATCTCCATCGATGTAGTCAGGGATCAGGTCGCTGCGGCGTGTGATGTTGATGCCGACCTTGTACTCGACGCCTACCCTTGCACACCACTGCAGGAGGGAATGCTGGCGCTCAGCTCCCTGGACTCGAGTAATTACGTTCTGCGTACTGTGTTCCAGTTGCCATCAAGGGCCAACATTGAGCAGGTCAGAACGGCCTGGGAGAGCACAGTGCGAGCTCTGCCTATATTGCGGACTCGTGTGGTCCAGCACCTGACGCTCGGACTGATCCAAGTCATTGTCGAGCAGGACGTGGAGTGGAACACAGGGAGCAACCTCGAAGAGTACCTGGCGGCCGACAAGAGGCTTCCCATGACTCTCGGCCAACCACTCGCCCGCTACGGGCTCATTGAAGACGACAAGACCGGAGAAAGCTTCCTCGCGGTGACGATCCACCACGCTCTCTACGATGGAGAGTCATGGCAACTGGTGAGAGAGTATTTCTCCAAGGTTCTTGACCGATCAAATACGCCGCATCTGTCGGACGGATTCAACAGCGTCGTCAAATGCATCCTGGACCGAGATCCTCTCGAGGCCGAGCGCTACTGGCGTGACACCTTTGCTGGGCTGAGCGGCACCGCATTTCCCGCCGCGCCGTCGGGAGCTGGTGTCGTCCAGGTCGACAGCACCATCTACAGTGCCGCAGTTGACCTCCCGAAGAGCATGCGGGCCGGCTCTGGTGTCACGGGCGCCTCGGTGGTCCGGGCTGCCTGGGCCTATGTGGTTCATCAGTTCACCGGCACCGAGGATGTCACCTTTGGCGCGCTTTTGTCCGGGCGCAACATGTCGATCCCAAACATTGACAAGATTATTGGCCCTACCATCGCCACAGTCCCTGTTCGGGTGAGGATACCGTCTTCTCCTTCCTCATCGTCGTCGATCTCGACCTTTCTTAGGGGAGTGCAGGACGCGGCCATCGCGATGATCCCGTACGAGCAGACTGGGCTCCAACACATTGCGAAGTTCGGCGTCGAGGCCCAGCAAGCGTGCGACTTTCAGACGCTTCTCATCGTCAACGCTGCCAAAGCGACAGAGGAGAGTGAGAATGTGGAGGCTGCCGGCTCAGGGAGGTGGATCCAGAAGTTCGACAGCCGAGAGTTCACGACGTACGCTGTCGCCATCCAGTGTGACCTCTCTGTCGCGGGCAGGGTCCAGCTCGAGTGCGCGTTTGACTCCAACATCGTCGAGGCCTGGCGTATGCAGATGATGCTGGATCAAACGACCTTTATCATTCAGCGCTTCATGGAAGCCACCATCGACCAGTCCTTGGCTTCCCTCGGCGACCTCTCGCCATCTGACAGCAAGACCGTCTGGCAGTGGAACAGACATCTCCCACCCAGAGTCAACGAGCGTGTCCACGACATTATCCAACGTCAGATCGATCTGCACCTCGACTCTCCCGCCGTCAACTCCTGGGACGGTGACCTGACGTACCGCGAGCTAGACGATGCGTCCCGACGCCTAGCGCACGAACTGGTGGAGGCGGGTGTCATCGAGGGCTCGCTTGTTCTCCTGTGTTTCGAAAAATCGAAATGGGCCATTGTCGCAAAGCTTGCTGTTCTGCGGGCCGGTGGCGCCTTTGTGCTTCTCGAACCGACGCTGCCAGAGACGAGGCTGCGTAGTATTATCCGGCAGTCAGGGTCTTCTCTTGCTCTGGCGACTGCTAGCACCGAGTCCGTCATCTCGCCACTCACCGCACAAGTCAAAGTACTCGACGACCGACTGCTGGGCCCAATCACAGAGAAATTCGTCAGCAAGTTGCCCATCGTCTCGCCCTCGTCACCAATGTACATCCCGTTCACGTCTGGCACCACGGGTGAGCCCAAGGGAAGCATCATCTCCCACAGCTCCTACGCATCGACACTCCGCTACCAATCCCACCGACTGACCTGTCCACACCCTCGTGTCTTTGATTTTTGCCCTTACTCATTCGACGCATGCATCATCAACAGCATGATGACGCTCGCCGTCGGCGGCTGCATCTGCATCGCGTCCGAATCGGACCGCAAGGATAACCTCACGGGGGCCATGCTGGCGATGAAGGCAAATTGCACAACCTTCACCCCGTCGGTCTCGATGCTGGTGGACTTTACAAAGCTGCCGCTGTTCCGGATGCTCATCTTGGGCGGTGAAGCCGTGAGGGAGATTGACATTGATCGCGTCCCTGATTGGATCCGGGTGGTGAACAGTTACGGGCCGTCTGAATGCACGCCGACGAGCACAATCAACGACGAGACAATCTGCCCGAGGAGAGAGGTCACGCGGATCGGTAAGGGTGCCGGGACGTGTACCTGGGTGGTGCACCCAGAGGATCACAACCGTCTCATGCCCGTTGGCGCTATTGGCGAGCTGCTTGTCGAGGGTGCTGCAGTGGGAGACGGTTATCTCGGCCACCCCGAGAAGACAGCCGCGGCTTTTATTCAGGCGCCGCCCTGGCTGAGGAAAGGCGTGGACGACGATGTCCCGGGGCGTGATAGCCGCCTATACAAGACGGGCGATCTTGTCAAATATGACGAAAATGGGGTTCTCACATACCTTGGACGCAATGATTCTCAGGTCAAGCTGCGAGGTCAGAGACTGGAGCTGGGAGAGATCGAACACCATGTCATCACCTGTCTCCCTGGCGCCAAGGAGGTCGTTGCAGAGGTGATTCATGTTGACGGCAATGCTTCCTCGGCCGCTCTCGCGGCGTTTGTCGTCATGCAAGGAGACGACGCTCCAAAGAGCCTCAAAGACACTTTGCACGCAAGAGCCTTTGCGGTCCCCATGGCCGTGGAGACTGAACTTGCCGCCCGCGTGCCCAGCTACATGGTGCCCACCGCTTGGATCGCCCTCCCAGCCTGGCCTCTGAACAACAATGACAAGATCGACCGCAAAGCCATTCGAAAACTCGGCTCGTCTTTCACGTGGGCGCAGCTATCGCAGACAGCAGTGGGCCCCGAAGTACCGCAGAAACGTCTTCCTAAGACAGAGGCTGAGCGCGCGCTCGCGCAGCTGTTCGGCCGTGTTCTCAATATTGCGTGCGAGTCTGTGGGCGTTGACGACAGCTTCCTGCGGATAGGCGGAGACTCCATCACGGCGATGCAGGTTTCTGCAGAAGCGAGACTCCAGGGTCTGAGTGTCTCTACCGCGGTGATTCTGCGGCACAAGACGATTGCAGATATACTGGAAGCATGCGCTTTGGTGGATAGTCCGACCACGGACCTGGAGACCACTCGCACAGCGTCAGAAGATGAGGACGTCGGGCAGACGACCAGTCTCACTCCCATCCAGGAACTCTTCTTTCGCCACCAGCCTGACCACGCGGTCTCCTTTGACCAATTCTTCCTTCTGGACGTGCGAGAGCGATTGACCGTTGACAGACTCAACGACGCTCTAACATTGCTAATCGACACACACTCGGCTTTGCGGACCAAGTTCATGCAGGGCGAAGGCGGTAGGTGGATGCAATGTGTCCATCGTGATGCTACTTCTGCGTTTCAGACTTTTCACCAGGACGGTCTTCTCGACATGCAGGAGGCCAGCCCGGTCCTTGCCCGCTGTCGAGGAAGCCTCGATATCCGTCACGGGCCGCTTGTGTCGGCCGCGCTTCTTGATATGCTGAATAGTCAGCAACGATTGTTCATCTCGATCCATCATTTGGTTGTAGACCTCATGTCGTGGCGGGTGCTACTCAGCGATCTCGAGAAGATTTTAAAGGGGCTCAAAATCAGTCCTCCTCCCTTGTCATTTGCAAAATGGTCTCGTCTCCAACGCGGATATGTACTGGCAAACCTGGACCCAGCGGAAGAGCTCCCCTCGACCATTCCACCGCCACTGCACGAGTATTGGGGCCTGGGCGAGAAGAGCGCCGCACCATCCTCCACCACCACGGCATCATTTATACTGGATGAGTTGTCGACGTCGCTTCTTCTCGGTGAAGCCAACACTGCCTTTGGCACGCGCGCACCTGAACTGATGATGGCCGGTCTGCTTCACTCCTTCAGCCATGTCTTTGTCGATCGCAGACTCCCGACGATCTTCAACGAGTCCCATGGCCGCGAGTCCTGGAGCGATGCCTTGAACCTGTCAACCACAGTTGGCTGGTTCACAACCTTGCATCCCATCCCAGTCAATGCCACTGAGCTTCTCGAGTTCGTGCGCCGGACAAAGGATTCGGCTCGCAGCTTCTCCCAGAATGGTTGGAGGTACTTCGCATCGCGTTTTGCCGACGAAGCCATCACAGACGAGTTTGCCTCGCAATTTCCCGTTGAGATCATATTCAACTATTCCGGACGGTATCAGCAGTTTGAGAGGGAAGATGCGTTCTTCCAGACCGTCCCGGCGTCGAAAGATCTTGTGGGCCCCATCACCGCGCCCGAATTGAAGCGGTATGCCGTTTTCGATGTCATGGCAACCACAGAAGGTGGATGTCTCGCTGTGACCGTGATGTATGATCAGTGCATCAGCCACAGCGACAAGGTTCAGGTCTGGGCCGATGAGTTCAAGGCTTCTCTGCAGCTGTTAGCCTCGGAGCTTCGCGATCGGCAGCCCGAGTGGACGCTGGCTGAGTTCCCAGGCGTTTTCGGATCCTACTCTGACATCCAGACATTCAACAGTGAGATCTTGCCCCGGATCGACGAGAGCATGCGTTGCAATGGTGTCGAGGACATCTTCCCCATGACGCCCATGCAAGAAGGTATCCTCATCAGTCAGGCGAAACATCCCGAGATGTACCAAACTCGTCTCGACGTGCTTCTCTCCAATTCTACGACGGACGCATCGCGCCTACAATGGGCCTGGAAGCAGGTTGTCCAGCGGCATGCCCTTCTCCGTGCGGTGCTGGTGAGGAACTTCCTCGGCGGGAGGATGATGCACGTGGTGCTGAAGGCGCCAGATGTGCACATTGCGCTCGAGGAAACCACAGAGGATGCTTTGAAGTTGAGGTTGCACAGCAATGATACGAATTATTCGGAATTTGGATTGCAGCATTGCCTAACGTTGTATAAGCTGCTGAATGGAGAGACGCATCTGTTGCTAGAGTTCAACCACGTCATCACAGACGGGTATTCAACTGGGTTGATCCTCCAGGAGCTCAAGTCATTGTACAATGGCGGCTCTGCACTTGGCCCGGCACAGAGCTTCAGCAACGTTGTCTCCTTCTTCGGAAAGACACCGCAAGAAGAGGGTGTTGTGTATTGGAAAACCCTCCTCGCGGATGCTGAGCAGTGCCAGTTTCCAGATCTTGGCGGGGAGGCGATGGCACCTGAAATGCTCACAGTGCCAAACATTGATACAGAGGCGATTCGGGCAGCCTGCGTAGAGTGGGAGACCACGCCTGCCATCATTATCCAGGTTGCCTGGGCTTTAGTACTGGCTGCGTACACGGGTATTCAGCGGCCCTCCTTTGGCGTCATCTGCTCCGGGCGAGATCATCCGATTGACCGCGTCGATATGGTGGTTGGACCTCTGATTGGGATGATCACGGCCAGTATTCCTTTGCAGAGGGAAGCCAGTGTGCTGGACGTGCTCAGAAGTGCGCAGTCGGCTTACTTGGCCGCGCTGCCGTATCAGACCGTGCCCCTTTCAGCGGTCCATAATGCTCTGGGCCTCGGATCGGCGGCGTTATTCAACACAATCTTGTCATTCCAGAAAAGCGAAGCTGCAGATGTTGTGGATGATGTGACCAGCGGTCTTTCTATGAAGGTTGTTGATGGTCATGATCCGAATGAGGTATGTCTGAAGCACCCAAGGCCTCGCTATCCAGCTTTATCGCCCTGGATCGTTGTCGCTAATCGTTGATAGTACGCCATCTCTGTTAGGGTCATCGACAATCCTGCCGGAATCAAGATCCTCATCGACCATGCCGGGATTCTTTCTCCTTTCCACAGTTCCCAACTTGCTAATAGTGTTAGCACGGCCATTTCAACCGTTCTTCACAACGTCCAGGGCAACGTCTCGCATCTCAACATTGTGGATGAGGACAGCGTGGCGCGTGTTTGGGGATGGAACCAGCATCTGCCTGCGCCGGTTCAGGAGTGCGTCCACCAGATCATCGCCCGCCAAGCTGCTGCCAACCCGGATCAATGCGCGGTTGAGGCGTGGGACGGCGAGTTGTCCTTCGGGGATCTGTTGCGGCAGGCTGAGGTACTGGCGCAGTACCTCTCCTCAACAGGCGTTGGACCTGGCACTACGGTGCCTCTATGTTTCGACAAGTCGAAATTCGTCATCGTGTCGATGTTGGCGGTTCTGCTGGCTGGCGCGGCCTTCGTCCCATTAGACCCAGGTCAAGCACCAGCGCGTCGCGAAATAATTCTGCAGCAAGTTGATGCGCATCTAATCCTGACAACCGACGAGCATGCCCAGTCATTCTTCAACCAAGGGCGGGCAGTTTTAGCCGTTTCTGCTGCGTCAATGGAAAGTATATCGTTTGCCCGGACCCATCAGAAACCGGTCAGATCCCCTGCGACGCCGTTGTCGACAATGTACTGCCTCTTCACATCTGGCAGCACCGGCACCCCGAAAGGTGTGGTTCTTTCACACCAAGCTGTGGCCACAAGCAGTACAAACCATGGCACCCGCATCGGATTCTCCTCGCGAACGCGAACCCTGCAGTTCTCGTCATATACCTTTGATGCCTGTATCATGGAGATATTTACCACCTTGATTTTTGGAGGCTGCGTTTGCATTCCAGCGCCCGCAACGCGTCTCGACGTCGCGGGCTCCATCAGGGCCATGAATGTTAACTTGACTTTCCTGACACCTACGGTGGCGCGCCTGGTCAAGACAGATGAGGTTCCATCTCTGCAAACCATTGTTCTTGGAGGTGAGGCGAGCTCTGCGGGAGATCTTTCAAGATGGCATGGGGTCGATAGAGTCATGCAAGCGTATGGCCCAACAGAGTGTGCAGTCTTCTGCACCGCCAACGACGAGGGTTCTGATGCGGTGTGGAAGAACAAAATGGGCCGGGCCGTCGGGAGCAGTGCGTGGATCGTCGACCCGCAAGACGAAAACAGGCTTGCGGCCATTGGCGCTGTGGGAGAACTTCTTATCGAAAGCCATCAGCTTGCCGAGGGATACCTCCTTCAGGACGCCCTCACAGACGAGGTGTTTGTCAAGAACCCGCCATGGCTGACCCGCGGTCTGCCCTCCAGGAAGAATACTGGCAGGTCCGGCAGGGTGTACAAGACTGGCGATCTGGTTCGCTATGTCGGCGACGACGGCACCATGCAGTACATTGGTCGCAAAGACGCGCAGGTCAAACTCCACGGGCAACGCATTGAGCTCGCCGAGATAGAGCACAACGTGATGACTTGTGTTCCAGGAGTGGTGCAGTTCGCAGCTGAGGTAGCCACTCTTGAGAAGGGAGCAGAGAAGATGCTGATAGGATTCCTGGTTTTGGCAGGAGACGGCACAGAGGTGATTCGCTCCGTGCCACCGGCAGCATCGCAAGAGATTTATTCATCGCCTCGACAAGGCGTTCAAATCTACGCCATGGCCTCTGATATCGAGGATGGCCTTGCCAAGCGGATGCCAAACTATATGGTCCCCAGCGTTTGGTTTAGTCTCGTCCGACTTCCCACAGCAATTTCTGGCAAGATCGATCGCAGGAAGCTGAAGGAAATCGCGGCGTGTTTCTCGATGCTCGAGATCGCAGACGCGAAGAGACAGAGCGGTGGTCTGGTCGTGTCCACAGAGGCGGAGAAGCTAATGCAAAGGCTATGGGCGCAGGTCCTGGGTCTGAGGATGGAGGACATCGGCCCAGATGACAGTTTCTTCCGTCTTGGTGGTGACTCGATCGCTGCTATGAAGCTTGTCAGTGTCGCGAGGGATACGGGATTGAATCTCTCCGTCGCTCAAATCTTTCAACAGCCAAGGCTCTCGGTACTCGCAGAAAGCATTGTCGATCCTGCAAGCACGACTGATGCCCCCCAAGTTGCGCCTTTCGCTCTGCTCGGAGAATGGTCTGCGGAGGCGTGCAGGATAGGGGCTGCACGCGCTTGTGGGGTAGACCCTGGGGCTGTGGAGGATATGTACCCCTGCACACCATTGCAGGCTGGCCTGATGGCTCTCACGTCGAAGCAGAAGGGCAGCTATATCTTGCAAAGCGTATTAGAGTTGGGCGAGAACATCGACCTTGCGCGATTCAAAGAGGCCTGGAACCAAGCTGTGGAGTTGACTCCGGTTTTACGAACGCGGATCGCTCAGATCGAGGGAGTTGGGTTGACGCAGGTGGTTTTGGCTGCCCAAGACATTGATTGGCAGCATTCTGCAGATCTGGAGACCTATCTTTATCAGGAGAAGCTCGAGGGTATGGATCTAGGACGGCCGTTGACAAAGTTTGCGCTCATTCACGAGAATGATCGATCACAACCGACACTATTCGCCTGGTCGGTCCACCATGCCCTCTACGACGGCCACTCGATGCCCATTCTGCTCGAGACCGTCCAGAAGCTTTACGACGGAGAGAAGCCACAGCTTAGCCCGGGCTTCAATCTCTTTATCAATTTTGTCCAGGGCCAGGAGTTAAGCAAAGTGAAGTTGTTCTGGGAGGGGGCCTTGGACCGCGTCGAGAGCGAACCGTTCCCAGCGCTGCCGGGGGGTCATTACCTGGTCTCAGCGGACACCACGGTGACGAAGACTTGGTCGCTGCCGAAGGCGCCGAAGCTGGAGAGTACGATGTCGACCATCGTCAGAGCAGGCTGGGCACTGGCTGTTCATCGCAACACTGGTGCACAACACGTCGTCTTTGGTGCCACTTTATCAGGCCGAAACGCACCAGTCTGGGAGATCGAACGCATCATCGGGCCGACCATCACCACAGTGCCTATCGTCGCACAAGTCCCGAACCACGCGACCGCCTCTGAATTCCTGGCCCAGCTCCAGGAGCAGGCCACGGCCATGATCCCATATGAACAGACCGGCCTGCAGAACATCGCCAAGATCAACGACGCAACGAAAGCGGCGTGTGACTTCCAGACTCTACTGGTCGTGCAGCCGACACCTACCGCCGATGTGGGGGAGACGACCCTGGGAACGTGGAGAGAGGTGGCCCAGACCGAGAGGTTTACGACGTATCCACTCACGCTCGTTTGCCAACTTCATGATGATGGGAGTATGGATGCGCAATGCGGCTTTGACACGAGCGTTATTTCCGCGGCCCGCGTGGAGCGCTTGTTGGAGTATCTAGGTGACGCTGTAGCGGAGTTGATGACAGCGGAGCCAACCACGTCACTTGAGTCTTTGAGAGGCGCCAATGCAATGGATCTTGAAAAGATTTGGAAGTGGAATCAGAATTTGCCGGGCGCGATCGAGACACCTGTTGGTGTTACAATTTCCAAGTTTGCTCGCTCTCAGCCTGATGCGCAGGCCGTCGTCGCCCACGACGGGAGCTTAACTTTTGCGCAACTCGAGTCGGTCTCCCACAGTCTCGCCGTGCGCCTTGTGGAGGCGGGTGTCACGCGCGAGACGCATATTCCGCTTGTGTTTGGTAAATCCTGCTGGACGGTGGTGGCGATGTTGGCGGTGCTCAAGGCGGGTGGTGCGTTTGTCCCTCTGGACCCATCCCAGCCGTCGTCTCGCATCGCAGTCGTAAGTGAACAAGTCAACGCTCGCGTGATCCTGGCTTCAGAAAATCTCACTCTTGATATTCTTAAATCTTATGAGATCATCCCAGTCGGACCCTGGCTGCTCGAACCCGCGACAGACTTGCCATCGCTACCGCCCGCCGACCCCACCTCCGCAGCATATATCATCTTCACCTCTGGCAGCACGGGCACTCCAAAAGGTGTGGTCTTAACCCATGAAGCCCTTAGCAGCGGCACCTATCACCATGGCACACGCATTGAGCTCGGTCTCGACTCCCGCGTCCTGCAATTCGCCTCGTACACTTTCGACGCCTCCGTCTTCGAGATCCTGACGACACTGACTTTCGGTGGTTGCGTTTGCGTGCCATCAGAGAAGCAGCGTACTGACGATCTGGCCGCGGCGATGGAGTCCATGGGTGTCAATACAGTATTGCTGACGCCTTCTGTGGCGAGACACTTGGAGCCGGTTTCTGTTCCTTCCTTGAAGAAGATCCTCTTTGGAGGCGAGGCTTCTGGCGCGGAAGACTACGCCAAGTGGATGCCGAGATCGAAGGTCTTTAATTTGTACGGCCCAAGCGAAGCGACGGTCATCTGTACCGTTGCGGAAGTGACTACCAACGCGTTGGTGCAGCCGGGTTCGATTGGCGCAGCGACAGGCTCAACGAGCTGGGTGGTTGATCCGCAAGACCCTAACGTTCTCCTTCCGATCGGCGCGACGGGCGAGCTCCTCGTCGAGGGTCCGATTCTCGCCCGCGGTTATCTCAACGACGATGCAAAGACCACGTCCTCCTTTATCGACACGCCGAGTTGGTTGAAGAGTGGATCTGCCTCTGTTCCTGGTCGTGACGGTCGCCTCTACCGCACTGGTGATTTGGTCTCTTACGAGGAAGACGGCAGTCTGTGTTATCGTGGCCGCCGCGACGCTCAAGTAAAGATCCGTGGCATGCGCGTTGAGCTTACCGAAATTGAGCATCATATTGTCGCGGCACAGAGCCCGCTACGGGATGATTTGCGTGTAGAGGTGATTCGGCCTCTGGGCGAGGAAGCTGCCGACATGCTCGCAGTCTTTGCCGTTTACGACGGATCTCCCGAAGCAAAGTCGGCCTTCGTGGCGGGTGGTACCGAATTGGGGGACCAAGATGGGAAATGTCTCGTTTTGCCCCTACTGGCCGACCTGGAACGGGAAATCGCCGAGAAGCTTCCCATTCATATGATTCCAAGTCTGCTTTTCATCGTCGACAGTATTCAGCTCAACAGGGCTGGAAAGACCGACAGGCAGAGACTACGGCAGCTCGGCGCTTCTCTCTCATCCAGTCAAATAGCCGCCCTTCGCAGTGGTGAAAGAACATCAAAACGCGATCTCGCGTCTCATGAGGAATGCACGCTGCAGAGTATTTGGGCGCGCGTTTTGAACCTCGATGCCAATCTCATCGGTCCCGATATCAGTTTCCTTCGCCTTGGTGGCGATTCCATCACTGCGATGCAGGTCTCCTCGGCAGCGCGTGCGCACCAGCTGGATATTTCTACAGCGGAGATTCTGCAACACAAGACAATCGCTTCCATTGTGGAGGCGTGGAAGGCTCGCGCCGGCGAGGACAGCGGCACATTTGCTGAGATCCTGGGTGCGATTGAGGTTGCAAAGGCGAAAGCTGCCAATGGAGGCGTGCTTCCCTTGACACCAATCCAGAAGCTGTTCTTCTTGCATCAAAAGGATCCGACTGTGTTATTTGATCAGTGCATTCTCCTTGAGCCGCGGAGAACTGTTGATCTGCGCAAACTGCGTGCGGCCTTGGAAGACGTGATACAGACGCATTCAGTGCTCCGTACGACATTTGAGGCTTCGTCGACTGGATCATGGCATCAATGTGTCCCTATGCTGGGCTCAGAGGCAAAGTGCGAGAGCATGAGCCTCTGCCATGTCAAGCTGGATACACTCGACAGTCTCGCAGAAGTGGTCTCCGGATGCAGAGAGAAACTCGACATCACGACCGGTTGTCTCGTTACGGCAGCCCTCATTGACACCACAGATGCTCAATACATCTTCCTCAGCATCCACCACCTCGTCGTCGATCTCGTTTCCTGGCGTATCATCCTGGAAGACCTTGAGAACATTCTCGCAACAGGTTCTCGCCCGGCCCTGTGTCCTTTGTCATTTGAAGCTTGGTCATTCCTGCAAGAAGACTACGCCATCCATCAACTTGACGAGCGTGCTTCTTTGCCGTTTGAGCTGGTGAAGCCTTTGCACTCGTATTGGTATGAGGGCAGCATGGAGTGCAGCAAGGCGACTAGAATAGAAAGCTTTACCCTCAACGAGGACACCAGCCCAGCCATCCTCGGCTCTGCCAACGAAACCCTTGACACCCAGCCATCCGATCTCATGATATCCGCCCTCCTCTTCGCCTTCTCTCAGATATTCTCCGACAGGTCTCTCCCCGCCGTCTTCAGTGAAAGTCATGGCCGCGAAGCATGGGATCCCAGCATCGATCTATCGCGATCTGTCGGGTGGTTCACTACCTTGTACCCAATCCACGTCCAACCGTCGCGCACAGACCTCGTGGACTTCGTGCGGAGAGTGAAGGACTGCAGGAGGCAGATTGCGAGGTCGGGATTCGACTTCTTTACCTCCACGTTTCGCGACAAAAAATATGCGGAGGAGTTTGTCGATGGATTCCCGGTGGAAATCATGTTCAACTATGGCGGTAAATATCAGCAGCTGGAGCGGGATGATGCGTTTTTCCGAAATGTTCCGCTGCCAACGGAGGCGATTTCTGGAGAGAGTGGACTTACAAGACATGCGTTGTTTGACGTGGTAGTGAGCGCCGTGGGCTCAGAGTTGAGCGTGGGCGTAATTTATGACGATAGCTTGGTCGACAAGTTTGGCCCAAGGATCCAGCAGTGGACTCGACGCTTTCAGATCGCCCTCGAGGATCTCGCGATGAGCGTTCCACAAATGTCGCGACAGTGGACATTGACGGACGTTCCGGCCACATTCACCTCTTATGAGCACCTCGACGAGTTTCAGAACAATTTGACGCCCCAGCTTGCGATTGGAAGTGTTGACGAGATTGAAGAGATTTTCAAGTGTGCGCCGACGCAAGAGGGTATTCTCATCAGCCAGGCGAAAGACGCGGAAAGCTACCGATCGAGGGTGTGCATCAAAGTATCAGCCCCCGACAGGGAGTCGGTGAATATCGACCGTGTGCAAGGCGCGTGGGTGGATGTTGTGAAGCGTCACTCCCTGCTGCGGGCAGTCATTGTCGATTCATTGCCCGGCAGCGAAAACGCGATGATCGTCGTTCGGAAGAATGTTGCATTCGATTTCGAGCTACATGAGGATTCGACTGCAGAGGCAGCAGCCCTCGCTTGGAAGGAGGGTACCGACCCGCGAGGCTGGCGATTGGAGCATCATCTAGCTTTCCACCGAGTGTCGTCTCATGAGGTGCTCGTCATCCTGGAGATGAACCATGCCATTGTAGATGGATTCTCCATCAGTCTTCTTCTCGCGGATTTGCAGGCGGCGTATCGCAGCACATTGCCGCCGGGGCCAGCGCCGTCATATCGCAGATTCGTGGATCACATCTCTCTGCAGGCAAACGAGCAAAGCTGTGAATACTGGAAGCATGCTCTAGCCGAGGCCCACCCTTGCCAATTCCCGAATTTGAGCGGGAGAGGTGATGGCGCAAGCGGGTCATTGCTCGCCGAGGCGGTGCGACTCACGGTGCCGAATGTCAACCACAACGCGATCCGCGCGTTCTGCACTCGACACGAAGTCACGCCCGCGATCGTCATCCAGGTCGCATGGGCGCTGGTCTTGTCCACCTACACAACCTCATCATCTCCAGTCTTTGGAGTCTTGACGTCTGGCCGCGACCTGCCAATCGATGGCGTGGAAGCCATCTTCGGTCCCCTCATTGGCATGCTTGTTTGCCGCATCGACCTCGGCGGCCGGACCGAGAGTATTATCGACACCGTGAGAAATGCTCAGAAAGGATATCTTGAGAGTCTTCCGCATCAGAATGTACCGTTGGCGATGATTCAGAATGAGTTGAGGCTGGAGAATGGTGTCGCGTTGTTTGACAGCGTGATGTCTTTCCAGAAGCGTGGAGAAGGTCCGGGGGGTGAAGGTGTGGCGCATGAGCCACAGACGCAATTCACGATCATCGGTGGCGTTGATCCATCAGAGGTGAGTCCAGCTCCACGCCACACTTTAGTTCAACTACAACTTGCTGCACATCGCCATTCAATCGCGTTTGCGTCGCTAACATAGGGACAAACAGTACGCAATTTCCATACAGGCCGTCGATGATGGCCATAATATCAGAGTGGCATTGGACTGTCGTGTCCCGCTATCCACGACACAGGCAGATCGATTGGCCGACAGCTTCAGTGTCGCCATCGCGTCCATCGTCGAGAACAATGATGCTGGCAGCATTACAGACGCCCAGCTCCTCGACGAATCGACTCGCGATCAGCTATGGGAATGGAACAAGAATCTCCCACCACCGGTGGAGAGAAGTGTACACGAGTTGATCAACCACCAAGCTCACAGATCTCCAACACGATCCGCGGTGTGCGCCTGGGATGGAGAGTTCACATACGCCGAGCTGGATAGGCTCAGCACTCGCCTGGCATGGCACCTTCTCGCCTTAGGCGTCCAGCCACGCGTCGAAAGGATACCAATTTGCTTCGATAAAAGTTTCTGGGTTATTGTCTCGATTCTCGGCGTACTCAAAGCTGGTGCAGCGTTCGTGCCTCTGGATCCGACGCAGGCTGCCTCGAGACGCGAAACGCTGCTTGGAGAGATCCATGGACGGATCATACTCGCATCGGCAAATTATGCGGCTTCACTTGACAACGAAAGTAGGACAGTGCTGACGATTGATCAAAACGCGATGGACAACATGGGGGCACAGGGCTACCACGGGCACGAACCTTTAGCCGTCGACCCCGACGCCCTCTGTTATGTCCTCTTCACTTCCGGGAGCACTGGTATCCCCAAAGGCGTTCTCGTCCAACACCAAGCAGTGGCGACAAGTTGCATTTCGCATGGAACAGAAGTTGGCTTTTCAGCTTCGTCAAGGGTTTTCCAATTTTCATCCTATACGTTTGACGCGTGCATCATGGAGATCATGACGACACTCATCTTCGGCGGCTGCATCTGCATTCCTAGCAGTGATGACCGGATGGACAACATTTCCGGCGCCATCAACAAATTTCAGGTGGACTTAATGTTCCTCACGCCTACGGTTGCTGGGCTGATTGACCCGAAGAGTGTGCCGAGTTTGAAGACTATCATTCTTGGTGGCGAAGCCACGACCACGGACGACTTTTCGAGATGGAAACACCTAGATCGTGTATTCAACGGCTTTGGACCTACGGAAACAACGGTGTTCTGTGTCATGAACTCGGGCGAAACACTGTACACTGACCAGGGCCGCATTGGTCGAGCCATAGGCGCTACGACCTGGCTCGCCAACCCATCCAATCTTCCACAGCTCGTACCCATCGGTGTCGTCGGTGAGCTACTCATTGAAGGTCATGGGCTCGCAGCGGGCTATCTCAACGACGCGCAAAGTACGTCAGGCTCCTTTGTTGAAGATCCGGCGTGGTTGGTACGCTATGGACGGAAGGGCAAAGTATACAGGACTGGCGATCTGGCAAGATACACAGCCGATGGAGGTTTAGTGTACGTCGGCCGGGCGGACACGCAGGTTAAGGTCCGTGGGCAACGTTTGGAGCTCAAGGAAATCGAGCTGCAAATCACTGCGGCTCTGAAAGGAGTGCAGCAGGTTACGGTAGAGGTGTTCACGCCTCGCGGCGACGGAGCGATCCCGGCCATCGCTGCCTTTGTTGTTTCGGACGATGCTGGCACGGAGCTCAAGATTGTCGAGAGCCCGGTAGGCGTTGCGGAAACCCTGTCATCGCATCTCCCATCCTACATGGTTCCGTCCACCTGGTTTGAAATCTCAGCTGTCCCGCTCACCGCCTCCGGCAAGACAGACAGGAAGAGGCTGCGCGAGCTGGCGTCTCGCTTCTCGAAAACCCAGCTAGCAAGCTTTCAGAATATCGACAAATCACCCAGAGAGGCTCCTGCCACAGAGACTGGACGACAGCTTCTCTTGTTGTGGTCCCAGGTCCTCGACCTGCCTGCGGAAGTCATTGGGCTTGATGACAATTTCTTTCACCTTGGTGGGGATTCAATCGCGGCCATGAGACTCGCTGGTCTTGCTCGCAGGTCTGGGATTACACTTTCGGTCGCACAAGTCTTCCAGTGCTCAAGACTGGGTGATTTGATTTCGATATTGAAGCCATCGGTTTATGATGCGGCCGGCAACGTTGTTGATTTCGAAGACGTACCGCCATTTTCACTACTTGGTGACGGACTTGCTGTTGCACAATGTCGACAGGAAGTTGCAGACATGTGCAACATCGTACCAGGGAGTGTGGAAGATGTGTACCCCTGCACCCCTATGCAGGAAGGTCTCCTCGCCCAGACAATCAAAAATCCTGGTGACTACGTTCTTCAAAATATCATGGAGCTCGCAGACGACGTCGATCTGCTCAGATTCCGCCAAAGTTGGGAGCACACTGTTCGCGCTAACTCCATTCTTCGCACAAGACTTGTTCAGCTCGAGGGACATGGTCTCGTGCAAGCCGTCCTCAAAGCAGGCATTTTCTGGCGGGAAGCGATGGATTTAGAGGCGTATCTGAGTAGTGACAAGCTGGAAGTGATGGAGCTTGGCGTGCCGTTGGCACGATACGCGATTGTCACAGATGAGGCCGCGACCAAGAGATGGTTCGTCTGGTCGATCCATCACTCCATTTACGACGGCGGCTGTCTTCACCTAATGAAAGCCGAGGCCGAGCGCGTCTATCTCTCAACGACAGTCGCTCCATTGTCGCGACCGCCTTTTAGCCTCTTCGTCAAGCATATCATGGAGAACTCCAAAGGCGACGAAGCTGTCAATTTTTGGAAAACTCAGATTGAGGGTTACGATACGCCGACATTCCCTGCCTTGCCTAGCGAAGGGTACAATGTCGTAGCCGACGCTCTTCTTGAGCGTGCGTGCTATACTCCCCAGTCGCTAACGAGTAGCGGAATCACTGTTGCAACAGTGCTTAGAGCGTCGTGGGCCCTAACTATAGGTCGACAGACCGGCACGGACGATGTTGTCTTTGGGATGACACTCTCTGGTCGCAACGTCAATATTCCAAGCATCGAAGCTGTTACTGGGCCGACCATTGCCACTGTTCCCATTCGAGTGCAGCTTCCCAGGATTGAGCAGGAGGTGCTCACTGTCTCGGGGTATCTTGATCGTGTCAACAGTCAGGCCATCTCAATGATGCCTTACGAGCAGACAGGCCTCCACAAGATCGCCACCATCGACACGTCCTGTCAGCGTGCTTGTACTTTCCAGACCCTGCTTGTTGTGCAGCCAGCGCAAGATGACCCTGCAAAGTATCAGAGCTCGGAGCTTGGCATCTGGCAGTCTTCGGCTCGGACGCGCGAATTTACCACGTATGCGGTCACAATCATCTGTCAAATGGTCAAGGATGGTTCGATGAAGATTGGTTGCGCTTTCGATCCTCGTGTCGTTGAGGAGTGGAGGATGGGGGCTATTCTGGACTATTTTGTTGCTATTACTCAGCAACTCCTAAACGCTGGGCCAGACGATCTCATTGCGGGCCTTGGGGGACTTCTCGCACCTGAAGTCGAGCAGCTGCGGCGCTGGAACGATACCGTCCCGGCAGCGGTGGAGCGGTGTATTCATGACCTCATCCAGGATCAGCGGCTTCGCCAGCCATCAGCAGTTGCCGTTGAGGCTTGGGACGGGAAGCTCACATACGAGAACCTCATGTCTTACTCGCAGCTTCTCGCGAGTCACTTGGCCATATTGGGTATCACGAGGAGTGACATTATTCCTCTTGTGTTTAACAACAAGTCAATGTGGACAGTTGTGGCTATGATGGCTGTTCTTAAAGCTTCGGCAATGTTCACTCCTCTGGATACGACGCAGGCACCAGAAAGGCGAAAGCAGGTTCTCCGTCAGACTGGAGCGAAGCTAGTCCTCACATCAGAACACCAACGCGACCTTGACGCTGGAGAAGGACAACGCACACTATCCGTCGGATCACAGCTAATCAAAGACCTGCAGGAGACGATGCCCCCCTCAACAGAGCATCACCCCTCAAGCCCTACTTCAGGCGCATACGTGCTCTTCACCTCCGGCAGTACAGGCCAGCCAAAGGGAGTCCTCGTCTCCCACCGCGCCATCAGCACCAGCAGCGTTCACCACGGCGCCCTCATTAGCCTCACACCAAGCTCACGATTTCTCCAATTTGCCGCCTACACATTCGACGCTTCCATCACTGAGATCCTCACAACCCTTGTCCACGGCGGCTGTATCTGCGTTCCAGCGAGAGACGAGCTTATGGGAGACCTGGCGGGTACGATGGCTGCGTACAACGTCAACGTGGCCTTGTTGACGCCTTCGGTGGCGCGAACATTGCAGCCAAACTCGGTGAAGTCGCTGAAGACGCTGTTGTTTGGTGGTGAGGCTGTGGCTCACGCCGATGTTGAGCGATGGACGGGTGCGGTTGACAATCTTGTCAATCTATATGGGCCGACCGAGGCTGCGGTGATCTGCTGTGGCAGACGCATCGACAAAATGGATGACCGCGATGACAATCGCTCCGGCATGCTGGGTCACGCGGTTGGCTCCGTCAGCTGGGTTGTCGATTCCACGGACCCTAGCAGGCTCATGCCCCTCGGCGCCGTCGGTGAACTCGCGATCGAGGGCTCTATCCTCGCGGACTGCTACATCAATGATCCGGACCGAACCCGATCCTCATTCATCCAGGATCCAGCATGGTTGATGTCAAAGAGGCGTGGGAGAGTCTACCTCACTGGTGATCTGGTCAGATACCACGCCGATGGCACGCTTTCCTACATCGGCCGTAAAGACAGTCAGGTCAAGATCCGTGGTCAACGTCTCGAATTGACGGAGGTAAATCATCACGTGCAGGCTTGTGTGCGCGACACGCAAATTGTGGTCGAGGCGGTCGAGACAGGTGGTGCAAAGGACCATGCGCTTGCGGTCTTTGCCGTTGTTCCCAGGACCATGACTGCAGATGGAGACGTCGATCATGGCATTTCCATGTCTCCTATAAGCCCTGAGCTAGAGGAAGAGCTGAGCAAGAGGTTGCTGAGCTACATGATTCCCACCGTTTGGTTCGAGATGCAGGAACTGCCGCTCAACGCCTCGGGAAAAGCCGATCGCAGGCGACTACGCGAGCTGGGCGCCGCTTGCTATGCGAGGACAATGTTTGACCAAACCTGTGGCATGGCCAATGCAAGCAAACGTATGCCCTCCACTGTGGATGAAATCCTGATGCAGAGCGTCTGGTCACGAACTCTCGGCCTTCCTCCACACACCATAGGGCTCGACGACAGCTTCCTCCGCCTTGGAGGCGACTCCATCACCGCGATGCATGTTTCCTCTTCACTCCGTGCTTCTTCTGTCATTGTCCCAGTAGCCACAATACTCAAAGCCAAAACCATCAGTCGGGTTCTCGCGGCAATTGGCGGTAACCAATCGCTGCCCAATGACACCAAGATCTTCAGTGAGGAGGCCCCCGGCCAACCATTCAGCCTCACCCCGATCCAACAAGTTTTCTTCGGCCACCAACGTGATCCTCATGTTCAATTTGACCAGTGTTTCTTCCTCCGCGTGGATTCACCGGTTCGGTATGAGATGCTGGTCAGGGCTCTCGATGTTGTCGTGCAGACACATGCCATGCTACGCGCCCGATTCTACCACGACGCAGCTCACGGCTGGCAGCAGTACATCTTGCCAGAGCCACGGGGGTCATACACGTTGGTGTCTGAGGAATGTTCGGATCAGACGGCGACAATAGCCGCTATTGCTCGCTGTCGTCAGTCTCTAAACATTGAGAGCGGTCCTCTTCTTGCTGGAGTCCTGATTGAGAGAGATGAAGAACAGAATTTGTTTCTCGCGGTCCATCATCTTGTCGTTGATCTTGTTTCCTGGAGGACCATTCTACAGGACCTGGAGAGTCTCATCATTGCAGCCTCCGTCAACAAAGTACAAACACTCCCTCCGCCGTCTCTGTCATTCTCTGCTTGGTGCAACCTCCAGAAAACCTTCGCCGAGATGAACCTCCGCCACCAGACAGGCTCCACGGAGATCGTCCCGCCCATGTTGTCATACTGGGATCTCGACGCAGATAGCAACGCTATCCAAGAAACTATGCGGCAGAGTTTCACTCTCGAGGCATCGGCCACTTCCGCCCTGTTCGGCGCATGCAACAACCTCTACCGGACACGTCCGCTGGAGCTCATGGTCGCGGCTCTTTTGCACGCCTTTTCTTGCACCTTTAATGACAGATCTTTGCCGTGTCTCTGGAACGAGGGTCATGGTCGCGAAGTTTGGGACGACAACTTGGATCTATCGCGCACCGTCGGATGGTTTACTACCCTCACACCGGTGCAGATCACGCAGGCGACAAACACGACCAGTATTCATGAGTACATTCGGATGACAAAAGACCACATGCGTGGCCTGTCACACAGTGGTTGGGCAGACTTTGTCTCTCACTTTGTCGACAGTGACTCGGCCAGCGATTTCATTGCCAAATTGCCCGCAGAGATCATGTTCAACTACAGCGGTGGCTTTGGCCAGCTCGAGCGCGAAAATTCACTTTTCCGGAACATCAGCGCGCCAACGTCCAGCAAGGACGTGCAAGAATTTGAGCCATTCAGACGACATGCGGTCTTTGATGTGTTGGCTGGTGTGAGCGGCGGGCTGCTGAATGTGAATTTCATCTTCCCGCAGTCTGTACAGTCACACAGGAACATCTCAGCGTGGGTCAAGAACTACGAAACCACCCTTGAGAACCTACGCGAGACCATGGCCCACGACAACACAGCCCGGCTAACAATCTCCGACTTTCCAGCTATATTCGACTCATATGCGGCTATTGACGAATTCCACGTCTCCGTACTTCCACATCTCAACATTGCCTCCATCGACGAGATTGAGGATATCTATTCATTAGCACCGGCTCAACAGGGCATTCTTATCAGTCAGCAGAAAGATTCCAAGGCATACCACTCTCGGATCCACGTCAAGGTGTTGGCGAGAGAGGGAAGCAGGGATGGAGCTGTTGACTTGTCAAGACTCCGCGGTGCTTGGCGGGCGGTGGTGCAGCGGCATGACCTCCTTCGCGCGCGCATCGTTCATCTCCCCATGAGCGGCCGCAGTGTGCAAGTGATTCTCTCAAATCCGCCGATCAGCACAACAGTCAAGTCCTCTGCCAGCTTTGAGAATGTCGTGGAAGCGGTCAGGTCCAGCGCACCGCCTTCTTATAGCCCCTCCGACTTGCAGCACCACCTCGCCATCTTCCAGGTCAGCGCCAGCGATGTGCACCTTGTCCTCCAGATCAACCACGCCATCATCGATGGCTACTCAACAACTCTTCTCGCACGCGACCTCCAAGCCGCTTATACTCACGACGGCAACCGTTCTTTGACCCCTGCGACTTCATACGGCAACTTTGTCACGTTTGTCGAGCGTCAGTCGCGCGAAGAGGGTCTACAGTTCTGGATCAACCGTCTTCAGGGCTGCGAGCCATGTCATTTTCCAGACCTTGTCCCAGCCACCGAGTCCGAAGCCATCGACGAAAAGCAACAAGCCACGTCAATCAGTGTGCCGGGCTTGGACAGCGTCCTCATTCGGAACTTCTGCAAGCACACCGAAATCACAACCGCGACGGTCATACAACTTGCTTGGGCGCTCGTCTTGCGCTGGTACACCGGCTCACTTGACCCATGCTTTGGGATCCTCTGCTCAGGACGAGACCTACCCATTCCCGGGGCTGATATCATTCTCGGACCCATGATTGGCATGCTGACCTCTTGGGTTCGTCTTGGGGCCACCGAGGCGTCTACAGTGGCGCAGACACTCGATGCGATGCAGGCGTGGTATCTAGAGAGCTTGCCATACCAGACTGTGTCGCTGGCGGAGCTGCATAGTGGCCTTGGATTGGGCGGCGATACCCTGTTCAACAGTGTTGTCTCGTATCAGAAAACGGGAGAGGAGAGGAGAGGTCATGACAATGTTGACGAGGTGGTTGAGATTTCATTAGCTGGTGGCTACGATCCCACAGAGGTAAGTGACGCTCCTCTCCCAGCCAGAGTCTGGCTAATTGCGATTAGTATACCATTTCCGTCCGGGCTATCGACAGCCCCGACGCTCTGCAGCTCATCGTCGACTACCACGAAGCGCTCAGCGAAGTAGACGCTGCTCGCATCGGCGACTGCTTCAGCGCTGCAGTCAACGCCATTGTCTCCCAGCCTGATGCTCAGATTTCGACCCTTGACATTGTGCTCTCTCAGGCTCGCCAGCAAATATGGGAATGGAACGGCGTGGTCCCGCCAACTGCCGACATGTGCGTTCACGACCTGCTCGAGGAGACCGTAAGCAAGTACCCCGGTAAGGTTGCTATCTGCAGTTGGGACGGCGACTTGACCTATAGGGACATGTGGGAACACGCTGGTCGACTTGCGTCTTGTCTGCTGCAGAGCGGCCTTGCTCCGCACAGTATTATTCCTCTCTGTTTTGAAAAGTCAAAGTTCACAGCGGTCGCCATGGTCGCGGTACTTCGAGCAGGCTACGCTTTTGTTCTCCTTGACCCATCTCAACCCGAGGAACGCCTATCCAGCATTGTCCGACAAACCCGCGCAACCACCGGAATTTGTTCACGGTCGTCTTCCGATTTGCTCTCGGGAATCATCGAAAAGTTCATCATCATTGAAGATAACTCACACCTAAAATACCCAATTCCACAGGTCCAGCAAAGCGACCCTAGATCCACCATGTACATCATCTTCACGTCCGGCACCACAGGCAAGCCAAAGGGCACCATAATCAGCCACAAGTCCTTTGCCTCTGCAATCACTCACCAAGCTTCACGTATCGGTTTCACCCCTGCCACCAGGATCCTGGACTTTGCCTCCTACAGCTTTGACGTGTCAATTAACACTCTCATGATGGTCTTGTCTACTGGAGGTTGTGTCTGTGTCCCCTCTGAGGACGACCGCAAAAACTGTCTGACTGAGGCAATTGTTCACTTTGGCGTCAACACAATTGACGTTACGCCTTCAGTCTGTCGTCTGCTCGAGCCCGATGAGATGCCGCTGGTCACGACCATGATTCTCGGTGGCGAGCAGTTGCGCTCGATCGATATCGCGCACTGGCCCGCTCGGGTGCGCGTGGTCAACTGCTACGGACCATCAGAGTGCACGCCTACCAGCACGATCAACGACGCACAAGGGCCGAATTCTATCACCGGGATCGGAAGAGGCAGCGGAGCGGTCACCTGGGTCGTCGATCCCAACAACCACAATGTCTTGGCTCCACCGGGAGCCACCGGTGAGCTACTGCTTGAGGGTCCCATCGTCGGCCAAGGCTATCTCAACGACCCATCGCACACGGAAGGTTCTTTCATCACCGATCCCGAGTTCCTGGTTCAGGGCTCGGCGTCACATCCAGGACGCAACGCCCGACTTTACAAGACTGGCGACCTGGTGCGGTACCTAGAGAGTGGTGACTTGGTGTACCTTGGGAGGAAGGATGCCCAGGTCAAGCTACGTGGGCAGCGTGTGGAATTGGGGGAGGTGGAGCACCATGCTCTAACCTACGTTCCTCAGTCCAAGGAGGTGGTGGTGGATGTGATTCGGCTGGCTGACGGCGATGCAAATCAGCAGGTCCTCGCTGCGTTTGTGCTCTTGGACTCCAGCAATGAAGCGAGCCAAATGGTCACTGAGACTGTCCACCGAAATGGCGTCGACATCGGTATCATGTGCAGCACAACCGCTCTCGAAGACGCACTCGCCCAGCGACTGCCGACGTACATGGTCCCGACAGTCTGGTTCGCTGTTTCGGCCATCCCGCTTACCATGGCCGGCAAGACCGATCGCCGCAAGCTTCGTGACATCGGCTGCCACTTTTCCGCTGCGTACATTGGTGAGAAGTTACGTCAAGCCAGTGGAGACAACACCAAGCCACAGACGGGGATCGAGGTAGCGTTGCAGATGCTGTGGTGTGATGTTTTGCAAATCGAAGAGTCGGACATCACGCTCGAGGACAACTTCTTCCGCGTTGGAGGTGACTCGCTCAAAGCGATGGGGCTCGTGGCCAAGGCGAGAAAGGCCGGTCTTGATGTCTCTGTTGCGTTGATCTTCCAGCATCCGCGCCTTGGGGATCTCGCGACAGAGCTCGCACTTTTGAAGACTCCGGACCACACAGTCGGGGAGACACAGGGCGATGTCGAGGCTTTTTCGCTCGTTCCCGTTTCTGCAATTGAAAGTGAGAGTCTGGCGAGCTACGTCGACCAGGTGGGTCAAGCTTGCTTAGTCTCTAAGGAGGAGGTTGAGGACATCTACCCTGCAACACCTCTCCAGCAGGGTCTTGTGGCGCTCTCAGCGCAACGACCCGGTGAATATGTCATCCAGAACGTCATGGAGGTTTCTCCGGCCACAGACTGTGTCCGACTACAACGTGCTTGGGACGAGGCGGTGCGCAGAACGCCGATACTTCGCACTAGAATTGCACAAGCTCGAGCTGGTCCTCTCGTGCAGGTCGTCATCAGACCTCAATCGTATGAAAGCGTTTCGTGGACGCACGGCACCAACTTGGAGGGCTATCTCCTCCAGGACAAGAAAGAATTGATGCAATTCGGAAAGTCGCTTACACGGTTCGCCCTTATCCAGGAAGACGCTGCTTCATACTTGGTCTGGACAATTCACCACTCGATTTACGACGGTCACTCGCTGCCACAGATTCAAGCGCTTGTCCACAGACTTTATCATGACGACCGCAATACCCTTGGATCTGGCCCGCTCTTCAGCACATTCGTCCGATATCTGTTGCAACAGGATGAAGATGTGAACAAGCAATTCTGGGCCACCGCCCTAGCTGGCTGCGAATCCACTCCTTTCCCGCCCACACCTCCGTCCATGTCCCTCCTGGACACCCCAATCACTGCCGATGCCTCCCTCAGTATTTCCTTCACTACGCCACCGAGCCACAAATCCAGCGTCACGGTAGCAACCCTCATACGCGCCGCCTGGGCTCTGACCGTGTACCGCTACAGCGGCTCGCCAGACGTTGTTTTCGGCGCCACGCTCTCTGGCCGGAATGCGCCCGTGCCTGGCATTGAAGACATCCTTGGTCCAACGATTGCTACCGTTCCTGTGCGGATCGCGGTGCCTGCGAGAGATGACACTCTGACGCTGCTTGACTTTTTGACTGACGTGCAGGCTGGCGCTACGGCTATGATGCCGCATGAGCAGCACGGGCTGCAGAATATCGCCAGGCTGAGTGAAGAGGCGCACAGAGCCTGCGATTTCAAGACACTCCTTGTCATCCAGCCTCATGAGGATGACAAGGTTCATGATCAAGGTGGCCACCAAGCACTCGGTGTCTGGCGGGAAGCTGTCGTTGCGAGTGGAGCATCTAGCACGTATCCCCTCTCGGTCATCTGCAGCCTCTCCAGGTCGGGGACAATGCACGTCGCATTCAATTTCGATGCGCGGATCCTTCCGCAGTGGCGAGCTGAGCGTATTCTCGAGCAGTTCCGCTTTTCCATCTGCGAGCTTTCGACTCTGGATCCCGACACAGTACTAGGCCAGACGGAGAGTCTCTCGCCTGCCGACAAGAACCAGCTTTGGTCGTGGAACTGCGTGGTTCCAGACCCAATAGAGGCATGTGTTCATACTCTTGTGCAGAAGAAGGCACAGAATCAGCCGGGGTCGATCGCTGTGAGCGCCTGGGACTGGGAAATGACGTATCGCGAGCTGGAAGAAGCGGCTACGAAGCTCTCACGATATCTCTCAGACAAACGCGGCATTGCACCTGGTGCAATCGTTCCGTTGTGCTTCGATCCGTCGATTTTAGCGGTTGTCGCAATGCTTGCAGTTCTACAAGCTGGCGCAACGTTTGTGCCGATGGACCCGAGCCAGCCAGCAGACCGGAGGAGGCAGGTCTTGACCCAGATCGACGCAAAGACCCTCTTGACCTCGCCTGCTCTCGCTGGGACGCTGGCCGGGGATCACGCTCATTTGGCGGTTGTGGCTGTTGATCATGAGCTCTTTGTCGACAGTCCCGCGATCCCACGGTGCGAGGTAGTTGATCCGACATCTGCTGCGTACATCATTTTTACATCCGGCAGTACAGGCCAGCCAAAGGGTGTCGTTGTCAGTCAAGGAGCCATCGCGACAAGCTGCTGGTATCATGGATTGGCCATCGGGCTGGGCCCAGAGTCAAGGGTGCTCCAATTCGCATCATACGCTTTCGACGCCTCACTACAGGAGATTCTGACAACCTTGGTCCACGGCGGCACTGTGTGCATTCCCTCCAACTATGATATTCGCAACAATCTCACTCAGAGTGTACGCAATCTGCGAGTCAATACCGCCTACCTGACACCATCCGTCGCGAAGCTGATCGATCCGATGCACGTTCCGAGCTTGACCACCATCATGCTTGCGGGAGAAGTTTCGGCCGCGCAGGACTTCCATCGTTGGTCAAGGCCGGGGCAAACCGTCTTGCACGGCTACGGGCCCACCGAGTGCGCGATCCTGTGCTGCGTGGCGCGTGTTGACCTCGCCGCCGATCTGCAGCCCGCCCGTATCGGCACAGCCGTGGGTGGTGTCAGTTGGGTCGTTCATCCCGATGACCACACACAACTCCAGCCCGTTGGTGTCGTTGGAGAGCTTCTCATCGAAGGCCAAATCCTTGCCACCTCTTACTTGCATGATCAAGAGGCTACCGATTCCTCATTCGTCAATTCACCCCCGTGGCTCATCAACGGCTCACGTGGCGACCACTCTGCCGGACGCCAAGGTCGACTCTACAAGACTGGAGACCTGGTTTCCTACAACCCTGACGGGTCGCTCAACTACATTGGCCGGAAAGACTCGCAGGTCAAGATTCGTGGGCAGCGCGTCGAGCTTGGTGATGTGGAAGTCTCGATTTCGCAGTGCTACCCCGAGGCTCATCAGCTCGTCGCCGAAATCATCAAGCCGAGGGGCGAGAGTCGCCATCCACTGCTTGCTGCTTTCGTGGTATTGGAGACGCCTGATCAACCTTCGTCGCCAAGAAATACCAATGGAGTGGACATTGTGCTTCTCTCCACTCCAGCGACCGTCGAGAGTCAGCTTCGTGACATGGTACCCGATTACATGGTACCATCAGCATGGTTCGCTATCTACAATTTGCCTTTGACTACGTCAGGCAAGACAGATCGCAGGAAACTTCGCGAGGCTGGTTCCACTTTCACAGCTGCGGACCTGGCATCAGTAGCACGCGAGGATGCCGATGTCACACAGCGACTGCCTTCGACGGAGGATGAGCGGACTCTTTGCCGTCTGATCGCCCAAGTTCTCAACATTAATGCTGCGATCACACCTATTGGAGTTGATGAAAACTTCTTCTACCTCGGAGGAGACTCCATCACAGCCATGCAGCTGTCCACTGCTGCGCGAGGCGAGGGATTGCGCATCTCGACCGGCATGGTCACGCGCTTCAAGACAGTCCGCCGAATATTGGACGCCGGCGACGGCGACCATGTTCCGCAGACTCTTTCCAGGGACGACCTCCATACCCCGGAAGACCAGATCGTGCCGCTGGCGCCGATTCAGCAAATGTTCTTCCTTCACCAGCCGAGCCCCAGTGTCTGCTTTGACCAGTTCTTTTACCTTCGGCCGAGGACAGCCATCACGCAGACAAGCCTCGAAGTCGCGTTTGGCCAGATACTGCAGGCACATCCGATTCTCCGCGCGCGCTTCCGTCCGGACGGCGAAGGTGTGTGGGCACAGCAGATCACGCCCACAATGGATAATTTCCGCTGCACAATGCGCGCGTGCAACAACTACGCGGAAGTTGCATCTGCCATCAAGGCTCAACGCGCCAGCCTAGACATTACGAGCGGCCCATTGATCGCCGTGGTTCTCTTTGAAGTCCATGGTGTCCAGACGCTCTTCATCACGATCCACCATCTCATCATTGACCTGGTCTCCTGGCGCATCATCCTGGCAGACCTGGAGAAGTTACTTACCAGCGACCCATCGCCGCTCGCGCCGGTCGGGACATCCTTCGCCACGTGGTCCACGTTGCAACAGCAGCGTGCCGGTCAACTCACCATCGCCGGCCAAGGCGAAGGACGTCTGCTTCAGCCTCCATTGTCGCAGGTCGCCTACTGGACCGACGATGCCGCCGCGGCGAGCTTGGACAAGGACTCTTCGACCCTAACGTTCACTCTTGATGAGGAGACCACCAAGGCGATTCTCGGGTCGTGCAATCAAGCCTTGGGCACAAAGCCGATTGAGCTGATGATCTCCGCGCTCATGTACTCGTTCCGTCGTGCCTTTGAGGATAGAGACTTGCCAGTGGTGTACAATGAGGGTCATGGTCGCGATAGTTGGGACGACCAGCTAGAGCTGGACCTATCAAGGACCGTAGGATGGTTCACCACGCTCTACCCGGTTCACGTCGACGCGGGATCTCTTAGCGAGGATACTCAGGACAGTCTCCACGACATGGTAGCCAAGGTCCACTCCACCATGTCCACAGCCGCGTCCCCAGACACCGGCGCCGCATGGTTCACCTCTCAATTCGCCACGGCCGACGCCGCCGCATCCTTTGTCCGAAGCCAGCTCCCCGCGGAGGTCGTCTACAATTACGCGGGCGTGTACCAGCAACTTGAACGCGATGACGCCTTCTTCGAGGTCACATCACCCTCCGCCATGGCCGCCGGCGCGGAGTGTGGAGCCTCGTTCGACATTGACCCGTCTTCCGCGGCCGAGGCGAAGCGGTACGCGCTGTTTGAGGTGTTGGCGGGTGTGTCGGGTGGAAAACTTGGGATTTCGGTGCTGTATAGTCAGCATTTGAGGCATCAGGAGAAGATTCGCGCGTGGTTTCATGGGTTTGAGGAGGCCTTGATAAGGATTGCGCGGTGAAGTGCTGCTTGCTCGCCGTCGGGAGGTCAGCGACTGACCGAGGCGACCGGCTAGGAGCTGTGATGATCCGTTGATTGAGGGTGCATTACTTTACCGTATATGCATTATTACAACGGTTTTGTTCGGTCTTGATTCAGTTTCCACTGGTGTTTCAATGGCCCAATTGTGTTTGCTCAGTTCTGCGGATTATCCGAGGCTTGAGCTCATAGGCGAGGAAGGCTACCCTACACCGCTACACCTCGATTTATCACAAACTGACCAGGACAACTGCTCACCTGCTAGTTTAGACTCACAGTAGCTAATTAAAAGGTAAAAAAAGAGCGATAAGGCCGAGGCCTCTGTATTAGTTTGAAGACAGCTATCTATAATAGTGCTATCAACTTCCTTTATTATAGACCCGGCTGGCGACTTTGTCGGGAACTTTATGGTATTCCACCGTACGGGTACTGGGACTGGCCAATGCAGTCACGTGCAGTCGTGTCACCATCGCGGCGCCCATTGCGGGCTGTCCCGGGAATTCAATTAGCAGCCGGGGGAGGATGCGGTGCGATGCCCCTCCGACGTTGCAACAAAGAGGGGACGACATGCGCCCTCCACGCCAACAATGACACAGATCGACTCGCAGGTCGATACGCAGGAGATCCAAGATAGCCTGATCGTTCTTGATGCAATCCGCAGCGAGCTAGGCGTCCCGGTACGTACCATGCAGTGCAGACGGCACCCGTCCGTCGTCTGTCGCCTGTCGTCTACCGTGTGTGGTTCGGGCGCGCTGGGCTAACACAATGTGCAGTCGAGCGCCCGGCATCGAGATGAAGACGATCCAACGCAGACGCACATCGGCTGGGTGCAGGATAATCAGGCAGAAGACAGATTCGAGGCACAATTGTTGAGCACCGAAGATCGAGCGTGCTCTGCAACAGGCAACCACGCGCAGCAGACGCGTGTAGCGGGCGGGCAGCCTAGCGAGACCGGGGTGGCGTGCAGGGATCAGCCAGCAAGCCCGCAAAAGCAACAATCGTCAATACGGAACCCTCCGCGCGACGTGACGCATCACAACCCGCCCCCCCCGACGCACATTGAGTTTCCTCGCTCTCACGAACCGAGCTACGAGAATGACAACGATGACCCATCCCTGAGACCCCACGCCCAGCCTGCCGGGGCTGTCGTTCCCGCAGTCAAGATGGACATTTCCCAGCAAACACCGACCCAGGTCAACGAGGACCGCGACTATGACGCCGTGTGCCACTCGCTGCCCTCGAGCCGAGGCCTCGACGACACCCTCGACCCGGAGATGCCAACCGAGGCGACTGGCGACCGAACCCTACAGACTGATGACACCGGCGCCGTCAACTTTGGCAACTTTAGCGAATTCGGCCGGCCCTCGTCCCAGGTGTCGGAAGACGGCGGGTTCGAGAACACTCGAGGCGAATGGAGAGAATCACAGCAGCAATACTCGAACAATGCTTATACGCCCTTTAAGCAGGGTGCCGGTGCTGCGGTGCCAGAGACGCCCGCCTTACCTAAGAATCCGTTCGGCTCAAAGCCCAGCATGGCGGCGCCCCTCGTCGGCAGTCAACTCTTTGGCCAGACGCAGTTCTCCTCCGCTGTGAAGCCACTCAGAATAAGCCCGACGTCGTCTCGGCCCTCGCCCAACATTGGCCACGTCTCATACTCGCCCCAGGCCGCCGAAACATCACCACTAAAGAACCGTGCGAATATCTCGTCACCTACAGATGTGGGAACTTCGAGCCCGGGGAGGCTGGAAGATGCACCGAAGACGGCCAGGAATTCGAGACCGATGGAGCGCATTGAGGAGGAGACGCCGTCTGCTGCGCGCTCGTCCACGGAAGAAGCCATCCCAGCCTCGCCATCCACGCGCCTACCCAGGTCTTCGGCCCCCCGACAGCCCCAGGTTCGGTACGAGAGCGTGCAGAAATCACAGGAGAGAAAGGTGTTCCGCAGAGACCCATATGAATTCGTCGGAAGTGACAGCGAAGATGATACGTTGCGACGAGCGGAGCGACAGAGGCAGGTCGAGAGGAGGAAAGCAAAAGCTACACAAGAGACGGCCAAGGTCAAGGTCCCCTCGGTGCAGATATCAATTTTCCACAGCGAGGCGCCGTCTTCTCGGAAGAAGAGGAGGCTTTCGCTGAGGGACAAGGAAAACCTACCTGTGCCAGGCGCCGCCGAGACTGCTCCTGAGCCTTCCAAGAGCTCCAATGAGCCGCCCGTGGTAGTGGACTCGCAACAAAGGAAGGCCGCCTCGAACGCCGTGCCTGTGACCAGCAGTACCAGGCAGGGCACTGGTACACCACCGCCGGTGCCGGAGGTGCCAGATGCCGAAGCCCAAGTCCCAACGAACGAGGACGAGCCCGACCTGCCACCAGAGTTGGATGACCGCATACCGGCTACGAGTCCCGCGATGAGTCCGGATCCTACACTCTCCGCGGAGGTCCCGCAGCTGCGGTCTGAGCCGGATCTGCCCCGTCTAGATCCCGACTTGTCCTCACATCTGAATCCATCCACTGAGCTAGGCACATCGTCCGTGCCACTGGTGCGCCGACCACCACAGAAAAACGATAGGCGGGCGTCCAGGCGAAACGTCATTGTCACTTCTTCTGCATCAGAGGTGCCTTGCAAAGAAGCGGTCACTAGCACTGACCAGGCCACTGATCCAGCGGGTAGCCCAGCATCGACAGCGTCGCCTCCACGTGAGGAAGTGGAGAAATCCACGGCCGATGACCCGCCTCACATCCAGTCAACGGAGGATGGTGAGCGAGAGTCTCGAGAGACATCGCCTGCCAAGCCCACCCCTCATGCTGTCCGGTCATCTGGCAGAAAACGTACGCCAACGTTCAAAGCGGCGGCCGAGCAAGGGAGAGCAAGCAGCGTGAACAGCGATGCAGCAACGGCTTCGTCAGACACTAGTATGCTGTCCTCAGCACTACCCTCATCAGTGTTGTCTACGCCTAGCGTATTGGATTCTCCTCAGTTCCAACCAGCGAGGGCCGTGTCGGCGACTCTACAGTCACCGGTTGAGGGAAGCTTGCGCAAGCAGGCACTGCGGCTTGGAGACCACGCCGCACATGGCTCCAGAGCGAAGCGGCAGCGACGTTCCGTCAGGGATCCGAAATATTTTCACGAATCCCAATCGACGGACGAATTGCAAGTGTCCCCATCACCTAGTGTCCTGGAGAGGAGCGTGGTGCACACAAAGTCTGTGCGGTCCTCCAAGCCATCACTGGCGCCGCTTGCGCGCTGCGCTCGACTCCTTGACGGCATGGTCTTTGCGCTCTCCTTCCAAGCCACCGGATCCAAGGCACAAGACCGCACAAAGCTCGAGGCGCGCATCGAGCAAGCAGGCGGATCGGTCCTCTCTGAGGGGTTCGACGTGCTCTTTGAGCGATCACCCATCATGGGCGCCTCGGAGCTCACGCTCGACCTCGAGGACGCAACGGTGGTCAGACCGTGTCATCTAGAGAAGGGGTTCACGGCGTTAATCGCGGACGGCCACTCACGCAAGGCAAAGTACATGCAAGCATTGGCACTGGGCTTCCCATGTTTAGCACCACAATGGATCCAGACCTGCCTGACCAAGGGCACCCTTGTGGATTGGGAACCGTATCTTCTCTGCGCCGGGGCGTCGGCCGTCCTTGGCAACGCACTCCGCTCGCGCAGCCTCGCGCCCTGCCCCCCGGAAGAGACCAGCCTGTGCGAGATTGTCCGACGACGCCGCAAGCTGCTCGAGGGTCAGAGGCTGCTCATCGTGGTGGACTCCAAGAAGGCACGCAGTGACCTCAAGGAGCCGTACATGTTCCTCATGCAGGCGCTGGGCGCCCGCACCTCACGGGTCCACACAGCCGAGCAGGCCTGCGAAGTCCTGACAAAGCATGCGAGGGCAGAGACGCCGATTGATTGGGTGTATATCGACAGCGGCACGGCGACAGTGGAAGCGGTGCTGTGCGCCCCAGAGGCGGGTGGGAAGAAGCGGAAGCGCACTCCTGCTGTCGCGGCGCCGCTGTTTGGCAATATCAGGGTGCTGAACGATGAGCTCGTGGTGCAGAGTCTGATCCTGGGGCGCATGGTAGAGGATGGTGAGATGAGCGGTTGACGATGTTGGCCAACAAGTACGATCATCAAATGGCGGCTGCTGTCAGTTTGCATGTGTTTGGTTCAGGGGTAAGACACAGGAGTATGGAGTATACATATGCAACCCTCCTCACGACCCGAGTTGGATAAGTACCATAGAATCGCATGAGTCAATTGCTTGCACCGCGGCTATAGGAATGCGGGGTATCAAACATCACAAGTCCACCTGTTGTGAGTCGAGCTACGTTCATGTTCCCTGAGACCATGATGCTCCTCTTGAGTGTCGCATCGGCAGCTGCTTGACGATGACGTCATCCAAACCATGAGACTTGAACGGCGACGCCGACAAGTAATTACTTGTTCATGCGTGGGATCATCAGTGCTCGGAATACATAATACGTAGTATATGGTCTCATACCCCGATCAAGTCCAAGGGCTTCACAAGGCGTGGGTTACACTCGCTGACGAACACAAAGCTGGTCAGCGTGTGCTTACTGTACATGTGCTGCACGCACGCGCTGTGCCGCGTCACGGTGACGGGAGGCAGATGGATCGCCAACTTTTTGAGGCTGACAGGGGCAGGAAGGGGCTGCACCTGCACGCCGGATCGCTCGGGAATGGCGATCCACTTGGCGATCCACTTGACGACTCGCCGATGTGGCGCGAAATCCGCACCACCCAGTCTCCAGTCGATCAGGGCAGCGGACTTGGAAGTCTCGAGACGCCATGCTCCAGCAGGTGGCTCAGGCTCAGGAACAAAGGTGTACTTGGTTTTTCCAGAGCGAAGGGCAGTGGAATGCAGCGATTATGGTTGATTGGGGGCCTGCACGCAAACTCCAGAGCACGGGCACATGACATGCACCTGCCCCTGGAGATTGACACCACTCTTGCCCGCACCTGCCAGTGGGGTCCAGTCGTGGACAGCGGCCAAGTGGACACTGGGCACGCGACCACCCGCAAAAGTTGCGACAGGGCAATGTAATCAACATGGCATTCCCATTCTCGTGGTGCCGGATTCAACTTCAAGTCCAGTCCTCACCAGATTCACCAGTCACCAGGGCTCGCAATGAACGTATAAGGTAAGGTGAGGAAAGGTACTGTGCCCTACCCCGGCCTCGACGTCGAATTCACCTTCACCGGGGCTTCGGCATTCATCTAAATCCCATTCGTCCACGAATTGCCAAGTGCCGGCCCTTACGTACTGGATCAAATCATCATCGGTCGGCCGGCCAAGGACGCTTGGTAAAGCCCGACAGGAGAGAGGTACCGTACCCTCAAATCAAATTCTGGCCGCTCTTCCGCGACAAGAATCTCACCTCCAAGCCCAGTCTTTTCTCCCCCCTTCGTCGTCCTCGTCCTCCTCCTCCTCTCCATCTTCCAGGTCGTCTTCCCTTCTCTTCTGGACTTGAACCCTAATCCTTTTTTGACTCAGCCACCATCGCCCGTCTTCACTGGCACTAATCAACCCAAGTTTCCATCATAACTCAAAGACTGTTTGTCACGCATCGTCCCCCCCTGTTATTGTCGCCATCGCCTGATCTTTCGACGCCGCCGACCGCGGCAGAACCCAACTCGCCCTCCTCTCAAACATGGGCGCCGGTGCCTTTCTCGAGCCACTGGTCGTGGTAACCCTTCTCTTCGGAGGAGCCTACTTCAATCGCAACAAGGACTACAGCTTCAAGGACGGCAAGACCGCCACTGCTGGCTGGGGGCCCGACACGACCCATCACAAGAAGCACGATGACCTCCATCCCAGCCGCAGCGGCTCGCCAGAGGGCTGGAGCTCGAGCTCCTCGCCTTCCCTCCTCGCCCACGAGGTCTCGAGCCACAGACGCCGCCGTGTCAAGGCCTTTGGCTACGAGAAGTTCGTCACCACCCCCAATACGTTGGTCTTCAAGGATCGCCTCCTGAGCCGCGTGCTCCAAAAGTTCCCCTTCCTGGCCGAGTGCTGGTACTGGGCCCTCCTCTACTGGGTCTACCAGGTCGGCCGCGCCTTTACCGCCCTCACCCTCGTCGAGGGCACCGTCGACGTCGCGCGCCGGCACGCGCTGCAGCTCATCCACCTCGAGCAGAGCCTGCACATCTTCTGGGAGGTTGGCTTCCAGCAGTGGTTCCTCGAGCACCCGACCTTGCTGCACTGGATCAACCGCACCTACTCCTTCATCCACATCCCGGGAACCATCTTTTTCCTCGTCATCCTCTACTACCTCACTACCACCCGCAAGCGCCGTGTCATGTCCGGCCGCGTCAGCTCTGACAACGTGTCCGCTGGCCCTGCCTTGTACGAGGCCCGCCGCCGCACCATGGCCATGTGCAATCTGATTGCCTTTGTCATCTTCACCCTGTGGCCCTGCATGCCTCCCCGTCTCCTGAGCGACCCCAACTACAAGGGCGAGGACGCAGAGGAGGCCAAGAGCTTTGGCTTCGTGGACACCGTCCACAGCAAGACAGGCGAGAGCAGTGTCTGGACCACCAACAAGTTCTGCAACCAATACGGCAAGTCTTATTCAACCGTCTGCGAAAATAGCCTGCTAACATGTGTATAGCTGCCATGCCCTCGCTGCACTTTGGCTACTCGCTCCTCATCGGTCTCACCGTGGCCACCTTGCCCATCAACGGACTTCGTCCCGCTTCCTGGAAGCGCATCGCCATTGTCATCGGTGGCATGTGCTACCCTGCGCTCATCCTGACCGCCATTGTCGCCACGGCCAACCACTTCATCCTCGATGCCGTCGCTGGCGCCATTGTCTGCGCCATTGCCTGGAACACCAACGACCTGCTCCTCAACCTCTGCGTCCTCGAGGACTACTTCCTCTGGGTGCTCCGCATGCACAAGCCCGTCAACTACACCGACCCCGAGACGGCGGTGGATCCCGATGTGCAGAGCTCGCTGCTGCTGGGCGAGGAGGCCGCCTAATTTCCTTCACCTTTCCTTGTCGACAAGGGAGAATAGAGTCATGAATCAGATCCTATACATCACGCGCATATCATATCACGGCCTTGTTTTCTTTTTCTTTTTTGGATACCTGGGGTGCCTGTTCAGAGCTCCCGGGGTCAGCGGGCCACCTTTGTATAATTGGCTGTCATGCAGGGCGTTTATTGGATCGCGGAGGTAATGGCCAGTGAGATGTACTCCTGGAGCTGGTAGATTCACTTTGGAATATGAATATTGGATACAGTAATAACGCCTTCTCGTACTCCTCCTTCCATTGGACTGGTGTGGACTAGTGACGATCAGGGCCTCCTCTGTTCACGTTGCTCACATACCTAGTAGTGGGCTAGAAGCAACAGCCAAATCACGCCCACCCCTCCCCACCAAGGAGCGATGCATCACTCTTCTCCCAGGGGTGCTCTACTCCGACCTTGCGGATTAGCTCTTCGTGCTGCGCGCTGCGGGGCGACACCTTGAAGCGGAACTTGGATGGATGATTCAGGATGCCGTGCGTATCATGGGCTTGGACCGGGATCTTGTTCCCCGCTGCGTCGACAGCGTGCTCCATGTTGAATGTGGCCAACGCCTGGACAATGTTGAGGTAGATGCTCGCATCAGCAAAGTGTCGACCCGGGCAGACCCTGCGCCCGTACCCAAAAGCATCGCTCCCCGGATCTGGCTCGTCTCGCGGCTTCAGGAAGCGCTCTGGGTCAAAGACCTCCGGGGACGAGTACACCTCTGGGTCGTGCAGGAACCACCAGACCGCGGGAATCAGGTACGATCCCTTGGGGATGTGGTAGCCCCTGTACTCAATGTCATCGTCCGTGGAGTGGGGGAAGCCCATGGGAGCAATGGGCCACCATCGAAAGGCCTCCTTGACAATGGCGTTGACGTAGGGCAGTTCACCCCTATCCTGGAAACTAGGAAGACGCGATGTCCCCACGACACGGTCAATCTCTCCCTGCGCCTTGCGCTGAACGTCGGGCCACTGAATCATGGCAAGGGTGAAGGTGGTCAGGACCATGACAGTCGTATCCGAGGCGCCGCCGTAGAGGCTCGCCGCTGTCCAGACGATGCACTCTGCGTCCTCGCGGTTTAGCTGCGGGACGCCCGTGGCGTCGTTCACGGTGACAAAGGACTCGATGGCCTTGGACGTGTATGAGGTCTTGGCCCGTCCGGCCTCCATCTGGCGCTGGACGAACTGGAAGGGGACGTAGCCGACGTCCCGGATGGTCTTGCGCCATCGGCGGGCGATCTTCTTGAACTGCAGACCGGGGAAGGACTCGGGGAGGTAGCCTAGAATGGGGAACAGGTCGACGGACCAGGCGAGGGGCACGGCTGCAAGGGAGAACTCGTTCATCATGCGCTCGATGAGGTCAACGAGGACATCGGGCCTGTGAGGCTCGATGGTGTAGTCATAGGTCATCTTGAGGATGGTGGCACCGGCCGAGCTGGTCAAGCACGTCAGAGGGGCAGACAGGCTAGCTTCTCTCTTCAGGAGCACTCACGTCTTGTAGTGGTCGAGCCACTTGTCCGGCTCCTCCAGGGCGCGGAGCAGGTGTCTTCGCACCTCGACCTCCTGGGAGTCGCTGAACTTGAGCACAGACGCCTTGGTGCCCAACTCCCTGTGCAGGAGCTTGCGGTACCGTCGAAAAGTGTCATTGTAGCCCTGCGAGCTGAGGAGGTCCTCGTACCCGCAGTACTTGTTGGCAAAGATCATGGCAGGACGGCCAGAAGTCTTGGCGGCGTCCCTCTCCAGGAGGTCCTGGGCGGCTTGTCTGTCGTGCAGGATGACTAGCGTCATGCCCATGGCGTGGACGGCGCTGATCCCTCCATAGGTGTCCTTGTGCTTGAGCCAGTGCTGGTACTCAACGGAGTTGGATGGGGGAAAGTCCAGGGCGTTGCCGATGATGGGGAGGGGTCTGGGGCCTGGGGGTAGGTTCTTGGGCCGTTTGGGGAGGAGTTGACAGATGAGGAGACCTAGAGCGGCAGCAATAGCCAATGTTGGAAGAGTGAAGGGAAACATGGTATGTGTCTGGTTGCTACGCAGCGCAGGGTAGTAATGACAATGGGTATGTAGATCTTGTGCGTGAAGGGCTTGCGAAGATGATTTTCCCTGCTGGAACTGTTGGGAGAGCCCGGGAGATATCTTGGGAAGAGGAAGGCCTCCAATCCATAACTTGACCGACATTTCACATGAGCATTACGGATTGGCGTCGTTCTCGCCGTCTGCTTGTCGGCGTTCGCGGTCTAGATGCGGATGTCAAGAACCAACTGCAGGCCATCCTGCAAGCGAGATGCCCAATGCTTTGAGCTGTGGCCAGAATGAATGCCAGGAGACTGATAACATTGAGGGAGTCATGCTGCTTGACGTGTCAAGACGCTTTGACGTCTGTTGTCACGATGTTCCCGGAAATGGTCCCATTGGCCATGTTGACAGGAGATATGGCGACGGTCAACAGTCCACGGGCTTCCCTGAGGCAGGAGATGAGGAAAGATGGTGGGTGAGAACCAGTTGCCTGGTTCCTGGCCAGCAAAGCAATATAAAGTGAGGGATAAGAGGCTCATCCGTGTGCAGTTCAGGATTATACTTGCCGGCTGTTTGGCCTGGGGGCGTGATCATTGCCAATCCTCCGGATATTTTCGCCCTCGACAACTCAACATAAACAGATATCTAGGTGTACCCGAGGACTCGATTTCCGCGCTATCGAGGGACGGGCAGGATCTCTGTGTTACATAGATCTGGAGGCTTGTCGAATGCATATCATCGACTTCAACTTGGCTTGGCTCAACGCCCCCTCTTCTCTGTGTCTCTATCATGACTTTGCCGGAGCTTCGTCCCATTATTATTATGGCGCGTACGTAGTGATCCGTGCTGTGGTCTGTGACAATAGACTCGTTCCAAGGTCGTGCAGACTGCAGAGCCAAGACGTTGATCACCCTTGTCGATTGGATGGCCAGAATCCCACAACCGGTTTCCCGGGACGAGAGAACAGCCAACAATGCCCAGATGATCACCCCCCTACCATCCAACTACAATGGTACTTCTTTCACCTTGCATAATGTGCCACGTGCGTTCCTATTCATGCTGCTATCTGCCAATGAGACTGATGTATCAGGGCCGCATCGGTGCGGTCGGACTCCAAATATCTGGAGCTTAGACGACGACAGGACCAGCCACTCACTTTGGATTGCGGAAGTGGACCGATGCTCCCGTCCATCATAAATCCTACACGGACGGACCTCGGACCGCTTGACGTCGAACGAAGATTGTGCCGTAAGAGAGTTGAGGAGTGAACATGAAGAAACACGTCAATGCAGCTTCCCTCTCCAACACTAGGGGAGAGGTGACGTGGATCAATGTAACAGGAGTCTATAAGAAAGGGATGCCCTTCCCAGATACAGAGGTTTGCTTGCTTGTAGGCTCCAAAGCTGCATCTCACAACTCACCAAGCAAGCCACTCTTCACAGTATTCCCATCCCTCCTCCACTTTCATCATGTCTCTTGACTCCTTCTCAGCCATTCTGAAGCCACTGGATGGGCGCGAGATCCCGGGGTTCTTCTCCCGCTACCCGGTGGGCATCAACGTGGAAGCTGATCGCATCACCAAGGCCCTCCGCCGAATCGGCATCGAGGCAACAATGCCCGACACGCGGGAGCGCCACCGTGCCAAGGTGAGACAGGCCAGCACCTATGGCGACCCATTTTCCATCTGCCACTGCTCTGCCTTTCCCGACAGGCTGGAGCTTGTGGGATGTATCATTGAGATCATGTGGATCCACGATGGTCAGTATTTAGCACTGCCCCTTGAATGGCGAAATCTTGGCTTAGACTAATCTACCAAGATATCATCGAGGAACTCGACCACAGCATCGTGAGTCCCACTGGCGCCCAGCCCAGACGATCGATGCTGACCAGTCGCAGGCCATGAAGGAACACGAGCTCCTTGCCCAGGTACTGACCGTCCACATTGACCCGTCCACCTTTGTGGCTGTCAACCGCAGACAGAGTGCGCTGGCACGCATCCTACGCCTGGCCATTGACATGGATCCTGCTCAAGGCCCCGCCCTCGTCAAGACGCTGCAGACCTATCTCGCGGCATACGACAGCACCAGCGTCAACTTTGACAAGTTTGAGGAGTACAGCGCCTTTCGTATCCTCAACTCTGGCTATGCGTACGTTCTCATCGCCTCTCTCATGCCCGCGTTCCACAGCAAAGGTGATTCAAATGCTAACAAGCGCTCGCAGCATGTCCTCCTTCCTGATGCGCTGGGGAATGGGGTTCCAGCTCTCGGAGGAAGAGTACGCCCAGGTCAAGGAGTACGACATGGCCATCGCCAGCGCTGCCGGTCTCACCAACGACTACTTCAGCTGGAACGTCGAGAAGAACCAGCCGACGGACCGCGTGCGCAACGGCGTCGACGTGCTCCGCCGCGAGCTCAGGCTCTCTGAAGGCGCGGCCATGACCATGCTGGCTGGTGTCATTGTCGACGAGGAGCGCCGTGCCGTCAGACTCAAGCAGGCTCTGGTCAGGCAGGGTCCCTCAGAGAGGGTGCTCCTGTACTGCACGGCGATTGAGCTGTTTGCTGGTGGGAGCTGCTACTGGCAGGCGACTGCGCCTCGTTACCAGGTGCAGGAAGCCTGATGTGATGGCTTTTGGCGAAGATAGCTGGACCAGATACAACAATATATATGCTATTGACGGAACCTTTGTGTGAATGCGCCCATCTTCTATTCGATGGTTAGCACAGGGTTCGACGTACTCGACACAATGACGGCTTGAGTGATGTCCGGTGTGATCGACCAGCTGTCCACATGTATGTATGAGTACATGCAGGGGTAAGCTGAGGGGCTTCGATCAAATTCAACAAAGCCGCGATCTCCTTTGCATATGAACGCTCGGCTGTCGAAGAGTTTGCGAGATCCATCGAGATAGAGTGTGTTCGAATCCGCCCAAAGCCGGTGTAAGTCGACTCGGGTTTCGGTTCTGAGTGCAGCCGCAGATGGCGCCGTTGGAGGTTCCACAGTTGCCGGTTAGCGTCGGTGTCGGGACCGGCCGCGGCCCTCTGAGTCGTCCGTTTGCCATTAAAGCTACGTTCGGGGATCCGTCGCCAAGCACCGACATCAATGGTGAGGCGCGTAGTACGCAAGCAAAGTTTGCATGTGCTCCGTGTTCATCGTCTAGCTTCCATATATATACTGCGAACCTTCCCAGGCGCTGGAAGACGTGATGTTTGGTGGTTTTGGAGATTCTGGTACAGGTCAGGCATTGACGTTCAACTCGTCCAGTCACTCGAGATTCAACAGCTCGAGTGCTTCTCATCAGTACTCACTGGTGATCCTGTCAAAGAGATCTGTTACACCCCTTGCCTATAAAATAAACAATCATTCACGACTACTTCGTCCATGTATTTGACTCGTCACGAAACTGCACAATGACTACCAGACCTTTTCGAGCCATCATCGTGGGTGGTGGCCCCGTGGGCCTGACAGCCGCCCATGCCTTCGCCTCGGCCAACATTGACTTTGTCGTCCTCGAGGCTCGCAACACATGCACACCCGATGCTGGATCAAGTTTGGTCCTGAACCCCGCCTCTCTACGGATCTTCCACCAACTGGGTCTGGAGGAGAAGGCCAGACAGGCATCAGCAGAGCATGAGCGGGCCGTTCTCGTGAAATCCGATGGAAAGGTCAGAAAGGACGTCAGACCGTTCCATGCTTTCGACGAAAGGTAGTTGCTTCATGCCTTTTCTTTCTTGTTGCATGCTGATCTTTGATAGCGTGGGGCAGAGACCAATGACCTTCCATCGACAGGACGTCCTAAAGATTCTGCTGGACAATCTATCCCCTGCCGCGCGCGAAAAGGTCCACACGAGCAAGAAAGTTGTCGACGTCAACTCGACAGCCGACGGAGTGACTGTATTCTGTGCGGACGGCTCAACCTTCAAAGGCACCATCGTTATCGGGGCAGACGGCGTGTACAGCAAAACACGTGGTTTCATGCGCAGACTCGCCCTTGAAGCGTCGCCGTCGACTCCTGTCAACGCTGAGAAGCCTTACACTGCATGCTATAAATGCATGTGGGGAACTGTCCCAATCCCGCCTGGCTTGAGCCCAGGCGACCACCTCGACTGTCACTCTGACTCAGGGGTGTCCTCCATGTTCCTTACCGGCAAGGACAGGGGCTGGTTCTTCCTCTTCGGTCTTCTCGACGCCCCCACGCAAGAGCGGAGGGACTACGATGACAAGGACATGGAGGCTTATGCAGAGGAGCTCAAAAACCTGCACATTGGCCCCGGAATCGCTTTTGGGGACATCTGGCCCACGAGACACAGCGCTGGCATGTCCAACCTCGACGAAGGCGTTTTGGAGCACTGGAGTTGGGGCAGAGTCGTCATGGCAGGCGACTCGGCGCACAAGGTCACCCCCAACGCCGGCTGGGGCCTGAACTCAGGCATCCAGGATGTCGCCGTTTTGACCAACAAGATCGTAGCGCTTCTCGGGACAACACAGGACACGGAGCCCACACTGCCGCAATTGGAAACGGTCTTTGGCGAATACCAGGAGGCACGCAAAGACAACATGCAGGCTGTGTTCGAATTCTCTGCGACACAGACACGGCAGTCTGCGAGGGACGGGAGCTGGTCAGGGCGCATGCACTGGCTCGTCGAGGCGGTGACGACCGTGATCCCCAGGTTTGACTGGTTCATGATCAGGTACAAGGGATCGAAGCTGGTCAGCGCGGGGCATGCTCTGGACTTTTTGGGGGACGCAGAGCCCTTCTCGGGTGCCATGCCATGGGCTCATCCCATCCGCCCCATCAAGACATGATACATCGAGGAAGACCTATGCTCAAATGCTAGACTAGGACCAGGCCAGGTCCGACACGAGAAAGCTTCACATCAGATAGGCAATTAAAACACTGATAAACGATTTACTTTGACTCACCGCTCCTTGCCTAAATGTCAAGCAGATGTTGACGCAAAGCTCCAGATGAAAATCAGTTGTTGAGTTCTCACGTGGCTCGTGATCTGCCAAGGTGATGGACGTGGTGACAGACGACTCCACACACCAACGACACCACCCGAGACGAGGATTCCGGTCCCCACGGGTGCCATCTCCTCTATTGGTTCGTAATTGTCAGCAAACTACAAGCTCTGCGCGCCATCCACAGAGTCATGTATCAAAATGGATGCGATAATTGTCCCGCGAGAGGAAAACGCCATTCAGCTGCTGCCCATGCGGCAAACGGCTGAGGCCAAAGTTCACTCGGAGGACTGGACAGGCCTGACCGGCGCGAAAGAGCGGCGGAAGTTGCAGAATCGGCTCAATCAAAGAGCGCGCAGTGAGTTTTCGTCTGACTCAATCCAGATTGAGACGCTAAAGGGCAACCAGGGCGGAGATTGAGACAACAGAACGATGCTGATGGCGATGCTCCCCTGTCAGGTAGCCAACAAACCGAAGAGGTCGACAAACTTACAGTCGCAATCGGGGCATTGCACCTCGTATCCCGTGAGGAGCAAACACAGTTGATCCAGAGAAGAGGTCGATCCAAGCCTTTTCTTCTCAGCACGGGCGACGCGCCGAGCAGTGAGAGGACGCTGGAGCAGCTCAGAAGACAGGCCGAGCAGGCGTATTTCAGCACGGGGATGGGCAGCCCAGCGCACGGCTGCCTCACCACCATTGTACGCGTCAACGTATTCTACGGTCTGGCGCGCAACGCAGCATTGCTGCAAGTTGGGGACGAGTGGCTGATGAAACGAACGACCTCAAAGTTTTGCAACCAACCTGCCTCGTCTGACCCGTCACTCCCACCCAACATGGTGCCCACGTCACTGCAACGGTCGACGCCTCACCATCCTTGGATTGACTTGTTGCCTTCGCCGAGGATGCGCGACAACTTCTTGATTGCTGCGCACTCTCTTGCGGGCACTGTCGACGAGGACTTGTTGTGTCGTGACATTGTGGATGTCGGCGCAGGTCAGGGCGTGGAGCACGCGGCATTAATCGTATGGGGTGACGCCTGGGACCAAGGAAGATGGGAGGCGACTGAGGGCTTCATCAAAAGATGGGGATGGCTTCTAGCTGGGTGCCCTGAGATTCTTGAGGGAACGAACGCGAGAAGAAGGGAACGAGGGTTGAAGGCGTTCCAATTCAAAGTATAGGGTAGCTCGGCGCAGCTATCAAGAGCATAACGTTGCTGCCTGTGGCGCAGCGTCGTCATCAAGCACGTCAGCCACAACCCAGCTACTACGCTTTGGGACAGCTTGCCCCTCCAAACTACCCCAACCAACCTTGCTGGCTGGCTGGCTCGCTCAGTGAACTCTCACATGCCCAGTTTGCCCACCCAACCACGAGCACCGTCATCATGACCACCCTTTCCACTCCCACACAAACTTTCGATCTCCACGTACTTCACTTGAAGCTTGGAGATCATATTTCGAGCCAACCGATTTGAATCCCTCCCTTGCGGCACGGCTTGCTGCAAGCGCAAAGACTCCCCAAATGTCCAGCTTTGGATCTGGTGTTGATGCCCCGCGTGCGTCCTCTCCATCCAATAGCTTCTACGCCATGAGTGACGACGATGAAGGCGACTACAACACCATCATGCACACGCGAACCGGGAGAGGTGTGAAACTGCTGTTTGCAAAGAGCAAGGTCTACATCCACCCCAGCCCTTCAGCAAAAGACAACATTCCAGGGTACATTGCCCTCTTACAACAGAAACCCTCGCCAAATACATCCTCATCCACGCATGAGACCAACTCGTCCGCCTCGTCCGATCTGCTCCTAGCATGGGTTCCCGAAACCTCCCTCGGCGAGTCGGAGAGCATGTACGTCAAGGTCGATGCATACAGCGACGGCGACTCGCCTCCTAAACAAACGTACCTCGTGCCCCCACCTCCCACAGTCACGACCAGCGTCGGCTCTCTGGCCGCCGGGTATTCCTTCGCCATACCTATTAATGCGATCTACTCATTGCAAGTCCGACCACCGAGTCTCGGCTGGTGGTACGGATCCATCATTGTCAACTCCCGCGCCGGCGACAGCTTCCCCGCGCTCTTCTTCCACGACAATGAATGCCAGAGCACCATGCATCAGAAGAAGAAGCTCACAAAAGACACCTTTGACCCCTTTGGAGAGCATGGCCAGATGTTCTGGGGTGGCGACGAGATCGTTCGTTGGTTGCGACGGTACGTCAAGGTCGAGAGGTCGGGAGCCGAGCCAAATATCTTCCTCATCGACCCTAGCGCCGAGGACATGGAAGCCTTTGGCAACAAGCCCACCTCGTCCAAAAAGCAAGGCGCGAATGCGAGAGGCGACGCCGAGATGGACCCTTTTGTCAAGTTCTTCAAGGAGACCGGCTGGAACCTCATGAACCAGTTTAGCAAGGTTACAACTTTCACCCGGAGGACAGCCCAAGACATCGCCGAAAACTCAAACTTGCCGCCCCAGGTCAAGAATATGCTCAGGACGCCCGAGGTGCAAACATTGCAAGATGAATTCGACAGTGCCCGAGTGTACCTGGCGCGGTGGGCCATGGGTATCGCTGAGCAGAGTGAGCGTGAAAGGAACCGGCGGATGTGGACTGCGAAAGACGTGATGGAACTGGAGGACACGGAACTCGGCGAATTCGAACTCTTGGAGAGCAGTAGCGCTCTATCCATGGAAGACAGACGGAAGCCTGTCACCATGAAGGAGTGGAAGTCCTTCTTCGACCGAGACAGCGGCCGTCTTGCGGTGACCATTGACGAGGTGAAGGATCGCGTCTTTCATGGTGGGCTGGACCCTGAAGATGGTGTCCGAAAGGAAGCCTGGCTGTTCCTGCTTGGTGTTTACGACTGGTACGGTACGGCAGATGACCGCAAGGCTCAGCTGGCGTCGCTTCGAGACCAGTACTACAAGCTCAAGCTGTCATGGTGGGAGCGTCTCGAGGGGGAGGGCGGCGAAGGTGAAACAGGTGAATGGTGGCGCGAGCAAAAGGGGCGCATCGGTAAGACCAACGAGACCGCATCCCAGAGGAAGATTGACTGATGTTGTGTAGAGAAGGATGTGCACCGGACTGATCGCCATGTGCCCATCTTTGCCGGGGAGGATACTCCCCATCCCGATCCCAACTCGCCATTTGCCGAGACAGGCACCAACGTCCATCTCGAGCAGATCAAGGAAATGCTTCTGACGTACAATGAGTACAATAAGGACCTAGGCTACGTGCAGGGCATGTCTGACCTTCTCGCCCCCCTCTACGCCGTCATCCAGGACGACGCAGTCGCCTTTTGGGCGTTCCAGAAGTTCATGGAGAGGATGGAGCGCAACTTTCTGCGTGACCAGTCCGGCATGCGCAACCAACTCTTGACTCTCGACCAGCTCGTCCACTTTATGGACCCCAAGCTATGGGACCACCTGCAGAGCACCGACAGCACCAACTTTTTCTTCTTCTTCAGGATGCTCCTGGTCTGGTACAAACGTGAGTTTGAGTGGCTGGACGTTCTACGTCTCTGGGAGGGCTTGTGGACAGACTACATGAGTGCCAACTTCCACCTCTTTATCGCGCTGGCGATATTGGAAAAACATCGGGACGTTATCATGACGCATCTCAAGGCGTTTGACGAGGTCCTCAAGTACAGTACGTCTGATCCTTTGCGTCTCATTGTTCAATACAGAGCTAACCCGGTGCAGTCAACGAGCTGAGCAACACCATGGATCTTCAAGCCACGCTTATCAAAGCCGAAGCCCTCTTCCGTCGCTTCCAGCGCTTGGTAGAGGCAGTAGACAAGAAGCCCAACTTCCCCGGTCCGCGAAAGTCGTCGGCTTCATCAGTCCCCACGACCTTAGACGGACCAAGTTCGACCAATGGTCGGCCTAGCAGCAGCGCCGCCCCGAACAAGACCAATGGCAAAGGCAAGGGCAAGGAGGAGGAGACAAAGGTCATCACGCCTGAGCTGCGGAAACTACTGAGCCGGCAGGTGGAGGTCCTTCCACGCACGACAGTTGCGCAGAAGGGCGATGGCATGCCGTCGAGGTAGCAACAGCACGAGACTTGTATAGTATGAGGGGCGTCTCGACACATATCAAAGCGAGGGGCGGTGTTTCATTTTTTTTGAGGGGGATCACTTTTCGGCTATATACCGCATCTAATGTCAAGAGAAGTAGAGTTTCTCATACTTTGAAAATATGGTTTCGCATTTCCCAGTAGAACGCCTTGCTATAGTCACATGCACATGAGCAACGCCAAAGACCCGGCCACTTGGTCCGCTATCTATATCCCCGTGGGTTGCTTGGCAGCCCTTGCCGTCGACCAGCGCTGGGTAGTCCAGATCTCCCACCACCGCCGCCGCCGCCACTGTAGTCATCGCCATTCGACCAGGGCGCATTCGCACTCATATGCGGTGCGCCACCACTACCCCGATCATCATAGCCACCAGAAGCTCCTGCGGGCGGAGCTTGGTAGGCACTCTGCGCACCCTGTTGTGGACTCCCCGACCGAGCGCCCCAAAGCCTCTGCTTTAGCCGATCCTGAGCTGACGAGCCACCGCCACCCGAGGGCGAGGGCGCCAATGATACATTCGACGTGGAGTGAACACTGTGAATACTGCCCGCACGGCTCCCAGGCGATGGCCGATCGTCCAGTCTCTGCATCAACCCAGGCTGTCCTCCGCCCCCTCTCCCACCGCCGCCAGCCCGCAGGCTCTGTGGCACTTGCTGCTGCTGCTGCTGGCCGCCATTGTTGTCCCACAAACTGCTGAGACCACCGCCTCCGGGCTGCGGGGCCCGTTGCTGTTGCTGTTGCTGCTGTTGTTGCATTGGTCCATTCCCTGACTGTGCGTACAGCGGCTGGACGGACTGCTGCGGTGGCGCCTTGGGGTCAGGGGGCAGCCATGGCGGAAAGGGGCGGCCTTTCTCTGTGTAGTAGTTTCGCAGCACGCGGGCGACGTGCGTGTCGTCTTCGGTGTCGCCGTCGGCTTCCGAGGCGAGGAGTGTCGAGCGGAGATTGGAGATTTGTGACGAGGTTTTGGTTAGGAGGTTGGAGTACCAGGATGTCATGGTGAGGGACGCCCCCTGGGTGGTGAGGCGACCGGCTGCGAGTAGGTCGTGCAATGACTCGGTGGTACAGTATTGTCTTGTCCTCTCGGTAGTAGGTGTGCTACTTTGTGCTCGACCTCGGTGTGTGGTCGAGGTTGGGAATGGTGGTCACGGAGGAGAGAGTTGAGCAGTCGCGCATGACGTGGGGTTTGACCACCGTCTGGGACCCACCGATGCGGTTTAGCGCTGCTGTTTCACCGCGCAAACTCCAGGAACTTTTTAAACAAACGAAGATTTCATCATCACATTGTCAGAATGTCTTCAGTCAAATGGTGCAGATGATAAGTTGCGATAATCAAAGCCTCAATGTTCAAAGATAATCCTATAGAAGGTTGACGACGTTGAAATATGAAATTCTTTTCCTCCCTCAGCGCCAAACGCCAACAATGCAACACATACACCGTAGCATGTACAGACCATCACCAATCCAGATCGTTGGTGAGAGCGGGCAGCTTCTCCTTCTGCTTCTCCTGCTTGAGCTTCTTGGCCGGCACCTTGGCGGCGCGAGCCCTCTTGCGCTTGAGGCTGGTTTTTGCCGACTCATCCTCGCTATCCTCATCCTCGTCATCATCCTCCTCGGCATCCTCGTCCGCCTCCTCGTCGAACCAGTCCTGGAAGTCATCCAGCTCCTCGTCGCTCTCGTCAATGTCCGAGACGTACTGCACCGCCTTCTCCGGGTCATCGACCTCGCTGTCGAGCTCGTCCTCGTCGTCCTCGTCAATGCCCTCGTCCAGATCCTCGTCGCGCTGACCCTCGCCGTCCTTCTCCATGGCATTGAGAACTTTCTTCCAGATGTCCTCGCTAACGTTGAGTGGCTGGTCGCCGTACGCGCCCTGTCGCAAGCGGTCCAGCAGCTCCCTCTCAATGGTTTTCTCGAGCTTGGCCGCGCGCTCGGCCTTGCGCTCCCTCGTAGCCTCCCTGTGCCGCACCTTGGGCGCCAGCTTGGGCACGAGCTTCTCGCCCAGGCGCTCTTCTTGCGCAGCGATCCTCCTCATGCGAATGGCCACCTGTGTCAGCCGTGTGAGACGTTGCTTGCATTTGTGTGTCGTAAAGTTGGGCCAGTATGCCAGTCGCTCGTCAATCTGCTCGAGGGCGCGGGTGTAGTTATTGGACAGCTTGATCTTCTCCCACCATTTGGACGGCATGTGGGCGCGCTCCGCCGTCTTGATGTACAGGTACAGCGTCGCCTTGGTGGGGTGCTTGCGCACGGTGGCGTAGCGAGAGTTGGCGAGAGGGCATGACTGACGGTTGCAGAGACCGGTAACGTTGTATTCGTTGCGGCAAAAGTTCTGCTTCTTGTCCGTTCTGTAAAAGTCCTTGGTTAGCGACGGTGTCCTCGTGGAATGGGCGATCACACTCTCTCTCATACTTTAACTTGAAGGAGCAGAATTGCTGGTTGATGATTTGCCAGATAATCTCGTCAGATGCCATCTTGGGAATTACTTACCAGGATTGATATCCTGATAGCAAAAGAAAAAAAGAAAAGAGAGGAGGATAGTGTTCATACGCAAAACGCAGAGAAAGAGTTGGCGAATTTCAGCGGGGCCACCAGAAGGTTTTCTTCTTTCCCAACTTTCTCAGAAATTTTGGGCGAGGCCTCTGGCAGAATCAAGGGTCCACTGATTGGCCGGCCGGTGCAGGGATCGCGGCTCACCAGCCACACCGCCTGCCCACCTGGCTACGCGTCGGACAAATCCAGCTTCCGGCGCGAGTCGTCACTGCTGCGGGACGTTGCCCGCTGGACTGGCTGGAGCTGGCCCACGCGTCAAGTGCTTGCGACTTGACAGCTCCAGTGCAGTCCAGTCCAGCCTCATCTCGCACTGCATCATCGCATCCACCACAACCTCCCCCACGCCACGCGATCACCAGGCGAATCGGTCATCCGAACAAGCATCCCTCCCGCGACGACTGCAAGACTCTCTCCCCGGAGAGCATATCATCGCCATGCCTACCGCCGGCCTCAAGACCATCATCGCACTGTCGTTCGTCCTCGCCGTCGGCTTCCTCCTCGTCATCCTCTCGTGCGCCCTGTTCAAGGTGTACTATCCCCTCCTCGTTGTCGCCACATATATCATCGCGCCAGTGCCGAACTGGATCTGCGGACGATGCGCCAACCCAGATGACTTTGTCGAGAGCTCGGGGGCCGCCGTGCTGGACCTGGGTCGCTTCTTTACCGGCTTCTTCGTTGTGATGGGCATGGGTGAGTTCAATCTTGACCAGCGGGCACACACGTCGGAGGGAATACGCCATGCTAATCCGGCACACAGCCCTGCCCGTCGTTCTTGCGCATGCTGGCCTCATCCAGATCGAAGCCATGATCATGTCCATTGTCGGTGGCTTGTTGATCTACGGCACCATTGTTAGCTTCAGCATGTTCTTCCACGAGGAGCAAGATTTCTAAACACGAGCCGGCCAGAGAAGAGCGAGCGAATGCCGTGAGATAAGAGAGCCTGGGACCATAGGCGTTGTGGCACTATCTGCGCAAATGTATTCATAGCGGGCATCCATGGCATGGAGTACGTTGCGTGGAGTTTTGAATCATGTTTTACGTTTCATCAGCAGCTGTGCCTCACTTCTTCTCTACGCCGTCATGTGTTCGAAGCCGCAGCTATGGGGTACAGTAGATGTCTACATGCTATGTCTAATGCTCATGTTACAATTCGTAGGCTTCATCAGTCCCTGTCGCGCACAGTAAGTATAAACGGGCGCCTCGAGTGCCACACCCTTCTTCCCTGCGTGCCAATCGCCGCGTCAGCAGCATTTTGCGAGTCAGACCTCGGTCTGCCTTCCATCTGACATTGCCTGTCCCGGCTTCCCGGGTCATCCTGCGCTCGCAGCTCCTCAACTGTCGTCGCGAGCTCATACTGTCCCCTGGTCAGAGCCGTCATCCCCAGTAAGATATCCGTGCTCTCATGACCCTGCAGGTTGGGGAGCACTCGCTGCAGCGTGCCATTCCATGCGAGCTTGCGCGTGAGATCGAGGGCTACGTGCTTCGAGCGATGACAAAGAGCCGGCATGATACGGATGATGGGCGAGATTGGTCGACTTGTGCGGTTCGTGACCCGTACTTTAAAAGTAAACGCCTCGTGTGTGTAGGTCATCCTGGGCTCGTCTAGACCGTCCGGCTGCTGGATCGACATGTCCATGCCGATCTCATCCACTTTGATGGCTTCGACCATCCTAGGATTGAATCGGATGTTTCTTAATTCGAGTGTCCCGCTGCGTGTGGCGCCCTTGGTTGTAGTCCACGTGGCCCTTAGCCGGTCAAGCATCCTCTCCCTGTACCAGAACGCTTCGCGGTTGTCACGCTCGGCTTCTGGGGAAATTGTTGTGGAACTGACGACAAACTGCTTGTTTTGCGCAGGATTGAGGCTCGGGATGGCCGCGTGGGGATCCTCCAAGAACACCCGCCTCACCGGCACAAGCACGCGGTTGGTGTTGCCGGGAAGAATGGCATCGTCCACCAGGAGGCCGTCGTCATCTTGAATGTGTACTGACATGAGGCTTGGCCAAATGTTCCGGACATCCAACGATAGCAAACAATAATCTTCAGGCGACGCAGGCTCGCCCTTGCCAAACTTGGCCCAAAACGCGGAGGGGATTGCTTCGTTCAGGGGCAGGATGTCTGCGCGGGGAAGCTCAAGGCTGCCGTTGACAGTGATTGTGAGGTCAAGCGAGGCTTGTCGCGTATAGAATTGTTCCGTGACTTCTTCACGAGGCTTTCCAAGGTACGTGTAATCCACCTGTATAGAAGCATGCGTCAGACCTGGTTTTCCCAGAATCTCAAACTCGAATGTGGCCTCCCCGCCGGCCTCGATGAAGCGCGTCTGGGTGCCCTTGGGTATGCGCAGCGCTTGCTTCTTCATGAGGATCAGCTCGTACTCGTGCAACTCGGCTGGACTTGCGTCTCGGTTGGCGAGAGCCGCTTTTAGGGGCTCCTGCGTTGAGTCTCTGAAGGAGAAGAGCATAAAGTCGACGGGTGTTGCCGACATGTTCTGCAAAGTGACCGAAAAGATCTGCCTTTCGCCCTCGAGAATCATGACCGACGCCTGAGACAGCGATGTCGATTTCACAGACACCAGAGGCTGTGCTTCAATGACAGTCAACCCCAATGATTCAGGTGACAACTGAGGACCAGGTCGTTTAATAGGCTGCAACGACTCTTCCAACCCGGCCACGCCTTTGACTTTTGATTTGGCATCTCTAACAGGATGCCACGGCTGAGTGAAAATAGGAAACCTTCGTTCTCGGCAGCCTCGCACTTTGACGATGGCTCCCGTGATCTTGACCTGCCCCGCTTCCATCGGCCTGCCATGGAGCTTCATAAGTTGAGTCCGATTGGGTCCTAACCGCGTAGAAGACGGCATAGCTTCAAATGTAGCTCCGTCAGTTTCAACTTGAATACTCTCAATGTCAACCTCGGTGTCATATGTGTTCTGTAGGTTGATCCTAAAAGTCGCCATGTCTCCCGCGACCAGCAAATCCTGTGCAACCTCCTCTGGCTTCTTCAGGAAGGGGTTGTAGATGAACGGATCAACATCCTGAGAGGCCCTTCCTGCCGATGCGCCCGGCAGAGCGCTGTGTGCGTGGGGTATAGGCGCCTTGATGCTTGGCAGAGGCTCAAGTTTGATACCTCTGACTAGGAATTCATCCCAGTATTCAGCTTCACAATCTTGGATCCCAAGCTGCTGCGCAAGACTCCAGGTCCTGGCGATGTTGCTGGCAAAGCGGGCTTGTTCCTCAGCAAAGATAATGGGCGAAGAGTCTTCCTTACGCGCTCCTGGAGCAACCCCAGACCCTGCTGTCCTTAATAGGTCGCTTGAGAATTTGAGGACACCGTTGAAATCCGGGAGGGCTTCGGCAAAGTTGATGCAGGCGCGAAGGATGTTGAGCTTGATCCCTGTAAAGCCAAAGAATCTTGATGCAGACTGCCCGTGGATCCTAGCCACGATAGCCTCATCTGAGTCCCGAACGATTGACGAGTCGGAGTCTGTGATCTTTCGCGATTGGTCCAATGCCACAATCCCGTACGACCTGCAAAGGAGCTCAAGGAAGGCTTCTATGCCATACTCGATATCACCATGACCCACGTCCAGAGCAACGCCGCTACGAGGATCAGACCCTGGTGCTAGCGAGACGAGTCCAGCAGCCGGATGCACGCCAGCGTCGGCCGCGCCTCGAGTGCGGGCCTCCACAAGTCCAGCAATAAGAACCGAAACAAGTTCGCGAATCACCATTGCTTTCTTCCTTTGAAACCCAAGCGGCCCCAAGACGGCTGCAATCCCGCTCAGGATGGAGGCGCGGTCCACCGTTGTCAGCAACTCTGCGGAGAAACTCGGTGACGACGGGAATGCCTCCATCAGTAGGTTCACGATCTGCTGTCGCGTAGGCACAATGTGAAGGCGCGGGGATGTTGTTAGCCCCTTTGCTGGCAGCTTTCCCGTGACAATGATATCAAGTGCGTGCTGATTAAGCTCCCCCTTGCTCATATGCAACGCGGTAAGGATCTTGCAGGACCTGATGACAGTTTCCGCAAAGGGCAGGTTTGGCAGCTTCTCGGCCTCGGTGCGCTTGCGTGAGTAGAGATTGACGATTTTATCAAGCAATTCCGGCAGGATGAGCTGCAGATTGCGCAGGTGCTTCGGCTGGTCTGCGGTGATCGCCTGAGCGTCCACCTTCGACGACCAAGATGACTTGCTAGGCCCATCTTGCGTGGGCAAACAGACTGAAGGGATCTGAAACTCCAACCTAGACCAGCCCAAGAGGAAGAGGTTCATCAAGATGAGCTCCAATGCCTTGCCGTGCCAAATGTGATCGTTGAGCGAGCGCGCTGCCGTCGCGCCCTCCGATAGCTCGCGCAACGAATCACTCCATCTGCCAGCCTGGAGATAAAGGGAGCCTATGACAATGGACGCCCTGCCTTTTCCTTTTAAACGCCACTTGTCATTCGCGCCACCGGGCCCGAAGCCTTGGACCGAGACTCGGTTGCTGGATGTGTCGCGCGAGTTGTGCGCAAAAACGGGACGCGAGCCAGTCCGCTCGGGCGTCGATGGTGTGCTACTCACCTCACTCGGGCCATCAGAGTTCCCTGGCGCATTAGCAGAGCCGTTCTTGACTGGCGTCGAAGGCCGTCCCGGGGTCGAGCTGCTCGAACCCATCGCAGGGCGCGTAGGAACGGGAGGCATCGACATGCGTGCGTGATGTTTGCTGGGTACACCGACAGAGGCCGAACGTCCATCATGGTGTGGCACGGAGTATTGCGAGTTTCTCCTAGGCATACCATTGGCCCCGTGCTCTTTGCCAGGTATCGGGCGAGTGCCAGAATAGTGGACAGGCGACTCGATGGATGTCATCTGTTCGAAGGACCTTGCCAGCGTCGTCATTTCCGCGAGAAGTTGTGACGAGATGTCGCACATGACCGTCTTCATGGTGGTTCTGAGTGAATCTTCGGTCGGTGGTATCACTAAGACCCCCTCGGGGATAGGTACTATGGTCGACGCGGGCGGCACGTAATCGAAGATCAACACCTGGTGCACCAAGGCCTTGGGGTACTGGTCGCGCAGATCCTCGAGTTCCTGATACAGCGCACGTATGCTCTTTTCGACCATTGTTGGGCCGCTGCCATTGACCGACTGGCTCTTGCTGAAAGTCTCCTTCCCTAGCTCGGACCCATCTGCCAGCGCGATGACAGCCAGGGGTTCTCGGTACAGGTCGAAAGGGGTAAGCGCTGTGTGCGACGGCGGCGGTACATGCGTGATGAGGTCGTAGAGTATGGCACCATCAGGGAAGGCCAAGGGCGAGAACATGTCTGCGCAAGTCAGTACTGCCATGGGGCGGCTGGCACGAGGAACTCCTACTGCGATTTGGTCGCCCATCAGGGGTGACGTCCCGTAGATGGACCACATGTTCACTGTGCAGTCGGTCGACGAAGGACACAAAACGATCTGTTCTGATCTGGCCCAGGGGAAGAAGCAGCGCCTTCACCCTCGCGGGAGCGGTAGGGAGCAGCGGATCTAGGCTCATCCTATATGGGCTCGGTGTGCAGCATGGTCCTCTTTGGAAGCTGTTGCGAGAGCGTCGGTGTCGGTGAAGCGAGGGAGTGTTCAGGCGGTCATTTCGTGGGGTCGTAACTTCGTGAGGGGATCGTCAAGCCTGAGATGTTGTTCGATCAAGGCGCTTTTCAAAACCGACGCTTGATGCAGCCTCTCGCTCCGGTGGGGGACAGGGGAGAGAGAGCTCGAGGTTGAAGACTAGCCGTGATGGCCCATGTTCACTGCGCCATTGGCGGCGGTTGGCTGCAGCGCGCAGACCTTCTCCACAGCACGTGAGCTCCAGCAGCATAAGGTAAGGTACATGTACTGTATTGTTTTACGATCTCGCCCCTTTGGCAAACGGGTTCTTTCGACAGCTGTGTAACCTTTCCTCGGGTATTCAGTCGTCTACAATGTCATCGACTCGAAAGTTATCCGATTCAATTCTATCTTTTTACCTTACTCTCCCACGTTAAATGAAGCACGACCCCCTGAGGCGGCAGCCATTACGGCAATACATGTCTAATTCAACTGAGCATCAAGACACCACTGGAGCCCCCCGGTACCAACTTCGTCGCATAATAGATGAGCTTCGCTCAGTGCCGCCACCACCTGGCACCGTCGTCGGCAATGTCGCTGGGGGTCTTTCTGGGATTGTCACCTACCGAGAGGTGAGCATTGGGGCCCATTCAAGACAGTTCGGGAGTTATATGAGGAGCTCGTCAGTCTGATTCTCTTGGATGCTGATTGCAGCGATTATCCCGATCCAGAAGAGCTTTTGGCGTTCTATCGCGAGGCGAGCGAGGCAGACGACGCCCCGCTGCTCCTGACCCACGGCGACTTGAGCAGTCTGAACATCATGGTGCAAAGCGACACAGTCGTGGTCATTGTGGACTGGGATACAGCAGGGTGGTTCCCCAAGCACTGGGAGTACATCTGTGCCAAGTACGTTAACCCTTTCAATCCCTTTGGTCTGATCCCATTGTCGATTTCCTGGAGCCCATGCCGCGAGAGCTCGAGATGGAGAATATCCGACGCAAATCCTTCGGCGATTTCTGATACTGCGTCTACTGCCCACCACGATTCGTCCCACTCGCTCTAGGAAGCGGGGCGCTCCAGGAGGCTGTTTATGGTACGATTGACCCTTGATGTCCAAGTGGCCTTTGTCATGCCCATCCATCAACGCCCGATGTTGGCTGATCGATCCATCAGTGCACGAACATTACGAGAGAACCCACCAGGCGTTTCTTTCTGGGAACTGAAAATAGATCGACAATCCTCCTAGATACTTCGACGGCAGTTTCCAAGTCTTTTAGCACCCAATGAACCGGCTTTTTTCGCGTAGGTCCCTTTTCCCAGTGTAGCATTAGCATTAGCATTACGAAAAGTCAGGACAATGGTCCCTTGGTATTACACAACCTGTACAGCCCCGTCACGCCGTCATCACTGTCATACTCAAGCCCAAGAGAAGACCTCAAGCTGCGGGCGACTTTTCGACTCCCCTGTCTCCCTCCCGAGCCTCGTCGAGAACCTCGCTGTCGAAGATATCGACCGCAAGACTGGCGTCCACAAAGTCCTCGAGCTCCTCCGATACGGTCTTGAGCTTCTCCCTGACGGCGATGGCGGCATCGGTGCCCACAATATGTCGCGCTGGTGGATTCTCGTGACCTCCTATGGCGGTGAGCGCGTGCACCGTCTCCATCACCAGTTTCTCGGCGGCACCGGGCGGCAGGCGTGGGTATCGCTGGAAAACGTCGCCTCGGCCGGGATCGGGCTCCAGGTTTGTGTCCTCCACATCCGAGTCAGGGGTCGCGACTGGCTCGGTCGCGGGGGGCGTTGGTGGCCGCGGTATGGCCGTCTCAGGATCCGTGTTGAGAACGTTGCCGAGAATATCTCTAATATTCGGGGCGGAGTCGAAGGCGTCTTTGTAGGCAGGGATCTGCGGCGCAAACGTGAGTCTGTTGGTCAAGCTTTGGATCTCCTGGTTCGGCTGAACAATGGTAATCTTGATGTTAAAGGGGGCGACCTCGTAGGCGAGCGAGTCGCAAAACCCCTCGAGGCCCCATGTCGCAGCTGAGTACATGCTCATGCCCGGCGTCGCAATGTGACCGCCGGTGCTGGTGAGAGCCACAATGTGCCCGGTATGCTGCTCACGCAGGACCGGCAGTGCCGCCTTGATGAAGTTGACCTGGGAGAAGAAGAGGTTCTCAAACTGGTCTCGCACCAGATTCCTAGTCACTGGCGTGGTGGATAATTCCTCAACGGTGCCGACCACGGCTGGCGCACTGGTCAGTTTCGCTATCTCTGCGGGCTCGTGGTGCAATCGAACATACCCTCTGATTTGCAGCACAGCACAATGTCGATTCTGCCAAAAACCTCGACGGCTTCGGCTATCGCCGCGCCGCAGCCGGCCATTCCTCGTCCGTCGCAGCGGATGCCCCGAATTCTCTCCTTCCATCCGTCACGGTCACGCCCTTCAGCATCTTTACCGCCCTCCTTGCACTCTGCGATGAGCTCTCTGAATTCGGCACCTCGATCCGGGTGGTCAATCTCATGCGGCGGGAGACAGGCGACAATGTAGTCGCCATGATCCAGGAGTTGACGGATCAGCCGAACAGCCAACGGCGAGCAGGCCGAAGTGAGAAGCCATGTCCTTGGAGAATTATGTGTTGCTGCAGGCGGAGAATTTGAATCCCGGTCAGCCATGTTTCCTTCTCCCAAAAAGCTCTAGGTCAGACAGTAGCCCTGCTTCGCGACCCCGTTCCTTCGTTCCAGGTGTGGTGAGAAGTGATTCTGGGATATCATGATAGGGGGATCATAATCGCAGGTGAGATGTGGAAATGAATTAATGATAACAAGGCCTCAAGGTCAACGCCGCTCAGATTGAAGGATGTTGTACCTGATGGTCACAGGTAAAGTTTCAAGTAAATCGCCTCGACTTGCACGGCTGTCGATGCGAGATCACCTCGAAGTTTGGAAAATGAGTTGTGACAGGACTCCCTCCCGTCGCCGGTGATGTGGGATGGTGAAAGCAATGTGACGCTAGGCTGGAAAGGGTAAGGTGTAGGGGCTGAAGCTCTGCCTGCCGGTCTGAGTTGGTCCGAGACGGGGTGAGCTGAACTGAACTGAACTGAACTGAATTGAACTCACGGAAGGAGGGATGTGGCTGGGCGGACGGTGGCGGAAGCTGCGACTGTGGCTGATAGGAGCGCTCACGTGGCGCATGCGGCGTGACAGTGGGTGGACCGCCTGGCGTGGATGCCGTGCCGCTGGGGGTGCCGGCTGCGGGTGAAGACAGCGGCATGTTATCGGGCCCGTCAAGTCGCGTATGGCCCAAGGGACGGTGGTGAGGGCGGAGTGAGTGCGCGGAAAGGACTGGCGATTCGGTGTAGTTGAACGAGCGGATGAGCCTCTGGAGAGGCCAAGAGAGACAAAGTTGACTTGATAATCTGGCAGCGCGATCCGCAGAGCAGCGAAGGCGAGGAGCTGATGATAGATCGTACCGTAAGCAGGCAGTAAGTAGTTGTCTTACTGAACTGGTACCGTACGGACAGAATACATCGGCACCAGCCCGCGCATGCCCGTCAGCGTGAATCGCAAGGAGCAGGTGCGAGGACACGGGCGCAGCGTATCGAGGCGATCGACAAACGACAGCTCTTCATCCTGGCACGAGAAACCCAGCGTCGCGAGCGAGGCGAGCAGCAGTCGAGTCGAGGCCCCGTGTGGATGATTTAAATATGCGCGCGCGCAAAGAGGCAGAGTGACAAGACACCTCCTATTAATGTCTACTGACTATACGTTATCCATAATAATAACGTAGCTCCTGGGCTGGATGGATGGGAGCTAGGCTGGCTAGGCCCAAGACCATCCCCAGAAGAGCGTCGATAGGTCAGGACATGTGCCGAATATGCAGCCCACATCACCTCGTCGTGGTTATGCCTATTCTGCCGACACCTGGACCGGACAGAGTCCGCCAGACCCATGGGATGGGACGGACGGACGGAGGCGACCCATGAAAAAGGTCATTTCCGACCACAGCGCAGGCCTTTGAGTGGCTGCTTGCGCCCATTTTGATGGCGGGCATCGTGCCTATTAGCGAGATGGCCCCCCATAATGGCTCTTATAGCATGGACAAGCCTGCGTCAGCTGTCAAATTGATGCCTATGCGCCCATGCATTTCTCCTCCTTGTTGGGGACCGACCTCCTTGACTGTCACTGATCCTCACAGTCATGCAGCACCAGGGTTGGGTCCTATGGGCCTATTCGAGACTGGCGATCAAGAGGCGTGCTCTGCAAGTTTTGCGCGAGATGTACGAAGTACCAGGATAATTTGGGCTTATCTTGCTTCAATCAAAAACATGATGAACTTGGGAGATTCTGCAAAAACGGCACTCCCTACGCTTCGCTTCTGTTGAAACGCATGCGTGTTACCCTACAGGCTCATCAATCCGATTCTCCCCAGATACATATCCCGCCACGTGCCTGCATTCATGTTGGTCCAGCTATCATAATTAATGCGAACGCTCTGTTGGTCCGGCGCTGCACGACGCCCTGAATCTCCAGCCTGATAAGGCGTGGAAGAATCCAGCGAACCACATTCTCCGACTTGAATTATGGAGCAGGTTGATGTGGGAAAGACGTTTTGCACGTAGCGGCCCGCCGGTCCATCCTTCATGTTCACTGCGACGTGAGCGGATCCGGACAATAGTTCATTCATTGCAATCAATAACGAGGTATAACAGTTCCTGGTATAACCATAGGCCCGTCCATATATGGCTACGGATCCGCAGCCCATGGTGCCGTCGCCCTGGACAATCCCAAATCTCTGTCCACACGCGGTATCCCGATTACACCCCCACTCAATGAGCGTCCACCATCACCCAAAGCACGCTCGCGAAACAAGACAAGCAAGACGGCCGGCTCAGACCTTGTTGGTGCGCTGCTCGTTGATGGTCTCGACACGGTCCACGTTGGGCTCGTCGTCGACGCTCTTGGGGCCCTTCTCGTGGATATGGCCAAAGAGCTCGTCCATGGCCTCGAGACTGAGACCCTTGGTCTCGGGGATGAAGAACCAGACAAAAATGAACATGAGCAGGTCAAAGGTGCCAAACAGGAAGAACATGCCGTAGCCAGCCTGGCCCATGGTCTGCTGCATGGTGAGCACAGCTGGTGTGGTTTGTCAGTACGTGTTGCATAGGCCGTCATGAGGAGGACAGGAACTTACTGCGCGCGACCACAAAGTTGAATAGCCACTGCGTGGCAGCACCGAGAGACACGTTGAGGGCACGGAGACGGGCGGTCGGGATCTCGGATACGAGAATCCAGCAGACGGGTCCCCAACCGAACTGGAAGAGACTGCGCATTAATGGATTAGCGAAAGACTCTCACGCGTGACAACAGGAGCGACGTACGCGGCCCACAGGTAGATACAGGCGATGGCGACATAGCCGAACGGGGACACGCCCTGACCCTCGACAGGAGGCTCGACGCGACCGTAGATACCAATCAGGTACATGACGAGTCCCATGGTAATAGATGTCCACAGAAGACTCTTACGGCGACCCAGGGAGTCGGCAACAAAGGCCAGGAAACATGCGGACGCGGCCATCTTGATGACGCCGTAGATACCAGTGGCGAAGAGACCCGTTTCGCTGCCGGTCAGGCCAAGGTTCCTGAAGATCTGGGGCGCGTAGTAGTTCTGTCATGGCAGTTAGTTCATGTTTGGTGTCGTTCGAGGGTGGGGCGCTGGCGCTGGCGGAGACGGGGTTAGGGACATACAATGGCGTTGACACCAGTCATCTGCTGGCAGATCATGAGCACGACCGTGATGATGGCACGCTTGCGGTTGGCGGGCACGGTGACCATCTCCTTCATCAAGGTCTTGGCCGAGGCATCACCCGTCACGCGGCGCTCCGCCTCGAGCTGGGCGGACATATCCTGGATCTCGTTGCGCACGTAGTCGGAGTCGGCGGGCAGGCCACGCAGGCGGGCGGTGATGCGCGTGGCGCTCTCCCAGTCGTCCTTGCGCGCGCACCAACGGGGGGACTCGGGCGAGACGAGCATACCGGCGACGAGGAAGCTGGATGAATGTTAGCGGTCGGTGCTCCTATCACACAACATTGGACCTGTCACCGCAACGGGGGCACTTACACGGCAGGGAGACACTGCAGGGCCAGGGGCACAATGTAGATGGCGGGCGCGGAGACGTGCAGGAGGCAGCCGTAGTTGACCCAGTACGAGATCATGATACCGGTGACGATGAAGAGCTGGTAGAAAGTGGTCAAGGCACCGCGAATGGCACGGGGCGCGCACTCGGAGACATAGAGGGGCACAAGGGTCGAGGCGGCACCGACGCCGAGACCAGCGAGGAAGCGACCGACGTACATGACGGAGATGGTGCCGTTGATGCCCGAGGAGGCCTGGAAGATGACGCCAATGGTGGTCAGGACACCACAGCCAATGAGACTCCAGCGACGGCCATAGGCGTCAGTGATCCAGCCGGTCACCAGGCAGGCGGCGAAACAACCGGCCTGCAGCGTCGAGACAATGTTCTGCTCCATGAGGGAGATGGCCTCTGGGGACCAGTCCTTGTAGCCAAACTTTTCCTTGGTCGGGGCCATGGCCAGGACACCGGAGATAGCACCCGTGTCCCAACCAAAGAGCATGCCACCGAAGCAGGCGGAGAAGACGAGGGCGAAGACGCGCCAGCCGTAGATCTCATCGGGATCTGTGCGCATGGCATCGTTGCGGATAATGGCCCGCAGGATCTTGACGATAATCGCCATGGTGGGCTATGATGGCCAACGGAGTGCCGGTCTGGTTGATAGGTAGACACAGGAGGGACTGGGGACTTGCTGCTCACGACAAGTAGGTGATGCTCGCCTTTGCCGCTGTTGTTGAGGAGTACTCAGGAGGATGGAGAGGTGGATGAATCGGAAACCAAGTGCCAGAATAGGAACGGGGATAGGAGGAGGGTTCTTATCAAAAGAAGGTCAGGCGCAGAGGGACGGACAGGCCCTGACCAGATTTCCCCGGTGTTGGATATGGCCATGCAACTCGGCGAGTAGCAACCGAAGGGGGATGGGATGGGCAATTCTTCCACATGTCATGCCTTGTCACGGCGATATGCTGTCCGGATGTACGAGACAAGGCAGGCTGCGACGGTCCAATCAACAGGTGAGCGATAGCATAGCACAGATGGCACTTGTGCCGGCACAGCATCCCCTTCCACACCCCAGATCGCCTGTGGCACTACTGTAAGGAGACCCTGGTCCGCCTGGCCCGCAGATGCAACCATTTCTCCTCTGGCCGGGGGGTGTGGCCGTGTCCATCGTGAGGGGAAACGGAGCTCGACTCTGGAGCAGACGAGACGCGCCGAATCAAAATGCACCACGGGTCGCCGTCGAAGCTGGGGTACGATGGGCATCTCCTGGGGACTTGAGTCTTGGGAGGCAACTGGGGGTGATGACGGCACCTCATGCTCCCGAGCTCTGCCTGGCTGGCTGCCCAGCCCCGACCTAATTGGTGTGAAGAATTGTTCCCCCGGGCCTTTTCAGGATAGGCTAGGCTAGGCTAAGCTTGGTGTGTCGGCTAGCGGCTACACACTCAGCACTGCACCCTGGGACGTGAGATGAGGTTGATGGCTGAATCATGGAGGGTAGCTTAAGTTTGAATTCTGTTGCCTGCAGCTCGGCCGCGCTTGCGCTTGCGCTTGGCCATGCGGCAGCGCGAGGCAGGTCAAGACTCGCGGCGTATCTGAAAGACATTTGGATGAGTATTGAAGGAGCCCGTCGGACCGTCCGTCTGCTGGAAAGCCTGGAATCAATGTGATGTGGAGGAGGTGAGGGAGGGAGCGATGGCCGGGGCCCCGCTGCTCCAGCCGCCTCCAGTGAGTCCAGTCGCTAATAACAATGGGAGTCAAGCTTGCGGGCGGCGTGCATCAAAACTGTCCGCAGGCTTACATCCGACCTATTCGATGCGGGGAAACATATTCCACGAATCGTGTCGAGGCTTGGCGTGCTGGGGGAGAGGGGTGGGGGAGTGAATTTGCCGTCCCCTGGCCGCTTGATGGAGAATCGAGTCTGGGAATTATTTCACGGACCATCAATCATAGTTATGTATTTCCTGGTCGTCACCGACCACGCCTGAAGCGCACGCGAAACTGGTTGCGCTGAGACCAGCCACTGCCAGGGTCCCCAACGCTCGATGTTGTTCCGTGCAAATGCTGTAGAAGACTGACTCGTTGGTACTGGGTCAGAGACCAACGATCAACGGATAACGATTTCAACCGCCATACATGCGCAATCAGCCCCAGAGTTGGAGCCCCGAAGACTATCTCCCACTTTACCCGGTGATCATGATGGGGTCAATGTGGAGAGTGAGCTTGCAGATCCGGCACTGCCAGTGTCTGTGGATCGTGAAATAAGGCGCTCAAGACTGGAACTGTCGACTCGTAGTCACATGGCAATATGCTCATCAGCCTCATCCACGCGTTGATATAGCAGTATGTTTTTCAAGTCTACAGGATTCCTCACTAAGGTCTAGTGATGAATCGATCTCAGATTGCTTCATCGACCCGGAAAGTGGGACGGACAATTCGTGGGGTGCCCCGTCCGCGTCCTTGTTGTTCGACCCACCCCCAGATGCGGAGGACTGGACTTGGCCCTTGGGATTCGACGTGGGAGTCTGGACACGAAAGTCGGAAAGCCTCCAAGTTGTTCGACACTTGAGAATCGACCAGTAAATTTGTGAGAATCTCAATCTGATTTGCCAAGTGCGCTACACCAGGAATCATCAATGGGTAAGAGGCTTGGACTTCTTCATACACCTATTGAAACGTCCGACAGTCCATACGTGGATGCGTCCATGCTCAATTCTTCCGTGCACTGACATTGAACCGTGCTATGCTTCATCGAAGGTCTGAATTGAGCCAGCCTGGTACCATAGGGGGCCTGTCCCACCCATCAAGAAAGTCTTCCCCAGGTCCCGTGGGCTTGGCGTAAATCCCAGAGACGTATGCGACCGTCTCGCCCTGCTTGATCGTATGCTGCAGTGTGGGGATCACAGTCCGCGCCTCGACGAGGTTCGAATTGGGGTCTGCATTCACCAGGTTGGCCTGGCGCCCTTCCCAACCCTCCAGTGCCTTGATGCCAACCGCCCCAGCTGAGACCGCAAAGGCACCAGCCCGGCCGTCCGCCCAGCCAGCGGGTGTCTTCACGTCATAATTGCCAATAATTTTGGGCGACGTGCCCTCGTGCCTCGCGGCATCATACAGCTGTAGGCTTCGACCGGTCTGACTGTCGACGTTCCGTATAGCGAACGACCCGTCAGCCGTCATCACCTCACGACCAGCCTCGATTTGGTGGGCGCGAAGATGCCAGTTGGGATGCTCCTCTGTAGAAGGAATGAGGTACGTCTTGATCGTGACGTCCGGGAACGGCTTCCACACAGATACGAGAACAGGCTTCTCGTCGCGGTACTCAATGGCAGCATACTCGCACAGTCGCCGTGTCTTCCAGTATTCGCCCCCATCGTCCGAAAGCCCGAGTTGCGAAGCCAGTGCGTATTGCTCGAGCGAGAAGAGACCTGTGGGAACAGAATACCCATAGGCGCTGCTGTACGCAAAGCCTCCATACTTGGCATGTGTCGCTCGCATCGGGTAGCTGCACGCCTGTCCAGAGGAGAGAAGCATGCAATGTCCACCGTGGTAGCTCGTAATATGACCGGGGTGCTTCAGGGCTTTGACTTTAGGAAACGTGTTTCCAAGAGGCTCCTCCTTCGACGTCCAGAACGGGTGGGTCTCGGGCACGGCGAGACAGATAAACGCCAGACACGCCCAGTACGGACTTCCGGGGCTGTTGTAGTTCTCCGTCATGAACGTGTTGGGGTAGGAGTAGCCCAGGGACAAGGTGCCGCTCGCTGTCCACAAAGAGGTCTGCGTCTGCCACCATCGCAGGTGGCGAAGCACAATTCCCTTGACCATGCCCCAAGTCAGGGGCGCCGGGAGCTCGACGTCTGCGTACGCCATGGCTCCCCAAAAAGAGACGACAGCGAATCGATACGAGAGGCTGCGGCCATATGGTATCGCACGGCCCTCCTCGTCGTAGTAGTGCACCAGGTCGAGCGCTGCTATCTGGGCTCGCTTCTTGAATTCAGCAGCCCGCTCGGGGTCGTCTTCGCCGTTCAGTTTGGCGTAGATGAGCTGGAGAAACTGAATGGCAAAGCTCGAGGAGTAGTAATCCATCTCTGCGCACGTCAGTCGCCGTTAGCTACTAGTTGTGTGCCGTTTGACCTACGGTGGATGCCTTCTGGGCCATCGTTCGACCAGCCGTCGCCACGGTAGAACGTGTCCAGGTGCTTAATGTCGCTCTCCAGTCTCTCTTTGGAAAACTTGCCGCCATTCTTCTTTAGTCCTAGATTTGCAAAGACACGGAACCAAAGCCAATTCGTGTTGGGCATGCTGTGGCTTAGTTAGTTGGGTTGTATGGCTCGCGAGAATGGGTACAAGCTCACGTCTTCTCATTGATGGAATTTCCCAGCCAAGCCTCCACGTTGCCTCTTTCTTCTGTCGTCAATTTGTCCCATATCTCAGGGGCCACCGCCAATGCGTATCCTGATACCTGTAAGCTTCGAAAGGGACATCAACCGAGCATACTGACCCAAAGGGCACATCTCGACCATTCGCTGGTCATTGTCCCTCGGATAGCCCCAGTACTCTGGGCTCTTGGGATCTGTCCCTGCTCGGTAACCGTCAATCCACCAGTCTGTGCCTCTGTATTTTCCGTCTCCGGCGAGCAAGAAAGCTAGCCCCCAGAGTGGCCGTGCAAACCCTTCGATCTGGGCAGCCACATCGTCAAATCGCACGGCAGTGCCACCAGGGCACTTGACCCGTGCTTTTTCAGGCGAGAAGAATGGCTCAAGGGGGTCAAGGACTGTCTCGAGGAGCTTCTGTACAGATGCCTTGTTGGTGACATTGACCTTGGCGAAGGGATGCACGTCGTTGTACGCAAGGTGAACGCCCATTTTGGGTCCGCTGTGTGAGCAGTATGGCTGATCAAGTGAAGAGTAGAAGAGCTTGAAGATCACTGGAAAAGGTAGCAATGATGACAACAGTATAAATTACAAAGGGTACGCCTTAATAAACCAGTCATGCTTGATTTGACCTCCCAAGTGCCCACTGGGGACAATTGCCGGCTGATAACGTCAAAAGGGGGATAATTGGGGTCGCTCGAGGCGGGGGCGGGGGAAGTCGAAGCGACTTCGGCTGAATGCAATGCGAGCGATCAACTGACGACACGTTGGGTTGCAGCTGTTGGGACCGGATGATGATGCAGCACAATGTAGGAGGTGATTACCGAGTGTCGCCAGCGCTTGGAGAGATGTACGTAGCATTGTTCGGTATTTGAACCCGGGCGAGTGCGAATACGGGATTGGGCCATATCCGGAAGTCTGTAGACTGCGGCTCGGGTTTCAAGCGCATATCTCGTGCAGAGATGTATAGCATGTCACAAAAAGGTAAAAGTTAGGCGAGGATGAAGAAGCAAACAACAAAGGAGACCAAAACCAACAAAAAAAAATATGATTGCAGTCCGTTGTCAGACTGTAATGCTATGTATGCATTGGGGCGAACCGGGATCGAACCGGTGACCTTTCGATGATGAGACTGAGTGAACTTCAGTCGAACGCGCTCCCAACTACGCCATCACCCCGAGTGGATGCAACTTTCGTCCTTTTATTGTATTATAAATCTAACAACAATTTCAAGCCTCACACTAGGAAACAGTGTTTCCCCGTCCTGCCTCCATTCAAGGGTTCTTCAATAAACCCTCACCCAAGGTATGTTAGGCACTATTCAATATTCAATATCGAAGAACTTTTATTTAAGCTCCAGGTCTGTTAGGCGATTCGTAAAAGAACAGCCCTTTCCCCCGTATCAAGGCACCGGCCGCCGCGCAACCCCACACCGTGTATCTCCAGGCTGAAGCGCCAACGCAACGATTGCCAAACTGACTAAGCGCGTTAAGCTCCATCCCACCATCATCATCTGAGCTCGAGCTCCGACCTCGTCAACGAACATCACCTTAATCCACTGCTCGCAAACTCTCCGTCATGTTCCGCAACAACTACGACAACGACTCCGTCACCTAGTTCGTCCAGGCCCTCCAATCCCCGCGTTGCGGCTCCGCTAACACGTCACAGCTCCCCTCAGGGCCGCATCTTCCAGATCGAGTACTCGGAGGAAGCTGTCAAGCAAGGATCTGTGGTCGTCGGCATCGCAAGCAAGAAACATGTTGTTCTCTGCGCAATCAAGGTTGGTCTTTCTACATGTGTGTAGCGGCGACTCGTGCGCTAACTACGATCTAGCGCAACGCCGAGGAACTCTCCTCCTACCAGAAGAAGCTCTTCGCCATCGACGAGCACTGCGGCATCGCCATTGCCGGCCTGACGTCCGACGCCCGAGTCCTCTCCAACTTTATGAAGCAGCAAGCACTCGGTCACCGCCTCACATACGGGCGGGCCATGCCCGTCGCCTCCCTGGTAGACGAGATTGGCACCAAAGCACAGATCAACACACAGATGTACGGCAAGAGACCTTATGGCGTGGGACTGCTGGTAGCCGGTGTCGATGAGGATGGCACTCATCTCTTCGAGTTCAAGCCCTCAGGGATGACGGAGGAGCTCGTCGGCTGCGCCATTGGCGCGAGGAGTCAGATGGCGAGGACGTACCTGGAGAAGAACATTGACGCCTTCGCCGACGCGTCCAAAGAGGACTTGATCAAGCACGGTCTGCAAGCCCTCCATGAGACCCTGGTGCAGGACAAGGAACTCACCATTGACAACACGGCCGTGGGCGTGACGGGGTTCAAGGAGGGGTCAAAGAACAAGGCGGAGCCCTTCCAGCTTTACGAGGCGGCAGAGGTCAAGCAGTGGCTGGATGTGATCAGCGAATCCAAAGAAGGGAACGAGGGCGAGGGAATGGATGTGGATGAATAGTCTTACGAAACATTACAAGTAATGACTTATGAGGCGCAGGCGTTAATAGACAGGAATTGACTCCTCTGCTGGCTCCACAAGACGCTGCACAAGTAATTATGGCTCGCAATGACATGCATAGTCTTGCCTGGCGTGTTGACATATTCTATTTATCATTGATTGATCTATGCTCATGTGCTGTACCAAAGACGAACGCCACTCACACAAGGAAACCAATCTTCCGACCCTGTCTATTGGCTCCCCCATTGCAACTGGAATATCCCGGAGGACACCTTGTACTCTGCCAGCGCCGTGACGGCCCCCGCAGCTGTCGTGGATGTCACGAGGATGTTCTTGTTCACCGGCTTGACGAACCCCTCCTCGGACGCCTTGTCCAACCATTGCACAATGCCGTCCCAGTACCCCTCAATGTTCAGCAAGCAGATGCCATTCTTGTGGATGCCCAGCTGGTTCCACGTGGTGGTCTCAAAGATCTCCTCCATAGTGCCGAACCCGCCGCTGAGACCAATGAAGCCGCTGCCCGGTCCGCCAGCAAAGACCTCCTCGGCCATCATCTTCTTGCGCGTGTGCATGTCCCTGACCACCGTCGTCCGCCCGTACGTCTCGCGGTCGGGGACGACTTGGTTCTTGTCGTTGACGGTCTGGTAGGTGCCGTCGCGCTCGTACTTGACCAGCGCCTCGGGGATGATGCCGTGGACCGCGTCGGGTCCGTTGATGGCGACGAGGGTTTTTGCGACCTCGCCCATGAGGCCGACAGTGCCGCCGCCATAGACTAGATCGATATTTTTCTCTGCCATGACCCGTGCGAGCTCGCGTGCCGCTTCCATGTGCGCTACGCTGGCTCCTGCTGCTGCGCCGCAGTACACACAGATCTTGGTGCGTGGGGTTGCGCCGTTGCCATTTTGGTGGGCGAGCGGTTGAGCGCTGTCGGACGTCATGATGCTAAAGTCGGTTTTTTAAACGTAGTATCTGGTAAATATGATGGATTTCATGAAGGAGAAGAAATAGCAAGCAACGTGGAATTTAAGGTGGACTAGAGAGGTCACGCGGGAGTCATCGTCAGACCGCACAAGGTACAATCTGTAGTAAGGTAGTCTCGGACGCGTCTGTCGGTCAGAATACCGGCGGTCGCCTTGCGTGGGCGGCGGCGTATATGGGGTCCAGGCGCCTATGACACACAAAAGGCATGGACCCACAGCAGGATTCTCGAGTGCCGCCAAGAGCAACTCACGTTGTGAGGAATAGCACTCTGTAAGCGGATTGTTGAGAGAGTGCGAATTTTTTTCGTCAACGTGTCGTCAAGGACTGGTGTTGAGTGTGAGTGCATACAGCCCGCCCACGCATTAGCCTCGCGACGATCGACGACCGGTGCCCCTACCCCTCCATCGAGTTCATCCCGCCCACGTTCCTGTACCTGGAGGCTGGCAGCCTGCCTGTAGGATAGGATAATCTCAGAAAGAACATGGAATCCTTGAAATTATGACCGTCGGTCGACAAATGGAACGAGAAGACTGAGTCACACTAATTTCTGCTCTCCTAGAAAGCGCCTATTCCGTACAATACTCTGTATATCTTACGTATACAGTGTTGCATCCTACAATGTGAGCCAACACTTCACCTGTGACGGATAGTGGCGGCAAAGACCCTGCAGCGGTCCGCGCACCACCTGGCTACCAAAATTGAAGGCATCGAAGACCCTGACTCCCTCATATCCGTAAAAAAAATAGAGCAAGGCTATTGGGGAGTAAACACGACGACGCATCACTGCTGACATATCCGGCGATAGTGATCCAGCATGACTGTCAGACCTAGGGTAGGCAGGTACAACCAGCTCCAATCATCCCGTGCCAAGGCCCAGGCAGTTGATTCGCCAGCTGCTCGGCTCCGTCTTGGAAACTGCCACCTGTGATTAACACGCGATTTTGCTCCTCTCCATCACTGGCGCGCTTTCGTCGACAGAGGAAAACGCGAAGCAGCGACATCGCGACACCGCAATCATGGCCGACCAAGTTCTGCCGCGACGCCCTGCTAACCAGGCGCAGGCTGCTGAAGCTGGAGGAGGCATGAGCTTCAACAAGCTGCTCCTTGGAGGTGCTGTCTACTTCGGCCTCAGCTTCTTCATGAATTGGTACACCAAGAAGGAACAGACGGGCATCACAGTCACTGATACCAACACCGGAAACCTGATCACGGTCCCGAGCAACATTGGCACGATCCCGCCCTACCAATTTCGACCAGATCGCCTCAACGAGGGAGCGACATACCGGGCGATTCCCAAGACTGTTGCGCCCATCTGGGCTCAAGATACCCATGTCGACATCACTGTTACTCTGGCGCCATCCTTCAACGCGGTTCCTCTCTCGAACACTCCTGAAGAGTATGTGGTGATGCAAGAGAAGGGCTTCCACATCAACAACTACACCGACAAGCGGGTCATTGAGACGACATTCCCCGTACCCAAGGCCGTCCAGAATAACGGAACCCTATGGGGTCATTTCTATATCGGCCTTCCGGGCAGTGTACTCGACCCTAAACAGCCTGGCTACGACCCCGGGCACGCGTACCACTTTGCCTATCCGCTGACCCAGTACCTACCGAAGAAGAAGATCGCCAAGGTTCGCAATCTGCTGGACGACGTTCCCGGGCGGGATAAGATCGAAGAGCAGGAAGAGGAGGAGGTTAGGCAGAAGGGACCGATTATTGCCAACTACTACCACCCGAACGCTAGCTTTGCTTTCGTCCCGGATCTTGGCGTGAAGGAACTCAATGCTCTGCCCCCGGCTGCGAGACACTATCTACAGCTGGAAGCTTCGGGTGCCCGTGATGGCACCGGCCAAAATGGATGGTACTGTAAGTGACACTGTCCGTCAATTTCTTTGACCCTCCACTGACAAACGAAGACCCGATGCTGTTCATCAACACCTTCTGGCAGCTCAACAGCCACATGATGCTCCTCAACGAGACTGTCACAGAGCTCCCCCTACGCATCGATCTCAACAACATGGCCAGCTGGAAGTTTCAGCTCCTGGCCAACATTGAGTTCAATTCAAAAGAGTCCGCCCGCCAGGCTGCTTTTGGCAACTCCATCTCGGCCACCGGAGACGGCAGCGAGATTGAGATGGTCAAGGAAATCTTCATTGATACGAACCCGATCCTCCTTGGCATCACGGCTTTTGCCAGCATTGCTCACATGTTCCTCGAGATGCTCGCCTTTGGTTCCGACATTGCACACTACCGCAAGAAGAAGGACAATGTCGGTATCTCGGTCCGCTCCATCTTGGCCAACGTCTTCATGCAGACAATTATCTTCCTCTACCTGCTCGACAACCAGCAGAACACGAGCTGGATGATTCTGGGACAGCAGGTCATTGGCATCCTCATTGAGTTCTGGAAGATTACAACTGTCGTGGACGTTCGCATTCGTCCGTCGGACGGCATTTTACCCTACAAGATTGCCTTTGAAGACAAGACGAAGCTCACCGAAACCGAGGAGAAGACCAAGGAGTACGACGAGATTGCCTTCAAGTACATGTACTACGCGGCTGTCCCTCTGCTCATCGCGTACGGCATCTACTCCCTCCTCTACGACAGCCACAAGTCGTGGTACTCGTACATCATTACGACTCTCGTCGGCTCGGTCTACGCATACGGTTTCCTCATGATGGTCCCGTCGCTCTACATCAACTACCGACTCAAGAGTGTCGCTCACATGCCGGGCAAGGCCATGATGTACAAGTTCCTCAACACCTTCATTGACGACCTGTTCGCCTTCACCATCAAGATGCCCCTGCTGCACCGTCTTGCTACGTTCCGCGATGATATTATCTTTTTCATCTACCTGTACCAGCGCTACGCCTACAGGATAGACTACTCTCGTGTCAATGAGTTTGGTCAGGGTGGCGAGGATGAGGCTGAAGACAAGATCGAGGCCAAGGGCAAGGAACTGGCAGCTGAAAAGGTTGAGGAGCTTGAGGCCAAGGGCAAAAAGGTCGTCGAGGATGCCAAGGCCAAGGCCACCGGCGCCGACGCTGGGAAAGCGAAGAAGAGGAAGTGAGCAGGGCAGGCAGTTGGGTGGTTATGTGATGAGTTTGTATAAATAATTAGTGAAATTGTTGACGAAGTGATCATTGTGACAACGGCATGCCATGTTCATTCGCACGATGAAAACAATTACCCTCCTGCAAAGTCCCAGGGCAGCTCTTGGCATGACAGAGCACAGCACGGACTTCCTCTTTGGGCAACAATTGGGGGAACAAGCGCCACGCACCTAAACCTGAGTTGACATGGAGCTCAGGCCAAATTAATTGATGGACGTAGTAGCTCTCGTACCTTCAGCCTACCACACTTGTACAATCCATTCAATGTCACCGTAAGATTGCGCTAGACTGTCAATCATCATCAGCCATCTTCCCCTACTTGGCGCAGGGCTCACTGTCACATAGCGAGGCGCATTCGGCCTCGTATATGTACGTACGTATCACGCTGTGCTCAGTCAAGAGACAGGGGCCCCCGTCTCGTCCCGCCAGAAAACACCACCTTGAGCTTACGCATCTCACGCCCGCGCCGAAGTCTCGAATACCACAACCTACGACAGACAGCCACACGAACACGATCTGCCCATCGTGAGCTACTTACTGGCCCTCTCAGAGCGCAGGGACATACCGCGGATCCCGACTCGCACGGGACCGCCTAGCCCGCCGACGATGCAGCGTACCTCCTCTGATATCGCCTGACGCCCCGATTGCGACACTACGAACACACACACGACACGAGGGATGAGCAGCGACGTACGCTATGGCGTAGCCGACTCGGTAGGCTCGCTGCTCGCCGCGATTGCTCATTCCATATCGGAAGCGCTCCGTATCATGAGCTTCTCGGATAAGCAGCTGTGGGGCATGGACGAGCATGAGCACCAGCGAGCCCTCGAAGACGTCCTCGACGAAGCCAGAAAGGACTTTCAGGAGATGGGGCCACTTGTCAATGGCGACATGTACTACGAAAACGACCGGACCCGTACGTCTACATACTCCCCCCTCCGATGACATGCTGACTGTGGTGGGGGTGATAGATGATTCGCTACAAGAGCTCTGTGTGCTTCGCGATCGATTCCAAGCTCATGCTTTAAGTCTGCGAGAATGGAGTCGGTCGGGAGGACCAATCGACCCTGTCTGGACACGAGATACCCATCGATTACAACGTGACCTGCACCGAGCGCAATGCCGCGCCGCGAGTCGTATATTCACATCGGGACAAGAAGGGTCGGCACGGTGTCTAGGCGCATTTCTCGTCTACCGCAAGCAGAGAGTGTGGTCGAGCAGACAGGTGGCAGGCGTCGAGGAGGGGGAGTACCAGAAGCGCTACCTTGAGGAGCTACGGACATGCAACCGGATAGGCACCTTCCAGAGATTCGGAGAGGCGGACATTGCGTTTGTGTGCGATTACTGCGACGGCCACTTGCTGTGGGACGACCTCGAGAAGATGCCCTCGGTGCGCACCGCGCAGGAGACTGCCCTGTGGCCGACGACGCCGATATCACCCTCCACCGGAGACCCGCAGTGGCAGGCCACGGGGTTCTCCCATTCGAAGCACGAGGAGAAGCAAGTCGTCTTTGCGCCGGTCGCTATTGCGAACCACACGAGCCCTCACCCAGGGGATTGGCGCGCCCGGCTCATGTGCCCCTTTTGCGAGGACGAGGCTGCCGTGCCCCGAGACAAAGATGATGAAGAGGACAGGTGGCGCCCCGAGGAGACCTTTGATGACATTGTGGCTTTTGAGGAGCATCTCCTCTGGCAGCACACCACGCAAAAGTCGTCGATAGCCTCGACGGACAACTGCGCAGTCATGTAGCCGATGAGCATGATTTTGATTGATTGTACGGCGTTCGGAGTACAGGCCTGGGGGAGAAGTCTCATAACAGCGATGGAGATCAGTCATTCCCCCCTTTTAGAGAGCCATGCATGGTGTAATTACATAGACTGATGTAAGAAATGATACCGCTTTGCTTTTTGAAACAATTAGGGCCGAATTTCACCCCTTCCGCTCAGAAGAATCGCAGCCATATGAACACCAGGATGATGAAGCCCAGACCCGCAAAGGGACCGTACTGCTTAAGCAGTAGTTCCCAGTTGATCCGCACCGCCGCTCTCCTGTACTTTTTGCTGTCGTCCCGCAGGCGACTGCTGATCTCGCCCATCCGCTCCAAGCTGTCGCCGCGGTACAGAAGATCCTCAATGTTCTTGGTCATGATCTTGGTGACGTCCTTGAGCTCGTCGTTGAGCTGGTCGAGGTTGGCGCTCGCCCGCGAGTCCGCATAGACGGCCTTTGTCTTTGTGATGAATCCGTCAAATTCCATAAACGCGTACGGCCGCAGCGTGGGCGAGTGGATCTGCTGGAGCGAGTGGGATGTGGTGAACTCGCGCGCCAGGTCGGAGAGGTAGGTGAAGGCCAGCTTGCGCGGGTACGAGCGGTCGCAGATGGTGAGGAAGATGATGGCGTTGTCGATGAGGTAGTGGAGGGTGTAGGAGGCGCCACAGTCGATGGAGGCCTGGGGTTCGGACTGGGATGTGAGTTTGCGCAGGACCTGACGGGTCTGTTGCTTGACCTCGGCGAGTTGGGGCGCGGACTGGTCATCGTCCACGGAGGCGCAGAGCATGAGGCCTGGGACAGTGTCAGCTTGTGATGGACAGGGGCAGAGGTAGCGGAGTCGGGGGCATACCGTCCAGCCGTGATATTTGCGTCGAGCGGATCATGATGGCTGGCTAGTCCCGTAGATGAAGTACGTGGGCAAGGCAAAGAGCCGTAGAGCTCGTGGTAGCGGTGGCGATATTTAGCTAGTTGGCAGTGCTAATCGAGCTACGTGTCAAAGTCCCGAGGCACGTGGGCTAACCCGGTCAATGGGTGCGCGGGGCGTCGGCTTTCAATGGCGTCGAAAGTCAATTGGAAGAAGATATACAAAGCTTCAACAGTGCGAGGGAGGCAGTACGTGCAGAGAGTTGAATGCTAGCAATCTTGAACTGTGGAGGTTGAAATCAAGACCGAAGTTGGCGATCGCCCTGGGACAGGGGGGTGCAGCGGCCTTGGCCAACTGGCGGCGTTGTCCGTCATGGCATCAGCATCCGTCCACGTACAACACAGGAATTGAAAACGCTCCAGCAAACATGCTAGCCAGATAATTTTGCGTACGACATCCAATTTCAATCAGATTTTCTATATCTCGTCCTCTTCGTCATCAAAGTCATCTTCCCGCCCCATCTCGTACAGTATCCTCCCGCCCTCGCCAGCCCCGATGTCTGTCTGCGCGTCAAAGTACGGCAGCACAATGCCCTCGCGATCCTTCCTTTGCTTGTCCGTGAGACCAAGACTAAAAGTACTCTCGGGCTGCTCCTCTCCATTCTCGCCCCCTGCTGTCTCCTCATCCATAGGTGCCGCAAACACGTCGTGATCTGTGAGGAGCATGAGTTTGCCTGGTCGTGGTGGACTGGGCGTGAGGATGAATTGCTCCGACACCGTACGTCCACTTCGACGGCGGACTTCCATGGCGACGACGACGCCCAGCTCTTTCTTGGGTGTCTCTACGAGACCGAAAAGCACACCTTCCCTTTCCTCCTTCAAGCCCCATTCCGGTTCCACGAGACTGCGATTCCGGGCCTTTTGTCGCTCGATCTCCTGCTGCAGATTTGATAGACGTAGGATGGCCGTCGCAAGATGGCAGAGTATGGTGAAGGGATGCGGTTCGTACTCGTTCCACGATTTTGGGAGGACGATGGGCACGTCGACATGATGTGTGGCGATGAGTGAGATACCTGGCGTGATGATGGTCGTGAGAAACATGGCGAGCGCTTCAGGATCTGACGATGCTAGACTATTGACTGAGTCAATAATTACAATGGTCCCTTTCCGTTGTCAGTCTGTGTCTCCAAATCCTCGTCAGTCAACGAGACTCACTCTGAGCCGCTTTGTCCCTGGCTGCTATGGGGTCGAATGCCGGATATTGAGCCACCAGCTCCGCCCTCACGGACTGGAGATCCTTGCCGGATGCTCTGATGAAGCAGTCCACATCCTTGGGTTTCCTGAATGTCTCGAAAGAGCAGAATATGACTTTGGACTTTGATATCTGGACGGCGGTCAGTACCTGCGTGGGCGCATCGGCCCGCTTCGGATACGTACCTTTGCTCGAGTGACAAACTCGTCCACGACAGGCTGCGCGGTTTGTTCCAACGAGTCCAGAACTAAAGTCAATGGGCTCGCTCCATCGCGGAGGTTGAGTAGTTTCTGGAAAAGCAGGAGACTATGTGAGCGAGCGTGGGCGTTGGTGGGCGCCATCTTAAGTGAGGTCACCTCAATTGCCGGAGATGGCTCGCGCTGCGCAGTGTGACAAAGACCACGTCTGCCGGTGCGCTTGAATAGTAGAAGCTTTCTTTGACTAAGATTCGCGCTTCTGTGTACGCGACAAGGTCAACGGTGGGTTGGTTGGGCAGTTGGTGAAGTCAAGTTTTCATCGTTCGCTTCGTGCCCCGCCACACACCAAAAGATGATGATTGAGTGAACGCGACAATCAAGTTGTCTCATCCACTTTACGGACGGCGATAACATACCAATGACGGATGAGTATCAAAGATCGTGTCTACAGAAAAGGACGTCTAAGCATTCATAGCCGTTGACTAATTCTCAAGCCAGCTCATCCTCATCCGTCTACGTCCATCCTGCGATCCTGATGTTGCGCCACAGAGTCCTTGAAGGCTCTTCTCGTTTTCTTCTGACCGTTCTTCTCAGGCGCAGGGGAGCTCATTGCGCTAGAGTGCGCACCCTGTTCTTCGGACATCACCTGGTCCATGGTGCTGTCGTCGACGACGGGCCTCGCCGCCTCGCCGTTGGGACCTTTGGCCTTCTTGGGGCTGTCTTCGCCACCAATAGCCGGTAAACCTCTCTTCAGACTCTCTGCTCCATCTTTTCCATCGTCATTGTGTCGATTCGTATCAGCGCCGTTTCCCGCGGCAGCCTCTTTCGTCGCGTGCTGCGACTGTTGCGCTCTCGCTGGCTTGAACTCGTCAGGCAACTCCGTGGCCCAGTCTTCCTCAAATTTGTCGATCATGTATTGATCAAAATCGCCCATCTTGCGGCGTTCGTGCGCTGTCCAGGCTGACGTCAACCAGTCGGGGTCGAATCTGCCTTGAGCCACATTGTCGACGTAGGTAGCGCAGTCCAATCGAAAAGTGTCGTCGTTCCGGAGAACGCCAAAATCTGGTCTTGCCTCTCCTGATCCTCCATGAATCACTGCTTCTTGATCGGGAAAGAGGGCTACGATTTCCGCCTTTTCTTTGGCGTCAAGGCAGTCCCAGGCCTTGTGATTAGAGAGCAAGCTCTGGAGCTCGTTAGCATGGTCAGGAGCATCGTGTAGATTGCATAGTATTACCCGGAGATCAGCTTTCGCTAGCGGAGACCTTGGGTCGGAAATGATGGTCTCTGCGTCCCACCTAGGTTTCTTGAGTCGACGCTGCGCCGACGGCTTTTTTGCTTGATGTGCAGTTTGCTGCGCTTTCCGTCCAGGTGCCGGGTGTGTAGCCCGAGAATTCACACCGTCGCCATGTGTGCCCGTGGGTGTAGGGTCAGAGGACAGCTGGGAAGACCCCCCAGATCCATCATTCCGGCACTCGTGGTCTGGTATCTCGCTTGCCTCGACCTCTGGTGGCTGCGTGTTCACGGCGGGTTGTGTGCTTTGATCCTCCTTGCCAGCCGCAGTTTGATCAGGCAGCGTCTCATCGCGAAGCCCAGAAGACCTCTTTGTCAACCACGGCGAGGACAGCTTAAATCGCTCGTCGATGGATGACAGGGGAGATGAGTCTCCGTCGGCGATTGCCTGCTGCATGATGCGAGCGGCGTCACAATTTACTGATTCGATGGATTCGCAATGACGAGTGGGTGATCGCTGAGCTCTTCGGGATTCATGCCGAAGATGTCCGAGGCAGTATGGCAGAGTTGTGGAAACATCAGCTGAGTGCTTGTTGACTGGTGCCCAAAGGCAAGCGGACCATATGCGGCGTCATATCTCAATCTTATTCACAATGCGGTAAGCGACAATACAGTCAGTCCGTGGACAATGCTTGGATTGAAGGAGGTTGGGAGCATTGAAAGTTCTAGTGGTGGGGGCGACAAAAAAGACACACGACTTCTTGCGTCACCATATCAAGTTGAAAGCTGCGTGTTCATTGCTAGAAGGGGCTATGTTGAACGTTGGTAATTAAACTAACGTATTTATCTAAACTGTACCCCTGATGGATCAGGCTTGTGCAAACTCCTCAATGAACTTGGCCAAGGCCTCTGCGCCCTTCATGGGAATCGAGTTGTAGCTGGATGCCCGAATGCCACCCACTGATCTATGACCCTTGAGACCCGTCAATCCTTGTGCCGTGGACTCCTTGAGGAAGGCCTTTTCTGATCCGTCGACATCGCCACCCTTTGTCACGCGGAAGCAAATGTTCATCCTCGACCGAACCGCTTTATCGGGGATGATCTTGTACACGTCAGGGTGCGCTTCGAGAGCTCCGTATATGAGCTGTGCTTTCTTGTCTGAGACAGCTTCTTGGCCGGCAGCCTTGTTGGGATATGTGTTGAGCAGCTTCTTCAACACCTGCCCAGCTACGTAGACACTAGCGCCCGTCAGATTAGGTGCGACATGCCGGGAACTGAATAAACTTACTCAAAGATGCTCAGTGTGTTGTAGAGACTGTTGTTCTTGGCGATAATCTCGTACTGCAGGATAATGGGAGGAATGGGGAGCGCCAGTTTCCTCATCAGGCTGGCCGATGGCTGCTGCAGCTTGGGCGGCAGGAGATCCTTCTTGATAATGACCACCGTCACGCCCGTCGATCCCAAGTTCTTCTGCGCACCAAAGAAGATGACGGAGAAGTTGCGGACGGGAACTCTGCGCGAGAGGATGTTGGAAGACATGTCGGCCACCACAATGGGGCCCGAGCCATCCGCCTTGGGCTCGAGACACTTGGGGAAGGCTGGGAATTCGACGCCGTCCACGGTTTCGTTGTCGCACCAGTAAACTAAGGCCGCGTCCTCGGAGAGCTTCCACGTGGATTCGTCGGGGATCTTGCCAAACTTGCCGTCGTTGATCTCACGTGCGTCCGCGACGATGTTCACGTGTTCGGGGCCCAGCAGTCGAGCGGCCTCGGCCGCCGCCTTTTGCGACCATCCACCGGTGATGATGTAGTCCAGTTTCAGGTCCTTGTCAATGGTCGTCTTGAGCTGCTGCATGAGGCCCGGCTCGTTCGCCTCGGCGCCCGGGAGGTCGCCAAAGATGGCCTTCTTCTTCCGCTCGACCCAGGCGCCCACGAGGTTGTACGCTGTGGCAGAGAACTCGCCCGTTCCACCGCCCTGCATGAAGAGCACCTCATAGTCCTCGGGGATGTCCAGGTACGAGGCAAGATCGGCCTTGGCTTCGTTGATAATGTTGGTGGCGAGCTCGGAGCGATGCGAGTGCTCTGCGATGCCGAGTCCGGTGTCTTTGTAGTTGAGCAAGGAAGCTGCGGCCGTCTCGAGGACGTCTGTGGGAAGAAGCGCTGGGCCTGCACCGAAGTAGGTGATATCCTCGCGAGAAGGCATGTTGTCTGTTGCGATGTTGATGCGTTATGGCGAGAGGATGCCGGCTTAAGGCTGAGTGAAATGCAGCGGCTTTAATAGTAATGAGAGCTCTGAATTGGAGTGAGTCCCAGCGCAGGCGGGGGAGCAGGCCTGTCGTCTTGCCAGTTTGGTTGGTGTGACTGTCCGGGTTGCAGCTGAGGTGGCGTCCTTTGCGATTGAGAGGCAAGGCCGGCGCGGGTTAACGTGGAACAGTCATCAACGAGTGTCAATTGAAGCTCTGGGAAACTTTTTCTGCGCGTCATTGGCGCGTGAACTGGAGGCGTCGAGCCCAAAGTGGGATGACGGGCGTTGGAGGAGTCCATGTCCCGCGCCGGCTTCGGAGGGACTACCTTGGGTTAGGCAGCTCGCCATACGGGGCCTCCAGTCTCGCGAGGCGCTTCGCGTTTCTACAATGCTAATGTATTAGACCGACCACATTGCTGAAGTACAGAAGAGAAGCCATCTCTCGGGAAAAGTGATCAGAGTCAGATCGGATCTCTGAGCTCCTTATGCACCCCACGCTGCCACTGCTCTGTCTCTCAGTCGGCTGCTACACCAAACCCATGCGGTATAATGGCGGTTTAGCCTGATGGATGATTTCACGATACAATCGTCTATGAAAATTGACCGGGTGGTGAATGCCTAGTAGAAGCATCCGCGCGCAAATCCCTAGCTCTTCCTAGACGAACAGGATGGAAAAGCGTGAGCCGACTTCTAGCTGGGCTGTGTTCGTATGACCTGCCCGGGGCTTGATCACTTTCAGCATGTGCACAGAAACTCTGCGTTGCGCGAGGTAGGTATCGTCAACTTTCAATGTGACATATGCTTGAAAGTGCAATTTAAGCGAGATTGTCTTATACATTCCAGTACGATAACTGAACGAAATAATATCTGCGTGCATGCATTGGCAATCCAGAGGTATTGTTGGAGCACTGCAGCACGTTAGCGACGTCATTTGTCTACGCGTCTGGACGATCGCGACTTTTTTCTTTCAGCCAACACCCACCACGTAGTTTATTTACTATTCCGCTTGCCCCCCAAGCTATCAATGAGTGCTTGACCTTTTCAACGCACTTTCTTTCCGTCTGCCAATCATTGCCGATGCTGCAACGCAGCCTTCGGCGAACAAGACCTGTCCAATGTGGAAGTCTGCTGCGCGTACAGGCAGCTAGCCTGAACGCACTACATCCACCATGGTTACCACAAAGACGTGAAAGGACCTGCCCAGGGCGAACCTCTCTCCGACGAAGACGACTGTTCAGCTCGTCCGCCGCACCAAACGTTGCCGATACGATCTACGCCCTTTCCACGGCGCAGGGGCGAGCTGGCATTGCTGTTGTCCGCATTTCTGGCCCAGCCTGTCTTGAGGTGAGCACGCGCAAACAACCGCACCGACCATTTTCTCAGAGTGTACCAGATCTACAAAGCCCTGTGCCCGACCAAAGTGCTGCCGAAGCCAAGATATGCCTCCGTCCGAACACTCTACCACCCACAAGAGCCATCCACCGTGCTCGACTCGGAAGCTCTGATACTCCATTTCCCCGCGCCGAGGACCGTGACGGGCGAGGACGTCCTCGAACTTCATGTGCATGGCGGCCCAGCCACCGTCAAGGCCGTTCTCTCGGTGATCCCCCTATGCGGTCGCCAGATCCGCTACGCCGACCCCGGCGAGTTCACGAAGCGCGCCTTTTTCCATGACCGGCTGGACCTTGCGCAGATTGAGTCGTTGAGCGATACCTTGGACGCAGAAACGGAACAACAGCGCAGGGCCGCAGTGCGTGGCAACTCGGGTGCCTTGGGCAGGACGTACGAGGCCTGGAGGGAGGAGCTGCTCCAGGCGCGCGGTGAGATTGAGGCTCTGATCGATTTCTCCGAGGACCAGCACTTCGACGAGTCACCGACTGACCTTCTGGATAATGTGACGGCGCAAGTCGAGGACATGCTGCGCAGCATCAAGGCGTACGAGGATGGGAGTCAGAGGAGCGAGCTTCTCCGGAACGGTATTCGTATCGCCTTACTCGGCCCACCCAACGTGGGCAAGAGCTCGCTCATGAACCTCATTGTTGGGAGAGAGGCGTCGATCGTGTCGGGCGAGGCTGGCACGACGAGGGACATAGTCGAGGCGAGCCTGGACATTCGAGGCTACCTGTGCTCGTTCGCCGACACAGCAGGCTTCCGGTCGGACGCGTCGGCCTCCGAGCACAGTGACTTGAACTCGGGCCCTGTCGGGGCTGTGGAAAAGGAGGGTATCCGTCGCGCGCGGCAGAAAGCCGAAGAGTCCGACCTCGTGATCGTGCTGGCCTCTGTAGAGGTCGGGACGGACGGGCCCTTTATATACTACGACAAGGAAACGCTCAAGCTCGCAGCCACTGCCGAATCGGCCATGGTGGTCATCAACAAGGCGGACACGGGTCTGGATCTAGAGGAGCAGCTTGCAGCGTTCCGCCAAGTCATCTCGCAGGAGATCCCTGCGCTGACCAAGACAGGAGACCTGATCACCATATCCTGCAAGGAGGCCCGGGTCCCACCACCCTCGACGGCCGCGAGGCGCCACCGGGACCCTGGCCGCATCCAGGACGTAGTCAGCACCCTTGTGCACGCCTTTAGCGCCATGACGGAACTGCCCGTCGACATGCAAGATCTGCTTGGCGTCACGGAACGTCAGCGGCAGCTCCTGTCGCAGTGTCGCGAACATCTCGAGGACTACCTTGCCGAGTCCCAGGCCGAGGAGGGCAGGGAGGCTGACGCAGTGCTTGCGGCGGAACACCTGCGCTATGCCGCCGATTGCCTGGCGCGGATCACGGGCAAGGGGGAGGCTGGCGATGTTGAAGATGTCCTCGGGGTCGTGTTTGAGAAGTACGTCTACTTTTGATTTTGTGTCTGGCTTTCATGATACTGACAGTGTGCAGATTCTGCGTGGGAAAGTGAAAGGGCATGCATTTCGCAAAGATACCCATCTATTCCACGTCTTCAATGTTACGGAAGCATGAGAGGAGTGATCCATTCCGCCAGCGGTTCTAGTCTTATCTAATCCTGCCCTTTCCTTTCTAACATGACACCAACAAATACCCGAGAAATGCCCTATTTTCATACTCCTTGCTATGCCCATCGATCCAAACCAGCGAAAATGAAAAACAAGCGCAAGCCATGGTCGTCGCCCATCCATCGTGGTCATCATCATTGCTGTCTTCCAAGTGCAGAGCAGGAGAAGAACTCAGTTGTAGCCGGAGCGACCGCCGTTCTCGCCGCCCTTGTCGTCACCACGGCCGTGGCCACGACCGCCAGCGAGGAAGCTCTTGTTGGCGTTGGACTCGGGACGGCGGCTGTAGCTAGCGCGGCCCTTGTTGCCCTTTGTGGCATCGTCGTCGTCCTTGTTGTAGCCGCTGCGACCAAAGTCGCGCGTGATAGGGGCAGCGTCAAGTGTGAAGGCGGCCATTGTGCTTGTTGGATGTGGTTGTGGTTGTGATAGTTGTGGTGGTGTTGAGGTGATGGCGTATGTGCGTGTGTGTGTGTGTGTGTGTCTTTGATGCTGTGAGGCCAGTGAGGTAGATGCTGTAGTTGCTGGGTATATCTTTTCTCCTCAACATAGAGGTGTCCTCAGGCTTTATATATCCAAATTATTTGGTAAACGTTCCATGGCTAGCCAGCCTGCCATGACGGACTGTGTGATATCAACAGGCCGGTCAGGGTCTCAGCCCCCTTTTCCGATCTCTCGCGAACTGCCACCCCCAAGGGAAGAGATGGCAAGCGTGCAGTCACTTCTCACCAAAGGCAGCCTCAGGTTGTCCTGTCTGATTCCCGTGAGCAGAAATACCCACGTCTCGCCGAGAGAGGGTCCATCCAATCCGATGGCGTAGTTGGGAGGCATCGCACTCGTCTCGAGGTTGGGGGGGCGTGCGAACACTGTGTAGACAGATACGCGGCCGCCAGAGGTGTGTGTGTGCCTGTCATCATGGGTCCAAACGACAAATCCGATCTTCCCCTGACACTAACTAGCCTAGGAATCAGTCGCAATAAACGTACCAATCCCTGCGATCAAGTCCTGGAAGACGAGGAGTCGTGAGAGACGCCCCAGTCTTTTGGGGCCCACTATGACCCTTACCGGTAGGGCTGAGAACAGTGAGAAGTGGCTGCCTGTCCGTCATCATCAAGGCATCAACACGAACATGAATTGACCGGACTGAGCCACGTCGATTTGTCAAAACCGGGCGCGCCTCAGACTGATTTGGAATACGCCTCTGCCATGGCTTGTAAGCTCGGCATGCAACATCAAGGCACGTGTGTGCAATCTGGGCCACACGTTTGGGTTTCCGGTCCTTTGGGGCCCTCGTTTCCAGGCGGATTGGGGGCCGAGCTGTGTCGGTCTTTGTCCTTGGAAATGACACATATCCGACCGCGCAACTCATTAGGTGTCTAGGAAGAAGCTCATTAGATCAGACCCTCGAAACCTGGGCTGGCTCATCCGACATTGGCTGCTGCCATTGCCATGGCCCCTCGGAGTTAGACTAAAACACTAAACCCCGACCACTTCTAAGGATTCCCGACAGCGACAGCGACAGCGACAGCGACAGCGAAATGACGTTGACGCGGGATATCGACCACATTTCCATTCATCTGGCCTTGCCTCGTGTCTCCGCGACCTGCATGTACGATGAATGCGACCACGACGCGGACTCTGACGCGGCAGATCCTTGGCAACGATGGAGGGCTTGGCCAAGCCCTGGTGTATCGCTGCAGTAATCATCTCAATGGAACATGAACTGGCTCCACTCGCCGGAGTCCCCGGGCAGGCGGTTGCCATGTGCCATGTGACTCAGCACGCGTGACTACTCACGACCTGGGGGCTGCACGACAACTCTACGCGAATCGCCAGTACCGGTGACAGACAATTACGTAGTAGGATGCATCGCACTGTGCTACATGCTCGTACATATACAGACGCGCTGACTTCGAATCGAAACGAACTCGGCGTTGAGTCACGCGGAGAATAGTCGTTGTTCTCTCGTGCGCTACGTATCCGTATCCGTACATTTACGTTCATTCCGAGTATATCCGCTTCAACAGACAGGTGATGTTATCTCCGTAAAGAAAGACTTGTAGCTATTCTTTGACGCCTCAATTTGATTGTGCTTGGTACTATATTCTTCTCCGGGGGCTTTAAAAATAATAAACCCTCTTGCCACAGTCGGCCGCTCGACGGGGCGGATGAAATTCTTTCTTGTCCCGTCCTACTAGCCTCAGGCACCACAGGCCCTGCCTGGCCTGTGCCCTGACGACAAGCGCCAGGCGTCTAATTGGCACCGTGCCCCTGAAATAGATCCCTCAATCTTCATTCGTCAATAAGCGCGACCCGCGTATCGATCTGGAACAGGCAGTCCGTGACGGACCAACGAGTCTCAACCAGAATCTGACTCTGACACTAGCTTGGACCCGGCACATAATCAATCCTTCGCTCATGTCAGCAAGGCAGAGACAGCACTGCCGACACCAGTCGGTCTCCCCGGTCATGACTAGGTCCTTTTGAAGTTTGGACGCCGTTTTGGATGTTTACGTCCACCCAAGTTGTTCTCGTCCTCATTGGCCTGCTCGCTCACACACGCCATGCGGGTTTCATCACTGCCCCAGTGAGAAGGAATTACGACAATCAGCTCACCTGGAAGAAACCAACCTATCACATCGGCTCCTTGCTCTTCGTACAATTTCCAACATGGCACCCCGGAAATCCCAGTACACCATCGCATGTGTACTGTACGTATCTTGCGCGCGGGAGGGTGTAGCGACGACGATGCTTGTGCTCACGTCCACGTGTCATTCCGCATGGTCGGAGCCTTTGCCAACCATTTCCCGACCTCAACTTCGCCGCAGCGCAGCATCTGTCCAAAAGGGGCATCTATGCGAGCACACCAGGCCGGACGCTTGGTCAGCGCCCCCCACGTCGCTCATCCCCGTTAAGAACGAACGATCACCATGACTCGGACACACGTCTTCCTTTAGATTCGTTGAGTGTCTCTCGTCTAGTATTCTATCTGCCCATCTCACGCACCAAGCGTGATTCGTCATAGCACATCATCATCATCATCATCATCATCAGAGTTCGTCGTGTCCGCCACCGCCACCACCACCACCGGTCTCGACCAGCTCCTCCATGGCCATGATCTTGACCACAAGACTCGTCCAGCCGGTAAAGTGCTGCGTCCGCTGACCGGCGCCCGTCTCGGGGCTGTACTGCTCCCATGCAAACCCCGTCTCTTTCCAGCTCTTAAACACGGTGTCGACAAGGTTCTTGCGCAGCGCATTGAACATGGTCCGCGCCTTGGTCTGGAAGGGTCCCTCTTGGGTCGCCACGTTCTATTCACACAAGTCAGCAGGTGCGTGAACAGGGAAGAATAGGGCATGCTCACCTTGAGCTGGGAGACAACCAGGTAATTGATGGGCATCCACACCGGACTCCGCCAGTAGTTCTCACCCGTCTCGTAGTACTCATCCTGCTTGCTCAAGCTCCGCACGCCGTGGGGGCTCCAGAGCTGGTCCTCGTCCGCGATCAGATCCAATGTCTGACCCAGCTTAGGGTCGTCGGGCTTGAGCAGGCCAACCAAAAAGGGCATGAGCGAGATGTAGCCCTTGTGGCATACCAGAGCGTGCTCCTCAAAGTCGTCAATCGTAGCGTCGCAGTAGGTGCCCTCCTTCTCCGACCAGTGGAGGTCGTTCATGTTGTGCTCGAGCGCGTTGAGGTTGCGCGTCAATTCAGCCACATCCTCCTCATTGCCGAGCGCGTCCGCGATGCGGATCAAGGACTTGCTCATCAGACCAACCCACGCCAACAGATCCACGTGCAGCTCGCCGGGATGGGGTGGCTGCGGGCGCGGGTAGTCGTCAATGCCGCTCGTCAGAATGTGCGTCTCCGTGCGTCCGCGCCAGCGGTAAGCTTCCTTGGACGAGTACGCCTCACGATCGTACATTTTAATTTCGCCGCGCTGCGTCTTGCGGAACCAGTCGTACTGACGGCGCAGGAGGGGGTACATTTTGCGCAGAAACTCCTCGCCCACCTCGGGATTGTTCAGGTGCGCTGTGCGCGGGTCGTTGGACGAGCCGGAGGCCGTGTGCGTCGCATTCGCCGCGCGCAGACGATCCATGAAGCTCTCCATGATGAGGAACATGGTGGGCGGGTTGGCGTAGTGAGGGTACTGCACCTGGAACTCGGCGGGCACCTTGCTCCGCGCTTCCTCGCCCAGAATCTGCTCTCGAGGGATCCAGCCATTGTTGTCCATGGTGTTGTACCAGCTCTCGACAATGTTCAGTGTCAGGTCAATGTCCCAGTCGGCAATGGCGATCAGGTGAAATCCTTCGTCCCAGAGAAAGCCGCGAGGGAAAAAGGGTCGCGAGGGAACGCTGGTGTAGAGCTGGTAAGGGCCCTCGAGTGCCTGCTGGTTCCTGCTTCTAGCTTCGGCAGCGGCCTCCCAGAAGCGCTCATCCTCTTCCTCGTACTCTTCGGCATAGGACCGGTCGATGACCTGCTTGCCGTGGAAGTAGCCGACGCCGCCCAGCAGATTAGAAAACATGCTCTTGCCAAAGGTCTGGTACTCTTCCGCTGTAAAAGGGGCTTTCAGGTCAAAGATCTCGCCGAAGCGCTTGGTGAATGACGACTTGGTCTCCTGGAGCTCACGTGTGACATCTTCTGGGGTGACCTCCTTCTCGGCTGACGAGGACGAGAAGATCACATCAAATTCAAAGCTGCCTTCAAACGTCTTCTGCACAATGTGCACGTTCCCAGGAGCGGGTCGGTGGGGGAGGCGATAGACTTGCCACGGCGGTGGCGGATCTTCGGGGTCGATCGTCTGTTGCACCTCTTCAACAGCCTCGCGCAACTGCATGAAGAGCACCGACTTGGCCTGCCACTGAATCTCTGGTGCGGCCTCGACACTTCGCACGAGCGTGGTGTCGCCTTTGCGGGACTTTGAAATACTATGCTCGCTGGTGGGGTGTTTGCCCTCGCCCTTGGTGACCACGATTGTATAGTCGCCAAGCTCGTCGGAGGTACCCTTCAGCTTGACATCCCCTTCAAACCCGAACTCACCACCCGTGCCCTCCACGGAGATCTCCGATTCATTTTCTTGGGCGTCGCCCTCCTGGGCAAAGTAATAGAACACGTTCGTTTTGGTTGTCGGGGGCGCGCCGTCTTGGAGCTGACCCTTGATGCGCGCAGCCCAGCTGCCGCCGTGGTCACCTCCGGGAATCTTGACCCACGAGGTGGTCATGTCGATCTTGTTGCCGTCGTCGTGGATAGACTGAACGCCGCCGGTGCGCGCATCGTACTCGTCCCAGCCGTACCCATGAATATCACCGCCCTGCTCACATGTGTACCTGAAATCTGTTGCTGTCTTAGCCCCATTGCGTGCAAGAAAAGGTAAAAGCCATACTTTGCGGCACTTGCTCGAACGTGTTTACACCGCCCCAGAGTAGCCCGGTCCATAAGCCTTCCGGAACGCGTGGTCGCACACCAAAATAGAGGTTCGGCTTGTAAGGACCCCAGAAGAGGCTCTGTTCATTCTGCACCTCAATCTTGTCGGCAGGTGTGTTCCCCATACCGCATTCAGGGCAGGCGGACGCGCCGCCGAGCGCAAGACCCGCCACGGCCAGAAGATGACCAAACCTCGTCATCTCCAAAAGCAAACGTGTGTGTAAAGTTGAAGAGAGTGAAGGTGAGTTTGTGGGGACGCAACTGACGTGGAAGTTAGCCTGAGGAAGCTCATGTGGGGTCTGGAGGCAAGGCTGAGACGTCCCCTGACGCTTGGGCCACTCATGGCGGGGCACAAGCCACAGCCCGGCGCCACATTTCCAAAGGGCCCACCTCAATCCTCAATCCGCAGCCTTTCCGTCATCACATTACTTACTACGCCTTTCCTTTAGACAGCACATTCCACCACGGCAACAATGGGTGACCGACGGCCGCGACGACCTGATCACAGGGATAGAGACCCCAGAGACGACCGCTCACGCAACGAAAGACCTCGCGATCGTGATCGTGACCGAGATCGCAGACCATACCGCTCACGCTCACGCGATCGAGACCGGCGTCGCTCAAGATCACCAGGACGCGACCACAGAGGGTCAGCTATTGGGCGAGATCGCGACTATGCGCATAGACCACGACATGCAGACCGCGACGTAGGACGTCACGACGAAAGCGACGACAAAGACCGGAACTACCGTCGCAGAGACGATGACTGGCGAAGAAACGACGACAGAAGCGAACGGGCCGGCCCTCGCAGGCGGGTGAATGAAGAAGGGGACCTTGGCAACAAAGGAGGTTTGTTCTCTCAGACTCCCCAGTGCAAAATCTCCACCAGGCTAACGACTACAGACCTACCGAGCCGTCGCTCACCTTCCCCAGACAGGAAGGCCAACAACAACAATCCGCCCAGACCAGAACCTATGGACGAAGATGGACACGGCGATGAGGACGAGCCCGCTGCCGACGACGAGGCCGCCATGGCCGCCATGCTAGGCTTCGGTGGCTTTGGCACGACCAAGAACAAAAAGGTTCGGGGCAACGACGTGGGCGCTGTGCGCAAGGAGACCAAGAGCGAGTACAGGCAGTACATGAACCGCCAGGGTGGGTTCAACAGGCCGTTGAGTCCAGGACGGTAGCATCGTTTCGACTACTTAATCATTAATTCACACGAGATCACGACAATTGCTAGTTCGGTTAGGATGTGTGTCCACCGTTGTTCATCCCGCCATCGCGCGCGCACGCCTGTTCTACATTAGTGTGAGTCTACATGCAAAACTACTAAGCCATATAACATAAAGACCCAGTCGCCCGCTGATGCGAAGTTGTAGACATTAAGTACTTGCGCCCATCACAAACAACCCGCTATTTCGCGTCCAACATGTGCTGCCACCGCCATCGCTGATTCAAACATTGGAGGAGGGAAATGTCGCTGTCTATGCCTTATCCTCAGCTGGTGTCTCGGGCGCCGCGGTCTCCGCCTCCGCCGGTTCCTCGACGATTGTGCTCTCCCCCTCGTCGGCCTGGTTGCTCGACGCCTTCTCTCGCCTTCTCCTGCGCAGCCTGCGCTCTTCTTCGGCTGTTTGACGCCTCGCCTTGCGCAGGCTCTCCCTCTTCTCGGGATCATCGTCCTCTGCGCCGTCTCCACCACCCCGCATGCCCTGCAACAAGGCCGCTGCCCTATCGGCAACATCGTCTTCGCCCTCTTTGGATGACGCCGCCTCGGGGCTTTTGAGGGTACTCTCTTCCTCGATGCTCTGCTCCTTCTCCCGCGAGCTTGTATCCGCCTCGGATATCTCGCCCAAGTCAGGGATCTTCTGCCCTGACGCGACGCGAACTTGGTGGCGATCCTTGAGGCGTGCACGCCGCCGCCTATCTCGCTGGTCTCTAGCCTGCGGCGCGGCAGCACGCAACTTCTCGAGCAAGGAGTCCATGGCGCCAGTGTTGGAGCCCAGGCCAGGGCTGGCGGGGTCGGAGCCCGTGGCATGGGCGGCCTTGGACTGTGCCGCATGCTTCCTCTTCATGGAGGCCTCGTTGCGCTTCCTCACTCCCTCCAGCATCACGTTCTTCTCCCTCGATTTGCGCCATTCGTTCAGGAACGACGCCAGTTTGCTAAAGAAATCGCGGCGGGCGTTCTCGTCCGTGGGATCCTCGCCGTAGAAAACCATGATATCCTTGTATGTGCGCATCATCTCATCGACATAGAGCTCCATCTGCTCAGCCTTCCGCCGGGCCTCCTTCATGCATCGTTGCACGATCTGGTAGACACGATCCTCTGGATGGAATTTCTTGGGATCGCTCAGGTTGCCAGAATCAAGAGAGGACTGAACATTCTTGATGTTGGCCACGTACTTCTTGGCGTCCTGTTGCAGCTGCTCCACGTTGACCTTCTGGATCGTCACCACCGAGGCAATGTCATTAGTAAAGTTATCCCATTCGGGGTACTGGGTGCGCACGATGCGCTCGACAAGGTCGGCAAGAGATGACTCATTCTTGTCGTCCTTGACCATGCCGAGACGCGCCAAAGAACTGAGCTTGAATCCGCGAGCTTGCTTGTTCGAGTCGTTCATGTAGTTACCGATATCCAAAATCAGACCAAAGACGTTCATCAACGATACCGAGTCCCGCAAAGATTCGGAAGCGCTCACGATCTGGCGGATCTTCTCGCTGAGCTCTTCGTACTCGGGCTCGAAGATACGTGTCATGGCCAGAGCACGCATTCTGCTCTTCCAGTAATGGTGCAATTCGAACGCTGTGTAGAGGAAGATTTGGTCTTGGCGCGTAAGTTCGGTAGGATCCTGTTCGCGGGCCTGATCTTTCGCATCGGGTCCTGTCCAGTCCTTGCTGTAGGGTGCCATCTCTCTCGAAGTCTGATCAGGGATATTGCACATGTCGTCTTTCTGGAGGAAGTCCATGACGACCGGATTGTCGAGCACATCCACGTCACAATGGATAATCATCTGTGCAACCTTTTCCACAGAATACTGCGAAAACTTGGCCAATGCGATTTCTGCGACGTTAGCACTGACTGCGACACTGGATCTGCGTATTCAAACAACTTACCAAAGGCTTTCCGCAGATCGGTTGAGATGATCTGCTTCTTGTCGTCCTTCTTGGCCTGGCCGCCGCCAATCTTCTTGATTTCCTTTGCCATGAACAACTTCTCGACCTCGTCCAAAATACCCTTCTTGCTAAGCTCGTTGTACTTCTCCTCTCGCGCTTCGGCTGAGGGAGCATGCGCTGCCCAGTGACTCGTCTCAGGGGTATCCACCTTGTCCCAATGCAGTGCCTTGAGCTTCTTCTTGGGTCTAGCTACAGGCAGACCAATGGAAGGTGCCACATTGTAGGCTTGTTTCTGACCCAAGAAGTTCCCAGTGGGCATTGCACCGGGCATGGGCGGCGGAGGTGGGGGCGGAGGCGGCATAGCGCTCGCATCTGCTGCCGCTTGGCTCCCGGGCAGCGGCGGCGGCGGCGGTGGTGCGCCCGGAATCATGCCAGGCATTGGGGGCGGCGGAGGGGGAGGAGGCCCGCCAGGCAACTGCCCAGGCATGGGAGGAGGAGGAGGCGGAGGAGGAGGAGGAGGAGGAGGAGGTCCTCCAAGTTGACTGCCGGGCATCGGGGGCGGAGGTGGCGGCGGCGGCGGCGGCGGCGGTCCTGTCCCAGTGACCTCGACTTTGGGCGGCGATTCGATGTCTCCTGGCGTGATGGGAGAGGAAGACAAGTCGATGCTGGATTTGGAGGGTCCGGTGGCAGTCTCGTCGTGATCCTCATCGTCGCTCCCGTCATACTTCTGGATCTTAGCCCCAATTTCGTTCAATAAGTGCGCCTGTTGCGCCCGGTCAGGACTGGGTTTCATCTGAGGAAGCTCTTCTTGAATAGATTCCGAGTCAATATTGACAGGCTTGCGCGGAATGCGTGTTTGACGGTTGATACTCCCGAGCACACTGTTGGTGAAGTCTCTTGGTGGTGTACCGCCTCCAGGAGGCGTGCCTGGCTCACCATCGACGTCTTCGCCTTCCATCTCCTCGCGAAGAGCGCGCAACCTGTCGGATGGTCCGGCAGCATCTCCCCACACGCGACCCTCGAGCTTGTACTGTGTCTTCTGGCGCTCGATTTGCATCTGTAGTCGCTCCATGAGGCGCTCGCGGTCGAGGATCCCCTGAGTCTTGACGGGGTCTGCGGCGGTCGCAGTCTTCGCGTTGCCCTTGAGAGCGTTGGATGCGGCGACATCTTGGGCATCACGCAGCATGAGGTAGAGCTCGCGGGTCTCCAACTCGTTGCGCTGGGCCTCTTTGGCCCGGACTGTCTGAAGATTCTCCAATTCCGCCTTCAGACCATCGGCTTGTCGCTTCTGCGCCTCGATAAATCGCGTTTGTTCGTCCAACTGCTTCTGGAGTTTGGCGACCAATCCGTCGGCTCCCAGCTCAATGCGGGCTTTCATTTCATCACGCTCTGCCATTGCTGCCTCGGCAATCTGGCGGGACTCGAGTGCTTCATCCTGCGCTTGTCGCGCCTCTGAGTCCGTATGCAGCTTGTCGAGCAAAGCCTGTACAGTGAAGTTGAGGCTCTGTTTGAGGTCCATGTTAGGCAACCTCCTATCCATAGCCACATAGCTCAGCATCGAGTCGACCAGTTGGAACATGCGCAGCCGCTCCTCGCCATCGTGGGCTCGCATGAGCATGAGGTGTTGGAGCGCCGAAACAAAGTAGTCGCTGGATTGGGTGCCCTGTATTCGCTGCTGAATAGCCTCAACGATCTGCGTGGGATCCGTCAAGTCTTTCACCTCGCCCTCAATGTTGTCTTTCATACTGCTGTTCTCCCGCTCCAGCATATCTTCGTAGTCGATTCCTTCGTTGTTGCGGAACCTTTCGATCTGCTTGTCCAACAAGTCGTACTGAAACGACTCCATCTTGCTCAAGATTCGCTTGATGCCCGTCGCCGTGAACTGAGCGCGGATGTGGATACGCAGCTCCAAGTCGCGATCGGGAGCATCGATCAACATGTTGACCAGCATGAGCGTCGTGAGAGCATACTCCATCAACAGGTTCTCCATGCCAGTTCCACCTGTCCGAAGTTCCTCACTTGCGCCCACGAGGCTGCCCATCTTGCCGCGTCCATCAACGGTCACCTCGACGAGACGCATCCAAGCGTCGAACCGTCCATTCTCCCCATGCTGTGCCTTGACCTCGTCCAAGGCGTTGATCACTTTGAGATGGCCCTCCCCATTGTCACCCCATGTGCAGAGGAATGTTAAGATCTCACTGGCAAGTTTCCTCGTAGAAAGCCGAGCCGATATGAGGGACGTTCCAAGTGCCACGAGGACCTGCTGGTGTACTAACGCGTCGTCGGCACCAAACTTGTTGTTCATCAAGGCCTTGATACACTTGATGATGTCGTATTCCTTGTCCTGGTTTTTGTCGAGCTTGGCGTTGTCGAGAGCCGGTCCTTGGGATGTTTTGCGGTTCAGCTTCAGGAGCAGGGTGACCAACGCAACTTGTCCTTGGCACTCGATGAAGCGTTTAACCCATCCGATCTGCTGGGTGCGCAAGTTCACCTCCAGACTGCCCATGCCTTTGGAATCCAGCTGGTCGCCCATGACGCGCCTAACGTAGTACTCGGGCGTTCCCTCTTCGTCCGAGGCGGCAGTGATGTCCGGCGCTGCGTACTGGTTCGGTCGAGCTGTCTGGCGCCGCCTTTGTTCGTTTTGCCATTCAGTGAGTCTGTCCTGGTGAAGCAACGTCCATTTCTTTTGTGGGGGGTAGGCGTCCATCTGCCGCCTCGCCGCCTCTGGTAGGTTGTGCCAACCACGTTTTATCATGAGTTGATGGAACATTTCATTGACCACATTGTCATCGTCAGGCTTAGGGAAGTAAAACCCGTCGGGGCTGGTCTGTCCGGTGGCGGCGCCGGGGAATCTCGTGAGTCGATTGGAGTCGCGGTGGGAGCCGTGAGAGCTCTGAGCTGCGTATGATGAGCGATTGTTCCTGCCAGCATCTCCAAAGCCTTGATTACCTGAGTATAAGCTCGCATTATCGTTGTTCGTAGACAAGTACGAATCGTAGCGCGATCCGTGAGAACCGTTGACCGTGCTCGCCATGCTGCCGCGCGTAGGGCCCCATTGCTGGTATTGCGCCTGTCTGCCAGTCGAGGCCATTGTGACGTTCGAATGGCCCGTGCCTGGCCGTTGCGACGGGGCGTTCAAATGTGATGAATCAGTCGATTGGTATTGGTGATAGTCCGAAGTACCTCGGTTCAACTGGTAGGGTTGCAGATCCCTGCGAACGGGTGGTTGGTCACCCTTGGGCAGGTAATCGACAGATATAGGCGAACGAGATCCCGAAGGTGTGGTATCGTAAGGTATGGAAGACATGAAGCCTGGCGTGTGGGGGCTGGGCTGCTCCGGCGAGTGAGCTCGGTCGATCGACAAGGTGGAAGATTCCCGCTTGTGACGCGATGTTCGCGATCCCAACGATAGAGAGCTGGTGTTGTCATAGGGGAATTGTTCCGGGGGGTGGCGCGGGTCTGGTTGCTTGTCCTTGTGCTTGTTCCTCGAGAAGATGGAGCGTCCACCCGAGGATTGGCGCGACTTGTCGGCCATGATGCCGTTCACTATATTGATCGCGGGAACGCAGGCCGGAGGAGAGCTATATCGGTCGAGACCTCAAAGTCGTCAAGGCGGCGGTGTGCAGCCTGTGGCCGCTCGCATCATGAACAGCCCGTCGAGGGGAGAGGGCCTAGTCGTTGGAGCACCAAGCTGGGGTGTTTTCGGCGGTGAGGGTAGATCAAGTTGCGTGGACGCGCGACACAAAGTCACAGCTTACGACACGCGTGACCTGGAAGACGAAATAGGACGAGTGCGAGTCTGTCGCGTCGACGCTTTTGTCGGGAGGTTGAAAGTTTGAGCACAAAGCCAATCTGGAGATGAGGTGATAGAGACGGAGAGCCAGTGGATGAATCCAGTCCCTGGAAGTGGGTTCCACTACGGCGGCAGAGCGAGCATTGGTGGCTGCCCAAAGCAGACAAGACTGATGATCCCCCCACGCGTAGAATTTCTCGTTTGGAAATCCAGAGTCGGCTTCTATGTTTTTTGGGGGTTTTTTTTTTGCCGCATTGATTCCTCTGACACTTTCACACGGGAATTCTCGCATTGACTGTGTGGTTTGGGTCGCTGTCACTTTGTGGAGAGGAGGGCGGGGAGGAGTCAGGTCAGGACCGGACTGGACTGGAGCTTGTTGACCCCTGAGATAATACGGGTCCAGCTCCCAGGGGATCTTGCTACTGTGATGGAGGGACGGGAACAGCTTCACTAGCAGTTCGTATGAAGTTGCGATGAAGCCAGCAACATTTGGAAGGTCGCCCCTTGTGATCCACTGGTGAACAATGACGACGCGCTTGCAGAAATGGGGGCTCCAACTGCTTGCGTTCCGATTAACATCAAGCCACCACATGGAGGTAGCAATATAGCATGTGGCCTGCTGTGGCGTAGCGTCTATGAGACCCCATAATAATCACTTAAACATGTTGCTGAGCAATATTATAGTGGTGGGGGGCGTGTCTTGGTTCCTTCAATACCCGTTGCGGCACTGACACGCGAGCAAAATCATCCAAAGCTGCTTGGATCGCCGTCTGATGACTGGAACGCTGGTTGTTGACTTGCAGAAACGGCGGGAGCTGCATAGCGCCATCGAAGAGACCCTAGGGGCTCTATACCAGGGAGACGTAGGCTAGTCCAGTCGCTGCAGCATGCAGCCCGGGCCCCCTGGTTTGCTCCCAGGCTCCAGGCATCATCAGCCCCCAGCAGACGACGACTAGCACTAGGCCGCTTCCGACATTACAGCAACCGCTCGAGGACAACTTGAACCTACCTTACTTAGCCTTCGGTCCGCAGCTGTCTTTAGGGACACGACTGTCACTCAACTTCTTCAGACTATGTTACCGTAGCATTGTAGAGACCCAGCTACAAGCGAACACCGCTATAGTCCACGATGGGCGACAAAACTTCATTCCTCAAGGTTTGTCGGCCACATGCGCCATGATCTAAGAATGGACTAACTCCATGACCTACCAGACTCTTGTCGTCCCTGCGGTCATCTCTCTCGCACTCTTCGTTGTCCTATCCTACATCTTGATCCCGGCATACAACCGCTACCGAACGCGCTACTCGCAATACCTGCCTATCGAGAGCATCACTGCCACGGGCAGCTCGCTCCGCGAAAGACTCATCACACGCATCGCACGGTTCGCAAATCGACGGGAAGAGAGGCACATGAGCACAGATGCGTTGTCTATAGACAATGGAGACGAGGAAATTGATGATAGCGAAGGTGAAGAGCTGGGAGCGGTGGATGCGCGCGCGAGGAGGATGGTAGCGAGCCATAGACGGGCGGACAGTCCCGATCCACCGAGGTTGAGTAGAGAGTAAGTCTGGTCCAGACCACTGAACCGCCATGCGCGCGCATTGAGCTGACGACTATGCAGTCTGGAGGCAGGGTTCAGAGACGACAGCGACGACGACGACGAGCCGCGACGGTGACCTAAACTTTCCCCTGTCGTGTTCGGATACATACAAATGTACTGCTGCAGAGAAGATACCCACACTACCCTTGAGGTGCCACGGAGATACCATCGCGTTCCAACTGTCGTTGCTTCTCAAATTCCGCTGCGCGATGTAAAGAATTTGGATGCCACAGACATGGCTCGTCGGGCTCCATGAGAAACTAACTGCGGCCGCGGCCGCGGCTGTGGCTCGAGGGTCTGCTGCCTGTTGGCGAAAATTTTGTCTTGAGTCCCGATATACCAGTAAGGCGTTGGGTACATCGCTACTCCCTGCTCATGTAGCCGCATCATTGTATCGGCAGTCTGGCAAGCGAGATAGTTCAGCCGAGTTTCTGGCAGTTGTGGAGTGTCGCGTCGTGTTGGTGCAACCCTCAAGGTCAAATGACTTTTCTTGATGCCGGGGACACTCTTGCGATGGCCGTATCTGTTGTAGTATTCCTGTGTTTGGTTCTTGTGGTATTCCGTCGACACTGTAGAGTCTTCGTTCTCGCCGTCCTGTCGTGTTTGGGTCGCCATGTCCCTGTATTTCGGATCCATGCTGGGCATGAATAATTTGGTGCTCCCATCATCCAGAAGTTGTCTTTTTACTGGAGCTGGTAAATCTCGGTTTGCCATTCTCGTTTCAGAACTTGATGCTCTTTCGGGAGACCTGGTCTGACTCTCCTGCGCCAATGCCTCCTGGTGTCTCCAAGGGGGGCGTATTTGCTCGACATGTTGACCAACTTTGGTCGAACGTGCTAGGGCTGTCGAAAAATTGTATACACTCAAAGATGTTGATAGTATTATCCAGACGGGATGCCTCTATTCCGAGTGTTGAAAACCTGGGGCTGTTGTAGTGAAGGCGTACGGCAGCAAGTCGAATAAGCTGCCCTTGCCTTTTGTAAGTCAGGTATCTTACATGGAGCTTAGCCGTTCCTACCCCCAGGCTAAGTATTTACAAATTGTGACGCTCTTCATCTTGCTTTCAAGTAATGCATTTAACGGGTCACGGCTTCATGTCGTTCAATTCATCTGTGCGCTACTTGGTTCATAAGAATCACTATAATTGAACGTGCTCACAGTTGCCGTTCACCAAGTGCATAATCAACAAATATATAACTCTTGTCTCAGCTCCCAAGGCACCAAAGCTAAGATCTACTCTTATACGCGAAGTCAACATCGATTCCCAACCGTGGACTGTCCGGTTGCTGTTCTTTGTCGTGTCTACAGGGTAAGGTGGATGCGCCTCCAGGCAGCCGAGCTAGCACCGTGTCAAACAGATGGTTGTCAATGTCAACATCTTCCAAGTACCAACCTCACTTCTTGTTCAGATATCCCTGGCGTTCCCCCAAATACCTTCTGATAAGGGAAGAAACTACCATAATGCGGTTCAGGACCGAGCTCAAGAACATACGCACTTTTGCCAGTATGCTTCACACACTCAACGTCACCCAATATCCTCACTGACGACCGCAGAACTCACAGCGGCCCTCTCATCTCTCGAGAAGATAGCCTGGGTCCGCCTTTCCGATGACACGGTCCGCTTCACCGTGATCCCCGACATGGGGTCACAGGTATGGGCGTCACTCGCCATGGATTTTCTCTTTGAAGGCTACAACATCCAATCCGCCGAGGCCAACAACACCATCAACCTCGAGTTGCCGCTGCAACCTCTCCAGCGAGCTCTCAAGTCGGCGCAGAACAGCATGAGCGCCAGTCTCAGACTTACCAAGAAGGACGGGCTGCCGATACTGAGCATGGTCATCACCACCATGACGGGGGACAAGGGCACCGCGGGTGGAGCGAGTTCCAACGTCGCCGCCGCCGCCACGAGGAACAGCAATTCAGACGACCCCTTTGCCGACGACGAGGACATCAACCTGGGCCCGGAGCATCTCGAAACGTCGCTCCGGCGGGAACACGAAAAGGTCATCACCCAGGACATACCTGTACGTGTGCTCCATCCGGAAACCGTCGAGACCATTATGCAGCCCAAGGTCCGCGAGCCCGACGTGCACATTCAGCTACCGCCGCTCCTCCAACTCAAAGCCATCTCAGATCGCTTCACCAAACTGGCCCTGGTGCCCCCGGGGAACAAGTCGCCCAAGCTGGAGCTGAGTGCGAACATGCATGGTTCCCTCCGGCTGAGGATCAATACCGAGACGACGGATATCAGCAGCGTCTGGTCCGGCCTCGAGAACCCAGAGTTGGATCCCGCGCAGCTGGATATGCCGGTGGACGAGCACCCGAGCACAAGGTTTAGAGAGATGGGCCCTGAGAAGTGGGCAAGTGTTCGCGTGGACGGCAAAGACTGGAGTCGAGTGTTGAGCGTGGGACGGCTGGAAGGGAGGGTGATTGCGTGCTTTGCGGATGACCACGCCTTGATCTTGTATGTGTACGTGCCGCACTATGATGATGCGTCTGCGGAAGATTCCGTTGTCACAGTAGGGTTTCCATGTTCTACCCCCAAGAAACAGCTTTTTGCTAACCGGTCGCAGTACTATGTTCAATCTTACAGTGCTTGAGAGTCAAGTCTCGGAGTTATGGTGTCCAGGTGTAGGCTTGATTTTACAGCGCCAAGGAACATTTGCTCGACAGAGTACGCAATCCACTAATGATGATGAAAAATGAAGATCGTTTCCGAGCAACATTTTGCTCGCGATGCAAAGCTAAGAAAAATCCATCTTGCTGGATGGATGTCAAGGCTACTATTACAGCATCATATGCATATGCGGGCTCTATTATACACAATTTCAAAGCAATGGTATCCCGACGCCGTATCTCTCTTGTCGTGTTGCTTCGCTTCCTCTCACTTGGCCATTACGTCAACATATCGGCCGCTCTTTCTGGCCTTCTTCTGACCAGGCTTACGAGGTGCGGCAGCACCGATTAAATCGTCGATGCTGCTCGCATTGCTCATACTAGTACCGGGTCGACTGGGGGGTGCGCTCGGAGGTGCGCCGGCGCTCTGGCTGGAAACGGAGCGGGCCATGGGCGCAGATGGTGGTGGCATGCTCATGTTGTCGTTCGAGGCCGGGGCCTTGAGGTTGGGCAAGGTGTTCGAAGAAGGTATAGACCGAGGCGGCGGACCTCCAGAAGCTGACCGCATAGGGGGAGGTGTACTCATAGGAGGCGGCGGCGTGCCAGATACCGATCTGGCGCCGGGGGGACCAGCGCGAGGAGGAGGGGGCGTGGCCGTCTTGGCCGGAGTATTCTCTGCACCGGGCTTCTTGTTCACCCAACGCTTTAGATCGGGATCATAGACGAAGCTGCTCGCCTCTCCAAGATTGGCGCGCACGGGCTTTTTGGAGCTCTCGCCAGGGCTCGGCGAGGCAGGCTTCTTGCCACCGAACCAGCCGCTCAGACCCCAGCCCTTCTTGTTCGCCTTTTCCGCCTCAGCGCGCTTGGCTAAATGAGAGTTAGCACTGGCGTCATCCGAGAGAGTATACAAAAGCTCACCATCTTCTTCTGCCGCTTTCCGGAACATTTCCTCATTTTCGCGGTCTTTGTCTGCTTTGGATTGCTGAGATGATGGCCTTGGTGCATCGTCTTCGTCATCCATCGTGCCCCTCTTTGGCTTGGTGTCCTCATCGTCATCGGCAGTGAAATCGGGCTGATACGATGGAGGCTCGTACCCATAAGATTGCTGAGCAGGTGGCTCATATCCTCCTGACCGAGGCTCGTTCACATGGTTATCCTCTTGCTTAGTAGCCGAGAGGTCCTGTGGAGGCGCGTATCCATAGTCAGGAGGATTATAAGCGCCCTGCGGTTCCGCCCGCCCTTGATGGGCACCGGAAATACCAGGCACGTTTGGTGACTGGGGCTGGACATGAGGCTGGTAGCCCTCGTAGCTGGGCGAAGCCGGCATTTCGCCGCTAGGCTCGGATGGCTGGTAACCAGATGTGGGAGCGTATGAGCTGTGACCATGAGCTGGATAGGATGTCTCTTGCGGCGCTCCGGCTGGTGCAGGGGCATATTGCGACGAGGGTTGATATGGCGAAGCACTCATGGGCGCATACTTGGACGGCACTGCAGTGGCAGGGGGCGAAGCAACCGTTCCGTATGCGGGCGCGGGAGCACCGTACGTTTCGAAATTGTTGGTGGAGGGGGACCGGCTGATTGTGGGTGTACCACCTCCAATGTGTGAAAAGGGGCTGCCATCAGCTCCCGGAGCACCCTGTTGCTCGTCATCGCCGGCAACGAATTTGTTGAACTTGTTCCACATGCTATCCGAAACCTTGCCCATGCTGGGTTTGGAGATCCACGACCCAGACTCCCCTTTCGGTACCTGTTTGAGACGAGCGATCAGGTCATCCACGCAAGCTGCTACATATGGATTGAAGTAGGGCGATCTCTTGGTCTGTGAAGAGATGGCAGTTGCAATCGACTCGCAGTACTGCAAAGCTTTATCGCGTTGACCATGCTCTGCAAGGGTGAGGGCATGCTGGAACTTGTACCCAGCGAGATGAGGGAGACCTCCGACGGCGCCTGCTAGCGAAAGTCCATATTCGAAAACCTCGCTGAGCTGGAGTGCCTCAGTCTCCTTACCAAAGCGTGAGGACTGTTGCTTGTGGTCGGAGCCCAGGAGGACAAAGTCCGCAGTCGGGTCGTCGAGTCCCCCGCAGATTGAGGCAGACTTGCTGAAGATGAAGCACACGTGCGCGGCCTCAGCGCGACCGTAGCTAGCCAGAAGGCTGCCAAGGGCCTTGAGGCCTTGCACATCGCCTTGGCTGCGGTTGGTCAACACGAGGGCCAAAGTCTCGCGCCACTTGTCAAGCCCGTCCATGGCATCCTTGGCAGGACCGGACGCTGCTCCGGTGGTTGATAGTAGCTGGAAGCCAGCGCGCGCATGCGACGGAACAAGCTCGTCGACACAGTCCTCGTAATTGCCAGATAAGATCTTGTAAAGTGCTGCCATGGACTCGTTGTTGTGACCTTGGTAGTTCACCTCCTTACGCACGAATTCCTGTGTCACTTGCTTGTACAGGTCTGGTGACACTGTATTGGCGATGAGCATGGCGTGCCCCCACAAGCGCTTGTCGACTGCAGACCAAACCGCTGACTCCCGGTCGCCCTTGAACAAACTGGCTCGAATAGCCTCCATGGAGCCCGCATCAACCGCATCCGCCTGCATGGCCGTCACCGACGCGCCGGCATGCGCATCCTCCGAGCCGTTGGCTTCTGGAGATAGTATATCCCTGACGGCTTTGTCGACATTTGGCTTGCCTTCCAGGACTCCGTCGTTTTCGATAAAGACCCGTAGAATCTTCCAAAGCAACAAGCGTTCAAAGCTCCTCTTCACCTCGGTGGAAAGTGCCGAGTGGAAAGACAGGTCTGGCAATTCTTTCTCGATGATTTCGATGCCAGAACCCAGCCAAGCGATGGTCTCCTTCTTTTTGGACTTTCCTTTCAATGGGCCGGGGAAGTTAATTAGACGCTCAGGCAGCGTGTCAATGTCTCGGATGTTCTGCATTTTGACCTCACCAGGAGTTCTGGTGACTGTGGGCGTCGACGATCCCATCGAGTACCTTGGTATGCTTTTTGGGAATGACGTGACAACAGCGCCTCCAGCGCCCCAGGTGAAGAGGGGCACTCCTTTCCACCGCTGCAAGGGATCTTGCTCCCGGCCGTCCGTTGGGGCAACCATGGTCATGGTTATAGACTGCCCGCGGACGCGTGAGTGATTGGCATATGGGGGCTGTCGGGTCGACTTGGTGGCTTCCGGGGTGGCATGTGATTGCGTCGATGAAGGACGAGCGATATGGTTTGTTGCAGAGGCTTGTGTGGTGGGTGCAGAAGCCCCAGGAGAGTGAGTCTGCGCTCTCGGTGGAGGTACAAACCCAGCTTGCGCAGCCTGTGGTTGTTGCGATGCTTGGGGAGCGTAGCTCGGTGTTACTCGTTTAGGCGGAGACAGCGGTGAAGAGGCATACCGTGGCATCCCTGGAGGCGGCGGTGTTTGGCGAGTGACTGCCGAAGGGGCATACTTGGATTCTGCAGACGAGTGACGCGTACCCAAGGGTGCACCATCACCAGAATGATCCTCCTCCTCGTTGACCTCTCGCGTGGGTGGTAAGGACGGTATCCTGTTCAACCGCGGCTCAAAAGAACTACTAGCGCGTCGCTCGGCGCCCTCGGCATGAGGTCTCAAGGAGCTACTTTCGAAGTGGGCCAAGGGACTTGATGTTCTGGGTTGATGGGGGAGAACGGGCGGTGTAGTGGTGGAAGGGGTTCTCGACGGACTATAGCTCGATTGTCGAGGCACTGGCAGGGGAGCAGGGGAATATCGCGTGCTGCCAGGTGGAGGAACCGTGCCTGTTGCTGGGGCCTGCCCAGGTGAGGGTGAGTATCGAGAAGCGTTGCCAGATGGTGGTGGGATGTGGCCGGAACCAGACTGCAATGCGGCGTATGGGCTCACTCTTTCGGGAGGCACCAGGTTAGGGATTCCCGAAGGATCGGACGAAGGCTGGCTCCTGGTAGACTGCCCTAGCGGTGAAGGACCTAAGGAAGGCTCACGAGGAGGACCCTGCGGTGGACCTTGAGGTGGACCAGGTTGCTGCTGCACAGGTGACTGCGCTCGGTAACTCTGCCTTGAGGTAGGACGCGCCTTCGGGGCTATGGGCAAGTCCTCAAAAAAGCCACCCTTGCTACGCAAAGAGGTTGTTGAAGGTTTCTGAGTCAAGGAGGCGCCGCCCGGCGATTCGTGACTGGACTGTGGTCGCGAGTTGGACTGTGGCGGCAGAGGAGGCGGCGCGGACATACTTGGAGGACCTGGGGGAGGCCCTTGCTGAGCCGGGGCACTTGGCGCATACATTTGCTGCGTGCTCGGCCTCTTGCGAGGTTTTGGCACGCTCGCAATAATGTCAGTTGGTAGGTCGTATGGCGAAGCGTAACCGCCTTTGGACTTGTCTGCAAAGCTCTGCGCCTTGGGTTGATCAGAGCCTGGCAGCGGGGGCCGTCCATACTGCGGTCCGCCTGGGTACGCATTGGCTGGGGCGGGCGGGTTGAAGTATGACCCTGTTGCGGACTGCTGGCTCGAGTGCGCCGGTACCGTAGCGGGTTGCCGATACGATTGTGGAGCGTACGGATTTGAGCTCGATGTCTGCCTCGGAGCAGGTTGCTGTGCTGCTGGGGTGGGATACCCTCCCTCATCTTCAAGAAGCCCCTCGTCGTCGCTTCCAAGGAACCCAGCTGTGTTCAAGTCCTTGTTCTCCTCCTCGTCATCATCCAGGAGCAGGTCATCATCCTCATCGTCCATCAACGCAGCCTCCCAATTTGCTTTCAAGTCTTGAGTCTTAGTCCTCCTATGACCGCCGCGAGTAGGCGCTGGAGCCGTGGGATCCTTGGCAGTGTCAGAGGGCGGTTCGTCATCCTCTTGCAAAGTCCCAAAGGTATTCTGCCTCGGGAGCGGCTCGGTGGATAGGTCACCTGTTACTTGCGATGTCGACTTTCGTTCGAGTGGTTCTATCGAAGGCTCATCAGAGGGGGCAGAGTTTCCAATCTGACCAAAGAAATCATCGTCGTTGGGCTCGTCTTCGGCAAATAAGTCAGGTCCTTGCTTTTTGTGCGTGGTCGTCGACTCAGCGGGGTGGCTGTCAGAGCCTGGCAGGAGTGGCATTCCCTCTTCGAAGCGTGTCTCGGCGGCATCGTCTTCGTTTGGCTGCGCATCACCACCCATCGACCTGGTGGGACCATGTCGGCTCTCTGACGGCTCAGCACCCGACGGCAGGCGTTGCTGATCTTGTCCGTCTTGCGATGGAGACAAATCCTCCCCGCCATCTCCCAGTGCCCAGTCCTGATCCTCTGATTCACCAAAAGCCTCCATGGCCTGGTTTGCGGGAAGCGGCTGCTCAACCGCGCCGTTGGGGACGATAGGCGCAGGAACTGGGAATGTGTTGGATCGATCCGAAGGCGCCATAAACTTGAAGGGGTCTGTGTCTGTTCTCGGTGGTGTCCAGTCGGCCTCGTCCTCGTCGCCGTCTGCGAAACTGACTTCATGGGAGACAGTACGCGCAAAGGACATGGAGCTAGCGTGTTTCGATGGAGCCCTCCGTACAGACTGCTCCATGGTTAGCCATGCGCCGCCTTGGTCGCCAATATGGGCAGGTAGAGGGTCGGTGCGCACATTGTCGCTATTACTGATACCGGTGCGTTCGGAGTGTTCGTCAAGATGGAAGGGCTCCGGCTCTTGTTCGAGGGGGGTGCCGTTGTGCAGTGAATCGGGAGATGCACCAGGCGAGGGCTGTGGTTCGAGATTGGGCGACAGTTTCGTCGGCGACTCGTGATCGGGCATCAGCGCCGGATGCCACGACGAGTTCGGAAGCGTCTCGGCCGCCATGCTGCGTGGGCGAGGAAGAACAGCTCAGCGTGACGATACTGCTACGTGTCAACGATCATGCGTGATGACGATGCGCGACAAGTTGCAGGGGCCGTCGAGGCTCACGAACAGCGCGAGGAGTTAGACTAGCAAAAAGAGAAAGAATTAGATAAACCACTCTATGCGTCTTTATTCATAGTGTCAACGTGTGAGGCAGGCAATGTTGTGCAAAATGCCACAGATTGTTCAGAATTGGGCAGACGCGGCGCAAGGGGACCGACTGGACAGGAAGGGCAATCAGGAGCGTCCGGACCAAAAGGAGTGCCTTGGCAAATACAGTGTCATCATTGCACAAGGCCGCCCGGCGATTAGCCGGCTCACATGAGTCCGCACGTAACAAAGAATCTATCTGGAGGGCAATAGTACCATGAAGGAGCTTCTGAAATAAACTGCTTTCATCTAGGTACAATCTGTTTTCTGAATATTTGTGCTGTAGCAAACGGAGCCTTTGTGCTTGGTCTGAGGCTGCGAAATAAGTGCAACAGCTTGCGGTAGTTCACGTTAAGTAGGCAGGTCCAGTCCTTAGCATGGCCGGAGCTCTGGTGGGGCCTGCAGACCTCGGCGAGTTGCTCAACTAATTTACGTTCTAATTAATGAATAGAGCTTTAAGGTGTTGAAAAGCCTTACTTTGTACTTTAGCGCCAACAGTCCGGTCTTTTGCTTCTTTCCTACACTTGCTAATAATAAGAGAATTGTGCACGTGCTTGGATAGAGCTCTGCCTCTCCTATCAGGCTGCTGCATAAGGCATCGTAAAACCATGTGATCGGGCCAGGTGATCTTGTTAGTAACATGGACCAGCAAACGGCCATCCCGCTGCTGGTCGTACGTAGTGCAGTGCAATGAGATGACATCTAGGAGCTTTAATACTAGCAGTGGAACTAGCAAGAATTACTAGTGGTGTTCGTACTTGTCACCAACAGTAAATAGTGACGAAAGGTGACTGAGGCTAAGCCACAATCTTTGACGAGCTCCAGTCCAGGCTGCAGCTCTTCAGTGTGCACCGCCACTTTTAGTCCCCTGGATTCATCATTCCGGCGACGTATACGTACGTAGGTACGTTGCTCCAGTATCCACATCCACATGATGATTGAAGGCGTCCGCGACGAGCCGCTGCCAATTCCCCGTCCGAGTACTTGGATAAATCCTAAAGAACATTTCTTATTGAATGCAAAGGCCACGCCTCTTTCCTCGAACTGGACGACTTCCTACTCTCTCCATCGCCGGCGCTGAGCCTCCTGGGCATGCTGCCTTTTGAGACACGTCGCCAAGTTGGATCGACCAGCATGACCGTAAAGTCATAAGCTCCCAGTCACCTCCATACCAACGACGACGACAGGCGTCTTCTTCTAACGAGCACGCTCAAGGCCATGTCTTCCTCGCCACGCCCACGACAGCCGCAGACGCCCGACTCACCGACACATGATTCCGACTCCGACCTGGATCTCGACATCCAGGAGCTCGACCCGATTTCTACGGAGTCGACGCGTGGCGCATCGCAACCACAACGACATTCCGGTGGTGGCGAGCAGGGAATATCACGGATAGCGTTGCGGAACCTGCGCATGGGTGGCCTACGACGTAACAAGCGTGGCCGTGGCTATGGCGACCTTGGCCAAAACAGAGACGAATGGGGGGAGGACACCGAGGGCTTACTAGGCGAAGGGTCGAGATCGCGATACTCCGATGGTGAAGGCCATGGCGACGACGATAGCCCGCTCCTCGGGGAGCATGCCGGTCGACGATCACTGACGAGCGATCGCGGTTCTCGAAGAGGTTCACGGGTGCGGTTACCGAGCTTCATGTCGGGATCCAAGAAAGGCGACGAAGAAGATGGTGACGATCAAGAGGAGGCTGACCCGTCTGCATCCCGTCTGGTTGCTGTCGGCTCGACACAGGCCGCCCGATTTCCGGCAAACATCATCTCGAACGCCAAGTATACCGCATTCACATTTCTACCGATCACGCTATGGAATGAATTCTCCTTCTTCTTCAACATGTATTTCTTGCTGGTAGCTTTATCGCAGGCGATACCGGCTCTCAGGATTGGATATCTGTCGACGTACATCGCACCGCTTGCTTTCGTCCTATTAATCACCATGGGAAAAGAGGCCTTCGACGACATTGGGAGACGAAAACGAGATACCGAGGCGAACTCGGAAGAGTACAGGGTCTTGCACTTTGACGAGCCATCGTTTTCTGGAACTATCAGGCCACGAAGGCAACTCAAGTCTGACTCGCAGAGGAAAAAATCCAGGGGGCAGAAGGCCCAGCGACATGACCTGACGGACATACGAGAAGAGGAAGAGGGAGGAGACATGCAGCCTTCTTCCCAGGTCTGCGAAATCAGCAAAAAGTCAAAGGACCTCAAGGTCGGCGACGTCCTGAAACTCTCAAAGGGGCAGAGAGTCCCTGCCGACGTTGTAATACTACAATGCTCTACTGTCGTCGAGAGCGGCGAGGCTATTCCAGCAAAGGAGTACGCGGAAGAAGAGGCGTTGCTTGCATTGGATGACTCGAGAAGTGCAAGTGCGAAAGGAAAGCAGACCGAGGTGGAGTCACTCAAGAATGAGGAGCAGTCGGGGACTGTGGGAGAGACATTTATCCGCACAGATCAACTGGATGGTGAAACAGATTGGAAGCTGAGACTTGCCTCGGCCATATCGCAAAATCTCCCGTTGGAGGAGTTTGTGCGCCTGCGCGTGACTGGAGGCAAGCCGGACAAGAAGGTCAATGAATTCCTGGGCGCACTAGAGCTGCTTCCGTCTTGGAAAGATGCCATGGACTACCAATCCTCACTTCAAGGGGACGATGGCAAATCTGCGCCGCTGTCCATTGACAATACAGCATGGGCGAACACGATCATCGCCTCGCAGGCTACCACGTTGGCAGTCATCATCTACACGGGACCACATACACGCTCGGCCTTGTCGACTTCGCCGTCTCGCTCCAAGACAGGCCTTCTCGAATACGAGATCAATTCGTTAACCAAGATTCTCTGTGCCCTGACGCTGGCTTTGTCAGTGATCTTGGTAGCTCTGGAAGGCTTCGAAAACACCGAGGGTAACCGGTGGTACGTGAAGATTATGCGCTTCTTGGTTCTATTCTCGACAATTGTGCCCATCAGCCTGCGCGTCAATCTTGACATGGGCAAGAGCGCCTTTTCCTGGTTCATCCAGCGCGATCCGGGTATTCCTGGCGCTGTTGTTCGCACAAGTACGATCCCTGAGGATCTGGGTCGTATTGAGTACCTACTCAGTGACAAAACTGGTACGCTCACGCAGAACGAAATGGACATGAAGAAGATCCACGTTGGAACCGTCTCGTACGCGAACGAAGCGATGGAGGAAGTCACATCCTACGTTCGCCAAGGGTTTTACATTCAACCCACCACAGACCATTCGTCACAGACCGCCCTGATCACACCTTCATCGACGTTCACTGCTGCCGCGAATCAAGGCGCCACACGCACAAGGCGGGAGATCGGGTCTCGTGTGCGTGACGTCGTTCTCGCGTTGGCGTTGTGTCACAACGTGACCCCTACCACGGATTTCGAAGACGGGCAAGAAGTCACATCGTATCAGGCGTCGTCCCCCGACGAAATCGCAATCGTCCGCTGGACCGAGTCTGTCGGCCTGCGCTTGGCATCTCGCGACCGCACCAGCATGACACTCGAGTCAACCGAAAATGGTCGGCCCGTCGTTCGTGTACGAATTCTGGACGTGTTTCCCTTCACCTCCGACGGCAAGCGCATGGGTATTGTGGTTCACTTCCACACGGATACCAACATCAGGAATCCGGATCTGTCCACCGGAGAGATCTGGTTCTACCAAAAGGGCGCAGACACGGTCATGAGTAATATTGTGGTAGCAAACGACTGGCTCGACGAGGAGACGGCCAATATGGCCCGCGAGGGTCTACGTACACTCGTTGTCGGGCGCAAGAAACTCTCCCTGTCACAGTATCGAGAATTTTCGTCCGAGCACCAAGAAGCTTCCTTGGCTATCACCGGCCGTGAGGCTGGTATGCAGAGAGTCGTCTCGCATTACCTCGAGTCCGACCTTGAGCTACTAGGGGTGACGGGCGTCGAAGACAAGCTACAGCGCGATGTCAAAACCTCGTTGGAACTTCTCCGCAACGCCGGCATCAAGATTTGGATGTTGACGGGTGACAAGGTCGAGACTGCGCGCTGCGTTGCGGTCAGCTCCAAGCTCGTCGCTCGAGGGCAATACATCTATACGGTCGCGAAACTCAAGAGGAAAGATAATGCCCAGGATCATCTCGACTTTCTGCGAAGCAAGGCGGACGCCTGTCTGCTCATTGACGGAGAGTCTCTCGCCCTGTTCCTGACGCATTTCCGCCAAGAGTTCATTTCCATCGCCGTCACACTGCCTACCGTCGTCGCTTCGCGCTGCTCGCCAACTCAGAAGGCCGAGGTCGCCCTGCTCATCAAAGAGTTCACCAAGAAACGGGTGTGCTGCATTGGCGATGGTGGCAACGACGTGTCGATGATCCAGGCAGCGGACGTTGGTGTTGGTATCGTCGGCAAGGAGGGTCGCCAGGCGAGTCTCGCGGCCGACTTTTCCATTGAGCAGTTCTGCCACCTGGTCAAGTTGCTCGTGTGGCACGGCCGCAATAGCTACAAGCGCAGTGCCAAGCTCGCGCAATTTGTCATTCATCGCGGTCTTATTATCGCTGTGTGCCAGACCATGTACAGTATTGCTTTGAAGTTTGAGCCGGAGGGTTTGTACAAGGTGAGCGAGCACACTTTTCCGTTTGTGATTTGAACCTTATGCTAACAGCTTACTTAGGATTGGCTTCTTGTTGGCTATGCCACTGTCTACACTGCCTTCCCCGTCCTTTCGCTTGTCCTGGACAAGGACGTCGACGAAAACCTTGCCAACCTATACCCCGAGCTGTACAAAGAGCTCACCTCGGGCCGATCACTGTCGTACCGCACCTTTTTCATCTGGGTGCTCGTGTCAATCTACCAAGGCGGCATGATTCAGGGACTCTCACAGATCTTCACCGAGGTTGATGGCCCCAAGATGGTGGCTGTCAGCTATACGGTGCTGGTGCTGAACGAGTTGCTCATGGTGGCCATTGAAATTACGACGTGGCACCCCGTCATGATTGTCAGTATCCTCGGGACATTTCTGTTCTACCTCGGATCCATCCCCTTCCTGGGTCGCTACTTTGACCTCGAGTTTATCATTACCTGGTACGTATTTCTTTGAGGAGCGTGTACTACCGCATCTGCTCACAATTTTCAGGGGCTTCTTATGGCGCGTCCTCGCCATCGCGTCGATTTCACTCGTCCCTCCTTATCTCGGCAAAGTTATCAGTCGGACCATGAAACCGCCTTCCTACCGTAAGGTGCAGAGCACATGAATGTCTACGAAACTGGCGTTTAGCCTTTGCCAATCATCATAGAAAGCAGCGCTCTTATTATTTGCAATTCCATCTATAGACTACGACTCGACTGCCTTTGCTTCGACTTCTACTCGCCTACCCGCACACAATGATGTACATGCAGCTTTTGGTTCTGTCTTACAGTTTAAGCACGAGCCATTCTTTGGCCAGTTGGGGGTTCTTCTTCTGCAGCTGCGCGGCTACCCCCCCAACTGGTCCTTGCGTCTGCCGGCCTCCTTGCCACACCTTGTCACCAGCGTAGTGTTTGACGAAGCCACCTGGTCCGGAGATGATGAACAGGTTTTTTCCGGGAAGCGTGCCCTCGACAGGCAAGCAGGCACAATTCGGCCCTGCATCTCCCTCGAATTCACTTGCCTGCTCGCTCAACTCCTGATCATGCAACGCGCATCCAGATCCCGGATTGGACACGAGCTTGTCATCCTGTCCAATGTCGAGCAGGGCCTTTTGCAAATGGACTGGCTGGAAGCTCGATCCCTCTTCGTCCACGACCACCTGGACACTCAGGCGCTTCCCGTACTGGGCTTTCATGTCGGCGAGCTGTCTCGCCACCGGTGACAAGCCTTCTGCTGCTTGTATTTCCGCAGGCCCGCTGCTCCCCCACCAGCCGTTGCTGACCTCTGGTGGTGGCGTACTCTGTATATCCTTGCGCGAGCGGACGGCCCAGAGGAGGGAGACGTTGGTATCCTCGTAGCCGTCCAGCGCCACCCTTGCGGCCTGCATGCCCGGCACAAGACCAGTGCCACCCGCGAGGAAGACAATGTTCTTACTGGCGCCAAGCCGTTTCACCAGGTCGAAGCCAATGTGCGGCCCTCGCAGCTGCACCGTGTCATGTGGACGAAGACGCTGCAGGTAGTGCGACATCTCACCATCGGAATGAGCCCTGATGTAGAACCGCAGAGCGCCGTTGCGCTCGCTTTCGGCGCCGTCCAACATGTCGTCGCCGTCCTTGGATTGCGGCGGGAGAGGGGTGTAGTGCCGCGAGATCTGCACCTCGGGCTGCTTGAACTCGACGCTCCAGAGCGGGTGGCGCCAGCGATTGGTGCCGGGGAGCAGATACATGGGCTCCGGGTTGGGTGTCTGGGGGACCAGTGTCAGGATGAAGGACGCTGGGGACAGAGAGGTGCGTGAGGTGATGGTGTAGGGGACGAATGTTGTTTCGTTGAGAGTCGGCGGTTTGGCGGGGGTCGCGAAGAGGAGGAAGGTGGTGGTGCCGAGGAGGAGGAAGAGGATACGGCGGCGTGTGTGAGAGTATCTTGGCTGTGTAGGTGGATGTGAGGACGTTGATGATGGCCGGTAGATCGTGGCATGTTTTGCAGGGAAGCGTGGAGCCTGAGGACGGCAAAGCCTCCCAGTCCAAGATCTGGCACAGAACATTGTCGCCATATTCCATTGAGTTTGGGAAGTAATGTCACAGCGTTCGTGTTTATGTATGATATAGCAGTCATAACGCCGTCGTGGCTTGATTTTTGAGCATGTGTTGATCAAGTCTTGGCGCAGCTTTTTCGTATTGGAGGGCAGGAATTACAGTGCAGCAAGAGCTGCAAAGCTACTCCATGTTCATTTCAGTATAAAATGTACCAGGGCGCGCAGAATCAAAGAAAAGGTACACAGAGGCTGTTAAATTTGAGTGAGATGGTGATCAATGACACGAACTCCATTTAGCGTCGGAAGAATTTCGGCGTGAAATCACGTGTCACCCTAGGGACGACGTGACATGTCTGGCGACTGATGTCGGTAAACCTCGTTCCATTGAAGCGTTTTGTAGACGTCCAGTTCAGCGACGAGTCGAACCTTATTTCTCCCTCTTCAACGACCCCTCCAATTGGGCCCCCGAGCATGAAGTGCACTGACGCGAGGAGCCATGCCGGCCTGTCGTTGATTTCTTCCGGATGCTGAAGCAACAATTCATACGGCTAGAATTTGTGCCACTTAACCCACAGGAGAACTTATCGAAGCCAAGTTCTCGCTCTCGCCGGCAGTTGGTTTAGTGGCTTTGGTTCCAGTCGTGCAGGAAATGTATAGGCGGTGCGGGTGGCCGGATTTACAAAAATATCGTAAGGAGTGCCAAGCGAGTATTCGAGCTTTCGTAGCTACGCGTGAGGACTAAGGAGATTCAACACGTGGAAGACTAATCATGTTGTCGCTCATGGCCGAACACTGCTCCTCTTTTAGTCTGTCATGAAACCCGTGGACTGATGAGTTCGCTCTAAGGTGAAGAGGCGCGAGAAGCTTCACTTTGGACATGATTGGTAAGGTTGAGATCGGTCTCGTCGTGTCAGTAGCGTGTGTAGTTAGTGTGGTCAGCATTTGACAATCACCCATTTAGGACTCGCCCGGACATAAGCCCCGAGCCTCATAGCTGCTCTTGACCATCGAGCCCCAGGTTGCCAATCCTTTCGTCAAGCAACACTATCTAGATGCTTTGCAAAAAAAAAAAAATTAAAAAATTGCAATGGCTGACATGGAGCACAATGTTGAATTCTTATTGACATGACATGTACGTATCTCCAGATCCAATGTGGAATACGAGAATCGGAGCGTACTTACATGCACACATTCGCACTCTGGACAATGCCATTTGTGCGGAGGATTGGCTATAACACTATTTACCAATAGGAATCGGATGATTCCCCAATGATAAATCGGAGATGGAGTCTCGACTCCGTCGGGCATTGAAAAAAAGACCAATTTGATGCTCAATGCTGAACATGGACCCCTTTCCCAAACAGAGGGGCCCCGTAGACCTATTCAATAACGGCCAACCTCGAAAAGATTAAGATGAGCATACCGCATCATACAGGATCAGCGTAGGCATCACATGCGCGGCATGGGAGGCGTAACATCTCAGGCGACTCGGTCCTCAATCACTCGAACATCCTACGGAAAGGCGTTTCCCACTGTCCTCGAGGCAGCCCAAGATCCTCAGGAAGTCTAAAAGGTTTTCTAACACTGATTCTCATAATCTCAGGATCCGTCTATCCGAGTCTATCCCGCCTCTAAATTTGTCTTCCACTACATTCCCTTTCACAACCGTCTCGTTGACGATGCCTTCGACGTGCTTCGGTTCCACACGCCCATACCATATCCCGCATCCTGCCAGGGGATGGTCCTTCAACGTCGGTGGTATGTAAATGATGACATTGCCCGCAAATTTATGGCCGCCAATGTGGCTTATCAAGCCAACCCTCGCAGCGGTCGCCGTTCCGCCGGTGTCTCCTGCAGCCGACACGGCCTCCTTGTGCACCACGTAGCCTCCAGAGCGCAGTTTATCTTCAAATTCTGTCCGCAAGATGGGCCCTAGAATACCACATCGCTCGTCACGACCTCCATGACCGCATATCAGAACCAAAACATCCTTCACGTCGCTCACACCTTCCAGCTTGCTCTGGTAGGAGTTATCTCGTAGCAAGGCCTCTCGTTGCTGCGCGGGCAGTCCGTCGTGCATAGCGTTAAGCCTTCTCGGTAACACAAACCCCTTCGCCATGGCTTTGATATCGCCGTCGTCCGTCCGTGATAGTTTTGGTATGTATTTGAAAGACGGCAGTAAGTATACCGAGTCCTCATTCGGGCTCGTACTGTGGAACGAGGCATTCAGCGTCGACACGTTCCAGAATGGCTTTTCACCGGCATCAGTACATGTTTCTTGTGGCCATGAAGGCTACCTGTCTGCCACTCACATCACTGAACGCGCCGCCTCGGCCAAAGACGCCTTTCAGTCGTGCCGCTAATCCATTCTCGTCCTCGATCTTGCTCTGCCAGTCATCTTTCCCGGTGCAAACGAGTATTTGCTCTGCATAGCCTGTGATGACGCCATTCAGGTTGGCATCATGATCAATGTCAAGGTCCGGCGTGGGCGCGCATTGGCAAGTTGGCGAGGGGCACGTAGATATCGTAGGGAAGGGTGGCGGTTTGGCTGGTATTCGGCTTCCTGTCTTCGTCGCGAAGTATCGTGGGATGGAGAGAGGGGTGTTAACTCGGTGCGCGAGACAACGCAGGCGGACGAGCATTGTTCGAGGACCAACCGATGTTGCGACTGGGAAAGGTGGCCTGCGGACATTTGGAGAAGGGAAGCGCGGCTTGATGACGGCACGAACATCGGCATCGGCAGTTCGGCACCCGCCGGGGCATCAATGGCCGACGCTTGGCATGGAGATAATAGTTGGAGAAGGGCCGATGGCCGTCTGTGTGCATCAGCTACGTGCTCCGCACATAATATCCACGAAAGACTGCTAATTAGTCTGATAATACGGAGTACACACGGAGGGCTATTAACGGCTATCGATTCGCTCTATCCAAAATACCGAAGAGGCCCAATCTATGAGAACAATAGGCGCGCGTTCTAGGTGGCAAATGTACATATCCAAAGGGGGCGTGAGACTCAGATGAGGCCCGTGCCCTTCTTGTCGCAATAGCCTGGGTTCTTGGGCTCAGAGTTGGCCCAGCTGAGGACCGTGAGGGATGTCGTATAGGCCATGGCAACGAGGCCAAAGGCACAAAGCACCATGTCCGAGTACTTCCACCATTTGGTGCGCGCGACGCCACGCAGATGAAGAAGAGGCTGCGACTCGTTAGTGTCTGCGCATAGGCAAGGACAGATGCACTCACTGGGTAGATGTAAACAAGCGGGATGCAGGCAAAGTTGCCAACGAGAGCAACAAACTTGTCCAGGTGATCCGCACCGCCCCAGGCGATTCCCGCGCACAGCATCACCATGAAGAAGCGGAAGACGTTCTTCTGCCACTTGATGTAGGGGTTGTACTTGCCGCTGCGAGTGAATAGCTCCGTCTCGACGATGCGAATGGCGGGGAAAATCTGCAGCGGTGTCGACAGCAGGATCGCACAAGAATACAGCAGCTGGACGGCATTGACCATGTGGTTGTCCTGGGGCAAGTTGAGGAGCACGACCGTTTCCGTGTCTGAGCCGTACGCCGCATACGACACAGCTCCCATGACGGTGAACAGAACAGTAATGATGGCCATGACCAGCAGCAACACTTTGGGGAACTTTTCTGGGTGGCGCATCGATTCTTGAATGGGGATGATCAGCCCGATGCCCTCAAAGGTGAAGATGGCGGTGCCGATGAACAATGTCCAGTTGTCATCGTTAAAGAGGATTATATCGGCAACGCCTTCCGCGTTGAGGGTGATGATGTCGTAGTACAGCAGATAGGCGAGGCCGATCAAAATGAACGCATCGGCAATGAGGGCCGTGAAGCCTAGCTTGCCAATGTCGCGAAGGAGTGAGAATGGCAAGAAGATCACCATTTGCATCAAGATCAGCCAAGGAATGCTGATCGACGTCTTGCAGTTGGACACAGCCTTGATGAAGGCCTGCAGATTCTCAGCTGTGAACACAGTGTACGCCGCGACAAACCCAATCTGGCTGATGACAATGGACGACAAGATGACGAATCGCATCCACTTGCCATATAGGATGCCACCCATGTCACCGAACGAGCCGTCCACCCGCAGCCTTGTGTTGACCAGCAACACGAAGCAGTAGTAGCTGAGCATGGCCACGCAGACCAGGACGGCGTTGCTGAAGATCATACCGCCATTAAGGTAGGCACGCGGCAAAAAGAGCACGCCCGTGCCCACAAAGGACTTGAGCAGAAGCATCATGGCGTTTGTAGGGCTGTTGTTGCCTGTGGTGCGGACCTTTCTCCTCCGTCGCCTCTTGGAGGGCGGCAAAAGCGCACTATCCTCCATCGGCTCGTGGTCCTCCCCGCTGCCGTAGCCATCAGTGTCCTCGCCAGAAGAGAAGTACTCGTTTGGACCCAACGCCTCGTCATCTTCTTCCAGCTCCTCGCCAGCGAAATGGCCGTAGATGGTCAGGAACTCCAAAAAGCTCGACGTGAACAGAGGGGGCTGTTGCGCCTCGACCTGTGGCTGGTAGAGACCTCTCCGCTCCGTGCCGGAAGGGCTACCAGCTAGTCGGCGTAGATGGTTCCTGCGGAAGCCACCAGGCACCTTGATCGAGTTGATGTCGAGTGTATCGTGCTCGGGCTCAGGTCGGGGCTGGTGGAAACTCTTGCTGCGCTGCATCTTGTTCTGTCGTTCCGCTTGCTCCGTCCACTTGTAAATCGGTCGGGTCACGTCGCCGCCCTGCAGCTGCAGACTTGAAAACTCGTCGTCCCCGAAGTTGTTGTCGGCTTGTTTACCTTTGGTGGGGCCGCTGATCAAAGAAGCTTCCTCCGAGTCGGCGAGATCTCCCGCGTCACTGGGCTGAACCAGGTGCCTCTTGACAACATCCACGTCCTCATAAGGCGCAACGCTTCCGGTACCTACTTGGGAACGCGAGTTGAACGATCCGTAGTTTGTGGGCGTGAGTCGACCGGTGACGCTGGGCGACTGCGCTCGCGGAGGTGTGCCAACACGATGGGAGGGTGTACCGTGACGCGGCGGATCTTGCCCCAGCGAGTCTCCCAATGCTGCAGCCAACGCTGAGATGCCAGGTCCGCGATAACTCCCGCTCGCCCCATTTGCACCTGCCAACGGTGTGCTATCCACCCCAGGCGCAGGCGAGCCTGATCGGGGGAGAGGGGGCGTGGCGCCCTGCGGCACCGAAGGTACTGGAGATGCTAGTCGGGCTGTTGCGTCGGCTCGAGGGATAGAGCCAACTACGGACCTCGCAGTGAGCGACTCGGGTATAGGCGAGCCTGACATGGCTGGGGGCTCGGACGCGTCTCTCGTTCTCGACGACATGTTTTAGCTCTGGCAATGGCTCGGTGTTCAATTCGCGTGCATAGCAGCGAGGGGGGACGACTCGAGTTTGGAGGCGGGTCGGTGGCAGATATTTAGAGTTTATCAGGCACCTTTGGGGTCAAGTCGGGACCTCGAGATGAAGAGATTGTGTTGCAACGGGAACTCTGTCCGAGGTGGGACAGATGACAATGACTCGACGCTGGAGAATCTCAGATGACAGTAAGGATTGGAGCCAGTAGCACGAGACAGCGGGAAATGGGCTGGACGAACGACGATGAACAAGCCAGGTACACACACGCACAGCCGTGGAAGCTGTAGAAGAAGACGGCTGGAGACGCCTGAGCCCTGAGGCCAAGCCCTGCCAGTGGACTGGATGGATGGATGGATGGGGCTGGATCGGCTGACTGCGTCACGGTGGCAGACCCCCAGTTTTCCGACGGCTGCCCCCACTGTCGGGCTGCCTGGGCACCTCCTGCAAGGCCTCGAGGGCCCCCAAGGTCACGGCACGGTCTAATTCATTCCACTTGAATGTCTGGACCATGGTTCCAAGGTAATAAGGTAAATACGACAAAAGGGAACATAGGGGGTCTTACTGGATATGAAGCTCTAAGCTGGAAAAAGTTGCCCATTATTTGAACACATGACCACGAGATGTCCGACAAAAGCTCTTGCCGCTGTTGACGGAGCAAAGGTGAGCGGCGGGCAAGCTTTATCTTATCGCGTGCAGTCACTTGATGCGACTCATGCTCCACATGCTTCGCGTCGTGCTGTACGTAGCCTGCAAATGCTCGCACCCGCATTAACATGTGAGATGCTGCGAGACTCCAGATTGTAACATTGTAACATTGTAACTAGTAGTTGTTGGGCGAACTTTAGGAGGGAAATCGGGTTCGGCGACACAAAGATTTGGAGTGCATACGCTGTCGAGCTGCACTGCGTGAGGTATCATCAACTAGAGAACTTATCGGAACCGAACATTGGGATGCCAGAACCACCCACTGTGCTTATTCAAGGTATAAGGTTACAATTGAAGAACTGATCAACCGTTAGTCCTACATCTTTTTGTAATGCGAATACAAGCACCGTGCAGAAGCGCTGTGGAGGTTGAAGGCCCAACTTCCCAAGACCGCCACTACGGATACGGCGCGACGGAGACGTCACCCCGCATGCCGCTCATGCTCAGAGCCACCCGTGATAGGGGCGTACAGTCACTTGTGCAGTGCGAGCGAACACCGCCAAGTTCTATATCATAGGGACGAGCGGCGAGCGGAAGAGAAAGTGAGGGGAACGATCCAGATAGAGGTTCAGTCGGCATTGATGATGTCGCCCTGTGCACCGTGTGCACGGCTGCCCAGGCAAATGATATGCACTGTGGGCGTTCCTCACCTCTATTTTCCGCCTCGCCTCCCTTGGTCTCAAAAGACGAGGCGTCCTTGGGTCGTCGTACATCCGCACGCGATTGCGCTGAGTGCGTTGTCCTTCATCGACTTCAACGCGACGACCTGGGTGTCTTTGAAGATTTCTCGCCCATCGCCGAGCGAGCAACCTTCAACCTGCTCCCTGCCTGAGCACTTGCACCACCGCAAGCAGAACTCGAAAGGTTGCATGAGATTCCTTACTTGCACCTGACTTGATCTCCAGATCTCTCGCAAGCCATATTGCCCCAGCATGGCCTCATCCTCTGGCCCTGGCGGCGAGCATGGCGGCGAGAAGAAGGTCAGGCCAAAGTTGGGCACCGTAGCGGGAGTTTACATACCAGTATGCCTGAGTATCATGAGCATTCTCATGTTCTTGAGATTTGGTCTCATACTGGGTCGAATTGGGCTCGTCGGCATCGTAGGTAAGCATGCTAAGCAGTCAGGGCACTTTTGATCCACAACTAACGTCAAAGGTCTGCTCTTGGTGGCGTACTGCATCGACTTCCTTACGCTCTTCTCCTTGTCGGCCGTCGCTTCCAATGGCGAGGTCAAGGGAGGGGGTGCGTACTATCTCATCTCACGTTCGCTTGGTCCTGAGTTTGGTGGATCAATAGGCATTATGCTCTACCTCGCCTCAGTTTTGAGCTCGGCCATGAATGTTGTTGGTCTCATAGACTGCATCAAGCTCAACATTGAACCAGACTTTCCCGAGGGGTACTGGGTGAAATACGGCCTTCAGACAGTAGTCCTTTTTGTTTGTACAGGCTCTTGCCTGTTGAGTTCATCTATTTTCGCGACGGCTGGCAATGCGATGTTGGCCCTCATATCGGTTTCAGTACTGAGCATTCCGGGATCGGCTGTCTTCAAAGAGCCATTCCAAGACCATAATCAGGGCATTCACTTCACCGGCCTCAGCCTGGACACGCTGGCAGACAACTTCCTTCCTCCCGTTGACCGCACAGCTTTCAACGGCGTGGAGACCTTCCGAGAATTATTTGGCATCCTCTTTCCGTAAGTCGCTCGTGGAGATGGCGAGCCTCCCGCTGACCGATATCTCAGGGCTACCGCAGGCATCCTAGCAGGCGCCTCTCTATCGGCAGACCTTCATGACCCCAACAAATCAATACCAAAAGGGACATTATGGGCTACCTTGACGACACTCATCGTCTACTGCATCGTTGCTTTATCAATGGCATCCAGTGTCACGCACGAGTCACTTCTAGCTAACTCTAACATTCTGTCGCTCATCAACTTGGCCCCTTGGGTCATCTTTGCTGGCGAGTGTGCCACGACGGCCTTTTCAGCCTTGATAGGTCTCAAAACTTCGGCGGGACTCCTGAGAGCCTTGGCTCGAGACCAGCTTTTACCCGGCATGGCTTTCCTAGACCGGGGCAGCCGACGACGGGATGATCCTATTGCTGCGCTCGCGCTCACCTATGCCATCGCGCAACTGGCCCTTCTCGCAGACTTGAATCAGATTGCTACATTCATTTCCATGGGCTTCCAGATGACCTTCTTCGTTATGAACCTGGCATGCTTCTTCCTGAAGATTGCCACCGCGCCCAACTTCCGACCAAGCTTCAAGTTCTTCAGTTGGCAGACAGCTTTCCTTGGCAGTATCATGTCCGCATTTGCCATGTTCTTCGTGGACGAGACCTACGCCGCGCTGGCTATATGTCTCCTTGTCGCTCTCTTCCTGCTGATACACTACCTTTGCCCTCCGAAACGATGGGGTGACGTTTCTCAGAACCTGATTTATCACCAGGTCCGCAAGTATCTTCTTCGTCTGCGGCCGGAACACATCAAGCACTGGCGCCCACATATTATCCTCCTCGTCAACAATCCAAGGAAACAGACACGGCTGATCAAGTTCTGCAACTCCCTGAAGAAGGGATCTCTCTACATCTTGGGTCACGTCATTGTCACTGACGACTTTTCCAAGGGCGTGGACGAAGCTCGCTTACAACAGCAGGCCTGGACCAACTATATCTCCGAGTCGTCCAGAATCAAGGCATTTGTCCAGCTCACAATGTCACCATCCTTCAACTGGGGCGTCCGCAACCTGATTCTCAGTTCCGGGCTGGGTGGCATGAGGCCAAATGTGGCCATCATTGGATTTTATAACATGCAAGACCTGCGTAGATCTGGGCATCATACATACGTGCCAGACATACCGACTTTTGTTGCTTCCCAGATGAAGCAGACGTCGAAGTCAGGTACCAGACGTCCTACTAGACGTAGAGGCGACACTTCGTCGCGAATCCTGTCGGGCACGCTCCCAACCGATGTCATTCGAAACGAGGACATGCTGTCGCCAAACCAGTACATGACCATGTTGGAGGACCTGGCTTTACGCTACCGACTCAACGTCGCCGTTGGGTTTGGTTTCGATACACTCGAGGCACCAGGGACTGGTGAATCCCACAGCAAGAAATACGTCGATCTCTGGCCTATTCAGATGTCAGCCGAGGTCACGTCGGACGGTCAAAACATATTGACCACCAATTTTGATACATGTGAGTCCATGTCATCGTGTGCACAGGATAAGGTGGCTAACTTGACGAGACACGTTGATCTTGCAGCTCGGACATATCCTGCAGAGCGTTCAAACATGGGGCTCGGCGTACCAGCTGCGAGTCATGGTGTTTGTGGAATACGAAAATGAAGTCCCAGAAGAAACTGCGCGCGTTAAGCAGCTACTCGAGAAACTACGGATTGAAGCTAAGGTCATGGTGTTCTGGCTCGCGTCTGGGGAGCTCAATACCTACGAACTCATCATCAATGGTGTCAGCCAGGATATTGACTGGGATATTCTCGTCAATGATGCACTAAAGGACGCAGAGTGGTGGGATGATCTTCAGAACTTCAGAGGCCGCTTCGATCGTATGTCGGATAGCTGGGGACAGACACATATTGCACAGATCAAGGAATCGACGTCGGCTCGGCCGGGTGTCTACAACCCCCACGACGATTTGGATCCCATGGGCAGACACCTTACCAGTGGAGACACTGGTATGGTTTCCAAGCGCCCAACGATATCAATGCTTAAGAAACTGGGCGGGAGTGTTGGCATGCATACCCACCACCTCTTGGACAATCACTTACAGAGAGGAGAATATCCGGATTCAGACGGTGAGTCATCCACGACGACCGATGCGTCTGACAATGAGATGGCGACTGGCGCAGATTCTGGTCCTCAGGAGTCCACGCAGGAACACGATACAGATCGACAGCCACTCCTCCGAGCATCGAAGAGAAGTAATGATTCGGCAACCTCTCAACAGCGCCAGGGGAGGTCTCGACGGCGGCAGTCAAAATCAAAGGACTCATCTGGCACAGGACCTATGTACGGTACCATGTCCACGTCGCAAACACTGCACGAAATGGACGAGGAGCCGGCTTCAGCAGCGACAACTCCTCGTGTCGTGGCTTTCGCCGCCAGTCCTAGCAACGAAAGGGATCAGGCAATCAAGGCTGTGCGCTCCATGCTACCTCTGCCACGCCAGGATGAAGATGAAGATGAATCACGAGGACTTCTTCGATCAAAGTCAATGAGCCCCGTGAGATCTTCCGAAGACTCCAAGACGGCAATGCCCCCACGTCCTGCCATTTCTAGGCAATCATCAGGAGTGCGATTCTCCAGTCGCCCGGTTCCGGAGACCACTATGACAACCGACGGCGACGCAGTAAGACTTAGCTTTGCGGACTCTGGTTCCAGCGCACCGAGGACTGAGCGACCCTCAGCGTCACGCCAGTCATCGTACGGTGGCAGCAAGCTTCGGAAGCAACAGGTTCCTGAGAACAAGCTCGCCGGCGAAAGTCAAAAGACCATTGCTTTTGCTGATCCCATCGAATCCACCCCCTTTGTGTCGCGTTCGGCAGCCAACTCGCCGGTGCAGTCTCGTGGAGGATCCCTGGCACAGTCGCGCCGAAATTCGGAGACGGGCGACCTGAATTTGAACGTCTCAGACATTCTACAGTCGTACCGGAGTGAAACTGGAGAGCAGGAGGGTGGCTCGAGATACTCAACGGCAAATCTTTCCCTCTCCTTCAACGATTTACCGAGCCGCGCTCAGCATCTTATACTCAACGAGCTCATGCGGCGACATTCCGCAGAGACAGCACTGCTCATGAGCACTTTGCCTATCCCCGCGGATGGGACTGCTTTGGACGAGAAGAGCACCATAAGTTACCTGTCCGACGTGGAGCTGTTGTGCAATGAGTTGCCGCCGACGTTGATGGTACTGAGTAACAACATGACCGTCACAGTTAGTCTATGAGCGCATCATCACGAGAAAGGTAACACGAGCATAGTTTTCCAATAGGGTTTTCAGCGCGTCGTTCCATCATTATATATAGGCCTCTAGATCCCTCATCAATATCTACAAGAATAGTTTGGTGCCTGATCTATAGTACTTTCGTCACCACGAGGTCGCTTTTGCTTTCTCCATCTATCTCTATCACCCCGCCGGCTTCTATCAGCTTCTTCCACTTGTTGCTCTCGTGTCTCCCCGTAATGATCGTCATCCGTAGCGGTGTCTCACTACTCGACGTGTGTTCAGTGCTATCTACGGTGACAGGCGTATATGTCCACCGCCCGAATGCCCAGTTGAGAATATAGCGGCCCTTGGGATGCGCCGCCGGCGGAGGCAATTCCGGGTCCGAGTTCTTTGGCAGCGACGAGAGGGTAGCAACAGCCTTGATGCGGTACACTTCGTCCTTGGGTGCCTTGCGGAGAAGGTTCGCCTCCAATTTGTCGGTGGAGATGGCGACGCCCGCGTCACCCTTGAGCTCGACGGACAGGACCTCCACCTCGCTCTGATGCCCGTGCTCGTGGTCGTGTCCATTCTCTTGGCCATGGCTGTCCCCGTTTGCCGTTGTCTTGGCGGCATCCTCTTCCGTCAAGTCCTGGGCGAGTCCGCCATCCACGCCAAACACTACGTCCATGGCCACCCAGCCATTGTCGCTCTTGACCTTAGCAACCTCCACCTCGAGATCGCCCAGACGATCGAGGCACTCGTCATATCGGTCCTCGCCCGCCGTCTCCCACTTATTCAGGACCACGAGATCGGTGTACCGCGCCTGGATCCTCGCCGTGTAGCTCGTGTCCTCGTAGCCCTGCCAGTTCTCCACATCGATCACGCTGACGACACCATCTAAGACGTATTTCCCAGTATCTCTTGCCAGACGATTGACCTCGAGCGCCAGCGTGGCGGGGAAGGCGCTCCCGCTCGTCTCGATGATGATGCGGTCTGGCTTCACGGTGGTTTCGAGCTCGGCGAGCGCGGGTGACAGAGAACCAACGAGGTTGCAGCAGATACATCCGCCCAGCATCTCCTGGACACCCGAAATTGCGCTTGATGACGCTAGTTGTGAATCGACAGCCACATCTCCAAATTCGTTTTTAAGGAGAGCGAGGCGGTAGTTTGGTGATTGCGCGCGGAGTTGGGGGATGAGGTTGAGAATGAGAGTCGTCTTGCCAGAGCCGAGGAAGCCGGTGATGATTGTAATCGGTATTGGGGCCATGGCTAGGTGTATTCCGGAACGTGATGGCGGCAAAAGAGTGTGATTGGTATAAGTTAGTATTTGGTGAGGCTTGCGCGTTGAGGCGCCTTTTTTTTTGGAGGGGTTAGTCTCATTGAACAGTGACGTCGCGAAACGGAGTAGGGTTTCGAGTTTAGCGCGGGGCTGCTGGTCAACGAATCCCGGTTTGGAATAAACTTGACGTTAAAACGAAATGCGACGTGAAAGGACATGAAGTAACTGCATTGCAAGGAACTAGCGAGCATCTAGATCATAACTGACGTCGTAGTATGTGTCTATTACATATCTAAGGTATATTGGGACTTGGCAAACGAATGAACTGAGTAGACTACCAATGTGGACATGCTCGTCTGATGACCACCACACAAACATTCAAGGGTAAGGAGAATGGGAACTGTTTGTACTTTGGTAGGGCCACCGAGGAACTTTACTGACACTTCCTGGGAGTACAAAACCCCATTGTGATATCTAACCTAGTGAAAATAGCTGCAGAATGGGCTTCACTAAGGTAATCTGAATAAAGGTGTGGTGAGCCGCTCAAAGCAGCGCGATGTTCACGATCCCGCCGCAGATGCTGTGCCTTCAAATATATACAGGTAGGGGGCAAACGCTGGTCACCTTTACCGCACGGTTATCACGACAATGAAAAAAAAGCGAGCACTTTTGAGCAACATCAAGATTTCTTTAAACCCACAGCTCAAGGAGTACATCAGGCTCCAACTGGGTACTTGCCAGTGTCTGAGACTACTGTAACAATCGAAACCTGTAGAGTGCCCCGCGACTAGACACTTTGACGTCATGCCCATTACGCGTATGGCAACGTAGACGTTTATTAACCTTGGGTACCTGAACGTTGGTAGGCCTTCTGCTTCTTGGAACATCACAGCACACCAATTGCTCACTCTCGGAAAAGCGAAACTATCAGCACACAATGGCCGGACCGCAATCCACCCAGAAGCAGGAGGAAGAGCCGCATACCTACAAGGAGAAGCTTGACCAGGTTGCTGAAGAAAAGCGCAAGGCACAGCAACCGCAACAATCCAATCCGATTGTCGAGAAGAGCAAGCCATCCCTGTCCTTCCCTGCAAAGACGTACGCATGTGACTGATACCCTGGGCTTACAGTCACCGAATACGTTCCGGCAGCGTCAAAGATCCTTGGCAACTCGAAGCAAGAACCGGCGACCACAAAGTCAGAGGACATCCCTGGTCCACCAGAGAGGCCTCATCATGACCACAAGATCGAAGACTTTGTGAGGGATCAACATAGGAGCAATACCGACAGTTCGAAAGTCAAGGCAGACGCGAATGCCTAAACGCGAAATTGAGACATCCACATCAGACATTGCAAGCCGTGATCGGTGATGTCCGCAGCTGAACTTTGTGCCCGTCGAAGCGACCATTATGCTTACCCAATGCGGGTGATAGGATTTGGAGACCATCAAAACCGTGTAACGTGCTGACTGAGTTGGTTGGCCACATTGTAGTTCACGCAAGTCAAATACGAGGTGTGCGTGATCATATGTCCCCCCTTCTTGGCGTCTCAGGCCTACGGTCAATGTCCACGAGGAACAATGGCGAGAGATTTCCTATATCCAAGGGTTTCTACTTTTCCGAGCGTTTCCCCCGGAGGGGAAAGGCAACGCGACACCGTGGGACATCGCAAGCGATGCTAGGTGAAGGTCGTGGCAGCTCGGGTGCTTTTTGATGAAGAGAGAAGAAAAGAAGGAGAGGAAGATTTTCGCAGCTGCTGTGCGTTAATATTGGATTGCGTGAAAGACGCTAGGCCTAGATAGGCGATGAGTAAGCGTCTACCAAGGGCCGTGCACGACCTCCACCTGGCAGTTCCGCCGTCAGCTTTGTCGATCCATCATCTACCTTATACTTCCAATCGTCTCAAAGGGAATGCAAGTGCAGCAAGTAGTAAACCATGTTTGCGACTGCGTAGTCGACTTCATTGGAATCTACGGCGATACTACATACTCGATAGCACGCGGGAGGGTCCGTAGTAGTGACTGGCTATCGCTACTTCGAAAGCTGGCCTTTCTCTATCCCCGGTTGCAGACTTGCAGAGCGTGATTGGTCAGTCCTACCACCTTCGACTCTGGGCGCGGTATCCCCTATTATCCCAACCTGCATTTAGTCGACGCCTCCAGTCGCCTTGTCGGACAACCCACATTCTCTGCCTTGGCCCTCGAACCAACTGTCTTCTTCATTCCCTCTTTACGTTCCATTGTCATTCGCTTCTTGCCATCCGATGTGCGACTTTGTCCAGATATTCTAAAGTCAAATCAGCTCAGACACGGACTCGCGACCTCATGAGGAGATCTTCTGTTTCGCTACCCACGTCCAAGCAAGTTGCCCACGACCCCTACGAAAAGCCCGACCGTTACTACAATTCTGCCCGAGAAGGAGGCTATTTCGCCAAGATGAAGGAATCCTGGCTGGCTCAGTCGCAAAAGTCAAAGTGGCTCAAGATTGGCGGTGTCGCTTTTGCGGTCATCTGCCTACTCTACTTCTTCACACCGTCCGGCTACGAAGTTTACAATGGCGTCGGGGGCAACAGCGGTCAGTCCCCCGCTGACGACAGCTACGGAACACCGAAATGCACCAAGTCTTACTCAAAGGACAAGTCGATTGTGGAATACGTCCTGATGATCGACGCGGGCAGCACCGGCTCGCGTATTCACGTCTACAAGTTCAACAACTGTGGCCCTACACCAGAACTGGAGGGCGAGGAGTTCATGATGACGGAAAAGTCCGTGGGTGGACTGAGCAAATACAAGGACGATCCCGTGGCTGCTGCGAAAACCCTGGATCCTTTGCTGCAGCGCGCTATGGACACTGTGCCCGAGAAACTTAAGGGTTGCAGCCCGATTGCCGTCAAGGCGACCGCTGGTCTGCGCATGATTGGCGAAGAAGCGGCCGATGCCATTCTGAAGCAGGTCCGCACGCACTTGGAACAGGACTACCCTTTCCCTGTCGTATCACAGGAGCATGACGGCGTTGCCATCATGCCCGGTTCGCAGGAGGGTGTGTACGCCTGGATCACGACCAACTACTTGCTCAAAAAGATTGGCGGCCCCGACAAGGGGGAGACGGCAGCTGTCTTTGACCTTGGCGGCGGCTCAACACAGATTGTCTTCGAGCCCACCTTTAAGGGAGCTGCGGACGGAGGCATGCCTGGAGAGCTCGCAGAGGGCGATCAGAAGTACACTCTTGACTTTGGCGGTCGCCATTTCGATCTGTACCAGCACTCTCACCTGAATTTTGGCCTGATGGCCGCGCGAACCACCATCCACGAAACACTGGTGAAGGACATTGCCCTCGACAAAGGCACAGACGACGCCTGGATGAGCAAGCCCATCACGCATCCTTGCTTCGCTGTGGGAATGTCCAAGGAAATTGAGGTCTCGTATGAGAACAAGGACCATAGCTTTAACTTCACCGGACCCTCGGAACCTGCACCTGCGCAGTGTCGTGCCCTCGCCGAGAAGATCCTTAACAAGGGTGCCGCTTGCAATATCGCTCCTTGCTCTTTCAATGGCATCTACCAGCCTCCTCTGGCCAAGACATTTGCCAACGAGGATGTTTACATCTTCTCCTACTTTTACGACCGCACCAAGCCCATTGGTATGCCTGACTCCTTCACTCTTCGTGAGATGCACGACCTGGCCAACACCGTTTGCAAGGGCGCCGAGTCGTGGGACGTATTCGGGAGCATCCCTGGCGCTATGGACGAGCTGAAGGATCGCCCGGAGCACTGCCTCGATCTGAACTTTATGATGGCCCTGCTGCATACTGGGTACGAAATGCCCATTGATCGCGAGGTAAAGATTGCCAAGAAGATCGATGGCAACGAATTGGGCTGGTGCCTTGGCGCCAGGTAAGTCAAAATTTCTTTTTTTGCCGCGGGGATCTGTTGCTAACCATTGTAGTCTTCCGCTCCTCGAGAGCAACTCTGGCTGGGAGTGCAAGTTGAAGAAGGTCCAATGAGTGACCTGCGTAGTTCCATGACGGGACTTATGAAATGAAAATTGCCATTGATTTGGTACATTGTCGACGTTGTTCCACGTACAACGCAAGGCACCGGAGTATAGTTTTGAGGGCATGACGACGAAATATATACAGTAATAAACGACGGCATTTACAAAGGTGCCGTTACCATTGTCAAAACATCTTCAATGACCTCTTCCGGCCCCACACCATCCAGTATAGCCTCAACGGCACCTAGCTTGCTGCCCCATTGCATGCTTCGCTCGTTTTCAGGTTTGGCAATGCGGATGCGGTGTATGTATACTTTACGTGCGGCCAAACCCACGAGCGCCGGCGTGACGAAGCCGACCTTGTGCAATGGCGCAAGGCATCGGCACAACAGCTCTAGATGCTTGGTAGCAGTGGGGCTAATCCCATCAGCCACAGCGCGGTGCATCCGCAAGAAGGAGATGATGTTCATCCGGTATCGGGTGACATTGATATCGACGTCGACTTGCCGGCTTAGAGTGGATAATCTGGCAATGTCCTGGTCTAAGTCAGTCTCTGTACATTTCGTCTCGGCGTGGTGCTTACTGCTTCAGACACAAGTGCTTCCGGGGAAGGAGAATCTTTTTGATCCTGGTGCGCCATTCTCACTTTGACCACACTGCCTGTCGACGCTGTTTCGACGTCGACATTGTCGTCGCCGTCTTCGAGATTGACATACCCGTCCTCTGGGTCATGCCAGTGTCCAATAAACATGTAATCGTTCAAGTGCTTCGTAACCCTTGCCGCGCCGCCTCTTTCTGCTCCCAACACGGGAAGGAAAAGGAACTGTTTCGGTGCTGCGTGCACTGCCGTGTGCGTGAAGATCCGTCTAGTCCTCAGGAGCTCCAAAGCTTGTATTTGTACCGCATGCGGTGCAGAGTGGAGGTTGCGCGCAAGGATGAAATTCGCGATATGCAGTGAATTCTGGTCGCTAGATTTTGGCTTCTGGCGCTGTGCGTGTAGTGCTAGGTGCGAGTTGGTGCTCGCGTACGCCGTGGCAGTTGGCGTCTGCTGATTCTTCACAAGAAGAGACGCGGCGAACGTATCCAAGGTTGTCGTCGAGTCGCAATTGATCACCGCGCAGCTGAGGCCAAAGGTTCGACTGGCGACAAGCTGCAATTCTTCGAGCAGGTCATCGAGGGCATCGGATGGTGTGCTGATCAGGCAGTGCTCGCGAGCCACGAGACTGAGCAGGGCGGCAAGTTCGAGGTCGCTGAGATCGTGGATCTTCTCGAGCAGAATCTCATCAGCCATCGTCGAGGGCTGAAGACCGAGGATGGTCCATTTGGGTTGGAAGATCGATGCGTAGCTCTCAGGCGAGCTTGTCGCTGCACGTGCACTTGTCCTTTGGTTTGATCCCCAATAAGCGTGATGTTGTGCACTGCACTGTCACTGGCTAATGGCCGACTTATGCAGCCATTCGAACGCACTCTACCTACGCGGCGAACTATGAATCAGCTTATACCTGTAGCTTATGAGCCCGAGATGTTAAGACGAATTGCATTTTTTGGGATGATTGAAAATCTATCTGTACGGAAACCAAGGAAGGAATGAAGGTGATATCATTACGTGCCATTCTATACAGCGATTGGAACAAAATCTAGCCACTATGCTTTAGTGCTGTGGATATGCGCCTGCGCGAAGGTGCGAATCTTTTAACGGACTGGTGTGGTCCTTGGGCATCGAAACACCTAATAATTCTGCTCGATATTGGCACCTTACAGTAAGCTATAAGTAAGGCAATTCCTAGAAAAGTAACTAAAGTAGTATTTACCAAGTAAGGTACGTGGCACCCACTAGCCGAGTCCATACCTCTAACGGGGGCCACGGAAGGAGTATCTCGAAGGCATTTTTGTTTATTATTTAGACTAGTGAGAGGGAGTAATCCTACTTTCGATATTATCTCTGAATTAACACAGACTGATCCCCATCATTTCTAGTGGGAGTTGCAGGGAAAAGGTGTTTCGTCCCTTGGAAGAGAGAAGTGCTCATTAGGAGGAACGGGAAAGCTTCCCAATAGCAATGTCCAGGTCGTTAACGCCAGCGCCATAAGGGCAGTCAGTCCATTCGCCGCCATCGCGGATGCAGTAGATTTCGTTGTTTAGTCGAGCCGTGCAAGACTTTGTTACACCAGCATCTGCTGTCCAGGTGACACTATTGCGCAGAATTTCCAGCCCGTAGGCATCGCCGTCGCGGGTTGTGCACTCGTTCAAAGTATGAAAATCAAAAGCATGTTCTAGGGCGCATTTCTCGATAAGATCAGGCTCGAAAATATGCTCATAATCCTCAGGGAGGCATGGAATAAAACCAAGACTAAGCTTAGGATCGGGGTATAGTTCTCGCGCGCAGAGTTCGATGAAATTTCCTATGCATTCCGACGGACCATGCATACAAGGGACATCATCGTGGGGAGACGGCTTTCTAATGTAGGAGAGTTTGAAGTCAATCTTGTCAGAGACACGTTTGCATCACAGAAAAGATGAGTTCTCAGAGGGCGTCCCTCGTATCTGGACACTTTCTGACGACGTGCGCCTCTAGAGGGACCATGTTGCCGAGGACGATTTCGCTGTTGCCTGCAGTACCTTGACCTGCGTACGAAAGCCCCGCTCGAACAATACCGAGAAATGCCGTCAGAAAGGTTGCGGCGACGGTGCGCGCGAGGCCACGGCGGCCAGTGCGAGTGTTGCTTATGTTGCTAGTAGGTTTGTAGCTCTGGTCGGCGGTGGCGGCGCTTTGGGATTTGGTTTGACTCCTTTCGTCCATCGTGTGATAACTGACGAAGGATATTTGCGATAATTAGAGGGGCTTGCTTGCTTGCGTGGCTGGTGCTGTTTTGGGGAGGTCGGGACTGTAACGGTGCCAGATTATGAACACGGTCGGTGGCTGGTTGACAGCCAGCGGCTGAGGGTAATGTATGCCATCACATAGGTATCGAGGGGCAGTATGAACGGCAGTGCCGGGACGAGACGTGTCTTTTTGGTAGATACCGTTGTGAAGGTTTCTATCGTCTCAGCTTATAGGTCCTTGCAAAGGTTGAGGCTCTGTTATAAATGTTTTCTGCCGAAGGTGGTGTCGATCTCGTGGATAGGCAGAGGTTCACTGTGACTTGACAAAGTCGCTAGCGCTCCGCTAATCTTATGCATGGGGTCTTGCCCGATGCGGCTAACGCTGGATCACCTCCATCGGTCACTGAGCTGTTGTCGTGCTGCAATCGCTATCGACGTTCGTCATCGTCGACCAAACAACCACTTCACGCTGCGACAATTGCTGGAGCTCCAACGCACGACGACATTCAGCCTCGATCGCCTGGAGCATACGAAACAACCCGAAATACAGTCGCCAGACAGCTCGAAGCTCGTCGCCGGACAGTACCAACAACAACAATAGCCCAGCATGTCTTCCAAGAAGAAGGTCCTCCTCAAGGTGCGATCCATACGGCATGCATCATTGCGAGTGTAGCGACTGACTAAACCAGATCATCATCCTTGGCGACAGCGGTGTTGGCAAGACCAGTCTGATGAACCAATATGTATGATTCCATCCCCGCAAACGGCCACCGCAACACCGATCATTGACACAGCTGCCTCAGGTCAACAAGAAATTCAGCGCGAGCTACAAGGCGACAATCGGTGCGGATTTCCTGACCCGCGAGGTGATCATCGACGATAAGCAGGTGACGATGCAGGTACGATTCGGTCGCCCCGGACTCACAGGTGGGCTGTAGATGCTGATGGGGTGATAGCTATGGGACACAGCCGGTCAGGAGCGTTTCCAGTCGCTAGGCGTGGCCTTCTACCGTGGTGCAGACTGTTGCGTTTTGGTCTACGATGTGAACAACTCCAAGAGCTTCGAGGCTTTGGACAGCTGGAGGGACGAGTTCCTCATTCAAGCTTCGCCGAGAGATCCACCCAACTTCCCATTTGTATGTGCTCTCCAAAGGCATGGTAGCATTTCTGACTCTGTTGTAGGTGGTTCTGGGCAACAAGATTGATGTGGAGGAGAGCAAGCGAGTGGTGAGTTTGAACAACCTGAGGGAACAGAGAGCCGACAGCTTACGATTCGCAGATTTCAAACAAGCGCGCGATGACTTTCTGTCAGTCAAAGGGCGACATCCCATATTTCGAGACAAGTGCCAAGGAGGCCGTCAACATTGACCAAGCGTTTGAGGGTGAGTTCACTCCGTGCTAGAGAGTGCATTGCGATACTGACCTGCCGCAGTCATTGCCCGCAATGCTCTCGCTCAGGAGGAATCGGAGGAGTTCAGCGGCGATTTCGATGACCCGATCAACATCCGCATCGATAACCCCAACGAGGGCTGCTCTTGCTAAAAAATTTTGACGTGATGGGCAAGTGTTTGTCGCTTGCATCACCTCTAACCACTATGACGAGAGCCCCTGCGGCCGAGACAATCATTTGACCCCGAAAACTTCCTTGAACGCCATGCTTCCGTTGCCCCGCGTTGCATTTGGAAGGGCAACGGCCAGTGCAGACAGCATTATACCCCTCGCCGGCTGGAAGTATCTTGTATCATAATGGAATGGAGGCTTCGATGCAGATCGCCAGCGAGTAAAGTAAAGATATGGGGATGCTAGTGAGGCATGGGTATGTGCGTGCAGATACAGGAGGCGGCTAGAAATTTGTCTATAATTGGTTGGGTAGTACATGCTTTTATTTCGTATTATCTTTTATGAGCGACGGTGCATGTTGTTTGTTGTCCGCACGAACGTACAGTACCTGGTAAGGTACGTAGCTGTATGCCGCGTTTCGCCCGTGGTGAAGAGGCCTCGGCCAAAGCGGGCCCACAGCGACCAAGGCCTCGTCGGCCGCGGCATGGACACTCCATAACAAGCGTCTTTGGTGCGGGCAGTGAGAGCATTCGCGGTCTAGAAGGGCGCGGAGCAAGCCTTGGCGGACATAGCATTACCCCAGGCGTCGTGTATTTCCCCACCATTGGATCGTTTCATTTGGAGGGCCGCCGCCCGGCGTCGAACCCCGATTGCGTAGCTTGCTGCTCTCCATCGAACCTCGGCTCCATCCTCGGATGCTCCCCATCCCCCGGATAGAATGGTACGATCTGCGGAGGATTTTGGAGACTAAAACTCACAACTTCCCTCCATATCACCTCTCTCTCTACCTCGCAAAGTAACACACAAAGCTGTCGCGAGTTCCATCATGTCGGCTAGAATCCCTATTATCGTACGTGAGGATGGTGACGTGCTTCTTCCTACCGACAGTCGCTGACATGGTTCGTAGGTCTCCGATCGCGTAAGCGACAAGGCCAAGGCCACCTTGGACGTGGTTGCCAAGTTTGTGGAAGAGGAGTGCATTCCGTAAGCTTATGAGACCGATGATCTCGTCTAGGAGCTATCACTGACTCTAGCAGTGCGGATCCAGTTCTCGAGGCCCAGGTCGGTGAGGGCGACGCGCGATGGAACGCCCACCCTGCGATTATCGAGGATCTCAAGGCCAAGGCCCAGAAACTCGGTCTATGGAACATGTTCCTGCCTAAGGGCCACTACAAGGAGTCCCCAGGATGGACCAACCTCGAGTACGGCCTGATGGCTGAGTGGCTTGGTCGATCTCGCTCCGCCAGCGAGGCGTGCAACTGCGCTGCCCCCGACACAGGCAACATGGAGGTTCTCGCCAAGTATGGCAACGAGCAGCAGAAGCAGCAGTGGCTCAAGCCGCTCATGGAGGGCAAGATTCGCTCTGCGTTCCTCATGACTGAGCCAGATGTGGCGAGCTCCGATGCGACCAACATCGAGCTCAGCATCCGCAAGGAAGGGAATGAATACGTTTTGAACGGCAGTAAATGGTGGTCGAGCGGTGCTGGTGACCCGAGATGCAGCGTTTACGTTGTCATGGGAAAGAGTGATCCCAACAACAAGGATCCCTACCTGCAGCAGTCCGTCATCCTCGTGCCCGCTGATGCACCTGGCATGAAGATCCACCGCATGCTCAAGGTCTACGGCTACGATGATGCCCCTCATGGACATGGACACATTACTTTCACCAATGTTCGTGTGTCTGCTGCTAACATGGTCCTTGGCGAGGGACGAGGCTTCGAGATCATCCAAGGTCGTCTGGGACCCGGCCGCATCCACCACGCCATGCGCAGCATTGGTGCCGTAAGTATCACTGTACCTCAAGGGTCTGGGTCAAAGCTGACAGAAGCAGTCTGAGCGCGCTCTCGACTGGATGCTGATGCGCGTCAACGATGACCGCAAGAAGCCGTTCGGCAAGCAACTTCGCGAGCACGGTGTGATCCTCGAATGGATTGCCAAGTCACGCATCGAGATCGACGCGGCACGCCTGATTGTCCTCAACGCCGCCATTCAGATGGATGTACACGGCCCGAAGAAGGCCCTTAAGGAAATCGCGGAGGCCAAGGTTCTCATCCCCCAGACTGCTCTGACAGTCATTGACCGCGCCGTGCAGGCGTTCGGCGGAGCTGGTGTCTGCCAGGATACCCCCCTCGCCAACATGTGGGCTGGCATCCGAACGCTCAGGCTGGCTGACGGCCCAGACGAGGTACATCTGCAACAGATGGGACGCAACGAGAATAAGAGGGGCAAGGAAGTCACGGATCACATCAAGTGGCAAGCGACCAAGACGGAAGAGCTGATGAAGATCTGGAAAGCCTCCAGCGCGCAGCCGGGCACGAATATCACCAGGGCCAAGATCTGAGGGGATGTTTAATGTATAACGACTGTTGCTCGCAGTATGTGAGCACGCAAAGTCACATTTTACTTAGATCAGCAGCATACTACTGTAATCAGTATAGAAGCCCTGCTGCCCTGGACATGCAAACACCCCTTGCGGAGGGAGACCCTGCGACTAGAGGTGCCTGTCGCTCCATCACCTGGCCGACTAGGCGATGCGTTGTCGCTGTTTATCGTGAATCATATCAATGTAAGCCTAATCGCATTCCCACTTTGGTCCCCGTGCTCCTCGGTGCCCAACGTGGCGCCGTGGTGCATTCCTCGTCATGCGTTGCCCGGACAACGACAGGCACCACAACTCGTTTACAAAGTTCCACCCCTGCAACCACTCAAACTCAACCCTGTGAGGAGGAACGTCATCTGCAAACTGCCGTTAAAAGTTGTGAACCCGCCATTGATTTTGACGTCCCACACTCGCATCTGTCACTCGCAAGCACTACACATCCACAACTCTCACATCCTCTCTCCTTTGCTTAGCTTTCAGCATCCAGCATTCAACCGACTTCAGTTACTCGAGCACAACCGACACCAAACCCAAAAATGTCTTCCACAGTTCTCGGCGAGAGGGACATTAATGCGCCCATGGAGGTGCAGCCTACTGTTGCTGGCAAGGACGTGAAGAACATGGAGTATCATCGCCAAATGTTCCAGTCAAAGATGGCAGAGCCGTACGTTCCCCCTTTTCCAAGCCATGGGCAGAACACAGGCGAGTCATGCTAACAAGTATTCATCCAGGTCGCAGCAATACGTATCCCCTTCCGACAACATTATGAGCCCTTGCTCTTCCAAGATCAACGCACTACGCAACAAGCACATCGCCAAGTTCGTCCACCCTCAAAGGTCCCTCTACCCTCTCGATGCTAATCGTGTCACAGAGCCAAACCCCGTTCCCTTTTCGCACAAGCAAGCAAGAAGAGGCTACAAAGCGACGGCAGCGCCCTCGGTGCACCTCCGTCTAAGCCATGATCGGCCATCTCCAGCAGCCTCTGGCTTTTCAACAACTGTATTACTGTGTCATGTCGCTGCTTCCTTCCTCACAATATGTATTTGGGCATTTGGCGTCGGCGCACCAGATGAAAGAGTTTTCCAACTGGGCGTACATGGTTGTTTGCAAAGGTTTCCCCCCTACAAAATGACATGATGTGACGAGACCCGGGGGTTTTAAATTCAGTCATTCGTATAGAATTGATTCCTTTTGTGTTTTCCTACCATCTATGCTCTCCAAGCGCTGACTATATGAATGACATCTTCGTCTGCCACGGGATGGCTCAATCCTACTCTTTGAGGAATATGCCGCGCGCTGGCTCCCCACACGAGCGCATACTTGAACGTGTCCTTCAGCGTCCGGTGAATACGGTCGCAGACGTCCTCCACGGTGCTGTCTCGCCGGACAATCAGCGCTTCTGAGAAGTCGGGTTCTGCCCCCTTCCTTTTGGTGTAGATCCGGATGAGGGCCAACTCCTTCCAGCATCTCTCCACCACGTCTTGAAGGCCCAAGTCCATTTCGCAACTCATCACCACAGTCTGTGGCTCGCGGGCGAGAGAATCCAGGAAGTCGAGCGACACACCGTCGATCTTGTTGTAGACATAGAGGCACTTGATGTACTTGCGGTGGTCTTTCATAATGACATCGATGAAATCGTCAATGGTCGCGTTCTCGTCGCGTACAAGCACTTCGCAGTTGAGCATCTTGTAGTCTCGTAGAACGCCGGACACCGCGCGCTCGTCGAGGTTTTTCGGGGGCGTCTGGAAGGTGATCTTCATGCCACCAGCCTTCTTTTGCTTTAAGTAGATGTTCCTGTTTCGTGTCAGCCGGTTTCCCAATGATACAGCCCATGCAAAGAGACGCACGGGGGCTCGCAGTTCAAGCGAATGCCAACGGCTTCCAACTCAGCCTCTAGTAACGCCCTTTGCTCGGCACGCTTGGTCGCGTCTAAAATCATGAGGATCATGTCGCTCGTCTTCGCCGCCGAGATGACTTGACGACCTCGTCCCTTTCCCTCAGCAGCGCCCTCAATAATACCCGGGAGATCGAGCAGTTGAATCTCCGCACCGCCATACTCAAGTACACCCGGAATAGCCGTCAGGGTCGTGAAAGCGTACGAGGCAACTTCTGACCTTGTCTTTGTGACTTTGGACAGGAACGTCGACTTTCCCACGGATGGGAAGCCAACGAGAGATATACGTGCATCGCCACTTTTGCTGACATCAAAACCCGCGCCGCCACCGCTGCCTGCACCAGCCGCTGGCTCAAGAAGTTGAGCTCTCAGTCGAGCGAGTTTTCTGGTCACCGTTAAAACGCTTCCATTGAGACCAAAAAAACTCAACGACATACCCTTTCAGTAGACCCAGATGGTATTCTTCAAATCATTAGCAGAGCCAGACGGACGTCGGAACAATCAAAATTACCAGTCGCCTTATTCTCTAGCAAAAATTAGCTTCCGTTTACTGCACAGCTCTCCCCGTGCCATTTCCAAGGTTGAACATCCTGAAAACAGCACCGACAGTGACCACACCTACTCTGTGTCCTTCGCATCTCCTCCTCAATCCTGATGAACATCGTCAGTGCATTGCTCCTCGGCGGGATGCTTGAGCGCGGCGTACTCCTTGATCTTCTCCGTAATGTTGACCATCTTGCCGAATCGAGTGCCCTAGCACTATGCGGATACCTGAAGAAAGGACTTGACAGCACAAATTGGACGTTCCACAGCGTGATGACCGATGCCTGCTCTCAATGAATTTACGTGGGGTCAGTTGCTGAAGTCCATGGCGGCGGCAGAATTCCGCGGTGGGGGCGAATGACATCGCCTGTGGCTGCTGACCGCCTACCGCTTTTGGCACTTCGCTACCAACATTTCTGGAACTCGTCGCCTCGTCGACTGGCCCAAGTTCATCAGCATCGAACATCCACCCACAACGATTCACCACCGCAATGACCGACGTGATAGACCAGGCCACGGAGGTCCAGGTCCCCGTGGGCCAAGAGGAAGAACAGAAAATGGCGCTCACCACGACAAATACCGAGGTCGCTGCGCCAACAGAGAAGAAGGTCAAGAAGATCATCCGCAAAAAGAAGCGACCGGCGCGCGTGCAAATGGATCCTGACGAGCTCACGTCCGAGCCGCCGCCACAGACGGGCACGATTTTCAACATTTGGTACAACAAATGGGCGGGAGGCGATCGCGAGGACAAATACCTATCTCAAACCAAAGCCAAGGGGCGGTGCAACATCGCAAAGGACAGCGGCTACACCAAGGCAGACGCTGTCAACGGGAGCTACTTCTGTCTGCACTTTGCGCGGGGCATTTGTACAAAGGGCCAGGACTGCTCCTACCTACATCGCTTGCCAGGCCCATTTGACATGTTCAACCCGAACGTCGACTGCTTTGGGCGTGACAAACACTCCGACTACCGCGATGACATGGGTGGTGTGGGAAGTTTCATGCGCCAGAACCGCACGGTGTATGTGGGGAGAATACACGTCACGGACGACATTGAGGAGATTGTGGCCAGGCATTTCGCCGAATGGGGGCCTATTGAGCGCAGTACGTGTTTCTCCAGCGTGGTGTTGACCAACGATATGCTAACATTTTGCTAGCTCGCGTCCTGAACAGCCGCGGTGTGGCGTTCATCACATATACCAACGAGGCGAACGCACAATTCGCCAAAGAGGCCATGGCGCATCAATCCCTCGACTCGGACGAAGTTCTCAACGTACGCTGGGCAACCGCCGATCCGAACCCCATGGCCCAGGCCCGCGAGGCGCGACGAATTGAAGAACAAGCGGCTGATGCGATCCGACGCGCACTACCTGCAGAGTTCGTGGCAGAGATTGAGGGCAAAGATCCCGAGGCGAGAAAGAGGAGGAAAATCGAAAGCAGCTACGGACTTGAGGGTTACGAAGCACCGGACGAAGTTCACTTTGCTCGAGGCACCAACGCAGTCAACCCCTTGGGACGGGAAGGGTTCGCGATGGAATACCAAGAACCTCTGATGCTGGAGAATGGCCAGGCAGGCGATACTCCCACTGCGGAAGAAACCGGACAATCGCCACAAGAGCAGCAGCAGCAGCAACAAGAACAAGCAGGGATCTTCTCGAGCAGTACCTTGGCGGCGCTCAACAAGGCTCAGGTGGCATTGACGGCGAAACCGCAAGCAGCAGCAGGGCCATTGGTGGCCTACGACAGTGACAGTGACTGATGTTTGGAACATGTACATATTCAATGATACCAACCTCCAGGAAGAGCAACTAGCTGTTGAATATCCTCGAGTATAAGACCTCGTGCCTTCCGATCCACAGATCCATTATCGGCGTAGCCTGCCCAGCTTCCTCCACTGCCGTGTTCCACTCTCTGTCAATGACCACGTCAATCAGCCGCTGGACCTGCACACTTGCTAGTACTTTCTGCGCCTGGTAGGGACCGAACATGCTCGCCCGCACCGCCGCCGACACCAATGCCTTGACGTGACTTAGCATGAAGACGTACGCCGTCTGCCGCAGGCTCATGCCCACGAGGGCGCAGATGATACCAAAAAGCGGCGCTAGATGGGCAGAGACGAGAGGCACATCCTGACCCTTGCTTTCTCGCAGTAGAGTTGAGAAATCCTTCAGCACTTGCCCGTCGCCGGCCACGGTACTGCGAAAAGACCGCTCCCAAATGCCCAGCAGTGCCCGACCCTGGGCGACGCTCGCCCTCCTGCCCACGGTGCACACAATCGCCGCGTCGAGCTGGTCGTCCAGTTCCGCCAGCTTCGGCGGCGATCGGTGCGCGGCAAGAACAAACGGAAGCGTTGTAGATGCCATGGACGAGATTGACGAGGGGAGAAAGCTGGATGAGAAGGACGCTGCGCGTGGTGGCGTGTGGGCGAGGTAGGACTCCAAGCCACTGCTGAAGGCGAACGACCCCAGGGGCAATTGGGAGTCGGAGAGAAGCAGGAGAAAGTGTGTATGTGAGCCGAGTCCTGGCGCAACGCTGGCCGAGATCGCTGCGTCGTTTGCAGCGGCCAAGTCTTTCTGGGCTGCGTTTTGCGTGCCGGTCAATTGGACATTTTTGAGACGGTTCCTGGCATCTTGAAGACGCGCTTCGAGGAAGCCAATCTCGTCTTGGATTTCTCCCACATTGTTCGCGGCCATGAGGTGTAGAAGTGATGGTTTGGGGGCCTTCGCCTGATAAGGCTGGATTCAAAAATGTGGATTGGCCGCCATCAGTGCGGTCGGTATCGCTGCTACAACTACCGAGTACTGAATATTCGCACGACAAGTGATATCTTCTGGAATCAACGGAACGCCTCGCTTAGGAAAAAAAAAAAAAATATCGATCCCCCAGCTGATTCATGATGGTACAACGTTTTCCTTGTCATTGCCTCCCATACGTGCTCGCGCCCTCAGCTTCTCTGCTCGCCTCTGCTCAATCTTGGCCATGGCCGCTGCGCGACGATCAGGAGGGAGCTTGCTCTTGCCTGCATCCTCTGTTGCCTTTGGGTCAAGCTTCGCGCTCTTGTGCCTCTGCAGCTCAGGATGGTCAAGCTGCACCATACGGCTCTTCAGGTCCAACGTCTCCGTGACCTCGTCCTGGCGAGTGTCTCGACCTGCTCTAGAGGTCGCATTGGCCAGAGCTGAGAGATCTGCATCCATGTTACTTGAGGTCCTCACAGCCGTCGGCGTGACGCCGCCATGTTCCAGGCGCTTCGCAACATCTTCGCCAAGGTAGCCACGGTTGCGCGGTGACCTGGGTACGAAGGGCTGCCACTTAGGCCTTTCTAGGTCTGGGCGTTCACCCAGAGCGCCTGACATCTTGGGTTCGGCCACGTCATCTCCATCTTCATGGAACTGGTCGCGTAAAGTACGTTGGCTCTCTGCCGATGCTTTCCTCGGTGATCCTGACGTTGGCCTTTTGTCCAAAGTACGATGGTTGCGGCGGCTTGTAGCCGTGGTGTGCAGCGTATCGGTCGCAGACGCCACGGCATGGTTGGGCGCGCTGTCCTTTTCAGTCAGTGCCTTTGTCTGTGCTTTGCCGTGATCGCTATTCGCAGATTTCGCTGCGCGGAGTTCTTTTTTCAGCTCTGCAATCTTGGCGTGGGCGCGCTCCAACACAGCTTTGGAGTCGTCATCGTGGTGTTGTGTGTCCTGGCGATACTGCTCGAATTCAGCTTTGAGCTTCGCCAACTCCCTGTCCTTCTCCCTGTTCTCGGCTTTGAGCTCACGGAGCTGATCTCTCAGGTCCTTCGTCCTTGTCGATTCACTCTCTTTGTCCCGACTTTCTGTCTCAGCCTTCGAAGCGCGTTTTTCTGCAGCCTTGAGTTGTTCCTTCAAGGACAACACCTGCTCTCGCAGACTGTTGGTCTCTTTGGCCTGCAATCTAGCCTTTTGCAGCTCGCGTTGGGTTTCCAGCAACGTTTTTTGGGCTCGTGGCGACAGACCCACCTGCTTTCGTCGCCGAGCCTTTTCACCATTATCATCCTCCTTGTCCTGCAAGAAGTCCTCCAGCTGATCTTCCAGCTCTTGGACTCGCTCCCTGTACTGACCGGCAAGGGCCGTCTCCTTAGAGAGCTTTTGGACCATCTCAGCCGAGGCTTCCTCTGCATTCGTATGTTTCGAGACAATTTCCGATGCATTCTCCGCGATCAACTGTTCCATGCTGATGACCTTCGCCTGCTCATCCCGAAGCTTTTCTGCGAGCTCGACGGCCTCTGCATCTTTTTGCTGGGCGTATGACTTGGCCAATTGCTTGTACTTAAGAAGCTTGGCCAGTTCCGCCTTGGCTTCTTGGTGATATTTCTCAAACTCCTCCTTCCAGTATCTGCCCGATGAAGAGTGCGGCTCGTTTAAGTCCAATGTGATGTCATGATGACAGAGATTCTCCTCGTCGGCAGACGAGTTCCCTTCCTCCTCCCAATCGTCGTCGTCAGGTACGTTGGTTTGCGAGCTCGGAGCCGGGGGGTCGGACGCGGCTGCCGTTGTTGTCCTCTTGTTCGTAGCAGCAACCTTCTTCTGGCGTGCCTTTTCCAAGGCCTCGTTCAACCTCGTGCGCTTTGTTTCGTGTGCTTTGGGTTCTGTGGAGCCCTGCGTGTTCTTGACGTCTCGTCCAAATGACACGCGCTTTTGTCGGTTCGCCCCGGTGCCAGGAGTGAGCAGAATCCCTTGCGGCTTCGCGGGTGGTGTCTGCGAGCCTTCGGGTGCCGCAGCGATTCTGGGTTGTCGCGATCGCGGTGCCTCGCGAGGTTGCGCGCCGAATATAGCACTCTTGAAGGCGCGTGCTGCAAAGACAGGTGCAGGAGTATCTGGGATATCTGCCAATGTATTATCTGGAGCCACGTTGTCAGCATCGCATAGTTTCTGGTGCACCACAGCGCGCGCGCGCACCTTCATCTGGCGCGTTTGCAGCAGTCTCGCCGCGCTTGAGCATCCAGCCCAACATGGCGCTGGTTCGTGTGGTTCACGACCAAACTCGTAGATTTATCCCTTTGTCGGTATAGTAAAATTCTCATGTGTTTGAACAATGGCGGTTTATCATGCTCTGGTCTTGTGGTGTGAGGGGCGTTGGTGCGCGCTTCAATGTTTGTGTTTACTTCCCTTTTCGAACAGGTACGTCCAAGACGGTGGAAGTGGATACGTCCCTTAAGCCGTACCCCTGCTCTCAGGGTCAACACGACGTTGGAACCTGGTCCCGAAGCTCGTGTGGATTTCATCTTCACTGTCGTTACTACTATGCGGAGCTTCCCATATGTAGACTTAATAAGTGTATAAGGTGCATGCTAGTATTGGGACATACGTAGCTCAACGTTTATTGAAGTGTTCTTGAGGCCACGCTGGGCGGGCACCGTTTGTGATGGCGTGATGTCAAGCCAACAATAACATTGAAACTTTCCGTCTTGTTGTGCGGAGGATGCAAAGTGTAGACGCCCACAATGCGAGAAGACTAAGAAAGGGATAAACAAAAAAGCTGTCTTGACACTGTTGCTGCATTTGGTTCTGTGTTGAGTATCCTTACACATATGTCAGGCTCATGCTCGGATGACTGTCATCTTTCGTTAGGTGTAGGGTAAGCTAATTTAGTGCGATTGCGGCGTGGAGTTGTGGGCCCGTCACCGCCTTCGAGCCGGCCCCGCCAAAGGCCAGGCAGGTAAGGCAGCTAGCGCATGCTTGACCAGCGTGGCAGAGGTCACTTGAGCCGCCTTTTTGTCCTTGTCACCATTCTCAATCTTCAACAAGTCTCATAAAATCAACCACGGTCAAGTCGTGACCATGAGTCCCTCCCAGTAAGTTCACGGCTGCGGCTGTGATACTTTGTGGGACCTCACGCAAACATGGCGTGGAATGCACATGCATCTAGCGCTCGGACGACTTCGCCCAACAAGACCCCAACTGAACATGACAACACAAGCTTTCCGGGGCTCAAGCCCACCAAGTCCGCCGAAACGGCCAGGATAGATCTGTCCGAGATTCAGAAAGATGAACTTCTGGCTCTCGAAGCGATCTACGCTGATGACTTCGTGGACCATACCGGCGAACAGAGTGCGTGGAAGGTATGCGTCCCCGTCTATCCATGTCCCTGTCGCTAGCACCCGGACTTACAGATGTGTCTAGAAAACGGAGCCTACCTTTGATATCCACATCAGGTCAACAATTGATGAAGACTTCTCACTTACAGTGAGATTTGTTATGAATGCGTCCTATCCCAAGTCGCCACCTATAATCAGCCCACGGAATCATGGACACCTCCGCGAGGTCATCAGGTTCAAGCTTCAAAAGTTCCTCGAAACCCAGCCCAAGATCCTTGCTGAAGATGGCGAAGCCATGATTATGCAGATTGTGGATGGCGTCCGTGAGATTCTCGATGACGCCGCCCAGAAGAAGGCTGATGGTAGGGACCTGCCGTCTCTGGAGGTTGAGCGTGAACGCCACGAGGCTCAACTAGCCACTGCAGCGAAGGAGAGGAAGGAGCAGGAACAACGCGAAAGGGACGAGCAGAACAAAGAAGAGGAGCGCGTAATGGCTGCAATGCTGCAAAAGGAGATTGACCGGAAAGCGCAAACTGCAAAGGAGTTCAGGTTGGGACGCCAGTCTAATGGACACTCCCAAGGGCCATCCGACAACAGCCCCTCGGCCTCAGAAACTCTCGAATTCGACCAGTACTGCCATACCACGGACAAGAAAGGCGATCCCATATCGTTCCTCGCCGTCACCGACAAGGATGACCCTATACCGGGCCCAGTCTCTATCATATACAGTGTGCGACCTGTCTTTACGCAAGGGCCAGGACGACACGTGATGGCCTTGAAAGAGGCTGTTCTCCGCCCGAACGTGAGCAAGGAGTCGAAAGACTTCAAGAAGCAGCTCCAGACGCTCGAGTCGCGATTGCAGGATCTGAAGCAGGGCAAGGTGAGGCATGCGCACCTCGTTGAGGTTTTGGATTTCAAAGTCGAGAGCAGCACCACCGTTGACTCTCTACCCTCTCTTTCGTGGAGGGTCAGCGTCTTGACGCCTCTGGCTGACAAAGGTTCTTTGGAAGAATATCTGGCCGATTCACCAGGCATTGAGCTTGGCAAGGTGCGGTCCTGGACCAGGGATTTGCTAGATGCCTTGAATTTCCTGCACAACAAGAACATCGTCCACGGTGATATTCACTCGGGCAACGTCTTGCTCTTCCGTGGCCCTACGGGCACGATCCCGAAACTTTCAGACGCAGGATATCAGCGAGAGATACACAACATGGCAGTCAAGCGTGGCATGCCCATCCTGGAATCTTCCAAGTCCGCGTATTGGCTGGCCCCTGAGATAGCCGGAGTGTCGAAACCGCCGTACACATACAAGACAGACGTATGGGACTTTGGCATTGTATTTGTGGAGCTTATCTTCGGATCGAATATCCTGCGGCAATACTCCTCGCCGAGAAATCTCATGGACTCTCTGCCACTTTCACGGTCTTTGCAAGAGCTCGTTGGTCGCTTTTTCAAAGAAGAGAAGCAGAAAAGGCCACGCCCATTCGAATTGGGATCCAGTGAGTTTCTGGCAACAGACGCGCCTGTCATGGTAGAGGATCATGCCAACTCCTTGCCGCGAACGCCTATGCTTTCGACGTCAAGCACGCCTCACACACCGGGCATTCGACGAGATTCCATGTCGCGACCCGCTGGATTTTCCCGTTATGCAGAAGACTTCATCGAGGAGGGCCGGCTAGGCAAAGGCGGGTTTGGAGAAGTTGTCAAGGCTCGGCAGAAGCTTGACGGCCATATCTACGCAATCAAGAAGATCACCCAGCGATCCCAACATAGCCTCACAGAGGTTTTGAAAGAAGTCAGACTTCTTTCTCGGCTCAGTCACCCGGCTGTTGTCCGTTACTACAGCACGTGGGTCGAGGAAGTTGCTGTAGATGCTGGAAGTAGTGATACCGCTACCCTCACATCGACAGAAGGTGTCACGGGAGACACAGGAATCTCAGGCTCTCAAGCTGCCGAGTCTGGCGATGTTGATATGCAATTTCATACCAGCACCGGCGGCTTGGATTTCATCTCGTCTAATGCAGGAGTACAGTTCGGCTATGATGATGATGAGTCGGAGGAAGAAGAGGGTGATGACTACTTTAACTCAGACGATGATGACGAAGATGACGACGGCGAAAGCACCGAGGAGGAAAACGACTCAGACGAGCGTGCTGTCTCGCCGTTGCGGGAGCGGGGAACCAGGCGCTCCTCGCGTTTCCAGCGCCCTTTCAAGACTGTCCTCTACATCTCGATGGAATATTGCGAGAAGCGGGTAGGTCAAGTTTTTGTGCGAAATCCACGAGAAGCTGACCATGGTTTCAAAGACACTGCGCGACTTGATCAACCGTAATTTGTACAAGGACAACCAAGAAGTCTGGCGGCTGTTCAGGCAGACCTTGGAAGGGCTGGCGCACATTCACGGCTTGAGCATTGTCCATCGTGATCTGAAGCCTGAAAATGTCTTCATCAGTAATTCTGACGGGTCAGATAATGTCAAGATCGGCGACTTTGGACTGGCGACCAGTGGGCAGTTTTCCGTGGATAGGGTCCTCGCGAACGGGTTTGAAACAGATGACATGACGAAGAGCATCGGCACGGCTTCGTATTCAGCGCCCGAGGTCAGGTCAGCTGTGAACGGGATGTACAGCACCAAAGTCGACGTATGGACTATCAAAATACCCAAAACCGCTCATAAGCTAACTACAGTAGATGTACTCTCTTGGCATCATCTTCTTCGAGATGTGCTACATTCCCATGGTAGGCATGCACAAGGCCGATGTCATTGGGCGGCTGCGCCGTGCTGAGCCTGCTCTGCCATCCGACTTCCAATCTCCCGATAAAAACCAAGTTGATATTGTCCTATCCCTCCTCTGCCACAATCCGAAGGACCGACCATCCAGCTCTGCCCTGTTGAAAAGTGGCAAACTGCCAGAGCCAATGCAGAGCGAGACAATATCACGGGCCATGGCCAGCTTAGCTGATCCCAACTCTCCCTACGATGGCCAAATCCGGTCGGCGCTCTTTGCTCGTCCACTTGAGAAGACAAAAAACTACGCGTGGGACTTGAACTCGGTGGAGCTGACGCCCCAGGAGCTGTTAAACCAGCACATCGTGGAGCAAAGACTGACGTCCATCTTCCGTCGTCATGGCGCTTTGCCTTCTCGACGAAGTTCCATCTTCCCACGCTCGACGCACTATGGCGATAATGCCGTTCAGCTGCTCGATCGACACGGCACAGTGCTACAGCTCCCGTTCGACCTGACCATGAGCCATGCCCGGATGATGGCCAAGTCGACAAGCACCTTGCCTGTACAGAAGACATTTTGTTTTGGCACGGTGTATCGCGACAGGCAGGACAGTGGCCAGCCTCTGGAGTTCAACGCCGTTGACTTTGACATTGTGACGTCGAATACCTTGCATCTTGCATCGCATGAGGCGGAGGTGCTGAAAGTCCTCGACGAAATTATTCACATATTTCCGGCCCTGAACCCAGCGCAGATGTGCTTCCAGGTCGGGCATTCCGATCTGCTCAGGCTCATCTTTGAGCACTGTGGCGTGGAGCCCCTTTGCTACAAGGCAGCGGCTGAACAGTTGTCCAAACTTAATGTCCACGGGGTGACTTGGCAGAAAATTAGCGCCGAGCTGCGGTCGCCAGCAGTTGGGGTCTCGGCAACGAGTGTGGACGAGCTGCAGCGCTTCGACTTCAGGGACACTCCGAAGCAGACCTTTGCGAAGCTCAAGACACTCTTCGAGGGCACTGACATGTTTCAACGTGCATCGTCTGTCATTGCTCACCTCAAAGAAGTTGTCGAATACACGAGGCGTCTCAACATTGGTGTCCGACTGTATATCAGCCCCTTGAGCAGTTTCAAGGAGGACTTTTACACAGGCGGCATATTGTTCAGCTGCATTTACGACCGCAAGAAGAAGGATGTCTTTGCTGCTGGTGGGCGCTACGACAATTTAATCCGGGAGCAGCGCCCCAAGATTGGGGGCCAACTGCAGGAGAAACACGCGGTTGGCTTCAGTCTGTCTTGGGACAGACTGTGCAAAGTCCCCAAGGCAGGCAAGGCGTTCCTCAAGAAGGGCGAAGAAGAAGCTTTGGGTATGTTCGACGCCAACCGATGCGACGCGCTCGTTGCAAGCTTCAATGCAACAGTCCGCAACTCCATGGGGTACGACATTTTGCAGGTCCTGTGGCAGAACGATATCAGTGCCGAGCTGGCACAGGATGCTCGGTCGCCGGAGGACCTAATGGCGAAACACCGCGATGATTCATATTCGTGGATCATCATCGTCAAGCAGGACTCGATGCTCAAGATCAAGAGCCTACGTCGAAAGGACGTGCCTGATGCCGACGTGCCCGCACCGCAATTGCTGTCCTGGCTGAGAGCAGACATGCGAGAGCGGGATCCCAGGGGTGCCAGTAAGATCAAGGCACACACTCCGCACTCGGCAGCAGACATGGGTTTCGGCGAAGGCAAGCGTGAAAGCGAAGTGCTTGTGCTGGCGGCCCAGACCAAGAGCAAGAAGTTCAACCGACGCACCGTCGTCGAGCAGGCGCAATCCGAGGTGGTAACGCTCATGGGCTCCTATACGGATGGGCCGATTCTGGCCGTCGAGGGCATCTCCGATGCTGTGTTGGACGCCATTCGCGCCGCGCCGCTCTCGAGCCCGGATAAGTGGCGGCGATTGAGTGAATCGGTGGGCGGCGTGGAGAGGCACTATGTGGGCAACATTCGGGAGCAATTGTCCAACTGGAGAGCGAGATTCGAGACGGGCGGCTCGCAGCTTTGCTTCTTGTACAATTTCCGGACGAGCCACTGCGTGTTCTATGATTTGGGAGCGTGATGGGGCGATAGGGGCAGTAAGCAGAAATACTATCGACATTCTATAGAACGCAGCGTCCTTCTGTACAGTACTTTGCGCGAGGACAGTTGTGCACTATCCTCGTAATTTGTCTTCATCAGAGTAGACAAAAGCTCAAAGTTCCACGAAGACACTCCTAGCCTTGACATGAGTCAACTCTAGTATCGTCGATACGTCACCACGACACAGGCGAAGTCTTCTTCTATTCAGGACCAGCTCACGATCACGCGTGTATATATAGATGTCCTGACGAGTCAAGGTCTGTGAAAGCCAAGTTGATCCCTTCTCACCTGATCTTCCTTCGCCACTCGCGTATCTCCGCAACAAAATCGTCGGGCACCTCCCACGCCGCAAAATGACCGCCCCTTTGCGTCTCGTTCCAATGGACGATATTGGTGTAATACCGCTCACACCATTGCTTTGGCGCATAGCTGTTATCGCCGCCAAACCAGCTCACGCCAACCGGTATATTGATCGGCCAGGCGGTCGAGTCGAACTCGCATTCCCAATAGAAGCGAGCAGATGATGTGCCCGAATTGGAGAGCCAGTACAGCATGATCGTGTCGAGCATCTCGTCTTTGCTGAACACGGACTCGACATCGCCATCGTGATGAGACCAGTCTCTATATTTTTCATACATCCAGGCGGCCAGGGCGACCGGTGAGTCGGCAAGCCCGTAGCCAATAGTCTGCGGTCTTGTTGACTGCTGCAAAGAGTACCCGCGGTGACCAGCATCCCGATGGCCTTCCAGGCACATCGCTCGCTCCTCGCCCTTTGTATCGGGGATTGGGACCTGGACTTCTTTCTGCAAAGGGGATTAGCATGTCTCTTCAGAGGCTGTTTCGAGAGAAAAATTGCCTTGGGTTCAAAGAAGATGGAGCTGAAATGAACGCTCTCCAATCCTCTCGGTTCTTGGTGACCCAGACTTGCGACCACATGAGCCCCCCAATCGCCGCCTTGGGCGACCCATCCGTCGTCTGCGTAGCCCAGATGTTGCATCAGCGTTGCCCATGCACGCGCCGTGCGACGGTAATCCCATCCAGTCTCTGTCGGCTTCCCAGAAAAGGCATAGCCTGGCAGTGCTGGAACGACGAGGTGAAACGCATCCTCAGGTGAGCCGCCGTCCGACTCGGGGTCCACGAGCTTGTCGACTATGTGCCTGAATTCCAGGACGGAACCAGGCCAGCCATGCGTAAGCACAAGAGGGAGAGCATTCTCATGCTTGGACCGAACGTGCAGGAAGTAAATGTCCACTCCGTCAATGGTCGCCGTGAACTGAGGATACGAGTTGAGCAGCGCTTCGCATCGTCGCCAGTCGTATCCTGTCTGCCAGTGCTCGCAAAGGTCTTGTATAGCCGCGAGTGGGACACCTTGAGACCAATCGGTGACTGTCTCCTTGTCCGGCCAGCGGGTTAAACGAAGACGTGTTTGCAAGTCGTCGAGAGTGGACTGAGCGATGGAGACCTCGAAAGGGTGGACAAGACTGGATGTTGGCGAAGCCATTGTTGTCTGGATGGATGTTCGAGGCAGGTGGTAGGAATATGAAACTACTCTGACTTTCGTCCTCGATAGAGTGCACAGAGAGATTAAATGGCTGTACCCGAACTATTTATTATCAATTTGTCTGAATCTATCGTGATTCCTTCGACGTCATTTTCGGGAAGTATTTCTAATGATCTCTTGGCGGGGGATGGATCCTCTTACAAAGTGTTGTGTGCCAGGCCCAGTCACTGCCCTGATTGGTCAGGCTGCACATTCGGCCCACAGCTGCCCTCAAAAGGCAGCATCTTCGCGCTATCGCGTTCTTCCTCTTTTGATAGCATCAGCATGTTCTTCAGATAGAGAATTCATCATCTTCCTTCTCTTCTGATCTGTTGTTCATCATCATCTTCATACAAAGAGTCCATGATCCTCATCCGGCTGCTTACGGATCTAGATCACTCTTCTATTATAGAGTGGAAGGCGGCCCCTAGGTTCGCACCCGGATACGGATTTAGATTTGCCGCACCCAGTGCGGCAATTATGTAAGCAGGTAAATGCCTCAACACCACACAACACATAAGGGGCTGCCACTATTACTACACGTTAGTAATTATACGCTACCGCTATAGCCCAAGCAGCATTTCCTGACGATATACTCCCGCCGGAGGGTATATATAACTCACGAGAGGCTCTTCTTACCGCTATTAATTCCTAGGTAAAGCCTCGAGGCTATGCATTTACGATAGGGAAGTCCTTAAAGACCTAAAGTAGCCGGGTTAAAGTTATCTTCTCTTGTGATCGAAATAGGCTATTATTAAGCGTATTTACCGAACGAAAACGCCGTATATATAGCTAAGGAATAAGTTATAAGTTCTTAGTCCTTGCTAAAGAGTCCTTAGATAGAACTTCGTGGGTCTTAAGCTATCGACCGGGCTAGGAATACTCTTTTTATAATCACTCGCTAAGCTAAGATCTGTCTATATATCTAGTATACCGAAAGTTATTTACTAAAGATCAAACTTTAGTTATTAATCTTGTTAAAAATAGGGACCCAATGCCCCTATTAGGTGCCTTACGAGGCCCTCTCACACGATACTTACAGGGGCCCCCTGAATCTTATAGGGATCTTTCAGGGGACTGATACAAGGGTCCACAGCGCTTACGAATGCGCTTACGAATGCGCTTACGAATATAGTGCTTCTAAAGCCTTCTATAATATTCGAAGGTTAGCACTACCTGTGACGTTCGGGTCTAGACTAGCTACCGGGTAGATAGAATAGAAGTCGGTTGTTGAACCGAGTACACTAGGATGTCGTTGACTTAAGCGGTCGGGTCATAGTCTATATGCGAGATAGTAGATCTTGCGTAGATAATTATATTAATAGCTAGGGAGAGCTAGTAGAGACTGACTATAGTGAAGCTGGGCTTCCTATATACTAAGTCGATTATTATCCCCGATAATAATCTATCTACTTATTCGTAGCGATTCGTGGTAATCGTAATAATCGCGAGAGCGATTATTTATATAAGTAATAATCGTATTATAAATAATAGAAAAAAGTAAGGCGTGCCTAAAAGCACGTAAAGGCTATATATTAGGTCGTAATATAATACCCCTCCTCTTAAGATCTTATCCCTAAGATTATTTAAACGCCTATCCCCGTCTTATTAGTTTTAGTAAGTTTTATATTTAATCCTCCTTATTATATCCGGTCGTGTTACTAAACGCGCGTAGAAATCGTCTATTAATACTAAAGAGCGTAAGATCCGACTTCTTAAAACTATTTTCGCGTATTCTATTAATATACTTATTTACTTTAATTACGAGCGTCGTAGGCTTAAGACCTATTAGGTCTCTACCGATAATTCTTCCCGTTATACTAAGTATATTCGCTCGAACTATTTAGCTTACGATATTAGCGGAGTATCTACCTCGTAGCTTCGTAAGATTACTAAATAATACTAGAAACTTAAGACCGAACTCGAGCGTACGGAGGAAAAAGTACTCTATCTTCGAAAATAAAAGAAATTATAGTTCGAGAAGATAATAAGGGCCGTGTCTCGTGGTATTAATAGTATAGAGGAGCTAGAGCGCGTAGAACGTAAGGAGGCCGAACGCGAGTAAAGGCGATCGGAGGTATCGGGTTCCTCCGCTAGCTATTCCTCTACCGAGAATATCCTAGAGCCTGACTTTATATAGACTTAGGATACGGTATACGAAGATATACCGCTAGATCTATCTATTTTAGCTGATTTTAGTTTAGCTAGGCCCGATAGAATTACTATAATAGGTGGCTATAGTTTATAAAGTATTTAGCGGGTTCTTATATATTTTCGTTACTTACGTACCCTTTTTATTTAATAAGGTATTTAATTTCTTTATTAATTCTTTATTTATTAAGAACTCGTTCTAGTTCGTAGAGTTCTTCGAGAACCTCTAGTTCGTACTTAGTTTTTACGTTTTATAGTACTTTTTCGAGGAGTAAGATATAAAAACCTAGGTATATCCTTATACTTAAGGGTAATAAAAGTTTATAGTTAGTATCTAAAATAATTTTATTAATTTTAAATAGTCTAAGTTTTTTATAATCGAGCTTTAGTAAAGGTCGAGTTATTATGAAATTTTTATATAGTAAGTAAACTATATCTCCCCTTCGAAAGATCGGTCCCTTTAATCTTTTCTTATTATAGTACTTTAATATTCGTATACGTACGAATTCGAGTTATTTTTTATATATTCGTATAGAGAGTATAATTAGTCCGCTTTAAGTATTACTTTTTTAGCTAGGGGTCTATCCCTTAGTGTTTTATTACTAAACTCGGGTTTATATCTATAGTTTACGTAAAATAGTAAGACTTAGGTTAATTCCGTAGGTACGCTATTATAAGCGAGTTAGGCGAGTAGTAGTTTCGAGACTTAATCGTTTTATTTATAGTTAATATAGTACTATAGGTATTATTCTAATATTTAGTTTAATCTTTTTATTTATCTATCTATCTACGGGTAGTAAGCTATACTAAGCTTATACTTAGTTCCTAATTAAGCTATTAAGGCTTACTAGAATTTAGAGGTAAATATTATTCCTTTATCTAAAATAATTTTTTCTAGGAGGCCGTGGTTAGCTATAATATATTTAAGTATAGTATATATTAGTATTTCTATATCCGTTATTTCTTAATATAATAAAAAATATCCGAATTTATTTATTCGGTCTATAATAACGAATATACTATTATATTCGATATTAGATTCTAGTTTAATTAACCTAGGTAGCTTCGTGATATAGTTAAAAGCTATTAATTCCTATAGTCTTAAAGGCACGGGTAGTGGCTTTAATTCTTTATATAGTTTATACCGAGTAGCCTTATTATATATATAATCTTCGTATTATCGGACGATACGTGCGATATCTACTTTAATCCCTTAGTAGTTATACGTTCGTTAAATTCGTTTAAGAGTCTTTCTAACTCCTTAGTATCCTACCGTAGGGTACGCGTAGATATTAATTAAGATTTTATCGCGTAGCGGCGGTAGTATCTAGAGTAATCTATTCCTTATAGGTCCTTTTCTTATTTCCGTTATATAATCGCTAGGTATTTCCTTTATATACTTAGATACTTAATTTAGTATTTTATTATAATACGTGGTATTTACTTTAACTTTATATATAAGGAGGTTAAGCGATATTTATATATAATTTCCTTCCTTATTCTTCTAGAGTATATAGCCCTTAGCTTTTAGTACTTTAGTATTATAGTCTAGTTAGCGACTAAGCGCGTCTACCCTACTATTCTCCGATCCCTTCCGATAGATAATCTTAATATCGTAATCCGCTAGGAATTCTATATAATAGATTTATTATTTATTAAGTTCTTATATAATAGCGAAGTATATAATATTTTAGTAATCGGTATAGACTTTAGTTATAAACTTAGTTCCTAGTATATAATACTTAAATTCTTTTATAGCGGATATAATAGCTAAGAATTCTTTATTATATATAGGATAGTTTAGTTCTACGCTATAGAGTTTCTTCGAGAAAAAGGCGATTAGTCTTAGGTTATTATTTTTATCGCGTTAGCTAATCTATACTCCTATAGCATAATCTAATATATCGGTCTCTAATTTAAGTAGTTTTTCTAGGTCGAAGGTTATAAGGACGGTATTTAATAAGATAGTATCTCGTAGCTCCTCGAACGCTTATTTTTACTCGTTTCCTTATTTAAATAATATTTCTTTCTTTATAAGTTTCGTTAGTAATACTACGATTATTATAAAGTTACGTATAAAACGCCTATAGTAGTTCATAAAACCTACGAATACTTATACTTCCTTAAGATTATTTTTTAGCTTAAGCTAGTCCTTAACTACACTAATTTTCGTTTACTCTATTAGGATTTCGTTTAGTTAAATAGTATATCTTAAGAAGACGGTTTCTTATATATAAAACGCGCTTTTCTTTAGGTCTATTAGGAGATTTATATCTTAAAGTATCTTTAGTACTTAATAGATATATTCCTTATACTCTTTAGGGGTATCCGAGAAGATTAGGATATTATTTAAGTACGCTATAACGAAGATATCTAAGTTCTCCCTAAGTATATTATTTATTATTCGCTAGAAAGTAGCTAGAGTATTAGTAAGGCCGAATAGTATTACTAAATACTCGAATAAACTAAGTTTTATATAGAAAGCGGTCTTTTGTTCGTCTCTGTCACAGCTGGTCAAGAGCGGGGACCCACCCTGCACCTAGCAGTCACGTGAACTCGCGCCTGCCTTTGTATTTTATCGCGATCCCGACCGTCTTCTATTATAGCTCTTCGAGCTACGTCTTATATATAGAGCCTGCCCTACCTAAGGAGTGCCTATCCGTAGCAATAGACTAGATCAGCCTGACCGAGTGTTCCCTATCCTACCTACCGACCGACCCCCCCTAATATTACGTAGCTCCTACCTATAGGACGCTAAATACGATAACCTCCCGCCCGATACCTCTAGAGTTACCTTAGGATACGCGCGC